TGGAATTGACAATTATGATCACTTGGATAATGACAATTGGATGGATGCAACGACGAGGACGTCGTTCTTCGGAAGGGGGGGGTAATGTCACGGTTCTGGAGTCACGTGCTCGCTAAGTACTCACGTGACCGCTCACCTGTATATATGCTCTGCCTTCCGGCGCTTCTTTCCTTCCTTTCCTCTTTACCTTTAGATTCTAAGAGATAGCCTAATCGATTCCTCGTCTACGTACTTGAGTCCAACCGTGCTGTCACAAAGAGGATGATGAATCGAAGAGTAATGCAATCTCGTTACTAATAGCTTAGTGTTAAGAAACTATATTTGAGTTGAGCACGAAGCTCCTATCTACTGTGGAAAACCGTCTACTTATATAGGTCCTTCCTGCTTACGGATCCTAGTGGACCCTCGAGACCCCCTCTGGACCCCTCGAGGTCCCACAGGCTCCATCACGTGACTACTGGTCCCGTGCACCTGGAACCTTCTTGTTCCGAAGTATCTCCAGCAAGCTCTCTTGCTGGGCCTATCGTGTTTCCTGCTCGTAACAAAAATACGTAGCTGTTATATTATAATAAATTTTTACGTCTGCGGACTAAATATATACGCTTTTAATAAATAAAATATTTATATCAGCTTTACGTTTTAAATTTATACGTATACGTTATATAATACGATATAAATATACTTTCCACCACACTCCTCCAAGATCCACCGAGACGAACTCTGCTTCACTTTGTCTTCTTTGATTTCTTCGCATCTGCTTCTTTCAGACCTGCCTCCACCGTCGTCCACGTTAACTCAGGATATTTATCATTATCCAGCGGATCGAGAGTGCCTGCCCCAGAGACCATGTTCTCCAAGTACTGTAATCCTTGCCACGGCGGCAGTAGCTTAGTGTTCTCACCACGAATGACAAACTTCATGAGCTTCGTCATGACCCTCAAAAAGCCCAGACTACCCATCCACATCGGAGTGTACTCCTGCCCACGCAATTTGGATACAATCACAGCTAAGTCCTTGGAAGAGAACTTGTCCCCCGCAATGCGTAAGAACTTAGGTGTTTGATTGGGGTCTACAGCGACCGCAGCAGTGTATGCGGCGGTATCCACCATCGTCGTGAGATCTAGTACCTGATCGACGCTACCGAAATATATAATACGGTGGAACGCATCATTGATGAGTGGGAGATCGCCGGCTAGCAAGAGTTCCATGAAACCTCCATTTAGAACGCTCGTCCATTGGATGCCCGATTTATCAAGCTCGACATGGAATTCTCGTCGAAGATCGAGGTTTCGATTAGTACCTGGTTTTGTCTTGGTGAAATCTAAGGCGTAGTCGGAAGGGATGAATCTTTGGACTTTTGAAGCGACGGCAGCTTTGAGGAGCGCTCCTTGGGTGCTTAGCATGACATCTCGAAGTCCTTGGAGTGCTGAAACGACGGTGGTGGCACCTTGAAGAGCCTCTGTCAGAGCGGGAAAATTGTTGTAGTCAACTTCTGCGATAATTACACCGGAATCGCGCAGTTTTTGGGTGCGTGATAGTGCTGTTCCCGGACGGACAATTGCCTATCAACCGTTTAGCATTGGACTTTTGCTGTTGTAAAATTGAAAAGAGAATTGTACTTTCACTGCTGCATTCCTTCGGCGCAATGCAAATGCAATCAATTGACCCAGATTACCTGCGGCGCCTGCAACAGCGACAAAACCCTTGGGAGTTGCCATTCGGAAAGGCGTTTCTACAGAGAGAATTGGAGATGGTGATTAAAGACGGAAAGCGGGAAGGGGAAAGTTGAAATGATGTTGCTCTTATTGGAGAGATTGCGCCCTTTTATATCGAGAATAATTGTCTACCAGCTTTGAAATCAAGGAGGTCTAGTGAAGCGCGGAGCTCTTCACCAAGAGAGGCTGATAAACTCTCGGACGAAAAAAGCCGGACTAATCAACCACAAAACTCTCCCTAATTCGTCCGGGTTTTCTTGTCCACCACAACCCCATCAAAACTAGACCTCAATCGGCACTCGCTTTCAGTGTTTCGGCACTCTCGCTCTTTCTTAAGACGCGAAGTCTAAGAGTGCTGAGCGCAAACACCATCAGCTTGGTCATTGATAAGTTCGCTCAAGAGTCGAGTCCCGTAGTCGAGCAAGTGCACATCCGCTAGTGCTGTTTAATGAAAGTCCGATAACTCGGAAAGAAAACTCGTCCTAATTCTGGGAAGATGTCTTTAAGTTCCCTCTTGAGACTTAGTATGTAATTGCCATTTGTGTGGTTTCTCTTGGGCAGCAGTTCAACTCTGGTCGAGATTTAAATCCTGGTCACGTGTTAGAAATTTCCATCCCGACTGACCGCACACTTATCAACGAGCCATTGTTTTTCAACTTCCAGAGAACTCTTCGTTGTTTAAAATTTATGATTTCAGCCATCAATCACCAAGTTTCAAATTTCTAGAAATCTCATATCACTTTCTCCACACTTGCATTGATCATGGAGCTGGAACCGAAACCAGTTTTAAACAATCTCCTGTCTGTCAATACATGGGATGATATGGTTTCCTTAGAGGTAGAGCCTCAGCCTATCAAACTTTCGGTGGAACACTTACTCATGTACCGGACACGTGGTTCCGAGCTTTCAACAGAACTTCTAAATACACCAACTCTCAAGGAGACTCCAGAACCACCTCGATCATGTCAAGCAGCTTCTCTCAGACCGGAAAATAGAAGGGCTTTGGCCCTCCCTAAAGCTTCTGATCTCGATAAACTGCCAATCGCTCGACGTTGCTTCGGCTTGCCCGGATGCCAAATGCAAGGTCCTGGATATCTGATAGTCCCAGGGCTATTCAAGGACGCTGTTATCGTTTCAATAGATTTCGAGAACGTGAAAGCTGTTAAACGCCGAACTACGGACACTGTGTTCGCACAAATGGGTGTTTGCATCCTTGATACCCGTGATCTCTCCGATTCCTCGAAGACAAAATCACCTGAGAGCTTGCTTCGCTCTTACAATTTCTCCACTAGAGCCGTACCGAAGTGGAGACGTGGCCAAGGTTGGAATTTTATATTTGGAGACACAACTTATACGAGCTTGACAGAGTTTTGTAGCGAGCTCGAAAACTTGATCGATCGGTCCAGGAATATCATCTTTCTGGGTCATAATGTGGCCAACGACTTGTCTACTCTTAAGGCTTTAGGATTTGATGTTAAAACTGGAGTATCTGCTGTTCTTGATACGCAACATCTCATGAGGACGATATTTCTGCCTAATCATAAGCCGACGAGCCCGGTTCTTCCTCGGTCGCAGTTTGATCAGAGACTGGTAGGTCTGCTGAACATGTTGGGGTGCGAGTGCAGAGATTTGCATGTTGGAGGTAATGATGCGAACTTCACTATGAGGGCTTTGCTCTTACTACTAGTGGAGAACTTGAGAAGAACGTACAATGTTATTGAACCAGCTCTCAAAGCGAGAGTGGCGTTGATGGAAAGCATCGCAAGAGCGAAGTTGCCAGCCCCAGCTTCAGAGAACAAGGCAGCATCTGTCCAGCCATTGTATCAGATATCATCGACTTTCGAATATGCTTATGGGGGAAGGCCTGCAGAAGAGATTGCGACTCAGGAGTTTCTAAAATGGCATTTACAAATATCGTGGCAGCAATACTGGGTTGGGCAGCAATACTTGGCATGGCAGAAGCTTTTGTCTGAGCGAGTACCATTGCCTTGGCAACAGTATTCTCAATAAGACCATCCTCACAGATACCGGTACATCCAGGCAGGACAGAGATCAAGATTGTGCCAGATATAATATAAAGAGACTTGGCTCACAGGGAGTCCGAATGGCTGCTTTTCAGGGGTGCCTTATTTAAGATTTGCAAGGAATTGTACCTACTATCAAAATGCGAAATTTCCTTCATGTAGTTTTGGATAGGTACCAGCTTCGAGTCTGCGAGATTGCTCAGCAATTCAGGACTGATTGCGCTCATTGCGCTGAAAAGTGTAACGCACGCTTCGAAAAGAAGGAAGACAAAATAAATAGAGAATCATAAAGTAGTCTAAAGATTGTATACCATCTTGAGCAAGCTTGAATGATAATAAAGTCAAACCAGCCTCATCTATCCTATTTCTTGAATTGATATCGCAGTCCAGACACCGAACACGAGAAGTTGAAAAGAGAGCATGCAAAGAGCGCGAAGAATTAAGAGCAATAAATAAGAGCGATAGACAAGATCTGTCATTGAGAAGTTTTTGAAACATCGTGTATAAGGCCAGTTTGAGCTTCCTGGAAGAAAAAGTGCATGCTTGGAGCATAAGGGTCTCCATCAACCTGAGAAAGCCAATATCACTCACTTCAGCGGGGCATTGAAAGTTGATAGGCAGCAGAGATACATCTTGATCGAAAGCAGGACTACAACAAATTCAATAGCCAACCCCTTGAAGAGTATGTCCTTGGCTTTGAAAGTCAAAATATTCCTATGCCAAAGAATCGAGAATACGAGGGGTAATAGCGGGGTATGTCGCTGACTAAGCGAACAGTTCGCGTTCCATCTCGACGCGCTTCTATGTTTTGAAAACACCAACCTCTTCAAGCCAACGCACTTTCAAACTTCACACTCGACATCAATTCCTGTCTCAAACATAAGATCAACTACAAGTCATGCAAATACCACGATCCTCTACTGCCGTAATACAACGGGTGGAGAGGCAGATGCGGCGGTAGTGATTGGTGTTTGGAAGCTAGGAATATGGATATACACAACTGCCAATGCATTGGACCTAAGTAACGCTCCGAGCTTACCGATGACTTTCTCCAATCTTCAGACGTACGTTGACCTACTCCTAATACACATACCTGAATCGTCCCAGCTCGCGATCGGTCTTATCCAGCAAATTTAGAGCAGTCGCTAACAACTCAACGCCATTCAGATGCTCCACAACCACTTCTCCAAGTCCATCCCTCCTTCGATTCTCCCAAATGGGATAAAACCTCAGCAGAATAATCAATGCTATGCCTACGGAGAAGCATACGAACATCGACGCAAATGCAGAACCATAATTGGGCGCCTCCCTCGCAAAGAACAATTGGGGCCCAACGATATTACCAACGCAGTACGCAATAAAAATCTGCAAACTGGTTAGTTACTACAAATATTGTTGGATGTACTGGAGATACCATTGCATTGACAGTAGTCTTTTTTGTGAAGCCTCCCGTGTTGGAGGCGACAAGGGATAGAACCAGAGGGAGGTTGGCAGAGAAGGCTGAAAGCAAGCAGTATCCCATCAATCTGGTCCAGATATACTGATGCGGTATCTGCCGTATCAGAACTGCTCCGACGATTGATATCATCATCATCAATGCCATGAAGAATGTTCTTGTGTTCTCCAGCAAAGTGCTACCACCGCACGCCAACACTACAAAAATACCCTGGAAGACGAATGCGAGCATGGAGACCAGTAGAGTGTTGAGCACGGAGAAGCCCATTCCGTTGATGACAATTGCGGAAAACTACACAATTTTCAGCACTCTATTTTGTGGTGGACGAAGTGACACTCACTGTGCTGATGGCCCCGTTAGGGATGTTCGCACACAACGCAATCAAGACAATGAGCCATGACTTTGGGTCTAGCAAAGCTTCCACAGCCTGTGATCTCTTCCATTGGTTGTTCTTGATCCCAGTCATATTATGTCGCACCCTCTCAACAGCCTTCATGCGATCTTCGTTGGAGAGAAACCAGGCTTTCATCGGAGTATCTGGGAGCAGCACAAACAACATACAAGACCAGGTGAGTGTTGCCGCACCAAAAATGAGGAAGACAGCCTAGTACGAGTCAGAATCTACCACCCAATTCGTTCGAATACTGACCTTCCAAGGCTGAATGCTTTGTACGTGTCCTATTCCGTATGACAGAAGGCCGCCGAGAATTCCTGCTGTCACATTGCCCAGAAACCAGGCTGCATACCGAAGCGGTTGTTCCGTGCGTTTATAAAACATCGAAGTGATGATGCTAAAGCCTGGTGTTACCGCTGCTTCCATAGCCCCAAGAAAGAATCGAGCACTCTGCAGACCAGCTGCGTTGGTAGCAGCAGAAGTACACATCAATATGGCAGCCACAGAAATCTGCTCCTGCATCAGCTATGCCAATCAGTTTGCGTTACAACACCCACACTGAAATTGACAGGAACTTTCCTACTGGGAATCGGACCATCAAGATTGAAGCCGGATACGAAAATGCCATGTATCCGAAGAAGAAGACACTCGATGCCCATGAATATTCTTGTCCGATGAGATGGAGATCTGTTCGAAGACCGAGGATTGACGTATAACTCATTGCTGTCTTGTCTAGAAATTGGAAAAGGTAGGATAATGCCAGTACAGGTAGCAAACTACGACCAAGTAAGTCATTCTCTTTTTGGTGTCAATGATACAATCTACATACCACATATCAATCTTGCGAAGAATTCTTCGATCGTCTTCTTCGGACAGAGATTCGTTGAAACGTACAACGCCGCCAATCTCATCAAGTACGATATTGACATGCTCAAATCCTGCACCAAGGATATCTGAACCCGAGCTCTTGTCTTCCATTATAGCTGGCATTATCTCCTCAATTGATTGGGTCGTTCGTTCTCAAAATTTGCTCACTCTTTCATCAAATGTTCTTTATATTCTTTCATGTTCATACTGGCGATTCGAAGGGCATATACCTAGCTGGGTATACAACAGATGCGCCCACAATCTGAGGCGATCATGAACCCCGAGATCCTGTGCCGGCTACCACAGCATATCCGGCAGAGCCAGAACGTAGTTATATACTAGAAGACTTGATTGGCCTAACTCAGAAACACCAATCTTCGCCGTGCAACCGGCGAGAATGACGGTCGCACGGTTGTATTGACTGTCCTACCAACGCAGCTTGTGTCTGGTCCTAACAAGTAATTACCCCGAGCTCCAGACAAGAATGACACGCAAGACATACGCCACACTCGTATGTTGATCTTATCTTCTTGCTCGTATCTGAGGTGGCACTTCCAACAACCGCGCATCTGTGCCACGACAGTCCACGTCATGCGATTCGATCTTCCGTTCCACCACTGTGGTTACCAAGATGATCTCAACGGCACTTGATTAACACGAAAATGTGAGCTATGCGCAGAACTCTGTGAATCTATCTCATGAGGAAGGTTCTCAAGTAGCTTGAAACAGAGATATCCCCTCGCTAATGTGCTTTGGGATCAGAGCCATCAGACATAGCACTTGTGTATCAGGGAACATAGAAACTGGCAAAACTTAATGAAATGTTTCATGGGAATTAAATGTGCAATCTACTTCTAAGGTATCAATTATCGATTCCCTGATATACGCCATACTCCGGTAGGCGGCCCCAATCCATTATGTTCTACAGCCATAACTAGGTACCTAGGTACCTATCTGCTATGGCACGTGATTGGCGACATCTACAACCTCCAAATTACCTACATCATGGAACATTAGAAGTTCTCAACCAGGTCGCCTCTCAAGCCTCTTTCATCGCGCAACTGACGTCTAGCTCGGGCTTGCGACTCTTGAACAGAATTTTCTGCCTTGAGTTGGGACTTTCCCCAACCCCATTTTTGGTATGCTGCACACTCGTTTGTCCATCTGGCAGCTTCCAATCATAGTACATGACCATATGCGCCAAGAGCAGTTTTATCTCATTGCTAGCGAAGAAGCGTCCTGGGCAAGCATGTTGTCCGTGACCAAAAACATTGCATTCTGGGCTCGTTGTGACGAATTGGTGCTTGTTCTCGTTTCCTGGAGCGTTGCGCAAGTTCAAGAATCGATGGCCGTCGAACTTATCCACGTTGGGAAAGATCGTGGGGTCTTTCATCAAAACAGGTCCCATGCTGATGAAGGCGCTTTTAGGAATTGTGATACCGTCGCTGAGCGAGATTTCTTCTTTCGCTTGGCGAGGCATTTTGACTGTTTTGTCAACTTCAAGTATTCATCCGGGGGTGGAATTACTTACGCAAACTATGCGGATGCAATCTCATACTCTCCTTCAACACACTATCCATCAACTTCAACTTGTACAGGGTATTCTTTTCCCACCTCCCATCCTCCTCCCAAACTCTCTTGATCTCCTCTCTCAGAAGATCGAAATACTCCGGGTTCTCCACCAAATCGAACATAGCAAAGCCCAGAGTGTTAGACGTTGTATGAATAGCCGCCATCGCCAAACTCAACTCTGCATTCGCATACCCGAACTCCCGTCCCTTCGCACTGGCAGTAAACCAATCTACACTATCCAGCACCTTCCTTCTCGGCTTCCCTTCATTCTCGGCAAGCTCTTTTCGTCTCTTGTCCACTTCCGGCTGTATCAGATCCTTCGCTACTTTCACTTCTTCTCTTATCTTTCGACATTCCGGTAGAAACCAATGGACGATGGGACGGAGAGGGGCGGGCCAGTTGTTGAGAGCTTTGGCGGCCATGAATACGTCGACTGTGTACATAACTGAGATCCGTTGCCAATCGGGATTGTTCATGAAAGATTCTCCGAGGAAGATTAGGGCAGAGAGGCGAGAGATTGATTTCAAGAGGGCTGGGGTGAGCACTATTTCTTGCCAGTCGGGCGCAGAGCCATATACTAGATTGAGCGTGTTGGGTGTTTCGGCAGCAATGGGTTGAATCGTCAATGCTTCACCTCAAAAGTCAGCAATTATTCTCACTTGAAAAACGAACACAGAAGCAAGTACCAAGAGCTTGAGTAAGTTGGGTTCTAACCGCATCCTGGAAGATGGTCTGATCGGCACTAAAACCATCGAAACCTGGATACGTAGAAAAGAACTCCTTGGCCACAAAGTCATGGAAATCAAGGCGTTTATCATTCTTAATCTCGTCCATATATTTCGGCGGAATGACTAGTCTGGGCCTACTTTTTTCGTTGAGTCGGAAGGGTTTCCCTTTAGCCATCTCGACGCCTTTGGCGAGGATAGACGCAGCGGAGGTCGTGAACTCTGCTTTCTCTGCTGGTCCCCATTTTGGGTTCACCAGGGGGTATCTAGAGAGAGCGCGGGATAACTTGAGGTGAGAGATAAGCTGTGAGGCGACGATGATGCTGAGTATGACGCCGATTGCGAGGTACACTTTGATTCCAGTGATTGTTGGGTTCGTCAGAGTTGACATTTTGAAGGTTCGAAAAAGGCAGAGGTTGAGGTAAGTGTGGTTTTAGGTCGAAACATCAACGATCTGGTTTCTTTTAGCAGCAAGCTACAGCTCTTGATATACCCCTCTTCAAGCTGCAATGTAACCCACATCGGCATCGAAAAGTGGAGATAGAGGACTAGATGCGAACCGAGTACGATTTCTTCAGTTCGACATTTCTTCTTCCCCCTGAAATCCATCCGAAGTTTTCGGACGAGATGGCGATTACTCGCATCTGCCCCGCAATTGATGTTGAAACAAGGTGAGATCAGATGAAGCAGCGTTTGAAATCTGGCACGAATGCCGACGAATGTGGTCGGATTATCCTTGCTGGCTCTTCCGAGTACGAGCTGTTTCGCATACTTTAAGTACACAGGTCCCTCAATTGGCGAGCTGTCTGGGGAACCTTGCATTCGGCAGTGAAGATCTTTTCGGAATGTCCTCGTACTCGCATATTTCCGAGAGATAGACACGGAATGTAAGGAAAAGTGGTTCTGGGTATGTGGAGCAGAGTTTCGGAGAAAAAGGAGCCGGCAGAGACGTGCAAAAATCGCTGGGATTTCTTTTAGGTGCCCTTCTTGGGGTCTTGAGAGATGTGTGACAATATAAATGGCCATCAACCTTGGAGTGGAAAGCATCTTTGCTTGGCAAGAAGTCTTGCCATGATATGAAAGCGAAATATTCGTATGTGTCTGATATCAATCAGATATTCTTTCTCCGCTCTTTGAGATATATCTGAGAGGGCTTTCAGACGTAGTCTTCAGTCTGCTGCCGCACCTGCTTCAGTCTTGTCGCAGTCACTTGATTTTTGCAAGCCGAAATCGCTCAATCGAGCTGCATCTACTGCAATTCAGCAGATACGCAATCCAGAATGGAAGGAAAGGTATATGCTATCACCGGTGCCGGATCAGGGATCGGTCGTGCTACAGCTATTCGTTGCGCAGAACTCAAATGCGCAGGACTCAGTCTTTGCGATGTTAACTTTCAAGGACTTGAAACCACGAAGAAATTGCTGTACGGATCTCCTTTCCCAAATATCAATCAAAGAGAATTTGGTCAAGTAAGCTAAAAAATCATGAGCAGCGAAGAAGCCAAGTTCCCAGGAAAGGTTTTGCTATTCAAAGCAGATGTCAGCAAAGCTGATGAAGTGGATTCCTGGATTTCCTCTACCACCTCAGAATTCGGAAGACTAGATGGAGCAGCGAACGTCGCTGGCCTCTCAAGACGCTCCCCAGAGACCAACTCTTCCAATATTGTCGAAGAGGATTGGGACACGACACTAGCAGTCAAACTGACAGGAACAATGCATTGTATGCGTGCTCAGTTGAAAGTGATCACGAGACCGGGAGGGAGCATTGTGAATGTGAGCTCGGGAGCAGGCGTGAAAGGTGTGGCTGGGATGCCAAGTTATTGTGCGACAAAGTGGGGTATGAGGGGCTTGATAAAGACGGCGGCTATTGAATTTGGACCAGTGGGGATTAGGGTTAATTGTTTGATGCCGTAAGTGCAGTCTACGTCGTCGAAGTCTTCGATTTTGCAGTGTTGACCGAACTGACGAAACATAGGGCTTGGTAGCAAGTGGAGCGAATTTCGATGAAGCGGTTAAAAAGGGATTGGTTGATCCAGTGAAGTTGAGTGAAGGTACTATGATGAAGAGGATGGGGACTCCAGAAGAAATTGCAAAAGTTATGGCTTTTCTAATGAGTGATGATGCTAGTTTTGTCACCGGTAGTGAGTCTTCTATCTGCTTGAGCACACTGGAGAGGAGCATTCGTATGATTCTTGCTGACGTACTGTATAGCTGATATTGTGGTGGATGGTGGTGGTTCTGGAATTTAACGTCCAGAGATATCAGGTACACTCAAAGCGAAATCAATTGTCCCTCACCCGTTTATACAGCACTTTATCCAATCTGGATATGTTCCACGGAGTGTTCTTGCCAATTTAGTTCATCCAAGATGTGGGAAGTTCCCAGACCAGGTCTCAAAGAAAGCTTCTGAAGGGAGGAAGCATAAACTTCTGAAAATTTCCACCATTAAGAAAAGTCTCGCTAGAATATAAGGTCCCACAAACAGAACAAGAATCAATGCCCCAACTAAAAACTTGGCCGTCGATGATGCGCGCTCACGCTCGTAGCCTGGCAGCGCTGCTGGATTCAGTTTCATCCATAGAGCCACCGGGAAAAGGAACAACAAAGGTAAGCAAGATGTCATTACTGAGCATATTCTCCAGACAAGCCGTTCAGTTTCCGTGGGAAAATGAAAGTTCCAAGCAAGGCAATGTAGTCCTCCGAAGACAGTTCCACCGACCAGAGCTCCGAATGCCAAAAGGAGCAGTTCGTCGTTACCACCATACAAAGCGCGTCCTGGAAGTCCCATCGTCCAATGGCTGGAATCGTTCGGGATCGGAGCGGGGCCCAAGGTCGGATCGAATTCGGGAATGTTCCGTTTGCCTTGCCAGAGATATCGTGGACCGTCTTCAACGATATCTTTCAGCCTTGAACTGGCATAATAATCTATAGGACCTGGGCTGAGGTGTCTGTTCCGCCAAACGGTACCTGGTACCCAAGACTCTGCTCGTACTGTATAGATGGTTTCTATACCTTGAGGTCGCTTCAAGTACAACAGATATGTTATGATACTAGATGCAGAAAAGGCCAAGGCCGCGATTTCGAGCTGTGCCGAAGGTAGACCATGGACTTTACGGACGATCAGCTGGAGGATCAAATACGAAACCTGGAGGACAGCAAGAATCTTCACCAAAGTTCCTCCTTTGTCTAGCCTCTCTAAATGAGATACGGGCAGTTTGGGCGGTGTCGCAACATTATATTTGAATATCAAGTTCCATTGCCGAGCATCCAAAGCCCAGAATCTATCCATTTGCCATTGCTCATCTGGTCCGGTCTGGATTTCAGATCTTGACCGCCTGGAAGTAGATTCTAATCGGTATAGATTCTGCAAGGCAAGATACTCTAGATCTTGATCATCAATATCTCGGCTTGGTAGCGGGAAAGTTTTGTTGTCCTCGATCTCGTTGGATTTCCTGGATGTCCCCTCGATCTCATGCTCTTCTTCTATGCCCATTTCTGTGGCAGAATGTACAGTATTCTCATCTTTGTGAGCTAGCTTCTTCTCGGTCTTGGCTGATCTTCCAGGGACAGACGAAGTAATGTCACCCCAGTCAAGCACAAAATAGCCCATGTTGGCCATATACCCATGGACCATTCCCCATGGAACTTTAGGCACACGAACGGGCTGTGCGTGTAAAATCGTCTCGGATCCGCTCATGGAAAGTTGCATGTCTTTAACACTTTGTCGAGCCGAGAGCATTTCACCAAGCGCTTTCCCAACCAAGAATTCAGGAACGAGAATAGTGATGATCATCCATTTGACTTTGACCCTCGATTCCCAGATGGGGCGCCATATTTTCTCTAAGCCGTGAGGAGAATCTTGAATGGGGGGAACATTCAGATGTTGGATATTCCAGGTGCACAAAATGATGATGGACAAGCAATTCCAGAGGATTCCAGTCGTACTGCGCACGTTTAGCCCAGCGACATAATTGGACCCAGGAGGAGGAAGGGTACAATTTGGCGTAAACTTATGGCTCGCCTGGCAGTGCCTGACGAATAACAGGAGAATTAGAACGACTGTAGAAGGTCTTAAGTGCGCCGACATTCTTTGCAAGTCCGAACAACAATTTATTCGGACGAATGTTGGTGGAAAATGTAATCATTTCTCAGCAAAGAATATGAGGAAAACTAATAACTCTGGGTGGTAGTACGAAACTGCTTATTAATTCCATAATCAGGCCAGCTGAAATTCGACCCTGTCATGGCGGTAATTGACAGGCCCACGAGCCCATGTTCTTCTGCCTCATTTTCGTGCTGGAGGCGGCGCCACGCCAACCAGCTTGATGTGTCTGCTCGGCCCCCAAAACACTAACCAATAGATCTGAACACTGCAATACATACCAGCCATTTTCCCGCAGCAGACCGAATGAGTCGAAGTGAGGCTGAATTGGGCAACAAAGGGCGTTCTCTTCGGTCAGCTGGATACACGACCGGGCGATTGCGCCTTTTCACCCTCGAGGTCTCCGAAGTCGCAGTACAGTACGGTACATTGACTTTGATTTCACTTCTCAAGTTCTAAAGTAAGTAGAGTACGAAGATCACTGTATTTACACTGCCGGCATTGCACTTTCAGAGAAGTTTTAAGAAACCCCAGTACTTAGCAGTGAGGAGCAAATGATCACGAGCCTTGCGTGCAGTAAGTAGGCTGGTAGAAAGATTATCTAATTAGAATTGTCGCAACAAGGAGATTGCTTCTCAGATATGACAATATTTTGACAAACTTGTTATACTCCCTTTTAGATTGTACGACAACAGCCCAAAAACTCTGCAAAACATGACATGTTTGCGGATTTATTTGTAACTTTCTCTTCGTCCCAGGAGAATTGATGATCATGTAGTAGAGAAGAATACAACCGAAGCAGATTTTTTTCATGTTTTGATCTTTGGTATCAAGCTCGTGACGTGAAGTGGAAGCTCAGAGATTTATCAAATGTTCTAACACTCAGATAATTAAACGATTTCAGAAGTTTCTATGTACTTGGATCATGGAAATATGAGCTATGAGTTGTCGCCAAGATATCGAAGCATATTCTTTTTGTCTGGGTCAATATCCAGAGAAATGTTTCTCATTTGATCTCACAAACTTGTTTGGCAGACTCTTGGTACAAACCTTAGATTATGGTCTCCTTTGCTTCGATGTGTGTTTTCGTCGGATCAAGCTCAGAATCATTCTTCTTAGACAAGCTAATTAGCTTTGATTGCACATCGCGCGACTGTGCAAGATGCCAGGTACATATATCCCCAGTTGGGTAAGCAGTTCTCTTTCAGATCATTCTTTCCACTTTGATCAGCATGTTACGGTGCTCGAAGTGTAGATCCAGCGACCACAAGACCAGGGCGTGTAGCGAGCCGTGGCCATTCCACACTGAGCAAGAATGTGACAGGTGTGGAGGTCCTCATGAGACCGGCGACAAGAAGTGCACGAAGTACAAACCTGAACTCAATTGCAATCATTGTGGTCACGAAAACGATCACTATGAGAAGTTTTGTACGCTGAAAGAGAAGGTGGAGAAAAACGTCAACCAGTACACGAAGACGAAGTATCTTAAAGCAATGAGTGGTGGACCTTTGAAGGCAGCAGCAACAACATCGACGCCCTTGCCGTCTAGACCTAGAATACGAAGGACTCTTGCTATTGGCATCTCCCTCAAAGAGATGCTAGACAAGATGAAGAATGCTAAAGTTGTTCGCGAAGATCCAATCATTCCGTTGCCACCAACCGAGGAGGACGAAAGAAAACTTCGATTGGCCAACGCAAATTTGGATCTAGCCCCGTACTCACCGTCTCGGCCGGAGCAACGAATCAACAATATCATTCTTGCCAATGCTTTCAAGATTGAATTCCTTCGGCCGCAGAAGCCCACCATTATCAAGAAGTACAGGATAGTTCTGGGCAATCTCTGGGAAGAGACAGAGGACGACCAGCAGAAGGATGACAAGAAAAAGAACAGACCACCGAAGAAAGAAACTGTGCGAGGAGTTATTGAGGACCTCTTCCTCAAGTACTTCCCACCGCCTGGAAATTGGGCGTCCGATTTCTTTTCTCATATTGTCTGCACCGGTAAACTTTACCCACAAATGTCTGATGATCCAGTGGTGGGCGAATGCTATTCACTTGATCATTACCGACCCGGAAATCAAGAAGATTACCACTTGGTCAAAAGCAGGATTGTCTACGAAGGTTGCCTTTCAACTGCCAAACTGATGGACTACACTTCACCTACAGGATCCAAACCTGAGAAATACCTTCCGGACGAAGACCTCCGCATCCTCAACTTGGTCATTTGGAAGGAAATCAACTTGCCTTCCTTCGACGGGGCTCGATTTGGTAGAAAGTTCTTCACGACCGCTCAGCATCCAGAAAATTCCGGAAGGATGATTATTCCCAAAACTGGTGTCCAAGATATGGACCGACCTACGATCTACTATCTAAAGACCGGATTCTTCTCATCTGTTCGTCCAGCACATGGAAATATTCTCATGAATGTCAACACTGCTATGTCGGCATTCTATAACCCGGTCAATTTGCAGCAATGGATCAACTGGCGGTGGAGGGAGAATCACATTCCCAAGGGCGACGAGAAGAAAGAACTCATAGATGTACGGGTCACTTTTGAAGGTGATAGACTGATAGGTGACGGAAAGTCCAGAAAGAAACGTGTGATTCGGAACTTCTCCTCAGAAACGGTCTCTAAGCAAACATTCAGCAAACCGAAGAAAAGGGACCTTAACAAGTCTGAAGAAGTTGATGTTTTAGCGCACATGAAAGCAAGTAAGTGTCATCACCAACAAGTAGGGGCACTTATTGATGTAGTTTTGCAGCCTACCCGAATTTAGGATCATTCAGTACTCGCGCTGCCTGTGTCAATCTCGGTGGAGGGGATGAACCCAGGTGGTACCCAGCTGATAAATTAACAATTTCTCCATGGCAGATCGTTCGTGGCAAGCTGGATCCTATATTCAACGATCAAATGGTCAAGAAGGCTCAGAAGTTTCCAGTGGCGAGCAAAATGCTGATACAGGAGTTTGCATTGAACCATCTAGGAGTCAGAGAGCAAGATTCCTGGCACGCGGTAAGTTTCATCCTGCGGGGGTACAGTACGATAATAGGAACGCTAATTCTGCTCAGCAATTCGGAATCAAGATATCGTCCTCTTTTATTGACTTGAAGCCACGAATACTTGAACTTCCAGCCCTCTCATTTGGCGGTAATTTGCCTGGCGGATTCACGAGAGCCAAGGGTTCGTGGGATATGACAAACTTGAAAGAACTCTACACAATCGGCAATCCTTTGGAGACTCTAAACGTCATCCGGCTCTGTGATAGAAATGATAATATAGAGATCGATTGGTTAAAACATAAGCTTCTGTCCTATCTGGAGGAGCCTCTCAACAAACACGGTTTCAAGACTTTGAGGGTACGAGCAGTAGAAGCTCTGATACCAGGAGATCTCGATAAGACACGGATTCCATGCAGAAAGGCCATGGGCCGGAATCTTTCAACTGCTTGGAGAGAGCTTGGGAAGCCCGCGTTTGTCTTGGTACAGTTACCGTCAAGAAATCAGCTCGTGTATGGCCATCTTAAATGGTGGGGTGATTGCCACGAAGGGGTTCGCACAGCTTGTGTCACTTACAACAAGTTTAATAAGTTGGCGGGAAAAGGAGGCGCGAACATGATGGCGAACTTTGCGTAAGTGTGCAGAACTCCACTGTCTAGTTTTCACTATCTAACCTGGCTAAAAGACTCAAATTTAACTTCAAGAATGGCGGCACAAATCATCGCGTCCACAGTTTAGGTATCAAGCCCAACACCAGTATGTCCAATCACCTTTGTTTCCAAGTACAGTACAATGAAGAGCCGATTCCTCAAGAATTCTATTTGAAAGAACCAGTATCGGCTTCTTTATACTTTGAAACGGGTCATACTGATTTACCAATAGTGATTGTAGGTGCAGACGTTACACACCCTGGAAGAGATGCAGATGAGACTTGCCCATCACTAGCTGGCACCGTTGCAACATACGAAGAAAGTCATGCTCACTACCTAGCTTCGGCAAGAATGCAAAAGAAGAACGAAGTAAGCAGAGTTTCCAGCGACTCCATGGTGAATGCTTGTACTGATATTTCGACAGCATATTGAGCAACTCTCGGATATGATGTTTGAACATCTGCAGGCTTACTACACGAAGCGGAAGAAAGTTTGGCCTGATCACATTCTGTTCTACCGAGATGGAGTTAGTGAGAGCCAATACGGCATGGTCAAGACTGACGAGCTTCCCGAAATTAAAGCGGCCATCGAAAGAGTTCGACAAACAGCCCCTGGCAGAAATTACATGCCTAAGATAACTTTGGTTGTTGTAGGTAAAAGACACCATTCGCGTTTCTATCCCGCAAACAAGCCGGAAGACTCCAGAAGTCTATGTGCGGGGCATGTGATGGATACAAATGTAGTTATTCCTCATGCCTTTAATTTCTACCTACAAAGCCACGACAGTGCCCTCGGCACCGCTAAGCCTGCTCACTACGTCGTCATTGTTGATGAAAGTGGCTACGGAGGAGGAAAGCTACAAGAAGTTGTAAGTTCTAGAGTTCCATTCTAGAGAATACTATTGATATGTAGCAGACCAACGACCTATGCTCCTTGGGATCGAGATCAATGAACACACTCTCTGTCTGTACACCTGCTCGATACGCAGATTTGTTGTGTAATCGATTGAGGGTGTACATGAAGCCTGTTATGGATGGAAAATTGGACATTCCAGAAATTAATGCGGTGAATTCCTACCAAAGGAACCGGGATATCTGGGGGATTGGGCGGAACACGGGTAACAATAATCCATGGCACGAAAATGTCAAAGATGTCATGTTTTACCTCTGACGGCACTTCCATTCCGAGGGAGGAAGTTTCGTCATCTGGAGACTCGAGGTCTATTGCTTGTTTCGCATTGGTACTTGCTGCATGAGGCGGGTTTCTGTTGGTTTCGGGCTCGCAATTTCATGTTTAGATTGTTGTTTTGCATTTTCTTCTACTTGTGTTATGCCTTTCTTTCTAGGTACAGGAGTTTTGATTCAGTCGTGAGGCGTTAGTTGAATTAATCTAGTCATTCACTTAGATGCATATGGATTTTTAGACAACCCGGGCGACTTTGAATTTGCCATTGACTAAGTATTGTACAAATGCTCCACCCAATCCAATTCCTCATCGCATTACCAGCTCGTACGACCGACAAGACGCTACCCGTAGCTGCAGGACGCACTCAGCACTAGTGGGAGCTCTTAGAATCCATTCCTCCCATTCTTTTTCATCAAAATCGTCTTCAACTGCAATTCCGACACTCAAAGCATTTTTCGGTATCGAAGCACGCGGTGGAACTGGCGCGGGAACTAAGGGATGTAGCATCATTCGTCGACCACCCTTAACTCCCGTCAAACTGCAATGAACTGGAGCCGTCTCTGTGGTTCGCCCTATCCTATTCCTGCAATAATGCAGAGTTTGGTTGAAGAGCTGATGAACAGGAAAAGGCCCTTCTTTGCTGAGTGACTGCAAGACCTGGATCAAGTTGTGTGTAAAAGATTGCGATCCTACCCCAGGAGCAACCGAATCAAATCCACATGCGACAATAAGCTCGGTGAGTGCATTTGCAGGATTTGTGGTGTTACTGCTCTGTGCAGCGTGACAGGAGTCGAACAACAGAAGCGAATCTGAGGACGATCTTTCAAACAGCCTTTGAATCTCAGCGGCACGTAAGGTGGGAGAGTTATCCGTTTTTCTAGTACAGAATTAGTCATATCTACACATGTACGGAAGAAAAATTACTTACCTTGCGGCCCAATATCCTCCCGTGTCTTTTTTGTTGTCAGCACCATGATGTTGAATGATCACTCATTGTGCAGTCATCATAGACTATTATGGTTGAGCATATGTTGAGGAATGAAAGAATCATTACTCTTAGTTAGTGTAGTACTAGTTCAAGGGTATGATCTAATGCATGATGCAACGACTCTACGACTGATGACACCTGTCATCAGCTAGTGGGATCGAGCATTATATAAAGCATGAGGACAACCCTGTAGTTTTAGAAATCAAGTCAGTTATCACACGTATCAACACATGAACCCCATAATAAAAGACGACTAACTCGTCAGCGGCACTATCCCCCAAAAATCGAGCGACTTCGTCAACGAGACTGTTTTCGGAATCCAAATCAGGAATGAGATATGTTGATACCTCATAGCCGAAATTGTCTTCCAGAACCTGGGACAATGCTGCAATCTCTGAAGCCACACCAAGATCATCGGACTCCCATCTTGTCATTAAAGCCCTGACCTTGGTGTACCGAGAGCCAAATCGACCAGACCATCGATCTTTGACCACCTTGGTCATCTTCGCGGATAATTCCGGGTACCAATTTGGTCCGGCAAAGATCTTGAACGGATTTAAGGTAGCGAGCTTGGACATCATTTGTTCATTGTCCTTTCTCAGATTGCCCTTTTCTTCCTGTGCTGCCAGCAAAGTTCTCCTCAGGCCATTTGCCGTTTTCTGAAGCTGTGCGTTCTCCTTTTGAATAGCTTTATAGCCTTGCGTCTTTTGTTGTAATTCATCATGGGAGGCTTTTGTGGCTTCCAGCATATCCTTGAGGTTAGAACTTTCGGCGGCAAGTTGAGACCCGTGCTTGAAGTTTTGTATCTCTTCTCGGAGACGCTCGTTCGCTGTAGAGAGGATCTCGTTTCTTTCTTTAAGCCGTTGGACTTTCTGTGCAAGCTTGACATTGCTATCTAGGATTTTGTTCTCTTTTAGAAGGGAATTATACGCAGTCTTCAAGAGTTCGTGCTCTACTGCCATGCCTTCTAGTTCTTGAGACTTGCGATTGTAGTCTTCTAGACGTAGGAGTTCGTAGACTTTCTCATCCTTCTTCCCTTTAGTATTGCATAGTAGTTGTCAATACAGAGAACACGTACCTGCCAGCGCCGAATCTCTTCGAAGCGCCCCTTCCAGTGAGCTGCTCCTAGCGTGGTTGAGAGATCTTCCGTGATCTGGGGCTTGGCCTGCATACGCTCTTGACTTGATGATTCAGGATTGGCCGACTGCAAGTTAACGGAGAGCTGCTTCTCAAGTGCTTGTGTATTGAGTCCTTGTCTTCTTGACTTAGAGAAGGACTTCTTAGAAGTTGCGCTAGACTTAAATCTGCCTGTACGTGGATCGCGAGAGATGCCGGTAGGCTTTTTGCTTAATGATTGCTCCAGGCATAATGCAAGAGGTCAACGTATTTGATATGATTTTCCAGTTGCGGTTCTTCCTGATTGTTTTGTGGTTGAGATACACGCGCTTCAACGCGAAGTCTTAGAATGCGCTTCGATGACCTCGCTTGTAGGACGTAATCCAGTAATTTATAACAGCTATAGGATAGCACTAAGACCCGCGAGCACTAAGTTGAAGAGGTTGACTCTCTGCTCATGCATTTTCTTGCCTCCTGATGAGCAGAAATGTAGTTCCATCGTTGGGTGGGGCGCCTCTCTGTGCAGCAAGTGTCAATGCAGGTCGACTTTAGGGAAGCCTGCTGTTCCACATCTCTTGACCTTAAGATCAATGACACTAACTGCAGAGAAGAGAGAAAGACTAGAGTAATGCCCCAAGAGACATCTGAAAATGAGCCAAATTTTCCAAGTAGATGGCGTCTCATTGCGAGCTGCATTCTCTCCAGGACACACCCAGGACCATATGTCTTTCGTGCTCGAGGAAGAGGATGCGATCTTCACAGAAGATAATGTTCGTCGTGAGTCTATACGAGTATATATACTGTTTGTGACATCTTCCGTGCGATGAGCCGCTCGAATTCTCTCGCCACTTCCTCATTTCTGTATATCCTGCTCTGGGCCACACAGACTAGCGCATTCTCTGTGTCTCAGGTACAGTTAGTATCACTCAAACACGGTTAATTTTTTGGGTCTCGATTTTTGGAATTTCTTTTAATTCAAAATGCAACGAATAGAAAAAGGATATCATCACCCTTACTAAACTCTTTTTTGGATTAATGGAAAAATATTTATAATTTTTTCCAAAATAAACTCAATGTGACGGTTGCAGCTCAACCGCCCTGGTCAACCGCCCTGGTCAACCGCCCTGGCCGGGAATGGTGGCGTTCCCGAGCTCTATGCCTAATGGAGCCTAGCTCCTCACATGACATCCTCTTACCCTGGCATATATACATAGATCTCTCCCTCTCTCATTCCTTTTCCCTTCTTTACCTTTAGATTCTAAAAGATAGCCGAATCGATTCTTCGTCTACGTACTGAGCTTCCCACCGTGCTGTCACACTCAAATATTTTTGCGGGTAGCACGTGACTTTTACTATAAAATTTATTTGAAAATTTATTTATATATTATTATAGAGTTTAGTAAAAGGGATCGACTTAGATTTACTTATAGTATCTTTCTATTAAAGCAAAGCTAAGAGAATATAGATTTTAAGAGAAGAATTTAAATCATGTGATAAGTGAGAATTTTTGTCACAGTGCTGGTTTCAGTCCTATCACGTGACAGCTCACCGCCTGGCAGAATCCTGTATATAAGCACTCCTGAGAGCTGTCCTCAGCTCTTCACCTTAGTATTCTAAGAATGGATCACCTCTTGCATCTCAACCTGATCTGGTCTGTCACAATTTTCTTCGGCTCGGAATAACTCACAGCAGAACCTCGGACTACCCCGCATTCGACCTTAATTTCAGACGTTATTAGCAACACAATTAATGCTTACATTAATTCGTACGGTATAGTGCTTTAATTAAAAGCTTTCTAGCGCGACTACGAGATAATTATTTGAAATAGACCCTACACGTGACTATAACGTGACTCGCACGTGATCTCAAAACTTTTTCCGGGTGACTTTTTACTATTTAATTAATTAAAAAATAACTATTTACCCTAACATAAATCTAGTAAGGGGAATCGTTTTCTTTTAACCTGTTCTACCTTTCTATTAAAAAAAGATTCTGAAAAATCTTGATTTTTCAAATTAACCGTGTTTGAGTGATACTAACTGTATCACTGTCACGGTTCTGGTGATATCATCGGGTTTATCACGTGAGATGTTTCATTAGTGTTTGAGCTAGTGCTGAGGATTCAGCTTATCTGTCCTCAGCACTCTTCTACTCTCTTAGTTCTTTGTCTATTATTCACAGATTAGTACGTACGTCCTGATTCTTCGTCTTGAGTGCGTGCTGTCACAATCACTTGGAGCAAAACTCTAGTATCTAATCGACATACACTGTCACATCTAAGGAACAATTGTCGAAGTATCAGAGCCTTGAAACATCCAGAACTCAAGCCGTACATTGCTACCCGCAGCTTTAGGTATTCCAACTCTGTAGTTCCCCACTCTCCTGTGATTGGAACCTTCCTGTGAAAGAGTACGACATTGTCGGATGGGATATAAAGTAAAGCGCCAGAGTGGATAAGACGGTGAAATTGAAGAAGTAATGCATGACTTATTGAGCTCCTTAACTCCAAGCTCATCGTTTGACGTGAGTTACCTTTTGAGCACGCGGGGTGGAGATGGAGCTCATGTGAGGTGTCGAGATGATGCGGACAAACATCAGCTGTCCAGGGTGTAAGCCAGCTAAGGTGGTCAGGGGTGAAGCGAAGGTAAGCAGTAGTGATGAACAATCTTGGTTTCTCTCGATGTCATTCAACGTGGATTTCCTTGAGCTACGACTGCTCTACAAGAATGAGATATCCAAGCCTTTGAGTATCTCAATTTGCTTGATTGCCATATCAGTATTCTAGGAGAAACCGAGAAAAAGGTTAGGGGGGAATTGATAGCAGACTAGCCAAGAGTCTAAAACGATCATTTAGAAGTGACGATGCTGGCCAAGCTTTTGAAAGCTTAGGGAAAACAGAGTGTATTTTCTTTATAGAATTTTATTTTCCGGATATCTAATTAGTAAGGAAATAAAAAGCATAAAGTGTACTAACTATGTATACTTTATTTTACTTCACAGAGTATAAGTAAGAAGAAACTGGTTGCACATAAATGTAAATGTCAAAATTGTTTTTTTAAAGAAGAATGATCTATTTGAATATGGAAAGCGAGGTCTCACACCTAGTTTTAAGTAACTCCGACATCTCCGATACCATCCCTCCTCTTACAGTGTTATTGTTGATCGCGGGGAATGACACTCACTTATTGATTGGCTGAAGCGTGGAACGTTATGATATCCTCGTCAAATACCCATGGAAATAGCAGCAGCTGCATGCAAAGTCACGTTCGGCGACTTTAGCCGGAAAGACCTCGATATGAAGTCAAGCCAGCTACTTCCTCACATATCTATTCCTGCCCGCCTTTAAAACCATTCTCATCATCATCTCCAAACCACTTTCCTCAGCTGAGTATCCCCCCACAAATGTCTCTCCCCGCCATCCTCTGCCTCCACGGCTCCGGCGTAAACGCCACCATCTTCCAATTCCAAACCGCCACCCTCCAACACCTCCTCTCCAAAACCTTCACGTTCATCTTCCTCGACGGACCCTTCGAGACCCGCGCCGGCCCCGGCGTGCTCCCCTTCTTCGACGGCTGCGAGCCGTTTTTCCGCTGGAAAAGCAAATCGGACGATAACGTGTTCGCGACCGAAGAAGTGGAAGACGAGGTCCGGACCCTGATTCGGGAGACGCTGAAGACGCGGGACGATTGGGTCGGGATCCTGGGGTTTTCGCAGGGCGGGAGGATGGCGGCCGGGTTGTTGGCCGAGCAGGAGAGGAGAGAGGAGGTGGGGGAGGAGGAGGAGGGGGCAGGGTTTAAGTTTGGGGTTTTTGTGATGACGCCTGAGCCGCCGATGACGGGGCTGGTGTATGAGGAGGGGGTGGAGGTCAGGATTCAGAGTCCGAGTGTTTTGGTTAGTGGGAAGAAGGATTTTTGGTATGAGTCTAGTAAGAGGATGCGTGAGAAGTATTTTGAGGAGGAGACGTCGAAGTTGGTTGAGTTTGATGTCGATCATAGAATGCCGAATGCGTCGGCGGATGTTAAGATTATTGCGTTGGAGGTTTTGAGGTTGTATCTTGAGACTACGGGGATTCGGGGTATCCTGAATCAGTAGAGATACTTCTCCATGCAAACAGAGATGAGGAAATGAGTTTCTCATGTACTATAGTGCAGTCTTCAATTGGAGCCTGCTCTGAAACGAGAGTTTGGGTTTAGAAATAGGAAATGGGAGGTAAGAGGGAATGTATGTGAATTTCTCCTTCTTAACTAGATGCTCTAGCAGACACCGCATCCTGTCCTCCTGTAGCTTACAACCGAGAAAGAATCTACCTCCAAAAACTCCACTGTGTCTGATGCATTAACTACAATTAGGTCGAGCTGAGACTTCTCAGCTGGCACTTGCCAGTACTTGGGCTAATGTGAAGTCAAATCCGACGTCTGGGCTTCTAAGCTCAGAATCTGCACGTATCCTTGGCTTGTCCGAAATGAAATGGTTTGATCACTGTCATGGATAAGCAGACCATCGCTCGTAGAAGGATGCTGGACACGGAAATCTTAAATTGTATGGCAGAACTAGGAAGAGATGGAGATTTTGACTTAGTTTGTGTTGGTGTATGTTGTACCAAAAAGAGTAGATATTATGCCTCGAAGACTAAAGCCTTTAGGAAGTACCTATACGTGGTCGCCATCTATCATATCAATGCCTGGCTTCTAGCTAAGCTCACCCGATCTTGACCTCAAAAAGCCGGGTACCGTATCGCTCGTCTTAGCATTGCGCTTACTTAGAAAACACCACATAACCAAAAATCAGCTTGCGCCAACTCAAAACTTTCTTCACTCCCGGCTCCCTCCTTAGCTCTCAGTTTCAAGTTCAGGTTCAGGTTCATTCTTTCCAAGTTACATGCAGTATTATCAGAACTCCTTCTACCCTGCAGTCTCCGCTAGTTTTCTATATAATTAGAAATATTGTTTTGGGTTCTGTTAAGGTCAACGTGCTTGCGTTATAGGATTTTGTGTTAATCTTAATGCAGTACTGTTTTTGTTGTGTAGCCTATGTTTTCGTTCGGAATAAAAATCACTGATCTTCCCGGCTTTTCTACTTTTTGAGCTAGTTTGAGGTTTATCAAATTTTCTTTGGCGATTCGGAACACTTTAAAACTATGCTTTTCTGTTTTGTGCACTACGTTTAATTTAGATCATGGGCTGTAATACATTCTTTCTATGCCCAATGTTCACACTTGCTAATATTTAAAAACTCGCACAAAATACAAAAAGCTATCAAAGCAAATTCGAAAGGACGTTCATCCAAGGAATGATAATAACAGTCTCCAGCTTGATCGGATTGCAAATACTAACTCTATAACTTTCTAATAAAAACAACAGCCCTCCCCTCCACCCCCCTCTCAAACAAATCCGCCCCCCACACCACCAGCGGCACAAAAACCGTACTGGCTACCGCAAACCTAACCCCAAACGCCCACCCCTCAATCCTTCCCCCCCTCCACCCAAAAACCTCATCTAAAACCCTCTGTCCCACCGCCCTGATAAGCACCCCATGCACCAGATACAACGAATACGAAATCCTCCCAAAATACAACGCTAGCCTACTTCTAAAAACTCCTTGTGCAGCAGGAAGATGATCCAGAGAGGCGAGAATGAACATCGCGCCCAAAGCATAGAAAATCCGCCGCCCCTCCGGATTCCCATTTACCAGCTTTGCCAACGGCCCATAAACCGGCGTGCTCGCAGCAGGAGGGGGGATAGGAGGGTAACTCGCTAGCAAGAGACCTAGTACCAGCAAAATTCCCCATGCAATAGATTTCACCCATCCTCTCCCTTCACCTTCCTCCCTCCGGACTCGTAACTCCGCCCCCGCCGCCCCCGCAACGAAAAGCGCAACATCCCACCGTCCGGCCACTAAACACCACACAACAACAACCCCCTCAATCCCCAACCTCAAGCCCGAACTCCGCTGCGCGAGAGAAAGAAGGAGCACGAAGAGAACCATACTGCAGCGGAATTCGGTCGGTACGGTCCAGAGGTGGGGATGGAGACCCCAGCCGGGGCCGGGGATCGTGTCCCAGGTCCAGATGCCGGACATTAGCAGTTTTTGTAGGAAGATTAATAAGTTGGCGAGAGCAGTTGAATTTGGAGGGTGGGAATGAGGGAGAGGAATGGCGCCGAGGAGTTGGAGGAGGGATGCGAGCAGCGTGGCTGCTAAAGCGGGGAGGAAGAGTCTTGGACCGCGGCGGAAGGCGAGATTGGATAGCGTAGTGGTAGCTGTGACGAGGGGAGAATGGGGATTGTGGTTGTGATTATGGTGGATTTGCTGGATGAATTTATACGACAGAACGTAACCCGATAAAATGAAGAACAGCGCAACCATAGCCTCAGCGGCGTAAAGGAGGCGGAGGAGCGGGAGTTGGAGGATATGGTTGTTTTCCTGGGCGGCATTGGGTGGACTGGTGTTAGGGTCCCCGTATGCGTGGTCCATGGCGGTTTTGTAGGTGCCGTGCGTCCAGTGGTAGATGAAGACTATTACTGAGGCGACGCCCCGGATGCCGGTTAAGTAGGTGAGGGCATCGTTTCGATCGGACTTGGTGGGAGGTGGTGGCTCTGGTTGAGAGTGAGAGCGGAAAAATGGCTGGATGAAAGATGGGAGGATGGTGATGAGGAATGATTTGAAAAGAGCGAGGAATTTGGTAGTCGTCGTTGGAGGAGTCGTGGTCGTTTTTTCTATAAGTTCTCCGAGTTCGAGGTCGAGGATACTGTCATCGTCGTCGGAGTCGGAATGGGAGTCGGTGATTGATTGGCTTTCCATTGTGGCTGAGTAAGAGTAAGAGTGAGGTGGGTGAGAGACTAGGTTGGTGGGGTTTGGGGACGGTCGGGTATATATAAGATAAGTAGGGAATTGTGCGGCGTAGCTTACCTAGATGGGTAAGCGGGGGCCGAGATGTGAGGTGTGCTGAAATCATGTTTTGCATAGGCTCAGCCTCGAAGATGGAGGACTGCTGAAGAACTCGTTGCTTGGAGATTGTGCCGGACTAGTATTCTTTTCAGATGCATTGAAACACATGTACCGTGTTAACTAGTTTCCAATTGCACGGCTCTCTTCAGCTAATGTCGTGAGATATTGGTTAACTCCAGTAAATTAACGGAAACTTTTGCTTTATTTGTGAAGTTATTATTCCAGAATAAGGAATACGTCCACATAAGATCTGGAGTTGCCAGCCACTTTGATATACTTTTCCAGACCGCTGGGAGGCAAAAACCGATTAGAAGATAATATCTTGGAAAACAATTAATACGGTACTGAGAGCCGGAGTCGCGTTCTGTCGAGATACACCGAAATGCATCTACAAATTTGTGTAAAGCATCAATTTGTTGCTGGTCCATAGCTTTGCACTTGGTGGTTGCTAGTTGTCTATTGAAGCCATAACTAAGTTTGCTGGAAACAAATAACTTAAAGCGCTGGTTACAAAATAATTTCACCAGCAACAGGATATCTCTGTACAAACTGCAAAATTTGCTCGAGCAACCATCCAGCGTCCCTCTGGATGCAAGAGCTAAGCCATGATACTTTTAATACATGAACACTACTACATATCGTCTTCCAAGGAACAAGAACATCATGCGTGCGAAGTAAATAATACTTGCTCATCCCCATCGCTACCATGACTAGTCCGATCAGATCGGGTCGCCTTAACGGTCGTGACCACATCTTTAAGGACAAATCTCTCTTGCTTCAAGGAGTCAGCAGATACCCCGTCCATGAAACGGTACGGTCCCTCTCGCTCGGTGGTGGGTAGTGTCGTCTTGCTTGAGTTTGATTTCGAGCCCGACGAGAGGGAAAGTTTGCTTCGGATATTGCTAATCCATTCGGAGGATTTGAGCCACTCAGGAGTGGTTCCACGGAGAAGACTGCGCAGTGTTGGAAGACAGACAGCCAGAAGACCCAGTCCCGACTCTACCATAGACCAGTAGAGATTTCTAGTGATGGCGAGATCCTCGTCGTCGTGGGGATTGAATCCTTTGGCAATCACATCCAGGAAGTATTTCATTCTTACAACGGAGGCAGCCACAGCTCTGAGAATGATGTTAGAAGGATGCCAATCTATAAGAATTCAGAGAAAGGTAACGTACACGATACCCAAAGCGAAGACGGCAAAAACAGCGAGTTTTCGGGCAAATGGTAAATGCAAAGCCCAGATCTAGAGACTTGTTAACTACCTAATCTTCGTCTGATATGAGGAGCACGTACCTTTGGGATTGGCAGCAGCATAATCAGAACATCAGTCAAGAAGTCCGTCACCACCAGCGCTGTCTCCAGCTTCTCCGTCTTAACACATTTCGTGGTGAGGTCAATAACGGATCCCCACCAAGCAGACCATTCACCGGAATACGCTTTACACGCCAGAAGCAGAGAGAAGAAGAAAGCCGTCATCCACGCAAGGATCAAAGCGATGGTAGCCCAAGTAATAACATTGAAATACTTCGAAGCCGGACTGACAAAGATCCGACGATAGAAGAAAGCGAAACTGAGTTTGATGCAGCCCAATTCCAGGACTTGCATCAATTGCAGAGCCCATTCGACCTGCGACGTGATTCTGATGCCGGAATTGGTTTGGGTCAGTGCGGCGAGAGGGTCGTTGGGATCGCCGGTGAAGGGAGTTGGGTAGCCCAGCGCGTGGAGTTTGACGCCTGCGATCAAGGAGGCTCCCATTCCGATCGTGAGGAGGAGAGCAGGTATGAGGATCCAGTCGTCGGTCCGGAAGCCGCTCTTCAGCTGGATGCGACAGTAGTAACGGAGACCAACGGCGATGATGCCGAGTGCTGGCATTACGGCCCCGACGGCAATGATGGAGGCTGGGTTATCGGCTGACATGTTGATCGAGAGTCAATACGATACTGGACGAGATCTCGAGAGAGACGAGACGTGATGGAAGACGCTGCGTGAACAAACACTTCTGCTGAAAGTGCTTGTGTGAGACAGTTGGTTAAAGAGTCATTCGAACACGATGTAAGAAAAGAAGAAGATCGGAGGCAATTCCCCTTGGCTCTTGCTGCTCAGAGCACAGCACCTCACACACATCTGACTGCACGCGCCGTAGAATCATTCTAGGAAGTGACGATTTTATCCTGTCCTGTAGGACGGGGGTGGTTTGCTCCGAGGTGCTTGGGGGGCGCCTTCCTTCCTCACCTGCAATGACACGCAGGTGAGCGGACAAGGCACAAGCGATAACAAATACTCGCATCAGTGTAATCGCAGACCGAACATCTTCCGCTTCGCCTCATACATGCGTTACCTCCAAGACAAGACACAGGGTGTATACGACAAACACACCGACCTGCCAAATCTAGACTGAGCAGACCCCGGTTGCTGGCAAATACCGGTATACCCAATTCTCGAATCACTTGGCAGCAGTAGCAAGTCGGTCGGGGATAAGCAAAGATACTTAGAGTACAGTAAGTATGGTTCGATTGGGACACTTGCCCCGCATTCCGTGCAACGATCGCTGGGGGTGATCTTATCCGGTTGTTGTTGTTGTTGTTATACAAGGTTCCATGCAAGAGAAAGAAAGAGAAGAAGCCGGGGCTGGGCTGCAGATACCCAGAAGGCTGAGATGTGCGACAAGCGCGCAAATCGTTCCTAAGACGGTCTCTTCCCCGGAACACCATGTTTCTTGGCAACTCTAATAATAACGTCAATCTCGTGTTATCTCTTCAGCTTCAACTCGTTGTACCACGTCGGCGTCATTATCGTGGACGACTTGTCGTTTCAATAACGAGAATAACCTTATTGTGCCCAGCCAATCATCCGTGTTGCCGACTTCAGCTAATGTTACATGTTGTATGACTTCAGCTGGATGTTGTAGAACGTTACTCCGCCCGAGAACACGGTTTCACATCGATCAAGTTGCAGTGCAGAGAGGCAGACACGTGGTGCTTACGGCGCACACAGATTTCATTCCTGTAAGGCTATACGGACAAAGTTGACTCTCTCGCCCATACGAGCCCGCTCCCTTGATTCGTTACCAACAATAAGCTTATGTCTACTCGGAAACTGCCCAACTTGGGATGGAAAAAAGGACTGTGCATTTACGCGGATCCACGACCAGCAAAACAAAAAGTGTTCTAGAACAACCAATTGTACCCGAAGAAATGAAACGAGATCCAGCCTATCCTAATCCCTACATATTCATAGTACATGCAACTACCGCACAGCCCCCAATCTCATCTCATCTCATCGTATCGCATCTCAGTAACATCTGGTCGTAACGGTTCCATCCGGGGACGCCACCGCCTCGGCGTCTGCGCACTCGTCTTCAACGGCTTTCATACTGTTAGCAATTTTCTTCACGAAACATGAATGAGGAAGAAACTCACGAGTAACAGCTTCCGCGGATGCAATATCAATAGGCACAGCAATAGAGAAGCTGGCAAAAGCAAGGACCGCCATAGCGAGGATAGAAGAGAACTGCATTGTGGCGTTGTATGAAAATGTGGCGTTCGATTTTATATATGTCTGATTGCAAGAGGCGTAGTGACTTTGTAGAAATGACTTGATAGATAGATAGAGTGAGTTATCCTACATCGAGTCTGGAGCAGCAGCGGCGCCGTCCGATCTATTTATCTTCTCCAACTCTCAGCAGCAGAGTCCGGAGGTAGGTACCAAGGGAGCCTTTCCAAACGAAACGAAACGTCAGTCAAGTGCCAAGTCCAACCAACAGAAAAGGCAAGGATCGTTGCGCAGTTCTGATACAAGAAAAGAGAGGGAGCCAGCCCAACTGTCCATCTCTCTGTCACCTCTTTGTCATTCCTGAAAGCCTCCGAGCGAGGAGCGTCTGACCGTTTGCCTTGCCAATAGGGAAGGAGGGAGGGGTCTCGAATATGACAACGGTGTTCCTGCATCATCGAGCCAGCCCTGCATTTTGAGACCCCGCAGTTGTAGTTTACTTGCTTGCTTGCTGGCTGGCTGCTCGGCATACTTCTTTTGATAGATGGCCTCGTCTGCAAAACCCGTTTATCTCTCTGACTGATTCCAATTTGCACCGAATTGAACTCCCTCCATCTAAGCTTTTTCTCACTTCAGCTTTCACTTGCTCTCTATCGTTACGATGGAGGAACAGAAACATCTATTACTGCGTCAAGACGACGACTCCGTCTACAAAGAAGAAGAAAGTCAGGCTTCACAACCAACAGCTCTAGCAAAACGAACATCATGGTCTCAAACCCTCTCCTCAACCGCATTACTACTCACAGGACTCTTCGCCGGTCTTGCTCTCTCCCTCTACTTCCACAAACGACCATGCCTGTCTCAGTACAGCACTTACTGTAAGCAACCTACCTGCCTACCTATCCGCGGCACCAAAAAAAGATGCGGTCATTGACTAACTAACTCCACTCCTCCAGCACCAGCACAACCAGCACTCCGCTACGTCCAGCAGAGCATCCACCCACACGGACCGAAAACCTACTTCGGCAGCCCCACACTCTCACAAACCAAAGCATGGGAAACGCTCCTCGAACGCAAGTCCCCCTTTCCACCCTCCCTCCTCCCCCCTCCCTCGTCCGATCTACCTCCCACTAACCAATGAACAGCGGTCATGATCCGAGCCTCCTACGACGAGATGGCGCATGCCGGCGAGCGGCCAGAAGACTCAATCGAGCTGCTCGACGGCGGATATCTGGCTTCTTTGGGCGTGTATCATGATCTGCACTGTCTGGTACGTTTAGAGGGATCCCTCTTCCATCATCACTTGTTTGCTGGTATCGCTGACACTTAGCCTGCCAGCGTCGGATCCGCTTCTTCCTCTACCGCGATCATTTCTACCCCAACATGACCGCCGAGCAAGAACACGGCGAAGCTTCTCACGTCGGTAAGTCCCATCTTTTCCCTTCCCCCTCTATCCCCCATCCCACTCTCTCCTCTCCTCAACAACCAGCAAGCTAACCTCCCCGTCCCCCCAGAACACTGCCTCGAATCCCTCCGCACATCAACAATGTGCACCGGCGACACGGGGCTCTGGACCTTCGAATGGCATCCCCACGTCGCCAAAGCGCAAGCCAAGACGGCGGCGCAGCGGAGCTGCGTTGATTGGGGCGCGCTGGACGAGTGGACGAGGGGCAGGGCGGTGGGATTCAATCCGAGGTTGAAGGGGAGGCCTGTAGGGATGGGGTTATGAAGATTGTACTGTAATTACCTTGTAAGTGAGGGATGTATGTACGTTGGTGGCTGCGGCGAGGGGGGGATTTCCTTTGAGTGATGGTTAGCGAGCGGGTATGGGTATGGTATGGATGGTTATGGGTGGATGCACGGTGTAATCTAGATAGTAAGGAATGGTACTTCTCGTACAGCTAGACAAGTAGTTCACACCCCCGATTCCAGGTTTTTGTTTTCGTTTCCAGCCTCTCTCCTCTCTCCTCTCAACCCGGCACCGGTAGATAAACCTATCATCATCATCATCAACATCCTCCAAAACCCGCCGACAGTCCTCTCTCAGATTAGACTATTACAGTAGGTAGTAGTAGCTGCGTACGGCTGCACGGCGACGATAATCTTAGCGTACCCGTGTGGCGGAGCTCCAGCATATGCAGCTACAAACGGCGATCGTACTTCCGTACATAGTGGCGGCTATAAGGTTAGGCGAGGTTCGGGAAATGCGCCAACTGGTGAATGCCGGTAGCGAAGATTACTAAGTATTACTATTCTCCTGTGCTGTGCTGTGCTGGCCTGGGTTGGGTTGGTCTGAGCTGGTCAATGAGAAACCCGCCGAATACGACGAGGGTGCGTCGCTTAGGTTGCCTGTTGGGGGAGGTAGTAGTGCAACAGCTGGATGGCTGGACAGCGATAGGATAATTAGCGTAATCGATGGATGCAGGTTGAACGTTGGACAATTCGGATGTCAGTTGAGATCTGCAAGGTACAATGACCTGCGCCTTGTATTCAGCTCCGTGACACAATTTTGTATTACGGCGCAGTCAGACCCTTTGTGCATGGCCAATTGGAAGGATTTGTAAAACATAGCAAGCAAGGCAATGGGGTTTCATTTCGTCCGGATGTCCACCCGGTTGTACCACTCTATGTGATGATTTGGAAAGCATTTGTCCTATCAGACTACTCTCGCTCCCACACAGCGTCAACGAGTCCCAGAGCTGATCCCTTCGGTGTAAAGACACGCAGAACCTTGAAACGTGGGTCTGCCTCCGTGAACACCTGTCGCCAATCCGCTTCGTCGCGCTCTCTTGCATTACAGATAGATAGCATCAGCATATCCATGGCCCTGGATCATCACGGTCAGCATTCTATTCCCCATCAATAGGAAGAGCTAAAAACTCACCGAATTTGTCGTTCCATCATCAGTGGCAGCTTCCCCGGCTCTGGCAAGAGTAGGTCGTGCACAAGGATCCTTGCGCCTGGTTGCAGTGCTGGGATCAGCTGGCGGAGAATCTTGATGACGTTCGAATCAGCCCAGTTGTGGAAGATCTGCCTGAAGATGTAGACTGCCGCAGTAACCGTTTGTGGCGTAAAGAAGTCATGCTCCATGAACTCGATTTGTGGAGCAACAGCGGAAGGAAGTGCGTCACGGTTGACACTCTGTACCGTGCGGGGCAGCTCTTGGACAATGAATTTCATCTTGGGGGCTGTGGGGGCCAGGGCAGCGCAGAGCTCTCCGTGGGAACCGCCTAGATCAACGGCAGTGGCCTCTCCTAGGGTTTCCCAGGGGAAATTGGTAGCTATGTGCTTATGTGACATCATTGGAGATGCGTTGAAGGCGGCCATAGATCCAGCAAAACGTTTAGCTTTGGCGGGCACTTTGCCAAAGGTCTCGAACAGCGACATTCCATTGTGAGAGAGAGCCCAGCCCTATTTAATGGTCAGCGTATGAAAGTCAGAGGGAGTTTGAACGAACTTACCGTCTGCGCCATTTCCTGTCCCTTGTACTTCTCCATAGCCTCTACCGTCTAATAAAAGTTAGCATCAGACCCAACCGTACAGAAGGGGAAGCGTACCCGTCCAAAACTTTGATAGCAATCATCAAACATGACTCCCAACCCATCTCTCGCACCCTGATCATCAACCAATCGTCTCGAAGCCGCACTATGAGCCACAACACCTTTAGAAGGCTCACGGAAGATAAAGTGATGCACAATCGCGAAACGGATGATGCGACGAACATCAGGTTCGTAGAGACCGCATTGTTCTGCTAGCTCTTCGAAGGTGATCGTACCACCGACGGGAACCTTGCGAGCCATGTCGTAGCGGGAGATGGCTTCAAGACTCGTGCCATTCAGCTGCATGAACTGTTAGTGAATCTGTAGATGAGCGAGGAGTGAAGACTTACGATGGGTCGAAGGAGATCATCTGGGGTTTTCAATAAGGCTTCGAGCTCTGCTGTAGCATTGAGAGTTGCGCTGCGAGCAGCTTCGAGTTCAGCGGGCAGACCGAGCTTTACGGGGCCATCTTCTTCGAATGATGGGCGGGGCAGTGAGTTTGACGCGAGATATTCGTCGATCTTTTGCGTGTTGGAGGATATGAGTGCAGCGAGTTCTGCGATTCTACTTGCCATGATTGATTTGGTCCTGTTTACTACTGAGGAAGAAGTAAATCAAAAGAGAAAGATTGAAGAAGTGTGAAGTTTTCAAATTCACTGCTCGATGCTGGCAGGTAAAGTAAATATTTTGGAACTTTCGTGTCGTGACGTTGTGGGGGCGCAATCACTGTAGCCGTCGGTGACCAAGCAGAGACAATCCTTACCCGAGAATGGCAGGGGCGAACGTTCCAACCAACCCAACATACTTCGTACCACCTGGGCAGGTACGGATGTGGCACAGCCTTGTTGGTCATGATCTGCATATAGTCACACACATTGGCTATTCGGTCCCTTATTCTTATTCTTATCCCCGTTATCAGTGGGAACAGGCAAGGTTGGCGTTTCTCACATGGCCTTCTCGGACGATCACCAACGTTCAGACGGCTCTTCTCCCTCCCCTTGGTAACACAAGTCTTGTGATACACTCCAAGTAATGGTTAGGAAATCACCATCAATTCCCACTTCTTTTAGTGAGCGGTAATCCCGAGCAATGGAGTCGACGACCTTCGAAGACAAGTCGCAAATACGTCCACTGCTGCAAAATTCAGAAAGCGACGTCGAAACAGAGGCTGGAAAAGAGACATGCGTCGAGGAAGATGAGTACGACTACACGAAAACCCCACCCAAATCACGGTTTTGGCACATATTAGTATTATGGCTCATGACCATTGCCCTGGTGGCCGTTGCAGCTAGGGCATTATTCTACTTTTACTCCTCGACACCACAAGAGTCTGCTCTCTCATCTACACAATGCCAGAACCCCTCGATCCGTCGCGAATGGCGGACACTGAGCACAAGCGAAAAGTTGGACTATCTTGACGCCGTTGTTTGTCTCACGAAGACGCCGTCGGTCCTAGGTCTGAATCAGACGCTGTTTGATGACTTTCCATTCATACACACTACTATAGGCAAAGAAGGCAAGTACCATCTTGAGTGTGAGAAATAGATGCATGAGATCTTGGGAGGAAATCGTTACCATGGACTGACTCTGTCTTCTCTTCAGCACACCACAGCGCATTGTTTCTAGCCTGGCACCGCTATTTCCTCCATATTTATGAAGCTCGACTTCGAGATGTCTGTCATTACCCGGGCTCACTTGTGTTCGTCCATTCTCTTCCCCTTCACCATTTCACTGCTGAAAAATATCTGCACAGCTTCTTCGACTGGCAGCTTAACATCCACGACCTGCCCTCGGCTCCAATTTGGGACCCAGTTACTGGATTCGGCGGTGATGGCAACATTACTGGCCCGGATACAGTGAACGTCGCTCGTTGCGTCACAGACGGCCCATTCGCCAACCTTCCAGTGCTCTACTATTCCAATGAACTGAAGCTGCACTGCCTTTCCCGTGGCTTCCAGCCTCCCGTAGACATGGAGAGGTATTATAGCGCACGTGTGTCGGTGGAAGCGATTGACAAGCTGATGGCAACGCCTCGGTACGAGGAATTCAACCTGGGTGTGGAGGACGGTCCGCATCTGTCGATGCCGCATGCCGTACTAGGGGATTTCTTGGTGGACACGGCGCCAAATGGTAAGTTTCCGAGAAGATAGAGGGAACGGTGTGACTTACGGTGTCGTAGATCCAGTGTTCTTCCTGCATCATGCCCAGTTGGATAGGTTATGGTGGAAGTGGCAGAAATCGAGTCCAGGCCGTCTGCGTGAGTACAACGGAGCGAGTGCTCGGGGCAGCAAGGAGCCGGCATCGCTACAAGATCAGCTAAAGTTTGGAGAACTGGCAGCAAATGTTGCTGTCGAGGGTGTCATGGACACCCGTGACGGGCTTTTGTGCTATGAGTATGCATATTGAAAAGACTTGCTCATCAAGTGTTTTTGTAATTCAATCAACATGTAGATATATTAAATCGACTTAGATACCCTCAAAGCGAACCATCGTCTGAAGAATTGTGGTGGTTGGATTTTTGAGTACTCCCATACACATCGCGACAACTTACGACAATTCTCATGCTTACAAAGAGATTTCAACTTATTAAGCAAGCAATATTCTTTCTGTGGTTAGTAAAATAAATTATTCAAAAGCTGGAATTTTGATGAAATGTTGCAGAAGGCGGGGTGTGACCAGAACTCAGCAATGGCAGAAATTCCACGATAACGTGTTTGGCAGGTTACCTGCCATTCGCAATGCGACATGCAACAGAAAGTAGCTAGCCAGTGAGAGAGCATCCCGTGGTGGGTCCATAGAGGGCACGTGAGGAATTTCAGTTGACTTGACAACTTGTAACGAAGAACAGGTCCCATAGAACGATTTCATAGCAATGAATCGTGCTTTGGGAAGTTGGAAGACGTCAAAATGTAAGAAGAGCAAACATGAGCAAGCACAGGACGGATAAGAATCACGTGCCAAGTCCCGTGCTTCTGCTGGAGGAGAGCATCTCGATGAGCATTGAAGTTTCTGACGACTTAAAGCCACCAGACAATGAAAGCTGGGATGGTATTCAAGATCTCTGCGCCACATTGTCGTCTCGAATGTTTTTCATGTCGAGGAACATACTTTGTGAAGGGCTGAACGTTGCCTCGTATCTTGACACCGAGCCGAGATTCATTGGCCAGCAATGTGTATTGTGGTATTGTGCGGCAGGCAAACGAGGCTGAGATTCGAGAACGTTCCAAAAAACTTTGGATGAGGCATCAAACCAATTCAATACTCGCAAACTATTTTTCATAGAAAGAGGCTTCAGGATGCTTGTGGAACATTCTGTGCACCAGCCACAACATGAATCAGGTACGAAATGGAGGAATGCAGGGGTAGAGATGGTTCAATTTTTGGGCTGCAAATCTCCTCAACTGTGAAGAACAATCATTTCCAGGATATCATAGCCTTTGATGTGTGTTGTATTGAGAACTTCAAAGATGATTGCAGGCCAATCGCCCAGCTGCGACTTGTAGCCTCACATTAGCCTTGCGAATTATTGCTGTGCCCCTTTCTGCAGTCTTAGCACATGACATAAGCAGGCCCACAAGGCAACAAGAAAGACATCTGGAGGTGAAATTGCAACAAAGAAGATACTTCTTTAATATGTGAAGTTCCATGTGAAAGCAGAGCTCGTGCAGGCAGTAGTATATGTGCTTGCATGTAGTTTTCAAGTCTAGGAAAGTTTGGGAGATTTGTTATGTTGATTTTGTATTTGGCTCCAATTATGAGCTAGAGCGAAAGCGGTTTACGGCGGTAAGCAAAAAGAGTTTAGCGCACTTCTGCCGTAGAAATCCGTAGAAGAGCACTCTGGAGGAGAATTTAAACTACGGATTCTGAACATCTTTCTGTCAACAACTTCAAACTTTTTCTTCATCACACAAAGATACCCCTCTGCACCTCCTTTGCAGCCACCGCAGTTCTTCAATACCAATAGACTAGAGGTAAGCTCCAACATCAACACACTCTGTTGTTTATCCTCCCTCTCGTTGCCTGGTCGTTTGTTTGGAGCTCAGCCTCATGGAAGCAGAGCTTCAACAAGCTGTCCATTTCTCCCCTCCACCTTCAACATCGCCCAAACTTCAATTGTCTATCTCAATGAGCCTCAATCGCATCTGCTAACATACCATTGTCTCCAGATTCCGAGAAATCGCAATCATGTCTGGCGAAACCTTCGAGTTCCAGGCTGAGATCTCCCAGCTTCTGGGTTTGATCATCAACACTGTCTACTCAAACAAGGAGATCTTCCTGCGAGAACTTGTCTCCAACTGTTCCGATGCGCTCGACAAGATTAGATACGAGGCTCTTTCAGACTCAAGTAAGCTTGATACTGGCAAGGACCTCCGTATCGACATCATCCCCGACAAGGAGAACAAGACCCTCACCATCCAAGACACCGGTATCGGCATGACCAAGGCTGTAAGTTGTCTGCGAATCCCCTATCAGCATCTACTGACATAGACAGGATCTCGTCAACAACCTGGGTACGATCGCACGATCTGGCACCAAGCAATTTATGGAGGCCCTGACCGCAGGTGCTGATATCTCCATGATTGGTCAATTCGGTGTTGGTTTCTACTCCGCATACCTTGTCGCAGACCGCGTTACCGTCATTTCAAAGCACAACGATGATGAGCAATACATCTGGGAGTCCTCTGCTGGTGGAACCTTCACTATCAAGCCTGACACTGAGGGTGCACCACTCGGCCGTGGTACCAAGATGATCCTTCACCTCAAGGATGAGCAGACCGACTACCTGAATGAGGCCAAGATCAAGGAGGTCATCAAGAAGCACTCCGAGTTCATTTCATACCCCATCTACCTCCACGTTTCCAAGGAGACTGAGAAGGAGGTTCCTGATGAGGAGGAGGAGGAAGCCAAGGAGGATGACGGAGAGAAGAAGGCCAAGATCGAGGAGGTCGATGACGAGGAGGAAGAAAAGAAGGAAAAGAAGACCAAGAAGATTAAGGAGACCAAGATTGAGGAGGAAGAGCTCAACAAGCAAAAGCCAATCTGGACCCGAAATCCTTCAGACATCACCCCAGAGGAATACGGTTCCTTCTACAAGTCTCTCTCAAACGACTGGGAAGACCACCTTGCTGTCAAGCACTTCTCTGTTGAGGGTCAACTCGAATTCCGCGCCATCCTCTTCGTTCCCAAGCGCGCTCCCTTCGATCTCTTCGAGACCAAGAAGACCAAGAACAACATCAAGCTCTACGTCCGTCGTGTCTTCATCACTGATGATGCCACCGATCTTATTCCTGAGTGGTTGAGCTTCGTCAAGGGTGTTGTCGATTCTGAGGATCTCCCTCTCAACTTGTCCCGTGAGACCCTTCAACAAAACAAGATCATGAAGGTCATTAAGAAGAACATCGTCAAGAAGACTCTTGAGCTCTTCCAGGAGATCTCCGAGGACAAGGAGCAATTCGACAAGTTCTACACTGCCTTCAGCAAGAACATCAAGCTCGGCATCCACGAGGACTCCCAAAATCGGCCTGCTCTTGCCAAGCTTCTCCGATTCAACTCCACCAAGTCCGGTGATGACCAAACCTCCCTCACCGACTATGTCACTCGCATGGGTGAACATCAAAAGAACATGTATTACATTACCGGCGAGTCTCTCAAGGCTGTCCAGAAGTCACCATTCCTTGAATCTCTCAAGGAGAAGAACTTCGAGGTTCTCTTCCTGGTTGACCCCATCGATGAGTACGCCATGACCCAGCTCAAGGAGTTCGATGGCAAGAAGCTTGTTGATATCACCAAGGACTTCGAGCTTGAGGAGACTGATGACGAGAAGAAGGCTCGTGAGGCCGAGGAGAAGGAATTTGAAGGTCTTGCCAAGGCTCTCAAGAACGTCTTGGGTGACAAGGTCGAGAAGGTCGTTGTCAGCCACAAGTTGGTTGGTGCTCCCTGCGCCATCCGTACTGGCCAATTCGGTTGGTCCGCCAACATGGAGCGTATCATGAAGGCTCAAGCTCTTCGTGACACCTCGATGTCCTCGTACATGTCCTCCAAGAAGACCTTCGAGATCTCGCCTCGATCACCGATCATCAAGGAGCTGAAGAAGAAGGTTGAGGCTGACGGCGAGAATGACCGAACTGTCAAGTCGATCACTCAACTTCTCTTCGAGACTTCCCTTCTCGTCTCCGGTTTCACCATTGAGGAGCCAGCCGGATTTGCCGAACGTATTCACAAGCTTGTTTCCCTTGGCCTGAACGTCGATGAGGAGCCAGAAACTGCTGAGGAGGCTGCTGCTGAGGAGGCTTCCGCCGATGCACCAGTCGAGAGTGCAATGGAGGAGGTCGATTAGATGCATTAATGATGGTTGCTTGTGCGGGATTTTGCGGAGTTTGATTGGTTGGTTTTCAGGTCATCCTCGCATTGCATCAGCCTGCTTCCTCTTTTCTTACATTGCTGCTTTGCTTCATTGCTCTTACAATGTTGCGTGGCGATAATGAAAAATGTACCAAGACTAGGTCGAGCAGAATACAAAATGTGTTACTTTAGCTTTGTGCTTGTGTTTGTGTGATATGCAATTCCATATGTCTCGAGTGAACGGCGACTTGATGTGCGAGTTGATTCTTGCCCCTTTCATCGTCTTGTATCACGTAGCCAAGTCAAATGGTGGTGCAAGCGTTACCTAAACATTATCGATAATTTGGTTGCAAGTATAATATTTGAGAATCCCAAGAAGGCCGGCCTTAATGGGGATGATGGCGCCAGCAGATGACGAGCAAGTGTTCCAGTATACCTAGCTGTTGAACTTGATATGCGTTCTAGACGATCCTAATAAAAACTTTGTACCCGATGCTCCATGCCTAATCCCCTTCCTTCTCCATATTCGCTCATTCCCTCGCTCTCAGTACCTGCATATATCTTCCTCTCCATCTTCCCTCCAACCTCACTCACTGTCTCAGCGGCAATTCTCCAATTCCACAACATGGCTTTCCCCACACCACTCTCAATCCTAATCCTCATCATTGCCACTTGCCTCCCATTCACTCTCTCTTCCCCCCAACTCCCACCGCCCAACGATGGATACGGCGACACGCCACCTCCTCCAGCCTCAATCCCATATTTCCCCGGCGGCATTATAATGCCAACCTTCAGCTTTCCGTTCATGGGCGGGAATCCGTTTACCACGTCTAAGAAAACGACAGCTGGGTTACCAAAGACAACTGCTGGGTTGCCGCCCGGTTATACATTCAATCCACCTCCACCTCCTACCTCTACGACGTCGTCGGCAGATGGATTGCCCGGGTATACATTCAATCCTCCACCACCTCCACCTTCGTCCAACTTGCCGGGGTTATCAAGAACCCCCTCCGTCTCACCATTCCCTCCTCCTACCACGACGCCAACGATCCAGACTAGCAACACAGTTGACGGCATCACCGGCCCCTCGATCTCGAACCCAACATCGCTCAACATCCCACCAGCAACGTCTTGTCTCGCTCCGAGTCTAAGTCTCAGTGTTGTGACGCAGATCAGGACCTCGACTCTGACGACACATCTCGTTTCCGTCTCCTATACGACCATTATCCAGCCAATTCAGGTCACAGTGCCAAGTGTTATTGTAGAAAGTTTGACGCTCCTGCAGACCCTGACAAATCATTATTGTCCTCCTCCGACCACAACCCTCGGCGGAGGAGGTAGTAACGGGAATGGCGGAGGTGGATCATCAACCTGTGTATGGGCACCTCCCATCACGACCGGTGGCTACACAATCCCGTTCCAACCTGTCGTCGGAGGCATTGGTGTGGGCGTTAGTCCTTCTTTCGAATCGAGCTACAAGATTTCTACCACGGTAAGTTGTCCTCCCTGATTCGCCTATGGCCAGACAGCTGATGAGGATGATAGAATTTCTTCTACGCCGAGACGGAAGTTCCGTATGCGGAGTTTAAATGCCAGTTCCAATGCGGTGCAGGCTGTTCTTCGTATTTTGTTGGTTTTTGTACGTCCCATCCTCTCCCTTCCCCCCTTTCTCTCCTCCTTTTCCCCCTTCTGCTCTAACAAAAGAACCAAGATTCCCCAACATCCTCCTTCTCCTGCACGACATACTCCTCCCCCCTCACACCTGCAGATCTCGTACCAGGCGGGACGCTGATCGGCGGTGTGGGCTTCAATAAACTTTGTTCTGGAACCCCACCTACGACCACGGGGAGTGCGCTGGGTGGTTTCACGACGCTGGTTAGTACGACGGTGACTACTAGTCTAGGCGGAGGAGGAGGGAATGGGGGAGGAGCGAGTACTACTGCTGGAGGTGGAGGCGGGAATGGGGGATATGGTGGTGGACTGCCGCCGCCTCCGCCTCCGCCTACGCAGGGCGGTGGGTATTATGGGGTTTGAAGAGGTATGGATGGCGGTGGTTTGAGGTGTAAGTCTTCTTAATTATTTGAGGAATTTTGGGGTTGAATTAGGGGTTGTTGTGTTGTGGGGGTGGAGAAACTCTTTTAGGAGTATATAAAGGTTTCTTGAGATAGTAAATGATTTGGTTTAATTTTATTCAGTCGTTCTTTGTTCTTTCTGGTGAAGACGTGTATTCTAGTGACATACAGCGCTATGCATGACCCATCCAATTGAAATCAAACTCTCCAAGGTCATCGGGTAGTGGATACGACCAATCGACGTTGAAGTCTTCAATTCCACCAAATTCATTTAATTCAGGTGCATCCAACCCCACTTCATCTAACGTATATTTAGCTGCGATCTTCAACGGCAAAGAATTCATACCATCGTTAGCAGTCCTTGAAACACCTCTCTGCTGCAGCGTCTCAAGGACCTGTACAGCATAAGGCGCAGAAGGGATATGCTCTTTGTAGTGCAACAATATCGCAATACATCTTGACCAAGAGAGTTGAAGTGCATCTAGGTCGGTGAACGAGCATATGCGAGCTGCTGCAAGCACCATTGCACAGGAAAATGTATCTGATGTTTGTTAGTTTATGTTTTTGCTACCGAGTAAGGAAATGGTTACAGTGCGTTACCCATTCTGGGGATTGGTAGTTGACGTGTAGGGAGCTGTAGATGGCGGTCACGAGCTCGTGGACAGTTTCAATGCATTTTATGCAGACCTGGGTTGCTACACGCTCGCCGAGTTCGTTGCTCGATGTTGCTGGGTGAAAGGGGTTGGATTTGTGGGCTTGAGCTGCGGATAGGAGAACGGGTCTCAGGAGTAGTGCTCGTACGTAGAGGCGTCTGTCTTGCATCAGCCCGAATTTGAAACTCAGTAGAAGATGGGAGGAGTACAGACCTGCATTGCAGAATTTTAGCTTGTCTCCATTGCATGTTGTCTCTGTCATCAGTCCGATTTTCTCCACTAATTTGTTGGGGTCGGAGGTGGCTTGGGAGAGTTTCCAGAAAATGGTCCAGTGTCCGATCTATCTTCAGGATATCGTCCAGGAGATGAGAACGCCACCATGGTATTCCGGCTTCGTTGCTTTGAGTGGCATCTTCTTTCTGTCGATTGGATAATGCGAGCACTTCGCTCATGATATCGAAGAGCTTGAGTGACCAGAGGAAGAGACCCAGATACGAGACAGTATTGACCGGTTGACGTCCTTCACCATCTGAGAGGAGGTACTCATCATCCATCAAGATAGGTAGTGGTACTCTCGTTGAAGAAGATATCATGTGTGGTCTCCCGAAGATCATAGCGACTAATCTGAAGAGGAGAATTAGATCAGAATATTGATCGAAGCAGCGCAAATGTGGGGTAAAGATCTGGAACTCCTAGCTACCTGTCAAGATAAACACAATAATACCACACCCTGCGTCTAGTTTCTCTTCGAATCTGATTTCCTTGTTTGTTGTTATCCTCGTGCAGGCACAAGGTTTGGGCGTTTCTGATTGCCAAGCCAATGATGTTCCAACAGCGATTGGTATACTTTGAATTAAGCAGGTATATTCCGGTAAGCAAGAGAAGTTGCACAGTAAGAAGAGACACCGAGTCCAACTCATCTACCATAATCAAACTCCGAGATTGATGATAGAAACGTTCTGCTAATACTGCTTTGCGACTTGGTTCGATACTCTCGTCGTATTGGCATCCGATTGCAAACATTATGCTCAAAGTGGACAGGAATGTTAGGTCTTCGGTAGCTGAGTGAACATCTCTGTTTTGCTGCTTCAGAGGTAGCCAAATAGACAGGTACAATGATATGAAAGATGTCTTGTGAAGTATGGGAGCAATAGGGTGGACAAATTGCCAGAAGCAGTCTGTGTATCTGTCGGCCTGCTTGCGTGTTGGAAGAAAGAATGAAATTGTATCGGAACCATGTCCAAGTTTGCTTGAGTTTTGCTTCACTCTTGAGTTTATCGTGCTGGACTGTGAGGCGTGAGCTGTGTCTATTCCATGAGTTGGTGCAATGGTCTTCTTGAGAGAGTGTAAGAAGGAGGCGCTGGATGTTGTTCCGAAAAGATGTGCGCCATCCGCGTCTAAGGGAACAATGGCGAGTGCATCATTTAAATCCGAAGTGATGTGTGTCATTGACTTTAGATTGGCGTCTTCTTCTGAACATTTCCGGGGATGATGTAGTACCACATCGAGAGGAAGGCCATCACGTGGACGAGTATTTTCCTGAAGAAAATTGCCATGTTGCAGCCGAACTGAATAACATTTGTCACTATAGAGAGATACAAGATATATATGGGGCATACCTGTTGGTTCTTCATGCTCAAAAATGCTTGAAGTTTTGATACCCTCCAATTCCCGGACTCGACTTTCCAAAATAGCAATATCTCTACTTCTAATCAGACCAAAGGTTCAATGCGGATCTCTCAGATCCATTCAAATCTTACGAAATTGGTACCTTTGTGTCTTCAATGTACTCTCTTCATATTCACACTTTGTTGCCGTTTTCCTCTTCGCACAAGCAGAGCATGTAGGTCGTTTCCCATCGCAACGTGACTTCTTGTCACGACATGTGCTACAAGCCAGGGGTATCTTGCGTCGTTTTGACGGAGGTGCGTCATCATCGTGATGAATATTATCCGGTGCAGGTGTTTCCAATGCGGGATTATCTGCAACCTGTCAGCGGGACTGTGCATGAAACATCATCACCCATGGTACTGAACCCTGCAGCACCTCATCGGCCATCGAAGACTGGAAAAATAACAAAACACGAGTAGAAAGTTGATCCATAGAGATTCGGGGATGACAAGGACAGCCTGAACTTGGATTTCAAAGCCGGATCATGTCCGCGGTGCATATCACGTGCCGTAAGAGAGAGTGCCAATCGGAATAGGGGGCCAAAAACTTCGGATTATCTCCCCGATGGTGGGGTCAGAATCTGTGCAGATAAATAATAATTCATCTTCCAAACGGAAAATGCATATGCGCATTTGGCAAAGTTTTTCTTGTCCCTTTTCTCTCCTATAATTCGACATCTACTTAAGACGGTGCATTCAACTCTAGTCAAAGACGCAGATGAAAGAGAGCCACATTCGAGATGAGGTGCTCGAGCACCAATGGGAAGGTGCTGGCACGCACGAAGATCCATTTCTTGTCGAATTCCTCCCTGGAGACTCAGAGAATCCCAAGAACTTCTCAGAAACACGCAAATGGTTCTACGCAATAACAGTCACCATATCGGTCTTCGTCGTCACCTTCCTATCCTCCGCCTATTCAGGAACAGTGGACGAGCTAAGGGCAGAGTTTGGCTCCAGCACAGAGGTCATATTGGCTGGGATAGCACTTTTTGTTCTTGGCTTCGCTCTTGGTCCTTGTTTCTGGGCGCCGCTATCCGAGATCTATGGCCGGCGTGTGATGTTTTACACTACTTTTGGCTGCCTTACGGCGACTACTGCAGGTGTAGCTGGTAGTAACTCGATGACAACGTTGATTGTCTTGCGCTTCCTTAGCGGAACTTTTGCGGCATCTCCATTGACAAATGCTGGAGGTGTTATTGCAGATGTGTTTCCACCACGACAACGTGGACTTGGGATGACGATTTTCTCAATGGCTCCTTTTCTCGGTCCTGCTCTAGGGCCTGTGTATGCCGGCTTCACAAGTGAAGCAATTGGTTGGCGATGGGTTCAAGGTATTCTCGCCATTACTACAGGTGTGATCTGGATTTTTGGCACGATAGTTCTTCCTGAGACATATGCACCGGTTCTTCTACAGCGAAGAGCAAAGGCTTTGTCTAAACGTTTCAACAAGACTTTCATTAGTCTATTAGACAAGGAGCATCGCCATACCCGGGCTCAAGCCATCAAGACCAGCTTGGCCCGACCTTGGATCCTTTTGTTTGCAGAGCCAATTGTCTTGGTGGCTTCTATTTACTTGTCTATTCTTTACGGCACGTTATATATGCTGTTTGGAGCGTATCCTATCATTTATCAACAAGAACGTGGATGGAGTGAGGGTATTGGCGGACTAGCATTCCTAGGTGTAACTGTTGGGATGATCATCGGTCTTGCATACATGCTATACGACAATCGTCGTTACATGCGTTTGCTCGATACTCTACCAGAGAACGGAGTTCCAGTTCCAGAGTGGCGCCTACCACCAACCATCATTGGAAGCATAGCCCTACCGATTGGACTCTTCTGGTTTGCATGGACGAACGGGCCATCGGTACATTGGTCTGTGAGCATCATTGGCTCAGCACCTTTCGCTTTTGGCTGCGTTCTCGTTTTCGTCAGCGTTCTGACTTATCTCGTCGATACGTACACCATCTATGCGGCCTCGGTGCTTGCAGCCACTGCGATGCTTCGTTCTTTTTTTGGTACTGCTTTCCCGCTTTTCGTCTCTCAAATGTATGCCAATCTTGGCATCCATTGGGCAAGCTCGATTCCTGGATTCTTGACTCTGCTTTGTCTCCCTTTCCCGCCAATTATGTATTTTTGGGGCGCAGAGCTGAGGATGAAATGTAAATATGCAGCTCAGGCTGCTGCGAAAATGGCTCAAATGAGTGGGGCGAAGACAGCTCCTTCCGCTATTGAAGGAGAGACAGGAGACGAATCGTCAGTGATTCAGTTACCCGATATGGAGAAATAGACCATCCTTCCGCTTTTTGAATTCATGTGTGTAAAAGCCTTGCTTAGGAGATCTGCATGAGTTGGAATGACGTTTGATTCTCACTGCAGCATTGAGTGATGAAATTATAATCAATCCCATACAATTTTAAGATCTGCTACACTTCCATCAGGGGTTTCTGCGCACGAAGATCAAACTCTGGCAGTGGCTCTCTTCCAATCACTACATAGTCTCTCACAATAGCTGTACCATCTCTAAGCCAAGATAGCTCCTCCTCAGAACACATTTTACGCAGATTCAAAACGTAACATCTATTTGGTGGCAGTAACGGAATCTCATTCTTGATATTGAATGTGGAGCTAGGGCCTTGGGTTGCGTAGTTCTCGCCGACTGTCAACTGCCCGGTGCTGATGTCCTGCCCGAGCATGGCGCTCATGAATATTTCGTAGGATGCTTCTGGTTGGTATGCTGGGACTTTGGGAGAGATGATCAGCTGGGAAGTGGAGAGTATTGAATGCGAGAAGAGGAGTATACCTTGGTGTCCAGCTTGATAAACTCTCGAAAATGAAAAGTTTCCATACTGAAATGCGTTAATTAATACACATCTTTACTTCTAAGACATAGAAAGGAGACTTATACCTGGCGAACTTGCCCCGCGACGTACGTCTTGCTCAAATAGATGGGCTGATATCCAGCGCTCGCAAATTCATTCTTTGAAGACCAAGGGATAGCAAGAGATGTCTTTTCTCCACCGATCCAGTTACAAGCAAAATCACGATCACCATACACCATAGCAACTTTTACGCCGCTGTCTAGTAACGAAGCGATATCTTCAAGAAGGCCACCACGAGCTGGATCTCCTGTTTTTCGAAGATTCTGAGCAACATTCAATGCTGCCCCGGTGAAGTTGACTGGGACGCCCAAAGCGGATTGTACCCACGGTTGGCCGAGGAAACCGTACATGTTGCTGGGCGGGAAGGGATCGAGCGGTTGATGGGCAATATCAAACCAAGCACCGACTCCCTGAAAAGGATTAGCAGGGCCAATTCATGGGAAGCTGATACGCACGTCGTCACCGTACGGTCCAATCATTTTGTGAGCACAGATTCCGGCAGCGATACAGGCTTCGTTGACTTCTTGATTGTTGCCGTTCCGCGTGGGGTCAAGCTTTAATTCAACTTGTTGACATCTCTCGATATCTGCAGCACAGTGTTGTTTGAAGTATGTCATCGCCCAGTTATAGTGGGACTCATTGAAGATTTGAATTCCATACGTCTATAGTGGATTTGGTTATTGCAGCTGGTATCCTGGAGTAGACGATTGAACTCACGTTGTTGAAAGCCATTTCTGGGAATGCGGGATCTACATAGAGAGCATCAACGCAGCCATTGATGATACTGAGCGTGTCAAGTCGGATTTCGATGGCATCTACCAGAGACCCTTCACCAATCTTCTCGTTCTGCTTGTAAAAGAAATCCATGAATACAGGTCCTAATTTGCCTCCATACTATCATGCATTAGTGTTAGCTGATAGGATGCATGAACTAATAATTCTTTCGCAGGGTGGCTGTACTCACGGATTCTGTCCACAAGCTGACCCTATTGTCACTTGTTTTATACCCAGGAAACTCCGCCAACCAAGTCTGCAAGAAATGCCAAGTCCCTCGTGCGGCATGCACAGTCGAATTTGGTCCAGAGGCTTCGTTCCGGGTTGGGAATGTCCCCACCAGGAATGTAAGATTTTGTTGAGGTATAACACTAGAGAAGTCGATGAACTCTAAGGTATTGGTGAGCAAGTCCAGGGTGCCATTTGCGAAGTCCGAGAAGGAGAAGCCGGTTTGTACAGGTTGATCGATGTACAGCATATTCACTTTATTGTTCCAGGGGAACTGGTTCAGGTAGGTGGAATTGGAATCGTCACCAACAAAGCAAGGTCCGTTCTCTTGTAACGCACCGAACATCGACGATGCTCCTGGCCCGCCATTGAGCCAGATGGCCAATGGAGCCGTTTCGGGATTTTCTCGAGCCTCAAAGAACCTGATAACACGTCAACGTTGAATGGATTGAAAAGAAGGAGGGTCATCTACCAGAAGAAGGTTGATGAACGAGATAGTATGAACTCTTCGGGAATTGGTGGAAGTTCGACGTAACCCGAGTAGGATCTCACTCCAGGACTCGTTTCGCATAATCCAGGCTTCAAATGCAGCACTCAATTAGAATTGACGAGGTAAGGTTGGATCATTGTTTATTGTACCTCGCTATAAGTTATGTTAACTCCGGCATGCGTTTTTGAGCGTATTTTCGTAATGTTCTTTGGTCGAGGAAATATTTGTGCAACGCCATATGTGACGGCGATAAACGACAGAAAGAATGATACCAGGTGCATATTGGCTGCTGACTGTAATCGGCAACGTACTTCGATGATGATCTGAGAATAATTGGGCACTATACATCTGATACTAGCCAGGTATGTTCGCTCGTTTCTGGTTGAGCTGAAGAGTTAGACCTACTTTTCATTTGCGTATATCTTGCTTGAGCGGATTGTCTAGAAATGAGTAGTACAAAGGAAAGACATCTCGGAATCACCATGCTCACCGCTTCTTAAGCACCTATCTGTCGACAATTATTGGTGCGTGATGCGTCAATTTTACTTAGTCGCGGGATCCTCATATGCTGCACACGAAAACACAAGAGACCCTGTGAACAAAGCATCTCCTTCGACGCCATGGGTAATCTCCGTTCCTCCTGCAGATATTGTCATGCAGCCTCCGCGGGCTGTGCATCTAAGCCACCGGAAATGCACTCAATGTCTTATCGACTTCTCTAATCTGATGAGACATTGAATCAGTCTTTACGCCCGCTTTGGACACCTCTTCTTTGGTTCGATAGAAATACCCCAACCCCTCATTTGGCGTCTAAGCAGTCTTTTGGATCCCTTCTTTTGATTGCAAGTCATCACAGCGTAACCCAAGTCACAACCATTCACTACTGCATGCCGATAACTGCTGGCATCTGTACGGCGCATGCTGTGCACAAGTCTTGCTCTCCCTGATTAGGAATATATATCATACGTGCGAGCATACATCCATCCGGCTCCTGCCGTGCCCCAGATAGTCCGACCGGAAAGATTCCGTTGAGTCCTGAACTTTTTGAATGCGTATTCCGGCTGGTGCATCTTTGCCGACTCGAGAGTGGAATGTCATTCAAGATGAGATAGCTATTTGACAACAGAAGCAAATGGAGGATCACGAAAGTGTCGAAAAGGCGGCCCAAAACCAGCAATTTCATATTCCGCAAGTCGTATATGTCTGCGCAGCGATCGAGTTGCTAACAACACCCGGTGGCTCTCTCTGTGTTGTTTCGTATGTTAGATTGATAGAGAGCGCAGTTTGTCAAAGATATTATGGCGTGGGCACTTTCGTAGCAGAAGTTCTATGCAAAGGCGACGCAGTCCAGAGTTATATGGCCTATCTCATGGGCACCATGTCTTCTTTCTCCTCCCTGCCAACACTTTTGCTTACACTTCCGTATGGGATATTGGCCGAGCACGTTGATCGTAGAGCTATATTGCTGGTCAACTTTGTATCTACTATTATCTCTATACTTTATGTCATTGCAATCTGTGAGTAATTTCAAAGCTAAAAACACCAGATATAGCTAGTCAATTGTACTAACAATCTCAAGGTTATTACCCCAGCATTGATTTGAAATTGCTCTGGCTGTCTGGTCTTTTTGACATCGCTGGCGGTGGTTCGTCCGTGTCGACGGTGCTCGTTCGGTCTATGATGGCAGAGTGTGTCCCTAGCTCTGCCTTGAGCACATTATTCTACAGATTGTCTGCGATTAGCATGATTGTTCGACTTGTTGGTACATCCTTTGGATCTTGGCTTCTGCAGAACGGTGCTGCCTCGACGATGTTGGTTGGAACATGTATCTGACATTGACGATCCCGCTACTTACCTTCTTACCTGCCCCAGCATCAAAGCATCCTTCGCCAGACTTGGAATACACCGTGTGCGAGCAGAGCGAGTCAATCAAGCTGTCAACCAAAACAATTGGAGAATCTGGATCTGGTTTTGAACAACACCGTCCAAAGGCTTCTGTTTTCCATGCGTTGGTGCAGTCACTCGGATCATACAAGCGACTCATCCTTCATAGCAAACCCTTTGTCATGTGCCTAGCAATCATGTTTATCAACACCGTGGCTCTTGATTCCAGAGCGCTCTTGCATCCTTGGCTAAGCAAAAGATACAACTGGGACCTCGCCACAACTGGATATATACTATCAGTCGAGTCACTCCTTGGGATCTCGATCCTTCTGGTCCTTCAATTCATCAGTTCTCGTTCTTCGTCCATGACTTTTCGGCAAAAGCGAGGACACGAGCTTCGAGTGGCAAAGATGAGTCTGATCTGCGCGATTCTTGGCTCTGTTCTCTTGGGCTTTTCTGAGTCATGATCAGGGTTCATAGTGAGCGTGATGGTGATCAGTGGCAGTGTTGGATTTCTTGATGCGGTGAAAGCATATTTTACGGCTATGTTAACAAGGAAAAGCAACGAAAAGGCGGATATTGGCAGAATTTATAGCGCTACATTGATGGTGGAGTATGTAGCTATGATTTGTGTTGCACCTCTATGGAGTGCTATTTATAGCCTAGGATATAGACTAGGAGGATTGGGACTCGGATTGCCATTTTTTGGAGGTGCTGTGATGATGAGTTTAACACTTGCACTTGTGTGGAAGCAAGGGTTAGAATCAACAAGGTAGAAATCGGATAGTCAAATCAAAACAGTGGACTTGATGATATAAGAATGCACTTAAAAATTTGAAAAAAAAGCGACGAAGTTGATAGATACTGCTTTCTGGAAGAATCATCGGTCTTTGATGCGGGAGGGATGTAAATCAAAGGAGCATGAAGCAAGCAAGAAATAATACTTTACAATATCCGCAGTGTTTCGCGCGAGCTTTTCCAATCCTTTAGTGAAATTGCACAAAAGATGTATAAACAGGGAAGGGGAGATTGGAAGTAAAGTGGCCTCACTGAAAATGCAATCTCGCTCGATTTTATAGGGATAGATGAAGTCACAGGGGCTGGGCTTAACTGAAAGGCAAGTCAAATCGTACTTCATTATTCTACGTTCACTCCTTGAGTCTCTCACTCTCGCATTATCCGTGGCTAACACGCGAAATCTCAACCCTGGTTTTCATCCTCCGGAAAGCTGATTCCGTTTGGCAATAATTTGTATCTAGCAACCCACTCAGCAATTGGCTCAAACAAACGACAACTATGCTCGATATCCCAATAAGTACTTCCATTGGTTGCCCTTTCATCAACACTCAAACTGTTAAACCATTCCGAATGCCCTTCTCCACCATTACCGTCCACGTTGGAAACAGTGTAGTTCACATTCCACCAGTACGTCATGGAGACATCGCCGTGACACATAATGGCTTGACGGAGGAAGTCAAAACAGTGGTCTAGGTAGATGCTTAGCCAGGTCTTCTTTTGGGGGACTTTCACATACTCTTATGGTGCAGGAACTTCTTCTCCTCCACATGAGGATAAAACTTCTCGCGGTAGAAGGACTTTCGAATCGTATTCTAAAAGCACATCAAACAGCTAATCAGTGTTCTGGTCTTTTTATTTGATCTTTGAAGGTTGTATACAAGGCAATGGAGCTGATGGAACATTGAAATGCCGTAAACATGCTTGCCCGGCTCCCAGACCGACTCAGTTGACTCATGGTTAGTCTTTGCTAGCTTTGCTGAGATATCGGCGTCCAGCGCAACGAGTCCGTTACCGGCTTTGAAGCATAAAGTTAGTCTCGTATTTTGAAAAAGAATTTGGTATATATTGAGTACTTACGACCAAGCGTGACTTTCCAAGCGTCTTCTACTTCTGGAGAGGTTTCGCTCTGATAGACCAGCTCAGGTTTGAACTTTCGAATGACAGGAAACACTGCCTCCAACGCCGGTGCTGCCATATGAGGTCAATTAGATACCTGAGAAGAGAGGTTTCTGAGTGAACTAACAATATGGCTCATGGACTGGCCCTCCTCTTTCTGCACACGAAACTGTGGTGGTATGGGCGACAAACCCCAGAGTTATAGCAAGAATGACCCCGAGGGCAAGATTGACAATCGCCATGATCTTGGAGAACAAGGATGCTCGTGAGTTAGCCGTGAATCCGAGCTGTCGATATTTATGACCATGGTGAGATTGTTCGAGCATATGGACATCTTCCTCTGAGCCTGCAAGATCCTCCTCGTCATACTTGTCGTCGGTCATTGGCGCCATGATTTCCAAAGTAATGAAGCACTGAAGGAACAGAGATTAAAAGAAAAGCTGCTATTATCATGCTAGGGACCTGGATCTGGATGAGGAGCGGACTCAACTTGCCGGGGGGTGCTGATACCCCCGTGTCACTGTCCCCTAAGTTTATTTGTTTTTGGTTATCAGGAGCAATCCATCATATTGCGATCTTACAACTGGCGCATATGCAGGTCCCAGTGCGGAACCATTCCCACTGGTGATTGACTGTGGATCGGGACGATCACTGTTTCACCAAAATCATTCACAATGGTCTGCACCGATCACGGCATCAGAGCTCAAAAATGTCTTACCACGGCTCGGATCGGTTCTTGCCGCCTCGTTCCACCATACCGTCACAACTGAGGTGAGCCGGGTTTGTTTCAGACGATGCAGTATTGTCATCTGATCTGCAAGTCTCAAGCCCCAGATTACCGCACAACTGGACTTGCAGGTAAGAATGTTTGAGCCAACAAATCATGCACCTTTCTGAAAAGAAGTCTTAGCCAAACAAATAGCCCAATGATTTAGGTGATAAATCAAGTTATTGGTTGGCAATACGAAGTTACGAGCACACATGCTCCCATGTTGAGCTGAATAACTGCATTTTCAAGCCGGAGCCGCTAAAGCAGGGAGCAACAACAAGAGGGTATCCAATTAATGCATTCCCATAGAACAGAACATGAGTAATCGGAGGACCAGAATCAACTTAAATCATGTAAGAGATCTCTCAAGTCCGATCGATCTCGAGCAGGACATGACGTTGTGTAACAAATGTGTCACGCCATTCTAGCTGTACGTACATCGAAGAGCTGCAGTATAAATGTCTTGAAGTCACTCAGCTTGGCTGATGAACTAGGGATGCTTGAGTTGGCTGACTGGAGCGAACAGGAGATAAGAATTATTAGAGTGAAGCGGAGTAAACACTGAGAGCACACTATTACCATATTCGGCCAGTAATTGCAGCTATGCGCAAGTACAGGAACAAGTCTAGAGACCTGCGACCTGCATGAGACTTTCTCAACCTTGACGTGAAGATCACTTGTGAAGTAGCACAGCAGCTTATTTGGAATACTAATGCAAGTAAAATACTTCCTATCTGGGGTTACCTAAGTGGAAACACGAAAGCCTGAAGTTACTCGCCTGGTCATAAACCGTCTCGAAAAGTGATAAATACCTGCGAACTTCCCCGAACGTGGTACCACAGCACATCTTCTCAATCAATCCTATACCTCTACAGATCCCTCCAGTCTTCAATCAGAACGTTTAGCCTTCAAAAGTCTTTTCAACCTTCAAGATGCGTTCAGTCAGCATTGTCACGCTCGCATACCTTGCAGCATTCTTCAGCGGATCTCTCGCTGCCCCAACACCAGACAACCCAAAGTTCGATTGGCCCGGCCTCCTCAACGAAGTCGAGAAGCGGGACAACCCCAAGTTTGATTGGCCTGGGCTTTTGAATGAGGTTGAGAAACGTGACAACCCCAAGTTCGACTGGCCCGGGCTCTTGAACGAAGTCGAGAAGCGCGATAATCCAAAATTCGACTGGCCTGACTTGATGGAGGAAGTCAAGAAGCGCGACAACCCGAAATTCGATTGGCCTGGACTCTTGGAGGAGGTCAAGAAGCGTGACAATCCTAAGTTCGATTGGCCAGGTCTTGCCAACGAGGCTATTGCTAAGTAAATCTTGGTACCGTGGTTCACCACATTCCTTGATCCCGGTAAGTCACCAGATACTTTGAGTGACCGGTTGTTGACACGAGAGTAGCACACGCTCCTTATCTTCAAAAGTCGGAGGAGTTGCATGGTTGTTGCTGTGGTTCGGTGCCAGAACTGGAGCGTAAGTGTTTGGGTTTGGAGACTCGATGGGATGTTTACGAGAGACGATTTCTTTATGTGATGAGCATGCGATCTTGGGCCGTGAGGTGGTTGCGAGGGCGATATTGTGTTGAAGCTTGCTCTTATATGATAACATGAAATTGATACTTGTTACGGCTACGTGCACGTGAGCTCGCTGAGTCATCTCGGTGAGCTCTGGGTCACGTGGAGGAGCACTGAGGAGCGGACGGGGCTCCTAGGAACTCCTGCGCTCCATCTCAGCCCACCACTGAGGGCAGTATATATGACTGGCACTTCTGCCATAGATAGGAGCTTCGTGCTCAACTTGATTAAGTTTTCCTAACTACAATATCATTGCCTTATCTTACTTCATTCACCATACCAACCCACGTGACCTTACCAGGGTAAGGAGAGAGTCGTGACAACTGAGATTTCAAGTTGTCACACGCCACCAAAAACCAATAAACAAGAGAAAGAGAAGCAAAACAAGCCACTCGGCACTACACAAACACTCCAAAGTTCCCTTCTTTAACTCTCCCAGCAAGAATAATCATATCTTGAAGGCCTCGCTTCACCCCTGAACGCTGCCCTTGAAGCTGAATTCCAGGAACTGCTGCGAAACAACACCCTCCGAGAAGAATTATACACTATCTTAGTATCTTCAAATACGCTTCTGTTTTTATCATGCTTTTATCATACCTTTGTACATGTCAAATGGAAGTGAGACGGCGATGATTAGAATGTAGGGAGTGAGTGCAGAAAAAGTGACGCAGTGGGCAAGAGAATCAGATACCAATAATCCTACACCAATTGTTTTTCCCCCACTATCCGTATTAAATACTGTCTGAGTAGAATCATTTAATCAACATGATCTCTGTCGGGCTCGTCCAACAAAGGTTCGTCCACCCCACTTCGACTCTCATCACGTGCAACTCTCATACGTTTAAAACGTTCAAAACCAGCTCGTCCAAGCCACCATCCGGCCCAAAGTACAGCAATTCCAACGGCTAGTCATAAGATAGCGAGTGGGATCTGAGATAGACCTCCATTACCGTAAGGCTTGGAAGCTTTGGTGAATTCCTCCGGCTGCTTGAATCCGGGGTCATGCTTCCATTGAAGGGCAACGATGTTATCCTCACTGTGTACAAATTCCAGCAGATACAATCCAGGTGATGCGGCCGCAAATCGAGCCCGTTTGACGCATTCATCCCGAGATATGATCCATGAAAATGTGTCGTAGTTGTAGTGCTTGAGCGGCCACGATTGATGATCTCGTAGTCCTTGAAATGCAAAGTGTAGCTCTCCATCCTCGATGCATGTTTCAATGAAAAAGTTCTTGATAGAATTGTAGTATGCCCCGACATATTTCCCCAATTCTCGCGGCGAAGTGCCAAGAGTTCGATCCTTCTGTAAAGTCTGGTTCATTGACGGGAACGTTGAGACTTGCTTCTTAGCGGTTTCGCGTGAGAGTGCGGCGTGATCAGCCGGTTTGGTTGTATTCAGAAGTACTTCGAGGACTGCTTGACTAACCCAATCCGCAGCGTCGTTCAAACCCATCGAGTTGGCAAGCACAATAATCGCACTTTGTGTTTCTGGCACGAGTAGAAGTGAGGTAGTGTACCCAGACGTGCTACCTTGGTAGTAGATTAACTCGATTCCAGGTGAGTCCTCTCCGACATTTGGCATTTCCTCGAGAAGCATCGCATTTGCGCCACCACCACCTATCTTGCTTGGTGTAGTTGTCAACATCCATCCCAGGCCCATTTTTCCAGGGTAAGAGGAGCTGAGCGGTGACTTTCCGTCCATAATAGTTTTGGGTTGCTTCAGTGGGAGCCCATTTGTAGATGTCAGACCAGAGTGGCGTTGGTCGGCGAGGCCGTCAAGCAGTGCTTTTGACCATGTCAAAAGATCGTTTACTGAACTCCTGAGACCCATTGCAGAGCCCATCAACGTACCATCTGCAAGTTTTGGATACGGAATGGAGTACGATGACCCGTCATCAAGCGCGACATATGGCTTAGCAACGTTCTCTTGATTCAGGTCGTTCCAAAATACTGTACGTTTCAAGCCCAACGGCGTCAAAATGCGGTCACTCATAGTGCGACCCCAACTTTGAGATTAGAGGGACTCCACAACCTGGCCAGCTAAGGCATAGTGCCAATTATTCGAACTCCTACTGGCACGAAATGGCTCGATGGCAGTGAGATAGTTCACTATTGGGACGGCTTGGCACTGCTCAAGAAGTAAGCCGTTATCGTTGCCGAACCAGTAATTGTTTCCTTTGGCCAATCCAGTACGCTGGCCGAGAACATCAACAATAGTGGCAGAGTTGATCTCATCGTTGCGAAGGAAGTCTGGTAGCACGTCATGGAGAGGTGTATCCCAGGCAATCTTGCCTTCGTCCACAAAGATTCCCAAAAGCGACGAAGTAAAAGCTTTTGTGAGTGAGGCGGTACCATATATTGTGTCGGAATCGGGCTTCTGACGAGCCTCGACGTCGCGATAGCCGTAATTTTCACGGAAAAGAACAGCACTGTGATGGAGCACGCCGAGCGACAGGCCGGGCGTGCCAGAAGATGCACATATGTCCTTGATGGTGGAACCAAGCAGACTCAACAGCTCCACGGTCCCTTTCATTGCTGCTTGGTGGCCTGAGTCAGTCATGATCTCCAGGTAAGACAGAAAATAAGAATTTGAGCTTAGTTGTGGCATTCACCTGGAATATCTGGTAGGCCGAGTGCCATTGATCGATTGTGAACACGGAGATCCCAGAGGAGTCTTATATTGTCGCAAATGTGGTGCTACAGTTGTATGATGTGCTGCGCGGGTATTACGGACAGTCCAGGCGTTGAATAGAAATAGCTAAACTGTCCCTATCAGTCAAAAAGCGATAAAAAAAAGTTTTGACTTTTATTTTATTTGTTCTAGTCCATACGTGAACACCTGCTGTTTATGAACTTTACACCCGCCATTCATGAATGGCGGGGTGTTTATGTATGGCACCCCTTGTTTAGAACTGGCCCTGCCATTCACGAATAGCAGGGCCTGCCATACGTGAACGGCGCCATTGATAAACAGCCCGGGAATAAAGCCCTAGTCTTAACACTTTCAGCACCTCCAGCACCTCAGCACCTCAGCACCTCAAGCACCTCCAGCACCTCCAGCACCTCCAGCACCTTAGTCCTTCATCACCTCTATCCCACTACTCAGAATCTTATGCTCGAGCTGTGAAGTGTAATGAAGCAATAAATATTAGTGCTATGCTTTGTTGCTATGCTAGACGTGCTAAGGTGCTGAGGTGCTGAGGTGCTGAGGTGCTGAGGTGCTGAAGTGCTGAAGTACTAGAGTGCTAAGCTCGGATTAGGGCCTTATTTCCGGGCGGTTTATGAATGGCGTTGTTTAGCCATGGCTAGCTCGATATGCTCTAATTGTTTATGAATGGCAGGGCTAGTTGATAAACAAGGGGTGCCATACATAAACACCCCGCCATTCACGAATGGCGGGGGTCCCGTTTGTGAACAGCAATTATTGGCGTATGGACTAGAACATATTTTTATTTATTTTATATCTCTTCCAAATACTTAAAAAATACTTATTATTTATGTATTTTCTAGCTTTTAATACTTTTATTCTCGAGAAATGCCTTTATTTTTAGATTTTCTATTTAAATTGCCTTTATCCTAGAGATTAAAAGCATTAGACTGACTATACCGAATGCACCGAATGCACCGAATGCACTGAATGCACTGTACTGACTGCACTGTACTAACTGCACTACCTCGCATAAAAAGGAAAAAGGCCTGTATAGTCCAAGCTCAATCCCGAAACTGTGCTCTCCGTATATGTCATTCCGTATTTGAGACTTTTGCTTGCTGCGCTTGAAATCGTATTCTTTTTCTTTGAGGTGCTGGGGCGTGTGGTCATGAATGCGGACCATTCGTCGAAATCCATTGCATATGAGGCATCTAGAACTTCCGTGGTAGTAGATTCGCCACGTCGGCTCATGAAAACGGACCACGCCTCGAAAACTAGCATAGCCGTTGCAAATGTCTCCGGCCACTCTTTTGGGTCTTTGGAAAATGGATTCAATCCAGCTGCCTCGCCCATCGGTTGAAGACTATCAAGGATCTCGGCACTCTCATAACGGTAGTTTAGCTCTGTATGGATCAAACGTATTTGGCGAAACATTTCTTTCATTTTAGGCTTCAGGGAGTCCGGAGTTATGGATGAATCATCCCAGTTCTCACCAAGTCCAACTCTTTGTAAACATTCATTACAATTCTTTATGATTCGCCTGACATCGTAGGTCAACTCGAAACTGCCAGGCTTAGACTTCCACAGCGACAAGGATTCGTAGAATGATTCGAAGTACTGCTCAATTGCTTCTGATGGCAGATCTTTCAAGCGAAGAACTTTGGCAAATATGTATCGACTTTTGGCAATCTCTGAGGCAGAGCAGAAAAATTTAGCCGAAGTGACAAGTCTAGTGCAAATATCCTTATGATGTTGAGCGAAGACGTATAGTTGTGGGTTTCTTATAAGTCGATCAAGTGCTTGTTCCAGGATGTTCGAATAATCCATCCAGCCGGTCTCGAACATATGGTATTCGATGGCATCTTGATAGAGACCGTTGACCTCTTTTTCGTTGAACAGTGGACATCTTACAAAGGTAGACACATTTTCCATGTATCGCTCAAACAGTTCATCGCTTAAACGGGCTTCACGCCGTGAACTCTGTTTAAGGAGACTTTGCAAGGATTTGGCAGCAATCTTGTAAATCAAACTTCGATTGCCAGAGTCAACGCTCTATACTTGAGCTTCTAGGAGTAGAGACTCCGCAGGTTGATCAGGGAACCTCGGCCAGGAGGTAGTAGAAGCGAGATTAGTATAGGATTCAAGCAGCGATACTTGGTCACCGCCAGCGCTCAACGACTTCGAGTCATGGTCAACACAGTCCTGATTGCTACAACCGGCAGGCTGAGAAGGTCCCTGAGAATTTGATACAATCATGATAGTATCAGGAATTGCTGCAGGAGTTGCGTATGTAATGTTCGAAGGTGTTGCTGGCTTCATCAGCGCGGTCCGGACAAACACCTCGACCTTCATCCAAAACTTACAGATCATCGGTGACCCGATCTCTTCCACCTCACTGATACGTCGCCTCTTGAGTTGAAGAACAGTATCATCGGGGACTATCTGACCGTCGCGTATGAACTCGGTCGCCTTCCCTTTGTCTCGCTCTCTTTTTGCCGCCTTTGCCAACATGAATTTCATGTCTCTCGTCATGTTCTTCTCAAAGCCCCATTCTCGCAACTTCATCTTCCAATTGCGTGTACTGAAATGTTAGAAAAGGCATGAAACAAAGGCCACAATGACTCTTACCTTTTCTTGAACTGGTATCTGGATTCGATCTCTTGCATCGTTTGTCTGAGTGGCCTGCCTTGGTCTACATAGATACGTCGAATAGCGTCTTTATGTGAGTCCCACAACCGATCGTTGCGTTCTTTGGTAGATTGAATTCCAGTCCTCGAGAATTCGGCAGCTTCGTTCTGCGAAGTGTCGTTGGCCATCTCCTGGCCAACTGGTTGAGACATTGTTCGGCGACCAGTACTTCTGTAGAATGTTATGGCAATGGGAATTGAGTACTGTCCAGAATCATGAAAGGAGTGTAAGTATAAGTAGAGACATAAGATAACAAGGACGAAAAGTTTGGAATTTCAGCACAAGGCTGGAGGTTTGGTGTTGCTCGCCAGCTTCATAAGCGGACCACTTACAGTACCAGAAAAAGTGCAAATCCTCAATCAGGTTAGTAAAACGCCACGATGTGCTCTTCACAGCCAGCTTAACCTGTTTTGGTCACCGAATTACTTCTCCCGTCTCTAATCGCAACATCATGTGATGCGCGCAGAATGCTGGTTGATCTTCCTGTTATTTTTGCTGCAAGACGAGATACTGCTCTTGGCCTCTACCTTAAATCTCAACTGGTGTAAGCTACAACCTCTGGGTCTTTGATGGTCCTGAAAGTATTTGTCTACTGAAATTGTCTCAGTCATGTGATTACCATTTGACCTCTCTTCACTTACTTGTGGCTGGTCAATGTGGAGATTGGATGGAATGATTATGTTTGGAACCACATTCAGTTGGATTAGATATGCCGTGTCCAAATTGTCCTCTTGCTGGCAACTCCTTGCCATGACTCTCATACTCAGAGCCTTACGAGATCAGCAAAGCCTGTCATGCAGGTTTCAGCCACCGACATGGTGTCTACAGGGCGGGATAGAACATCCTATTTCATACGATACTATTGGCTTACCCGCTTCAATATGACGCTCCACGGCACAAGAGAGGCTGGAATGGGTCTTTGCACTTTTATCCTGGCAGGATGTGCCTCGCTTGGCAACAGCTTCCACCAGAGCCGTACTTCTACTGTCAGTCATAGCCTTGCCAACTTTTCTCTTCCGACTCAGATAAATTGACAGTTTTCCAACTGCCAGACGCCATCAGCTCCGATGTGACGATTGGGAACCACTTACTTGCAGCAATGGAACATATATCAACGCTATCATTGTCCCTCACGGACTCGACAGCCGTGTCGGTTTCAAACGGAACCAGCTCCTACAGCGCATCCAAACCAACGACGAAAGAGCGAAATAACAAGAAGTGGAACGATGTGAAACACCTGATCAAGAAATTTTACGTCGAGGAAAAGAAACCGCTCAAAGAGACAATGCAGAAGGTTGCTCGGGATTCTGGCTTTACCGCAAGGTATGCTTACACCGCCAGCTTCCGTTCACCGAGGTAACTTAAAATATAGCGAACGAAATTACAAGTCGAAGCTTAAAGAATGGGACATCGAAAAGAAAATCCCTGCCAAGGAAATGGCGTTCATGGTCAGAACAGCTGAAAAGCGCACCCGCGATGAGCGTAAGGGCACCGAATTCATACGGAAGGGAATCAAAGTGTCCCAAGGAAAGATGAGGTCTTTCAAGAAAAGAAAGCTACAATTTGCAGATGAGCCTTACCAAGCAGGCACGTAGTCAATATCAATGCGACGAGCTCTTCTAACATTCACAGAAACACCGCCTGGAATAAGCTACCACACACCAGCTCCCAATAATTTCGACATTGACTCCGAGATCCTAGATCTCGAGAAAGATCAGTTTAGGATCCGACAACCAACTCCAACGGCGACCGAAACTGACTCGGAAACTCTCCCAAGGGACTCCGACGTGTCTGAAACAAACATCGAAACAGCAACACTAGCGCTGGGTGGGCGCGATTCAGAGACACCTCAGATGGATCTTGATTTAATGGAAGTAACTCTTGAAGCATCCTCGTCCCTCGAAGAAATCCCTCAAATACTTCCAAAATATCCTGGTCTCTACTCAACAGTGCCAGGGGGACAGGAGGGTGAGCTTCACGAAGCTACGGTGTTGAATCAACTCAGTGGTCATGAGCAGCGTGCGGAGTATCATCCGGACTATCTGAATCGTTTTGAGACCATGGCTCAGTACAGTCAACTCGATCCTCACCTGGGTGACCTCCAGTTTGACGAGCTTCAACTTGATGATCGAGTTGAGGATAGCCGAAATCTGGAGAACGACTCTTATGACCAAGATGTTGAGATGTCTGGATTGGACAACGCATATCAAATGGACTCGAGCCAAATGGTCGATGTTTCCAGCGACTCTATTGCGAACACCCAAGCCACTGTACAACTTGAAGGCGAGGATTTCATTGGTAGACCGTCCGCTCTTCATATCCGACACGTCCGAGAAATGTGGACGGACGAGACTCTTCTCGAAGCGCAAGATGAAGCAGAGCAGAATCCCTTCTCGCCATCCACGGAACCTTTCCTCTCACAGCCTTTCTTCAACCCATTTTTCCATAGTGCCAGAACAGTAGCCGCTCCTAGTCCTTCCGAGCCTCCTTACGAAATTGCCAGAAGGTCCCTGCGACATCTCTTCGAATCATTTTATCCTAGTAAGCGAGACATGAGCAAAGAAGAATGGAACCAGCGCATGAACGAGATTCTGTCTGGCGATTTCGAATCATTCCCCAGTCTCCAAGCAGCAGGGAAAGAGGAATGGAATCAACGTATGGATGAACTTTGTTCTCTTGTTCGAAAGAAAGGCACAGACCAAAGGCATATGAGTAGTGTTTTCCAATTTGCCTTCGCGGCAACGACAAACTACCTTGGTTTGTCAAGCAACGATCCCGAAGTATTGGAGAATTGGCGAAGACCCATATGGAAAGGTTTTCTGCGATACTCGACGTCCACCTGGCTCCCAAAAGCCGAAATCGTCTGTGAGCGATTCTTACATTCCTTTCCTCGGTCGGGAGTCAAAATCAATAGATGGAAGTGTCGCTCGGAGCTTTCCAACGCACTTGCGCAAGCCGGACTCACGGAAGACTCAGAAAACCAGTTCAGGCTTGCCTTTTATGATTGTTTATATCAGACAAAGACTTTACCAGGACATAGTTCTTCAGAGCTGTGGCAAGAACTACTCGCAGGATGTGGATCAAATTCTCGCTTCGCATATTTTGTCGTTTACGAGGCTTCTCAATGTTTCCCCACAGATCAATCGCTCTGTACTGATATTATGAGAGCCATGAGAAATGAGCTAGAGGTCACCGATTATAGTCGATGCCCGAAAGAATGGATCATCCTTTACTTGCAGCTCTTCGAGTACAACTATGGAAGCAATCGCGTCCATTTGCGGAGTACCCCATTTCTACCAGAGGCAGCGCTGAATCTGTCCCGCGCAGTACAGATCACCAATCGCTATTGCTTCAAACAGAATGCCTCCAAGCTAGAAACCCCCCTGCGCAAACATGGATGGCAAAGACGTTGGATCAAACTTTCGAATCCACATTATCACCACGAAGAGCTCGGCAGAGAGCTGCTTCAACAAATCAAAGATATCAACGAGCGGTTAGGCAATGCGAAAGGAGATGCGTGGAACCTTTCAACAACCAAGAGTGGCTCTCATGAAGGCGAATACGAGTTAGCATCGGCGAGGAGGCATCCACACAACAACCGCGGTTCTTCCTGCCGCAAGCGCTCACGGCATAGCAGCATTCGGACTGATCAGTATTCGCTTGAGAGTAGCATCAGACGGGGACTCACATACAGTGTGGGGTCTTGTGCAAGTCAAATTAGTATCACCGCATACATATCTTGAAGCAGAGATTGCGATGATGGGGTTTGACAGATACCACTTCCTGGGAAATTGATGGAGTTGGCGGTCTCCATTTGCTGAAATTCAAGGCCAGAAGGTTAAGAGCTCAGGCGGTGAAGGACTATGTGTGTTTTCACGTGACTGACCAGGACGTCTCACTCAATTCAGTAACTCAAAGTATGTAATAATGTTGTGTAAAGCCAATCAAGTATTTAGTCTTCCAATACTCATCTATGATGCTTTTTGAGTAACCTGGAGAACACAAAGTGCGAGTCTCGTGATCTCCCCAGATATCAGCCTGAATTCAGGGGTCGCTAATCTTACCCGAAATAGCTCGGTACCCCGCCGGAAGCCGAAAAGCTTATCGCCCCGCGATATATCTTTCTTTTCATGACGTCTAAAAGCGATGTTGCGTCATCTTCAAGAAAGACCATCTCTCCAGAACTCCTTCATCGTTCAATATATAACTTCTCTTTACAGCACATAGACCTTAGAACAAAGATATTTCTCAATGAGGATGTTTTATCTGCTAAGATCTGGGTCGACTAAACTCAAAATTAAGAACAATTGAATAGTGGAGTCGGACGAATGGAAAGAGCTAAGGAATTCTGAGGAGCTAATATTTCAATTGACTTCGTGTACCTGCATTCCACTTTAGCCTGAAACTTTCCGTGCCGGTCTAATCTTCTTCCTCCTCTCCACGATCTCTAGTCCCAGCGGCTTGTGATTAATATGTCAATTGATGGGTTTGCGGGGTCATGGATCTGTAATCATGTCAGGAACATCGGTTGTTGCCGAATACTGTCAATTCTTCTTGTCACTTCCCACTGAGACTTCAAGATGATGGAATTATGGAGAACAGGCTGCTTGCTGGCAGTGACTTTGTTTTGTCATGAAGTACTTGGTAAATATGCATGGCAAAACGAAGCACATTGGGTTGATACCTGGACGTCGATGCCCCAGCTCACCGAACCAGCAAATTTACCGCCAGCACCATATGTTTGTCTCTTCCCTTGTCATCATCTATCATATCTCACTGACGAATAATCCCAGAATGAAACGGGCGCCGTATTCGTGAACTCCACTATCCGTCAAACGCTTCACATGTCTCTCGGCGGAAGTCCCATTCGAATCCAGATCTCGAACGCTTTTGGAACCACTGACTTACCCATAACATCCGTGACCGTTGCCTTACCCACCAATGGCTCAGCAGGAGTAGCGGCGATCCAACCTTCGACTCTTCATACAGTGACCTTCTCCGGATCAAAGAACTACACCATCCCTAACGGCGCACTGGTAGTCTCTGATCCTATCCCGATGACTGTTGCGCCACAATCAAACCTTGCTGTTTCCATCTATCTGGAAGACGGACAGTTGAGTGCCACAAATGCTATCACGAGCCATCCAGGCAGTAGGACTACCAGTTGGATGAGTATGGGGAATCAAGTATCGAAACAAAATATCACAGATGAGACGACCGAGAGCGTGCAGCATTGGTATTTTGTGAGCGCCGTGGAGGTTTGGAGGGAGAGGAGCGCAAGAGGGTTCGTTATTGTTGGAGACAGTATTACAGATGGGAGAGGAAGTGACACAGATGAGAATGACAGGTAAGTTTGATTATGCTATTCTCGGAGCTAGGTCTACCAAAAAAGGTAATTTCGAAGAAAAACGACGGAGCTGACTAAAGATAGATGGCCAGATCTAGTTCTCGCACGCATGCAACGAAACCCCGACACAAGCGACATCGCCGTTCTCAACCAGGCCGCAGGGGGAAACAGAATCCTCTACGACGGTCTTGGACCAAATGCTCTTGGCCGCATTAACCGAGACGTCCTCTCCCAGTCTGGGATTGCATACGCCATGATCTTCGAAGGAGTCAACGACATCGGCACAGCAGCCACTGACGCCGTGTCACAGAAGAATGTCGGCGACCGCATCATAGCCGCCTACAAACAAATAGTGGAACGAGTCCATGCTCATGGCATCCCCATGTTTGCGACTACGATTACGCCATTTTCTGCACCGGGATATAATGTCACGGCGGAGGTTTATAGTGACCCTGAACGAGAAGCGACAAGACAGAGGGTCAATTCTTTTATCAGATACAGCGGGACTTTTGATAAAGTGATTGATTTCGATGCGATATTGAGGAATGATAGTTTGCCGTACTTGATTCAGGCGGATTTGCAGGGTGGTGATTGGTTGCATCCCAATGCAGCGGGCTATCAGAAGATTTCTCAAGCGTTTCCCTTAGATATCTTCTGAGGTAGTGAGCGAGATATTGTACTCGGGGAAAATAGGAGAGGTGTACATAGAGTTCATATAATGCATATATTGCCCTGATCATTATAACAGAAGCAATATGTCTTTGAGCAGGTGCGTGTAGAAAAAGTTCGTTCAGGTTCGATATATCATTCGGAGTTTCTTTGTAGATGCATAAAATTAAAAATTAAACAAGAAGCAGAGATTCTTTTGGAAGCTATGCCGAGCGAGGGTATTTAATTCAAATCCGTCTCTCATTCTCAAGTCCAACTTTTGTAAACAGCCACCACCGTCACAGAAGCAACTACTAAAGCAGCAACCTTGTAAATGGTAGGTGTTTTGCCCCGCATACTTTCGCTCGTCGAGTTAGCAAAGAAGCCGCTTCTAGGCGTGTATCCACCATAGTGCCGTGACTGGTAGCCCGAAGCAAGAGAACCTAGCGAGGTCAGCCCTGTGATGTCTGCCACAAATCAACCGGCCCAGCCGACTTACCACCCCGAATACCAGCTCTACCGAAACCTCCAAAGAGGTACAAAACGACAATAGTCGCTGTGAATGGGATCCACCAAGCAGATACCAGCGCCAGAATTCTTTTTTCTGCAGCAAATCAATATTACTGAGCCATGACCCCGATGAGGAGACTTACGATAAGCAGGAAGCTGGGCAATAGTCTCGTGCCAACTCTTCTTGAAAACTTTCAGAAATTCTGCTACCCGTGGGCCAGATCCAATTTCTTTCGCAGTGACCGACAACGAGGCTACGGCATTGCGGCCATGTATGTTAAGGGAGTCCAACACGGCTGATGGGTCTTCACTAGCTTCTTTGAGACTTCTTGAGATGGTGGAAGCGAGGGTACGACCTTGGGAATTGAGCGATCCGAGAACAGCTGATGGATCAGCTCTTGCATCTTTAATGATGTCCGCGATCGATTGCAAAGGTCCCGTGTTGAGAGACGAGGTCACGTTGCCCATTTTGTCTCAAGTTTAGTTGAAAAGATTGAACTTTGTAAGTGAAATAGAGTTTGAAATGATTGGACTTGAGAGAGGATGCTACCGGGCTATCAACAGCTGAGGTCTGAGGTGTGCTCTTAGGCTGACATCTTGTGTAACCGCAAAGCCACACCTGCGCGGTATGTTAAAGCACGTGATTCTTAACGCCACAACAGACAAGGATGGACACCACAATCCTATCTTGCTATGTTAAATCATACAATACAACGAGCTAGATTTCAGCCGAGCGGGAATAGGCTCATTGACATTGACCAGCTCTTCAAGTTGGATTGTGGTATACCTTTGGCCTATTCACTCACCATTCCAGAAGTTCTTCCATCACAACATTCCCACCCTGATAGCTGTCCCCACCAATTATCATTCTTCCCTTTCGAGTATAAATCATTTGTACACGCCGATCAGTCATCCACCGAGTCTCCGCCCCACCCAACCTATTTTCGTTCGGAATCTCGCTCGCCTTCAAAAATTCCTCTTCACCAACCAATCCTTTCTCCTCAATACTTATCAGCCGCTCAGCAACTCTAGCTGACAATATACTGTTCCAAATGCCTTCGTATCTATCCATAGTTCTCAGCAGTTGAATTGCTTTCCGTCTAATGGCCCCGTCTCTACATTTCGAAGCCACGAAGATCAGAGGAAAATTGATCCCGGAGTCGAGATTAAACGTTGCCCGTTTTCGCCCCTCTGTCTCACAATCTCGGGTCTTCAATTCGATGACAGATGTCGCGTGTGCAACGATAGCTTCGTATTGTGGTTTGTATTGATCCCAAACTGTCTCATCAGCGAAGGACCGCTCTTCATCAACTCCCATCACTATCCCCATGAAGATACGATGCATTTTCAACACGTGAACCGCTTCTTGCCCTGTGGTGTCGAAGTCCCCATGATATCGTATGAATGAGTTGAATGCAGTGGACCATTGCTGAAGCCTGATGAATGACGACGTCTTCAATACATCAAGTGTCAACGCTTTCTTAGCCGGATCTCGGAACGAAGGGTCAGGCATTGCTTTCTTCATGAAGCGCACTGATAGTGTGCGGATATGATCGAGAGAGTTGCGGGCTTGTTCTAGACTCGTGAAGGTCATTGGGATGTTGGTGTGGTAGCCGGATACCTTGTCATCTAGGACATGATCGAGGAGCTGTCTTTTCCTCCTGAATGTGATTTCAGAAACTTGTCTGTCCAGTCGGATGAAAATGGGGTTGAGGATCGAGGGCTCAGCATAAGGGCTGCGAGACAAGGACCATGTGTCTGTTGATTCGACGCCGGACTGGAGTGAAGAAATAATCTTCACTCCGCTTTCGATGTGGGATATTGCTGTGCCGTGGTGTTCTCTCATTATCTTCTCCATTGTCAACAACTGACCATTATGTTTCCGAAACAGATCTTACCTCGAAACAAACGAACAGCACACAAGTCATTAACGCAACATCGGCAGCCCGTTTCTTCTCCTCAGGAGTGGAGTTTATCAAACACCCCATAGCTTTTCCGTATTGCTGCAAGGCGAAAATACTCGGCCCTTCTCTCGACCCAAGTTCGGAAGTTTCGTGTAAAGCACCTAAAGCAACGACAGCATGTCTAATAGCAGGTTCATGATGTGTGGCTTGAAGCACTAATCGAGTCCAGAACGTCGGATCAAAGATGCCTGAGAGTGTCAAAACAGTCCTTTTGCAAAAGAAATCAAAACTTCGTCGTTCAAGATCGTTTCCTTTAAATTGTGGTTTTGGCAAAGGTGTGATTTTCGATGGCGACGGTGAGTTGTTGGATGAGGATGGAGTGCTAAGATATCCGTCACATTTTCGACCGGTACTGATGCATCTTTGACAATGGGGCTTTGTTTCATCGCATTTTTTGTGCCGGATTCTGAATTGGGAGTGAGCAAGAAGATACCTTGCAAGTAATTGATCGACATACCTGCACGTGATACATCCAGTCTTGACTTTTGGCTTGTACGCTCTGACCCGATTCGGTGTTTGGCTACGTTCTTTGGTTGGCATGTTCGTATTTCTACCTCGACTGAGATTGGATGAAGCGTACTCGGAATCGTTCAGGAGTTCAGGTCTTGGAATTGTAAACGTAGTTGGAATTGGAGCATCACTTGAATACGCTGACACCAATGATTGAACCGACTTGTAAATTATCTTCGGTACTGCGGGGAGAGATTGGAAGAGATGTCATGCAGTACGAAGTTGTGTTGCAGGATATGGATCCCCTGACCCGTCGGAGAAATGAGTGATCCTTTTTTAGCACGCGGCAATTGGTAACATATTTTTCGAGACTCGGAGTTCTGGAAAGAAAATGTGGGGAAGTACTAAATCATACCAGAAAAGGATGTTTTTTCAAGAAATTATGTATTTTATCTCATGTATCATGCGAAATGTATGGCATTTGCGCTTCCCCTTGCTCTCCGACGGAAAACTTGGGCATGTCGGCTAAGCGATGCACAGCCTCCCGAGCAGGGAGTTGATACGCTGCAGCCAATCAATGAATCTCTTGTCCGGGCCTGCCGTAAACCGACGGGATCTAGTCCATTACGGGCTAGTTGTGCGGCTGCCTGATTATACCACAGAACCGGAGCAGGAGAACGATTCTCCCAATTTTACTGCAGATCCGTCAAGTGGAATACGCTCATTCTCATGGCAAGATAAAAGATATATAAGTAGTCCTTCTAATGACATGAGCTTTTCTTTCCTCACCATCCTCATCTCCAATTCCCCTTCACCACATTATTCTTTTTTTCTTATCTTATTTGTCACTCGTTATCACCTTGTAGCATCTCATGATGCGTACCTTTACCGTCTTTACAGCTTTATCCCTCCAACTAGTATGGGCTGCTCCACAGTTCATACAAGGTGAATGCGACAACTTCACAATTGGCCAAACCGTGGAGACCAGCAGCGGAAGTGTCACCGGCCATGCATCATCAACCTATTCAGAGGTATCGGAGTATCTTGGAATCCCCTATGCGTACCCTCCCGTAGGAGATCTCAGATTTGCAGCTCCTGTAAAATACACTGGGTCTTCAGCGCTGAACGGCTCTACCTACGTAAGTTACCAAAGACAACCCCTACTCGGTTTCGCTAACATACTTAGGGTCCTTCGTGTCCTCTCTTGCCATCTGCAAACGGCACTGCGCCTACAGCCGCCAATATTGCAGCTTCAAATGTCACTGAGGTCGGGCTTGAACTTATTGAAATATTGACCAGCGAGGTTCTCGTGCATAGCGAGGATTGCCTGTACATGAATGTGTGGTCGAAACCTCAATCGGGAGAGGAGCTGAAAGCTGTCATGGTATTCATTTATGGAGGAGCATTTGACAGTGGAACTTCATCAAGTCCTCAACTCGACGGTGCTGGTCTTGCAGACATGGGAGATGTCGTTGTTGTCTCTTTCAAGTAAGCCAGTATGCTTTCTTGTTTTTGTATGATCATGCTAATTTTCATGGTAGCTATCGCTTTTCCATCCTTGGATTCCCGGGAGATCCAAACACCCAGCGAAACGTAGCTTTCTTAGATCAACGTCTTGCCATGGAGTGGGTCCGAGACAACATCGCCAACTTCGGTGGGGACACATCAAGAATCACGTTATTCGGGCAATCTGCCGGTTCCGCATCTACAGACTACTATTCTTATGCCTGGGCCTCGGACCCCATCGTCACTGGCATTATTCTCGAGTCAGGAACAGTCTTCAGCTTTGACCTCCCTTATGCTTCAAATGACTCAGCAGCAGTCTGGTACAACGTCTCCACGACTGTTGGATGCGGGAATGCTTCAACCGACCCCACAGAGCTCATGGCTTGCATGCAAAGCGTCGAACTGGACACTCTCATGGCAGCGGTCCCCCAAACCGGCCTCTACTCCTTGATCAGCGCCTTCGGACCAACAGTAGACAACACCCTGGTCTTTGCGAACTACTCCGAGCAGACACCTGCCAGCATCCCCGTTCTGGATGGCAGCAATGACTATGAGGCAGGCCTATTCCGCACTGAGCTAGCCATGTCTGGCGAGTTTCTCCCCGACATCGACTGGGACTTGTATAACCTCGCATCCTTCACCTGTCCTGCTGGAACTCGTGCAAACGCCAGTGTAGCGGCCGGCAATCCGACCTGGAGATATCGCTTCTTCGGCGTATTCCCAAATACCAACGTCAGTGCAGAAGGAGGCGCATACCACGGTGCCGAACTGCCAATCCTCTTCGGAACTACATTCTCGCCCCCTAACTCGACAGCTGAGGAGCTCATCTTTCAGAAGTACTTGATTGGTGCTTGGACTACGTTTGCAAAGGATCCAGTCAATGGTTTGTTGACGTATGAGGGTGGTTGGCCTCTGTATGATCCGAATGAGGCGACACTTGTTCGTCTTGCGTATGATGACAATTTCACTAGTCCGAATCTTGCATTGCCGATGCAGTATGATGTAGAGTGTCCGGATGTAAGCTTGGCAGCCCTGATAGCTGCTCTCCTTGGTTGATTGCTCGTCTCCATGTCAATTTTACTACAGTCGACTTCGGAATCTGAATTGGGGGCAGATTGTGGGACTTGAGATTTCGATGTTCAAACTTGTATTATACAATATCATTTGATTTAAGGAGTATGTCTACAGACCAGAGCTAAGGGAAATTCCTTAAATTTATTGTTCAACAAGTTGCAAGTATTGATCTTCCTGTATTTTAGCTCAAATTGTAGCCGCGACCTGAGGATGCCATCGCTGTAGTGAGACCAATGCTTGAAGCCTTCCCCGTGCCTAGGAAGAACATCAACGCCAATAGTGGGGAAAACTTGCATGGAAATGAAAGTAGACCTGTGGCATGTCCAGGTTCAACTTGTGTCTTTTGATCTACAAACAGCGACTTCAACTTCTTCTGCTTCGCGCTCTAGTTGACGATCCAGCAGGGCCTAGATATTCTGACGGGGTTGTACTCTGATGTTGATTCTGCCATCGATGCACTGGGCACTACAGTACAGAACCCTACGGGTGCGATGTTTAGTAGTCAGAACAGGAGTAACCCCGCATTCCAAATCAACTGAGCTGTTTTTACCATTTTGAGAGATGAGCTTGGGTCTCAAGAATGAGAAGAATATTCATTTGGTTCCAAAGAGCAGCTAAGCCACGAAAATCCATACCAACACGATAACCGACAACAGAAGCAAAGGCCCGAAGCGTCGGCGTGCTCAAACCGACTCGGCCTAAAAAGATGATGATTACAATACAGATTGAACAACGCAAGAAACAAGAACTATTTCAACGCAGGCAAACTCATCTTGGTTATTGGAAACACAGGCAAAATTCATAACTCCAAAACAGCGCAAGTGCAAGGAAAATAAGACTCTAGCAGCGAGCCGAAATAGTGACTCCAAATAGAGGACTTTGCCTTCGCAGATCACAGATAGAACATGAAATCATTAAGTTCAGGCCTCCACGGATTAGTCCGAGCTTCCACCGTAGTCCTGCCGTTGACTTTAATTGCAGCGCGGGGAGCATTCCAAATCACGACATCGTGATTGTAATTGATGAGGGTATGATCAGGGTAATTGGGGTAGTTGACACTTCGATCGAGTTCCAATGCAGGTCTCATGTATCGGCGGAGTCGATCACACAGAGTATCAGCGTACCGAGCTGGCGTGCAGACGGACAGACCTTTCGTGCCCTTTGATGCTGTGAAAGAGAGCTTATTGGTCTGGAGCAGAATTAGATGGCTGAAGCAAATAGAGGTAGCATAGGAGTGACTTACGATTGACTGCAGTTCGTCTGCATTGTAGCCACTCTCGTTTTCCAGGACCACATAATGGGTGTTGCGTGCTGTCCCGATTGGCGAATCATGAGCTTGAAGATAGAAGTTGAACTGCTTGGGCGCAACGACCGTCTCATCTACAAGGAGACCCGATTTGTTGTTCTGACGATTTTCCGGATTGGGGAAGAATCGACTGTGGTGTCGTTTGATGACAATGACTAAAGTGATGCGTGGTCGAGGAACAGCGCCTGCTTCTTCTTTGCAAGCTTCGATGATTTGTGGAAGTTCTGTTGCTCTGACTTCGCCGAATTGGCTTTCGCTCACTCCATCACGATAGAACAGAATATGCTCAGGAAGACTTCCGCCGTTTTTGCTCTTGTAGGCATGAAGACGCTCTTTCATCATGCCCTTCAAGTCGGAGATATGCTGGCAGAGAGATTAGTAAGATTAGGAAGCAGGATTGCACTTCATACCTCAGTGTTCTTCTTTTGAAGCCGTGCTGAAGCAAGATAGGTCATGTAATACGTGTCATACGTAGCCACCACCCCAGCCATCGAAGGGCAAGTCGTATCATTTACTTTACCGGGATGTGTAACATCGGCTCCAACTATCATTGTCGTTCCTCTGACCGGCAAAGGATCTCGAAGGGAATGCACGATCCCTCCTAATCTGTAGTTTGTCTTGAGGCTGCTACAGCATTAGTCGCGATAATCAAAGCCAAGAGGATTTGTGAACAGCAGCATACCTCAAGTTCCCGAATACGCCACGGTCGTTCTGGACGGCACCCAAATCTAGGATATCGGGAGTAACACACAATATGGGTATCCCAGCCTCACAGTCCGCCCACCATCGGATGTTTGAGTACGACTCCGCATTGGTATCTGGTAGTGCAAATATTACAAAATCTACCCCTGCCTTTATGCTCCTAGACAGGGCATCAGCAAGGCTTCTCCGTCTACTTCCAATTGTCGGTCCACTTGGAATTGAGAGAAATGAGTGAAGAAACTCAAAATTGAAATAAATTCCATAGGCCTTCAACGAATTGATGAAATTACACGCGAATTGTGGAACTTGTGTTTTTTGAGGTTTTGTGAAAGCTTCATCTGACGAGGGATATCTCAAGCCAATTATGGCCAAGTTCTTGTTGCCTGACGGGACTTGGAGGAAGCTTCTACTTCGAACAGTGGCAATTTGACTCAAGTTCCAAGAAGCGGAGTCACGGGCGGGCAATTTTTTGGGTGGTTGACCTTGATCTTCTTTGTGGGTTCTGGACGAGCCATAGATGTCGAGATCGAAGTATCCTTGTCCGCCTTCCCGAAATCTGATGTGAGGTGCGATCAAGGAGTGATATTCCACTTTAGTAAAATTCACGCCAATGCTTAGTCCAAATGTCTACCAACGTTAGTTATGCCCAAGCCAGAGTACAAGAGTTTTATTATACCGGATAAAACCTTTTTGCCAACCCCTTATCAATAATTCCAAGATGAGTACGAGCTTCGTTCAGAATGAGAGCTTCGTTCTCGTCCGGGTTCTTTTTGGCATAAGCGAGCATGTCAGACGTCATTGTATGGATCATTTTCCCCTTGAAAGGCTGCCAAGGCAAGAATATCAGCGTATCAGCTGGGTAGATAATCTGTGTACCATCTTTCATCGAGCCAACCGCTATGCAACGAGCATCGTCGTGGAGGGTGCCGGCGAGAAATGGGTACTCTATTGCAGCAGTTAGTAGAAGTTTTTTCGGTGATAAGAGGCGTCACAGTACTTACTAATTCGTATGTGATCGATGACGGTACGTGTTTCGTTGCCGAATGCGAATATTTTGACTGCTGACGTCTCAGTAGCATCCAGGATTCCCGATATGACCCTGGTCTTGATTGGATCATCACCAAGAAAGGTCACTCGAAGCTGCTTGAACTCGGTATTGAGTGCATTAGCTGGTGTATCCCGGCGCTTCTTCATGTAGTCATAGAGATTTTCTTCGGGGTAGAACGCAGTCGTGGCTGTGTTGACGTTCAGATAAAGTGAACCATTTCCAGGGCGGACAGAGCTAAGAAAGCCCCTTCGAATAATGGCTACCTGACCAAACTTTGAATTCATCCAGCTTGCCTTCATATTCCAGCCTTTCGTGCTTTCCGGATAAAACTTCTTCCCAACGATATTGACACCGCCAGTCGGCGAAGCGATGTCGTAAATATTCTTCCATGACAAAAGATTCAGGATTTGGAAATCCCCTTCTGGCAGGTAGCTATCGTCTCTGGTGGTACTTGGATCGATGTAGTTGCGAACTTTATCCCATCTCAGCGAGCCCTCATAGTGAAAGGCAGAGGTCATATTGACGAACCCTCCTCCAACGTCTTGTCGCTGATGTACACAAGACCAACAAGCATCAGCCTCCTCACGCATGAACTCGTAAAGTCTACCCACCGATATGATGTGAGAGAAGTAATCGCAGACCCAAGTAACTGCTGTTGGTTGGCTGTCTTGTAAGATGCTCTGAATCAGTGCTCGCTTTACTTCTCGCTTCGTAACGTCCCACTCCCCGACTTTTCCTAACACGATGCGGTACTTGTGAATTGCGACATCCTTTTTCATGTCGATTTTGAAGAAGTTCGAGGTTGCGGTTTTCGACTTTGAAGCTGTAGATGTCGAGAAAGGTGCGAGATTGAGATTCTCAAGCGCCCAGCTTTGCTTTTGAGCTTGCTCAGGAGTAGGCGCGGGGATCTTAAGATAAGCCCTCTTGAATTCTGGTCGACGACGAATTGACGATGTGCTTTGGGTTGTCGATTTACGAACTCCTGATGCTGATGCTGTCCCTGACTTCGGATGAGATGGTAGACCACGATTACTCCCTTGTGTTGAAGCTGAAGCTTTTCCACTCAAGTTCCTTCCTAGTAGTTAGCCAGACCGCGGAGCTTTACGATTGAAATTGCTTACTTAGTTGTAGAAGATTTCGCTGCAACCTCTATCCTCGCCTTCTCTCTCTTCAGCATCGCCTCCTCATACTTGACTTTCGTCCACTGCCGAACGTGTTCATCATTATCTTTGTCTTTGATCTTGCAATCTTTCGAATTATGATTGCCTTCATGCCCACAGTGCTTACATAACTGAGCCAGCTCCCCAGATTTACAATTCTTAAAGTCATGATCATGCACTTTGAGGCAGCGATCGCAAACTTGGTCTTCCCAGAATGGCCATTTCTTGTCACAGTTCCTCAGAAAATGACCAGGCTCGTTGACCTTGCATTTGGAGCAGCCACGGGCCGCCATGACTAAGTAATGAGAAATGAACTTTGAGAGAGAAACAGCTTTAGGTACAAAGGCATCGGTGGGACTAGACCACGTACTTATATTCAAAGACTTTCATCCAACTTGGTTTGCTTCAACCATCACTAATTAGCTTGTACGAATGAAAATCATCTGGCATATGGTCAAGCTCTTCTAACTCCCCTGTTTGCTAAAGCGCTCCTGATCGATTTCAGGTCACACGTCGAACCAACGCTATTTGACATTGCTCTCATCGCGGGCGCCCGGGGAATTCACCTCGCTTGTCAATGCTAAGGTCGTCTTCAGCTGACAATGAGATGCTTTAACCTAAAAAAAATCGGGGAGCTGACTTAATGTCGGAATGTTTTGAATCTATCATATGATCAGATTCAGCCCCCAGTCTCTCATCGGGAAAACTTGGTGAAACAAACTTTCAAGAACAGAATGAGTAAGAGCGTAGTGATACACCATCATAAACGCCGCAACGGTAGCGATAATAATCATATTTGGACATTTCTTCACATGATGCAGGACCAGGTATGATCGCTTCTCCTCAAGTCTTCACAAAACCCAATTACTTGAGGTGAATTGAGGTTTTAATACTATTGGATTATTCAAGGGGTCTCAATGACTATGCATTATTCTGGAACAAGCGATACAACCCCTCTAGCACTGAAATTGCCCTTTTTGCAATAACCGCCCATGCAATTGCAGCGAGTATTCTTTTAATCTATCAATTATACGCAATACTTGCGATACGACTATAAGTTTCAATTTTAAAAAAGGAATTAAATTGCGCGTGCTGCAATTGCATTTTGCGCCAGAACTTGGAATTCTTTTAGATCAGGCTCTTAAACGAGATAAAGGGGTATGGCTGATTTTTTGTATGTTCTCGTCGACGTTTTAATCGATTCCCAAAAAAGAAAGGCAAAAAAATTTTCATGATCACTACGAGGGTCGAACTCGCGACCTTGGCGTTATTAGCACCACGCTCTAACCAACTGAGCTAAGCGATCGATTTAGGTTATTAGCTGGGAGAAATCTTCTTATTTTGCAATATCAGCATGACACGGCTTGTCACGGTCTTCCACGGCATTCCCGGCCCACTTACTCACCTAATCATCGGCTAGCCTTTTTAAGCCTGAGTGCCTCGGCCCTCCTTCATTGCAACTCCGCCACCGAACGAATCACATCAGTCATAGCATTGGTCTTACTCTGCATGGATTTCCCAACCGTTGATTATCCTTTGCGGGCATAGATAAATCTCAAATACTTGTAAGCTATGTTAATCCTAGAACTCTCCACAGTGCGGGGTACTATCCGGATAGATCTACCTTGTAGTGTAGATAAGTACATGCGTAAAGTTGGAATTTGATAATGGATTCCTTACGGGATAATGATTCTTCGGTCAATGCTCACATAGACCAGAGTTTCACTATTCGGGCTCTGCATTCACGAATCTGGCAGAGATATTGTATGCAAGAACAACAATCAGGCTTATGCTGATAAGAGTTGAGATAAAAAGAAACCCTAATCGAACCTTCCTTTCCTCTGCGATATGCCAATGTACATCATAGACGGCGCAAAGCGCAGAACATGAACACTAAATACGAATTAGACCACGTCTGAGACTGTCTTCAGAGATCAGAGCCATAAGCTTTAGTGAGATTTCTGAACACGGGACAAAGTGCAGCATAACACCATAATTCCAACTCAAACCACTATCAGTCCCCAGCATTCAACATAGGCATTATCTGACATTCGAAACTTTGACAATATTGCAAACGGAAAGAAAACGTGAACAACATTTTAAGCATGAAACAGCAACCATGGGAAAAAGACAGCACTTAAAGATAGAACGAACGATCGTTGAGATTCGGGTGCCAAGGACTCACTCGCCCGTTACCGGTACCCCAAATCAGATTCTTATCGCGGTAGTCAGCAATAGGGTTATTCTTCAGAAAATTAAGCAATTCTCCCTCGAAGACAGGTCGCATATAACAGCGGAGCCGATCACACAGTATATCGGCATATCGCGCTGGGGTACAAATTGAAAGGGCCGCTGTAGCGCGAGAGCCGATGTAGCAGAGGTTGTTGGTCTTTGTACGGTTAGTCATGCCGTATTGTTTCAATGTTACGTAAAGACTTACTGTTTCTTGTAGTAACGTAGCTGTGTATCTACTTTCATTCTCAATCACAACGTAGTGACCTGATCTGGCTGTGCCGAGAGCGCTTTGGTGGCTTTGAAGATAGAAGCTGAATTGGTGAAGAGGCATGACTTCGGTTTCGACACATAGGCCAGCTTTGAGATTTTCCGGTGATTCTCGACCTTTTGGGAAGAACCGGGTATGATGGCGCTTCCCCACCACAAGTAAAGTGATTTGGATACTTCTTGGAGTTCTTCCAGCCTGAATCTTTCGGCATGCTTCCTGTATCTGTGGAAGCTCCTCATCCCTAACCATTCCATACTGGCTTTCGCTAACGCCATCTCTGTAGAAGAGAATATGATCCGGAAGCTTGTTTTCATTCTTGCTTTGGTACCATTGGAGACGCTCTAACATCATTCCTTCAAGATCTTCAATGTACTAACATACCATGTTAGTTTGAACTTTGATAGGTTCCTGAACTAGGGCTCACCTCGGTATTATTCGACTGCAATCGTGCAGATGCCACAAATTTGCCAATACTCGATGAGCACGATGAGACTACCCCTGCAAGAGACGGACAGCCCGGGTCGGCGCCCTTGCCGGAGTGGGTCACGTCGGCTCCAACGAGCATGGTGTTAAGCTTGACTCCAGAAGTACCAGCCAGCCGGTGATTGACACCTCCAAGCTTGAAGTTGATTTTCAACCTACGCGAAGCAAGTCAGTACATATCAGTGCACTCTTGAAAATACTCACGCAAGATTTCCGTAGACTTTACAATCCAGAATATTTTTGTTATTTGCCAAACGCAGATCCCGATCTGTTGGTTTCGGCCTCTTCCCCACAGCTTTCTGGACCGCTGTACTAGTCACACATATGCTTGGGACGCCACGGATACAATCAGCCCACCATTTGATATCGGCATAGACTGTGGCGTCTTTGTCGGCTAAGATGAACAGGAACATAACTGGATTTGTATGTGCCTGGCGTAAAACATCGTCGAAGATCTCCTGGAACGCAACGGAATAGTGAGCCCTGCGCACCACACTGTCGCGATCTACCAGAGGGTCGACGCGGAGTTTAAAATCTCCCGAAATGGGGATTTCATAGAACGCAAGCTCGCTTACGAGATGGGCCAAGAAAGTCCGGATCAAGCCGTGCTCCGTGAATGAGCCAACCTCAACCACAACGAGATTTTGCCAATCGCCGCCTTTCGTAAGGAATTTTGGGTGAGATTTCAAATTCCAGCTGGGATCAGTGTTCTGTGTTTGACTCCCGTAGCGAACATCAGGGTATCGCAAAGTCTTGCCTTTGACAGCCAAAAAGTCATTTGCTACCTTCAGTCCAAATGCCTGAACTCATTAGCGAGATCAATCTATCTTTTCAAAGGGTTCTTACGAACATGGGGACAAAAGTCCGTGCGTTCAGGGCATCAGAATCATGAATTTTATTAATTAATTAGCTGTAGACCAGCCACATCGCTTAATTAAGTCGTGTACCCAGAAGTCCTGCTGCTCAATAAGCCCATTGATCCATTCCTGAGGAATTTTGTCCCATTCTTCTAATACTGCTACAACCATTTGAACCTCAGTTGTTGGCTGCCTTAGGCGCCTATGGAGAGCTTGTTTTATTCTCCTCCAGCACTTCTCAATAGGATTCATATCAGGGCTAACTGCAGGATGGGGGAATAGAGTAATACCCATAGAAGTACGCCAAGTAGCACAAATATTGCTAGTAGTCTTGTGGCCGTGAGCAGAGTTGCCGTCTTCCATGAACTGAGGGGTCTTCCCAGGCCCCAAAACAGCCGCAAAAGCAGCTAAAAAATCCTGAATATAAGGCTTGAGTACTTGAGCAAGGTAATCAGTTTGTGTAAATGCCCCACTCTTCCCAGTTCCATGAATGTTGATCAATGGACTTTTGTATCCGTAGCCTACAGCACCAAAGAAGTGTACAGGAATAGTGCCACCTCTATGCATTTGGAATTGAATGCAGTCAGGATGACAGCGTTCCTTCTTATTCCTAATACACCTCTGCTTGCATTTCTTCCCTCCAACTTGAAATGTGACCTCATCTGAGTACAGTATCTGACTCCATTCCCAAATAGTCCAAAACATGTGTGCTATCCCCCACAGCCACCGCGCATTGGCTTGGGTCTTAGTGAGGTAGGGCTTTTGGCAGCAGATACAAGAGTAGTATCCAGCTTCTTTGCAGCGGCGTTTGAGGGTCTTGACAGAGCAAGAGAGTTGCAATTCATCGTGTATTTGGATCCAATTCAGCACTCTAGTTGCATGGTCGGTGCAAATATACTCAATAATATCTCTAACCTCCTGTTAATTGAGGGATTCTCTGGGTCTCCCTGTGCGTGTAGGGCGCGCTCTTTCAGGCACATCGTATAGTAGGATCTTCCTAACTGTGCTGTCTCCTAGGTGGTAGTAGCCCTGGAGCTGTTGCAGGCCTATTTTAGCGAATTTGAAGAGCCGGTGTATGCCCTCTTTGTGCTTGGTTCTGATCTCTGCACCTGGGAGACGTGGAGACATAGGTGGAGTGGTAAAAGGATCCATAATGGTGGAGTTGTTGATAGTTTAGTCCTAATGTGAAGAGTTTTAATTTCGAGGTTCTACAGCCTGAACGCACGGACTTTTGTCCCCATGTTCGTTACCGCAAAAGGCTGGGGATCTGCTGTCACACCAAGCTCTTGGAAAGCTGATTCCTTTATCAAGCTTTGATTAACATCTGGTTTCTTTTCGGCAATCTTGATCATAGCACCCATTGCAGAACTATCGAGTTTGCCACGGACAGGCTGCCACGGGATAATTGACAAATGAGTAGCGGGCACCCAGAGCTCGAAAGGGCTGTCACCTCCTATGTTTACAGCGCGCGCATTTCCATCAATATTATTGCTAAGGTTGTATTCTCCATAAATCAGTGTCAGCGGTCCATACAAATCGGGCTTTACTCACCGCGGTTCGTCGTCAAGTATTGGTCTGCTCGGATGCGAGCTTTTGTCTTTGGGTGCGTGATGAATTTGTTACTGATAGCTGTCATCGTGGCTTCGCAGATGACATATTTCCTGCCGCTTCGTGCAGTTGCGGTATCGCCCTCGAAAGTAACTCGAACTCCTTTCAAGACTCGTAGTTCCGGAGCAAAAGTGGTGCCCCGGGGCCATCGGCATTGCATCCACCGAGACAATACAATGGAAGGGAAGAAAGCCGAGGTAGTTGTGTTGACATTCAACAAGAGAGAGCCTTGACCGGGTCGCACAGATGTGAAAAAGCCGGCCCTCAGCAGGAAAATATTACTGGTTTTGTCTGCAGTCTTGACGTTTGCGGAGTGATTTTCATCTTGATTTGCCGGATAGAACTTTTTGCCTACAATACCACCATTGAATTCTGCAGTTCTGTGGAGCTGGTACCATGACACAATATTCAAGCTTCTCAGATCTGCGTCTGGTAAATAGTCTTGGTCCAAGTTATTTGAGTCTGCTGTGACATGGGCGATCAGCCTTGGAAGGTCGACCTTGCCCTCAAATACGATCTTGGTAAGAAGGCGAGGTTCGTTGGGTTCATGGGTGGGATTGCGGTAGTACGATACATCAAGATCCGAAACACCCGCTTCGTCCCCGATATTCGTGTACAACTTACCCCTCGAGATGATGTATGAGTAGTAGTCCGTTACCCAAAATTTCTTATTCAGGGTGGGTGGATTCTCTACAAGCATTCTTAGAATGAGAGCTCTCCTGACCTCATTCTTCGTTGGAATCTTGTCGTTAATTTCGGGAATCTCAATTCGATACCTCAGTAGATCAATCTGCCCAGGATCCGTCCTGAATTCCAACTTCAGGAAATTAGCTCTGCCAACCTCAGGCCGACTAACAGGGGCGAGTATTCGCTTCGCTAGATGCAAGCCTGCCTTGCCCCATTTCTCTAGATTTTGCTTCCGCAACTCGTCTCTTTGCTTTCGGACAGCTCGCTTCGCGTCAGCGCTTAGCACAGGAGCCACAACACTGGTAAGCCTGAGTGCCGTGACTTCTGTCGCCAATTTTACTGGATCTGGTGTTATAACGTCGACGGCATCTTGCGCTAATGTGTCAGAACACTCTGCAACATAATGACCTTGGTTTCCACACTGCAAAATCAGCAAAAGGCTTGCACATGTTCGGAGAAAACGTACAATCCTGCACCAAAAGGCCCTCCTTTGCTGCTCTTCACGGTGTTGCCGCTCTTGCTCCTCTTGCTCACTCATTACGGGCCGAGGGCGCCCTCGGACAAGACCTCGTGAATTAGGTCCTCCTCGATTAGGTCCTCTACCTGGGGATGGTGTATTGTTACCACTTCTACTGGGAGATGGAGAATTATTGTCCAATCCACGGCCACCTCCGCCCCGGTTGTTCACGCCACGGCCACGGCCACGACTACGACTACGATCCCTATCGTTCATCATGAAAGGTCTTGCGGCTTTTGATCAGGAATCTTGGTGAAAGCAAGCTATCTCAAAGCTGAATTCATTAGGCTATGTTACCTAACTTATACACCTCTTGTACCCTTAACAGACAATCATGTGCATGTAATGAAAGCACAAGGCGGAGTTTTCAAGTGCTACAAACGCAATTAGAAAGCGAACGAGCAGATGGTTTGCTCCCTGGCGCATGAGAACACCAATACCATTGCATCGAGCAACCAAGGAGGGATATCATCCATTGGCAAGTGGGTGACGATCATACGATCATAATCGAGATGAGGAAACACATTACTTGTCATGCTCGGGAGCCAGGAAAGGAGCGATCTTTCGAAATAATTTGTGGTCTCGTCCCGATATAGCGAGTAGACTTGTGAGTTGTCAGAGAAATTTTTGGAAACATGGGAAAACATCACTCCTGCCGAGCATCTTTATCCAACATAATGAGTATTGCTTACATCATTACTTTGTCACCCATGCGTGATGACTACCAGACTACTTGATACACGAAGAATAGCAAATTGACGCCAATCAACGCCGCAGGCAAATTCAAAGCAATATTTTTTCACAGCCAAATACTTCTGTCTTCATCGAGAACTACAGACTTTTGAGTTGATTTCACGAAAGGATTGCAATTATGTTATTTTTTTTTGCCAAAAATTCAGAGCCCCCTACACCTAAAAGATTGCAGCATAACACCAACGAAAACCTAAACTCATATGGCAAGTACAGTACAGAGCAAAAAGGAAGCAAAACAGGAAAACACCCCACACAAAGCAAATACAAACATCAATAGAAGCAAGAACGTAAGTTCAAAGACAAATGCAACTGCTAGATCATAGGTAAAACATGCTATTACGCAAGTCTGGATGCCAAGGGTTTGGCCACACTTGTTTTGTATCCCTGAGCTCAAAGACTGTATGCCTCCAAGTAGCCGTATCCACTCCATATTGGGCCAGTGTCTTATCAGGAGAATCAGGGATCTCGCCTTCCATGACTGGACGCATGTAGTTGCGTAGACGATCGCACAGGATATCTGCGTATCGAGCAGGCGTACAGACAGAAAGACTCACTGTCGCACGAGATCCAGTGAAGCAAAGCTTGTGAGTCTACCTCAAAGTCAGTAATGCCGTATTGCAAGATGGGAAGGAAGCTTACGATCTGCTGGAGTTCGTCAGGGGAATAATTGCTGCCGTTGCTGATAACGACGTAGTGACCAGTGCGAGCTGTGCCAATGGGCGAGTCGTGGCTCTGAAGGTAGAAGCTGAAGTGATGAGGCGTAACCACAGTATGGTCAATGATGAGTCCAGCTACTGTGTTTCGGTCCGTGGATCTATCTCCAGCCTTAGGGGCGGGTTTCTGGCCTTCCAGCCATTTAGGAAAGAAGCGAGTATGATGTCGTTTCCCTACGACGAGGAGGGTGATCGCAGGGTTGATCTGAAGGCACTTCTTCTGACCAGCAGCCTTTGCACCTTGCCGGATTTGAGGAAGTTCTTCTTCATAGACCATCCCATACTGGCTCTCGGAAACACCATCTCTGTAGAACAGGATATGATCTGGTCCCTTCCCCCAGGCTTCTACGAATCGCAGAACTCGCTCTTCAATCATGCTGGCAAGATTTTCGATAAACTGAAATGGATTTCGTCAGAGACGTGCTGGGGATCTCAGGGGTAGGGGACTTACTTCTGTATTATGTGTCTGGAGTCTTGCGCTTCCGAGATACACGCCGGCATCTGGACAGCAAGTTGCTACAACAGCAGCGAGGGAAGGGATTGTGGAATCTAAACCTTTTCCGGAGTGCGTAACATCAGCACCAACAATCATTGTACCTCTCTTCACTCCGGCCATCCAGGTATTGGAATCCGAGAGGACGACTTGATTGACACCCCCTAGCTTGAAGTTTATCTTCATGCTGTCCGGGAGTATTTAGCATAGATCCATGGAGAACTGAGCGTTCACTTACCATACGTTTCCTAGAAGACGACCATCGCCAGAACGAGCATCAGGACGACTCTTTTCTTTGTTTTTCGCAATACACTTCGGCTTTACACACATCGATGGCACACCCTTTACACAATCGCACCAGAACTTAATATCAGAAAAGATCGTCGCATTTTCTGTCGCCAGAGCAATCAGAAGGAATCCTGGTTTCTTCAATTCAATCCAGGCTTGTTCGAGCGACTGGGCCCAAGCAGTTCTTCTCTCTGCCGCCGATCCGTCTCGGACAGCGGTGACGTTGACAACAGCAACAGAGCCGTTGAAGTTAACATTGTACTTCGGAAGTTTGTCTAGAAGCTGCGCACCGAAAATTTTCACATCATTCATTGAAGGTCCGTGGAGCCTTGCCGGTTGCTCAATTCTGATGATTTTAAGCTGCAGGAGGTTGCTGGAGGTTTTGTAAAACTTCATGTGTTTGAGGTCCCACGTAGCCAGCTGGCGGTATTCGCTAGCATCAGGGTCGACTTCCGCCAGAGCAATAGTAGCATCTCCGGAGAATCTTATTGTTGGCTGCTTGAGATATCGAGAAGGCATCTCTATCAAACCACCCGTGACCCGTAAGCCAAAGTCCTACGTGTGTCAAAATCAGGCATTAGCGCAAGGAGCGGGAATTCTTACATTCCAGAAGGGCTGAGTAGGTGCGATTCCGAGAGGTTGCAAAGCATGGCTTGTGATCGCATTTTGATTTGTTATCGGCTTTCTTTCTGTGCATTTGATCATCTGGCCAGCGAAGAAACTGTCCAGGGTTTTCACAATGTACTGATTGGGGACAATTCGTAATTTATCAGCTGGATGCCAAACGTCGCGACCAGAGGCGCCAAGGTTAACACAAAATGCATTGGGGTCAAATGTAGCATTAATGTATCCTATAAGTACAGTTAAGCTGCAGCACATAAAGGTTGGATCGAGAATCGACTTACTTTGTGTCATGTAATCGAACACGCTAGTGGCTGCACCACCTCCGTTTGGTTCGAATCCTTCTTGCGAGACAGAACGATCACTGACAGCGTAGACTGACCATTGCTTCGTGGGGTTTCGTAGATCAAATGTCACCTTGAGTCCTCGCATATCTTTACATGCCCCGGCTCGAGGAGTCGCACCAATAGCAAGATCATATCGTGCTCTCATCCACTCTTGCAAATTTACACCGACCGCGTAGAATGCGCCCGAGATAGTACTTATGTTGAGAAGCAGCTTGCTCTCGCCTGGTCTGATGGAAGTAAAGAATCCAGTCCTCGCTTCGTACACGGTTGTTGGCACATCTTGTTGAAGTTGCATACGTCCTCGCACGTCGACGTAAGTCTCTATGTCTCTCGTGAGCCTCCATTTTTTGGCATCTTTGGGGAAGAATTTGTTTTTGACTCGAATTCCGTTCCAAGACGGATCATTGATTCTGCGCCAAGTCAAGATGTTCAAAGCATTGATATCTTGATCTGGGTGGTAAGGTGTGGGCCTCTCATGCTTCGAGATGAGTTGATTGAGGTTTGCAAGGTCAAATTCTCCCTCCGCAACAATAGACGAAGGAATATCAAGATCATTCACGCCAGGACGCTCTACCGTGGGATGTGGGCGAGGAAGTGGCCTGGTCTCACTCCATGTTCCATACAGCTTACCCACAGAAATAATCGTCGACCGATAGTCCGAGGCCCATTTTGTCGAACTGTTAGGAGGGAATTTTGTGAGCAGGAAACCGATGAGCTTTCGTTTGAACTCGTTATTAGTAATTTCTTCCCCATCAATGAGGCCTAGGTCGATCCTATAACGGCGATACTTCTTGTTGGGTTCGAACGAGAGCTCAAAATAGTTTGCGCTGATTTCCCCGCGTCTCTCTCCCTGGCTAGCAACTATTCCGGTGGTGATATAACTAGGCAGGCTCAAGCTGGCTTTGTCCCATTTTTCGTAGTTGCTTGTACGGACCGCGCGTTTTGAGTCAGCTTGGCTCTTTTGAACTGCCCGAGCCTCCTTTCGCTGTGCCTGCTCCTGTTTCCGAGCTGCCTCACCCCTCGCAACAGAACCTGGCGCGACTCGAAATGTCTGTAAGGCGTTGGTGATTGCTGCCGCCGGATCCTAAAGATCTTAGTATGCCGTTGGTTATAGAAACAAGAAACATACCTGATTGACGTTGCCACTTGTGTCACCTCCTCGACCCCTACGTTCAGTCATGCTGGGCACTTGAGAAGTCGGAAAGTGAACTTGCTCCTGAATCTTGACAGGTCTCACTGAATGACTCCGTAGCCAGGAGCTTGAAGGATTGCGGAACCTCATCTTAAATAGAACTAGAGATATACTTGACACGAAGTCTCAAGGGATGAATGACGAGACAGGCAAATAGAATGATCGTGCCGCAAACAGTCCATCACTTGGCAGGGCAAACAACTCTTCCTAATCACGCTTCTGCATCACACTTGATGATATCCTGACAATGGAGTATGGTAGGAACTTCTATCCGCGAACAGACCAGATGACAAGAAACCATCGGAGATACGTATGACAGCTATAGGTTCCAGCATTCTGCTCTCTGTAAGTGAGGTTTTGATTGTCATGGTGTAGAGTGACCTGTCCATGTATATGGGCTATTTTGGATCCCCCAGCGTCTCTGCTAACTCAAGAGCAGAGCGTGAAGCAAGTTAAATCAATGCGAACAAGACACGCACATTCTTCCCATCCTTATCACATCTCAGGACTTTCGTACCTTCTCTACCACACGCCATTACAGCTTCCTGCTCTTCTTTGCAATCACCGTTTGTTTCCACGCATGTGTAGCTATTCCAGGCTCGATGATCGTAACAATATTCTGACTACCAAGGTCGCATCTGCTCCCAGAATTTCGTCCAGCTGTCAGGAGCTGGATGCCTACATTCACCCCCCAAAAACTATACTTGTGACAAGCAGCTACGGCTATGCAGTCAAGATAGTAGTCTGGCCCAGTGACGAGTTGTAGTCGACTGTCCCATTATCGAGGCAGGTAAGATAGGTTCGAGTTGGTCTTCGGTCGCTGGAGTTGCCTTGATTGAGGATGTAGCGTCTGTCTCCGCGATTACGATGATGATATACAAGTTGGCTGTTCTTAGTGCTACAGAGGTTAATTGGCAGATCAACCGGGGAGCACATTCCTGTTCATATTTGATCGAGAAGATAGAAATGAAGTGCGCAGATGGCGATGCGAAACGCGACCGATGGTGCCGAGACTCATCGGAGTGCAACTAGACCCTGTGCCATAACGAAACGGCATGCTTGTTAGGCTACACAAGGCTTTGCAGACGTATATATGAGATGCCATCAGAGTGTTTGCTCCAGATTTCTTTTCCGGCTCTGGCTTCGTACAGTTGAAGTCGGCACTTTGAATAATACCGGATCAAGGTTCTTCCGTTGGAGTCTAGCTTTATTGGGAAACAACCTCAAACTTCTTGGGGAATAAATCTCTTCTTTCAACTCTAGTCGGACATATTGCCAGAACGTTTCTTGAGGGTCCCAAACATCAACGCTGTCTGCCGAGATACATTCACCAAACCTGAGATGACTCGCATTGACATCCGATTTGATATCGCATCCAAGTGGTGAATTGGTGCAATGCCCTTCATCTGCTGGTTGACGAAATCCATCTGTATGAAGCATAGGCTTGAGGTTGCTTTGTTCCTTTAGTGTTTCGAGGTCAAAATCCCCGCTGACTAGATCCCAGTAGCGTTCTGTCTTCAAGATTCCGGACTTGCAAGGCTGACAAACCCACATCTTAGCTCCGAGACAGTCTCGAATACGTGGTTCAGTCATAGTTGTGCACTACATGCCAAACTCAATCTTTCTATACCAATGTCAATTTGCATACCGGTTGTGGTTACTACTCAGTGTTCTGGCGCATCGAGTAGCTGCACATCCTGCATATCCGCAACCACGTCATCAAAGCGAGAAAAGAAAGGGTCATTTCGCACATTGACACATTCCACTATACATCAGATCCCCCGAAAACGATCGCTAGATCATATATCAGATAAATATTTTCTCTGCGCTCCTTCAGGGACATCCTTGTAAAGAAACTTCGGATACCTCTCACACAACTCCCAACTCATCTGTTTCAGAAATGTTATCTGCTCTTTCACCCATCCCTCGATCTGTTCTTTCTCCATCTCTTCCATGCCGCTACCTCCATTTCTCCTCTTTTCCAGCACTTTCTCTTCCATCTTACTGACTCGTTCTCTCAGCCTCCCCAATTTCCACTCCAAAAAGTGACCTTTAACATTATCCCACTCATGATGCCCAGGGCTTGTACTCCTCAGACTTGTTCCTGAATCATCTCTGTCCACATCTACGAACCCATAGCTGGTCACCATACTAATTCTCTCTGCCGAATTCCAACTTCTCAATGCCGCATGCGGAGTATGGGCTCCCTGCATAACAACTGCGGACCCTGCTTTCATACCTCGAGCTTTGAGGATCGTTCCCGAGGCGTTGACAGCAGTCTCACCTCCAAGCATAGTGCTGCAGTCGCTCAGCATCACTACTACGACAACCTGCGTGGAGTCTTTATGCCAAGAGTCGATCATTGATGCATCGTTCTGTCCTTCGTTGTCCTCGATGCTGTCAGAAGACAGAGGAGGAGATGGAGTTTCTCCTAGTTTATACACTCCTTCTCGTCCTTCGGGGCCGAGTTGTACGTTCACATAACCAACTTCGCCTTTTCGACCTAGGAGATTGAGTGGGAGACCGAAGACTTCGCTCACACATGCCGTTACGGCAGGGTGGTGCCACGTGGAGGTCACCCATTTGGTTGTCTGTTTCTTGTTAGGTCCTTCTTTGGGCTTCATCGTATCCATGAAGGAAAAAGGGACAGACCTCTTCAGCACCTCCAATATATCCCGGCGCCCGATCCCAAGCTTTCAGGTGCTTATCCAAGACCTCTTTCCTCAATAAGTCTCTTCTTATCATTCGAACTCCTTCATCGGAAAACAGTTGGAAGGGCTCTGTGAAGCACGTGTCGGGTGCTGTAGCAGGCTTTGGAAGATTAAGGGAGGTGAATGTGTATCTTTTGGTGGGAGGGGTGAAATCCAAATGGATTGCGGGGTCAAAAGGCGGAATTGAGATTGGCTCATATTGTTTCGTTGTCGAGAGGGAGTACGGGTTGGTCACTGTTTCTGTTATGGTTGCCATGTTGAAGATTGTGGTGTTATATGATCAATGAGAGGAAAGTGATGAAGGTGAAGTATTATCCAAGCCCTTCGTGAACTGATCTCTATGCTACATACATCCCACCTTCGAGCAAGTGCTTAGAGCATGAACTATGCCACAGACTGCTCTAAAGCTAGAGAAGCAGCGAATGAGGTTATGCAAAATCTGAGGTGACCTATGGGTCTACATTTCCTAGTTTGGATGGCGGACCCTGTCCAATCAAGTCGCCGATTTTAAGTACACATGAGCAACAGCAATGCATTTCCATATTTGAACGTTTGATTTCCGATCTTTTCTACAGCGAATGGCTTTCTAGATCTACCTCGACGCCTTTATTTCCTTGTTCCTTTCATAAGCGATTGTTTACCAAGTCAGAGCTACCACCTGCCTACTCATCCTTTCTCAACGTCGGATCCTCCAAAACATACCTCTCACACTGCTCTTTCCCCTTCTTCACATCCACCATACAAATACACGCATATCCCACTACCGTCAACCCCAAACTGAAAGGGAATCCCTTCCACGTGTTCCCTGTCCTATCAATAATAACACCGGACACGATCGGACCAATCCACGCTGTGCTCTTACTAACCAACGCATATAACGCAAAGAAGGTAACTTCCCTCCCTTTCGGACATATATCACTCAACATTGTAGCCGAAAAGGTATAGAACGGAGCAACAGCCGCACAATCGATCACAGAGAACGCCCAGACTTCCCAAACGTGGTGGAACCCGAATCGAGTCGTGCCGATGCCGATACAGCCCCAGATTGGCATTACCAGTAGGAAGCCGCAATTTACCATCAGGACCAGCTTCGTGCGGGTTTTGTACTTGCGCTGGACGAGCCAGAAGATTGCGATCCCAAAAGCGTTGGAAAGACCTTGGACAATGTACAGCTCCGTTGAAGTTGTGGTGCTGTAGGAAACGATGGCATTTTGACAGATGCCATAGATCTGGTTGGTTGTTGCGTAGCCATCGGAGATGAGGAAGTAGCCAAGAAGATAAAGCCAGGTCTGTGTGAGGCGAGGGATACGTTTGAAAGCATTGTAGTATGCTTTGGCGCCGACTGAGAAGTAAGTCTCTCCTTTAGGGAGTTTGGCTGCACGGTCTTTCTCGAGGAAGAACCAGGGTGTCCCGCATATGATCCACACTCCGGTTGCGACACCGATGATCACGACTGCTGCGTGGTAGTTTCCTTCACTCGATGAATTGGCGTCCAGTCTCTCTCAAGAATCGAAGAGAGGATATATACTCAACGGCGCATAGGACATTGTCCCAGCAGAATTATTCCCAAAACAATACGCATACCAAGCCCAAAGTTCCCATCTAGTGGTAACAGACTCCGAAGGTCCCAGATCAATACCATCTTTCACGCTCTTGCTCTCAATATCTACATTTCGCTCTTGACATGGGTATACACTTCGAGCTCAGCAGCTGCGGTATCACCGCCCAAAGGGCCTGTGCTCGCCATGTTTTCCTTGCAGTCCGTCCATCTTCGTTTTCTGGCGATCGCTGAATTTTATTTCCTCAAAGATGGGGTTGAATGAGAACGCATATGTCCGTCGGCAGCATGATAGACCCATTCCACGGATCTAGATCTTGATTGTGGTAGCATTCCATCTAGATATCCCAATCCGATTTATATATCCCCTGTTCATCGGTAGGATTGCCGTTGGGGTGATATTGGTCCGCTGCTAGTAGCGCTTACGCCGCGGGGTAGCGCCAAAGGTGGGATTTGCGTTCTTTAGTGAAAGAATCGCATCATTCTTTTCTATCCACATTGAACCCACAATTGCTAAAGATCAATCGAAAGGGTCCAAAGAAATCAATAAGCAGGAGTTTGAGACGAAGATAGGTTCCCGTTGTTTTGATCTGGATCGACGGACTTGGAAGAGTTGCAGCAAATTCGAACATTGCCTCTCGATTGTCGAATTATTTTTAGGGACGTTGCACCAATCGTTACCTAGGAGACTGACAATTGGATCAATTTTGCATCACATTTCAAGATGGGAGAAAAGGATGGCTTGATATCCCACATCCAAGGGGCTGGGTCTTTTACCCCTCCTCAACATCGAAGCTGGAGACCTTTCGTCAACACCTTTATCGCTGGCCTCTTACTCGCATCTCTGATCATCTACAAACGACACGATCTTTCCTTAATCCCCAGTGATTGTATTGGTAAGCCGAAATATCAGCCGCAATGTCCACCACAAGAAGTCATAGGTCCGAAATCGCGACCAGACATCACGTCCCGAAATGTTGAAACCATTTTCAAATCTCCCGCTTTTCGCAATCTAAGTATTGCACGTCTTAGTGGGGCAGTACAAATACCAACTGAGGATTTTGATGGCATGGGTCCTGTTGGTGAGGATGAACGTTGGGATAAATTCTACAACTTGCAGGAGTATTTTGAGAAGACGTTTCCACTAGTGTAAGTTTGGCATCTCGTCGCCCGAAGCAGTACGCTGACATAACTAGACACGAAAAGCTCGAGTTGGAGATTGTGAATTCTCACGGTCTTGTATATACTTGGAGAGGATCAGACAACAGTCTCCAGCCACTTCTCCTCATGGGACATCAAGATACTGTGCCCGTAGCCGCAGATACGCGTGACCAATGGAAATATCCACCATTCTCAGGCTACTTCGATGGAAAGTACATCAACGGTAGAGGTGTACATGACTGCAAGAACAACGTCCTTGCCATCTTCTCATCAGTCACCGCACTTCTGGAAGCAGACTTCCAACCCCGCCGCACTGTTGTCCTCGGCTTTGGTTTCGATGAAGAAGCACCGGAAGGATACGGAGCACTTCAAATCGCGAAATATCTCGAGAAATTATGGGGTCAGAATTCTTTTTCTATAATCGTTGACGAGGGCGTCATAGGCATCTCGAAGGTAGCGGGTAGGAGTTTCGGCTCCCCACAAGCGAGCGAAAAGGGGCATATGGACGCCGTGATCCGGATTCATGTGCCTGGTGGTCATTCGAGTATGGCACCTCCCCACACTTCAATTGGTATTCTCTCCGAAGTCGTCACAGTATTGGAGAACAATGCTCGACGAAACTTCCCCAGTCGATTTACAAGCAACAACCCATTCTACTACCAGCTCCACTGCGCAGCCGAAGACCCTCTCACAGACATCTCTCCCGAGCTCCGCCACGCACTCAAGAGTCCCAACAGGAATGATAAAGTCGTCGAGCTTTTGAAAAAAGACTTCTTAAAAGACATCCTGCTCCGCACAAGCCAAGCAGTAACAATCTTCAACTCGGGCAGCAAATCCAACGCTCTTCCCCAATACGCTCAGACCCTTGTAAACTACCGAATCTCCAACGAAGAGTCGCTCTCTTACGTCCAAACACACATCCAAGATACAATCTCCCCCATCGCCACCAAGCACAACCTAAGCTTCGTCACGCTCCCCGAAACAAGCAACTCCTCCTCGTCACCAGAAAATACCCTATCCCTCGTCTTCCAACGCCCCCTCTCTCCCTCCCCCGTATCCTCCCACAAATCTTCTGCCTGGAAATACTTCTCGGGTGTCATCAAACACGTATTCGACGAAGAAGGAGAAGGTAACGATGTATTAGTGGCACCGACGATCGCGCAGGGGAATACGGATACGAAGTATTTTTGGAACTTGACGGATCAGATCTATAGGTTTGGGCCGATGAGAGCGTGGCATGATGAGGGGTGGGGTGGGGTTCATGATGTGAATGAGAGGGTGGCTATAGAGGGGCATTTAGAGATGATCCTGTTCTATCATGAGTTTATTCGGGTTTTCGATGAGGCAGATTTGAGCTGATGAGTACGCGGAACTTACATGAAAGGAGGATGGTGGGACTTTATATCTTTGTTTCGATGACATCTCGGTGTGGATTCGGGAACAACAAATTGGCTCAAGGGACTACAATCCACACAGAATTTCTTCCTGCCGATGACCGGACGAATTTCGTAGTCACCAATGACACACAGCCTTCTCAAAGATAAACATCAATATAAGCCATGCATACAACTATCAGATAACCCCAATCACATCTTCATGTCTCCCAAATCAACCTTCCTACCCCTCACTCTTCTCAAAGCTCATCATCAAACTCCTCCTCATCCCATTCCTCCTGCACCCGCTCCATACGTCTAGCATCCTCATATTCCTCCAGATCATCATAGACCTCTCCCTCCTCGTCAATTTCCTCGACCTCTTCTCCCTCCTCGCGAACCTCGTCGAATTCTTCTTCCTCCTCGTCAATTTCCTCGAAATCTTCGCCCTCGCCCACATCTTCGAAGAAGCCGCCGCCGCCTCGCATTGAGACGAGAGAGTCGGAGATTCCGGGTTTCGAGGTGGTGCAAGAGTAGAAGTTCATTGCTCTTGGTGCCATTTTGGAAGTGTTTGTGTTTGGTTGGTTGGTCCGGGTTTGGGTGGTGGCGTTGCCGGGAAAGTTTTGTTTGGGGAAGTTGGGAATTTTTGAGTGGAGGGAGAATTGTTGGGGAGTTTATATAGCATTAGTGAGGATACGGGACTTGTGATTCATACAATCCATTGCAGGGGTAGCAATTTCAGAGCGATTCTCCTAGATTCAATGACTGGCCGTTGGTGGTTATTCATTAACAGACTTCAGCCAGTCAGTAGCAGATTTCTTCATGATTCAACCAACCTCTCGATCGTGTTACTTCGAAGGTTCGCTAGGATGTCGGTTTGTTCTTTCAGTGATCCCTTCTTGCAGCTAGGAGCAGCCGGAACTACTGATACCAAAGGGCCAAAATCGAATCTGGGAATTTGAGGCGTACTTTGGCACGATACAAGTACTGCAAGTTGTGGAGTATTCGCTGGCTGCTTTTTGGTAGAAGAGCACAGCTTGCCCTATGAGTCATGCTTCTCAAGCGATCATTATATCGATCTCCAAAAGCTTCAGCTCTTGGATCCAGCCAATATTGTGCATCCCAGCACACACCGCAGCATCTCTTTTCCTCCAAATACTATCAAGTATCTCCATCGCGCTTCGGACATAGCCCATCGTACAAGGTAGGCACTCCCTCAATTGCTGAAGCCTCGTCATCGCCCAGGCCTGCTGCTCAAGGTCTCTTGCCTCTGCACCTGCAACAAATGTGGGCCACGAAGTAGCTTTGAAAAGCTCGTTATCGGATGTTACGAAAGAGAGGTGGGTGATGATATCTGATACTACGGGCTCCAGGTTATCTTCTGCTTCGGCTTCGGGAGATAGGAATCGTAAGACTCGACATATGTAGATGCAGACGGCTGCTTTGTGGGCCGAGGCCACGTGGACTCGGTTTTCGAGGTCGCAGTGTGGAGAGATGCGCTGTAGCCCAGAAGCCCAATCTCGCACGTTGAACGATTGAGCAGCTTGGAGAAGAGGAGGAAGTTGATTTCCCTCAAGAGTTGTTGTGAATTTTGCTGGAAAGTGGTCGTGCATCGTCTGCAGGAGTTGCGCAGCTGTTAATACTGCCTCGAGGAGCGCTGCTGGGAAAGAGAGATAATTGTTGGCTTCGGCATAATGCAGCGAGGAACGGACAATAGAGGCACTGTATCGAGCGGGTCCTGAGGAGTTTGACTGTGCGAAAGTTGAGCTAAGTGCGTCGTATCTAAGATTGATCAATTCTTTAACTGTACACAACCAAGCTCAGATCCAAACGAGTACATACACTAAGCAGCTGGAGATCAGGGAGCGGCGCAAAGAGCTCATGTTAGAGTGCTTGAGCTTGTAGGGTTCCTTCATAGAGTTGATGAGTGCTATGGCACCGTGCATGTGCAGTCTCCAGTCCTTTGTGCCGAAGTCTGTAAGCTCGAATTCGATGAAGAGAAGTATTGTTCCAAGGGTAACATCGATATCTGATGAGCCAACATCGTTGAGAATCGAACTTAGTGATCCAAGAGCACGCTGCTTAGCTATCAGGGCGTCTTTATACCAGGTGGACGATTGACTAGTCGGTGAGATCTGAAGATGTGGCGTCGATCCTTTCATTAGACGGAGTTGGTGGTTGAATGACATGACTGCAGATCGTTGTGAAGCATTCGATAGCTGGAGCGCCGAGTTTGCAATGATGATATTGAGCAAAGCAGGATGTTGCGTTGCCAACGGAATGAGGTCACGGAATGGATTTTGCTTGGGGAGGTCGTAGATGACAAGGTCTTTGCACACTTTACTGTTGACTACGAAGTGTATCAGCGTCATAGTCAAAGAGTTTTCAGGAGAGGTTAAGCGGCAGAGCTTACAATGTGAGATATAAAATCTTGCATCTTGATTCAGATCTTGTAAAAAGGGATCAGTTAAATGACGACCCAGCGGAAGGGCGATATCATCTGCAAAAGGGAATTTGCGCTTCGCTACCAAGAGCTGACTGCTATGATCCAGCAAAGGTTGCGGTGTTAATTTTGAGGCACCTCCTGAGATATTTCCAACAGATTCCAATTCGATATTCGAGCTCGGAGGAGAGCTGGTAGAAGATAGAGATTCGGGGCTAAGACGTTCCTTCTTTACCTCCCTTTGTTTCATATCCTCAAATGTCATGCCTGACATCTTTCCACGGCTTGCTACGCCATTATTCCAGAAGAGCAGAGCTTGGTAGCCGAGGCAGTCTTGACCGGTACTCGTGCATTTGTAGCATTGCGGAAGAGAGCGATCGCACCTCAAGCGCCGCCGTCGGCAGTTATGACATGCCTTCCTCGGCAACGACATCTCAAGGATGAGAGGGGCAACGCAGCATGATTATCATGATGAACGACCAAATGCAACGTTGTGAATTATATTATTGAACTCATAGGATGACGTACTTTTCGAGGACATGAAGAGGTGAGGCAAAAAGGGAACGGTAGCGGGTACTTATCTCCTCGCACGTGAACGCTAATGCACGAGTTGTGTCTTGGCATCCTCTTCGGGAGTAGTGTCTGAACCATCTCGCATGTCTTAACTCTTGATCTCCCCTGAGTGTTAAGCGAGTCAGCTAGGATGCCATGATTTATCATCGAAGACAAAAGGCGCACACCGTACGGTCTCAAAACTTGTATAAATGTCTCCAAATGTCTCCAAATGTCTCCCGGAACTTTCATAAACTTCAGTTCCATTATATGATGTTGGTGTATTCTTTGACACCATTATAATGTCTCCAGAAATGGCAGGAATTACCAATAAATCAGAGAGGGCCGACTCTCCTTCGCAGACGTGTCCTACACTTTTCCCAACGCAGAACGAGCTCGAAAGACTGGGAAGACAACGACCTGATATTTTCAAAACTTGGTGGGCTGAAGTAGGATTCTGCTTCGCTATTCTCGGATCGATGCTTGCAGCGGTAAGTCTCTCAAACCCGCAAATGAAAATGCAGCTCACGTCTGCAGGAATACTTTATCAGCGGCTTCACTATAATTCTCCCAACACTGAGCACTGTCCTCGATATATCTGCCGAATCTCGTACTTGGCCAGCCAATGTTTTCTCATTGGTGACGGGAGCCTTTCTACTTCCATTTGCACGCCTAGCTGACCTGTATGGCGCATACGTTGTTTTCACCTCAGGGTTGATATGGTTGTGCATCTGGTCGCTCATTGCTGGTTTCAGTCAGAACTTCCTGATGCTTACATTCTGTCGAGCATTACAAGGCTTTGGACCTGCGGCATTCTTACCTGCTGGCATCATGATCCTGGGTTCCATCTACCGACCAGGTCCTCGAAAGAATCTAGTCTTCTGTCTTTACGGAACTTTTTCTCCTCTTGGCTTTTTCTCTGGAATATTCATAGGTGGTCTCAGCGGGGAGCATATTAGTTGGGGCTGGTATTTCTGGATCGCTTCAATTCTTCTGGCTTTGGTATCCGCAGTAGCACTGGTCTTTGTTCCCTCTGATCGACTTGACCCACGCTCCGAGAAAGTGAAGATGGACTGGTGGGGTGCGGCTACCATTGTGCCAGGTTTGCTGTTGGTTGTCTTTGCCATCACTGACAGCTCACATGCCCCCTCCGGCTGGGCCACACCGTATATTCCCGTCACTCTGATTGTTGGAGTCGCATTTCTTTGTGGTGCATTCTATGTTGAGGGTCGGATCTCGGAGAATCCTCTTCTTCCCTTCTCACTTTTCAAGATCAAATCTATGAAGCCTCTGCTCGTTGCTTTATTCTTCACGTACGGAGTCTTTGGAGTTTACTTGTTCTACGCAAGTTTCTAGTAAGTCTAAGAGATATCTTCGCTCTCATAGAAATTATTTAATCACGACAACAGTATCATGGAAGTGATAGGCGTCTCGGCGCTCAGGACAACCGCCTGGTTCGCCCCCATGGCCGTCGGAGGCCTAGTCCTCGCTACAGTCGGGGGCTTCACCCTTCATCTCCTCCCTGGCAAAGCCTTGCTCATAGCCTCCGGCATAGGCTATGTGGTCAGCGTCTTGCTCTTCGCCCTCATACCCGAACACTTCAGCTATTGGGCATACATCTTCCCCGCGATGCTAGGGTCAACTTTAGGCGTGGATGTAACATACAGCGTCAGCAACGTTTTCATCACAACGAGTCTTCCAAAACACCAGCAAGGTCTTGCGGGAGCCGTTGTCTGGGTTATCATTTTCTTGGGTATTGGTTTCTTCCTTGGGGCGGCGGACGTAGTGGTCTCAGCCACTGCACATTTGGGGCTGAGAGAAAGTTATAAGGCGGCTTTTTGGTTCGGGACCGGATGTGCTGGGCTGGGGCTTTTCCTGTTGGCTGTGTTTGTTGATGTTGGGCAAGCGAAGAGCGCTCTTACGGCTGATGAGAAGAACGAATTGGAAGCAGGGCTTACTGGTTAATGGGGATGCATTGCGCTGGAACGCAACTTAGATTTAGAATAATCATAGAGTTATTTTATTCCTTTACTCAGTCAAATAATATGTGTCACCCACAGTCTCGATGCTGTGATGTGTCCTGACAACTAACGAGTCACTAGGCGCAAAGTTATTCACATCCTGTTCCCTTACTCATCCACCCTCCAGTCCAGAACCATCGGCAATCTCTTTAACTTCGCCTCTTACTCCCGCTCTGTTACACATAATCAATCGACACCACAAAGCATTCCGACACTATTAACACAACAAACATGTCCCGATCCGTTAACCGCAGCCCGGAACCCCGACCATGTCCCAAGTGCGGAGGTTACATCTGTTCTGGCGTCTACGAATCTTGCGAAGATTATTACCTCGTTTTTACTTACCAAGGCAAGCCTCCCTCAAAGCCAAAAACCCCTACCATGGAAGAAGATTGGGTTGTATTGAAACCCAGAACACCTCCAAGCAATGAAGAACTCGAGGAGGCTATCGAAGAGTTGGTGCAAGACTCGGTGCAAGAAAGCGTGCACGAACGTGCAGTGAGATCATTGAAAGAATTCATTCAGTATCATCATAAGGTAGACAAGCAAAATGATGTAGCAGCGGAGGACGAGGGGGAAGATGTCCCAGCGACAGACCACCAATCCGATGAGGATCCAGCAACGAAGGAAGTACCAAACAGCGAAGGTCAAGATAAAGCCGAGGAAGAGAAAGCAATTAGAGCCGAAGACTGGGAGAGGAAAGAATGGAAAACTGCTTTACGGGCGTAGAAGGGAAGAAGTTGAGATTTTCGACGAGCTAAGAACACTGTATCTGTATTTAGCATATTTCAGGCACTACTCAAATAGCTCGTTGGCATTCATTGAAATTTGCGTTGCCGTTTTAGGCCGTTGAGATAATTGAAAGTGTTTCGTGCTTTCGCTATGACGATGTTTTTGAGGTATCAAAAATATTTTACATGCTGTAAATCTGCGGCCGCATACAGTTGTACTGCCCCGTTTATAGAAGCTCTGAAAGGTCGTCCTCACAATAGAATTAAGGATGAAGGCGACCGAAATGAAGGTGTTACGACCAAGGGCGAAATCAGGCCGTCTTCTCTTATGAGAAGAGAAAGATTGGCACTCTCGTATGTTTTCATTGAAATGTAATTTATATTTATGAATTTGTAAACTGTACTATCGTAACCGAAGTCCTTGGTTGCAATCAGGAAAGATGACTTTAGTTGCCTAACTTCAGGAAAGGAGCTGGGCGTCCCGAATGGAATTTCATTTCCTCTATACACGGATCTTACCAAACCAAGCATTTGTCTTACGTATGGCAATATGAATAATGTTCTACCTCGCGTTCTTGCAAGGATGAAAATTGTGGCCAATGTTATGTCTTACATATTTTAGGTATTCCTACGGATGGCGAAATTGGGATGTCGGACAATTGATGGGAATTGGCAACATATAGAAGCTAGGGCGCATCTTAAAAGAAGGTTTGACCTGATTAGGCTAGCTACACAGTACACTTAGTGGCCTATCTGTGATTTTGAAAGTAAATAGCGTCGCAAGGTATTGCGCTAAGAATCGCGTGGTAGGCGCGTATACAAAATTCCTTCAAAACCGATCTCTCCACCCGTACATCTTCGACAACGTCAACGCAAAACACGGTAGCAGAATCACCTCTCTATTGACTTATCATGGGCCACACGAAAAATATGGAAGCACGCGCTGAAGCTTCCAAGGCTATCCCAATGGCCCTTTCGCATGCGTTGGCTCTGTACAAATCACGAATCGCGGAGGTCTTGACCGGCTTTCAAGGCGACAAACTTGCCGGCATCCTGGCTGTCCGCAACTAATCCGATACCTAGGCTTACGACGCGGCGTCTGAGCACAACAAGTCCAAGGAGACCTTCCTCCAAAGCTCCACAGGTGCTTTGCCAGATTTGATGAACCGACTCGATGACACCAAGAGAGCCGTACAAGAGATGGAGATCAACCTACAAGAAAAGGAGGTTCTCTTGCGAGAAAAGGATGTTCTCTTGCAAGCAAAGGATGATATTGTGCTAAAGAGGGAGAGCCAAATTATTCGTTTGGGTCAAGTATGCAACAACAAGGATCAGACGATCGGCGCGATGAAAGCCAAGCTCGGGGGCGAGGAGGTTAAGCCAGCATACCTGCTCAAGGAACAAATGAAGAGCCTAGAGACTACTTTGAATAGACTCCAATTCGACCAACATCAGACCAAGAACGACATCAAGAGGCTGCAAGACAGTCAAGCAACTCTGCTTGCCGAGAACCTGAGAATGGCCATTGAATTGAAGGAGGCATCCACGTTTACGAAGATGTTGGATCAACTTCGCGAGAACCGTATCATGCCAAATCGTCCCCCGCTTCCCGAACTCATTCGCTTCCCAGTAGTACCCCGAGTCGATCCCGGTGAGGAGACATCACTTGACGAGGCATCTGGTCCAAATCAAGATAAGAAGCACGGTATCGATCCCCTTGATGACGAAATCAAGATGAGATTCAAGCGACTCAAATCTCAACCTCGAGGAACAATTGTGTATCCAGCGGCAAACTCCTGGCGGGCTTTTGAGCGGGCTAGGGGATGGTGGATGCAGTGATTGGGAATGTATCTCGGGGTTTCAGCTCTGGCGCTAATCAGTCTTGTTATTGAGTCTTCTTGGAGGAGGCCCCTTTCCGCGTTTCTTGACTGATTGTCTTCTCATTGGCAGTTTCTTGCATGGGAGCTTCTCGCCTGGGAAATTCTTTACTAGGAGTGTCAACGGGGATTTTACGATGAGGATCTCTTGCTGGTGGCCTGTAACAGTTTCTTGATGGGGAAGAAATTCCTAGGTTGATTCTTAGCTATTATGATAAAGAACAATTGAAGGTAAATCGTGATCCTATTTTAGCGGACTTATGTTCTCCTGTGAGCATTGTAATGCATAAATCAACTCGCACATTGAAGCTTATACTAACTACATCGTCCCTACACCGATACGATGATAGTTTGACAGAAGAACATCGGACACAAGCTTACCCGACAGGAGCGGGACATATCCCTTGTCAAGAAGGAGAAGAAAAGGTTGCTCACGGAAAACAAGCAATTCATTGAGGACCTCTGCCGAAATGACAGGACGATTGAGTTGTTATAGGAGAATTTGGACGTGTGAGCGATGGTCAGACTACACTCAACGAGGCTTAAGTCTGGGCCGAAGGTGAGAAGGCTGACACCAAGGCTGGTAGAGAGCGTTCTTTTAATGCTAATAGTTAGAGTGTTGGAGCAAACCAGGTGCCCCAAGCTTTCTTAGACTTGTTAAAGTGTGCATTGGTCACCCATTGGACATTCAACTAGATAAAATACAGAATATGTGCCATAGGCTTTGGATACTTATAAGTGTAACGTAGGATCAGAGATGAGATGTCAGCAGACAGCAGCTTCAATGTGTGATACGATGTTTCCTGTGATCGAAGGACAGAAGCAGGTTTTATGCATGAAATTAACATTTATATCCACAGTGCTTAAGTATAAAGAAGGTATAGTGAAGTGGATGCCAGTGAGATGTCATTGTCAATTTCGTCTTTACATTCTAGTAGAAGGACCTAAACACATCTCATGGGTCGCGTTAGACAATGATTCGATTTGACTGACACAGAATCTGACCGAGTGAGAATTTCCTGATCAGGGCATGCTATGAGAGTTGCTGCCCCGTCGTGGATTCAATTGACAAAAACAGAAAGCATGCTAACCGAATCCGGGGTTTGCGAGCTACCTCCTATATAGATCTCGCTAAGCAAAACTCCGGCACAATGTTGCGATGGTGTACTGGTCATATACGGTCCCACATAAAGCAAGTAAAAGAAGAGAAAATAACAAAAACAAAATAAAAATAAAAATAAGAACCTATTAAGGAAATGTAATACTGGTCATATACGGTGCTCTCCCCATTTTTTTTTTTTTTTTGGAAATTTTTGTCCCCAAAACTCGATTGTTAAGCGAAAATCTCTTTGCCTTTCATTCACTCTTTTGCTTTTCCTTCGAATAGTCATATTGTAGAAAAAGCGGCTTTCGGAAGGCACGTCGACCATTGTCACAAGACACACATTCTTGATTGAAAGATTTCTGTAGATGGAGATAACTCGACTCATGATTGCGATTTTAATTTCCATCTGCCTTTACACTGTGTTCACTGTTCTCTTGATTATCGATATATACTGGTTCTTGATAAATGCTATACTGCGTCGTTCAAAAAATATTTACGTAACTTTATGATACAACATTACCAATGTCCCACCTAGGTGTAGAAGATAAGGGAAGTATCATTCTAGAATTTAATCAAATTTTATGAGTGATCTTCGACCATCTTAGAAAGCCCATGTACAGGACATCCCTTTGCCGACTCTCTGCATCCGTCTTGATATTATTCCGCCCTGATTGAGAAGTCGCATCTGGAGTTTCGTCTTCAGAAGACATCTCAACAAGCTCTAAGCCCAACCCCACAAGCTGTTCATCGAAGATCTTGATACTTTCTTCCTTTCGGCGAATTTTAGCCTCCATGATCGCGGTTCCCTCTCTCAGTTCGATGGTCTCAGCACGCTCCCGCTCACGATCCGACGAATACGAGCACTCCTTCTTCAATTTATCCATCTCCAGAAGTTGATGGTAACGACCTCATGTTGAAGACCACTGATGCTGGCCGAATGTGTCTCTGCGCGCAAGTTTTCTTAGCAATATGAACACCATCATGTGAGTGAGAAATTGCTTACCTCAAGAGTCTTCTTCAACTCGGACCGAGACTGCTTTGCGCAGCTACATAGAGAGTATAGAGAGGATCAACCTTGCTGCCAAACATTTCGTGGACGTCTTGAGGCAAGATCTAGATGCAGAATGCCTTCTCGGTATGGTACTCAATGACTTGCTCCGGCGCAGAAAGCAAGTGCTCCTTGATAGCACCATTCAAGGAGATATGTAGATCACAAAAATCCTCGTAGGGCATCCAGTTAGGAGTGATCAGTGTTTTGGTAGCCAAGACACGCATTTGCGATGCGTATGAAATCATATTTGGTGGGATTGGTTGCGCCATTGTAATTATGGCAGTGGTGGAAGCGGGAATAGTGACTTCAAGTATCCTGACGTATGATTTGATGGAAGATGGTATGGTTGCGAGGCGGATTTTGATGTCAGATCGGTGGGGGAGGATTGAAAGAGATAGATGGAGAGCGTTCTGGTGGAGGCTTTCTTATACGCGCATACACCACATCTGTTTAGAGCCCAATCTTTTCGTCATGAACAGAAGAGCCTCGTGGACACGTCTGCATAACCACTTTTCGAAAAATTCGAGCACGTGGTTAGCACCTGTCGGACCAAGATCTTATGTTGGAACAAAGCTTTGATACCCGATTCCATTGATTTAAATATCTTCACCAAGGAGCTGTGCGGGATGCAGATTGCGATCTTTGAAATGTGTTGATCTTGTGTGTTAAAGAGGACGACAGAAGGAAAAAGCTAGCCAAGTCACTCTGTTCAGCTAGACTCTACATCACAGCTTGCTGGGTATCGGACCACAAAGATAGAGGTATGCAATGAAGAATCTTTATTTTGTGCGCAGAGAATCGAGTACGACTAGTGAACCTTGGTATTCTGATTTCCCGCACTGCTGTACGCCATAATATCCTCCCATGCATGCAACGTCGATGACATATGTACCCAGAGTGTAAGAGAAGCAGTCTTCTCGCAAACTGCCATCACCATTTTTGCAATTCGGAAACCACTCCAACTCCAAGCTCCACAACCCAAGTCGCCCCCCAAAAGGAGGCTCAGACAACCGCTTAACCCAAGTTGAGACCGCCGGCCATGACCAAGTTCATACGAGTAAACTTAACCTTGTAGACAGGAGATTTCTTAGTCGGGAACGCACTGATCTGATCAGGAGTGATCGTCGTGTCCTTGCCCTTTTTCTTGCTTCCAGCTGCGGTAGCAGCATTAGCATTTGGTTGAGTGCCCGAGGCTGTACCGTTGGTGATGCGAGCTGCATCATTTGCGGCATTGGTAGGTAGAGTATCTCCGTCACCAGTTGGATGAGGATCGGTAGGAAGCTTCACATCCCAGACACGAACGGTGCCGTCAGATCCACCGGAAACTAGAACCGTTGACTCGACGCTGAAGGTAAGAGAATGAACGCCACCTTTGCCATGACCTCTGCAACGCTTGATCATGGTACCCTTGGCAAGGTCCCAGAGAATGATGCATCCGGTATTATCGGCAGAAGCAAGAATCTTTCCGCTTGGACTGCACTCCAAAGCACTGATCATATCGGTATGGCCAGAGAATACACGGACACAATCACCAGTAACGAATGACCACATACGAACTGTCTTGTCGGCTTGATCACTGGCAGAGAAGACGTATGCTCCGTTGGGGTGCCAAGCAATCTGATTGACGCTAGTGTCGTGACCGACCATCAAGCGAAGATAAGAGATGTGATCTTGAGCCCAAACTCGAAGGGTCTTGTCCCAGCCACAGGTGGCAAAGTAATGACCGTGTGGGCCCCATCTGACATTCCAAACAGGTCCCTCGTGGCCTTTGAAGACCACCAAGCAAGTCCAGGAGGTCAGGGACCAAAGACGAACTGTCTTATCGGCAGATGCAGAGAGGAGGAGTTGGGGGGCGGTAGAGGGAGTCGGGGAACCGGCATCTTCAGGACTTTCAATTGATGGAGAGAAAGACACGTTGTAGACCGGACCTGAGTGACCGATGAGACGACGCGAGGTTGACGGTTCACCAGCAAGGCTGGAATGCAGAACTTCACCATGAGCATGCCAAACACGAATGTATGATTCCTCGGTTCCACAGGCTACAAGGTTGGTATCATCGGAGAACTCAATGCAAGTGATGCTATCGATATGTCAGTATACGTGATGGCGCAGGCTGTATGGTAACTTACGAGTCCATGGAATTGTGGAAAGTCCACATGCATACGGAGATTCCCGGTCCTACTCCACCCGTACGACCTTCGATCTTGAATCGATCTCTGTATTCCTTGATCTTCTGAACCTCCATCATAACGTCGCGAGCTCGTGATGGCGGTAGAGGAATTTCGCTGCGAGATGGTGCGTCTGTGCTATCTTCCCTCTTGATGGTGTGATCGAATTCTTCGACTAGCGTAGATTTTCCGGAGTGGGGTGGGTTTTTGATATCCTCATCTTCAAGCTCGGCTCGGACGTCTGAAGCGAGATCATGCTCCATTGCCATCAAGCCAAGCTTTAATGGCGTCGTATTATCCATGATGTCCTTATTGCTCACTCCAGTGAAAGCGCCCTCAATACCTTCTTGCAAATCCAAGTCGTCAACGTTCTGAGCTCGTGTCTTGTTTACAATGGCGTCGAAGCTGAATTGATCAAGCGGTCCGCGTTGTGTCTCTCGAAGTTCGCAGTAGCTTTGCAAGAGGTAGAGAATCGTCCTGCCACCATCGACGGGGGTGTCCTTCTGCTCTAGGAATGTTGTAAGCCCGAAGTAAACATGAGTATTAAGTGGAATTCTGTATTTATTGTTTCGGTAAAGTTTGGTCAAAGAATTGTCGAAGACATGTTGTTGGAGTTTGATGGTCTCAAGGGTTCGGAGTTCATCGCCGTGGACCTTTTCAAATGAGGAACTGAAGGCGGTGAAGAATTTCTCGCCCTCGCTGGATCCGTCATGAATGATGAGCTCAAGATAGGAATACACAAACATGGGCCATAACAAGCGGCGGCATTCGAACTGTAGAGAGATTAGAGACTGACCTAGACGTCGAGAGAGAGAAAAACATTGACTTACTTTGTATACATCCAGATTGCCCTCGGCCCAGTCACGAATGAGAGTGTAGGCCTTCGCGTATTTCCCATAACCGTGCTCGTCCGGTCTGTCTTGGAGAGGTCTACCGTCCTTGTCGACATGAGCCGACTCGGCACGGAGAGTTTGTTCAGTTCTGTTGTATCCCTTCTTGACAAGATACTCGATGACCTTTGGTAGAAGACGAGGATTAGCAGTGGGCTCTAGATCGGTATGAAGCAGAATACCGGGCGGCATATTGAAAGGAGGCAACAAGATAAAGGAGGAAGCTCTTGAAAGGACTGGGTAAAGACGAAGATAGCTGAAGATACAGGGTGGTTCTCAGCGCGCAAAGGTTTTGTCACGAGTATGATGAATGTTTGAAAGGAGAGCAAGACGGGATGGGAACAACCATAGACAGGCCTAAAGAAGGCAAGCTCCGGAAAAAGGCCGGCCCATCTCATGAAATCACCCCGTGACTTTGCTTCACTTGCAGCTAAGTGCCTCAAAGTCGAACCGCAAGTGAAGAATAATTTCGGCTATTCAACACTCACCCCACGCAGATCATCTCCCTTCGGTCTTTGGACTTCCGAATTTAAGAGGTTTCTATTTGTATCCCCAGGCACAAAAAACCCATCTACTCTTATTGAGGGTGAGAGATTCAGAGGATTGGCAACAAGATGGGGATTCCTTGAAGTTGCTTGCTCGCTCCCAACTTGTCTGAGTCTTGGCTTTGGTGGCCTCAAGACCCGCTCTGGCACACTCTTCGGCATGGTTGGGTAGAATAAACAGGATATTCCGAATAGTATCTAAAGCTGGACGGAAATTGATAGATTGCAAATTGCAGTCACGGAACATTCGATCACGAACTTCTGATCTCGAGACTACAGTTGAGAGGAAGCTGCTATGGGAGCTTCATGCTCCTGGAAGGCGCATTGCAGCCATCGAGCTCATGCGCAGATTTTGTAAACTCATCCATGAGACTCTCCACTAGAGAATTCGGGCTTCGATGAAAGATACAGTCGATGCAAGGCAACAATGACACAGAAGACATTCAGAACATGTTTATGCTTACAATTTGATTCAAATTCTGTTGCGACAGATTTTGGCCCTGCGATGAAGGTGCTTGACCTCCAGATTGATGTTGCATCGACATTCCAGCACTTGGAGGTCCATTTCCGGGACCTTGAGATTGGTGATTTGACATCGTCACCTAGTATTTCATCACTCATGCACCCTTTCTACAACAGCCCTGCTCCTTCTCATTCATCGAATGTCGAATCAAATTGCTTCGAGGATATAAATGATATGACTATATCGCGTTCAATGGGGATTTGGTAGATGAGAGAAATTTGATGAAAGATGAGAAACCGAATTCGAAATGTTCTGGCGATGCAGCTCAAAGGGGCACTAATGTCGTTCTTCCCGCAGAGCCGCACTAATCTTCATTGAGTACCCAGCCTCGGTCAAACATACCCGCAGTTTTCTCTTGTAACGCGCTCTTCGAATTACATATCCTTGACTACCTGCATGAATCGTCGAGGGAGCGGGTCGTTTTGCGAACATCGGCGCAATGTCTTCGCCATCAAATGAGGCGGAACCACCTTCTGCATACCGACCATTCACGAAAGCTGAACGTATACAACAGCTGAACGACATTGACAAGGTAAGCATTGAACGAGGTTTGCTTCGAACCTGCTGCTAATATATGTGTCTAGAGCATTACACAACTCCTGCAATCCGCTGGTCTGGCTCTCAAGACCCTCTCAGCCTCTCAATCCGACTCCACCCAAACTCCCTCCGCGCGCCGAGAAGCCTTCGAAAATGCCTCGAATTCCTACCTGAAAACTCTGCAGAAGGTGGATATAGGATTGAAGCGGCAGATCTATGGACTGGAAGAGTCAAATATAATTCCCCCCGAAAAGGCGAAGAGAGGCAGGGATGGGCAAGATGGCAGTGGTATGGGCGGTTTGAGGTCTGCTGCAGCTCCAGCAGAACCTCCTTCTGGAGAGAGTGGCATGGGTAGGCTCGACATCGGATGGCTCAATAGCAGAAGCGGTCGAGTTGGGAGGGATATGGAAGCAGAGTTATGGGACAAGGCAAAGGTTTTCTTGGAGGATCTGGAGAGGGGCAATAGCAATGGGGCGGGGCAGGATACCCAGGATACGGATATGACATGACAGAGGATTGCAGCATATTTTTGATGTCGGGCATTGGTACAGCCACGATTGCCGGTGGCAGATGGCTTGTAGCCTCGTGCCCTAATATGCAGCTTCTGCCGGCAGCGCCAAAGAAGTATATATTTCTTCAAATCTGCTACGTGGCATCAGTGCATGGAGATATCAAGAACAGCTTGTACGACGTTTGGATGTCCCATCTTGCAAGGATATGCGGGTGGAGGCATTCGTTTGGAGCTGAAGACAGGGCCAACGCGGGAGCAAGAAAACAAATAAAAGATGATACCCTATAATTATTCTATCGTGAATGTAATGATACTTTTGTTCACTCATATTTTGAAGTGTCACTTCGTATCAGAATAATTCTTTCCTTCTTCCCCAGAAAACTCCCTTCGTCGTAATCCCTGAACTTGGTTGCCTCATAGCAAATCTCGGCATCAGACGCCGCACGACGTACATTAGATCCTCCGCCATGCCGATCCCAGACTACGCAGCGACAGCTCCAGACTTTCAGAGCTCGTCAACTCCCAACTACCTATCGCTCTCTATCGCAACTATGGATTTGGAAGATGCAGGTGATTCGCCATGGGGTGGTAAGCAACACTAATCGTATCAAGAGCTCGAATCAATGGCTGACATGTGGTGCAGATGTCCCATCAAGTGCGCCGACATCCAACGCCAAATCTCCAGAAGCTCCGGGATTCCAGGAATCAACAGGTGATTACTACGATAATAGATTGGAGGTCATCTAACAGTTTAACAGAAGCTTCCAAACCAGAGCAATCGCAATCCCTTGAGGCTCCTTCGACCCAAACTCTCAAATCACCTGCTGGACGAAACCCGCGAACTCCCAGACGACCAGGCACACAACCAGTGCGACTTCAAGCTTTGGACGACGATCTGGGACCTTTAGGACCTCTGGGAGATAATGCGCCAGTACCGCAGATTGATCAACCTCCTGCGCCGCCGCAGAAAGAGCAGGTGGTAACACACAATATCAGGCAGCCGCTAGCTTCTGCGCAGAGCTCAATGAGAGGAAGCATGCTGGATTCTGTTGATTTGAGTGATGATGCTGCGCCGACTACTGGTCCAAGAATACCACCTCCGGTTCAACCCGCTCAAGCAGCTCCTGTCAGGAGAGATACCCAGCCGAGTGTGAGCATTGAGCAAGCTGCAAAGCCTTCATTCGACATCTCGGTTGGGGATCCGCATAAGGTTGGAGATCTAACGAGTTCGCATATTGTGTATCTTGTCAAGACGAAGGTAGGACATTCCTCTCGAATGCTTGAGGTTCAAATCTAATGGATATAGACATCTTCGAAAGCCTATAGACAGCCTGAATTTGCAGTATCGAGAAGATACAGAGACTTCCTTTGGCTTTACAATACCTTACATGGGAACAATCCTGGTGTTGTCGTTCCACCACCACCTGAGAAGCAAGCTGTTGGTCGATTCGATTCGAATTTCGTTGAGTCCAGGAGAGCGGCTTTGGAGCGGATGCTGAATAAAATAGCTGCTCATCCCACACTACAGCATGACGCCGACTTAAAATTGTTCCTGGAGAGCGAGGCTTTCAATGTTGATGTCAAGCACAAGGAACGCAAAGAGCCCTTACCAGAAAGTAAGGGTATGTTTAGTGGATTGGGGATATCTGTTGGTGGGGGTGGCAAGTTCGTAGAGCAAGATGATGTGAGTTTGTTACTCTATCTAGTGGAAGAATACTAACATTGGTAGTGGTTTCACGAGCGAAGAGTCTACTTAGATGCCCTTGAGAACCAGCTCAAAGCTCTGCTGAAGGCCATGGATACCGTTGTAACCCAGCGCAAAGGAATGTCCGAAGCTGCAGGCGACTTTTCTGCTTCGCTACACGCACTTTCCACCGTCGAACTCTCAGCTTCCTTGTCCGGACCACTTGAAGGACTTTCAGACCTTCAGATTCGAATTAAAGAGCTGTATGATCGTCAAGCACAACAAGATGTTTTGACTCTTGGAATCACGATTGACGAGTACATTCGATTAATTGGCAGTATCAAGACAGCCTTCGGTTCTCGCCAAAAAGCTTACTATGCATGGTCCAGTGCAGAGCAGGAGATGCAGAAGCGAAAATCTACTCAAGAGAAGCTTCTGCGACAGGGCAAGACACAACAAGATCGCCTGACCCAGATTCAAGGCGAGGTAGCTGATGCTGAACGAAAGGTGCATCAAGCGAGACTGTTGTTTGAGGATATGGGCCGATTGATGAGAGTGGAGCTTGAGAGATTTGAGCGTGAAAAGGTTGAAGATTTCAAGAGTGCGGTCGAGACATTCTTAGAGAGTGCTGTCGAGGCTCAAAAGGAGGTGAGCGAAGAACTTCTCTACTGTGAAACGAAGACTGACATCCACAGCTCATCGAAATCTGGGAAACCTTCTTGATGCAGATTGACGCCGAGGAAGATGATAATGCATTCTATAAGCCAACTGTCGAGCCAGCTGCCCGTGCGAGCAACGAATCAGCTCAACAATCACAAGCAGCTGCAACCATAACAGCAGAGGATGACGATGATGACGATTAATCCATTCAACGGAGGGGTAACTTTCATGAATAGCAGTTCGGCATAAGTTTTGATGGGAGAAATGATTATCAGCTGATGATTTGGGGTATACCCTTCAGCTGCTTGCGGTTTAGTAGTTGTACATAGTACAATCCCATTTCTGGACCCAACGCCGTTGTTTATGCCTCTATGCATCTCCATATACACCTGTGTTCTGTACATATTGTATACACCACCAGAAGTGCGTCGACTATTCCCATACCCCATTTTGTACAACTCCAATTGCCCTATTCTGGCCATGGTGGTCGCCTTCTCCAATCCAACGTTCATCCATATTCACACATGACCGAATTCCCACCTCATTTCTTGCCCTTCTTCCCCTTCGTTTGTGACGCCATCTCCTTGCTCCCTGGTTTACTGTACGTTCCCCCAGAAATCAAATCCATCAAACTGCCCCCCTCATCCCCCCCACCCTTAACATCCATCTGCTTCTCTCCATCCTTCCCCTCCTCCTCCACAACCTCACTATCCAAGTCCCATCCCCTCCCAAACCGCTCCCTGAAAGCCCTCAGCCGCCCTGCCTCATCCTGCTCCACATTCCGCAAGGAATCCAGACTCGGCTGCCATAATGGGTGATTGCGCGTATCTTTCGTGCTGCGAAATACTGGTGCCGGAGATGTCGTCCGGCAGGTGTAGGTGCTGCCGTCTGAGAGAGTGACGAGCTGTGTGAAGGTGTAGGGACGGTGTGGACGACGGAGGAGTGAGGCGTGCCGGGCTTGTGTTCGTTTGGGTTGAATTGAGGGGATTGACGCCCGCTTGACAGTCTGGAGGGGATGTTTGACTGCCATTGTTGTGTTGTGCAGATCTCGCAGAGTGTTCGTGAAGCTGGGGATCTTTTTGCACTTTTGTACGGTGGCCGAGATTGTGCAGTTGTGCTGCAGATGGTTCTATATTTTTTTTGGAGCCGCGATCGTATTCCGAGGGCTTGTGGGACCTTCGAAATTACGGATTGGCGAGCTGGCAGAGCTGCAGAGGAGTCGATATCGATGCTCCGATACAATTGAGCTCGATTGGTGGTCAATTCTACGAATATGCAGTGGGCAGCTGCGACGCGGTTCTATGGGCTCTTTTATAGATGGTCGAGAGCTGAATGTCTGATGACGAGACGAAGTAAGCTCTTGATAATAGACATGGACGTTTGCTGATTCAATGGAGATTTAGTTCGAAATCTCCATTCAACTAAGAGATCACTTTCTGCTAAAGTTGCAAAAGATGGAAGCTCAGAGATTAGAGACATAGGTGAAGAAGAGAAGAACCGTGTAGTGAGCGGACAAGGAGCTCTCAAAACCGACAAAGGGGCACGAAAGTGGCGACGACCACAGAAGATGTTGACAGGGCATGCCTTGCTTCGGAAAGTCAAGCAGGAGAAAATGAAGTCAGCAAGACTGAAGAAGGAAGTGGACAATTATCAGGAACAATTTATGAAGGAGAAGAGGGAAGCTGGAGAAGATGAATCTAAACTCGACATGATCGACATTATTGCAGAGTTCAAGAGGAAGGAAGGGGTCTCGAGGGGGGAGTTGCAGCAGAAAATGAGAGAGAAGACGAAGGCTAAGAAGCTGCGGCGCTTTAAGCACGAAAAAAAGAAGGCAAAGCGGCTACCGCTGCACTTACAGAAACGGAATCGCGACAAGGAGCTGCTACAGAACAAGGAGAAGCAGACACCATCTTTGCTGGAAGAGGAGAGTCATCAGGTTATGGATCACAAGCTTTCGACCAAGTCGTCACTTGGGTGAGCTGCAATCTCGATCAAAATTCGAGGAAAGACTATACTAACAATGAAAGTAGAGATGAAACAACTTCTTCGTCAATTCTGAAGACTATCGATCCGCCTACGGAAGATGGACTGCAAGCTGAAGTATATAAAAGCTCCCACACAAGTATCCCATCACCACTTGCAGCTTCTCTTCCCCCGAACGTCGACCAGCCAGAGCCGCAGGATCAAGTCTCCCCGGAAGCCTCGATGCTGGCGAGCAGAGCGGATAGAGACATCCAGTCTCACGATCCCACTGCTGCATTCAGTACAGAAGGTCAGCCCGAAGTTGTTCCGGATGATTCAGCTCCCAGGTTGCCAGATGAGGAGATCGCGGCAATAGATCTCCAACAGCAACAGTTTTCCGAACCAAGTGCAGCTATGCCCGAGTCGCAAAACCTGAATGGGTTCAGATCCGAACAACAGGTTCATGAGGATGGGATGTCTACAGAAGAACCGGGAACCCATCCAACGGTCCCTGTATCAGAGCGAGATATAGTGACCACTCACCCAGATCCTCGATTAATTGATGTATCCGGTGAAATGGCACCTAGAGACGTGAAACATCCCGCCACAACAATACCTGAACAGCTGCCATTGCTTTCCGAGCAGAGAGAACCCCTTCGTGCAAAAGGAAATATTGCTTTAGAAAAATCTCGATCTGGGGACCTGCCAGACAAGGCACGGCAAGACGAGTCACAGCTCGAAAAATCAGCTCCAGAGCAAACAAAAGACCCGACAGACAAGAAATCCGGATCGTCAAAGATTTCCACCCACCTTCGCAGTGTCATGCGAGCGCTCCCTGCTTCTGTCGTTGTTATTACCACGGCTTTGACAACGTCAGCGTCCGATACGCAGCGAAGTAGAGGGCGGGCCATCTCACCAGCTCTCGCAGCTAATGCTCGAGGCATGACTGTTTCTTCGTTTACAACTGTCAGCCTTGATCCTCACCCCATCATACAATTCAATATCAAGGTACCAAGTCGAACACTTGGCGCCTTGATGGAGACAAGACATTTCTTTGTGCACATCTTGGAAGCTACCATGCTTGGAGCCAAAATCGCTGCCGCTTTCACAAAAGGAAACTCGCCAGACGGCAACCCATTTGTTAACCCGGTTTCAGAGGAGTATAAAGTCAGACCCACACCAGTTGACGTCTGGAAACGTGTCACGGAAACGGACGACACGTATATCCGTCCTTCAGGGTGGCAGAAGCGTCTAGAAGAAGACTTCGCCTGGGTTCCAGACCCCGACAATAGTTCGTTCAAGCGGCCAGCTACGTTCTCCAACGCTGATGTCTGGCAACGAAAACCAATCTCCTTCGATTCTCCGAAATCCAAAACATCGAAGGGCCATAGGATCATTCTTCCCAGAATTGCCTCTGATGGTGTTCTGCGAACTTTACGTTGTAAAGTTCTGGACAAGGGAGCCAGGGGTGGTGGAAGAGGCGATGGCTTCATCAGAGTCGGTGACCATGTCATAGTCATTGCTCAGGTTCATACTATCGTCAGCCATCGGCCTCCCGAGGAGGTTTCCAAGTCCAACAAAAAAGCGTTGGCCTATGCGCATGGAAATTTCACGGCCACGAATCATACCATTGATCCTAACACGACTGTTGCGGGCAGCTCGCCTAGACGCACCAAAGACCGGGAGTTGCTAGAACTGCTGCAAAGTAATAAGGCACCCCCAGAACATCTCTTGAATGCAACCACAGAACACGGCACTGAAGCTGTACAAGATGAAAAAGAAACGAAATCCAAGTCCAAAATAAAAGATCATCTAGACGAATCTCAGCTGTTACCGGATCAAACTTCAAACGTACCGATAGAAACCTTGCCAGATGAGGAAGATCTTGTGGATGGAGGAGTGCCACTCAGGAAAATACGAATGAAGGGTCTTTCTCTCCGCGAGATCAACGAGCTAGCCGAGAGATATTCCGACCGAGCACACATCCTAAGGACTCGACTGGGCCTATCTCCTGCATCGGCCGAAGAGGAGGCTTCAATACAAGAACCGCCAACATTCAATCCTACGGACGACGTCGGTGAAGCAGGAGACGAGGGCCCAGAACATCCAGCATTCAGTCCTGGCGTTGGCGTGGATGGGGCCTGGACGGGACACTGGGGTCGAAAACCTGATAACCCAAAAACCCCCAAACCCCCCGGGCCAAGAATCATAAAGCATGTTAGCAATCGCGGAGCATCACTGGAGGATATTCGCCAAGAACAACAGATAAGCTCCGAGGTACAGGTTCCGCGTCGAATCGCCCAGGCTGCTATTGAAGCGCTTCCCGATGCCGATGCCGAGACCCGGAAGAGTTATGCTTTGTTCAGAGCCGCGGAGGAATTGACTGCGAGGAGAGAAGAGATCGAAATTATGAGGACTGCGTCGAAAAGTAGAGCACCGCCAGGAAGCTTGAGATCCGGAGCCAAACCCAGCTCCAAGTCCAGATCCGACGAGTGGAGCAGGAAACAGAAGCAGGGTTCCGTAGATCAGCCCGTAAATATCAAAAAATATGAAATCGACTCTCGTGGACTGGATCCTGAGCTCCGACCAAAGATGGATGCAGTCTGGGAGAAGGTGCAGAGGTTCAAAACAATGCGAACAGGACTCCGGGTCGCGGATGATGAACAGTATGGATTGTTCTGGAGACCGAAACATATTGTCAAAGAGGAGAATAAGGAGAAAGCGAGAATGGAGCTTGAGATGCAGAAATGTGGAAGTTTGGAGGAAAGCCGGGTCGAGTGGAGAGTATTTGAAGGGAAACCGCCTGCTGAGGAATTGATTCTAGAGCCTGAGGAAAGATATCATAACTCTGGCTCTAGATCGATTTTCACAAAATTGGGCGATGTCGAGCGCGACGATGCTGTGGACACGGGCTCGTATGAACGCGGCAGGACGAACACTGGAAAACAGACAAAGCAGAAGGAAAAGACGATCGTGTACCAGGAAGCCGATCCATTCGCGGATGAGTTTCTTTGAGTGTGGGATGTATGATATATATTGCATCCATAGGTGTTGACAGTTAAGTGTTGTATGTATTCTAGAATGAAGACACGTCTAGGAGGATTTGTACAAATATGTATGGAATGTCCCCTCATTTGCCGTTCTTCCACAATCTCATCGTCGCGCTTTTCTCTGGCCAAGTGGCGACTTGCTATCCTTTGGAACACTTACTCTTGAACAGCTTTTAGCCTTTGTGGAAATTTTCCTTGCTGTCATCCATTATTGTCATGGTACGGAATGCTTGAATAAGCTTTCAAAGCGAGTACCTCAGCCATCAAACTAGACAGATATTTCATCTTTCCTTCAATGTCGATGTCCCAGAATATCGGGACAATGAGCTTCTTTGGGATTGCGTGCGCTTGGAAAGCTTCAATCCTGCATCAAGAACCAAAGCTCTAGTGTCGTTGGTGTAGCATAGGTCCCACTCTTTTTCTCTTAATCTTACTATCCCACAAGCCAGTGGCATCATAAATTAATGTCCTGAGTACTATCAATTTCTCCTTTGCGAGATGATCATGTTTCAAGATCTTCGGAACAAACATCATCTCGCCAACCTCGGCGATCATCAGCCCCACCATTCGCACAGACATTGAAACATCAGACGAAACAACAACGGGGCGAAGGGAGATCACAACCCACCAACTGATCTCCTCCCGCAACATATAGATTGGCACTTATCCACTTGCTGGTAATTTTTCCGTTAATTTATGACGTTGAGAGATGAGCTGACGTTGACTTAGGTTACCTAGGTACCCAGTACCGTGGGACGACTGATTCTCGACCTCCACGATCGATGTCCTTGCAGGGTCTTGAACTCCAAGTGCGACTGATGGGATATTTCTAGGGAGGAGGTAGAGCCTCAATTTAAGATCAGACATGGATATCCACGTCTCCACGTAGGAGGGTTGTTGTTTGACTTGTTTATCTGTTGCGCCCAAGTGGGCTGCTGGCATGAGGCTCTGATTGATAAACTCTTCCCCTTCTCCTCAATATCTTCTCTTCATTCTCTGAATCCGGTCCTCCAGTAGCGCATACATTCTTTACGGTCAATTGACCTCACGTTCTTTTCAAACCACTTTCATTTACCACTTCCGCTGTGCGGTTACTGTCTCTAGTCAGACTATTTAGCACCAATCGACACACAACTTTGTCACCAAACTTGATTCAAGATGCAATACACAAGCACTATCCTCGCCACCTCGGCAGCTCTCATCACCTCCGTCTCGGCTCACGGCTTCCTCACTTCTCCCCAACCTCGCATGCCCGGTTCTGCCATGGAAGCCGCCTGTGGAACTCAAGTCTACGACAACCAAGCGTCAGACAACTATGGCAACATCCAAGGCGAGCTCCAAGTCGCAGCCTCTCAAACGGACTACAATGCTGCCGAGTGTGACATCTGGCTCTGCAAAGGCTACAAATATGCCGACAACACCGATAACGTCCAGTCATGGACAGCGGGCCAGGTCGTTGATATGACCTTTGACATTCGCGCCCCTCACACGGGTTATGCGAATGTCTCGATTGTCAACACGGCCACAAATACAATCATCGGGGATATGTTGCTGTACTATTCGGATTTCGCGGATAATGCGAAGACCATTCCTGCAAATGAGACTAGCTTCTCAATCACGGTCCCGAATGACTTGGGAGATACTTGCTCGACAGCGGGAGCCTGTGTGCTGCAGCATTACTGGAATGCAGAGTCTATCGATCAGACTTACGAGTCTTGCATTGACTTCACTGTTGGTGGATCTGGTTCCAGCTCTGTGAGCTCCAGTTCACCCGTGGTCGCGAGCTCGACTAGTGCCAGTTCTTCGGTCTTGGCCAGCACTTCAGCACAAGTTGTATCAAGCACGCCTGCTGCCGTGGTCACTTCATCCAGCACCCGTGTCTCGCCGAGTACGCTGCAGACTGTCGTGAAGTCTTCCTCTGTTGTTGCCAGCCCGACCTCCAGTGCGGCTGTTCCTACTGAGACTCCTGACGATGACGATGAGTGCTAGCAGTCGATCTCTGATTGATTAAGAAAGATTTAGGATATAGGTGTGAATTACCTTCTTGTACATAAATAACATTTGATTCTGAATATGGATGATAGGGGAAGTAGGGAGTATTGAACATAGATTTTTTATGAATCTTGTTTGCTACCATAAGACCAAGCTCGGTGCCAAACTCTTTCTGATTAGATATTTGTCTGTAGCGATGCGCTCATTTCAGTACGTGTCTAGGCTAACCCCGGAGATGCCCACCTCGCCCTATTAAAGCATCTCCAATCCACACATTTGGCATGCAATTTCTATCAACAGATTGACACTTAATGGATGCTGAGTTCCCTTTAGGAGTGCACGCTTATGCTTTCACTTAGCAACTTTATATGCTTTCTATGGCGCATTAATCGTGCTAGACGTACTAGACGGACCAGACCTACGCGCACCCGTAATCGGCACATTACCCAATTTTCCCTCTCTCTCCCTCACAACTCTCGCTTCCTCCAACATCTTCAAAATATCTTTAGAAGCCTCCTCATCTGTCCTCCCCAATCCCCTTGCCAACTTCTCCGCATTCGTCTCATATGGAGTCTGGATGCACGTCAGAGGATGCGCTCCATACTCCAAGAGCACTTTCACAACCTCTACATGCCCCTTCATGATAGCCGCTAGCAAGGGTGTACCCGTATGTGGCACATGATAGGCGTCAAGCTCACCCACATCGACTTCTTTGCTATCCAGTAGGTGTCGGATGATAGGGATTTGCGATGGGCCACCGCACGCGGCGCCATGGAGGGCATGCGAGTAGGACAAGTTTGCACCGTGCGAGCGTAAGAGCATGAATGTCTCGAGGCTACTAAACATGGATGCGAGGTGGAGGAGCCAACCTTTGTTACCCCATAAAGGTTTACGGGGGTTGGGCGGCGGGGAGGATCCGACGCGAGGATCCATGCCTTGATCAAGGAGGAAGCGGGTTAGATCTATATCTCGCAGGACAACGAGTGAGCTTTGCATATATCAGCAAAGTTAGTTCAAGAACCATTGATGTAAGTATGGGTCGGTAGTATAGTGAGGAAACATATGACAATAGTAATAAAAGGCGTACCCTAGCCACGTTGGACATCCTCTCGTCACCACGTGCCCCTCATTCATCTCCTAGCCATTGCGTATAAGATATTGGATTAGTGGATAGCACTTCTGCGCTAGTGCCCACGCAATAACGAATGCAGAGGGAGGCTTGTCCTTGAAATAGGTTGTCTCCGGTAGAGCGAGAATTTGGTCTGCTTGGGGGAGGAAATATGAATCGATGGCGTGTTGTATTTCGTCGCTCTTGTGGGAGCTATGGCATATATTGCGCGTGAGCTGTTCGGCTTGTTCTATGAGGTTGGGGCGGTAGAGGCGATACTGGAGTTTGGGCTTAAAGTTGTTGCCATTAGGTTGTTCCTGTTTTTTCGAACAGAGCGATATTTTTATGAAATTTAGTTTACCGTCAGATCTTGCGATCGTCGTGATGGGCGGCATACTTGCTGGTTTTAAAACAGCGCGAGGCGGGGTTGCGGGCCACCGTTGGCTTTTGTAGACGAATGGAATTATGAGGGTTATGGTATCCTATTAATACATCACCAACATTGCCTTAATCCTGATTTAGAAAACAGACCAGTTTCAGGCCTCAACGGTCGTACTAATTAGAATCGCACATTGTGAAGCCTGTTATTCTAGAGTGTATCGATTACTTTAAAATAATTGAGATATACCAGAACCTGTTCTCTGAATGTTTGGCATGCATTTATAATGGTTTTTTTCTTCTTTTGTTTGGAAAAAAGAAAAGCACTATGAGTTTTGGCAATGTGCTAATGTATTATAGCCACTTAAGGGTTTTCTTATGCAGTGTGAATTTTCCGATGAAAGGGAGGCTTACTCAACAAGTTGCTCTTCTGCAAATATGAGGACAATGTACTGTACATGTTGGCTTAAGTATATGAAGATTTTATCAAACTTTAAATCATGAATCCGCACAACATCAAATCACGATTTTCATGAGCTATCTCGCGTTTATTTTGAAGATCCGACAATAGTACAAATTCTACCAATATCAATCTCAAACTGCTATGATATATTATGATATAACGCCAAATATAATAGAAAGAAATAAATAAATCATTACCTACCTAGCCCCCTATATTTAAGCGAGCCCGTTTCCAATCATCACTCCTTCCGCTACCTCAGAAAACTGTCTTGATAGCCCTCTTTCCCGGTGCCACAGTCACCGTACCGTATTAATTGGACTCTAAAACATCATATTATAAGCAAATGGGCGTAGGGCGTCCGTTGGGGGACCATGTCTAATTTTAAAAGTAATACGCTATACTTAATTAGGTTGTTTAATTCTCGAGATATGTTCAATGCCGCACAAAACGATTTTTTTCTACGATTCTTTAACTCCACCCTTTTTGATCTTTCGCAGATGGAAGCTGTGTCTCAAGAAGACCCTATTGTAGGACGGGTGGAAGGATCGAGGGAGGCAAGAGGGGGATGCTAGCATATCTTATTCGGGTTTTCACTTAGGAGGGGCTTGGGGGAACCATGTCTTATAAAGCCTAGTCTCTTATTCCAGAATCATATCTTAGAATCCAATTAATACGGTAACCGTCATATCCGGGTCTCCATCACAATCCGTTCCCACCTGCACACCATTAGAGCTAAGCTCCCAATTACTACACAGCACAGGGCCAGCCACACTCGAACTCGGGGCTTGTACAGCCGTGGTTGCCGCCGCTGGAGGTGTCGAACTCGTCGCTGCTGCTGGTGGCACCACTGGTGAGGGTGAGGCTGATGCTGAAGCTGACGCTGGTCCCACGAGCGAAGTTACACCAGTCACTCCACTGACAGGCGTACTGATGTCGAAGAAACTTGCGGCCTCGGCCGTACCATCCCCCTGAGTTGAGAGGATCTGGGGAAGGTTGACGGGACAGGCGCCCTGCCGCTTATGCTTGAACCTCGATGGACCAGCTACGTTCGGATTTGAGGAGGGAGCCGGCCTGTCCAATGCCATGATGGGCAGGATAGCATCTTGGACGTGGATGCGGATTGCTCGAAGTACTTCACATGCATCATTGTCGTTTGAGATGTGTTGAGGCACATATTCGAATGTGAGGAGACCAAGCCACGGATTGAAGGCCTGCTCGGCGCTGTTACCTACCGGTTGATATGTCGCGACGTTTATTTTTTCGTCCATGTTCGCGAGTGTGAAGCCGGGGATCTGATCAACACATAGGTCTTGATCTGGTTGACCTGGGTACTATAAATGGGGTCTGTGAATTGCGAACCTGGGGGCGGCACATCACCTTGGCGGAAGCTGGGCGTGAAGATGACGGCACCTGAAAAGACAGGAACTTCGACAATCTCTCCCTCTTCTTCCCCAGGTGACGGTCCTGAGAATAGTGATGGGACCACGTCACTGAGCCCTTCGAATCTCCCCTGTTCGCCCGTGCTGATGAAGTTAAGCACTTGTACGTTGAAGTCAGGGGCCTGCTGGGTCGTCAGCTGGGTCGTCTATGGTATTGTTACAGTGTGTTCTAGTTATGCTACAGAATCTTTGAAGTCCGCTGCCTCACTCCTAAGAATAGTTTCACACAAGGTAGATTGACTGTAAGATCTGGCGGTTTCTGATAGTCCTTCTTGGTGACCATGGCGCTCCACTTGTCAGCCTTTGCCACACCGCAAGCGCTCATCTCTTCACTCCAAGCAAAGCTGCTCGAGATCCCTGACATTCTCTTCCGGAATAGAGCTGAGCCGAGTCAGCCCAACTGTGCAGCAAGGAAAGGCACCACGACTCTATCCTTAGCAGTCTCGCATGTTTCAAGGGACTATCGTGACAGGACTCAGCCAACTTTAATAAGTCAATGAGCACAATCGCGAAGAAAGGAGATCAAGAGGATCTACAGTCTCGGATATGATTAGATTAGGAAATCCTTGTGGGATATTGGAGTTACACAACTGAAAGTTCAGTGCAACTCTCTCCACCCTGAAGAAGGATGTGTCGCTAAGAATAAGATCTTTTTCAATGTTGAACCTGTCATCAAACAAACACAAGTACCTTCTTATCCCATCTGTAATGGTACATATGCTGTGTTAAAGTGCGTGGCAAGCGTCCGAACACTAAACTTTTAGGAATGCTTCCGCGGGTCTTGCGCAAAGCTAGTCAAAAGCAGTATAGAATAATACTTGCATAGATTGGCTTAAGCAAAACTTTTGCAACAATAGCTTGACCCAATGGCAGAACACGGGTTCGTCCATCGCTCATATGGTGTAACTGGCAACAACGCCGGCCATCTATGCCGTTGGACACACAAACACTTCTTCAGAAGTTCGGAGTCGCTCACAGCGGGTAACTTGCAGCAACGCAGGCCCCATGTACCGGATCCAACCAAAACCAGACAGAATTCTCTCTTTCATGGGAGTTTTCTAGATCGCTCATATCAGGAACTTGCAGCAACGCCGGCCCTGTATGCCGGTTTATAACCATACCTTTTTTTTTTCTTTTTTTTTTCTTCGCTTACAGTAATATTTGAGCGCGCTTTTCTTTTTGGCTTTTGTTAAGCAGTCATCATCGTCACTTTACGCACGCAATAATAGCTCCACTTTATAACTCTCTGCAACCTCTGCAATGTGATCAACCACGTTTCCAACATTCAGTCTCAAGTCAGCCCTCTTTTACGATGATGGAGACTTTTACTGCTTCTTAGAACGATGGGAGTGGATGGGAGGTTCTCAGAACTTATTTTCGAGACATGCTTCCAGGCTCCCAGGGCTAATTATGGGTCAAAATTTGTTGAGAAGACCATATGATTGTCGGCTTATCTTACAAAGACACTTATTGACGAGTATACCAAATGTTTGCCTCTATTACCTATGATTAATAACTATTGCTTCGTCGTGAGGTAGACAACATTCTCAGATGGAAGGAGAGTCGTTGATTATCAGCGAGTGAGAAACATGTACTGCGACACCAGTCTCCAAGAATGGTAGTTATCTTTTGGCAAATGTTTTCACAGGGTTCTTTTCGCCCATGAGCTTTAATCTTTGGAGTGCTAAGCAAATGTGGTGTGAGTAGGTAAGAAAAGCTCTTCGAGAATGCTCTCCATTCTCCAAGCAAGCTCTCCACCTCTCTCGTTCAACTCTCTACCTCATCCATTCAACTGCTCGCCTTATTCCAGCTCTCCACCTGTTCCCTTTAAGTCTCCGCACGACTAATTTGATATCGAGAAATACATCGCAATCACGCAAGATGATCAGATCAAGGCATTGGAGATCGAACATGTTAGATTCTTTTAGATTCTTTCCCGACGTCCAATCTCTCTTTGCAGATCCTCAGCGATAGATCAAGAATCTGAGGAGTATGGAGAGAGCGGAGAAAGGAGTCTCTAATATATCATTTTGCCAAGTTGGGTATTGATCTTTCTTCAAACCAAACTTGAACTTGGACTTCACGGACTTCGTGGCTTTCAGAATCACTTGGGACATTGATACTTTACCGCTATGATACTATACAGATATCTTGTGACTGCTTCTTGAGAGACATATGGATCATTTTTGTTGGCATTCATGAGAGAGGAGTAAGACAAAGTGAGAATGGAACAGTGAATTGGCAAGCTTATATTGATTAAATTGTATCAGCTACGCTTACACAAAGAGCCAAGTAATAGAATATTGCGCATGATATACAAGCTGAAACCCGTAACCTAATCGGGGTAGTGGCGCTTCTTTGAATATCCAATTCCTGGGCTTCTGGAAATTGAGCAGGTTCGGCAGGAGGTCCGCTAAGGCCAGCTTCTTTCGGTGGCATATAGATTTGTTTAAGCAGATTTTTGGCACCAAGCTTTTCCCGGCACAAAATAAGGGACCACAAAAACAAAACAAAAGACAGTACTAACAAGTCTAACAAGATACTGGATCTGCTCGATATCAAAAATATCAAAGAACAAGGGGGCTCTCACAAAAGCCTCTCTACGGGTAACAATTCTCTAGTTGGTGTGAACCCCATGGAATAGCCTTGAGACCCGAACCATACTGGATTGTGCGGAGTCGACCTCACAATTCACGTTGAAGTTCTGCATGCTAACAATTAGTCCATCGAGGAGTCAACCTCGTAAACAAATCACCTGTTTCTCTTTTTTTCTTTGTTTTAGATTTCTTTTACCTACTTACATTTTATTAATATGAGTGTGAGGCTAAGCTTTTGGGTCCGCATTTGGAATATACTGCGACGAAGTGGCATAGTCGATCTAGATTTTTTAATCCTGTTGAAAACTGTCTCTTTCTGCTATCATTCCATCTTTTGGTGTACTTTTAAATGCCATGTTGAGACGATCGCGGGTTTAAGCGCACATCTCTTCATGGTAAGCACAGTTACTTAGTATCTATGTAGTTGGTGCTTTGACAGTGATATATCAATGATGAATCTATTCACCCTATTAAAGCTAAAAGGAACAAGTCATACAAAATGATTTTATCACTCATATTGAGCTAAGCATTCGTTCACGGTGTGTTCGTATAGTGCGGTCAATCACTTGCTGGGTTGTCAAAAATTATAATTCAACTAGCTACCAAGTATGGGAGACAGACATTGAGAGCGAACTGTAAAACTACGTGCGGTGACCGAATGGTGCAACAATAGGCAAAAATGCCATACTCGAGTTGAGATCCTTCCTTGAGACAGCTGATTACATTCTCCACTGGGCATTGTTCATGAGACATCAGGTGCCGGTCGGTAAGTCGTTTTCGAACCTTAACATCACATTATATTATCCAAGAGTAAAGAATTTTCCGATAAGCCAAGTGACATACGCCTCCTTGATCTTGAAAACTTAACAGGATCTTGTTTCCTTGTCTCCGTGTTACTTCTGCTCTAACTCGGCGAAATGGGTTATGGTCGGCTGAGCCCCGTTTGAGGTTTGATTGCATCTCACACAGCACTCGTGATGAGGATAGCAAATATCTGGTCCAGTTACATTGATGGCACACGCGGCGGTATAGCTGCTGTGTAATAAGTATAAGAACGCAGGGAGATAACTATGATCAAAAATCTCTGACTCTTGATTTTAACAAGTGGTGGAGTTGGAGTGTCATACATGAACCGAATGGGCACCGTGAGTATGGCATCAATTTATGAATTGTTGAATACCTAATAACCTAGAACTACTGCTTGAATGACTTGGCATATGAAAGGTACTTTACCGGTGCGCTTGGAGTCAGCAAGTAGCACATGCTGGGTTAGAGAAGAACTTTTGATTTGTGACGAGTTTATGTAGAGGTCTAAGTGATAAGCCATAAATAAAGAAGGACCATTGAAGTAGCGCAATTAGCTGCACGAGAGATACAATTAATTCTTTTGAGTAAATACGCTTCGCCAAGTTGCGCTAGCCGAATTGGACCGGTCATAGGCGCGTGGATATATGCGCCTATACAGAGCCTTCCAAACTCACCATTCTTTCACAAATCAAACCAAAACACCAGCACAGATACATTTCAGATCAATTAATTTATTACAACCACCAAACAACATCGGCAAGACTTTCAAAACATCCAGTCTCAAAGACAACGATGGCACAGTACGAGTCGCAAATCACCGCGATCTGTGCTCGGGCTACCGGGTGTACCCTTGAGGAGATTATGCGCTTTTGTATAAATCAGTATACCTACCTGAAGGATTTAAATCCGACCGCCAGCAATGAGGCCACTCGGTGTCGTGCTGAAATGATCGCTTGTATGCGCTTCGCACCCCAGTACTTCCGTGAGATCTGCGACCACAATGATCCGCACATCGTGGAGTTGTTAGAGGAGTTGGACGCAGCACGGCTGATCGTACCATTGGTTGGGAGCACTATCTCACAGGTAGGTCTTGAATATCGCTTTGTCTCTAAAACAAGATTTGAATGCTGATGAGGTGCCGTAGAATAATGACACCGCGGTCCACCACTCGAGCGTATCTGGAGAGACATCATCCAGCCTTACATGCGCCCCGGAAGAAATCGACGAGAAGATAAGAAACCAAGAAGCGGTCATATCGAAAATGACAAAGGAGGCCAGAATACGCGATCGCATTGACGCTTCGCAGGCTCGGCGACTTGCTAAGGACTTGGATCGCAAGATGAAGACGCTGTCAATCGACCACAAGAAGACCAATCACAGCTCCATCCGCAAGAGAAAGAGTGCAAAGATAGTCAGTAAGATACCTAGAAAGTCCTTCAGGGTAGACGAGCAACTGCTGGAAGATACTAGCCAAAAAGACGGAGTGAGTGTGTCATCAGAGATGAAGGATGGAGGTCCGACAAGTCATCCATCTATACCTCAAGCTGTATTCTCTACCATGTCCAGGGTAGGCGAGGATGATGATCAGTATGTGAGAAGGCGTCCTACAGATCTTGATGTGGAGATGTCGGGATAAAATCAAGCGTCTTAAGGTTGCTTAGATTCAGTGAGACATGAGATCGGGCGTTGGTGGACGAGTTGCAGGAGAGAGGTCAGCATACATGCTGCAGTAGATTGTAAATTAGATTATGGTAAACAACCAGCAGCATATGTGCCTACCTTCTCACAACGTTATCTATGATTGTATATGTGATTGTAGAATTCAAGTATGTTATAATGAGTATATTATATTATCCTGAGCTTCAACTCTGCGGAGTGAAGGACGTGAGTGACATGCTTACTCTAATTTCACTGCTTGTGAGCTTACACACCGACAATTTCCCCGCGAAATATCCCCCAGAGTGTAAAAGCTAAGATCATGACGACTTGATAATCAGTGTAGGATCTGCACCATGTCTCTCGATCCTGTTGCTATCCTTTAAGCTTCCCTCAGGCATCTATGAATGCTCGACAGAAACATTCGGTAAGCGAGGGTTAAGCAAACCCACCAGGAAGGGAAAAGATTGTTTTTTCCAAACAAAAAAAAAACAAAAGTACGATATCCACAAGAAGCAAAAGATCAGGAAATAAAAGAAATGAACTGAGGATATCCCCAGGAGCAAAAGTAAAACTGGCAGAAAGTAAACCCAGGCATGTAATTAAACAAGCTGGTGACTCCCCTCGACCGAAAACTAGAGTAGAACAAGTTCTATCCGGGTCGCCCGATTATACCTAAGAAATGCTTATTAAAACTTATACACCATCTAAAAATGTTGGGAACTTCGGCCGCCGGGTACTGCGAGGACGCTAGAGGCTGCACATGCCGGTTTCTGCTCTTCATCACGGTGTTTTAATCCAATGTTGCTAGCTTTTCATCAATGATGATGTCGATAACGATGGAATTCAACTTTTCCAAAGATGCTTTATTCAGATATCAAGTCACGAGCACTGCGAGGCACAGGACAAAGAATCAGAATTTTCACTTGAGCACCTTTTCCTTCTTCGACTTTTTGCGCATATTCGAGCTTAGAGGCCAACAATGAGTCTGCTCTAAAGTCAGGATTTAGAGAACTAGAAAACATCTCTATTCTCGGGATTTTCCATCCCAAATACGATAATCATCCCATAACCACCTTCCCCCGTCATCAACAAGTCCTCAAGCCTAGCCATAGTAAACACAACTGACCTAGGAGGAGGTTGATCCTTCTTCAGTGGACGCTGTGCTTTAATTTGCAGCAGAGGAAGGCTGTTGTGTGTGTATTGTAATGAGATGGTCTAGGAGCAGAGAGGGTGAAGATGACTGTGGTGAGGACGTCACACATAGCCCCTTATTTAAGCGAGCTCGGTTGCGGGGCTGTTTCGGCACGCTGCCAAAGAGCGCATTGTCACTTGCTTATAGCATATGTTTGAAGTGATACGAGAAAGTTCAAGATGGCAATCATAAGTAATCGACTCGTAATTCGGGATGTGATTGTTGAGAAGAGGCCTGAACAAGTCAGGCGAGTCGATGGGCACTGGCAAGGCTCACAGGATCATGTTTAGGGCTAATTTCTTCACAAAAACAGATTTGCATGAGACAATTGTCAGAGGTCCACAAAGCTGGCTTTGTGCCGGTGATTCAACTAGCACAAAATTGAGAATAGTATACATTTATAATCTAGTCTGCGTGAGGAACCTTGGCAAATGACTTTAAGGATTTCTCCATGCATGGAGGAGAACTATGTACAGATGTTTGCGTTGGGACCTACGAATCGAAGAAATTGATTAGCTTGATGTTGAAATGAGCAGGACAAATGTGTGTGACGAGTGTGAGATGTAAAAAGGGTAGACGTACACCAAGCCATACCCGCTCAGGAGCAATCCTAAGAACATGAAGAATAGCGATGCATTCTTCCATCCGGGTCCCCACGCCAAAGCATCGCTGCTGGTGAGCTCTATGCCTGTATCATTCCCTGAGTCGTTTGCTTCTTTGTCCGTGACGATGCTATATATTGTGGCAGATATGGTATCATTGCTTTCTATCAGTTCTCCAGCGATTCCACTTTTTATATCGTATATACCAGTTGATCCAATAATCTTCTGGTCGACGTCGAGTGCTGCCGCACGAAAATACGTAGCGTCTGTGTAGCCAAGGGAAATAGTTGTCTCGAAGCCCGCTCTCGGGAGTCGTGCGATAGTCTTTGCGAAAGTGGATAGGTTATTGGGAGAATCGCTGGCGAGCTGTAATTTTGGGGCATATGTTACTACATATTACAGGAAACCCCAGAAGTGTGCTTGTACTTACCAGAACCCAGTTTTTGACTTCAGTGGCACCGTTCCAGCTCAGATAGACCGTCACAATACCCTCAATGTTATCAACAGCAATGACCGGGTCCCAATGTGGTGTCGCTTTCCAGTCCATGCGATACGTACGGTAGTTATCCAAGCCATCACCATTTGTAGCCGGAGACCTCCACGGCGAGAACTGGACGTCGAATAAAACCTCGCCATCAATGGTGTGTTCTGTGAAAGACGGATTTCTTCCCCAGCCGACGAACACATTCCCATTGTCCAGCACTTGCATGCTACCCTGACTCTGGCTCAGCAGACCTTTCGGATGCAGATATTCATGCAAGATCTGAACTGTCATGTTCGCTGGGTTCGAGGTATCAAGTTTCAGGTGAAGGCCACGAGAGCAATTCGCTGTGCAATCGAAGCCATTGATGGGCAGTGCGTGGTTGTCGAACAAGGTGATCTCGGTCTCGTTGCTGCCCGGATAGAACCGAGCGTGGTGCTGCCATGACATACTCAGTGCTGGATTGCTGACCACTGTGCCATTTGGAGGTGGTAGCTCAAAAAAGTGGTTTGCCTTGCCTCCAAGTACCCATATCACATCGCCCGTAGTCCCGCTGATTAGGTAGATGGCGTGTGTGTGCCGTGCACAGAGGAGGTAGTTGCCATTTGCGGTCTGCGAGAACAACAAGTCAGCACTTGAACCAATGTACCATGGAAACGGAGTAACGAGGTTGACAGACCTTCTGAATGCTGTTCAAATGAAAAAAGTCCCATGGAGAACTCGGGTTGTAGTTCTCAAAGGAATTGGCCAGATCAATGTGGGCAGACGCCCGCCATTGGAAGAGGAGTTCATTCGTGTCGAGCTGGATTTCTTGAAAGACACTGTCATGTAGTTGGCCGCGTCTCCTCCTACCTCCACCGAAGCTACTGAGGTCTTTGGCAACCGTATCATATGCCGTGAGGAGAGCAGTGCCGTGTCCCGTAAGCTCGAATTCGTGCAAGTCCGCCTTAACGGTGAGCTTCTGCGCAGCAACGCGATAGACTTGTCGATAGGACGTGTCAAAGACATAGCTGTACCCATTACCCAGCCCAATGCCGGAGATGGGTCCGCCAAAGAAGGTCAAATAATCCTTTCCATTGTTCTTCTGAACTCGTACATCGAAGACCGATTGATAGCGGCGGTCGATGTAAACGGCGCTGAGATCTTCGGCGCTCAGTATCAGAGGAGACGTATCCTTTTCGGGGCCAGAATTGCCATTGGCATCATTGCGGAGGAAAATGTGCGACCCGGTTTTGCACATTCGCTCCTTGTGCCATTCATTGACTAACAAGAGCGGGCTTGTTGTACTCGTCGACCTGTGGTCATGGTGGGGATACGTCCCAAACTTGGCTTCTATACTGTATGCATTGTAGTCGAATGTCAGCTGGTCTGCGAATGTGTTGCGGACGAAGAAGGTGAAGAAGGCCAAGATTGCATGCACCGAGGAGCAGAATGTTGGTTTGGAGGAAAACATTCTGCCACTCTCCACCGCCCGGCCCGGCTTGCTCTGCCGAAACCTGACTTCAAATGGCCGGGTCGCCCCCGTGTTTAAAACCTGCCAAGACTCGCCAAGGACCGGGCGTACATTCATACAGTATGCATACAATTCAATCCGGTTGAAAGAGATGGCGTGATACCTGATCTTTATTCCTCATGTTGATGATTTGCACATCAAACAGGCATTACGACTCTCTCAGTTATGCTGCAGCCACGTGCACGCCTTAGAAACATCCATTGGCCGGAGGTTATCTTGCAGTCAGGGTCCACTGTTCGGCACCGAGGAGCGCATTGGGAGCATAGGTGGGCTAAGGGGTAGACGGCATTGCCTCGCTTATTTACCGAAATTCTTCAGGGGGGCTGTTTGATAAGGAAGAGCGACCCTTCGTAGATAGAATGAGAACAATATCACGGAGACAGAAATCAATTTCTATTACATACACGCAGTCTTTCTTTCCAAGGCCATCAAATCCCTCACGGTGGTCCAAGTATTACACAGTGGCTGCAACTTCAAGGAAAGGAACATTTTAGTATATGATCTCAAATTTCACGACCTGCAGAGCACTTTATCTCTCTCGCCTCATCTGCTGACTATCTAATTAACAACTTATTAACACAAGCTCTACTACGTTGCAAAAATTTAGGTTTTTGACCTCTTCCAATCTATTTCTCATGGTGTGAGTTGTTATGATTCCCAGTAGAAATTCAAGATCAGGTCTCGGCCCAAACTTTTACCCAACCCAGACTCTCAATTAACAGTTCCTCTTGCAATTCTCCTCCATAATAAGGTAAGCATGACACAAATATGCCATATGTAGCTAAAAGAAATAAAGTACCCCTCCAACACAGCTTGCAGCGCAAGCTATGCCCAGTGCAGTACAGCCCGCGCGACAGGATTCACTATCGGCAAGTGCCTCTATGGAGATGATGATTATAATGACCAGGAGAAAGGTAATGAGCTTCAGTTGCATAAAGAGATGCGATTTCAATTAGCTTTTAGTATTGCCTTTTTCTTACTTTTCGGTTGGATTTGAAGAAGAGGCACGGAGATGCGCAACGACAAGATTTTATAGTAAAAGTGTGAATACTGCTGCGACGATCATATGGAATGCGTGGCTCTGATAACAATAGCACCACCTGCTGTGGAGGCGTAGAGCCACAATGTTGGCGAAGCGAATGGTTAAAGGGGAGATGTCTTACAACGGGAAGCTCGCACCACAGCGTCTGATATTATCCATGGCGTCAGGCTCCCCTACACCTCGATGTGCTCACGTCAAAGTGCTCTGATAATGAAAGACAAGCAGAGTGCCAGAATGTGCGTCCTAACTTCAGGGATCCAATCTATATCAAGAACAGTCGCTTACCTAGGCCTACTTGCCTCTGCTCTCACTCAGCGGTACATGGTTCCAGTCTCCATGAATACTCATAAGACTTAGTTGATTGTCTACTCAGGAATTTCCATAACCTACTCTCACGGAATCATGCTGTACGCCTGATGATTGACTATGGTCAGAGTGCTCGTGACAGTGTTATCACATGTTCTTCTGACCTCCTTTCTTTTCATCTTATGTTTTTGAGCCCCAACTTTTGGAAAGGGATGAGTTGGTAATTTGTATCTATTTAGTTGCCAGTTAAGAGTGATGGAGCTTTCAAGCTGTCGTGTAGACTCAAATAAATGCCATTTTGTGAGACCAAGGAGCGTAGACGCCGATTCGATAGCATCGTTAGACTAGACCTTCGTTATTCGAGAATAGGTGAATAGACATGAAAGGAGCACTAAAGCACCCATTGCGCCAATATCAATAGGTATGATGACTCAAGGCTTGTGTTAGTGCACAATCAGAAAACGCTATTACGCATGAACTCTCCTCTGACAAACTTTCTGCCGTTGTATCCCTCCTTCATCACCGCAACACTTTCGCAACTACTCTCTAAGAAAACATCTTCATATCATTGACATCAGAAAGTACATAGTTTGGCGCAATATGTCACTCGTTCTTCAGCGTAACCGCCGTCGTTCGGACCTCGAACCTTTCTTTGCTGGTCACTCATACTAATCCAGTACCACGAAGGACTCTGCGGCTGAGGCCTCACGAAAATCACCCAACATGCGTCATCGAAGACTGGTGCCGTCTACCAAAGTCAATCGAGAGGCTGAGGCCGCGCGGATCAAGCGCAAACAAGATCGGTTCGAACATGAACAAGCCATTGAGGCAGCTCAAGTATTTGAAGAGCTCGAGGCAAAGAACATCTTTTCTGCGCTCCCTCCAGGTTATAACTCCTGCTAAAGCCACCACTGCAATGCTAACTGGTTGATACAGAGGTTCGAGAAATGATTTGGCGCTGCCTCCTCGTACGACCTGCCACCATATTGCCGGGCTGGATTCGTTGGACTTATCTTATCGAGCGGAAGATTGGGAATAAAAAGCCTCGGCTCTACCAACGCGAAGGTCGAAGCTATAAGTACCAGTTCAACGAACGCCGTCAAGTCGACCGCCCGCTCAACGACCCGCGGAATCACTCCTGGTTTACTCCACTGCCAGACTACCGCTTGCACAATCCTCTGCATATGGCCATCACAGTGCCGACTGAGCCTACTCCAGCCCAAGCTGAGATGATTGCAAATGGCTGGAGAGATCTTCCCTTCACCTATGATCACGGAGAAGGAACTCAAGTTGCCTGTCAAGTTGTCATCCGCGGCAATCCTGAAGATCCTGACAATCCCGAACACCCTGAACGTCAATTCCCTCAAGTTCTCAATCGAGTCAAGTTGCGCGTTGAACCAATCCATGGTGTTGCCATGCTACGAGTATGCAAGCAAGCTTTCGCCGAATGCAGCAGATTGCTATATCGCGAAAACACCTTTGCTTTCGACACCGACAACAACGAGGGCAAATTCAATGCTCACGAGCCCAAGGAGTTAACCCATGATGTAGCCTGGATTCCTGGAGTGCGGCAACGGAACGGAGAACCACAGACAGCTGAACAATTTCAAGCTGCCATGACGGAGATGTTCACCGATGGCGCTTGGCGACCCATGTTCGTGGCTCGAGACCCTATGTTATCCTTCTTCAGCCGCATCGGTCGTGTCAACACTGCATACTTAACCAAAGTTAGGATCGAGGGACGGTTAAAGACAGCCCCTGGCCCAAGAAAAAAAGCTCTGTACATTGGATTCTCTCGCGTTCTTAGCATCCTCACTCCTATATTGAAAGCTGCTTGTCCCAACCTCAAGGAACTTGCCTTGCTTGTACATGGCTTCGAGGATGAGGATGAAGAACAAAAATGGTTCTGGGACCACGATCCTCACAACAAGGCTAAGTTGACGGACGAAGATAGAATCGACGCGATGGCTGAGAATGTCGTTAAGAAATTGGATACGGTGAAAGTCCTCAGGTTGGACTTTCCTTATATCTTCAAAAAGACTGATTATGAAGTTGACTTCAATGGTGATGGAGAAGCAGACAACGACAGCGACGATAGCGAGAGTGAAGAGAGTGACGAAAGTGACGAGACTGAAGAGACTAAAGACAGTGAAGAAAGTGAAGAAAGCGAGCAGAGTGAGTGGGGCGAGGGGGTTGAGGTTGTGGAGAGTGAGGATACGGAGAGTAGTGAGGAGATCGAGAACAGTGAGGCAAGTGAGGATAACGACATTCAAGATGACGTCGATGCTGAGGAAGATTCAGAATCTGACTTCGAGGACGAGTGGGGTAGATCAACGAGATGGATTGACTGGGTCAAGCAAAGAGCAAGGGATCAAAGAACTGCAGACCCTGAGGTACGGGACGAGGACACAAGTGTGGCGCTGGTGACCACAGGTGACCCTGGTCCTAGCCAAGGAGAGGCAAGTGGTTCCCGTGGCAGAGGCAATGGGAGAGGGCGCGGTCAAAGCCGTGCTCGGGGTGGACGAGGACGAGGTTGAGGCCTAAGTGGACAGGCAAGAGATCGAGGTGGCCGAGGACCCTGACTTTGAGAAGTGTCTCGGTCTGTGTTATTTTGATAGTAAGATCAGCCTTGGTTGGTCTTTACGGATTAGCTTGGCACTGAGACATCTGCATGTTGGTAGCCAAAGTCTGAATGAAACAAGCAAGATGGCGAAAAGTCAGAGATGAAATTCGCAAGTGAAACTATTTTCTGACTGTGTTACTGACACATTTGATCACTCCCTAATTTTTGTGACTATATCAATGAAAGGCATTCAAGGCTCGTTTGTAAGTGGTCGCAGTATTACCATTCCCGTGCTTACTCCAATCCAAGTCTTGATCAGAGCGGCACGGTATCCTCAATCAAAGCCCCGAAAGAAATCTTTGGTTGCGGGCGGTCCGGAAACATATCCTTGGATTGTTTAACGATTTCGTCCTTGCTGTGCAAAAGAATTTGCCACGTCAAAGCATCAGCCTGCTCTTCCACCATTGCCGAAAAGTTAAATTGCCCACGATGTTGAATGTCGGACGAATGGAACGGAGTCCAGTACAAGAAGAGATCTGATGAATAGGCAAAGCCTTGGGCACATGTAAGGAGTGAGTCCAAGATTGGATATAGATCGATGACATTCAGTGCACATGAGGGTGGCGCTCCATTTGAAAACCATAATTCTTTAGCACCTGGGTCCGAAAAGTCTCCCATGGGACACAGCCGGTCCGCATTACGGTTGTACCATATCGTGGCGGGTGCTTGAATAGTCGCTTTGGTTGTGGGGAGGAGCCGGGAGACCTCGCCAAAGCTCAATTCGTAATACTTGACAGCGATGGACCTAGATTCCCTATTGACCGAGAGCACACTGGGTGGCCGTTGTGTGCTCTTATACCAGCGGCAGCTTATCGCCTCTCTATTCTCGTAACCATATCGTCCTTCCTGTTCAGAGCATCGAATATCCAAATTCCGAGGAACATTAGACGCTTCCGCCCACTGCAAGCAATTAATCTGCGTTTCCAAGTGAAAGTTGAGAGCCACGTAGGCAGAGTTGGGAAGGGGTGAAAAGAGGCCCGACACCGGCATAGCAGAGCCACTAGAGGAGATAGGAATAGAGAGAATATTTACGATGCTGTGTCGAATCTCAGGCGGGAGCAGTGGGAAACAAGTGAAAGTGTGGGTAGCCATGTTGGCACAGAGACTAGGTCTCGCTGCTTGTCGACTAGAAACGCTGTTCAGGAGATCAGGACAGCGCTCAAGGGCTGGGCAGTTGATTTTGCTTGCAAACCCTCTTCTAGATGTTATGTCGTTGGGTAATTCTTTGCTCCAATAATATTGTTTGGACGAGAAGCATAGCAAACGCGTCTGGCGTCTAAACCAACGTTGTGAAATGCGGGGCTGACTAATCGCGGGGAACTTTACAGTCAACATGTTTCGGCTTTCAATTCTTCCGACTTTCAGTCCCACAGAGGAGCCAATAAAGACCTGCGAAGCACGAGAATACAAGCTCTTGGCGCTTGAGCCATTAAGCCATTGAGCGACTGAGCGATTCCTATTGCAAAAGGTTGTCAACACGTTCGAGAAGCACCTAATTTTCCTGGCCCGTCATCCCGACACTCGCGAAACCAAACAGCATGGAGATTCTGCCCAATTCGCGAGCTTTCACACTCTTTCCCCAGCTTCCCGTGGAGTTGAGGAGGGCAATATGGGAACATGCAGCGAATCTGCCTCGGAATCTAGACGTTTGGGCACTCTGGGGCGGGCCGAGATACATACTAGACACAAGAGACGAAAAGTTCGAACTCGCGACTCGGCAACCTATACCTGGCGTCCTTCTTGCTAGCAAAAAGTCGAGAGAGGCTACCCAAAAGTACTTTGAACTGGGCTATGGCGTCGAAATCAAGGGACGGCTGGGTGGGAAGGTGGTGATCCCACCCAAGGTGCCACGGAACCTTTCTGCAGACACGATCTGTCCAATGGGAATATACACTGCCAGTTCACAGGAGGCATTGTGGCGCGATCACCCAACAGCATGTTGGGCTATCAATGTCGCGCCATCCCATTCTTAATGCACCCGGACCCTCTGAACGGATTTGTGCTCTATGCCAACAAGTTCCCCAAGGAAGTGTTACTATATCACTGCGAGCGGCCACCAAATATCTCTACCAGCTTCGAACTAGAAGATATGTCCGAATGCGTTGACGCGTCAAATGGACACGCAAATCTACAAGGGTGGGAAGCCCTCAAGCGAGCGAAGGAGCATCTCGACCATAAATATAGCTCCATTACAGGGGCGTGGAAGGTTGCTTTGCAAAATGATATTGTTCAGCTACCTCTGACGGCCCAATCGAGCCAAGAAGCAGCCGTAATAACTAGGTACCTAGAGGGGCAACTTGCACGCAATTGGACGCTCCCGATCGTTAGATTTGTGGCTTTAGTAGTGAACGGCGTCCGGTATTGCTCTTCTTCGGTTCAATACGACATGTCTCTCTTCTAGAACCTTTACAAGTCATTGTTAAGATCTTACCTTGAGACATCTTGCTATTCCATGCCGCCCCCAGTTTATCTGCGAATCCACCTCAAGTGACTTCCTTTGTCTGCCTTCCAGACCCATACTTGAGGGCCAACGACAACCTCAAATTGCCTTCTACAGGACTAAGCCCAGAGTTCAGCTCGCCCACCCACTCCAAGATCCAATCTCGAGCACTCTTATATGTAATCTAAGTTATGACACTTGGTGATTGAGCGTTTCAATTGACATTTATGGATGCTTCAGCAACGGACGTTTCGAAGGACAGCCAGTCCCTGAGAACCTCTCAATAACTTTATGTAGTCCTGGCAACTTACCCCAAACTGCATGCTCCTCATATGTCGAAGGACGGGAGCCGAAAGAGGGGAGCACGAAATCCTCCTAATCCATGATTTGTAGTTAAACAAAGGTCCATAGAGCAAGTTAGCTACTTATCTCAAGAATGTTCGGGCTTAGGAAGCTTGCAGCAGATGCATAATTATGCTGTAGGAGCCTGGCAGTGTCTCAAATCATTCCACGACCATGAAAGTGTATCATAAGAATCCTATGCTTTCTGAATTTGTCCAAGGCTGCATGTAGACTTTGGGCAGTCTTCGAAGGGCAATGATCATGCTTGAAGTGTGCCCATCCCATTCAGCGTTTTGCTTGAATACCATTGATCTTGCCTCGGGCGGAAACTTCATGACGACATTAAAGGAATTATGAGGCGTCTTAGGGGAATTGTTTCGTGCCGTCATTGCTGCGATTCGAAGGGTGAGGCTTTGCATGGTGCTGGCAAGTGTGTCTGGAAGGCCCAAATACTGAAGAAGGGTTTTATCTTACTTACTTCAAGCACACTGTGGTTGTCCTTTAGGCTGGAAGCCGCGTTCTTGTGTAGACAGATGAATCAGGAGTGACAGTCTCTTCTGAAAAAAAGTATATTAATCTGTGTGTCTAGGGCTTGCTTGTAGCATACCTCTTCGACTTCAGCTACCCTTGTCAAGCCATCGCATCTTCTTTTCTTCAATGCTTAACTTCATGAACATAGAGAAACCCAGAATTCTCTGCCTATTGTTGGAAGGACGCAAAGCAACAAACCAAACGTTTCGAAAGAATGAGAAGTTTTCTTTATACTACAAAACATCCTACAGCAGGCATCTAAACTACACAAAATTTACCATTGCTAGGCACCAAGGTGGACCAAGTATATCTGGTATTGGTGTAATACAGCAAAGCTGGAGCTTGAAACAGATAGCAATAACTTGTAAATCAGAGGGAAAGATTTGTTGCTGTTGCTTTTTCTCATACTCTGATGCAGTAGCCAGTTGTTCAGAATCAGCCATCAGAATCGTCTTAGAATTGACCATTTTGGTGTGGCATGCCACAAAGGAACAGCACTATTTTCCTCGATAGAAATATAAAGAACAGCAGCGTCAGCATCGCAATGAGCTCTATGGAAAAGAACTAGCAACCGAGCTGCCAAATATGAAGAGGTTCTATGAGGGTTCCAAGGTAAGGGACAGTGCTAGAATTGGAGAGGACTTCTACCCTTCAGAGTTGAAAGTGATGGCTCAACAGTGGATTGCCAATTTATAGTTGCATTTCGGTTCGTCGTTTCCAAGCCCCGGCTCGTACCTGTGTATAGTCTTGTTTTGTGCATAAGGATCTGCAATTGTTATAGAGAGCTTCATGCAGACGAAATTAAACACTGCGAAGAGGAAGGCAGCTCGAAGCAGAGGCACGATTGACAAGTTATGATCCTTGCATGATAAAGTTGGGTATAAGAATGACCCGCTCTAGGATCGCAGATGACGGAAGCCAACCTGTCGCGCGTGTCAGGTGGCCGAGCGTACCCATTGCGTGCTTAAACTAAGCGTTGTCCCTGACTAATGAGCCGTAATTCAGAAGAGTGCTGCAGTCAATAACTATGTTGATGACACAAGACTGGAAGGGGTTGAGCTGAGAAGGAACTTCGAAATTCGAACCTTGACTTGGCATAATCACGTGACAGCTCTCTCATATTTTCCGTTTTGATTAAGCGTTAAATGTAATGCTGACCTCGAAATGAAGCTTTGAGTCTGTTTTCAGAATGTCTTAATGAATGAAAGAGATGTTACAGCGCGCTTAGAAGATCATTGGATCACATGATACGCTTACGCAGCTTGAAAGCTGGACACCTGCATTTCTCGCTTGCTCGATTCAATTTTGCTTCACCTTTCAAACAACGCTTCTGGAGGGTACTTTTTGAGCTGCAGCATGAGGACGTAACTAAGCGCCACCACATACTCGACAACAAGCAAGACAGCCCTCAGATGCCGCTTGAAGCGCTGTCAAATGAGCTCCTCGTCGAGATTGCTGAGTGGGTAAACGAGACATGCGATACTCAAACTCTTCTCGACCTGGCTCTTTGCTCTCGCCGTCTAAATGCTGTGGCTACACCGATAATGTACCAATCCTTCCACTCTGGACACCGAGATGTCCTTCCAGTCTTCCTGCGGACACTGCTAGCTAAGCCCGAATTGGGCTTACGAGTCCAGAGCTTCTCCGCTCCAATGCATGCCCACTGGGACCGGCGTGGCTACATGTCAGGATACGGGAATGAAGACTTCATGAGAGCTCAAGCTGCGGTTGAGTCTATCTACCACGCGCTACCGGTGGATGGAGGTGTCCAAATGTGGATGGCACGTATATCAACAGGCAACTGGCATGCGCTCGCCGCCCTAGCTTTTTTCCATATGCCGAACTTGAGAGACATCGAGATATCTCAATACGACGTCCTAGATCCGTATGATGGAATTCTAGATCGTGGATACTTGCACTCAATTCCTGCCACCCTTGACTTCTTGGCCGATTCGAAAGATCACCTCAACTCTCTGGAGCGCATTGAAATCCTTCCATACGACCCACTTTATGGCTTCAATTTCAAGTCAATTTGGTCTTTTTTTCGTAGTAATTCAGTGAAGACTGTAACTATCAGTTGCGTTGTAGGAGCCGACCTCGATGACCAAGCCTCACGATACGAGACTGAAGAAATAGATTTCAAAAGAAGTTGCTGCTCAGGAGAGCCGATGATTCGTTTTCTTCGCTGCTTTCCACAGTTGAAAGCGTTCTCATATGAGCATCTGGAAGGACCTATCGACTATGTTGAGTTCGATGCTCCAAGATTCGGGCAAGCCATTGCGCATCTCAAACCATGCTTAGAATACCTCCATATTTCAAATGGTGGCTACGATGAGCTGGTATTGAACCAACCTCACCTTGGGACCATCGGCTCTCTATCTGGCTTCCGTGCTCTAGAGATACTCGAGATAGACGCCGATACTATTCTCGGACTGTACCACGGCAATGCTGGAGATCCAGATGAGCTCTCCTCTGGAGCAAATGCTCGAAGAAAGTTATACAAGTTGTTGCCTCGCTGCTTAGAGTATCTCCACCTTAGGAATTGCTCAAACTCGATTGTTGGACAGCTATGGGATGTTATTGATTGGAAGAAGAAGGCTGATGCGTCTCTGTCTTCTGTGATTGTTACGTGGAGGGGAGTTCGAAGAATCAACGACAGGGAACCCAACCGACACTGGCCGGAGCATGAGAGTTTAATCAAAGCGTGCGAAGAGGCTGGCATCAGGATGAGGCTAGCCCCTTCTACTACGGATATGTGGTAGGGGAGAGACAAATGCTCGGTGAACGCCTAGAATTCCGTTATGCTTCCCAGATTCCTTCAACACGCAGATTGAGACGCGGATTGAGATGTCATGAAAGAGCACACTCGCTCTACTGCCCTCTCGATTTGCATCGCCCTGTCATTGCCTAGCAATATCTATGACAAGGTCTTTCTATTCTCCACATTTAGCCTCCTAGTACGGATTTTTGCGGACCAATAACTAAGCAACTCAATTTCCAAAAGACACTCGCTCCATCTCGCGTTTTTGCAGGTTGAAACTAGTGGTGTTACCACGTGATCATCAGCACTCGCGATTCACCGGTCGCTTCACTCACCGCCACTTTTACTGAAGAATTTATTCATCACCTCTAGTCTTTCATCCACAACCACATCATACTCGTCGATATGGCGACGCTATCGGCACTGTCTAATGAGATTCTGGTCGATATCGCTGACAAAGCGGGCTCCATTGACGGCACCACTACACTTCACAACTTAGCACTCTGCTCACGACGTCTTAACTCTCTTGCAACTCCCAGTCTCTATTCCTCGTTTCCAAACAAGGATGTACCAAAGTTTCTACGAACGCTGATTGCCAATGCCCAACTAGGGTTCATGGTAAAGCATTTCTCGGTCAACGTGGCTTCAGCTGAACCACTAGGAAATGAATATCTTCAAGTCTTTGAGTCTGCAATCGAAGAAATATTCAACTCGGATGTAGCTTTGAATTGGATGAACAGTCTACATCAACCGAAGCAAGAGGAGTTTGCTGCAGTTACGTTGTTTTACTTGCCCAACCTAATCCATCTCGAACTCCAACATTGTGGATCTTTCTCTCAATACCAGCCATGGTCCATCCACTGGGCTCTTGATCTCATGGCAAACAACCAGATTAACTCATCTGGCTTTTATCTTCAGAACCTCCAAATAATCAGCGCCACGCACCGCGGTTTGACCGGGTTTCATCTGAAAGAACTTTTTCACTTCTTCAAACTCAACTCAGTCAAGGAAGTCAGAATACAGCCCGCCTCTCATGATCTGTGCCGAGGCGACTTTGGTTACCAGTTCCCGACTGAAAGGTTAGATATCCAAGATGGGCTTTGCAGTGGCGATAGCTTAACAAACTTCCTCGGATACTTTCCCAAGCTCAAAAGCCTTATCTATCACCATGACTACAATTCCATGATTGAATTCAACCAATACAGACTTCGACTGGCTATCGGACGTCTCAAGCATTGCCTGGAAGAGTTGTCACTGACAACTGGCGAGACTCTTTTTGAGACATTTACAAGCGGCTTCGGATCGATGGCCGAATTTGGAGCGCTCCGAGTGCTCGAGGTCGATGCGAGCTTTCTTTTAGGACCTCATCACAGCAACGCACCAATCATCGATGATAACGGACAGCAAAGCATGCCATTACGACTTTACAGACAACTACCATCGCGCTTGGAAAATCTTCGGCTCTTGAAATGCAAGTCCACAATCCTCGGTCAATTGTGGGATTTGATAGATTGGAAGCTGGGAAACAGTGCTCAACTAAAGCATGTTTCTGTGAGCTATCTATACTGGAACACAGGACATGACCAGTCTTCTGGGTCACGTGGAGACCAGAGATTGCTGAGCTTGGAGAGCATGAACATGGACCTGATCGAAGCATGCCGTAATGCCGGCATGCTACTTCAGTTTCCACCACACCAAGCAGAGTTACTTGATGGTCTGTAAACTACCATTGGAGCCGGATGGGACACACAGTGTTGCTTGAAGCAGGGTTCCGCGTCTCTCTTCAATGTTAACGCTTGACTGGGATACATGCGTTACCACTTGCAGAAATCTTCGATATTCATTTGGTCGGGGAAAACCGTGGAGCAGGTCCGAATGTTCTAGGGTCTTTAGGTGTTGTCGGCCTGAAGAAGATTCGATTTGTTTCTTAGCGTGAATAATTGTCGTTGAGCTCCCTTGTGCTTGCTAGTTGTAAGTACCATATTCGTGAAAGTCGCGTTGTTAAACGCCTTAATCGCAATCAAGTTAGCCTTCTTTCCAGATCGCGCTTTGCAAGCCTTGCGCTCAAGGAATCAACATGCTATCAAGACCCTCGACTTTGCAAAATCCTCTTCCGATCTCAACGTCACGATTCTAAATATCGCACAACTTCTGTCTATCTCTTCAAGACGCATCTCATCATACAAACTACAAGCTCGGATCAAACACAATGGACTTCCCTTGGACTTCACCAGCCGACTTCCCAAGGGAGCTTTGGCGTGTGCTGCATGCAAAACAAGAAACCAAGTCTAATGGCATGGGCCTGGTTGCGGGCGCTCCATGGTTACGCCTCCCTTTCCAGACCAATCTAGCGGCTTTCACAGGCTCTATCATGGCTCACCGCAATCAAGACCGTCTGCTTTCTCCTTACATATCCTTCTTCGAAGACAAAGCCGAGGCGGAACAATGGTGCTTGGCAGCAGAGGAATATCTTCATGAGACAACGCATATCATTCAATTCGTCATCAATGATGACATGCTTCAAGCTCTCTCGATGGGTACGTTCCGTGCTTTCAGAGTAAAGGACGTTGCGAGGCAATTGGGACTCGAGGATAGCATCCTGGGATATGGATCCGAGAGAGGCTTTTCTGATAGCGAATTCATGTGGCTTGGGGCCGCTCCTGTTACGAACTTCTTCGTCGTCGAGTCCAGCAAGGACATCCGCCAGAGTAAGTCTCCATTGCTGTATTCTTACAGAATTTGAGAGCTAACTATACGGGCCATCAGGGAAGCAGAAGGAGATGTACCCAATACTGAATCTGGACGGAGAGACGAAATGCAAATGTGAATTGGACGGACGGGCTAAGGTTGGCGAGACGCATTTGTGCGTTACAAAATACGACTGCAGAAGCACTGATGTCAACATGTGGATGTACAGATAAGGAGTATTGCTTTCACTTCGATTGGGATGATCACGATGTGGAATGTCTCAACCGATTCATTGAGAAAATGAAAAATCCGGACCTGTGGGAGTTTGCGTCGGGTCGCGGAGCCCTGCGAGCACTGTGAGCACTTTTGATGGGAAATCACCGACCCTAGTTTTCTTTCAATGTAATTATCAGAATGTACATACATAGGAGCGACTGTGGACTAGGAGAAGGAGCATTGTTCCGCAAGGTTCATGCTTAGCATACAATGAAAGTCACTTGTCCTCCATAATGGAACTTTGGTTTGTCTATTGCAATACGAATATGCTCACACAATCTGTAAACCTTTGTTCGAGACGCATGATCTTCGATATTGCAGGGACCGAGAAGGAGGAGGTATAAGATAGACTCACCTTGGTAAAGCTGAGAGACCAAGTGTCCCCATTAATCAGAACACCATCGAGTATCGTCACATCTCTATTTGATTTGAATGTTTGTCTGCATACGATGAAGAAGAGCCCCCGTTATCTACTTTGGTCGTCTCAAACTGTTGTGAAAACGATGCCTTAGAAAGAACGAGTCGATACCTTTACTACATAGATTACCTTGCTGTTAAATGCTTAGGTACAGTGAGTGTGGTGCATTCACAGCATGTTCATCTTCAAAAACTAAGCTAGCAAAGTCGATGTTGAAAATTCTAGGCTCTCGCTTCTCAAATTTGAGGCTGTGAAGCGAGCCCAGACGCACAAAAGAAAAAGGAAGACAAAACTAATTGAAAAAAAAATTTGATAGAAGATGACCCGGAAAGCAGCAATTGCTTAGATACACTGAAAAAAAAAAGAAGATCAACTCTAGAAACTCAGAAAGAAAGACAAAAGAATTACCCCACGCAACACCTCGGACATTAGTAGCGACCTAACGTCTTCGGAGTGGATGAAAACTTTAAACTCTGCTTCAGGGGGACTCGTCAGTGCCCCATCACACAATTCGAAAGTACTTTTGCTTATTTAACCTTATACAGTACCTTTCTTCAATCCGTATCCGGTTAGCGTAATCTTGCAACCACCAATGTTCTCGCCAACGCCAATGCCCCCAAGTACTTTCTCACTTGCAATCTTGTTTCATGTCAATCTGATGCAATATTCATTTGACATCCTTTCAGTGGCGAAGTCATAGCAGTTACAAAGTGTTCATTTTCACGTACTACAAAATGCAGAAGATCATCACAAGCCATAGACCCATAAGTTGAGAAGTTTGTCAATTGAGATAGTGGCAGTTGTCAGTCATTTGCGGTGCTACTGAGAGTCCGTGAAATGTAGGTTCACTCTGCTCTATCTAACTCAAGACTTGGTGTTACCAGCATTTCGCTCTGCCCTAGTCATCAACTCCTTCTTGGACTTCTTTGGCTCTGGTGCATCAACTCCTGCCGCATCAGCAGCTCGCTTCAGTGTCGCGCGCTTGACAGCTTCCAGCTTGCGAATATCATCGTGATACTTAGCCTTCTCTTGACCAACATCCTTCTTCAGTTGAGCAATCATCTCATCCCTGTCGACAATAAGATTCTTCAACATTTTGACATTGCCGGTCAATTCTTTCACTTCCTTGTCCAAAACCTCGACGCGATCTTCAAGACCTTCCTTGTCCGCCCTCAATTGTCTCTTCTCTGCCTGCAAATTGGCGAACCGAGCATTGTCTGTACTCTTCTTCTTGGCGAATGCTGGCGTGGTGGCGAAAGCTGCGGACTCTTGGTACTTCTTTCGAGTCTTCGCAAGATCATCGGCCTGGAGCTGGCTTGCAACGATGCTAGCCTATGAAAGTTAGCTCATGTAATAGCAAAGCCTTGAATGAGAATAAGACGTACAGCTGAAGCCTCCATAGCCTTAGCCATGTGCCATTGAGCTATCTCGGTGTACTCAATAGCATTTGACGTGGAGACCTTGGGGACCTTGGGGACCTTGCTTGAAGGCGCGATGTTGTCGGAAGCTGCAGCCTTGAGGGCATCAACATCGCCAGGAACTTCATCATCAGTAATATTCTTCAGTGCAATGTTCAAACTCACAGAAGTGCTTCCATGTGTTGATATCAGCTTCGCGGTGAGCCTGATCTCCGAGCGCTACCTTTCCATTCGACATTGCGGCTGCGAATGCGGCGGTGCGGTAGGCGTGAAGCTGGGCCTCTGTGATCAGTCGACCATCAGCTCTGGCTTTCTCAAGCATAGCTTGGATCTCTTTGTCGTACTCCATGGTTTGTTGCGTTCTTGTTGTACACGAACCCGAAGTGGAGAAGTGGCCGAAGAAGAGTTGACCACAGGTGGTTTGTTTTGGAGAAGAAAATTATTGTGGAAAAATTAGCCGCTTCTTATACGCGTGCCCTCCGAAATTGTTATCCTCGGAAGGACTAGCGCGCCATTTCTTCTTGGTCCGACTACCACATTCACTTTACATCAACGACAAACCTTCTACACCACCACGCGAAGATTGTGCAATGGGTTACGAGCCGCAGCTCAAGCTTATGCTTGAGATGATCCAGACTGTCCCTCACCTCACCGAAGAACAATTGCGCGGCTTCCATCGACGTAGCGTTAGAAACGCAAAGGCTAGGCATGGAGACAATTCGCCTATGGCATTCTATGAAGCTGATCGTACAACCTGGAAGGTCTTCTGTAAGTATCAGTGCGCTCCTCCATGATCTTCCCATTCTTAAAGAAGAATATCTAACACTGCTGCCAGTTCCCGAGGAGGACTTCCCCGGAATCAAGCCTCTTACACAGGCAGCAGCCCTTGACGGATTACATGGACATCTCGTTATGACGCTCCAAAGTTTCGAGGTAAGCATTTCGGGAATTATCAGGCGGGGCAACAGAAGAAGCTAACTGTCATAGGAGTTCAGAGTTACTGCGGGTGCTCTGCGAGGCGATTTAGAGGATCGTATCCAGTTTTTGAAGAGGGAAAACCGGGCTTTGGCAGATAAGATCAAACAGCTGGAGGCGGAGCGACGGATTAGGTCAGAAGGATGATGTTTCCAAGGGACAAAGTGGCAATCACTTCAAGATATGACCTTAGATCTGTGCATTCGGGGAGCTTTTGACTTGACTGCACTGTTAAATCTGTGTTTTAGCAACATTGATCAGCAATGAAGTGCCTAATGTCTTTGCAATAAACATGCATTTGAGTGTGAAAGATTCGCCCAAATCTGCGCAAAGCTCATCGAAGGTAAATTGTCCGTCGCCAATTATTTCTTAAATACTAAAACACAACCCTTGTTATCAATTTGCGTACCTCGGACGGAGATGGTTTCATGTTACCAATATCTTGAGACTTTGGGAAGTAAGTATAGTTAGACAGGTTGATCCAAAAGCGCCAATCTGTGCATTGTATTTCAATTGAACAGCAACCTGACATCACTTCACTTCCAGCAAGAAATACACTGGGTGAATGTACGAATAGCGCTAAGCTAGGGGCAGCTCCAAAAACAACTCGGCAGGTCTATATCAAGACATCTTCTCGGCCGAACTTGTGCCATCTCTTCATCCACAAACCAACATATCTTTCCGATATCGAAATCTTCCGCAGCCACACCACCAGCTATGGACAACAAGATGTCGTATCGCAGTCCCAAATCCCCTCTTCAATCCGCCGGATTCTCTTCCTCTTCTGCGCCACCTCCTCTTCCAAATTACGACGCCGATGATGAATTCACACTTGAATTTGACGTCTCCTCTGTTGTCTTGCCCAACGGAGAACCAGCACTCGATCCTGCGGCATTAAAGCGCATCGAAGAAGCCACTAGGATCATGAACGAACTCGAACTTGAAACTAGTACTTTCTCGAGCGAAGCAACTTCTGGCTCCGACAAAGAGAACGAAAACCCTTCCGCATCTGATGGCGACATGGAGGTTGAGGGCGTCGACGAAGAAGATCATTTTGAGGTTAGGTCTATCGCCTCCATTACTGATGAAGATGCGATGAGCAATGATTCGATCAACGTCGCAATCAATGCCGAGACGAGCGCGAGCCAGGTAGATAAGCTGGATAAGGCTGAGATGGCTACAAGACTCAAGAACGCGAACACAAAAATCTGGCTGCTGGAGAATATCGTCAAGGATCAGCAGGGCGACATCGGGAAGTTGGTCAAGATCAACGAGGAACAAGCACGTACCATTCAAGCGTTGATTGGCAACAAGCCCGAGTATGAAGATATCATATGTGGCGCTAGTCCACTATCTGCCGAGGAAGGTATGGAGGAAACTCGAGGCGTTGATACGAAGAGAAAAGGAAAGGAAATCGACGAAGGAGGGCAGTTGGGAAAGGTTCCTTGGAGTACTGATTACCTTGGCTTGATGAGTACAATTCAATCCGAAGAGTCGAGCCCAATCAGTGGGATGAGACGTGAGCAAGAGAAGAGGAAGCGAGTAGAAGACTCGACGGACGTTTCTCTTGGAGAGGCTAAGAGAGTCAAGCACAAAGACAGTCAATCAGGATCTTCGACGAAGGGAAGCGTGTTCTCTGTCAACGACAGCTTTGACTTTGGCTCATTTGGCGGTGCCGCCGTAGTTAAGGGCACAGATGTTGAGGAGCCGAAGAAGGTACAAGAGCGGAAGCGTAGGAGCATGGCTACAACCCCGTGGAGATCCACACCCAATAGAATTGTATCTGCAGACCTTCAGCAGCAGATGAAGTCCGACTCTGACTTTATTGAGCGACTTCTGGACCCGATGCGAGAGGCACAAGATCCTTCTACCTGTACCTTGAAACCAAGTATGTGGCCTTCTAGCGGTGGATTGGGAAGCAGTGATTCTATGTCGAACGGAGATGAAGTTGATGTCCATCGCTGGAAACCGACAGGAGATCTAGTTCAGGATGCCAAGAAGATGGCGGCTAAGATTGTTGATATGGAGGAATGATTGTGCTCACTGTTCGGAATGTACATGTGGTAGGAAGGAATTCGTCGCCGGCTTTAGTGGGGACTGCAGCGATGGAGTTTGTATTCTCTTTGGTAGGACAGGAATAAAGTCTCTGAGGGGGGCTTACTTCTATGCATATCCTCAGACACTTGCATTTCCTTTAAATTAGCGTTGGGTGAGGGAGAAACGTCTCCAATATGTCCTCTCCCAGAATGTGCGTCTTGATTGCACACAAGTGTTGCCATACATTTCATGGGACGTCGTTGAAAAAGAAGTTAAGCGAGCGGCGCCAATGAATGAGTGGGGCGCGGAGGCTAAATTCTTTACGTCTGTGGCATTCTATATCAGATGTTGGTCAATGTTGCACGACTTCCCCGGCAACTTCTACCAGCCACTCTCAATGCTTACTTGACTAATAAGCTCGCATCCTATCTGAGTGTTGTTCTCTGTTCCAACATTTAAAGGAAGACGAAGTTGTTATCCCGATATTTCCGCAGCACCGGCCGGCCGGTGTGGCACGGTCACCAGCATTAATCTCCCGTCTCCCCATCTCCCATCTCCCACCTCCAAAAATTGTAAAACGACGCATATCACTGCTTGCACACAAAGGCACCCATCACTATTCCGCTCATCAACTCTTGTTGTAGAACAAACTGGCCATGGCAATTCCGGTTGCAATCACAAAGGGCGGCAGAGGTTTGTACCCCTCCATGCTCGTCCTCTTACCCCAATTCCATGCCCCCCTCCTCTTCAGCTCTCATCGCCACAAAATGTATCCTAACAAGAGTTAGAGCGCGTACCCCAAGCATCAGCTCTCTTCGCTGAAGCATTCGCCACTGATCCGGTGATAACGTACATCCTACATAACATGCCAGAATCAAAACGCCTCACCTACCTACCAAAGTACTTCAACGCACTTTTGACAGCAGCCGCATTGAACGATGCTACCTTCATAGAAATTGACGATTTCAAGAGTTGTGTGACTATGATGCATCCTGGGAAGAAAGTCGACAATCCTTGGACTCTGATCCCAGCCGGATTGGTTCAGATGCTCTTCGATATAGGCTTTGGTCCTTGCTGGGTATGATCACAGCTGCTCTTTCCTTTCTTCGCTGCTCACTAATTCATCATTTCCTCCGTCTTGAACTCTCGTTTCCGATCGTTCCTTAATAAATACAATCCTGGGGTCACTGACACACCTCACAGAGAATGCTTTTCGAGTTCAGCCCCATGACGGACCGTTGCAAGCTCAAAGGTCTTCGAGGACAAAAGAAATACTTCTATGTATTTTTCACGGCGACAGCATCTTCAGCACAAGGACAAGGCCTCTGTACCAAACTCCTCAACCATTGGCAGGACATCGCATCACGTGAGAAGGTGCCAATGTGGCTCGAAGCAACAACTGAGAAGAGCATGAAGATATATGCAAAGTGTGGATTTGAAGTTGTGGAAAGGATGACTTTAGGTAAAGGCAAGGTTGAGCCGAAGGGGTTGAAGCCTGTGAAAGAAGGTGGAAGTGTGAAAGGAAAGGAGGAGCTCGAGGGTGTCCCAATTTGGGCAATGGTTTGGTGGCCGGAAGGTTCGAAGCCAGTTGGAAACTGATTCCGCTTAGCGATTACTAAATAGGTATTGCTCGATGATCTAAATATCTAGGGTGTCTGGAAGACTCGAACCAGTTCCCCAGAGATTTGGACTGTCCACAGGGTATCCAGGCACCGATGCACCTCTCCCCCAAGTTTCAAATCATGTTCAGACATGATTCAACCTTCTCCAATACCCATCAGGCATTAATTTGCTTCAAAACGCTTTCTTCACCCCATCCTCTTTAATCTCTTCCAATTTAACCTTCTTCTCCTTCCCCGAAAAATCACAATGATAAGTCTTATGTCCATCCTCTCCACATCTCCCACAACCCACCATACAATCTATAAACCAATGTCCCTTCTTCCCACAGTTGTAGCAAAGCGTATCAGGCCCGTCCGGAATATCCGGACTCCGCCCACTTAGGACTGTCGGATATTCATTCCCCACGAGGTCCCCTACTCCCTGCTCCTTCTCCGTCGTAACAAATCTTGACCGACTGTCATTCTTGAAGCCTCTTCTCTTCTCTTTTCGATGATCCGGAAACAGTTCCCGTGTAGCAGGTGTTCCGGATCTAGAGCTTGGTGGTGACCAATGATCTCTTTCCCAGCCTGCTCCTTCTACTTTGGGTCTCTTTCCCCCTCGTGGATCCTGGATTGAATCTTTCACGAGAAGCTCTTTACGCTTGGGAGTCACACTCGGCGACTGCAAGCGTCCAACTCTCTCTGCTTGTCGAACAGAGAACGATAGAGGACCCGCATTCTCCTGAGCTCGCATAGCTTTCGGCTTTGTGGGCGTATTGGGTGAGAGTGGTGTAGGTGCCGCGAGGAAACGAGACATGGGCGAGTCAGGTTCCAGGTCCATGGCAGTCGAAGGTTTGAAGGAGAGATCGGTGTTCTTCATCGTTCTCAGTGGAAGAGAGGTATCATTTCCTAGGTCAAGTGTCGAGTCTGGAGATGGAGATCCAAACTCGAGTGCGTGGCGCTGGATTGCTAAGATAAGCCTAGTTCATTGTCTTGATAGTATGTAAGACAAAAGGCACCTACCAGCTGTTCTTGGGTTGTTGGTGTTTGCATTATTTTGTATCCTTGTTAGCAGAAATTGTGGTTGAAAGTTAGAGATGGGGTAGACAGGAAAGTTGTCTTGGGGCAAAGAGCTGTCCAAGATCGGACTCCCATTGTCCTTCGCGCTTAAATCTAGGCATATGCATGTAGCGGAAAATAACTGAAGCCGTCTCCAACTTTCGTTGTCTTAAGCATAGATTCTACATTGAAGACTCGCATACCTCTGAGCCCAAAGTGAGACATTCGTACATTTAAAGAAACAAATATACTAATGAATAGCTATTCGCTGCACAAAGCAAGATGGAAAAGTAGAGCCTTTGAAGTATCAAATGGTGATTTGGCTACCGAAACGCTATCTGAGGCCTGCAACTTCTCCTGTCAGAAAGAGATTCACAACCTTCAAATTCTCATGAGACTCGTGAAACTTGAGTGTGATCTCAATATCATGCAGGAGACTGTCTAACTGCATTTTATACATATGGTTGAAGCTGAAAGGCATTATACGCACGAGGTGATGCGCACATCCATATTTCAAAAACTTTCAATGGCAGTCCCGTGAGTAGCAAAGAAGTACCCTATCAATGCAAGTACATCTATCTTTCTGCAATTATGTCACAATCATCCACTTCCTGCTTCAGGGCAGCGCACCCAGCCAAAACGTCTGCAAAAGCTTGTTCAACAGCTTCCTCTACCATTCCCTGGACATCGTGCTCCGAGTTCCCTTCAGAAGGCATCACTTCCACTCCTTCATTGGTCATATAACCTTCCTCGGAACCTCTGACGGTCTCATTAACCTTCATTTTCTTGAATGAAGTTGAGCATTCTTGTATGGTTGTGTCCGCCTCCTCCACCGCCTTCCTCTTCTTTCGATTTGATCTCATATCATTCTCCACATCTCTTCCTACATCAGACTTGACAGTAGTATTCTTCCGCCCTTCGTGTTGGCGCTTGCGGATAGTAGTCGCAAGCATCATCCTCAACTGCGCTATCTCTTCGGTAAGAATTCGATTTCGCTTCTTCCCCTCAAACCAACGCTCGTCCATCTCTGACATACGTTTGCCAATATGCCTCTTGGCCCGACTCTTTGCGAGATCCATATCCTGAAACAGCTTCTCGGTCTTCTTATGAATGCTGAATTTGCTCTTAGGTATGTCTTTAGCAGCTTTCATGTAATGCGCTGACTCTTCCTTGGCTTCTTGGACGTCTTTCTGAAGTTCGTTGATATGAAGATGGAGGAGCTGGAATTGAGAACGCGGAATTGTAATCGGGGTATCGTCGAGCATGTCGTCGGTACTTGGAGGATTGTCCGCGCAACTTGAAGTGACTTTCAGCAGAGTCTGCTCATCCTGTGACATTGCTGAGGTTGTATGGCTTGCTGATGCGCGCATGAATATGAGGCGTTGCTAGTCCTATTTGTCCAATATGCTGAAATCTCTTCCTGAGATAGTTTTCGACGTTGATATGGTAGAATTTTGGAAGACGAGCAAAGATTGAAGTTGAATGTTCCAAAAATAGATCTTTGCGCGCTAGGGAATTGATTATGAACTCACCCCTCACGTCGAAATCAAATTAAAGGACCCGTTTGAACTCACTTCGATTATAGGTCGCTTCCTTGATTACTCTCAATGGAATGATCAAGATTGTTCATCAGCTACGAAAGGTTAGATGGGCATCATAGAGTTAGGAAAGAAGCTTTTAGCTGCGTATGGTCGCTTTCCATTATGCACAAACCAAGCACCTTTATATCATGTTCTCAATGTCGGTGGGAGACTAGTTACATTTGGTTATATGGGTTGCTCACACGGTCTCCGATTCATGGTTCATCCCCAAAAGAACTCTCTCCCATTTGCTGTCATATATGACCAGTAGCTTCTCATCCACTTATAGTCGTGAACAACTTGGCTGACCTCTGAATAACATTTCAAAACATCTTCGCAACCTTGGTTAATTTCCTGCTCCATATGGACTTCCAGAGCCTCCACGGACCAATCATCCACCATGATATCTTCACTTATCTCTCTTCATCCCCGTCTTCCATCTTTAGCTTCGTAATGCACTTTTCAGGAAGGGATTTGCCCTCGATGTCACCTTAGGCTCAGCCCTCTCTACTCAAATGTTGTTAAGGTTTCTACGCTCTAGAGGCATTTTGCTCTGTAAATCATCTGGTTGATTGTGTTGAGCGATACGCAGACGGTTGCTTCGAGAGTCGGACCTCGCGCTCCAACTCGCTCATTTGTAATTTCAACGTCTGAATGTGGGAACGCGGGATCGTCATTGGTGTGTCATCAAAGAAGCTTTCGACATCGGGATAAGGCTGGGGAGAATTAATTGGCGCGGCAGCTTCAGTATTTGCGCCCAAAAGATCGTTAATCACCATCTTTGATTCGAATTGATGCCTCACTGCCGCGTTGAAGCCTTGAAGGTGGAGTAATCGACGGTATCCATTTTGTTTTGCGCAAATGCGCCTCTGCTCTTAGGGCTTGTGGCATTCACGACAAATATTGTACTGACAAGGAAAGAATGACCGAGCTTGAGGTTCTGGCTGCAAGATAGATGAAATGATCGAAGAACGAAAAAGAAATGGACAATCGGGGTCAAGATGGCCATCGCTCTAGCTCCCCTATCTATCTCGGCTAAAAAGTGGACCCGTATCGTAGAAAAGCGACATAGAAAGTGGCTAGAAAAATTTTGGTAAACATTCACAGATTGTAAATCTTCAACTCGAACCCTACCACTCTACAAAGTCATATTTCGCGATGACTTACAAATCGCAGCTTGGGCTGATGTGCGAAATGGCTCAGCAGGAGAATATTCCTATTGCAGCCTTTATTAACAAATACCGAGAAAGTCTCGCCGCACAAGGTCAACGGCGCCTCAGTAGCTGCGTCGAGATGCAAATCTTTCGCGTTGAGCTTGACCTATGGCATGAGACTTGTAAGCGCGAAATGTCAGACCGCTAATTCCACACTTCCACTAACTCAAACGACCATGAAATATGGCACGACAAGCAGTTTCCAGGTATACCTGTCCCCAAACAATCACCCGTCGAAAACTGACAAGAAAATATGGCAGCATTGGAGAAGAGTAACAAGCCATTGATACAAATCAATGAATATCAGACTAAGAGGATCAAAGTCAGCCCAGTGTACTCTCGAACTTGGTATACATAGTCTAAAACTTGTATAGATGTTGCAGCCTCTCTTGGAACATCTCACAAAAGACCTGAGTCTCGTGAAAGCTCGGAAATCGAAGTCTTCGAACAAAGAGCCACTGAAATGGAGATGGTGCTAGCACTCGCAAAGAGTTTGCTATAGGGCCGGTAGGATGAAACACAAATTGCGCCTCAAATATGTACTGTACAACGGTATTTGTTGTTGATGGGAGCGCATACATGATTCATCGAGACCCGATTTGAGAATAAATTCGACGGACATCAAACAACAAAGAAGAATAGAATTAATGGATCGTTCCTCTCTCAGAAGCTGCGGAGCATCTTCCTAGGTGCCAATTCGTTTAGACTCAGCATATTAGAATGCTAATTCAATCTAACCCCAGGATTTCTTTCTTCTGCACGGAAGAGCCAATGTAGGATTTTTTCAGAGCGGTGAGAGATCTACTAGGCCATTCTTTTGGCACCATTCGTTTTGAATGCTAACGTTTATTGGCAATGACAATATAGTCAAGATCAGTTCACTTCCTCGAGATAATACCATGGGTTTCCGGACCGGACCAGCTCAGATTTTGTCATTAATAGGATCATAGAAGTCTTGTCGGTGAATGGAGTTGCAAGTTTTGCAGATACGGCTTTGGTGCAAGTTGCCAGAACATGACATTCATTTAAACCTAGGTAGACGAAGCCGTGAGAAACCACGTGACTTGCGCTTGTATTAAAAGCTCTTTCTGAACCTTTGGTTCGGATTTTGCGATTGCTTACCCCCAAATTCTACAATATTGAACCTGATATTAAGAAGTGCGTGTAACCCAAAGGCTGAGACCATCGAGATGCCATTCACTACGCAACTCCCTGCAATGGAGAGGATGGGGGAGGCAATTGGTGTGGATCCTTCGACAATTCGCCCGCTGGTGGAACGTTACCGGCAAAAGCTGAGGCAATTTCCCCACCATCTACCCGCCGATTTTATCTCATGTTTCGCAGAAGCAGCTGCCTGGATCGAGCTTTGTACTTCCTTGCCCTTTCCCACTGCACACAGAAACTGACAAAAAGTAGTTTCTGGTATCCCCTTCCCTGGCGAATATCATAATTTGAATGTCAACTCAAATCTCTATTTCCGTGTGAGAGATGTTTTGGCACATCTTCAAACAAATTTCATCTGAAAGAATGGTATTCCATCGAGGTTAGAAGTACCTTGGCAACACGCAATTCGCGAGCTCTCGCGAAAGATTGAGGTGCCTTTATTTTTCATTTGATTACATCTGTTTCACTATCAATCCATTCCCAGATCTTTGCCTAACCTTTCTGTGCAGATCCAAGAGCAATTGGCTAGCACAGCCGCTGCCGCCTATGACTCTCAGCTTTCCGTACTCGATGCTAAGATCCAGGAAATGGAGCAAATTGATGAAGCTTTGGATGAATTCGAGAGGGCGGTGGAGAAGGAGATTTGAGAGCTAAGCACATGGGTCGCCGAGGCGCAATGTAGCTAGGTACTGAAGTTTTCTAAAGTTCTATACTGGCACTAGGTCACATGGTAAAGAAGGGAAATCCCACTATGCAATGGCAACATTGGAAGGCTGGACGATACTTTAGATACTTGGCGATACTTGATAAGCAAAAATGGCGGGCAATGAACAATCTTGGGAGAAATTGCAACAATATGATGAATATGTTCAGAGGTATGCTATTGTCCCAGCTTGCGGCTCTTTATGCTTCTAAACTGCGTAAGAGAATGCCAACCAATCAAGTGTCTGGTTGTCACTGTGGAATCAAAATACAGGTGGCAGCAGAAAAAGTTAAAATAAAATAGGAATGAGGAGCGAAAATTGGGGGCCGCCTATAGTTACACTTAAGGTATGACTTGGGCGGAAGTCCCAATTTCCCTCCCACAAGGGGAGCTATCTACGTTGCACCGAATAATTAATGGTAATAGTTAACGCAGAAATCATCCATCCTTTAGAGCTATTCTTCTAGAAAATCACAACATTCCCCAACCATTCTAGACTTGATCTTTTTTTTCTTTTTTTTAAATGTCTATAACTTTTTCTTTGCTCTTTTTCTTTCTTTTTTCCATTCGGCCAATTGACCTCCAGAAAAAGTGCTCAAGTTAAATGATAAAGCGCATAACTTTCCTAGATATTGTGTATAATATAATTCTGATATACCCATGGAATAGAAGAGCATGAATTGTTTTTTTAAACCAAATGCTAATTATTAATCATTTGAGCTTGACAGTTTACCATTATTATCAGCGGTTTTAAGGATGACACTGTTAAACGAAAAGGCTCTCGTTTCTACATAGAATCTCTTTGGAAGATGCGAAGGCAAATTTGGCATATCATGATGAAAAAGCTTTTGAAGTATATTTTCAGACACTTTCACTATTGATTCGATGGAGTTTTTACGCAATCAGAAATACTATGTACACTATGAGACTAGACTCAGAATATGCCACTCCACCCACCCTATGAAAGGTAATTTTTAGGAATATGGTCAGATTGCGGAATCGCCCGGTGAAGCATAACGATCTGCTGCTCGGTTCTGAATCCGCAATTCTGCCTTGTCCCGTTGGCTCTTCTTCACGTCCTGGTCTCTAGACTTGGTAACCTGGACTGCTCGATTCTGGTGAACAGCAACCTCTGCTGGCAATGTGGCGTTCGCAGATCGCAGTCTCGCGTTCTCGGCGGTCAATTCCCGGAATTTAGCTTCATGGTCGTGGATTGTCTGGCCCTTCTTTCCAAGTTGCTTGGTATACAGACTGTTGTAGGCGCGTAGTCTCATGATCTCGAGGCTCTGACCATTACCGACGTTTAGGATATCCTGGTGACTCTTGATTGCCTCACTATCTGATTGCATTCCCTGAGGTCTGTCCTCACGTTCAATCAGCATTGATAAGTAAAAGGTATAGTCACTTAAGTAAAAGGGCAGAGGGAGAGTATTTATACCTTTCATCTTCGGCAATTCCGAAGAGCTTACTGAATCCTCATTTGATCTCGCCCAAAGTGTCTTCAAAGCCATTCAACCGGTCCTTATCCATGAAATCGTCGCCGAGTTTCATAGACTGAACTTCACCCAGCAGTTGATCCAACAATGGAATCATCGTATCACTCCGAGCCGACGTGTCAATGACCTTCTTGCTTGCCTCTCCAAGCTTCTTTAGCTCATTTTCTTCTTCTTGCCAGATATCCACTTGTTTGATGTAATCTTCAATTGTTCTATCTCGATCGTCCAATATGACTTGTAGTGATTGCAAGGCAATGCGAGCAGTTTCAGGGTCCAGCTGTTCGTGGGGACATACGCCTTGGAAGGATTCGCCTGGAACTTCGCGATGTTAGCAAAACTGACCATGACCTCGCGACGAGAAAGCTCCCAATCCATGTAAAGGAGTGAAGCTGGATAGGTAGCGGGAGATGAGACATCATACTTACACAGAGATGTCCAAGTAGACAATTCGCTCAGCCAGTCCCTAGCAGGCTGATCTGTAATATCATGATATCGCGCAAGATACTTCGTGTGGATTTCCACAATATCTACACCATTGCGACCCATATCTTCTGCTTTGGACAGTATGGTCGCCATCTGAGAAGCGTAGGGCGACATTTCGTTAACAATCGAATGTATTTGCGGAATGATCGTTTTTTGAAGTCGCAAAACACGCGATGCAGATCATGTTCTCTCCAAGGTGGAATCTGCGTAACATGGCAGTAGCTTCGAGCGCGCTAATCTCGCGTCTCAGTCGCTACAGATTTGTCTGCTAGCCTGATTCTGTTAGCATGCCATTTCCACCGTTGTGATGCCCTGCCTGCGGTCCTAATATTTGCCTTCCCGGAAGTATAACCTAAACTTGGACATCAAATCTGAGAAAGTTCTGATATCTGTAAGTTCACCAAGTGTAAATGCATGCAGCAACAAGCTTGGATGCTGTTGGGGTGTGTGATACCTGAGCCTCACTAGCGCTAAATAAGCGAAGGATAAAAGGGGAGTGAGTTGTGTTTAAGCGACTTCACCAACATTTTCTTCTGGAAGACACATACAATCGATTGGGGGACTGTGTGCCTGGTGTCATACTATCCAAGATATAGCATGACTATGTCCAACAGCTAGTACCAGTGATCCACTTTTTCGTATTGAGGTGGTATCATATCATACTGTAGTCACGTAGTAACTTCACGTGTACAAGGTGTTGAGTGCAAACCGTAGAGTCATGACCTTTGATGATATGTTCATCTTCCTTTCCAACAATGCCATCCTACCAATCTAACTCAGCTCCCGGCCTTCGATCACGTGGGAGGCCCCTTCCCCTCCCGGCTCTTCAGAAGCTTGCGGAGGACTATTCCCGGCTATTGCATAAGATTGCCATCCTACCTGTATCTGAAGTAGTCAATAAGACTTAAATTGAGATACGGTAGGCAGAAAAGTCTGCTTATATAAATGCATAGAAACCAAGGTCTTCACAAGGTTCCGCTGAATTTTACATTAGAGAAATGTTCTATCATTCAAAGACGCCTAAGTGAGGAGGATCTGTAAGATTCTTAAAGCTGCTTTTCGTCTCAATATAAATAAGGGAAGTCGCTTAGCAATTTTACACACAAAAAAACAGAAAAAAAAGATTAGAAAAGGAAGATACTACTATCGAGCAACAAAGCAAGTGGCAGAAATTTGGCCCCGCCACTCAGGCCCAACCGCCGGTCAAGGGGGTATGGGTAGGTTCCTGATGAGTGTGGTGGGATTTCCCTCCGGTCAAGGAGACTCACATCCTTCGGTCAAGAAGGAGGATCCGCAATCACATCCACCGGTTAAGGTGGAGGATTGGATACAAAATTTCTGCTTATTTAAAACTATAAGGTATGTGTGCTCAGTCTTACCTATTGGGTCCATGCGATTTATCGCGCTAACCAACTTTGAAATACTGTACGTCGATGTTACTTTCAAGGTTAGCGTTTTTTTTCTATGGCGAATGATTATCCACACCAAGATCTGATTGTATATTCACATTTCATGTTTATGGAGGGTCAAATACGGCACGATCACTCTTACAGCATATTGGAGAAGCAGTTGACTTGGATTCTCAACTTCTAGCAAGACACCGTCCTCAACAATATCGGTTATCAGGTTCCATCGATGAAATCTGTTCAATGTTTATCTAAGCCTTGAGAACTTTCATTCGATAGATGTTGGGAAGAGTCTGGGGTTGTAAGAAGCGGCTTCTGAGCGAGATTGGTGGGCGCAAGACCAGGAATTGGAGCTCTGATCTCACTGCTCTCCATCAACAAACACTCATTATCCCTCGAATCTCCAGCCCACAGCGCCCCAACTCTTCCTTCTTCTGGAACTTTTTGTTGACCCTTGGGTCGTTCTAGATCTTCGGCTTGCGCTTGGCGTTCTCCTCGAGTCAATATATACGCAATAGATACAGCCCGAAGTTCGTCTTCAAATTCGATTTTTTCAAGGAGGAATGTGCCTGTAGGACTGTGGACATTTGTTCTGAGGTTCTGTGAAAGCTGATGGAGAGTCTTTTGTACACTTGGGTTTTTTCGACATGGATAACGGAGATCATCGAGGCCTGGAACGCTAGGGACTGCTGAATGTTAAACAGGCATCCCTATGCGATCAGGTTGATAGACTTACATAGAATTGTCCAGACGCAACTATCAAGATGATCCACCATGGCCAAGGGATCTGGGTCATAGGGCGCAACAAACTGGCATTGCGCGAAGGTAAAATCAACAAGTCTTTGAGGCAAGTTACTAACGTAAGCTTGCTCTCGGAGCTCGAATGATGGGGCCAATCCCAAGTGCATCTTGATGATAATTATTCGAATTTGGTGCTTGTCTGCTGGTTTCGATCTTGCTGAGTAGTCTGTATTTTGTTGAAGTAGCGTTATCTTCGGGCGCACTTCGGAGCTTCTGGGTGATCATGACCGTCAATGACCCGTCTGAGAACAAGACTTTTGCCCCAATCATAATCTCAGCTTGTTGATTTAGACATAGCCCCAAGTCATCCTGCACGGAGCTATATCCACGCTCAGCCCTTTTCTCTTCAGATTAGATTTCTTTTCTCTTTCTCAAGTAAAGCCTAGACTAAAAACTATTGAGTCCATTGTCTTCTCCTTGCCGGAGACTACGAGAATTCTTCATAGGCATACTTGTGCCCTGTTCGAGCCACATGTCAACATTTATAATTCAAAGTTCCCTTACTGCAAAGACCAGGTAATGCGCATTCCCATTTCTTGAATTCTTTATTGTTCCTGTCCTGGCGCGAGATAGACATCCAGGTAGTCCTCTGACCGCCTTCTTTATCATTGGTGATATCTGAGGTTGGCTCATGGCGAAGATCATTCTTCAATGAATGCACCTCACACTCAATCTTATCACAGCTTTCTACTCGTCTCGTCATATAGTCCCAATTTCTTGCAGCCACCTCCCAGTTAATCACTTCGCCGAGTATCACAGGGCAATGATTCTCCTCTTCTCGACTTTCCCATTCTACTTCTCTTTCTGATGTCCCTTACCAGGTAATATGTCCTGCAGAGCCGTGGAGCTTCAACTCCTGTTTGCAAATGATCTTAATCGTGGGCCGTCCAAGGAAACTCGGAGTTTCAGGCACTGCAATATTAGGTCAATATCACAGACAATATAGCAGAAAATGAGAAGAATTTATAGAATCCTTCTCTGTGGTCTCACCTGGAAGGAATGACTGTGCATAGTCACTCGCAGAGGGCGCCAGGAAAAGGACCCGTTGGTATATAATCTGGTACATACTCGAGTTGTTGCTTTGTAAGGTTGTGTTTGAGGCTCAGCTGCGATCCGAGGAAGGTGATGTGATCTAGGGACTTCATTTGATTACCAGTCACAGAAACATGCTCCACGTATTTTAGAAGAAGTTGGTGGAGTCTTATCCAACTATGGGACAAGCAAAAAGGTTGGGCAGATCAATTTTGGGGCAAATGCGTAGCCAGATCACAATGCAAGAGCTAGAAAGAAGTCTTGAAGGCATGATGAATTATCTCTACATTCAGAGCAAACAAGAAAGTGCTACTAACAGACCTTTGCGCATCGGTATACTTTAATGTTTGTAACTGAAAGCTGAAGCAAGAATGCGACAGTGCCAGACTGTCATCAAAAAGCAGTCCCGCGCAACGACCGTGCCGACTCAAACATAAACATAACCTTTACTCAAGTCCGACTCAATACAAGATTGTACCACACCAGACCAGATCAGTTGAAAGGACAGTTGACAGGCTTGTGTGTGGCCCCTTTGCACAAGAAGCAAGGTAATGGACATTTCTGGATCCTATGTCCCTCACCACAGTTTCCACAGACTTTTCCTGTCCAGTTGGGTAAAAGCTTTTTAACTGATTCTTTCTTAGTCTCCAAATCCAAGAGTCGACCGCTGTTCTTTATCGCAAATGCTTGCGTGACCTTCTCTGGACCCGAAAAGCCGGGAACGCCGAATTTGACAGAAGGTTGAGGATGGAAGCCAGGGAACGCAGGAACACAAGGATACTTGAGTTCACCAGGGCCAGTCAAAACGTTAGAAGTTTGTGCCTTTACGGAAATCTGAGGGTGAAGACCAGGAAACGAAGGAACACAAGGATACTTGACTTCAACATTATCGGTGGAAGTCTTGGTTCTCTGTGACCGTTCTCTCCGCGAATCGTATGCTCTTTGCTTAGCAGACTCCGTATCGTTCGCAAATGTAGTCCTAGCTCTCGGCTCCGGTAGTGTTGTGCGAGAGCTCAGCACATCTCCTGATTCTTGATTGAGCTTCTGTGCCTCATTGGCTTGTAGTGGTGCATCGATACTGGGGACTAGACGAAGCTGCTCAATCGCATGCTCTTCTAGCTCTTCTTTGATGTCTACATGTCTCTCAATTGCGGGACTACCAAGACGCTCAGGGGAGTGACGAAGCTGTGCGTTCCTCTCATCTTCTGGCTCCGGCTTGATCCTTGGATTTGTAGGAGTATCAGCTGCTGGCGGATACTGGCGTAGAATATGACTGCTGCCAAAGTTTCTTTCATCATTATGGTGCATCTGCCATCGTCGTGAATAAGGGCTATCACTACCAGCATTTGGAGTTAGGCGTAAACTTGGGGGGGCATCCAGTGGATGAATCTGAGAAACGATAGTAGTTTGGTCAAGCCATGATGAGTCCATAACGCGGTCCTTATGGCTTTGTGGATACAATCTTCGGTCTCTTCTAGCAAGAGCGAACTGACAGGTCTGTGGGAAAGCATCCAAAGTTCGGAATTGATCAGGACTTATAAAGCGGAAATCTACAGCCGATCTGAAAGGCGGCTTTCCAGCTCTACCCCTGACCAACAAGGAGAATAATGTCTTTCGTTTGAGTTTGCCCCGACCTGGTATTGCTGTAGATCTGCCAGGACAGTCATCAATTCGATGCTCGACAGTGTTACAGTGCGGACACCCATCAATGAATCCGTATTCATCGACATTGTAGGTGCAATCTGCCAGAACATGTCCTGACTTTCGACATCCTCCGCATATCTTCGGGCCACCAACAAGAGCTAAAGGCTTTGGGATTGCCGCATGCTGTCCCTTCTCTTTTTTCACCTTATGCAGCTCATATGCCGACTTCTGGGAGGCCAAGCTTTGTGGAAATGGTCGCCCAGCTCGTGGACCGGCAGGAATGGTTGAAGTATGGATCATAAGGTCTTCTTCGGAAGATATTTCCGCTGGAGGCTCAGGAGGTGTGAAATGTGCAGGCAGAGGCTCCACGCCAGGGAAATGCTCGTCGGGCCCTATATACATTCAGTATTACCCCGGGAAAGGGAACGTGAGTTCGCAGCATAAACAGCAACTTACAAAAAGCGATCCATGTTCGCCATTCAGCATCCCATTGCTGATGGGGTGGAGTATATTGGGGTCCGTTGCTTCGAAACGTCTCCAGACATTTCCTGTAGTGGATGTTTACCTCTCCGATTTGAATGCCATCTCGCAAGGCAAGCTCGCGCATGCGGGGAAACTGGGACGCGTACGCCATCCCAAGGTTCTTGAAAGAGAGGGTGAGTCTAACGTTTCTTCTCAAGATCGGAGGAGACACAGGAGCAGAACGCGAACGCGTAATACGCCGGTACCGTTCAACGTATGAGTCTCCCCAGCTTGAGACGAAACGCTTTCAAGATGAGAACGAGACGAACAACCTGACAGCTCGCTGTTGAGCTTGCCAATACCGCAGTTATTTTGAGAGGTTGTTGGGAGAGGAGGGAGAGAGGTGGAGTTGTCAAAACAAAGTCATGGTCTACCGAAAGCCCGACAGCTCCTTCCCAATCAAGTAGAAGCGCCACTACCATCCAGACGGAAGGTGTAATCGGAGCTCAAATATCTTCACAGGTGAAATTTGGAATAAAGGATATCGAAATTCAGCAAACTGACTTAGCAGAACAGGACATGTTCGAGATCGACATGGCAATCGCTACATAGGTACATAGGTACATTGATAGAGTACAGCGGCAGGAAGTTGTAATCATTAGTAGATCAAAACTTCAACGGACAATCCACGTCCCTATGAAGGTCTCGAAAGCATCTCCAATTTGGGCATTGCTGAGGACAACTTTCCTTCTCGTGTCCCTTGAGTCCACAAAGCTCGCAGCCCACGATTTGCCCTCCCTCCACTCTTTCACCCTGACGAGCTACGTCACTTCGACTGACAACAGATGGAAGAATCTTAAGAGACTCAACTGCCTTCATATTATTCAAATCCACAGCCCCCACTCGATCCTTTCCGACGTTGGCTTCTGTCTTCCTCTTCGTGGCCTCTAGAACCGCTATCTCCTCCTCGGAATCTGATACCTCAGACAATTCTTCTTGCCCTGATAGAGATTGGTCGTTGATCTTGTTTTGTGCTTGTCCAGTCTGCATTTCCTTTGCCTTTATCTTCACAGCCCTTCTCTGCCTCTTGGCCAATTTCTTCGCCCGACTATTCCGCGGGATGATAATTTCTTTGTCCTTGGGGAACCATTCATAGAAGGCAGTGTATAAAGCTTGTTGTTCAGCCGCGTGATCCGCATTCTGTTTGGGTGTATTGTGTCTAGGCTTCTGGAAATGGACGTCCGGAAATTGATTGTGTGGCCCTGCCGGGGGAAATCAGCAACCGTATAATATCATAGTGAATTCTACTTACAAAAGCATTTCCACGTCAGAAATTCTGCAAAGAAGAGCTTTTCTGATGCTGACATCTTCTTTCTGCACGTTTTGCTCACTAATCTCTTGTGCTGTTGATAAGCTATGCACACAGCGTCAAGTTTCCCTTCCTTGCGGGCCTTCTTGTTGATCGACTTGATTTGCGAAGTATACATCATTTTGGGTGTCGAAATATTGTAAACTTCGAACTTGGAATGGACGTTGGGAGGATAATCAACACTCTTTTGTTACTGGAAAGAGTCGCGAGCAACAAAAGAGTCGCGCACGGCCGTGAATGTTCTAATCCGTGGGCGGCTAACCTGTAAAGGCGAACGCTGAAAGGTTTAGACGTTCACCTTTATCATCAAAGTTAGACGAACGTTCGGAACTCTAGAGCTCTTAAGCATTCTTGGAAACATTCGTGTCAATTTCCTCCTCTACTTGTCTCTAAGCTCTACTACCCGCAGCATATACATTCAAGCTTCTTGAAGATCGAAATTTTCTCTCCTGATCTTCGTCACTTTTGCTGACTCCAAGATGTTCCACCTAAGTCATGGTCAAATCTCGAGTTGCTGTCTTTGACACTCGCCCCTCTTGGCTCTTTCGTCAGCGGCCTGACTCCATATATATCACTTTTACTTCTGATTTGACCTCACAACACTTCACCATGGTGATTTTGCTACCGCCTTCCATTAGTAAATGCAGCCGCGTCTGCTCAACAATTACGAAACCCATCTCCGGTAACCATTTTTTGAACTTTTTCTGACATTGCCCTACCCTTTGACACTCTAAGATCTTTCCTAACAAGCGTCTTCCATTCCCAGAGCATACTTGTCAATGGTGCCTTTTCCTTGCAAAGTCCGTGTCTTGCCTTCATAGTAGCCTCCGAGAGTAAGATATTGAAAGCTTTATTCGGAGTTAAATCTTAATTCTTTTGAAGCAAGCCACGAGAAGTCAGCGGTATGGGAGCAAATACCTGCGAGTACTTTGCGGCTAGAAATGTCCACTCTGCATCCCTCCCTCCCAGTTGTGGCTGAATATAGGAAAGTGGCTTCCAATCGCCTATGAAGATGGAAATCTCCTCGCTCAGTGGCCATTAGTCAAGCTACACATGCTTCAATCGGCAGCATGCAGGAAATATAGTTCTTGAATACTAGAGCGGAACAGTTAGAGAGTTGATATAATAATGAATTACCCTTATGGCTAGATACTGATTGCTGTTTAATGCATGAGCATTGTTTGAAGATCAAATTCTATCCATCAGTTAAATGATGTATATTGACTTGTAGGATCACTCGCGTTAATAATGAGAAGGTAGTGAAGTTCAAGGAAATGCTTCTTTAAAGTGCTGGCAGGTTGACACAAGGTATGACATTGTAGCTGTTCACGCTCGTTGATGACACTAGCAATAACTCAAGTTCGGTCCTACTTTTAGAGTCCTTTGAATGATCAGCGCTATATAGACTACAATATCCACATTCTTTCTCTTTAGAACACCAGAACGGTGGAAGTTTTTAGAACTGAGGATAGTCTAGAGGGGCTGGGATAAAACTGTGAGGTGGAGAAATGGGGACTTTCTGATTATCAGTAGATGTATCAGATTGATGTAGAAGTAACTCACATATGAGATTTAGAGTATTCCACTGAAATGATCAACTTATTGAAGCTTCATTTTATGTCCACAGTGAACGAGTTAATTGGATCTCACAAACAATAAGTTTAACCAACAGGTAGAAAGCACAACATAACAATTTCCTTTTCATCGCTGGTATGAAGACCAAAGGTGTGATAGGGACTAATCAAGCCTTCCTAGTTAATTGAAGCATGCGCCCACCTGACTGCAATCAGAATGGCTATAGAGTTGAATAAGCACTTCTAGTATCGCTTAGTCGGTCCTCGGCTGTCCAGAATGACTCGTTTGTTTATGGCTGCTTGGTCTGGTGGGCTTTGGAAGAATACAGCTACTTAGCTTGATGGGTTTGGCCAGCTTGTCATGTCCTCGGTTGTCTGGTTCTTTTGCTATTTTCTGCTTTCCTTTTTTGATCCACTTCTTTCATACTCTTCAATGTTAATGGAGATCTGAAATTATTTGTGGGCATTTCTTTTTGAAAATGCAAAAGTCACGGGGGGTCAATTGTTAGCGAAGAGCAGTTAAAGTACCAGCTTTTGCGCGCACTTAATCGGTTTAGCATTCAAAATACGGATAGGATTAATTAAGCAGATCTGTTATCGCTTGTTCGGTTTATGACTGTCAGAATGGCTTGTCCGTTTGTGGCTGCTTGGCCGAGTGGGTTTTGAGGTAATACAGCTGCTAGGGTGGGGTTGGTCTGGCCAACCTGCTATGCCCTCGACCGCCTGGTTATTTTGCCACTTTGTTTCTTTTATTTCGAGAATTTTGCAATTTGTTTTTATTATATCATTTGATGGTATTAAAATCTGTCGATTTTGGTTATTGTTTCAAATCTTCGGTGGCTTATTTCTCCTCAAGCGAAAAGCGCAAAACGCGCAAGGAGCGCGGATCGCGCGAACAGCACAAATAGTGAGGATAGCGCAAGGAGCAAGGTCCGAAATCTTTTATAGGCCGAGAGACATTCGGAGCTGTGCTTGCTGCGGTGGACTTTTTCAATTATTTACATGAACACCACCAGCACGAACTCGTTTTGAAATGTGGATTCCATTGAAATCCAGACTATATTTTTCGTTGTTTCCTCGGTTATGCTTGTTCCCCCACCGGAATGTTTCCTTCTCTCAACCGATATCTCACATGAACAGCACTACATCTGCTCAGGCTCGACTCAAGCTCGACTCATCTTCGGCTCAGGTCTGCTCAGGTCTGCTCAGCTTCTTACAAACAATAAATAGATTTTCAACAAGCTAAGGATCCTTCAAGCTAAAAGTCGTACTCCTCCTCATCTTCATCTATGCCCCCACTGGGTAGCATTCCCTCCTCATAAAAAGGCTCTACCAAGATCTTAAATGTCACATTCTCAGTCTGCCTTCCAGCCCTAGCCTCAGCCTTCGCTTCTCGGAGTTTCTCTATGAACGTCTCCTTCGCTGAAGCCCAGGAGTCCTCCGCATCATGATACACTGTGATCTTGGTGTCGAACGTAGGAGCCCTCAAAGTTAACTTTATCTTCTCGATGTGACGCCGCTGTGTGACTTTGGAAATCCCTTCGATGAAGGCGGGAAGAGGCGTCCCCATGAACTTTCCATCGTCCCATCTCTCCTCGGTGTACCGAGGCTCTCTCGTGATGATCCACAGCGGAATTTGTATTTTCTGGCGAGGCTTTGCCGAAGAAGGTTCAGTCGTTGAGCCTTGCGTTGCCTCTTTTCTTTCATGCGCTTGTAGTCGGTTTGTCGCAGTTGTTGAGCCATTTATTTCATCGCTTACTGTCTCTGTGCTATGGGATGACTTTTCCAGCCTGGGTTGCTTTGTAGGAGCCGCTTCCGATAGATCAGCTAGACTTTTAAACCCATCAGAAAGTTCGCGTGGTGGATCCTGTCGATTCGCCGAGCGTCCAAAATCATTGACTGATGGACTTGGTGAAGCCTCTCGGCTCGAAGAGAACTGTTTTGCAGCCGGTCTATGCAGAGCTGATTTACTGTTTTTAGAATGCAAAAGCGCGTCCCTTGGAGACAGAATAAGTTTTGGATCATCTATCCCAGAAGAGTGGCCAATAGGCCCTGCTTCGTTAGTTGTTGTAGACTTCGCAAGAGCGCCGATTTCACTCTCATGGGCTGATGAGGAGGAAGGCGACCCGCGTGATGTTCTTGAACCACGCTTTTCTCGTTCACGGACCGGTTCCATTCGTGGCGACGATACTGGATCCCAAGGTTTCGGTTGCACCGCTTTAGTGGTAGTATCATTCCGTGGTGAGGACGGCGCTGAATCTTGACCCCAATCGGGATGATTTGTTACTTGAGCAACCCTGGAAGCATTTAATTGTGGTGATGCACTCTTGCGAATATCTGAAGAGACCATAGAGGCAATCGGAGCAGGTCGCCCTGCAACAGTCAGTGCAAGAGGAAGTAGGTTCTCTGGATTGGTCTCTGCATCTTTCGTCGTGGACCGAGGTGGGATTTGGTCAAATGATCCCGCAACGGAGGAAGATCCAGTGCGATCGCGAGCCTCGATTTCGTCCTTAATTAGTTGCTCGATTTGATCGTTTGGTACTGTGTGAGGAAAGCTGCGAATTACTCGTTTCCTATCTGTTCGTCTCAAAGGTTCTGCAAGGTGATACTTCTTCTTCTTTCGGGGAGAATCCGCATTGCTTGGAGGGTGACGGCGTTTAGGCGAGTGCAAGAAAGTTTCGTCGTTAGAATCCTGCTTCCAAATTAGCGATTGAGCTTTGGTTGTGCGCACGGATTGTTAGATCGTACCGAATCGTCTGGAACTTCAAAAATGTCGACATTGGAAGTACCGATGCCTCCCGTCGTCGCGCTACCCGCCGGCGGTGGCTTACGACTCCTTTCATCAAGTGCTGCTGCTGCATATATGGATGGAGTTCTCTTTGATTTGAGCCTGGACATTGTAAGAATCCCGCATTGAGAAGGCTAAATACCAAGTTTCAGGGGACATACGTCACCTGCGCAGAGCCTGATCTAGCGTGTGCTGAAGCGGTCAGGGGCGCGGAAACACCTCTTTCTATGGCACAATCTATCTGTCGAGCTGGAGTTGTGCTCTCCCTAGATTGATCTCTGGGTTCTGAGTCTTTGTGTCCATACTGCGTATTGTTGAAAGCGTAACGATTCTGTTTCCAGAAGAGCTGTTTGAGCAATGCGACAATCCTACCAAATGTTAGCAAATCGGCGAAAGAGCGAGAGTTTCTTAGGATGCCCCACCGAGCACGGTCTGCCGGAAGTTGTAAGTCCGAATCGTGATTCCAGCTTCTTTCAGGCGACCAAAATCGCTCACCATTCCCCCCTTTCTCGTCGAGAAATGCTTGGGCCATTTCTTCGAGGTCGATCTGGTCTGATGATTGATTCCAGTGAAGAACATGTGTGGCCGGGCGACCAGAGCTCGTGTGGTAAGATTTTCTCCAGGCGTGAGCAGCCTCCATGAAAGTGTTCGTATCTTTCAGGGATGCGTGTTGGAATCCGAGTTCTTCACAAAGCTGTCTCACCGAAGGAACTTTGCTTAGTGGCAAGGAGGGTTTCGATGATGACGTCATGACGAGGAAAGCCTTGGTGAAGAGAGCTGGACTGCTCGAGCACAGAAATAAAGACGAAGAGTGGAGAGACGGAGAGATGGAGAGACAGAAAGACGAAAGCAAGAAGGGGCTGCCAGCAGCAGGAAGGTAGGAAGTGCAAAAACTTATGGCCCGCGTGGGTGGAAAGCAACTCTTACAAGGCGTGTAAGGGCGATGCCGAGGGCGAGGCCTCAGCCCCCCGACGCGGAAGGCGTGGCCTGCATCCGCGAGCCAATCAAGAGGCGGGTCAACTCCTTCCTCCAGTTCCACGTTGGCCAAAGAGTCCAATTTTCCAGCAAGCGTTTGACTGGTTCTCTGCGTCCTGTATGTCGTGGTGCAAGTATAAAAATCCCTTTTAGCGCTTCTCTCTATCATTCCATTTGCGTTAACTAGTCATCCAATTTCTGAGATTCCTTCACATACGCACCAGCACCTGTGTATGAACAACTATTCCGCAATCTGCCTTATTCAATATGCTTTACGGTGGTAAACAACTCAGGGGCACAGTTGGCGCCTGCTGCCTAAACAATGCCCCCCAGCTAAGGGCGTCATCGTCATGCAAAGCAAGCAGCTCGACCAGGGTGTCTTGCGTACAAAAGGCCCCGGGGCCCAATTCCTCGCCATCATTCATACACAGATATTTTCTCCCTTACATTGACTTCCCTTCAATTAGCCTCGCCCGAATCTCCAACCAAGGACACTATGGCATCTCAAGACCTGTCTCAGGACCTGTTCTTCGTTGCATTCGCAGATTCGGCAATTTCTTTCATAACAACTTCTATGAAATTGACATTCCGCAATTTCGCACCCGACTTGCCCTCAAGTTTCTGGCTATCATCGATCAGTGTACTTGGTAAGTCGGCTTATTAATCCCACTTGCAGTCCTAGGACTTCCACCGAATCACATTTCCATCCTGACTTTACTTAAGGATTCATTTATGTTGCCAAGAATTACTGTAAGAATTTAATCGCAGCTGAGACACAAAGCATTCAACGAATCGTGACCAACCTCCAAGATGGAATGTTACAGCAAGAAGTTAGCTCCCAGCATCAATTTTTACAACTCCACACCGCCGTTAATGAAATCCAAATCCAAGGACTAAGCACCCCCCACAAGGAAGTTGTAAAGGCCAACTGGAGCGAAGGACGGGTTGCCGGCGTCGAGAGAACTACATCGACTCGTAAAAGTCATGAAAGCATCAAAATCAACCAAAAGGTACTCCCTTCCACATACTTAAACCTGCTGTGTATCCATCGCTTATATAACCCCCTCTCTTAGTCGATCTTGATCAATTCGATTGGATAAGATCTTACTACCCGCACGACCAACGATGATTAAATACAACTTATATTTTCAATTAAGAACTTGATTGAAAAGAAAGGATATTACTCAACCCAATTACTGTTTAGGCCATCATCGAGAATTGGAAACAGCAACAAATGAAGGGGGAGGGAGGAGGCTTTAATTTTGTTTGTTCTCCACGCGTCGTTTTGTTTTTCAGGCTTCCGCATTCCTTAAATTTTTGCGACCGGCAGTTTCCAGGGTTTATTTGGGCGGTAAACCCTCGAGAAGCAACGAAGAGGAAGAGAACCAGCGGGTTTTGGCCTTTGTAGATTCCATATACCTTGAAGTTAAAGTAGTTTCGAAACATGTTGTAGGACCACGAGTCCTTCTAAATAGTGAATTTGAATACCACGGCATCAATCACTCACTGCGTGGTGGTGGAAATATTAGATTTCGCGAGCTGGAACCAAACCAAAACAAAAACGTTCGCAAATCATTATAATGGCGCACGCCGTTCATCAAATCCAGCAAATAGTGAAGGCTTAATTTGAATTATTGACATTGGATAGGTCATATCCCTGTAGTAGCTGGAGAATGAATGCGGATATTATATCACGTGATACAATCACTCGCCAGTTTCTGGCCAAATCGTAGGTTTTCGAACATAGAATTCACAGAACAAAAGCATCGCAAAGATTCAACACTTTGCATATCAATTGCCCGTGCTACCTCGTTTGCACAGCATAGCACGGCACAGACGTAAAGAGAGCTCCCATTCATGATAGAGCCGTATCTCTTACAACCTTCGACGATTATCATCTCGCAACCTTACAACCTTATGAAGATAGTAAAGGATTCAGGTTCACGTTGGAACTGATCTTCTTTATTCAGTAGTAATGGTAGACTTTGTGGAAAAGAAAGAGCTCCTTGATCGCCAGAATACCTACCAAAGACTTCGCATCTTTGTATCACGTGATACAAACTGCTCCTGGATTCGATGCCACATGTCCTCACAGTTTGAGTTGCATCAAATGCACGCGTGAGTTTCTCCCCCCGCTGGAGCCGGTTTCATATCGAAATCAATCTCCAGCATAATTGAACAGATACTTGGACTTCTTTTTGCTAAATGGGGGTCTTGAAGATTGTTGGGAAAGGATTATTTTCGAGTGTTTCACTGCTGACAGGGGGGCCGAAGTTGGTTTTGCGAGAGAGAAAACAAAGTGCCTCGCAAACTAACTTCTGAGGTCACTCATGCTCCCTGATCATTAGGAAGATACTTCAGGCTTTATGTTTTGCATTGATATTTACTCTTCTTGTTATGTGTCCACCCTGATGTGAAATTGGGGGGAGACATTGCCATGGGCTGGATCGATGTTGCCGCTCCAAATATGGGAAAGGAGCGGGGTTATTGTAACGTTGTAATGTAGATGGTGGCAGTGGCTGGCGCATGTTCCCAAGCTCCTGCCTTTGTGATTCCTGATCACGCATTTGTATGTGGGCTGCTCTACGAAGGCATCAGCACTCAGTCAGCTCGCTCGGACCGGCTGGTGCGATAGAAGCCTTGGATAGAACCTGATCCCTTTCCAATCGCGCCTTATGCTCAGCTACGTCAGCTGACTACGTGGAGCCACATATTAGAATAATTCTTTAAACCTGTCCAGCAAGTATCCAAAAAGAGCCTGCTCAGTGAGACAGAACAATATCAAGTCTCCGGGCTTTAGCACAGGCAGAACTTGAAGCTTGTGGTATTCGTAGCCGAGGAGCCCAAAAAGCCTCCCAGCTTACTGGGTCTCAAGGGAGCCAAAATGAGCACAAGAGAGGACAAAGCTCAACCAGCTAGGTATATACATAAGAGGGTATGCGCTAAGGTTTCATGAGCTGGGCTTAGGAAGTAACCGCACGTGACCTAGGGGATTTCCAAGGCCACGTGCCCGGCTAGCTAAGTAGAAGACAGGGACGATACGGGTTTGTCACAAGGAGGAGGGTTTCATATCAAGGCTTAGTTGTGTTAAAGTTAACAAAGAATAAAGCTAATGATGTTCTGACCTTTTTGGTCAGGTCATTAACGCTAAAAATATACTTTCACAAAACGGAGCTAAAGAATGTTCTGACCATTTTAGTCAGATAATTAAGCAAGGCTACCTGTCTGCATAAATAACATAGAAGAGCAGGTCTCCTAGTAGAATGCTCCTTGGTTATTATAGCGATCAAGGTCAAGTTTTCTAGGAGAGTAGGCATTCTAGGAGGACGCTCCCAGGAGAATGTAACGGCGAGGAGGAATCTTCTGAGATGGCAGTTCCAAGAGAACGTTACCCCTAGTAGAAGACTCCCATGTTAGTATAGTGGTGAGGAGAATGCTTCTAGGAAATCATGGCTCCTTAGTTGCTATCGCGGCCAGGACAAGACTCCTATGGGTTCACAGCTCCTGTGAGACAACTCCTAGTTACTATGTCGGCGAGTAAAGGCTAAACCGAAAATTGGCTTAAAGCCTCCAGTCTCAAACTTCAACTTACGCAGCTTCTATTATATCTCTTTCTCATTCCTTCTCGCAACTTACACTATCTACTCTAGATGATACTTTCAACTTATTTCTTCTGCCCTGTAAGCTCTAGGCTGCGTCCTCCTAGACGTTAAAGAGACTTCGTGGAACAATGAGGCTGAGCCGCTTCACTTGACGATTATCACGTGCACATAAGCAAATGTAGTCTGTTGAAGTGTGCCTAACAGCCTTGGGCTGTCTGGCGTTGTTTCAAGCACGTTTCACGTTATAGGCTCTATATGTAGCCGGAAGCCCTCGTTCTTTGTTCTGCACAGTTGATAATATACTTGGTTACCCTAATTGAGTTCTCCGTACGAATTCAAGTAACCGTTGTATGTTTTGATGACCCTAATGAGATCCAAAAATGGTTCCAGAGGAATCCTTATCGGAGCTAAAATAGGACCCGCCCCTCGAGACAAGACGAGGAAAGTGTAATCGGGGCCTCATAGGAGCCAATATGGGCCTTTGCGGACACTAAAACAGCTATTTAATGCATGTGCAGGCTTACTTAGCGTGTGCTCGGGCGGTACTCAGGAATTCTCACCCTCGGTTTAAGCTTGCTCACCCGTAGCTAAGGCTAAAGCAGCAACAGCTCAGGTCCAAAGACGGAAATGGAAAATGGCATGAAAACATTCCCATACTGAATTACCTATTACCAAACTTCGAGATTGTTCCTTCTACAACCCAGCAGCATCCAAGAGATCCAAATAAACCTCGCTCGTCGTGGGAAATGACGGAATTGCATGCGAGAGCTGCTCGAGCGTCATGCCTCCTACCACCGCCACTGTCGAAGCATGCAACAAATCCGCCACCTCTTTACCCACGAAAGTAGCCCCAAGTAACTTGTTCGACTGCTGATCAACAATCCACTGAGCCCATCCTGCTGCATAACCCTCCGCATGCAACATGGCTCCAAGTGTCGCAACTGGGGCATTGATTTCCTTGAACTTGATCCCCGCCTTTTGGGCTGCTTTCCGGGTGAGTCCAACAGATGCAACAGCAGGATCAGTAAATATGACGGCTGGAGTGGCAAGCCGATCTGCTGTGGCTGTCACGCGGCTCCATTCCGTAGTGCTGGTTGGGGAATTGTTGAAATCTGCACTGATGGCGTTGGATATGATGCGGCCATGGTATTTGCTTGAATGCGTCAGTGGTGCTCGGCCGTTCACGTCGCCACCAGCATACAGCCATTTTCCTGGGACAGAAGTAACACGTAGAGATTCTTCGACGGGAAGGAATGAGCCGTCTCCTTTGAGACCGAATGACTCGAGGCCTATGTTGGCGGTTTGAGCTCGTCGTCCTGCTGCAACAAGAATCTCATTGGCAGAGAAAGTGGAACCGTTCGAAAGAGTAACCTTGACGCTGTTGTCTGCTTCGCGAGCAGCATCTGTAACTTTTGTTGCCAAAATAACATTGACTCCTTTGGATGTTAAACTCTCGCGCACAAGCTTTGCTCCCTCTTCGTCAATCTTGGGGAGGATCTCCTTGGTGGATGAGATCAGGGTGACTTTGGACCCAAAGCTACTATACGCCGTAGCCATCTCCGTCCCAACAGCACCAGCGCCTACGATAACCAGATGTTCGGGGACCGTGCTGCTCGAGGTTGCTTCCCTCGGTGTCCATGGATTGACAGCTTTCAAAGGATCAGGAATAGCGGGCTCGCTCCCCGTGCAAATAGCAACAGCAACTCTCGCCTCCAATTCCACCTCACTTCCATCCAAAGCCACTACACTAACCTTCTTAACACCCACAAGCTTTCCCTTTCCTCTCACCAAAGTAACTCCACTGTTCTCTACCATCGGTACCAAAAGCTTTGTATCATCGAACATGCCGGTAAAGTCATCTCTCCTTTTCCAGACACTTTCCACCACCACGCCTCCCTCAGCCACTTTCTCTCCCACGCCAGTTACTGCACGGGCTGCTTCAAGAGCTTCATTGGGACGGAGAATGGCTTTGCTGGGTACACAGGCCCAGAAAGGACAATCGCCGCCTACTAGCTCTTGCTCAATGATGAGCGCAGTGAGGCCAGTTTTGACAACTCGAGCGGCTGTGACGCGACCTGCCCATCCAGAGCCAATGCATATCACGTCGAAAGTGTGAGTTTTCAAGGATGAGATGGGATGGGTGGATGGGTGGAGATTAATGCTTGAATAAGAAGGCATATTTCTGGCGTTGTTTATACCCAGTATTGTTGCGCAACTAGATGATGAGAAGGCGTTTAAAAAGGGGCAAGGTAGATGAGACGAAGTATCCTATGAGATAGTCAACGTGTTGTTTTATACTCAAGCATGCGGATAAATTCCAATAATGATCTTCAGGAAAATAAGCTCATTGCAGTATGCAGCGTTGATTCCACATCATACTTCCTACCTGGGATATATAAACTCCCACATCTAACCACCCCCGCGCCATAGACTAAACTATGTATCATCCCGAGAACAGCATATAAGACCCAATTAAAACCTTCTTGATCAAGGATTTCGACCCACTCTTGAGATGTCGGCCCTTTCCCCACAATCACATTGAATGCATATGGATGAATAATCCGCTCACTAGTGGCGGGAACGAGAAGCCAGTAGCTTAGTCCTCAAAACTGCAGATCGTAACAACCAAGCAATAGTTGTTATGTAATCGAACCAACGAGGCTTGAACAACAAAGCTGGAACAGTGCTGGGGAAGACTTTGGTTAATTTCTGGGTTGCTCAAGGTCACGTGAATGACCCCAAGGTGATTGTCGGCCGATCCTAAACAGGCTTCCAGAGCCGCGCCTTGAAACTACAAATTGATCAGCTAGGGTTGTTTAACCACTAGAAGTAAATGTGCTGTGCAATATTTGCAACCTTTGAGATCGTCAAGATAGGTAAATCCACCTTCTGCTTGTTGTCGCTTCCACCTATGGTGGTTAATCCATTGAAGGGTCGAGAACATTAGCTTTGGGCAAGCTCATCAAATTAGATGGAACTTTTGGGGCCCGAAGAACGTGCCTATTTCTCAATCAACACCTTGTGTCTTAAAGAGTCTCGCTTAGCAGATGCTAGCCCCTGAATTCGAAATCACGCCCTTGGTGCGATCTGAGATCCTGATATGTAAAGCAAGGAAGTGGTAAGGACTATTGGGGCACTATCAGAATTTATGTATCTCGGAATCGATGTGCTTCAGAATCATTCAGGTGAGTGCTGACGACAACTTCGAACTCCTCGACCACGTGACAACTACCTAACTTCGTCGAGGTCGAGTACCCAGGTAGGTATAAGAGCTCGTTTGCATGACAATTAAGAAGCTAGATCTTAAGATAGTCACTCCGTCGTATATCATGCCGTAAAACCTCGACCATTATAATGTACTGCCAATCCCCAGACATGAACCAACATCCCGCCCAAGCAGAACAATCCAACAAGCGGGTGAAGTATCTGGTTGGCTTCACGCATGCTTTACTGTATCCAACATAGAAAATAGATTAGCCGAACCACCACGTCGGGAGACGCATGAAACAGCACCCAGCCTCTCATAGAGCGGAATACTTGCCTTGTCTTTTCTACCTCTAAATCCTTTATTTCATGCTCATACTTCCCTAGCTTTCATCTCTTGTCTCTCTGAGCTCGTACGAAAGTCTGATATTGCCACTCCCTGTATTGCTTGCTATGGCAAACACCATCATCATCACAGGAGCCAACGGCTCGCTGGCTATCCCAACAATCGCCCATCTCCTCCAACGTTTGCCCGACTCGACCCTTGTGCTCACAGTCCGAGACGCCAGCGACCGCGATGCCAACACCAAATATTTACGCAGCACTATCGCGAAGCACCCAAAAGCTCATACGTCCATTCGGGAGCTCGACCTCTCTCGCCTCACCGCCGTACACGACTTTGCGCGCAGTATCGTTGCAGAAATAGCCGCAGGAACCCTCCCTCGGCTCTCTGCCATCGTGTGCACTGTCTTTTATTGGAATCTAGTAGATCCGGTCCAGTTCACTGACGATGGCTACGAGAAAACGATGCAGGTGAACTACTTGTCCCACGTCGCGCTGGTACTCCAGTTGATCTCGAGCTTCCAGTCCCACGGTGGTCGAATCGTCCTTTTCACGGGTGATAGCCACGAGCCTGGCAAGAATGCCCTAGATAAGGTACCGCCCGCCATCTCGAGTGACCCAGCCCAGCTTGACCAACTGGTTAACCCTGGCGCAGATGCATCAAACGATGCTCTTGGTCATGGCATGTATCGATACGCCAACTCCAAGCTCGCACTTGTCTTGTTCACACATGCACTCAACCGTCGCTTACAGCAGAATACCGAGTTGAGAAATATTACTGCGATAGTCATGAATCCTGGTAATTTGGCCCATTCGAGAGCTATGCTGGTCAATACGCCCTACAAATTAGTCTTCCTGAGAAAATTTGTGTTGAGACCGCTCTTACCGTTGCTCAAGATGAGTAAGTTAGTCATTCTCTAAAAAGATTCTATTTGATGGTAACTGTTTGGCACAATAGCGGACCCAACGGCACGCATAGCTGCCGCAGCTGCGATTGACGTTGCTCGCCTAGCTACTAATGAAGCCCATCCCGGCGAGCGTGGTTACTTTACACTTCTCAAACCAGACCAAGGCTCCGAAGCCAGCAGAGATGAGATGACACAAGAAGCTCTTTGGTTAAAAAATGTGCTATGGGTAGGCTTGACATCAAAAGATTTAATTCTGGTTAGGAAAAGTGTCGCTTAGGAAGTTGGGGGTCCAAGATACTGTGATCATCGTGCTTTGTTTCTGTAGCAATAGATTGATGTTGATGTTGATGTTTATTAGTTCGCTAGTAATATTTCAGCCTTCGCGTTTACCGGAATTAGCGTAAGAGCTCAAATATAGATGATATAATACTTTTTATTTATTTACAGGATTTAATATCGAGACAATACTTCTGATAATATCGATATTTGCGCCGAAGCCTGCCAGCGTTCCCTACCCCATAATCCGTCTTGCGCAGCCATCTATAAAATGTGACAGGAGCTGGATCAGCGCTCCCAACGGGTGGTCTGTTTTAGCGTGCCCGACAAGAACCACCCGTCTAGACTGGTTTGGGTTACAGTTTTTAAGAATCGTCAGCCTATTGGTCCGTGACGGTTCCGGCCTCCCTGAAACTGTCAAGACCGTCTGCCCGTCTACTATTGGGGTAGCCTGAGGATAGTGGAGATTAGGGGAAATTGGAGTGTCTTAGAGCCTGAGAATCTCAGAAACTTGAAGCCTGAGGTTGAAAATACACTATTAATAGTTTTTATTTGTCTTGGCAGTTCAAATCGTTTGGAACCGTCTAGAACCTGTACGGTTTGGTCTCATAGTTTTCCGGAACCGTACTAGTATAGTTGGTTTGGTTTTAGGGTCAAAACCAAACCACACCCATTGGGAGCGCTGAGCTGGATGTCGCAATACTTCGCTCATATAACGTGGACTATGATAGAGAAGACGGAAAGATAAGAATGCAAGGAATAAACTTATCAAACTGAGGATCAAATTTATCCATAATAGTATTCCCGATTGGTCTATATGTTTGAAAGTGGCCTTGGAGGTCTCCTCATCAAGAAGCTCCGTGCCGGTCGACTCAAGTCTCGCGTTATTATTTGATGATTGTTGAAACTTCTCTGGAATCCTCACTCCCATGCCATTTGCTCCATTGCCAATGTTCCCCTTCGGCGCCTCGACATGGTTCGGAAGGACTGACAGATCACCCAGTAAGATCTGATAAGCTTCCCGTCCGTCCAATCGCTCCAAAATCGCTGATAATAGGGCAGCTTGAGCGTGAGATTGCCTATTCGGCTTATCTTCACAATACGTGGGGTCTGCCTCGCTCTCAAATTGGGCGTAGGGATTAGCACCATCAATGTAATAAAGTGGTACTTCAGCTGCACTGTAGACTCTTCGGTGCGTCGATGACGACAAGATCTTGCCTGTCGAAGTAGGGTAGGCAAGATTTGTTGGTGCAGGGAACAGAGCAAGCTATATTGATTTTCAGTGGCTGTAGGGTGACTGAAGAATGTTGTAGACTTACTTTCCATAATGTGATCACGGATGACAACAGAAGAATAAAGATCAGATAATTCAAGGATTTGATTTCTCCACGTGAAATCCTCTAGCCAAGTGGGGCCTCACTTATGCAAGCGGAGCCACGGGAATCTGCTTTTTTACTCACATCTGCGAGACAATCTTCGTGAGAGATCAATAGGTTCCGAGAGTGCGCATAACCAAGAAATGTGCAAGCAGGATGATTCGGAAGCATGTCCCAGATAACAACAGGCACAGAGAGTATAAGCAATGTCGAATTACTCCTATAAACACCTTGGACAGTGACAGATTTTGCGAGGGCAGGGAAGTCTTGGAGCCACTTGCGGCATTGTTGAACGTCGAGGAGTTGCTCTTCTTCGAGAGCCAAAGAAATCAGAACGTGAGGGACGAGTGTGTTACCATCCTCGAGACTGTCGACAAGATGATCAACATTATATAGGTCTCTTCGAGAAGATTTGGTAGGGGGCTGTGTCTTCAAGCGATCGGACAGCGCACTGACAATAGACCATGCGGTGCCTCGACCGCGAGGGACTGCTGGCAAGTTTTGTTGGCGTGGACTCGGACGACGTCGTGGGGCAAGTTCGATGCTCCTTGCTTTCAGGTTGCTCGTGCTTAGTACATGGACTGGTGATTTCTGTACTCGAATTTCTTGGTGGCCCGATATCGTTCAGGCTTTTCGTGACGTAGTCTGTTCAAAATCTCACAATGTAGCATGGCAGCAGTAAATGCTGGACGCTCTTGCCATTCCTCTAACACCGCAATGAGAGTGTTGGTGAACGAGTGGCGTCCCGGTTGTGGCGCCCAAGTTTCGAAACCACAAGCGGCGATTGTCTCTGTGACATTAGTGTTGTCGCTACCAGTCAGTACGCCACTAGCCGCCGCGCAACAATCCAGAAGAAGGAGTACATCGGAGTCTGCTTGTTCGAACAGTGTCTGAATGGCGTGCCATTGAAGTGAAATTGGCTTGTTGTCGACAGAGCTATGATCATGTCAGCGGAGGCGATCCAAAAGAGTGAGAGGAACTGACCAAGTCCATTCTGCTTGACGGGAGGTATTCATCCTCCCATGACCAGCATAGTATACGATGAACAGAGTGTCAGATTCTCCATAGTCGTCAACTACCTGTAAAGCTTTGTGCATGAGTGCGCGATGCGACTTGATGGTTGGGATGAGCCATGTCTCGGTATCAAAGCCATAACCATCGAGTGTCTTTGCAAGATCATCCAACTCATATTGCACCCCTAAAGAATCTTCCTCCCATCTGAGTAACAGCACCCGGACAGAATGATATCGTGATTGACCCTTGTTGGGGAAAATACCAGAGGCAGCCTGGATGTCCCATTAGCGGGTAGAATGTATAAACCGAGATTGAGACATTACTTGTTCTTACAGACTGATCATCGAAGAGACTGGAATCATCGCTGTTTGGACTCTCTGTTGCTGGCAACGACGAGCAGTCTTCGCTGGAATCGGGTTCTGACTAGAGAGGTGTAAGAAGAAGGCTGTGATGATGTTGCATTATGGAAGCGCCTTACACTACTGTCAAACGAAATTGGCTCTGGGTTCGGCGAGGAAGGTGGCTGCATCCCGCCAGCCGAAAGTGTTACAAACTGCTCATTCTCCATATTTGACTACGAAGATTGTATCTGCGGAGCAAAGATGGAAATCTTCCTGAAATATGAGCAACCCGAAAAAATAAGGCTTAGAAGTTGTGATTAGGCATGGACGAGGTTGTGGACGGGTTTCCGCAGCGGTACCCAAACCGCTCACCGAGATCAGCCACCGCCACATCAACTTGCATGTGGCCAGGTTTCGCCCAGTAAACAGTCGAGACGCAAAATATCCGGTAAAGAAAGGAGGTTATATCGACCGGATGACGCCATGCTTCAAATGCCCCTGGCCCTGTCCAGGTATTTACGTGGCACGTGACTAGTCTTGCATGTTGCCGCCTTGTCATGCTATTGATAACTTAGAAGTCCCCAAAGAGACTGGTATCATCATCGTCATGGTAGGGGTCAAGATCCTCAGCAGCTTTCAGAACCCGACCTGCCTCTTCTTCATTCGCAATTGTCTCTTCCAGATTATCTTGCCATGCTTGTCCTGGCGTAGCCTCAAATGTTTGGACTTTGAAATAGCGATCCCATACAGGATCCTCATCGTCCGTAACATCATCTTCCACTACAACTTTCCCATCATCGTCTTTATGACACTTGAACAGAATGTTAGGGCGCTCGGGTTCGGTAGGTCTCATCGTTATTTGCGCCATGCTCCTCGGGAAATCACCCATCATTACTTCGAGCTGTTCGAGTCGACGGCCAACTTTGTACATGGAAATGTAGAGAAACATGTGCTGCACAGTCAGACGATCCGTATGGACATTTGGGAGTCGCCTGTTGACTCTGGGCCAGAGCAAATCATGATTGGGATAATAGCAAGTACCAGTTTCTGCGAACAGGAGGTAAAGTCTCAAAGTAGTCAACTGAGGGAACTGGGCTAGAGAGACGAGAAAGTCATAGGGCTAGAACACGGATCAGAATCTTCTATATAGCGGTCGCATGTCGAAAAACTCACCATGAAATCCACGATTCCAAGATCAAGTGCAAGAGAGGAGATGTGGGGGCACGAGGCCTTGAGATTGTTAAGGTGATCCAATTCATACGGGGGAATCATAAGCAAAAACGAGTACGGATCAACTGATCGGCGTATGGACCTGATTGAAAGACTCGTAAGAGTGTCGCCGTGAAGAGCTACTTTGTCAACCGGCATTTGATCGAGGGGTGTTGCTAGTTCTAATTTCTCGAGGCCGCGTAACTTGACTATAAAATTGTCCAAGAACTTGTTCCCATCATGTCTGTAGCCTGGTGATACTATAAACTCTATACTGAGAGTTTGAAAATATACGTCCTGCGTGTGTAGATATTTGACGTAGTAATGCAGGGCATGGCCTCGAAGCTGAAGATGATGGATCTTGGACCAGTTGAAGAATGAAGTAGGAATGAGCTGCTTTGGGCTCCAAGGTGGTTGACGAGCTTCATACACCAACTCTTTCAGAGATTCCAGTTGCTCACCCTTTTCGATGCAAAGATCATACACGCCTAAACCATCATAATCCCAGTCGATCCGCCCATCCTGGTTCCTCGGGAGAGTGAGGTGGAGTGTCTCAAGATTCCTGCTACTGAGAAGCACGTCTTTGAGCCACCTCATGGCGACAGGATGCTCATAATTGATTTCGACTTTCATGGTATGGACGTTCGGAATGCCAACCAGACTCTTGAGTAGATTTAGATCAGCGTTCTGTACATCCTCATCGTCTGTTCTGTGTCCAATGGAGAGTGACTCAACAGAAAGCTTGACATCTGGAGAATGTTTCAGTAAGACCTCCTTGACCTCCGCTGGGAATGATGCTTCCCAGAAGAGCCATGTGATACTTTCGAGGCGTCTTGTTCTCGATAGCAACTTGCTGAAAGACATCCAATCCAATCGCCTGTCCACTGTAAGATGACGGGTATGGGCCAACAACATAGTTTTGAAGGAATAGGATGCTTCTTTTGATGGAGTTTCGTCGTTCTGAATGTTATTGGGAGGAGCACGAACGCATCTGTAGATGATTGGACTCGCCAGACGAGAGAATCTATGTGAGACAAGGCAGACATCGAGCAAGGAGTTCGGTGATATTTGATCGACCTATGATTTTAGTGACAACGCGCTGGGATAGCAATCATGGTTTACCTCTTCCAGAATCATGTCAACGACCTCATCGCTCATACTTCCAAGGCACGCCGCCATTGTGAGACACGGTCGATGGTACGTCGGCAGCAACCGATGCTTTATGCAAGCAGACCAGATGAAGTACAATTGATTCAGTGTGCCTCCGAAAGTAGAGTTTCCTGGTGTGGAGTTGACTCTATTTCTTCCGCCTCAGCATGAACCAACGTCGAACTCACTTGAGCGATAGAAGGATTTCTAGGAAAATGTGGCGACACTGCGAGGAGTTGAAGACTTAAATAGTTATGATGAAGGCTTTCATGTATGAGTCTGCCGTGAGTCATTGCAGGCAGGAGATATTGGGGCTTGGATATTACAGGGAGAAAAGAAGGAGGCAGTGCAGCTCCAGCTCCCTAGGCACCAGTAGGTACCTATCTACGCTTACTCATACGGTGCTGAGTCAGCGGTGTGTCCTGTCCAGGCCTAGCGGAGTGGGTCGCGGGGAAGTGCTGGCCATTTGCCGGCGACTGTTCTAGACGCGGGGGTGCGAACTGGAAAATGAACCTGTGATGAATGTTCAACGTCTTTACGTGACCTGAGAGTTTTTCTCTCTCTCGCACTACAACCACAATTATTCCCGACCAACATATCATGCCAACACTCTACCCGAGAAGATGAGAAAGAGGCAATGCGGTCTCGTACGGGATGGTACGCTCCCAATTCCCCTTTCCAGATTCTCAAAAACAACTGCTGATTTCTGCCTGCACCCTGTAGTCTGACTTGCCGTTCACGAAAGCTCAAATGCGATGAAGCGAAACCAATCTGCGGTCAATGCCGGAAGGGCTCTCGAGAATGCCAACCCAGCGATGGTGTAGTGTTCAGACATCAGCAGAATGCGTCGATGAACGGGAATGGGGAGGTGGAGGAGGGAAGTGCTCGATTGGGAGGGTTCTATGCATACCGAAATACATTCAATGAGGACAATGTGTGGGTGGAAGTACCCAAGACAGGTACGAACATTTCCAAAGGTCGCATAATGTCCCACGTCTGACCAGCAATTCACAGTAACGTTTCTCAATATCACGGACCCGTACAACATGGAACCAACTCCCGAGCCTGAATATCGACCCGCAACAACACCCATAATCGTGCCACAACTGGAGGAAAGGCCTTCAGAAAGCTACTTTGCTATGCCATTCGATCAAGCGCCTGGTTTGGAAGCGTTATCTACGGCAGCAACGAGTAATTTTCATTATATACGGCCATTGTCGGTTCCGGTTCCATCGCCTGGAGATACCCATGCATCACCTCACTCGTCCAATAATCTTAACTTTATCCTCAACCCCACGAGACCTGAGACTCCTCATGGTATATGCCTGCATGATTCAGACCAACATATAGCATCGACTAATAGCTATAGGAACTTCCACACCAGCAATTGATCCTTCATTAATAGCTCCCCCGGATCGTGCTGGTCAACCATCGCCAGTCAGTGAGCATGAGGTTGCATTTTTGTTGCGGCATTTTGGCGAGACAGCTGGACAATGGTAACTTCTAATTCGCGTGTTGACATGACCCGTACTGATGAGACCAGGATGGACCTCTTTGACCTTGGATGTTACTTCGCACATCACGTTCCTGTCCAGTCCAAGTCAAACCCACTACTTAGATACTCAGCATGCGCGTACGCGGGGAAGCAACTCGGCCGAGTCAACGGACGGAAGGCTGTTGTTGGAGGTCTAGCTGGCAGGCAGGCAGACATGGAATTACATCCACGACATGAGACCATTGATTGGGCTTATGTTGGTGCGAAGTACTACGACCGAGCTATCTCCCTTCTTATGGAAGAACTATCGAATTCGAGAACCCAAGAGCCACCCATGACGCCAATGACCGCGATTGAAGAAACATTGAGCCCCCAGAGCACGAGCCAATCCCCTCGTAGTGATCCACGAACACCAGCTAATAAGAGGCGCCGACTTTCAAGGCCTGCGTCATCGAGCAATGCGGACGAAACTCTTGCAGCGGCCGCAATACTGTGTGTGTACGAATTTCTCGATAACGCCAACTCTGCCTGGGCTCGTCACCTCAGCGGCACGAAGTCATTATTCGACTTGGCTGAAAAAGAAGGGATGATGCCTGTCCAATCACCCACAAGTCCGGGTGCAATCTCCCAGCGTATCAGACCATCAAGAGCTCGGAGAGCAACCTTCTGGAACTTCGCACGACAAGACTTCCTTGCTGCACGTAAGTAGACTCTAGCTTCGGATCTTCGAGAGCCTGCTGACACGTCTTCAGTCATCAACGAAGGCCAAACAAGACTGAATACTGAGGATTGGGATCTGTGGCGAGCTGCTGGACTCCAGATTGATCAGCAAGGATTTGTGGTACCAAGCAACACCCGCGAGACGACCTTCCCAGAGCAAACTGTTATGAGAGAAGATATGATATCCAATGCCCTCATTTGGCTGATGTCTAAGATAGTCAATTATATGGCTTCGGGAGACTCTGTTGACCATGTCTTCCCGCAGGATCCATCAAGTCCCACTGGAATCATTGGAATCAATCAAATGCTCTTGCTCGAGAGGTGGAAGGAGCTTGAAAAAGAACTAGAAGTTTGGCGGCAGGGCTTGCCAGATACTTTCAAACCTTGCGCACGATTACCACCGGTCACCGACGGAAGCGTATCCTTCAATTCCGCTCGAGCCATATTTTCAGAGATCTGGTACAGCATACCCATGTGCGCATCGACCATGCAATCGTATCACATGGCCAGGACTATTTTACTCATCAACAAACCTCACGAGTCAACAGCACGCCGAACCACACTTTCTGACAGGCTCAGCTCTTACCGAGCCATCGAAAGAGAAGTTCGTCATCACGTTCACGAGATATGTGGCATCGCATTATCAAGGCCCGAAGGCAGTGTTAGAATTCATCAAGTGCAACCACTCTTTGTTGCAGGCCAGTGTCTGAGTGAAACCCGCGAACGTCGTGTCGTCTTAGATTTGCTTCGTGGGATCGAATCAGATCTAGGTTGGGCGACTGACTATCGCGTGCAGAAGCTGCTCAAAGAGTGGGAATGGAACCAAGCGGCGACGTAAAGAAATTTTCCAAACACAGTTCTATGCAACCTCATCTGTATCATGGATATTCTTACATTACAGGACCTGGTGGGCACTTACAATAGCCCATTCCGAATGAAAAACCTCGATCCAAAAGCAAAAAGTAGGCATGGAAGTTTCGAAACCCATCGTTCCGACGCGACTTTGTTCCATACACTAGATAGTTCCAAAACCATCTACAAGCTACATCTACTTTATTGGACCCGCTCCTTTACATCGCCAGCTCTATATATCCTACACATGAGGTTTCATATCCAGGGCAACCATTTGCAAGTGCAAGTATGGGAAAGAATCGACGGCGATGCGCCAAGCTTCGGGTGAGAGAGGGCAGAGAGGAAGAGCAGGGTCGGAATGGTGTTGACCGCGAATCCCCACAAATACCAACAGCAAATGCCCCCCCTAGCATGCATCCAGATTACAACCCTTTCCAACAACCTCGAAGATCTGCGTTTTCCTCACCCAGCTCAAAGCCCAAATCAGCGCCATTCAAAGATCGTGGATGTCAACATCAACCAACAGGTCGACGACGACAGGCAAACACCGAGCTGTCGCCACAATCCGACTGGAAGATGCGACAACGCAACCTCAAGAAACACCTCGTTCAAACACTCAACCAAGCCGTTCAGACAATCGAGCTCTGGCTACCCGAAGATACATCGTCAGGATTTTGTGAGAGTGATACAGAGAGCGATCCTGAGGATGAGATGGACTGGCAGCATGAGAAGGAAACGGTCATTCCCCAGCCGTGTGAAGTTACCTACATCTGGAATGTGTGTCCGAACGTCACGTTCGAAAGACCTGGTATGGCGCAGCAGGGTGTTCAAAAGGAGAAGTTTGGATATGGTTATTGTAGTGTGCGATCTGGGAGCGCATAGGGATATCAAGGTGACAAAACGAAGGTGGTACGGTTCACAGTGTTCTGAAGGAGTGATAAGGTGTTGGGGCTCGGTGAGGGACATGGTTTAGCGATGGTGTTCAAGAGGTGGGCTAGGTGTCAAATTACTGGTTCGGAGCAGGGAATATACTTGGAGCTGGAAGGGGAAAAGGTTCTTCGTGATACAATCCTCTTTCTACCTCTTAATTATACTTAATCATTCCCAGACGTTGCCAGCATTCCCTTGTATACTATCGTGAATATGGCCCAGTAATCCTCAAGGTCAAGCCGGGGTCTACGTTATATTTATCTCGCTCGACTATCACAGATCATGTTTCCTTGATCTTGTGTAGGAGTTGCGCTTCTTCCTTGCAGATAGAGCTTTCGCTTTCGGCCTGAGGGGTGGATGCGCCATCTTGATAGAAATTGCAATCTGTCGGAATCGATGCTGTTGATTGTCTTGACGTTAGTGATGAGGCACAGAAAAATTGTATCATATCGTGTTGTTCTTGAACTGGTGCTGATTGAAGCATTAGAGTTTAGATAGGTTGGTATCACAATAGGGATGAGTGCTAGTGCTCCCCTTTGCGAATGCTGTGCGCTTGTTAAGCGAGACTGTGAGAGGTTGAGTTAGATATTTAGATAATAAGCTTCATGGTGCTCATTATCTTGAGACTGAAAGAGCCTGTATTCCTATTTATGTAATAAAAGCACACAAAGGTTTATGCTGGCCGCCTGCCATATAACATGTCAGTAGAACCCACTTGCGCTTGCACTTATAGCCACGATCTCTAGGTGTTTTGTAGGAGACGTGACAGAAGACCTCATGGCTAGGTCAAGGGGATATGAACACAGAGCGTGCTGTAAAAAGTTACTGAGGCAATCGGAAACGAGAAACAATAGCACAGTCACGTTTGCAATCCAGTCGCAAGAGAAAATTGGCCTGTGCTACCCAGTCTTGATACAAAGGGTGATCGAATGCAGCGCTCGCAGTTACCAAACTTAGGTATCACCAGGTCCCAGCCCAACTCTCCCAGACAAGCCCATTATCATCTGCCCATCTGCTGCTATTTTTGAGACCGCTCTCTTGTATAACAGTCGTCACTCTTCCCCCAGAATGCATTGTTGATTGCGCGACCAGCTTTCATATCCTCCACGGTGACCTTGGACCTGCCGTCGTTGAAACATACCAGGATTGCCTCTAGACCCGCGTTAGCTTCATTGTAAGAAGGTACAGATGGTATCCACTCACCAATAAACACGCTTATGCCATCATCAAACTCCTCGAACTTCTTGCTTTGTCTGAGCTTGATTGCTTGGTGCAGACATTTCCCGCGGGTGGGAACCGCCCCTGTAATCTGTCGAGAAGAACTCGCCACTGAAGTCATAGCCCTATGATGTGCGTTGGAAAGTTGCGCCTCAAGCTCTTTGGACACTGTGCTTGGGTGAAGAGTCGATTGTTTTTGACGATGCCTGCAGGCCTGGAAGTAGTATTTTTAGGTGTGGGTGTAGCCTTAGTTGTGTGATTGTCTTGTGTTGGTGCCATATTAGAGTATGGAATGATAGAGTGTTTTGGAGATTTAGTTTTGTGAGAGGAAGGTTCGCAAAAGCGGAGTTGACGTGTGGCCTAGAATTTTGGCTTGAGCATGCCGGAGTCATGTCATGTGATAATGAGTGGTATTCATTCATATCTGTACCATTGGTTCTGTGTATACGTGTCCGATATGGGAGAGTTCACAAAGAGTGTGAAGGCGGGATGTTGTGAGGTAACCTCAGTCACTTAGTGAGCAAATCAATGCCATAGAAAGGATAGAAACAAACAAAGACTCACAATAAAGATTGAAACTTTAAATATGATGGTAGAGCTATCATTCATGTCTAATCTCTAGGAGCATCTCAATACTTCCAAACTAATCCAAAACCTTTTGTAGCCATGTATGCTGATACAAAGCCTAAGTCCCATCCTCTGTTGGGGTTTCATCCTGGCTATGGTGTTCTGAAAAAGACTCAATACTCGTATCGTAGTTGTATTGACAATGCGGAATATTTGAAAAAAAATAGAATATAGAATTTTACATATGGGGCAAGGGGCATTAGCTGGGCGGAAGTTGAAATCGAACATTTCGTAGTTTCTATTGATGGCAACGTATAGGTTTGATTAAGCAAAATTTGTTCGCTGGCAGGGTTAGGACAGTCGGGATGGGTGATTCCATTTACGCCTGCGTAGCTCGGTTGGTTTAAAGGTACTTTGCTTCGAGGCTGGGTCGGTAGTATACTACACTGTAGGTGCTGCTGGCTGGGTCTGGCAAGACTTGTTCTTTTGCTATTTTACTATCTTTTGCTACTCGCTTTTTGGATGCGGAGGTTATTATCATTGGGGGTTTTTTTGTTGAATGTTGTGTGTGGGAAATGTTTTTGACACCTCTCGCTTAATGAGCTCGACACTTCGCAATTATCGAGTCATATCAGATCAGAAAATACAATGAATTAAGTGAGTTGTTTGAGAAGCCCTTTTCGAGATCATTGAATAGTGGTGAAGAGGTTCGACTTTGGTTTTGGCACAATAAAGTCTCATTGCATCATTGTGCTTGGTGTTCCAAGTCGCGCTTCTCAACTGCCCCCTACGTAACGTGGTTCTAAGCCAAACAATGAACGCTGAATTCATATACATCACACAGATTCCCATTACTCTTATCCTATCTTCTGCTCTCCTTTCTCTCAGTGTTTACCAAACCACACGCAATAACCTTCAAGTATCTGCTATTTATGACGTAGATTATTGTGTTCGTAGAATAAGAACCTGGATGTTAGCCCTTCACTTAGTGGTAATTTTATGATAAATATAAGTTGTAAAATTTGGTGGTGACGCTGCAGGGAATCGAGATGCTTTGGTGAACTTGTGGTCTTGAGAGGTTTATATATCATAGGCGTTGTGCAGATCGGGGGATAGATATTGATCGTGAGAGGAAATTTGGCTTTGCAAGTATGTGTGTACTGGAGCAGATCGATTCAAAGAATGTGGTGGTTTCGGTTTAAATGGCAATAGAAATATTGGACGCTTTTATCGTGTTCCTTTTTTGCTAGGGAGCCGATTCACTTTCGGAGTCTGGAATCTGTTCGACTTCAAATTGTAGCCAGCCTGATACTCAAACCACCATATATTTTCTTCGCGCTCTTCTGACCTCCCACAACCACCATCAACTTTCCCCCACCTTTTCAATTCAACAACTTCATAATTCCTTCGCGCCCCCGCTCTTGCCATCATGGCTTACGAGCATCAGATTGAGTTGATATTCGACAAAGCCAGCGAGTATGGCGTGACTGTTGACACTATCGCAAAGCATTATCGCACTTGTCTCAGAAAGATCCAGACTGATCGAGTTGACTTGAATATTCATATTCAATTCTACTACGCTGAGTGTCAAACCTGGTACTTCTTCTGTAAGTTCTCTGAATGAATCTCCGAAGTTCATTTTCCCCTTTGCGCGTTGGCTAACTTGCGATAGTCCCAGTCGAGAACTTTCCTGGTATTGAACCTTCCTCCTCGATCTCCGATCCCAAAGTCATCAATACATCGATCCTCGCCAATACAAGCACCGAGGGAGGTCTTGTCGGTATGACTACTCGTCATGAGAATGCTGCTAAGAAGATCTATGATCATGCAAAGGTGAGGTTCCGCGCATTTGCGCCCACAATTATCTCTACTGACGTACTGCAGGCCATGAATATCATTGCAAAGCAATCGGCTGAGCAATACCAAAGTAAGTGTAACAAGGTAGTCGAGTTGCAGACCTTACGCAGCAGCAACACGTCCACTGCTGGTCTCGAGAAGCGAATCAAGAAGTTGGAGGGGGAGCTCAAGCATGAACGAAATGTTACTAGGGAGAAGGGTGACATGCTCAAGGCTCTCAAGAAGAGTAGCGGCATCCAGAAGGAGAAATTCAGAAACTTGGGTCGGAAGGTTATTTCCAAGCTGGAGCGCAAGGGTGTCGATGTCACTAAGCTTCTGGAGGACTTGAAGGCCATTGATGCGACTGAAGAGTTGCCTGAGATCGAGGAGGAAGATGTTGTAGCGACTACCAATGCTGCAGTACAAGAGGCTACAGACAGTCTCTTTGTTAACTGAATGGTCTACACTACGGCTTGGACGAGAGTATGGACTTTGGTAATGGGCGTGGTGGTAGTCATGTTGTCTTGAGAGAAGAGGCAACTCATCTTTGTCTACCTGGCAAACCGAAGTCAAATACAAAAAGACAAACAAACAAATAAAACTTTCCGAGCGTATTTTGTGACTTTTTTTCTTTTGAATATGGATACTAATTGCAAGTCCTCTTCCCCGCCATGCTCGCTGATCTTCTCTTCAAAGATCCGAGTCTAATTGGTACAGGGATGCCAACACCTTGCCTACCCTGTGATCAGTTGACACAACCGCCCCCAAGCTTCGTCGGTGGACCCGTTTGCCCTGCATCACCTCCCGTCCTCAATCCTGGAATGAATACTCTTGGCCCGGAGCAGCTTTGCTGCACAGAGACTATCAGACTGGGCACAGCAGAGTGTTGCTGCGATGGCTGTCCTGATCATCCTGAATGGGGCCAGCCTTGCAGTGGAGATTTACCTGACCCAATCTGCCCTGACACTTCAATCCTGGGATTTCTGGATCTAGGCTTAATCAACACGGGGCCGAACTGTTATCTCGGTGTATGCTATCTGCAAAGATGGCAGTACGATTGGTCATGCTGTGCATGTCCAGATGGATGGTTGCCAGTGGAACAGGATTGGTGCGCTGGAGGGAATCTGTGTTTTGGGTGTGGGGATCTGACTTATGAGTTGGTGAATGATCCTGTAGCGGGATGGGAGTGTGTATCACCGGGAGCTAGTCCTACTCCAACAACTCCGCAAAGTTCAACTCCACCTTCAGCTCCAACTACCATCCTGACTTCACCAGAATCATCTCCAGCGGCACCGAGTACCACCGGAAACACACCAACTATGCTTCCAACGTCGTCCGGTGTTACCGGTGTCATCTATAACGGAACATCAACTTCCACTTCCAGCAATCTGATGATAACAACATCCACATCCTATTTATTTTCATCAAATTCAACGAGCTCCGCACCAAGGTCTTCATCGACTACCAGCACAACAATCCAGTTCAGAGTTGGCAAGAATGCATAGACTAGACGTAGGTCTTCGGCCTTTATTTAGAAACTTAATATAATTTATAAAAATTCTGTAGCTGTAGTCCATCAAACCCCCGCGCCTGAGCTCTAGTCTCGCTCTCTCGCATCTACATAGGTGCATCATCGAAAACTTTGACAGGAAATACCGCTTCCACGCAGCATCGTAACTTCTCCTCTATTGTCTTCTGCTGACTACCCGGTGTATGGTGCACGTGTACTGGAGGAAACTGGCCTCGGGGCTGTTGGGCTTGAGCTAGAAGCAAGAACTGACGGCGTTCCTCCTTGTTCTGTAGCAGAAGTGTTGGAGGCTTCTGGAGGTTCCGTGCATTTCTCAAGCGCTGAATTGCTGTTCGGATTCTTGGATCCGCTAATAGGCATATAGGCATATTGGAGTTGGGGATTGGGACAAGAGGTATGGTTGGAGAACGAAATCGTGAATATTTTGTCGGAAATTGAGATTTATATGGATGAAGATATTTCAAAGTAAAAGTTATGATAGAGGGTGATGGATAAGGAGTCTTTGTGAAAAGAAAATGCGAAGACAAAATGGAGATTAGTCATGCAACAATCATGGCAGATGCTACCTAGGCAGGTAATTTGCAAATGCTTTAATGGCTTTGTATTGGAAGGCAATAAAACTAATGGCAATAGCCACCGCTGAATTAAACGGAAATGGCTTCCGGGGTACACAGATGCAGCTGAACGTTCGATTGAGAGATCTGGTATGGTATAGATTGTCATGGGTTCCTGAAAGAAGATAAACAAGGGAATCGATATACACATAAGCCTGCTTGATACGAAGAGAATAACAGAAGACGAACAAACACGTAGAGGCTTCTCCGCGAGTTCTTGATTAACTTCAAGCTTGAATAATCAGCACGATTCGGGGCAAAGCTACCTAGCCTTTCCCCACGGCTCGAGAGAAGCTGATCACTTGCTGCCTCGAAGTAGGGTATATCTGCACATTTCGGTTGCATCAAGGTGTATATACAATACTTTGCAATTATTCTTGAAGTGGGACATTGAGTGCACAGATGTAAGGGGCCTAGCGACGCTAGCGTCCCTTACATCACGTCCACCAAGCTAGAGCACGCGTTCCAGCGCAAGAATTCAACCTCCCATCACCAACTTTCGACACCCACCACCGCATCAACAACACATCTGACATTCCTCCATCTACCTCAATCGTGCTAATACATATCCCGCGACCACCATTCCCCCGTCGAGCCCTCTCAAAATGGCCGACTACTCGCAAATGAAGGTCCCCGACCTCAAGAAGATTCTCCAGGAGCGCGGCCTCGTGGTCTCTGGAAACAAGGCCGACCTCATCGCAAGATTGCAGGAAGATGATAAGAAGGCCGGTGGCGCTGCAGGTATGTTTGTTTGGTTCATTTCATGCGACTTCTCTGCCGCGTTCCGCCTCCAATATGCGCATGATGCTGATATTCATTTCCTTTTAGCTGGCGCTGGCGAAGACGAGATTGACTGGGACGAGGATGACAACAAGGCAACTGCACCCGCGACCGCGACCACGGAACCTGCTGCTGCTGCCGTGGCGGCCGGTGGTCAAGGGCCCGTTGATACTCCCATCGCTGTTCCGAACCAGAAAGTAGATGTCGATCCCAGCACAACTACAGATTTGAAGGTTAGCGGAGGGGAAGATGCGCCAACAGCTACGGACGGCGCTGTCGCATCAGCAGGTACTACGACGACCGAACCGGCTCCCGCTCCTGTGGAAGAGGCGCCCAAGCAAGATTTCAGCATTGGCTTGGAGAAGAGTGATGCTCAGAAGGAGGCAGAGAAGCGGGCAGCTCGAGCCAAGCGATTCAACATCCCCGAGAACGAAGAAGCGAAGAAGTTGGCGGAGAGAGCAAAGAAGTTCGGTCTGGATGGCAAGGATACCGTCATCAGTGGTCTGGACTCTGCCCTTCCGGAACGAAGACAGAAGCGGGCCAGAGAAGAGAAGAATGGTGGTAATGGTGGTGGAGGAAGAGCAGCCAAGAGACAGACCCCCGATCGAAGATCAGATCCCAAACCCAAGGGTAGCGCGCCGTCGTCAAAGAAGGAATCTTTCGGAAAGATCACCGATGATCCGGTCGAGAAGGCCAAGGCAGAGGCGCGAGCAAAGAGATTTGGTAAGCCCGCCGTCGAGGCTACTCCTGCTGCTACGGCGACAACAACAAGCTAGGATGGATCACAAACGAATAATCTACAGTACGACGACATTAGGTCTCACATCTTCCTTGATATGGGGAATTTCCCGCCTCTCCCGTTGTACACTACACTAGGTCCACCAAAATTTGACACCACCAGTCTGGCAGCGATCACTCTAGGTTCATGGCGTTCTCGGAGAAATGAAAACAAAAAAATGAATGACAGACAAGAAAAGAGGCTTCTTATTTTCCCTTCCCTGCACCTAGACCGATTCAGGTCATGCACCCCGCAAGTCCCTGTGACAGTGATGCAGCCAAATTTCCCCGTTCTCGAATCTCAGTCTTCATCACATCCGTATCACGCTTCATGAAACGAGTCCGGCGGTCGAGTGGCTTGGAGAACTCGGTGGTATTTTCTCTCTTTCGTTTCGAGTTGTCTCTTTTACACTCTTGCACATTATTTGATATCATGCACACTGTTTTGTCATCCTCCATCATCCACAATATTCCATCAAGGTAGCGGCAGGCGCGGAACAGTCCAGTCCAGTCCAGGTCAAGGCTCTGGCGGATTCCACACTCCCCGTTCCTTCCCACGGCACGTTTCGTTTCGTTTCGTCTCGTTCTTCTCTGCGGGTAGGGTAGGGTGAATCAAGGGGGGCCTTCGCGAATGAGGATGCAGAAGCGAGCTTCGACGTTCTAATAGGCTTCTGATAGTGTAACCCAAATTTGGGTCCGACCGACCGACCAGCCACCAACGGAGGACGCCTTGGCAGCGGAGCGAGGAGGAGGAGGAGTAAGCCTGGGTTCCTCCGGAGATATATGCGCATGGGAGAGAGCGCAAATGAGGGCCCAGAGACGGCGTTGGTTGACCTAAGTGGTTCCTGCAGATTGAGTGCTGACGGCGGCGAAGGAGGGAGGGGGCTTACCGTCGAGGGAGAAGGATGGAAGTTCTGTCTTACCTTACCTTACCTTAACTTGGGAGGGAGGGGCGGACGACGGACGACGGACGGGGGCAAGGGTTGCTTTGTTGGTATTGTATCTGTATTCTTCCCAAGACAGATGGATGGTGGATGGCCTGCCTCGTACGACATCGAATACGGAACCATGTGCTAAAGAAGCTCCATCGAATCCCACCTGCTTCACACCACCCCCTCCGCCGTCACGTTATCTCAACGCTCCTAAGCAAGCCACACATATCGCACAGGCCAATGAGGGGTCTTACATCCCTGTAATCTGAAAAGAAAACCCTGTCTGGCGCTCTGGACGTCTCCTTCGGATTTCGCGGCTATTTTCTCTACATACTGTACCCTCATTCACTTTAACATGAAAAGCGAAAAATCACCTTTGATTTTTTTGCCTCTCTGCCACGTCAACGCATGAATTCTTTTCTACTGTACCTCGGGTCTTGCGATGATGAATGACTGAATATCAATCGTGGCGAGTGAGTGCGTGCCTGCAAATGCAATGCATGGTACTGTACTTCGCCACTGTGGCGTGGCGACTATTACAGATGGGATAGCCGCGCCAGCGCATGCATGAATGCTCCGATGAAAATGTGAGATTGACCCGCTAATGCGCGCTTCTTCAGCTTTGCTGGGAAGGGAGGGCGAGCGAGCGATTTTATTTAGGGTTTAGGGTTTGGGGTTTGGGTTGGGAAGGGAAGGGGAAGATGAGTCAGTGGGCTGGGCTGGGCTGGGCTGAATTTTTGACGTGTTTTGAGAGAGAGAGAGAGGGAGAGAGAGGGGGATGATGATGATGATGATGGTGGTGATGATGGTTAGAGCATGATGCGAGGAGATCGAGAGAATGCGCAGGAATCAGTCAGTCAGTCAGCCTGATTTTTTTGCCAAGTGGTGGTCTCGAATCACCGAATCACTCACTGACTGGTGGGCAGGAATGTCTACTCTAGCCGGGGTGGTGTGTGTGTGAGGATTTGGCGAACACCCTCACCCTCAACTCAGCAAGAAACAGAACAGAACAGAACAACGCCGGAATAGGAAACTGGCCCTTTTTCTCCCTCTGAAAGATAACCATCCTCTCACCATCTCATTGGAAGAAAAAGAGGGTGCCATCCACCGGTAGGGAGAAACATTTCTAGAAGTCAAGGGGGGATTGTTTCCGTCGAGCTAGGAGGTTCTGAGATTTGATTGGTGGGTGGTGGGATTTTTATATCCAATCGTTTGGATAATTTTTTTTTTGGGCTGCGGCGGCTGGGATAAGGAGTGAAACGTGCCTCTTTTCCTCAGAGAGAGATAGAGGGAGAGAATGTTAGCGGGACTTGGAATCATGGATAGACGGGGTCGTCCGCCGTGACGAGTTGCTCCGTTCTGTTCTGTTATTGATCGAGTTGATGGTCTCGTGGAGTTAACCTTAGCTATCACCCTGGCGGTCTCTCGACGGCCTCCTGAACTTAGTCAATTCTACCCTGGCTTGATTGAACCTGGCCTGGGTCAAAGGGAGCCAGCGGAGGGAAGAAGGGAACGATGCGGCCCGTTCACTGACCGCAAATTCGCATCACGATAGCAAATCGCACAAGTCACTAGATCAGGTCCTTTACGTAGAGGAGTGAGTACCTTGGTACCGCTGAAAGCTGACGATGGACGATGGTGGACCTCGGGCATGAGCGATGTCTTCAGACAGATGATCGACAGGTCCAATGACATGCACATGATCTTCAGAAGCGCAGGCGAAGGATGGGTTGGGTTGGCGATGCGTGATGATGGGAGGGCATTAAAATAGACAAGCGCGGTGGTGTGGGTGTGGCCTGCGTCGGCTTGAGCGCGCTGGGATGGGGATTGGGATGTGGATGTGGATAGATGGCGAAAGATGCGCACAGGCTGGACTGGACGGACTGGACAGGGTAGACCTGAACCAACAGTGGGGATTCGAGGGAGAGGCTCTTAGTGGTTGAGGTAGGTCAGTCAGTCAGTCAGTCAGTCAGTGAGAGAGAGAGAGAGAGAGAAAGAAAGAGAGTCAGGGTTGAGGTTCTGGTTGATATGGCTGCTATGGGTGGATGGGTGCGGGTAGAGGAGGAGGAGGAGGAGGAATGTTCTCATACTGATATGATTCTGGTGGTAGATGGTGGTTGTGGTTATGGTTCTAATGGTGGTGATGGTTCTGGTGGTTTGGTGGATGGATGTTCTCTCTCACCCCACTTTGCGGCTACCCTGATTCCAGCACTCACTCACTCGCTCACTCACTCACTCATCCACTCACTATGATACCGCACCGCTCTTAGCCGACGAATGATGACAGGGCGTCTACGGTCTACGGTCTACGGTCTTCGCGTTCCCTGAGCAAGTTCACTGTTCACCATTCACTCCTCCTCCACCACTGGAAAGTCATTCTCTCCTAGCTGCATATCGACATGGCTTCTCTCAACGTCGCAAATGCCCACTCATGGCAGTCAAACCCCCCAATCACTCACTCACCCCATCAACTCCCATCAACCCATCAAATCGCCCTCGCACGCGATTCTGCCTCACATACCTGCATCTCTGCGTCCGCTCACCGATCTCCCAACCCAATCAAATATTCTCCTAGCGTCCGCTGCCCTCTTATAGGTCTTGAGGATATGCGATGTTCGCAACTCGTGCAGTAGAGTCGACTGGACCTGCAGGGCGGCGCAGTGCAGCGCTGCCAGTTTCTGATGCACGTCTTGCCCGAGAGACAGACAGTGAGTCGAATTGTGTACGTTGCTTTTTTGCCCCGAGGCTCGCATTTCTGCGACCCCCGACCGATGAACCACTCGGACAGCCAGGACATCGAAGTTCGTAGGTCTTTTTCCTTTTGCAACGGTTTCTATTCCAGGCTCAACGACTCCCGGCGACTCCAGTGTTCAGTGCCACACTGGAGACCGCAGAGGCCGCCTGATGGGGATAACCTGCTGCTGCACGTTACCACTGGGATTCGCGAGACAGATAGAGAGCCAGCCCGACGAACGCCACACGCACATATACCGCTCGTCGCGATAGCAGACTCGTCGTGGTCGTTGGTGTGCGAGAATCCGTCACGGCACTTCCAGCCTCACTAGGCTCCACGATTCCACCACGATTTGAGCATCTTGGATCCTTGGGGGCTTTCAGAACCATATCTGATGGGGATCAGCCCGCTTCTGACTACACACTACGAACATTATTCAGGAAGAGGCTTGCGCTGCTGCTGCTGCTGCTGCTGCTAGCTAGCTAGCTAGACGCCGCCTACGCCCAACGACCCAACACAACTCCCATCTAGACGACAAACCAACGACCCAAGACCCCTCGTTCTCTCGTTTGCACTTCCCTGCACGATTCCCTGGGCTGGACGACTTAGTCCCCACACTCTGGTCTTCGATCGTCCCGAACCTGCGTGCGACCCTTAAACACTCGCGATCTCCACCCACGGCACGCCTTTCTTACCTCTTACCTACTCTTTCTTCCCTTTTCTGACTGCTCTCGTCTCCGCATCCTCGCTCCGCTCTCACAATTAATTGCTTGCTTGCTTCCCTTGTTTATTTTTATTTCATTTTCTTGTTAGTCAGCCCAGCACAGTTTCAAGGAGCCCTGGTGGTGCAGCATATAATATCCTCGCACTTATATTTTTGCGGATCACCTGGTGGTGGTGGAAGTGGTGGCTGTTTTTTGCACGTGCGACTGTGTTCCATCTTGGCCGCCACTACGGAGGACCCATACCGCCATCACATCACGCCTAATTATCTGCCGTTGCCGCATACGCATATACGCATATCATATATCTCTTGGGATGGTCCCCTGCTCATAGCTATATTACCCCGGCCGAGCTTCTTTCTTTTTTTTTTAAAATATCAGTCCTCACGGACGGGCACGGAAAAAAAGTATCGGGGATATACAAACGGTTTACTGGATGTGAGTTTCCCCGCTCGAGCTTCAATTACTTTCTTTTCATTTCTTGTCTGTTTGTTTGCTTGCTGGGAGTTTACTGAACTGACAAGGTGCAGATAGTTTTTCTTCTTTCGGTACAAAATATATCTTACAAAGATCCGCAAGGAATGTCGAACGTACAATACAGCTCTGCTCCATACTCATAACGTTGGTACAACAGCACAACGTTGGAACACCATACAATAAAATCTTAATGCTGCGACGATAGCAGGAAATCAATAATGGCTTCATACAAATCGGGGTTCGACCCACCCACTCGGCCAGGAGAGACGAGCCGAGCGAGAAGGTTGGGCACATACATGCAGCAACACGCAGGGAAGCAGGAGAAGTTGGAGCACAGAGAGGCAGATATTGCGCATCTCTCGGGGCAGATGGATACAAGGAGGCCCAGTGCGAGTGCGACGACGGGCAGGGCACAACAAACTACGCTTCCAAGACCGAGGATGCGAGAGCCTTCTCCTAGTACAAGACCTAAGCTAGAAGGTGCCAGGACAGGAAGCAGCAGTTCAAGTTTTGGTTACAGCCGGAATGCCCCCAAACCGGCTGCGAAACCAACACCAGAGCTCAGAGGAAAGTCATCTCGGAATGTACTTCGGAGGAAACCTTCTTCAGTGGCGCAAGACGTAGAAACATCTCGTCCGAAAGCTGAGAGGCAAGATTCTTCGTCATCAGCCAAGGTTTCTTCATCGTCCTCGGACAGAAGGCCTAGTGTTGATGCGATACAAAAATCATCGGATGCGTACAATGAGATCTTCACTCGGCCCCCAAGGACGAGGACACCAGCTTCAAAGGAATCACCACAGATATACCCAGAACTAGACCGGTATCGAAGTAGACCTGAGCAGAATTTTGGAAGCAGAAACATCACCGATTTGCCTCCAAAACTCTCAACTCAAGACCTTCCTCCCCATAATCCAATGGTCTCTGGGACTCCAGTGTATTCTGGAAGCAGTAGCCATCATCGGTACAGTGGCTACAGCGGCAGTGGGTACAGCGCGAGTCCCTCAACGCGATTTTCCGAATCGCCTGGACCTGGCGCTTACAGCAGGGACACGACCCCTACCTCAATCTCATCTCAATCCCCTGGCATCCTCGCCCCAATGAAGACCACCACAACACCACGATTACGCCAGGGGAGTCCGGCACTCAATCGTCCTCCAGTGACCGCGAGACGGAGAGCGACAAGTATCCCTACTGAGGCTGACGCCTCACCTCAAGGTCTTCCGTCGCTGCGCGAATCTATTACTTCTTCATCCTCGAACTCCACAGTCAAGGGCGATGGAAAAGGGAAGGAGAAAGAGAAGAAGAAGAAAAAGAGACTTTCTCCTTTGCCTCCCAGCCCGCCTCCTCGGAAGTCTTCGCAGAAGTTCAAGAAACCGAGATCGGATGAGCTCGAAGATTCTCCTTCTAAACCATCTCAAGCTCCTGCGAGGCCGGTGATGATGTCTCCTATTGAGTCGTCACCTGCGAAACCCGTCCGAGCAGTGACGAGTCCAGTGAGCAAAGCTGGACCTCCAGCGCGACCGAGCAGAGAAGGAGCACCTGATCTGCATGCTCAATGGGGAGATGTGATACCCATTGTTCAGAGCAATCTGACGGGACTTCCGCAGAACAGAAGGCAGAGTTCACTGCCATTGCCGAGAAGTGTTGGGACATCACCACAGCTTTCAAGCCAACCTACTCTTCGACCACAACCTGGAAGACGAAACAATCCATCGCCAAGTCCTATTCTACCTTCGCCCCGAGAAGCTACACCTGCACCATCGGGACTGGGTATCATTCCAGACTTGCGACCACATCTACCGGGCTCGAGGAGCATCTCTCGCACGCCAAGTCCAAGTACCAAACCACGCTTCGGTCTCTTCAGCAGACGCACCAAGACCACACCTGAAGTCAACACTCTCGAGAATAGAGGCTCACGGAAAGGACCCGCAGCAGGAACCGGCCACGAAGGCTACGGCAAATACGCCACTCGCGGCCGAAGTAGCAGCGCAGGCGGATTCTCCTCTCGACAAGGAAGCATAAGTCTCAGCATCGCCACCTCGTCTTCTCAAGAAAGCGTCTCCAGCACGCGAACTCATGATCCGTTCTTGCTACATCGGATGAGTCCTGTAATTATCGCGGGCGGGGGTGAGATTATCGAAAATCGCAATGAAGGATCGGAACTTTTGCGCACGGAGAGTGGCACGAGTTTGTTGCTGGGTGGCGATAGAGATCGGCCAAGTCTTGAGAGCAAAGCCTCCGGACTTAGTAATGAGGTTTCGAGGACGACGTTGTGGCCTTCTGCTATGCCCCGGGAGCCGATATCGAAACGTGCTTCTGCCATCGTGCCGAAAGGGAGGAGACCGAGTGATAGCAGTGATGATGTCGTCGTGAAGCGCTCCTTAGGTTTCCGCCGCTCAGTTCAGAGACTCGACTCTTCGATAAGACAACCGGATCTTCCGCGACCGTTGAACTTTGGAGATATGGTTGTCTCGCCTTCGATGACGAGTTTAGATGCCAGTATCCTCTCTGATGAAATGGAGATTGGTACAGCGAGGAAGGGTGTCCTCACCAAGCCGAAGAAGTTGGAGAAGAAACCAAAGGAGACGAGAAAATGGAATTTCTTCCATCGATCACAGCCCACCAAACCTCAGCCAGATCCAGTACCTGCTATGGCTGTCGTGGTTGGTAAGGCTCCTACGAAGGCAGTCCCGCATTATGCATTGCTTGATTCGTCGGATGAGCAGGTTGATCCTGATTCGGTCAACTTTGAGGATCTAATGCACGATGCGGAAGTTGTTGCCATGTCGAATGAGGAATTGGATGCGTTGCAGTTTGGCTCATACAAGGAAAAACTCCGAAGGAACGAGATCGATGCCAATACAACTGCTCCTATTCCTGAGCCGACACTGGTTCCAGAACCTAGAGTGGAGACACCACCCGCTCCAGTCTTGTTCTCGTCGCCAGAGCCAATGCAGATAGCTGAACGACCGAAGACACCTCAAACTGATTTGCATCTTACCCAGGAGCCGGCTCGCGTTCGACCAAGTCGATTACCGCAGGTTGGAAGGATACCAAAGGTCATCTCTGCTCGACCCGAGACCACTTCACCGAAATCATTCTCACGACCCTTCGCACGACTCAGTACACTTCAACCTCTCGTTCAGCCTCTCAACATCGACAAGGAATCTGTAGCTATTGGTCCCAGTCCACCAAAGCCATCGACCCCTGAACTTCACATTGAACCTCAACTTGAAAGTTCTACTCTGCCAACTGTCCGACAAGAATCCCTCGATTCAAAATCCTCACGAGCATCAACCAACCATCGCGACTTCCTCGCCTTCTCTCCACGCAAGAACTCCGAAGCAACAACAAGCAGTTCAGGGGGCGGTCTAAGCTTCGCCGATACCACTGCCGTAATTCCACTGCCCGATGATCCGCTCGAGGAAGATGAGATGTGGGATGAATACGATGATCTTATCGAGCACGACGATACAATCAAAGTTCCAATTTCAGCTACCTCGAGTCAAGGGATGCCGTTTCAATACGAGTCTTACGAGAGTAGAAGGCTGAGAAAGAGCAAGATTCGTCCGAAGGAGAGTCCTACCCTGACATCGACGCCTGTCATTAAGGAGCCGGAACCTCAACCTGAACGACGATCGGCACTTACGAGCTCGAGTGTGTATAGTGTGGATATGAGCGCCAGACTAAAAGATGCTTTGACCGCTATCCCAAGCCCAACAACACCGTTGTCTTTCACAGAATTCTTCTCCGGCTACGGTGATCGAAATAACTCCATCCATGGCGACTCAGCACAAAAAAAACGACGCAGTTCCGGATCCCGGAAGTCGAATTCATCAAACGGACTTATCCCGATCGCAGAACAAGATACATCGTCTCCCATTTCCCAAGTCAATCTAAGGGTTGGATCCATGACTGTCAGTAAATGGTTAACGTTCGGACACGTCCTATTCAGTCCCGCGAGAGAAGATATCGACGCTGCCCCCGTATCAGAATCCTCGAAACGCCACTCCATCCTAGTGATCGATGGTCTCGGCAATGGTTCGTCTCCCCCCTTCCCTCCTCCCCTCCCCTACTAACATAAAACCCAGATGATTGGTCCTTCTACGCCGCAGAAACCTACTCCCACTCAACATTCTACAACCTCTCCCCGACTCACCCCCCCTCTCAATCCTCCCCTCCTCCTCACTCCCGCTTCCCCTCCACACCCCCCAATCACCGCCAAATCCACTGGACGACAGGCAAACTGCCCTTCCCCTCCTCAACCTTCACAATAGTAGTCTACCGCTTTCCGGCCCTCTCCCCGCTCTCCTCCTACCGCCACATCATCGCCGAAGCCAAGCGCGTGTTAAAGCCGGGCGGGTACCTCGAACTCGCGATCCTGGACCTGGATATGCTGACCATGGGCCCTATCACTCGACGCGCGGTGAGAGGGTTGAAACTCAGGTTGTCGGAGCGGGAGGAGGGGACTGCCGTTAGTTTGGGCAGTGCGGCGGATGAGGTGTTGAAGGTTGTGGGGAAGCGCGGGTTTGAGGGCGTGAGAAGTTGTGTTGTTGCTGTTCCCGTTGCGTCAGCTGTTAGTGGGCCGGTGAAGGGGGAGAGTGAGGGTGGGAAGGGCAGGGAAATGGAATCGTTGCCGGATTTGTTGAGGAGGGAGGGAGAGGGTGCGGATAAAGATATCACGACTATGGTGGCGAGGGTGGGGAGGTGGTGGTGGGGACGGTGTTATGAATCTACCCTCGCGAGTCAAGCGACCGGAGGGAGCCAACGGACTCAAGGAAACACAGCGAGCAGTGGAGGAAGAAGCATATTCGACGACACCAAAGTCCTAAACGAGTGCGAGGACTGGGGAACCAGTTTTAAACTCTGTGTCGGGGTGGCCCGGAAACCAAGTCTGGTGAGCAGGAGGAGGGGGGCTAGTGTTTAATTAATTCTCTCCTCTCTTGAATATGGAGGCGGCTTTGCATTTGGGGATATATGGTGGCTCGCGCCAGCTTTTTTCTAGATCTGTTCGATTCTCTTGGGCTGGCTGGCTAGTTTTACTTATTTGGGAAAGGAGGGAGGGAAAGTGATGATTGATGAGGTTATGATGGATGGGTACATGGATGGACCTTTTTGGTTAATTGGTTAGTTGGTTGCTTGCTTCTTGGTTGTGTTGTGTTGCTGCGAAGCGAGGCAAGCGATAGATACCCATTGGTTGCTTTTATGTTGTTGATGAGAGGGACATAATAAATGGAATTGTACATGTTGACTTCACTTGCTTTCACCTCCTTGCTTTGATGTGAATCAACGCTTTTCATCAAGCGGTGGAGTATATAGATGAACAAGCCTCCATGGCAAGGAAAAGGGTGAGCTTGTTTCCACCCGACACTCTTACCCCACTATCACCATCACCAGGCTGGCGTTTCTTTTGGAGAGTGAAAGCCTCAACGATTGGGTTGATATATGTTAGCCCTCGAGATAGAGAGAGACTTACTTGACTTTGACGATTATGGGGCGCTCGCTCGCTGAAGGTGAGGAGTGAGAGGGGAAGGGGTGGCTAGCCGCTGGTATTGTCTTGTCTGAATTTTGGAGCGAGTCTTAATAAAGGAAATATTATATATGAGTAATACAATTTCCGCTTTTTTGTGACGTTTTTCGAAAATGCGCTACTAGAAACTCCCATCATACTTCCTACAACAACCGTGTTCATTTTGCACTTAGATATCTATATTTCTTTTTATAAAGATGTTGGAAGGGTTCAAGCGAACTTGGGGTGTCTGATCATGCTCGGGTACGGAAAGAAGAATATTTGAAGGCTGGATTGACTAGTTGATGTTTAAGAATGCATCCTGATAGACTTTTCTCAACTCGTTATAGGATTGTTGGCGGGTATGTATGTTGCTTAAAAAAAAAAACTCACTTTTGCAAAAGGGACCGTCGATTCCAAAACTTACCAGTTTCCAGTAAATAGAACAAAAGGGGAACTCCACCTTCTCCTTACGTCGTGCTTCAATTGTTGAGCCTGTTATAGTCCAGATGGACCTGATTGTGGGCGTGGTCGTTTGACACTTCTTCCATATTGATCTTCCGCGTCTGAAACTCGTTTGGTCGAATTAGGACGCGGTACTGGTATCTCCACTACGGGCACTGTGGTACATGCGGAGAGAGACCGAGCACTTGTAGTAGATCTTATCTTGAGCGGAGCGTTTGACGATGATTGGTCTTTTGTCGCAAGCTTTGTCTCGTTGAACGGTTCAAATTTGGCGGGCTGGGTGGGATTTGGCTCGGCTGAGATTGGCTTCAAAGCCGTGATGAGATCGAAGTCTGCTTTTCCCAGCACTTTCTTCAGGGTATTTGCATCGATCGTCCGAATCTTCGCTTTCCACTCTTCACGGAGCTGTTTCCAACGATTGAGATCATCGTCATATTTCGTTGCCTTTTCGACCATGAGACTATGGGGACTTGCGCATTGGATGGTGGTGTTGATACTCCTCGCGGCTATATCTTTCTGCAGTCGGTGTTTGAGATGCCTCCTTCGCTTCGTGGATATCTTGAATTCGAACGATGTCATGGTGGGATGTGTTAAGAATACATCCAAAGTTATGCAGTCAAAACATCCGCAACCGCGTGACTCCCTGGCCAGGTTTTCTGGAGGCTGAGGTTCCGGTGTGATATTCCGTTTGATATAAGCATTGAGGATAGTTCGATATAGTCTCTGCATGGGTATATAAGTGTTGAGGTATGCCTCTTCCACTTTTGTGGTAAAATAAGCGAGAAATGGAATATATATTGTTCCCAGTACTTTGGAAGAAGCTCCTCCAACTTCCTTTTCTAATTTAGCAATACCTTGATCTAGTTGTGTAAGTACTCCATGTTTGTAAGCTAGCGACAAAGTTGTGATCACGTCATGGAAATGTGACTCGACACCATTTAGCTGTGCGCATGTAGATTGGTTTCGGCTCAGACCCGAAGCTTCGTTCCGTGGTGATATCTGTATTCTTGATAGAGCTGCGTGCATGATATCAGTAATGCCATCTTTGAAGTTCGTGAGTACCGAAGTGTTCGCGAAGAACGCCATCGTCATGGGCAAATTTGCTGCGTGCTTGGCGAGCGACGGTATCAAGCTGCTGCTTGTAAGATAGGCAGACTAGAAAGGCATTTTGCGGGAGCTTACGTTGAAATCAGAACGTCCTTGCTGCATAGATTGGCTAATTTGGCCAGATATCTTCCCTCTTGGGCTGTCTCTAGATCAAGGTTTGCAACAGCATCCTTGAGCTGACCCCAAGCCCATTTGCCATCGACCATGAACTTGTTCATAATCTGAATGGCTCTACATCTTGAGATGAAACTCGTGTGGGCTGGTGGGCAGGTCGCAAGCCTGCTGTAGCTATTAATTGCGGAGACAATCAAGATAACGAGCCACCTACCTAGCATGGAACCAAAGCTTTCCACGTCGAGAACCTTCATCTTTTGCCAATTGAAAGTATTCCAACTTCGAAAAGAATACGGGAAGCGCCCGTTCGAAAAGGTTATCATTATCGAGTTTGATAATTGCTCTGAGTGCCAAAGTGACAGCTTTGCTAGAAAATCCGCTATCGGGCGCTTTCCACGTTGTCTTTGAGACAAAAAGCAAGCATATGTTGGTGATATCCACGACTGCATAGTGTTCGGTGTACTGGCCGTTATGTGAAAGGTATTTTTCAAGTAGATGAATGATATCTCCCTCTCGTTCAAATGCTTGATCGGCTAAAAAGATGCGAATTCGGTTCTTTCGAGGTAGGATGACTGCAACCTACCAAGATTCCCATTATTCTCCGCTAACGTTGTTTGGATTAGAGTTCTACTTACATTTCTACGAAAAGAACGCCCCCCCTGGGCTGACTGCCAATCTTCAAACGCATTGTCTCTCATCAAGTGATCCTCATGATAAGACAGTTTCAAGCTTGGAAATGGCTCGGTTCCGTCGATTTCCCAAATATTTTTCAATCTAGAATTATGTGAATCATGATCTAGGCCCATCTCATCCCAACTATCCACGTCGGAGTCTTCATCGGCTGATGAATCATCTTCAGACGGTTCGAAAGTCGCTAGACATAGATAAAATCCAGTAGCTTGGCAAGCCTGCTCGAGTTGGCATATGACCAGATTATCTTCGTCTGATAGCCCTTGCTTAGTTTTCGTGTTGATGTATGAAGTCTGGAGAATATATGCTAGCGAAGCATGTGGTATTCGATCTGTTTGCTGTTTCCAACTCGCTAGAATGGCTTTCAGCTTTGTTGTACTTCGGTCTGCTGAAACTGCTGAATATGCCGTCTTGTTTTCCGGCCTGTACCTGAAAGTATACCTCAGTGTAAGTCTTTGACCTAATAATAGCTTGGTGCTATTGGATTCCACATCAAGGAACTTGTATGATCAGCACGATGATAATATAATGGGATAGCGATATGTACTTACCGTAGCAAGATAGCTGCAGTCAAATTCCGATTCTTGACACGTCGAGAATTTGATTGTCTTTTGTCTGAACTTGAGTTCATAATCTCCTCCAACATGTCTGGATGGCAATATAATATCTAGAAAACCACGCAGTTCGACCCAGGACCAGTACTAAATGAAAATTAGCATATTAATTCCAGGTAATGACGACAGTGCAACTAACGTCTCATATAAATTCCGAGAACCGCTAACTTCATCCAGGACAAGAGCGCAAGGGAACAGTATGAGGTCTGTGGGCATGCCAAATTGAAAGCATATGTTGGCTGTGATTGACTGAAGAGTTCGTGTCCAGAAAGGATTTTGCGTTTCCCATTCATGCCAAGGCACTATCCAGGACTTGCTCAAAACCGCAGGATCTAGTGCCTCACCAGAGCTACCACTAACGGAAAGATCTTTGTGGCTTGCATTTTTGATCATTCGGATATCATCTGGACCTAGTGGGAACCGAACAACGCCATAGCCTTTCAGGTGGAGGTTTGGATTTGGAGCATCCTTCAGAGATTGGCCGTAGGCGAATAAACCAGAGCTATCCACAGAATCAATTGTTCTACATAGCATTCCTCTTATCCCATCAGGTTGGATCAACTCTTCTCTTCCAACTTCGTATTCTGTATTATCATCTCTGCTGACATGCATCCTTCGCTTTGCAGATGACACATCTTTCGGGAAGACAATTGGTGGAGGTTGCATAAGTTGTCTCAAATTTGTTGAACATACTGGCTGTTGCTTAGCCATTGAATGATCATTGCTGACATGTGGTGTTGCTAAGATGGTCTCTGCGACGACGTCGGTTGAGATGTGGATTTCGGGGAAGGTGGGCTTTTCCGCAGATGGTTTACAAGTCTCCATGGCAATGCTGCCTTCGTCCGAACTCGAGTCCTCGACAACCCATACTTCAGGTCCGGCTGTCATCTTGGTGATATGACTTAAAATTGTCAGCGAATGTACATCTTTGATAGACGAAAACGGAAAGCGTCGAATGGGGAACTAGAAGCTCAATCCGTGAAAGCTGGCCTATGTTTTATTTAGAATTCAAGCCCAGCTTGGTGTTTCTGTATGTTCATGGAGCGCTCGCTGGATATGAAATGCACTGTAATGGAAGGCTCCCGGCAGACGGAAATCAACATACCTACGGAGAAGTCCAGCCTGAAGAATGTCTACGTACGCGCGAAGACGCTAGAGCGGTATGAAAGACGTTGAAGAAACAGATAACTCACAGAGAAAACGCAATTAGTATTCATATTCTGCCGGAGTGTTCCGCCTCCGAAAACGCCCATCAGCGCCAAGTCACGGGGTTCCAGTCGGTGGCTGTGATAGGTACCTAGGTAGATTTTGTGAAGGTCTTCCCTGAAGACTAAGTCTTCATTATCCGCATGTATGCATACATGCTACGGACTATCAGCATGCACCATCTCAGATTTCTAATACGAGGAAGATATATAAACTTATTTTGTGTGGTGGGTTCAGGTTGAAGATCTAGTGAAGTGCATTACAGGAAAAGATGCCCTCCAAGCATATTATCAGATGTGAAATGTCTTGGAAATTGCTTTGAAATATTGAAATTATGTCTTCGTTTTGACGGTCCTGGGCTCTTCTGGGTGATCTATTGAACCCAGTATCCTTTTGAAATCCCATATAGTTTTCAAGCTGAAGAGAAAAAGTAGTACGATTTATCTTGAACATATGTAAATTGTTGTCTCCCAATTTCGTCGCCCCATACTACGCAAGAAATGAATGATGCACGAGATACTCAGCAGTAAAGGCACCTGCCAGGGAAAGTCCAGCGGTCCAGAAGCCATGGCCGAACCACCACCAGCAACTCCCCGAATCTTTCAGATTGACATACCATATCATACAACCAAGAGAAAGCAAAGACCCGCCAGGGGCAATAACGAGGTACGGCCACCATCCCATGACCCCCGACGAGACAGCACACGCCACAAGCATAGTCACCATACAACACAGAAATAATCCGAGTGCGGGTTTGGTGCCACGGTATCCCAATAGCACTGCCAAACTACACAAGCCGAGACCTTTATCATCAGCCAGGTCCTGGTGGGCGTATATAGTATCGTAGATAGCTGTCCAGAGCACGCATGCCATCATCAGGTACGCGCTTGGAAGAGAAATATGCAACGTGGGGATCAGTGCCGGCGACCAGTAGTAACGACTATCTCGGTTGATATTTGTAAGGGCCAAGTATTCTTCGATGACAAACGGTTCGAGGCCCATGGCCGCGCATCCAATAACCACACCCCACGCAAGGCAAAAGCCCAGGACGAACTGGGCAAAATGCGTATGACGCTTAGCGTAAGGATAATAGATCGTTGCCATAGCATTCGGTAACACATAGAAAGCTGGGCCTTGTCCTTTGCCACCCGAGAAGCCAAAGGAGAGGACAGTGATCCCCAAGAGGGCTTGAGAAAGCGCAAAGATCACCGCGGCGCGAGTCGACACAGCGCCACGTGGAATCGGCCTTTGACGAGTACGTGCGACTGCAGCGTCGAGAGGTGCATCAACGGCATCGTTCCAGGCGTGAGCGGCGTTGGAGAAGAAGAGGCTCCAAGGAAGTAGAATTGCGCATGTCCAGATCACTCGAACAAGGGGAGCATCTTGAATCACTGCCCCGAGGAGTGCTCCAAACAAATGCGGAAAATAAATAAGCGCCAGTCCTGCTGGAGGACTGAGTCGTGCCAATTGCACGTAGGGGATCCATGATGCAGGAAGCCTGGACACCCAGCGTCCTGAGTGGAGTCCTCCGTATTGTTGTGCGAGTTTGGACTTGGTGGATTTACTCATGGTTCTTGGCAGCGCACAGCGAGAATGTATATGAGTTCGAGGTGGAAGAAGGATTGTATGTGCAGGTTGTATGGTAAGTCAAAGACTCCAAGTACGGGAGAAAAGGGGAAGGCAATTAAGGAGATAAAGAGGGAACCTGTACTCCATACAACTTCAGGATTTCTCAAGAATATTCTATGTCGGTGCAGTCGGTCTTGAGTATTTATACCTTCGGATGATCTGCTACATAACGCATGGATGTTGCATTTGAGCCTTGTCAATTTGCGAGCTCTCTCTTTCTATGGCCCTCAGGCTTTCATACCTGGATTTTGTTTTTCATATCCTGTACCATGTCATGCCTATTTGGGGCCCTTTCGATTATGGCGCATGGTACATTAATGGTTGTAAGACATCATTTTCTGACTTCGGATACTATTCCAAATACTTCAAAGTAAGCAAACTAAATCAGATAATCAAATTCTGATATTTCAAAACAGGTGTTGCACTCTCTCAATGCATTCAGTGACTTTATAGTAAATCGCCTACACAAGCAATGAGGCGGTCAATGAACGACTCAAAGTTTTCCAAGAGACGGCTCCGCTTATTTTTGACAGCACTTTCCAAGCATCTTGTGTACATCTGCAGGGGACGGAAAAGAATTGCAGGGAATAGAGCCAAATGCGGGAGATTATTTGAAGTCTATCCGAGGTCAGCTTACTCGAATGTGCACGGTCTGTGCTTAGCTTCAAATGATATATTTACAGAAGCGCGATCACAGGTACAGATAGATGACAACAAGAATATCCTTTCCTGTTTCTCTCTCTCCCATGAGGGTCAACATGACAGCTGCCGCTGAGAGAAGAAGAGTCGCGCTGCCACACGAACGTAACGCAGATGGAACAGTAACAATCAGAGCGTAAGTTCGTCACTTTAACCACTCTTTTGTGTAACAGTCACTAATCTCCAATTTCTCCTTTCAGTTTCGAGGGTGCGATTCTCTCTCGTGTCCTCCCAGCACCTGCCGGGCGTGCGTTCAACTTCGAAGTCATCTTCTTCCCTAACCACCCTCGTCTCCGTCAACTTCCGTCCAAGCCACCAGAGCACTTCCATCCCCTTCAAGAAGAGTACGTCAGTGTATCAGAAGGCGCTTTGGCGGTGGAGGTCGAGGGTATCGAACATATTCTGCGGCCGGGTGACCCCGAATTCGTTCTGCAGCGTGGTGTCAATCATCGCCTCTACCCCGCTCCACAAAATGAGAAAGAGAGCCAGAATGATAAGAGCCGCAAGGTATCTTGCTTATTATCTGCAGAAGGCACTTCGAGTTTGTTTGCACTTGACCTAGTCTTTTTTGAGAACTGGTATACATACCAAGAGCAAGTGGTCGTACACGGAGCAAAGTTGAACCTGATCCAAGTTATGGCTGTAAGTGGCTCCTTTCCATATTTATGTCTCTCGAGAGGAGACGACCAAACTGATGCTTGGGTTTTAACTTGGCCAATAGATGTTTGATGCAGGAGATTCATACCTCACATTACCTTGGTATATCCCGATGCGTTCTCTAATGTCTCGTGTTATGGGCATTGTCTTTGGGAGATGGATTGGTAGCTTGCTGGGATATCAGCCTTTCTACAAGGAATGGACGACAGATTGGGATCTTGCGTGTGAAAAGATGGAGACTTGCATGCTTCAAAGACGTTTCTCCGATAGAAAGAAAGTGGCGTAGCATAATAAAAAGATATGTCACTGCCTGTCCACTCACTGCATGACCATTATGAAGCATCCGCTATTTAATGTCATATATCTCGTATTAATTGCTGAAGTTAGAAGAAGATGGTGTTGGAGTATGCTCTGGTGCGTAAATCAAATTGTGCTGAGAAATCGACATCTGCTGCCAGCCTTCCGTCGTCTCTTCGGTAAGTATGAAGTCTTATAAACGAGAGGAAGCAACATTCAATTGGGTGTGAGCTTCTGCAGAGCCAGTGGGATGGCGGAAAGTTGGAATCAAGAAGTGTAGTAAAACATATGAGAGCTGCCAATGGAAGACTGTGGAGGCTGAAGACTCATTTAATATCTCAAATGGTATCTTCCTAAGTCTGGGTGGCCTTACAGCACATAGAGTCACAGAGTATTTATCAAGAGGCCGTTCAAGATTGGAAGCCCAGACCTCGAAAGATCCCAGGTAATCCTTGTTTTCGGTTTGCTATCTGATTCTCATTTTCCGTAGCGAACTTTCCTCACTCCGTTCGCGCGGGTTCTGACTGATCTGATGAGAACATCTTCCCCGTCATCTTGAATCTTATGCTTCCTCCCATGATATTCACCTTTACAACCAGCTCTTACCAAGTGACTGTGGCTTCCACATTTCAAACAACTCTCCTTACAGTCGGTTATAAGATGGCCCCGTTGCCCACAATTTGTACAGGAGTTGATAGGAAAAGTAGCTTGCGAAATCGAACCAGCAAGAGGACCCTTTTCATACTCTGCTTTATCCCTCAAACGCTCAAGCTGCCTCGCGAGGCTATCGGCACGAGCTTTTGTAATGGCGTTCTCTTGGCTTAGATCAATTATCGTTTGATCTTTGTCTCTGATGTCGACTTCCAATGCTTTGACAACTTCCTTCTTCCTAGCGTACTTGGACGCCGATCTCCTCTTTACCCTTATTGTTTCTTTGGTAGCTCTAGCCGCCACATCTCTCAGATGTTCAACTTTAGCAGCCATGGCCTGCATCTCGCTTTCCTTTTGCTGCATGCCATCAGTGAGCTTCTCGATCTGCTCATCTTTCTCTTCAGCTTCCTCTTCTAGCTCTTCGATCCTTTCTAAAGCATCTGAAGCCTCGCGCTGTGCTAAGATACCTGCCTGTTGGTCGATTGATCTCTCTGTGATGCGCATAGCAACATCGCTGATCCGGCTACCATCCTTCAATGAGGCGATGATCTCGTCCTTGACACCGACGAGCTCCTCCTTGTCTTTGATTCTCTGTTTCAGATGTTCTATCTCGTGAATTGCGTTGAGAAAATCGGCATACAGAGGATTTGAGTAGTTGAGATCCTCAGGGGGATCGACTATGCGCATCAGGTTAGACTGGTTGCATGCCTTGGATAACGACGAAGGACTTACGCAGAGTAATCCACATTGAGAGATATATGGCGTACTGCTGAGCTTTCTGCGACGCCATGGGCATTGTCGAAGTTATGTTCTCTCTGGTTTGCTCATACATATCGTCGAATTGCGACTGGTCGTACCCGAGACGCGTGGCTTTGCGCCTGACCATGTCGGAGAGAGAGGTGTAAGACGGCAACTTTACTAACTTTCAAGGAGTGTGTTGAAGTACAGAGATATTGAGATTGTGGATAATGATCGTTGTTGCAAAGATGTTGTGAAGCGAAGACTTCATCAAGGTTCTGGGGGACGATGCAGATTTGTGGGTAAGCTGGAAATGGGGCACTTGATGAAGGTAATGGGTGAATGGGGTTGTACCCGGCAATATATAGCGCTAAATTAGTACATGTTCACTTTCAAAAATATACTTGAGTTACATTAACTGTGACGCTTCATTTCCTGAACTTGCTGCCCTGGCCAAGGCTGAGGATGTCTTCAAAACTCTTTAATTGTTGAAATTTCATTGTCTTGGTCTTTCGCCATCCTGCAAACTGACTTTATGAGATGAGGCCAGTCATTGAGACTCGCAAGGGAGGCATTGTTAAAACTTCATGTCCAAAGTGTTGACCCCTTTTCAAGGCTTAGCGCGCTCGCTTAATTCTGACGCCAATTATCGAGACTTTGCCGCCCAAGCAAAGACGCTGAGCTGCGGGGAGAATTCAAGCAAGTAGGCAGCATAAAGTCGTTTGGAGATGAAGTTTCAGATCGCTAATGACAAATGGAAGTAACGAAAATGGTTCGAAAGACTCCAGCTACCGGGGTCCGATGAGTCGGAATAGGAGAAGTCGAGGACCGTGATCAAATCTGGGTCGATGTATACGCCTCTCATTTCAAGACTTGTACTGGTCTTAATTGTCGGTCCATGGGTGACATGGGCAAGCTTTTGTTTACAGGTTGAGCTGTGTTTGTAGGCCTCGTGACATGACTAGCTGCAAGAATGAGCAGACTTCTTGCTGTGAAACCCAAATCAAAACTTCACTTGTGATTATCCCTCATGACTTAGATGTTCTTTCCTGATCTAGTGATGTTTTTATAGGCAGTTTTCTCTGCGGAAATACAAATACCGACGCACTTTACTCAATCTACCACCTTGTAATCCTTCAAACACCTTGAAGATGTTCCTTCTCATCCGAGACCTCTTCCTTGGCTTGGTCCTTTTCCCTCAATTCTGCTTTCAAACTCTCGATATCTTTGCCCTGGGCTCGAATCGTCTCATCCCTCTCGTCGATTTCCGCTTCAAGACGCTCGTTACGTACTTCACAGGCCTCGTGTATGTGATTCTCGTCGAGTTGGGCTTCGGTTCTTCGAAGGAGCTGCTAGGCTACGTTCAAAGCCGTAATGCTAGTTTGGACAGTGTTTCGAAGTATTTAAACAACCTCTTCCATACTGGACAATCGAGCCATTAACCGCTCCACTTCTCGAACGCTCCGGGCATATGCAGTATAAAGTGAGTTGGTGCTCTCAAACTCCTGGCGGAAGACGCTAGCCGACTGTCCTACTCAATTTCAATTTTGTAAATATAGTGAAACATGCTCTGATAACTCGACCTACGTTTAGATGTTGGTTCCGGAACCGAGACGTCTAAGCTCTATTGTGACTTGTTCGAATTGTTAGCGAGTTGGCATATGGGAGCAACAACATTGAAACCGATGCGGTGTGATGGGCGCAGACTTCGCTTCAGAAAGGGGGTGCTAGTCACGTGAGGGCTTTCCAACATCTAAGTAAATAGGTGTCTTCCAATACATTGGGCACATCTATACCCCAATCTCACAGTCTCAAAGCACCTTTGTATAGTTGGCCACTGGTGGTGCCAAGACCTTTATCGTGATTTAGAAGGGAAAGGAGACCCCAGCGATCAATTTCTACCGGCGAATCAGAATGTAAGTTTCGGCAAATGTTTCATGCAGATGAATACCTTGCAATAAGATCAGACTTTGGACGCATGCTTGTGCCGCATGTCTTCCAAGCCGGAGCCATGTATCCGAGCAGTGCTCACATAAGCAGGTACAAGAAAACCGAACGTTCAGATAAGTATAACTATCGTTCTAAAGCACAACCACTGCGAATGACTTCATTGTACAATTTGTCTTCGCTCGGATTGAATATTACTCGTCATAATGCCTGTGTCACGTTACAAATCAGAAGATGTTGGTAGAGAGCCCCTCCACCAACCACTAGCTTTCGCGTTCTCCAAAAGAATAGCGCAAAACAGATTGTTAAAAGCAGCAATGGAAGAACGACTCGCGATATGGGACGATGAGATCCTAGTAAACCGAGGCTTGCCCACAAAAGAACTCATTGAACTCTATCGTTGGTACGTACAACCGTATTAGCAGAGACAGCGGCTCGCTGATTAACACAGATGGGGCGAGCAGAAAAACGGATGGGGTATCATCGTCACTGGTAATATTATTACCGACTACTGCCATGTTGCTGGATCAGGAGATCAAATTATAACTCCTGAATCGCCTTGCTTCGGCGAGCGGTTTGAGAGCTTCAAAGCATTGGCTACTGCTGCAAAAGCGCAAGGCAGTTTGATCATTCATTGGGCAGGTCAACCATCCTGGTCGTCAAGTAAGAGAAAAATACTCCGAAGAATCAATTTCTGCTTCTGCAGTGCAACTACGTATGGAAATCTATGATGTAAATCTCGAAATTCCGTAACAGCTAATTGTTCTTAATGACAGCTCCTCAATTTGGGAACTGGACATTTGGTGCCCCTCGTGCCGCAACAGAGCAGGATATTTCACGGATCATCACAGGATTCGCACACGCAGCTCAGTACCTCGAGAAAGCAGGATTTGACGGGATAAACCTACACGCTGCACATGGTTATCTCGTGGCACAGTTTCTCTCACCTCGCACCAATAAACGAACAGACGCTTATGGTGGAACCTTGACGAACCGAATGCGTCTCATTGTAGAGGTTGTACAGGAGATTCGCTCTCGAGTTTCTCCTTCTTTCATTGTTTCAGTAAAACTGAATAGCACAGACTTTCAAGAAGATGGGTTCAAGCCTCACGAGGCACGTGAGCTTGTTGGAGTCTTGCAAGATGACGTTGGCCTTGATTTCGTGGAGCTAAGTGGTGGGACATACGAACATGTGGGCTTGGAATGGACCAAAGAGAGCACGAGGCAGCGAGAAGCTTTCTTTCTTGAGTTTGCAGAGATGATTGTCCCCGTGCTTGGAGCAGAAAGAAAGACAAAAGTTTTCATTACCGGTGGTTTGCGCTCTGTGGGAGCTATGGTCAAAGCACTAGATGTCGTGGATGGAGTTGGTTTGGCTAGACCCGCTGCACAAGAGCCACGACTGGCGGCGAATATTATAGAAGGAAAAGTAGATGGCGTAATTCGTCCTCTCGCGCCGTTTGATACTGCTGGGCTAGGAATGCTTGCAGCTGGCATGCAGATGCGGCAGACAGCTCATGGTGTTGAACCGTTTGATATGAGTGATAGTGAGGTGGTCAAAACACTCTTGGAGATGGTGAATGAAATGAGAAAGGCCGATGAAAATAAGGTTGAAGATGTAGAAGTTGTGGAGTTCCCAGACTGGATTAGAAATTCTAAGTCTTATGGAGTCGCCGAATAGAGACACCTCTGTGGGGCAGCTATCTTGCAAGAAGCAAGATGGGACTTCGTAGTTCAATGATATTTCCATGTAACCAAAAGTTATGTCCATTTATTGTGCAGCGCCCATGTTAAAAACTATATTTGTAACGTCGCACGTTTAGTTAAGTGTGAGAAGAATAGAGCCCGCTCCCCTCACTACAGTATGGACAGAGAAGAACACGTGGTATTGCATTACTTCAACTTTTGGCGAATGATGTTTTACAAGATATCTCAAGATCATAGCATCATTGTATATAACTTCCCACCGACTCCTTGAATCCTTTCAATGAGATCTGCTCCCATAAATGCAGGGGTGAGACATCCACCAACAGCACCACCTTCCAATTCCCGAGCGTAGAGCAACGAAGCAGCCCCTTGAGCAAGGAAAGCACCCGTGGCATGATATGGACCCCCTGGATAAGCAAATCGAGAATGCACCCTTGGAGCCGTCCTATCATCGTCTGTGTCTGCAACTGCAACTAACTCCATCTCAACCCGGTAATTCCTCTCTTTCTGTAAATCTGGACCCTGACCAGGAGCGGGCAGGATTATCTTTGCCATAGCTCTGAAAGGTGCTATTGCCAGTAACAACGCTATTGCTTTGCTATTCAGTATCTGCAATATCCCAGCCACTGTCGACTTCGCCTTCTTGTACTCATGATATTGAAAGTTTGGCCCGTAATCTTTGCCGCCATCTAGCAAACCCCACGTCCTGTGGATCACCGCTCTATTCTGGGCCGCACTCATGGAGCTCGCTGACAGCTCACCGAGGAATGGGTCGTGACGCATGCCGAAGAAGTTCGTCGACTTTGACAGTTCCAAGCCCTTGATTGGAGACAGGTACCATGGTTGCTCTGACTCTTGTAGAACTTTGGCTCCTAAAGATTCACGTGCCTCAATCGACTCAACAGTCCCACCGCTCGGATCCGAAGGCATGCTCAAGAGCGACAGAATCAGCTCCTTTGTCTTCAACGATGAGTTTTTGTCCAACTCTCGGACAGATGTCCAGGTGAGCAAGTCTTGCGGAGCGCTGAAAGTACCACATGAGTGGATGAGCTATTGCCGGGATGAGCAACAAAGTCTAAAGAAGAGATAGAAGGGAAAGACTTACCACCACACCTGCAGACTGGGCTGCATCGTGGTACTCATTGATCCACTTCCGTAGACAGGGAATACTTCCAGCACTATAGTGTATAGTTAATATGGGGTTGGAAAAGGCCTTCAGCATGTACGTCTTTCACTCACGTGTCAATATAATCGGTCCGGCTCTGAATGCATGCCTCTATAACTTCTGCACCTACGGAGTCGTACGAGACGACGCTGATGCACACCTTTGCCTTACGAACAAGCGTCTCAAGTTGGGACTTGTCTTCAATGTTTACGATCTCAATTGCTAAGTACGGGTGAGCTGCAATTCTGTTCTATGTTGGCTGTATCTTACTTGGTTGCAATCTATCAATCGCTAGTCCCCGCAGTCTCGTTGTAAGTACACCAAGTTTCTCCTGGGACCTCCCGGCAACTGCCCATTTCAAATTTGTCGGCAGGTGCTGGGCGATGTGCTCTGCAGTCAGTGAGCCGGTATAGCCTGTTGCGCCAACAAGCACAATGTCGTACTCGCGATCAGTCATATTTCCGGATATTTATCGCATCTCCTTCCACGTTGCAGCTGTTGATACTGTAATTGTGAAGACAGGTTGAAAAGTGAAGTAGATTCGTCCGGGATACGGTGTAATTGAAAGGCCCGATTCAGAGCAGCGGAATCAAAAGATCTGCCGAAATTCCGAAATTCCGAAATATGGATATTCAATTGAAAATGCACTCATAAGAATCCCGCATTCTAGTAGTCGTGTTTACAAGTACCTACGTATATGAACCATAAAATACAGGGTGGTCACGAGTCTACACAACATAGCGATGGTATTGTTACAGTATCAATCATCGTTTGCATGCCCTCAATACACACGTACATACACTTCCAGTCGTTGGCAATCCAATGCCGCAAAATACAAGATCTGGGTATCATAAACAACAATAAAAAGCGCGCCAAAAGTACGATGCATAAATGCCAAAGAGACAACCAAAATATCATCGAGGGTTTCCAAGGTGCCAAAAATTCAACACTCGACACAACGCCACCCGCCACCCTGCTAAAACGTCAAAAAAGTCCTGGCCTTTTACGAACGACGCTTTCTACGAGCAAGGTCGCTTCACCTGGTCTGAAGCATTAGGGTCGTGTTCATATTTTCGTTTTAAGAGTGCCTACGGAAGCATTGACAAAGCTGCGATTCGAAGACGCCAGTGGCGTGACTCTTGCGCTTGCTGGCCCTTGGCTGGTTGTTGAGTTCGTGATCTGTGGTGGAGCATTCTTGGTAACATCGATGGCCGGGGTTTCAGGGGGCGTTGGCTTGTGGTCGAAGTGCAGTGTTTGAAGAGACATAATGATGCCGAATGCGTCTCCCAAGACCACTTTAAGCGATCCTTGTTCGAAACTCAAAAGCACTTTCTTAGCCTGATTTTGACGTTGCTCCCAGACTCTTAACTCGTGGTTGAATTCGGTAGGGATTTTCTTCACAGTCATCACACCCCTGGCTTGCGTTGTCTCGTACAATTGTTCTCTCCAGGGGTAAGCAGTCTGCAATTGTGAGTCAAGATGGATTTGAATTTGGGCTTTACACCTGAGTTCGGTGAAGGATTGAGTGGAAGACGTAAGAAATTCATCCAGGGTCTTGCATTCCGAACATCTAGGCTTGCCGCAACCGCGCCTCGCCCGATGCCAATCTTGATTGAATACTGGCTTGGGTTGAACGCATCGGGAAATGTAATAATTCAGTACATTCCGATACATGGCTTGGACAGGTCCAAGGTTCAAGATGTTCGAGGCATCTTTTGAAGAAAGAATCAATCGGAAGACTGGGAGGCAGACAGAATCAAGATGTTCATCTCTAATCTCGAGTGCCTTTCTGGTCATTTTGGCAGTCATTCTCTGTAGTTCGGAGGAGAGGCCCAATGTTTGGCAGTGAGAGAGAACTTCAATTATGTTCTGATGAGAAGCTGAATCTGAGATACCGAGAGACTCGATAGCGCTTGGCAATAGAATTTCGAACAGGTAGCTCGGGATCTTCTTGTCCTTGGACATTCTGCTAAGGAAGAACAGAATAAAGCCGGAATCATGCGAACATGATCCGAGAGCTGGTAGCAACCTGTGTCATACTATCAGTCTCTGTTGTGGCATGAGGCAGGGGCATCAAACGTTGTTCTAAGTTCTGGCTCATTTCTCTGCCAGTATATGGCCAGGTCGACAAGAGTTTGGCGATCTTTGGACGGGTCTAACTCTAAGGAAGCAAGAGCCACTTTGAGTTGTTGAGTGGCCCATACTTTGCCCATATCCGGCATAAGTGATAACACTCGCATGATCCAACAAAGCGGCACGATAGGGGTTTCACTCCAGCTAATAAGGCATTAAACCTAGACGGACCTGATCAGCATTGGTTAACGGTGGGAAAAGATCTCACGCACGACCATCGCAACCACCCAGTGCTTTGATTATCAATCATGTTGGACACAATTGAAAAGGCCTGTTTCGTTGAAAAAGCCAGAGGAAGAGCCCGTCGTAGCATGGTTCGGTTATCAAATTGTACAATGGCAAAAAGTACGTCTTTATGAAAGGTCGACATCTCGTACTTCTCGGGGCGCAGATGCATGTTGCCTAAGGCTTTACTACAAACTTTTCGTGCGTCTTCCGTCAACTCTTCTCCAACATCGGGGTGGTGGCAGAGAAATCGCTTGAGTATGCTCTCGCCTGCACCATGTTTCAAGAAGAATTGTAATCAGAATACTTGCGGGAGAACAACCACGACCTAGAGTGTGACAATTAGATTGGCATACAATAAAGAGGTGTTGAGACACTCATGGAGTTGGTGGCTCTTACGGTCCTGTCCCATAGCTTCAGACCATCCTCATTACTATCAGGACTCTCCTCATCGATACATTCGGGATTTGTGAATAAGAGATCAGTCTCATCAAGAGACATGCTAACTGGGTAAAAGTGGTCTTCGCCCTCTATATTCACGAAGTCGACGAGCTTTATTTCTACCTCGTCTTCCTCCTCTTCTTCCTCATCATCCATTTTGTCTTCATCTTCCTCGTCGGAATCGAAATCGGGCTCGTCCTCATCTCCCTCGTTGGAATCGAAATAGAGCTCGGGCTGGAAGCGGCCACCGGGTATTGTGTAACTCGGTCTCTCGAATCTCTCAGAAGTCTTCACCAAGTGCGCCAAGTACATACACCAACCGTTCTGTTTGCAAGCTTCTCGAAGCTGGTTCACAATGGGACGATCGCTCTCAAAGAATTCTGACGGGTCAGGTGGAGATGTGTTGTCAACGAAGTGTTTGCTCTCATATAAGTCGTCCAGAGCAAGGAATATCGCTTCCGCCTTGATTGAATATTTATGTCGATCCCAACTTCTTAACATGTCGCTCAACTCCTCGAGGGCTTGGTCCTTGGTTGGCAGTGTGTATATTGGTCCCGGTTTGTCGCGCTCGAGGTCATATTGCAAGACAACACGGCAACCCGAGGTTGGCGAAGACATCGACATGTCTACAGTAGATAACTATAAAGGTTTGTTAGTCCTGCCTGTTAGTATTGTGGATTGACTTACCCAAGCAAAAGCACAGCAATCATATTCTGATGTGTCTGCGGTAGAAAATTGCGAAACATTGCCATCGTGAACAAATTGCGCTTCAAATCTGGAATCCTGAGTCGGAAGCATAGTATTTAAAGTGCCAAACGTGAAGGCCGAGGGCGGAAATCTTCAGGTCACGTCAGCATTGAATTAGCAGGCATGCACTGGATTCTACATACCTTGCCTTAGTTGAAGCAATTTTGCTTCCCCGTTCATACAAGAACAAATACGATTTTGTGAATGCCATGCCTTTTCTGGTAGCCTGGTCACCCAGCTTTTTCTTCAGATTCGAGCAGATAGTGTCGAGTAGCTTTTCCCACGATGGATTCTTCGCTTCCCACATGTCTGAAGTAATCTCCCAGACGCCATTTGATGAAGCAGATCTTGCATCTTGTTTTCGAGAGATAGCATCTGTAGTTGTACCATCTCTATCTAAATGACCACTGATAAGTTTGATTGTCGTAATATCTCCTGCAGAAAGTGGAAAGCCAATTGTTCCAAGAAAAGTGCCAGCTTTAGACGTGATATGCAGGCCAGGGTTTGTAGCATCCTTGAGGATTTTGTGGCTGGCGAACGGGATGTCTTTTGACGCATTGATGAAATGCTTGCGCAATCGCTCCCAGATTTTGTCTGATGGAATAAAAACTTCTGGAGGTTCTTTTACCTCTTCCGAGCGGACTGAAATCATTAAACTTCCAAGCTCTTTTGACTTGGCCTTGCTGGATTCCGTCTTCTTAAACGCCATAGTACTAGTCCTGGGTACAACTAAGCCATATTCGTCACCCAGGCCCCCGTTCGTATGCATGTCTCGATGATAGCTACCATGTATGATGTTCAAGTCTGCTTGAACATCTGGAATACGGTGATGGCCATCCCCCAGCGTATTAGAAACTGGACCTGTTAAGTTTCGGGCAGAATCCTTTCCATTATGATGTTCCGAAAGGACTTTTTGGTGTACTACATCGTCTTGTGGCAGTGAGAATGTATGGATGACTTGGCTCTCTCCTCGTGCTGGCTGGGTTTGGGCGGATTGCGCTCCCCGGATCGTAACCCTTGGGCTAGCCAAGATTTCTTCGTGCTGAGAACATAAGACCACAAGTTCTGCCTCTTCGTCTGGTGTTAAGCCCTCAAAGCTGCTGGATGATCGTCGATGTATGGGCTCTTCTAGCTTGGATAAGGCAAGGGAAGTGGCTTGGTCACCCAAACTGATGTTTGGTTCGAGTTTCACGTCCCTGTGCCGATCTTCCTCTGTCTCGGCTTCAGACGAGTCCTCGACGACCCAGACGTCAGTGCCAGACATCTTTGTAAGACTTGCAGTGCACGAATCGGTATTGGCAACTACCCATGCACTACATAGCCGGATTGCTGACAAAGGTGAGACAACTGTACTATACATGCAAAATGCTGGCTTGAGGTCGCCGATATTGAGGCACGAAACGATCTAGACACAGAAAGAGACTTACTATTGGTGATCTAGAGGTTGATACAATGCGACTCTCTGTAACTCATTTCCGATAGACTTCAGAAAGAAAACAACATTTCTCGACGCGTTCAGTAGACGCGATTCTGCCTTTGATATCGCTCGATCGATCTCACCGCCCGATTATGACCACGCTAGTCTATTTGCAGCTGAGGGGTATTCGAGCTATTCAAACTTTATTTTCTTCACTCAAAAGACATCTTACTGAGTCCATTGTTGCCTAGATATCTCCTGGTAACAGATACTGTGAACCCAGGTCATGAAAATCACCGTTTGACTTCCAATGTGTCGTTCACGCACCAAGATCTGCAGCGGCTGAACGTTGGCGCAGCCGCGCGTTGGTCTGCGGCGTAGCGGCGTGCCTGAAGTTCCCAACCTGCCTTGAAAGATCCTCCTGCATTGGTCATCGACACGAACATATAACATCAATGGCTTCCGGGCCCTCTCAAATCGATGAAGTTGGCGATCAACTGCCTGCGGAAGCTGCACCAGCTTACAACGAAGTGACAGGAACTCTTGACGTCAATCAAGCTGGGCTGAGTGTCCAGACTCAAGTAGGAAGTCAGTTGCATCTTTCACTTCTCGTTCGCACAAACTAACAAGCATCTAGATGATGGGCGGGTGGAAATACACATCGACGAAACTGATAAACCCCTCGTCGAACAACTCGAACAAATACAATTAGCCTCCCAACCTGAGCCTGGCACCCCACCAAACCCCTCAAACCCTCCTTCATACTTGCCTAGCAGATCAAGCAAAGCCCCTCCTCCTCTCAATATCGTCATTCATGTGGTTGGCTCAAGAGGAGATGTCCAGCCATTCGTTGCGCTCGGTCGAGTGCTCAAGAATGACTATGGCCATCGAGTCCGCTTAGCTACTCATGGGACATTCAAGAAGTTCGTCGAGGAAAATGGCTTGGAATTCTTTGATATTGGTGGTGACCCGGCAGAATTGATGGCCTTCATGGTCAAGAATCCAGGCCTAATTCCAGGAATGAAGTCATTAAAAGAAGGAGATGTTGGCAAGAGACGCAAGGCCATGATTGAAATTATTCAAGGCTGCTGGAGATCTTGTGCAGATGCTGATGAGGTCAAAGAAGAAGAGGTTACTCACTCGGCAGTGAAACCAAACCCATTCATTGCGAATGCCATCATCGCGAACCCACCAAGCTTTGCGCATATTCATTGTGCTGAGAAACTGGGGATACCATTGCATCTGATGTTCACGTAAGTGTGACACTTCGCTCGAAACAATGGCAGAGCTAATTCCTCACATAGTATGCCCTGGTCGCCAACACGAGAATTCCCACATCCTATAGCAAACATCAAGTCATCGAATGCCAGCAGAAGCATGTCAAACGAAATGAGCTATACGCTGGTAGACATGATGACTTGGCAAGGATTAGGGGACATTATCAACAAGTTCAGGACAGACACTCTTGAATTGAGACCAATTACACAAGCAGCAGGCATCAGCATGCTTCATCGATTGCAAATACCATATACATATTGCTGGTAAGATATCTTCTCACACTTGGCATTTCAAATGAGTTAGACAATACTCTCATCCTGACCCATTCTACAGGTCTCCAGCACTCATTCCAAAGCCAAAGGACTGGGGCCCATATATCGATATCTCGGGCTTCTACTTTCTCTCCCTTGCAACAAACTATCAACCCGATCCCGAGCTTGCGGAGTTCCTGGCCTCAGGTCCCCCACCTGTCTATATCGGCTTTGGCTCGATTGTCGTCGCTGACCCTGAAGCTATGACCAATTTGATCTTCGAAGCTGTCAAGAAAACAGGACAGAGAGCGTTAGTGTCGAAAGGTTGGGGTGGCCTCGGCGGCGATCAACTCGAGAAGCCAGAAGGAGTTTTCATGTTGGGCAACTGCCCACATGACTGGCTTTTCCAACACGTTTCCTGCGTTGTCCATCACGGCGGAGCAGGTACAACAGCAGCTGGCATTGCACTCGGAAGACCTACTGTCATCGTTCCTTTCTTTGGTGACCAGCCATTCTGGGGAGCAATGGTAGCACGTGCAGGCGCTGGACCATCACCAATTCCATTCAAGGAACTCACAGCACAAGGGCTTGCGGATGCGATACTCCATGCTCTGAAGCCCGAGACTCTTGACCGAGCCAAGGAGCTTGGAGACCGCATTCGCGAAGAAAAGGGTTGTGAAGCGGGGGCGGCAAGTTTCCACGCCCAGATGGACGTAGACAGAATGCGGTGTATGATGGCACCTAATAGACCCGCGGTTTGGTTCTTGCAGACAATGACCGGAGGTGTATGTCTCAGTGCATTTGCTGCAACGGTTCTAGGCAACGAAGGAATATTGGATCTGAATACGCTCGTGCTTTATCGGCCATATGAGTACGCTGTGGAAGAGTCAGTCGCGGTCTCCAATCTCAACAGCGCGAATCCTGTGCTCAGCACTTTGGGATCTTTTGCCTCTGGTATTGTTCATATACCAATCAACATTGGAAAAGCCTGGGGAGGTGTCGTATACCAACCATACAAGGGTGCTAGGAAAGACGGCTGGAAAGGCCTTGGCAAAGGTTTGGGTAAAGGCGTTGCAGGAGTTTTTCTCCACAAGAGGGGCCTCTTTCAGTACGGCGGCAAGACATACGGTCTACGTTCTCTATACGAATCCATCAAGAAGCGGATGGGTGGAGGTACGCTTACCTTTATTCTTGCGGCACATTTTGCGCAGGGCTTCGAGGAAGCAAGTAAGGCAAGTGAGGATGAACAGTCAGATGTACTGGCAAGGTGGCAGGAATTGGCGCCAGAGTTGAAGAAGAACAAAACTGGATCGAGCACAGCGAGTTCGGGGATGAGCCCGACAAGTACACGAACGTCAGCGAGCACTTCGACGACGACTAGTGAGCCTCCTGGACCGAGTATATTAAGACGGTGAGAATTTCGGATGCCATATATCGACGGTTCTTAGTGCTTCTTTCTTCGTTTCCTTTCCTGCTCTTTCTTTGGCATAGTATATACCCGGTAGATCTACAAATTAATCTTAACGTCTAATTCTCTCACCGTGACAGTTGCAATGTCTGTCTCTGCCGCAATCTTGCCCTGAAAGGTTGTTCGTGCAGAAGACCCTACTTGAGAGAACCTCGTTTTGTGCGGATCTTTCCAAGCACCAAGCACGGGTGCGAATATGAGTATAGTCAATTGCCAACAACTCAAGAAATTGAACTCCACTGCTCAATTCCTCAGCCATCCCAGTCTGTGTTCGCTGTAACTCACCTTGTGGCATTCTCATCCTAGCATGAATCCGCTAGCCATCATTTTCTTGGATGGTACGTACCTTCTGCGCCCCACCTGCGTCGTTCGCTTCCAGTGCGTCCGAGGTGGGGGTTTTACATACCATATGCTACTCGCAAGTTCGCACACAGTTTTATGTGATTCAAACCCCGTCTACGTAGGTCCCAACAGTGATAATTGGTACGCTGACTTGACTTTGATGATTTCGTTATCAGACAATGAAATCCAATTTGCTCAAAGTTCGTTAGTGTAAGATGTGGATTTGGAGCCTCAAGTTCGCTGTCGTGGTATACGAAGGGGCTCTCTTTCGAGACATTTTGAAGGTCATTGTGGAATTGGTGTTTGAAAACGTAATGATTGTCTAAGCGTGTGGTGTGTGGTATTGCATCATTCTCATGCGACTTCGCTGCACCCATTGATAAATTTTGTGGACCCAGTGTCAATGCGTGTCACCGGCTGTTTCTTGGCCTGTTCGGTCTTCTACGCTTTGTTGCTGGGGCTCGGCATGAGCTAATGCTGAAAAAGACACCGCCTTGAATATATGCTGTAGAAATCCATCCTAAAGTTGCCTCGACATCATGTCTTTCCTAGATGCGTCTTCTCCATCTAGCCTGTTTGCCAACGACATGTCTCCCTCGTCTTCTTTCCTGCGCTCCCCATTAGCTGCAGATACATCTTGCCCTATTGGGACCAGTTGGAGGGTGCACATTCTATTATCATTGTCCTCCGGCTTGGTTCGGGGCAAGTCTTCGCAGATATCTGAGGAAACGACTGAAGGAGGAGAATGGCGGTCAATAGCGTTCAATTTTAAGGATACTCGCGTATTATTGTAACGCACTCACAATCGTAGCTCTCTCTTGATTATCCCGAGGAGAAGTTGCGACTCGTCGAGGGACGCGATCTTTCTGCAAAGTCTTTCTGGGCACTAGCCCGGCCACACGTGATTCTCGCTTACCCCCTTTTCATGCCCATCATCTCTCGCCTATGGTCCAGACGTACACATTTATTTACTCATTGGTCACTGCTGAACTATGGAATAAAGTCAATTATTGTCAAGTCAGATTGTTCCCTTGGAACTTTTGACATTTTGGTTGGCGTCACGGATTTCAGATACTGTGTTCTCATTGTGTTGAGTCTGGATTCTGATTGTAATAGTTGTAGTCTTGGTCTCACCGGGCGCATCACTGGATCTTTTCAGAAATATTTCAGGATGTACATCACGAACTTGGCATTCTGTTCCGAAGGATTAGAGGAAAGTCAAACAATGCTTTTTATCTAAAACTAAACCTCAATTTGAAAAAAACGAATAGTGGCCTTTTAACTTCAACATATATTTTCTTGTAGGAACAAACTGAAATCAAGGTTCAGAGAAATAACTGGTGTCCTATCTAACCTGTGCAACTTTGGAAAGGGTTGTTGGTGATGGGACTAGCTGGTGCACCCTACAACACGGATCAGCTCTACTCGCCACCTATTCACGAACACATACCGTATGAGTGATGAGCCCACAATAAATCCCTTTCTTGCTAGTTCGCTTGATGATGATTCTATCTGGGATATCTGTCGTATCTCCAGGAACGCCATTCCAAGTTCCTCTGGTAATGGGAAATTCATACAAAGTGTCTGTTGCCGAGCATTGACTAGACAAGGTGACAGCGGGATCTCTGTATCCGTATCTCTTGGGGTAGTTCTGATCTCCTGTATAGGTCGATGATGATTAGCTTTCTAACTCTTACAGACACGAGATATTTCGTACCGACTACAGTGTTAGCATCGAGATGGTTGAGAGTATTGGTAGCTGCCTTCTTGATATCGGCTGTGGTATGTATTTCGGCTCTGGCCAGACTTCCTTTGAATTGGTTAGAGCGAGTATGAAAGGGGGGAAATGCCGTTACATACCACCGCAGCGGACCGATTTTGTGGGAAGGTTGATTATGTCGTCAAGTTCGTCTCTCATAGAAAGACCAACAGTATTATCGATAGCTGCCGAGCTAACGCACGAAGACGTCGCCGCAAGTATAGCGAGAAAGGAGAGGAACTGCATGGTGGAAAAGCGTAGACAATGTTAATTCTTTGTCCTCTTTCAAAGAATATGCTTTGAGAGTGAGAAGGATCAAGAAACCAGTGCCAGTGAAAGATGGGTACTTATAGTTTATGTTCTCTTCATTCATTGTCTTCACGTTCCATCAAGAGGGTGAGATGATTCCATAGCTAGCTGAGCATAGAAATTGTAACCAGGCTATAGTCGAACCCGAATATAGAAACATGACAATGTTGTCTGATTATTCCCTCACCGCAACACAAATTATTTTAAATTTCAATCCAATATTTTCATTTACAATTCTATATAAACAGTAGCGGCTAAATCCTCCAACGTTGTGCAACCTCATCATTGTCGGCCGCCAGCGTTTTCCCTCAACAATAGATACATGCAATGCGGGTCAGCCTCAGTTTTGATGAAAGTACTATATAGCTCGTACAATGTGCCGAAGAAGGAAAGAAGTTTCTCTACCTAAGCCACCTCCCTAACAAATGCCGTCCGAGGACCTGTCTACCCCACTCCGCTCCAATTCATATACATGCAAGTAAGAACACCACGACTGGAGGATCATCCCGCTAGACCCTGTCAGATTGAAAGTGTTGGGGGCGCTTCTCCAATACCCGGGAAGTGAGGCTGAGTTACGCTCGAATCATTCCCACATTCGAGGCTAAATTCGAAGGCGGTGCAACACGCCATTTTTCTAAGCGAAGCTCCCTTTTTTCAATTCAAACACCGGTCTTCTCGTAAGAGGAAACACCTCATTGATTCCATCTCTAACGAACAAGAAAACTCTTTCTGAACTCACAAGCAATGGATGACACCTCAGACTACACGGAGTGGTTTAATGCTGTCAGAGGCGAAGGATACTATATTGATGGTGGCGGCCCAGCATTCGAGGCTTACTTGTCAGGCAGGGTTCCTCCGCCGGAAGCAGCAGCTCGTGTTACCGAGAGAGACCCCAAAAGTAAATTACGGGCCGATGCTAAGGTCGGGCGAGTGTGGACACTTCTCTTGTTCTGCGCAGAGGATTGTCTTGAAGCCCACCCCGCCATCATCGAGTTGCTCAGGCGTATCGGCACACTTCCGAAGTCGACCGAAGAAGGAGGAGTGGACTGGGCTGGCAATGATGCAAGAACTTCATGGGGAAGGCTTTGGAGAGATGCCAATGACTGTCAGTGCTTTTGCTTTCTAACTCTATCTGATACTGATCGGTCATCACAGCACTCTGGTCGGACACCATTTCAAAATCAAGAGGAGCTCGTGCTCTAGCCACGAATCCACTCTCTGAGAAATGGAAGAATTTCCAAGCCTTCTCAGCTGCTTGTGTACCAGCCAAGATCATGGGAATGGACAATGAAGTGTTCTTCGCGCTCATTCTCATCATCTCCGTTTTAGAGAAGAAGCGGACAATCCCAGAATTGGAGATGAATGTTCCTGCTGCAGCACAATGGTTTTTGATTGCTGGAAGAACTATTTTCAATCAAAAAATCGAGGAGAATGAAAGCGTCAATTGTGCGTGGGATACGGAAAGTGAATTGTGGAAGGGTAAAAGAGGGTTCAGCAAGGAGAGATGGGCCATTTGGAAAGAGAGGTGGGGAGCCATTGGGTCTACGAGCGATCTGAGCGAGGAAACTCGAGAGATCTGCAGGAGGGTCGCGGTGACGATGAATAAGGTGGAAAGGATGAAGAAGTAAATGCCTTTGACTGAGGTACGAAGTTAAAGGTTCCTCCGAGGGTGTCAATTTTCTCTACCTTACAGGGGTCTGATTATGACTCAATCGCAAGTCACGTTTTTCAAAAAAGTCACGTTTTAGGAAAAGTGACGTTTTTGAGTACCCCTGCAATAATAATTATAAGAGTCAATTCTTTTGAAGTCTTAAAGCAATTGCGGCGGGGTGTGGGAAGGGGGGTGGGGGAGGGGGGATGGGGAGGATAAAAGATAAATAAGAAGTCGAGAAGTTTTACTATAGCTTTGAAGTCTTTGAAGTCGAAGGCGTGAATTGGGCGGAGCCCGATCACCTTATAAAGGATTAAACCACCTGCACCCAATACAGTTCTTCAGCACGTGATCTATTCTGAAGCTAAGCTCACTTTGGAAAAGACAAGCTCGCTTCCAGTGCTTACATATCATGTATCAACGACCATTTCTCAGCTCTGCAAGCTTCATTTTATCCATCCTTACACAATTCACATATATCCTCGAGTAAGGAGAACAGCTGGATCCCATCATGAAATATGGACTTATCCCACGGTTCACGACACAACGGCACTGCACGGAGCTTCAATGGCTGTTGGACCTGCCGACTCCGACGCAAGAAATGTGATGAAAGACACCCTGTGTGCGAGACGTGTGCTGGTCTACATATCGACTGCTACTATGCACAGGAAAAACCGGAGTGGATGGATGGTGGAGCGAGGCAAGAAGAGATGGCCGAGCGTTTCAAACGCAAGATTAAAGAACATCGCCATCGTGGGGAAATCGTGGAGAGTCTCTCTGTCGAGCATATGCCAAGTATTGATCCTACAAATGCTGCCTGGACTGTACTTCCCCATCTGGACGCTCCGACAGATGATGTTCTCAGGATAACCACAGACATCAGAAGAGATGAGCCGTGTCCCGAGGTACCGGCTGTGCAGCGCCATAATGGGACTACTTGCAGTATCACTAGCAAAGACCCTCTCGTCCTTGGCCGGTCTGAAATCATTCTGCTCATGTTTTGTCTCGAACATGTACTACCGTTCTTGTTCCCGTTCTACAACCCTTCTCCCCTTCACGGTGGCAGAGCATGGATCCTGGAAATGATGATTGGGAGCCCTGTATTTCGACAAGCCACCCTGTGCCAAAGCACTTATTTTTTCTCCCTCGCGCAGGAGACATCCAATCCCGATGATGTTTTCGAGTCGGTGCTCAAACAGACAGGAGATGCCTTCGAAGTACTGGGACAGTCTCTGCAGGTGATTCAAGGTTCAAGCATCACTGAACATATTCACGGCGCTGTACGGATTATGACAAGCATCATGCAGGTACAGCGATTCGAGGTTTCCATCTCAAGCTTCAAAAACTGCCAGTCACACCTCAACGCCGCTCTGACTCTTTTTGAACAACTTCTCAACAGTGCTGGCGAGGCCGAGAACGCCTGTCCCAGCTCAAAGTTCCACGCTGTTATGAGTCTTCTGGGGCCCTCGTCATGGCGCCTGCCTAACCAATGTATCCAGGGGCCAAGATCTGAGCAAGCTGCCTTTCGTTTCTCAGTCACCCTCTTGATGTTGGATGATATCATCGCCAGCACAGTGCTCCAGGAGCAACCTAGACTGTATGAGTATCACAGCAGTCTCCTTGATGGGATTGAATGCCTCATCAATTTTGAGGCTGTTGTAGGCTGTCAGAATTGGGTGTTGTTAAACATCAGCGAAGTTTCTGTGCTTGATGCGCGGAAACATCAGTGTAGTCGTAGTGGAACTCTCGACGTCATGGAACTCGTCCACCGCGCCACATATATCAAGGCCTCGTTGGAAGCACACCTTACAAAGATCGAAATGGAGCCAGCCTTTCTTCCCAAGCGCACAAACAGCATACTAGATGTACTCGGAGCAGATTCACAGCAGTCAACAGTGCCTGCAGACCAAACTTCCTTGGTAACTCGTGTCTGGGCTCATGCAGCTCTCCTTTATCTCTCTGTGGTTGTGTCTGGGTGGCAGCCAGCTAATAACGATGTGCGATATCATGTGGCTCGAATTTTGAAGCTGCTGAGTCAAATATCCCCTCCGGCGTTATTGAGGACTATGGCCTGGCCATTCTCCATTGCTGGCTGTCTTGCGGAGTCAGCTCAAGAAACTCATTTCCGTGAACTGGTGGGAGTCTTGGAACCATCAGTTGTGTTTGGGACTTTGCGCAAAGCACTCGAGATCATGGAAAGAGTGTGGCAAAACAGGAATGCACCTGCTGCTGGCCGCGATCTCGCTGCATGTTTCAAAGGCGAAGGTGACCTTGTCTTACTTGTCTAGGAAGGAGGTCGATCATGTAGTTGAATGATAGGAAACTGAAATGCTTGTGGTACGAGTCTTTCACAGTATGGTATTTGATTCAGTTCTTTCCAATTAAAATGATCAATAACATTGGCTCAGACAACATCTATCCTTGAATGGGCGTCTCATTTGAACTGGACATATCCCTTGCCGTTGACGAAGGTGGCGTGCCATGGAACATTCTCCCCTTGGCTCGCCAGCTGAGCATAGAACTCGCCATGCGCATCTCCATTTAATTCCATACCTATGGGTCTGCCATCTGCTTGGCGCTCATCGGCATAGAAAAATCTATCAAATCAAAGCTGTCAGCACGGAATCGCTGCAAACATTTCTTTTTCACGGGGGACAATGTACTCACCGGGATCCATTCTCCGAGTACGTTGCATCAGCAAGGCCAATCCAAAATGCCGAGGCAGACTTTCCCATGCCTAAATCCAGCATCATCGGCATGGGCACGATAAGGACGTTTGCGATGTTGCCGGTGTATATGAAAGTCTTCTTGGTTTCTTTCGGCAACGTCTTCCATCCCTCGACAGCTTGCTGTGCTGCCACGTAGGCGCTTACCGTGTTGACGTTCAGATCCGCAGTGACGCTCTCCGTGGAAACTGAGAGCACGGAGTCTCTGGCCGGAGGCATGGTGAGCGCCGCTGCATTGTAGACGACGACGCTGGGAGCGATTTTGAACTCGCTCTTCACTTCTTCGAATAGTGCTGGGATGGAGTTCGGCTCGGTGAAGTCTGCCTTGAGGGAGAGGAAACCTTTGTCGTTCTTTGTCCCAGTTCCTTTTCTAGACACAACAGCGACGCTGTATCCAAGACTGGCAAATTTCTCGGCTATAGCAACACCAACTCTGGGCCCGGCCCCGAGAATGAGTACGACAGGATTGGATGCCATTGTGATTCTGGAATCGGTGATAAAGATCGTTCTGGGTGTATTTATCTGGTTCTAAAGAGGTTTAGATTTGGAATGTAAGAATGGAGTTTTCTTGAAGTCAAGATGCCTCCTCTTTATAGGAAACAGGATTTGCATCATACTCCGAATATTCTGGGCAGACCCCGCGGTTCTGACTTTCGGAAAGGAGTTCTTTGCGAAGATTTGAAATCAAGTCAGGAGTTATACGCCTTCGGCTCCGGGTCGATACTCGGACATAATTGTTCTGCATCTCATCAACCAAAATCACTTGCAAAAATACACCTCTTCAGCGGTTTGAGTCTTGCCAGCGGTCTCTTTGGGCTTCTTAGGACCCACAAGCCGCGCGGGTGGGTCCGCTAAGCCAGCCATGCATGAGCCGCGCGGGATGAGCTAGTCCTGCACCTCCATGTCAGCCTTGCATCTGCACTATGAGCCTCTCATGAACTTGAATTATTCGTCATGTCTCAAACTCGAACACATTTCAGATGATAAAACCCGAGTCGTTAGCGACTCTAGAATCGAAGACCGAAGCCCGAAGTTGGACTTACGAGCACGTCAACCCTGCAAGATATTCCATATTAGACTGTTATCTCCGTCCTTCTTCAAGTTCTCGTCCGTCTTCTTTTCTACGTTAGACAAACAAATTGTGGGAAGGTTACGTGTCTGAATCATAAGGCGCTGATCGATTCTTATTCTGCTTGCAACATACACTAGTCATGCGCTTGGTCAATCGACCCGCTCTCCACTCGAAACATATATCTTTCATATTTGTTCTTCTGGCCTTCTCCACCCAATTCATCTCTCCGTGCCCCAAATTTCTTGCCAAGCCCTCACAAGATATTTCCTCTCTCGAGCTGCAACTATCATGTCTACTTATCCCTCAAACACTCCTCCCGCAAGGACGCCCGTCTACTTTCTCGGCATTGGCGGGCCCAATTCAATGGTCAACACAGAGCATCCATCCTACTCCCAAATCATCTCAATTGGCCACGAAATTGCTACACAAGTCAAACCGAGAGCAGTAGTCGTCTTCTCAGCTCATTGGCAAGACGGCCCAAGCAAAGTTTCAATCAATGTTGCCGAACAAGCTGACATCATTTACGATTTCTACGGCTTCCCGAAGCACTACTACGAGTATAAGTTTCCCAATAAAGGAAGTCCTGAGATTGCTGAGAAGGTCATTGAGAAGCTGACGGGTGCTGGAATCGAAGTTGAGAGGGTCGAGCGAGGGCTGGACCATGGTGTTTGGGCTGGTTTTATCGTTGGTGAGATGAATCTCCTGAGTCATTGGTATATATTCCACGGCTGACGCTATGTTACATATAGCTTTCGACCCCAAGAAGAACCCGTTGAATGTGCCAATTGTGCAAGTCTCTTTGTTCGCCAGTGAAGACACAGACCAACATTATCGCATGGGACAAGCACTTGAAAGCCTCCGAGATGAAGGCATCCTGATCATTGGTGCAGGAATGGCTGTCCACAATCTTCATGATTTCCGAGCTTCAAGAGGAACTGGGCAAACTATGCCGTAAGCTGATCTCATTGATTCGGCAGCCTGTCTTCAAGCTAATGTTGTGCAGGTACACCTTCAGCTTTGACGAAGCATTGAAAGAAGCTGCCGAATCAAAGCCTGAAGAACGGCGGGCAAACATGCTGGAATCGATGAAGGCCAGTGATGCTCGGAAGGCGCATCCTACCTTGGAACACATCCTTCCCATGCATGTTGCTGCGGGAGCTGCGGGCTTGGATGTTGGTGAGAGATTGTGGACTTTGCCTGAAGGGAGTTTGAGTTGGGCGCAGTATCGATTTGGGAAACTGTAGAGACATGAGGTAGCTTGAGCCTAAGCAGTTTCTGTTCAAATGCCGTCATTCGCTGATAGGATTGGTCTCTTGCAGTTATTTATTTATGGGGAGACGATGGCAGTGCAGATAATCCAGATGCCTGTTTGAACTGTTCAGCGCTGTTGGGTCAATTTATCTGATTCGTTGAATGCTTTGCAAGAATTCCGAGCACTACATCTTTCAACTCCACCAAAGAGTGTCTTGCATTAGAGTAGTAATTACTACCATCATTACTCCTCATCCCTTATAGTTTCCTTCGGTCTGGTAACTCGAGACACAGTCCATTGAGAGGTAAGCCCGGAATTACAAGTGACATTAGAATCTTTCAGCACTATACGGAACGTTACTTAACCAATCCACATGCTCACGTCGCTCAAAGCAGCCCAAATACGTAATTTTAGGGTGCAATCAATCATGAAGCCTAGCCAAGCTGTAGCTTTTGTGCTTTTGTCGTTGTTCAACTCATCAAATGAATACACAACTAAATTTAGCATCCACAGGTTCACTAGCACATGGAATTTGAGCGCGCTAACAGCCTATTGCGATTCCGTCAAAACCCAAGATTTCAACAGACAAGTATCCACAAAAATCATCCACCAAAAAACCATCCACCAAAATCATCTCGCAAAGTCTAGAATAACTTCAGTTACCTGGTCTCTTGTCGTGATCAGATCGCAATGTCAGACTCTTCTACTCCCCCAGGCTTGACGCCTGCGTCGGCCAGCCAAAGACGAGCCAAACCTGAGCGCAAACCTCCTACATTACGGTAAGTATCTTCATTCAACCGACTGCAGTATGAGTAGTTTAGCTGATCATAGGCAGGGATTCACATCTGGTCAAACTCTTTGCAGGAAAATCGGAGAAGGCGAAGTCATTCACCGTTCACAGGCACTTCGTCACATACTACACCCCTGTCTTGAAAGCCGCTTTTGAAAGCAACTTCATCGAGGGCCAAACCCAGGAGTACCGATTTGACGACTTCTTCAACCATAATACTATCATGCTACTAGGAGAGTGGTTTTATACACAAAACTTGAACCTCGACAATATTCAGGAGGATGGGAATTCAGTTGAAGAGGACTTGATCCAGCACCAAACTCCAAAGGAAGAGAAGCTAGTTGAAGAGAACCCGGCCCAAGGCCAGGTTCCGAAGGAAGAGAATTCAGCTGAAGAGAACGTGGTCCAGCACCAAGCTCCAAAGGAACAGAAGTTAGTTGAAGAGGGATTGGTCCAGGACAAAGTTCCAAAGGATGAACCTTCGGCTGCAGATAAAGTGATCATGCACCAAATTCAAATCCTTGTTGAGCTATGGGTTCTTGCTGAGCATTTGTTGATTCCAAAGTTGCAAAATCAGGTTATGAACCAGTTGCAAAAGGTCTGCTCAGAAACCCGCATGATGGCAATCCACCAATGCTGCTTTATCTACGAGAACACAGCAGCCGGAAGTGTTCTGCGCAGATGGATCGTCTCTGACATCGCTTTCCTTATCGACGAAAGTGTCATTAGAGACTATTCCAAACAATATCCCCATGAAATGCTTGTTGATGTGTTTATTTTGCTAGCGTCAAGCTTTCCAGAGAGGGTGGAGCAGGGAGACGAACAAGATATGGAAGAATTCATAGTCCCTGAAGATGAAGGAGAACAAAAAGGTATGACTTGTTCACCTCTCCATTGACCGCCCAAGTCCACTGACAGGACAGTAGAGAACAAATGAATGTTGATTCGGCAAGGTACTGTGATGAACGCTCGGTCATATTGTCTGCTGGGTAGATGGGAACAAGTATTTGTTGATGCGGTTCGTTGAACACTGAGGAATTTTGAAGTTTCGTTGGTGGTAATATGTAGCGTTGGATGCAGCCATTTGGACATGGAACTGAATACAAACCACACTCCATAAACTATAACTAGCTTTTCCAAATGCAGAGGAAGTTGCAACTTAGTGACTTTGGCTCCTCTTCTTCTCCTCTTTATCTTGAACTCTCTTTTTTTTTCTTTTTCCAATTTCATGTGCTCATTTTCAAAGCAGTTTGTTGTGGAGGAAGGATTTGACTGGAACAATAGAAGGATACGACGTAGGATTTTGATGTGGTAAAGAAGTAACTCATTAGGCTTCCACGATAGTCACAGAATTCTAGGGGGAAACGAAAGGGGTTATTGTTCAAGAGACTAATGAAAATTACAAACAATTGATACTCCTTCGCTGAAGGCATATCCAGCTCCCCTATCACAACCATTCATGACTATGTAATATTACCACACATCTGGTCAAGTTCTAAGTGTAGCGTTCTTGATCTTGCTTGAGCTTGACCGACTTTGACCATCTCTATAAAGTCTGTCAGAAAGTGGAGCCTGGAAACATAAAGTTAATGAGGTCTTATTACTTCTCGGATCCTTGCCTGCTCACGCCCGCTGCCAGCATGAGCATTTTAGCCAACATTTCATGAGGCATACCCTTGATGTTCTTCTATGATCTATGAATCTTGAACTTATGCGAATACGAGAATACTAGATGTCGACAGAGCCGACTTCCTGACGATGTATTCTGAGGTAGTCAAGATTGTATTCTGATACTACCAGGTTGTTGTCAATGCAAAGTTTATCTGATTCGTAAACAGTCTTACAAATACCCCCGCAATTCCCCTATCCACTAACACTAAAGACTACATATATAGAAAGCTGAAGGAACAACATAAAGCAGTATCTAAGCCTCCTTTCCGTTCACCAACAAGTCCAACCAAGCACAAGAGGAAAAATGAATCCACTTCATTACCTCGAACAACCATCAATGCCATATATTCTTTCCTCCCTATGATCAGCCAACACCTTCCCAGCTACCAATGACCACGATTCTCCCCATCTTCCTCCCTTCCTCGTATCAAACGATTGGAGAGCTCCTTCATCAACTTACAACTGGTCGGGGATGTTTCAACTTTCATCCAGAAGCGCCATGTTCAACTTATCTTTTGTGCTCGGTGAACGTAATGCGCATTCTGCGCGATTCGCGCAATTTGCGCTCTCAGCGTCACGTGCGCTCTCGACGAGGATTATGACTCGGGAGGATCAGCTCAGGTATATGGCAGGCTTACACTCAGCAGTGGGTATGAATCGGGAGAAGATGAATCTTGAAGATGAGTGGAAAGCGTCTTACAAACCAGACCGAATTGCCATCGACGAAGTTCGAGTGAAGGATTGGGATAATGATGGTTGTGGGGAAAAGAGAAGGAGATCGAAAAGCAGGAGGCAATGAACCTAGGGAGATAGTAAGTGAGGTAGATGAACGAAAGTAACTAGGACAGGAAAAGCATCATCTTCACTTCACCAAAATGCTGGAAAAATCATTGACTAGAAAGTTTTTTTTATTCCATTTACAACCAGCTCGCCGTGAGACATATGATACAGCCATGCCCATTTTTTAATGTACACCCATTTTTCGTCTCCCTCAGAAGAACTGGAAAAAGGTTCAGTGCCGAAGAAGAGAAAGTACAAAAGAATGACAACTTGATCATGTGATCAAATGCCCGAGAAGAGAAGACAAAAACCCGGTATCAACCACAACTCCACCCGTCGACCTTGACTCTCCGCCAAATTACCGTCCCAAAACGCCATGCTAAGCCCATGTCCCTGTGGACGAAGAAGAAAATGCTATTCGGAAGCGCTCAGACCCCTGAGAAACCTCTCGAGTAATCTTCTTGGGACAGGACATGCACGATGGGATCGGTTGAGTCACCACTTCCTCCTCGAGTACTCTTGCCAGTTTGTGGACGGCTTTCCTTGAGCTCTGTCATGGAGTCGGTCTCGTGCTCATGGTAACGTGACTTGATCCTCTGGTGACCACCAGAGTGGTGATGTGGAATGTGAGGTTGGACGCTCTCACCATCAGACGGGAAGCCGCGTGCGAGATTGCGCAGACCGCTGCCGCTCAGGCGTCGTTGCTCCTTGACCTGCTTCCACAGAGATTTGCAAGCTGGAATGCTGGTGGTAGCGTAGATCAAAGCGTTCCAGAAACCTTGAAGAGGAAGGACGAAAGCGGAGAAGCACTCAAGAACAAGAGAGACATCGTCTGGGTTGATGACCGAGTAGACCCGATTTGCAGAAGAAGGGATCCAGGTCATCATCATTGCTAAGAAGAACAAACCAGCGACCTTGGTGTAGGACAACATCGCGGTAGTAGCTTGTAGTGAAGCCGGTCTTCTGCCAGATTGAGGTGTTCTGTAGCTTGGCGTAGTCGGCGTGAGGACGGACACAGGAGGCTCCGGCAAGGGGCGTGATTCGGAAGGGGATTTCTCATCGTACGAAAATCGCGTGACATTTTCGAGAGGCGCGTCGGCCTTGTCTTTGGAGCCAGCGGTGATCGTGACATTGTATTTAGATTCGAGTGCAGGTGTAGGTGCTCCAGGCTGTTGGCGGCCAGTTGGGGTGAGCTGACTTAAATCGATGGGAGCCGAGGACTCGACAGTGGTTTGAGAAGTAACATAGACAACCTCATTGGGATGACCACTGAATGGATCATGGGGAATGATCATTGGATCAGGCATACGCTTATTGAAGTCACGTAGAAGCTGCGTCTTGTTGTAGATTTCTTTTCCAGCATAGACGTAGATTGCAATAGTCGCTAGAATGACCAACCTAACGTAGTATTAGTGTGCTGCTTTGGTTCGAGACGCGTTTACTTACCATACAGGACCATAGAAGGTCGCAATGCGGAAGACATCCCAATCACTAGAGACCCAACACCACAGGGCAGCATTCCCATACATGTGGCCTTGTTTGGCATTGGTGACGAAGACGAAAGCCAGAGCCGGGACGAACGGGATTCCATAGCAGGCGATAAAGTAATATTTCTCAAGTCTGCGAAGCTCAGGGCCAGTGAACCCGCGGAAGAAGGTCAGGTAGACATTCAGAGCCATGACAAAAGTCCAGAGAGCATCTGCAGGAAGAAACCTACGCGTGGTCAGCGGATTGAAGGTGAGATTGGGCATCACAACTTACATTTGGATCAAGACAGCCTGGAACTGGCACAAGGGTGTGTTGAAGTTGCCATCCGAGACGGCCTCAACTGCTGCTCTAGCCATGATGGTGGCGACATTGGTGAAGATGTTGCCCAAGCAAGCATAGAACACTAAGCGGTTGATGGGTTTTTGGAAAGCTTCCGAGCTGAGGAAGGTGACTGCGACGAATGCTGTTCCACACAAGGAGAAAGCTGAAGCAATACGTTCCAGCTGGTTGAAGGTAGTGAAATTCGCCTGGCTGAGCTCTGAAGCGTGCATCTTTGCGGATGGCTGTTCGAGCGCGTGATTGATCTTGAGAGGTAAAGCAGAAGACAATCCTCAGCAAGGAGGGTTGAAGTGCTGAGGACCAGCTGGGGGGAGGTTCCGTATCGATCGAGGTTGTCAAGAGAGAGTCGAGTATCTGGGTGCAAACGAAAGTGTATGCGTGGAAATTAAAGTAAGGACTGACGTAGGCGTATGCGTAGGCGCGAGAAAGTAAAACCGATGGAGCACATTCAACAACAAAGTTGAGTGGATGTACTTCTCTCGTGGCGAGTTAACACTGAATTGAAAGTGAAGAAGTCGAGTCAAATAAGTGAGTCGTGCTTTGGCGACGACGGTTACTTGCATGCGTAGCGGCTCGCGTGAAGTGAAGCTTTTTTTCTCTTGTGCTCAGGCCAGGACATTCATCCTTCAAGTACTCAAAAGCATCGACACACCCCAATAGCACAAACGGCATCCACAATCGAAGTCCACGGGTCCGAGAGCGAGCAACAGCACCAGCAGATACGCAGAAAAGATCTCCCTCTCGACGTTGTTTGCTCCCTACTGCGCGCGCCGTCATGGACGAAATGGTGGAGAGGGAAGGAAAGGGTTCTTGTCCCAGATCTTATGCAACGCCAGGGCTACCTGCATGCTAGCACACCCGTCTGGGGCATGAAGCTGTGACTGAAGCGTGCCCGTTCGCTACCAAACAGGTCAAGGGAGGAGACAGAAGATTGGATATTGTTCTTGAAGAGGAAAAGGTGCCAGAAGAGAGTTTCTCTGGCATCTCCGCCATCAAGGAGAAAGAATGGGTACGTACCAGGTAGCCCAGCACTCGTTTCCAAATGGGAAGAGATATGCGCGTCCTGACCATGCAGCAGTCAACAATCAACAACATTTCTGGCATCGCGGAATATCGACCCATGCCTGCAGGGGGCTGTGGCATCTCTGGGGAGGCATCGCGGGGTTGGAGCCACTGAGGGACACCGACCGAGACAGGGCATGGCAGCCACGGCAGTGGACGGGGCTTGGATACATGGTCGTTTGACACACAGAAGGCCTTGCCACGGCCAAATCATCGAACGCAGAAGCCGACAACCCCCCCTCGCCTGGTATACCATCGGTTAGTCCAGATGGGAGAGGCTTGCTCTGGACAGGCGTGACCCTTCCACTGCATCGGAGGCGAGCCGAAAACCTGCGATGATAACGCACTCTTGCAGACGTCGTCCTCATGCTCGCCATTCAGGTCGTACAACCTTAGGTCAGATCCGAGCTCGGGCGATGGGCGCAATAGGAAGGCTGCTTTCGAGGTCCCGCCCCATCAGTGCACTCTCGAGCAACTCTCGATTGCGGCTATGACCGTCAGGGGCAGCTCCAACAGACTGGGTCGAGGTTTGGAAAGGCAAACGTTGCAGGGGAGATCATCTCGGCAATTGGTGGAAAGAGCTGGACAACGACGGCACACCGTCAGTAGTGGGCAGGAGCGAAGGTATCCGCTATTGTCAGATTTTGAAAGGTTTTGATTCTGACTTCGTGCGTGTGCTCTTCAGTGCACCAGAAACACAACGAATAGGAGGACGTCCGCCACTTGCATCGATCCACTAAATATCTGGCCTGGAGGTCCACTGATAGTCGAGCCCAAGACAGTGGAGAAGCTGTAGAAACTGGATAGGCGTGGAGGACCCTGGACGACCTCCTCGGCGCCATTACTCGAATCAATCAGTACGGACAATGATCTTCTCCAGCAACGCATTTGCAACCAGGGGAAACCCAGTCGAAATCAATTTTTGAGTACGAGCCGGAGCGTCGCAGTAACATTCTTTCAGCATCTGCACTGTTAAATTGAGGAAAGTCACAGCATAGCTCTACGATCCTTGGTCTTGGAGCACCGAGAACCATTCTTCGATCTGCTGCTAATCCCATTTAGGGGCCGGTCATTATTAGCACCGAAGCAATTGGTGCGCGTCCAGAAGTTGTACCCCTCTCTGCCAACCAACCAACACGAGCTAATATGGAAGAACCTTAATAGTTTATTCATTCGACTCCGGACCTTCGAGGCCCGAAATACACTACGAACAGATCTCGTCGGCTCACACTCACACTCACACGCACACCAATTCCGCTTCCTCTTCCTCAACGCTGCAGGAAACCAATATCAAAAGGGAAGGTGGGCAGTAATACAGCGGACAAGAAGCGAGAACAACAATATATGGAGTCCTCTGGGAAGTTACGTCTCAGCATGGATTACATCTTCGTGTTATCTCGGCCTTGTTCCGATATTCGTTGATTTTCGGCATTCTCAGCTACTCTATTGTGCCGGTGTTGTACCTGACTACTCGACTCATGCATAGAAAACGATATCCGTTGTGCATTGCCGACTTGCCTCACCCAGAAAAGGTAAATACTCAGGTCGATGATCAGGAACCGATCATCAATGAAAAATATTAATATTGGCCGAGCCATTCACAGCCTGCCTTCACCGCCTACAGACTCAACATCCAGTAGAGAGCGCTACCAGTCTTGAGCCTCGAGAACGGCCCGTAACCTTATCACATCTCCGGGTTGCTGCATTTCCTGTGATTATTCTCGAGTCGCACTGACGGCGGCAGAAGAACTTGACAGCGGCATCGGCTGGCTTCGTCTTCTGTTTTGCTTCGACAAATCTACGCGCATGATATTCCAGAAAGGCCTGCAATAGTCGTCATGGAGCGTAGAAACATGATCTACCTTAGGAGCGGCTTGGTCGGAAATTCGAGCTGACGTTCTCATTTCAGGGCTGACAAGATCTCGGGTTGCATGACACAGTGACCAGCTTCGATCAGCGAGGAGGTTCGGGCTCGGTTCACGGCAGCACTGTGAACAGCTCGATGCATCGAGATAGGGGTGATTGCGCATCCTTGTGCCTGGGCCAAAACAGCTACTCGGGTTCGCAACAAGAATTGCGCGAGTGGTCGCTTGTTCCTGCTGTGGAACAGTGATACCTACTTCGCTTCTGCACAAAATACATCTTGATTTCGACTCCTCATGCCGTGGCTCGGCTCGGCGCCCATCAGATGAAACGCCTCGGGACGGGATCAAACGAAACAAAGTCATTATCAGAAGAGTCTTATCAAGCCGTGTCTAGATCCAGCAGACAAAGGGCAGCATCATTCAGGAGAACCATGCATCGAGCTATCCAGAATGAACGTGGCTACAAGGTACCCCAGCAGACTAAAACCTGACAATGTTGGGGTCAGCCCCACAACTCCAGGACCAAGCTGCCCTAAATCTGCGGGATCACACTCTTTTCTTCCGCGCGATTCCAAAAACCGAGTTATGAAATTGGTGGTGGGTCCATAATTTCTGCACTGCAATGAACAGCTCATTTGCTCCCTTTGGGGAACCACATGCTTACAGCAAGCAAAACCTCGGACCTTCAACCGAATGCTTGTCGAGGTCCGAGGAAGACTTTGGACCCCAGATGATTCCGTTTTGTGGGGTTGTGCGATGTTCAAGCTTTGACAGCAAAAGCAATCGAGGTCGCAGGCTATCAACAGCTGTCAAAAACGCCTTTTGGGTAGAGGCTTGAAAGCAATTACGAACCTTCAGCTGCGGCCGCAGGATTGAACAGCTACCCCGCAGCGTTCACCACCAGAAAGTGTATTGACTTGCATTACTCGAAACAACTGACCTCCTGAGTGTCTCAGAAACCTGCATAAATGCACACAATTCTTCTCCGTCACAAGTTTTAGTTTTACAGCTAGACTACAGACTATCCTTCATCGAGAATGTCCAAACCGAGTTCTTGTCTTCACATCTTCAGCTCCGTCCAATCAGCAAGGAGTGTTCGTGTCAGGCGTTTCAAGAACCGTAGCAAGCCTCAATCATTACGCAGTCATGTCAATTACGTCTTCATCGCCGTGTCTATCAAACCCGACAAACGTTCATCCCTTTCCTACCACGAGGCCAACATTCATGCGTTTTGTTTTTAGATCGGAGATCTTATAACGGCATAATTCACGAAAACCAGTTCATCTCTTCGCCTATGTCACAAATTAAAATTCTATATCGATCGAGTAGATGCTCGACTGGGCGCGCGGACCAACTGCCCCAAGTGATGTTTTCAGCGCATCCACAGTCAGCCTTGTGGGTTATCAACATCCACGTCGCCAAAGAGACTCGAGGACCCTGCGTTGTCCGATTCCTCGACGCAGCATCATTTTAAAGCATCTATCTAAAGTCAATGCAAAGGTCATTTTCACACCGACTTCTGTCCTGCAGATTCATCACTGATTATCAACTTTCACAAGTTTCTTGGTGGGGTGTTTTGGAGTAGCTCGAGCCCTGTCCGTGCGAGCGGTAGCGAGGGGGCGAGGCGAGAAAAGGAGGGATGTGCAGCACTTTACACTTAGACCCCGCTGTCATTGTCAAAGAGGCTTTGTGACTTCTTGGCCTAGCTCACGATGTCAAAGTGACACGAACCTCTCCCTAGGGCTTATCGATTGTGTATGATTCGATAGGCAGCTGGGCTGTTGGATTTGGTCAATCATTTGCTGGAGCTATTCGTGCAGAGATGGTGGAAAGGGGTTTCACCACTGCTCGGACCATCGTTCATGCGGTTCCCGTCACAATGTCACACTGCGGGACGTTGAAAGTATGGGGACGCCACCAGAGCATGGCTTTGAAATTATTGCGAGCCGTCTCCATGGTGCCTTTTCCTGGCCGATTGTCGGCCGTCCTCAGCTGGTTGCCATGCTTCTTCGGTCTTCGGTCTTCGTGCGAAGAGCTGTCGGGATTACTTTATGCGTATCACTGACAGAGCATCAGTTGCAGGTCTTTGAAAATGTTTCCTGAGTATCTTCATTTCAATTCATCTCATGCTCTGCGAGCGCAAAATTTATCACTGCCAAGCCTCGCATCTTCCTTCTTTCAGCTTCAATATTACATTTAGCGTTCATTTCGTACCGAGTGCCTAGTTAGGATATCGGAAATTTCGCGGTGAATGTTCGGAATGTTGGCTGCGCTTGGAGCTAAGACTGTTTATACAGGTGAATACCCTCCTGAGATCTTCAATGGAAGTGGTGTCTATAAAATATCCCTGCTATTCTTTCTTTCTCCAACATCAAACAACAAGAACTCCTCCGCCGCCAGCCACCAACATAGGCTTATGGTCCGAAGTTGGTCTTGTTTTTGGGGACTGAGGAGCCGGTCTCCAACTGATCGGGTTGGGTAGTTGAATTTCTTCTGCAAGTATGTCATTTGTTTTTGTTGGTCCATGTTGAAGAGAGCGAGTTGGAGTTCCTGCTGTCAAGTTCACGCTCAGTTTTCAAGTCTTGAGATCATGATTCTGATACTCCATGACCATAGTAAGCTGTGGTGAAAGATAGGATGACACCGTCCCATACCTCAATGTCTGTTTCACGGCGTTGACATGGAGAAGCATCATCCGCCAAGTAGGAACTGCTTTCATCTCTTTAGATGGTGACTTAGGGTAGCAGCAGCAACAAGCTTTGTTCCTCACAACCAGTGCTTTCATCTAAACCCGAATTTTGCCTATGATCTGTCAATGTAAGTTGTTGTGACATAGTTGATAACATTAATATATTCAACAATGACCTACGATGATCAGATCCACCAACAAAGCTTCGTCGAAGACCAGTCTCAACTACCCAGTACCTCACAAACGGCCCCTTGAGTGGGAGTCCGAGGAACTGTGTGCCTGGATACCACTGTTTTCCATGCGTCTTAGATCTGCATGTGGAGCGGCCGCCTCATCCGCCCTTTTATACTTCCTGGTAAATTGTTTGCTTTCTCAAACTTCCAACATGACTTCCAAACATAGAGGCAGAAACCCATTCACTTGGTTTGTAGCTTTGGTTGGTTGCCTTGCCACTCTCGTAGGGTGAAATTACGACGCAGCAGAGTCACCAGTCACATTGAGAAGTGTGCCAAATGAAAGTGAATAATTGTGGTCACACGATCAAGTTAAGAAGGCGGATGAGGCGGCCGCTCCAAACTCACGACAACCTCCTTCCATCAGAAATGCATACATACACGGTGTGCCAGGTGTTGTAAGAAACTCACAGAAGGAGAAGAAGGAGTGGTTGAGCTGATCGAGTTGTTTTGCAGGTTTGTATATTTGCTATCTTTCACGTGTAATGATTGATGTAGCATGTTGACAACTGAATTGAAGTTGACAATAATCGTCCAGTATAGTTCTATGCAGCCGAGTGGTAGCACGTTTTATGAGGAGAATATGTCGTGCTTGTATTTTGCAACTTGAAAGAGGTCCTAAGTCGTGCAGAAAGCTGGTGACATACGGGATGTTCCAAGTGCTGATTGTTATGTGGGACATGCACGCGATTGATCTCCGAGTGGGTGGTAAAGGATCAATTAATAACTCTGATCATCTTCTTGACAATCCTCCAAGTCAGATGTCCTAGGCAGTAAGCCTCACTATGGCGACTTGGTAAGTACTGCACTGGAGATAAGTAGACAAGATCGGACATAGCTGTTGTCAACTAAAAATCAATTTTATTGTTGCCAACTTGTTCTTTGTTCTTCATTGAAAACAAATAGAGAAGTCTCTCAATTCGAACCAAGAACTTCTCCATGAGTTTCTCAGGCTCTTCAAGCCACGTACCGATGGTGTACCAGCCATGAAGATGCGGAATTGGAACATGTCCAATCTGGGAAAGATGCCAGACGCATTCCAGGTTTCCATTATTGAATGCCTCATACATAAAGAATAAAAATACAGTAACCCAGACTATGACGATTTAGTAAGTACTGCACAGGGGTGAATGGACAAGATTAGAGATAGCTGTTGCCAACTAAACGCCATCTTGTTGTTGCCAACTTGTTCTTTGTTCTTGATTGAAACAGCAATTTAAACTCAAAAGATTTCCATGAATTTCTCAGGCTCTTCAAGCCACGTACCGACGGTGTACCAGGTCCAATCTGGGAAAGACGCCAGGCGCGCGTTCCAGGTTTCCATCATTGAATGTCTCCGACATGAAAGTAGCGAATATCTCCTCAGCTGGGTACTGGGATGCCTCAATGCTGTTCGCCGATTAGAAGAAGAATGGAGCGGCCGCGTAGCCCGCTCTTTTATACTTCTTGGTTGTGGGAAGAGGGAAGAAGTCTCATCCACCTAAGGCTGCGATTGGGAAAGACAAAGAAGTGAATATGAATAGCCTTGTTGTTGAGGAAGGAGTGAATGTTTCTATAGAGAGAAGAGAGAGAGAGAATTGTTAGGTGAATGGACCTTCTGCTCCTAGGTGGTTCTATGTGTAGTATTTGGGTATAAAATCTCTAGTCTCCAGCTCCCCTCGTGGAGTGAGTGTTCGAAGATCGCAAGTACACCGTCACAACCGTGAGCCAAGCCCAAATTGAGACCGTCATGAGATGTTTGTTCTTTGCACGCTTGGGGTGTCAGACATCTCTCTGGGTCTGCTAATGGTCATAAGCTTGGATGGTAATGTGAAGGGGACTTTGACAATGAAGACATGATCAAACGGCGATGAGCCGAAATCGGTTGACAAGCAAGAAAGATTGACAACAAAACAATGCTAGCGAGGCCTCTCTTTCGTGGTGATCGCTGTGGATGCCGTTGACTCTGGGCTCAATCTCAGGCTCTAGGTTGTCGTCAGAATTGTCGGGCTCGTCCTCATTAATAGGGTCTTGGGTGTTATCCAGATCGACTGACTCTTTGTGATGAAGAAGTTTGGAGCGGCCGCCTCACCCGCTCTTTTATACTTCTTGGTTGTGGGAAAGGAAAAAGGTCCTTCTGTGTCAAGCCTGATTTGAGCTATATTCACTTGCAAATTGAGTCAGCGGGAGTTGCTTGAGTGAGTCAAACACAGGAGTTTTTCTGAATTTCTAATATTCACTCAGAGCGAAAATTGAAAAGTCTTTGTCCTCTCCTTACCCGCCACAACGACTATATATACGACCCTACCACACCGCTGCGGACGTTCGAAACAACAGTATCCAGAATCTCTGCGGATGGTGTGTGGGATCCAGAGGGGAGTAAATGGGGCATGCAGCGGACGTATTTATTGTCCAGTCCGGGAGTTGTCAGAAGGATACAAGGGAGATGGAATGATAATAAAAACAGAATGGCGAAGGATTGGATTCGATTGCGACAGAGGTATTGACAACGGAAAAGAATCGACAAGAAGATTATATGACTGGACTAGGTGATGGATAGCTGCACCGACATTCAAGCTACCTTGATTGTCTAGCACAAGAATCTTGGTATGGGGAATTATAAATCATTTGCTGGATACGGACCGCTATCCCTGTCCTGCTGCGCCTCTAACAATCATTAAGTAGGCCAGCACTGTGATGGGGTGATGTAATTGCGACAAATTGGCTTGAATGGTGTCTATCTGGGAGCTCGGCTAGCGGAACAACTGAGAGATGCAAGCATATCTTTGTCATCTGGAATGCTCCCAACGCCGTGTGTCGATGACAAATTCCAAAGATTGAGCAGTGAAAGCGAAGTGCGCTCAGCAGTCCAATGATATGATGAGACGGCGAGATTTCAAAGGTAACGCCAGAGCAAGTAGAAGCATGCTTACCCCGCGCCACCTTTAGCGCTTACACTTCAAAGGAATATTCTTTCTCATGGAATGAAGCTTGGTACCCCTACATTTTTACAACTTTCATAGTCAAAATGTCTCAAACGTTCCTCATTACTTCCGCCACTGGATCTCAAGGCGGCTCCACGGCCCGCGAGCTCCTCCACCGCGGCGCCAAAGTCCATGCCTTGGTACGCGACCCCTCATCCGCAGCCTCCAAAGCTCTCCAAGCTCTCGGAGTCGCCCTCTTCAAAGGCGACTTCTTTGACCTTCCTGCCATCAGGTTAGCCCTCACCGGCGTATCCGGAGTCTTCCTCAACACTTTCCCCAACTTCAACGAAGGCGAAGGCGAGATTCAACAGGCCAAGAATGTCGTCACAGCTGCCAAAGAAGCAAAGACCGTCACCACGATTGTTGTATCGACCGTCTTCAAAGCCGGCGAGAAGTCCGAGATCGCTGCTTCCAAGCCTAACTTTCCATTTTTGAACCTCTATCTTCATCAGAAGTCCGGTGTCGAAGAGGTTGTCAAGAACGCAGGATTTGAACACTGGACAGTACTCAGACCAGATTGGCTGGACTATAACTACTTGGTGCCTGGCTATGCTATCCATTTTCCGGAGTACAGGACAGAGCATATATTGAGTACAAGTTATGATCCGAGCTTCAAGAAAGCCCACCTTGATCCTGTCGATGTAGGGAAGTTCGCTGCTGCTGCTTTATTGGACCCGCAGAAATTTGACAGGCATGTGCTCGAGCTTGGAGGTGAGCTTCTTACGCTCGAGGAAGTGGCGAAGACTTGTAAGCAGTGATCTGGCTCGTTTTTTGTTGACCTTGTTTGTTGATCATTATATTTCGCTGCCGTGACAGCTTTGACTCTTTGACGCCTGTTCATAGTTGAACAGTGTGCTGACTTGTTATAGTGAGCAAGGTTGCGGGTGTGCAGGTTAAGGTGCGGTATAGGACCGAGGAGGAGACGAGGGAGCTGGTCGAGAGCAATAAGATGCCTGTCATTGAAATGCAACTTTGGCCTAGAGAAGTCAGCTTGGATTATGATGCGAGCGAATTGGATCAGTACGGAATTAAGCTTGGAACGTTGGAGGACTATTTGAAGAGAGAGAAAGAAAGGCTCTTGGACACACTTGGAGTCCCAAAGGTATGACGGTCAAAGCAGTAGGAGATGTATCTTCATTCTCCGTCATTTTGCTGTATATTACAGCAACCAATACCCGCCACTTCTCATTCTTGGCCTATGCCACTCCCATTGCTCCATATTCTGTTGTACAATCGGTAGTCCATCACTCCGCCACTATCGAATCGGACACGGTAGCTCTGATAAGTTGCCAAGCTCTTGAGCGATATTTAGGCGTCGAAACCACTTTGAGTAGGCTGGGTGTAGCTGCCTGGTGCTGAAGGAGGCTTTGGTCCCGGAGTATCATCTCGCGCAGGAAAGCCAGATTGGTCGTAGCTTTCTGCACGAGGATGGCAAAGTCCACCGATGCTTGCTGGACTGAAATTGAGATCAATCTCCCAATCATAAATACGCTCATCGCTCGTTCTATTATCGGTAACCGGCTTCAACATGTCGTAAACATCAGAAAAGTTGCACAGCTGCAGCAACGTCGGCTTCGATGATTGTCCATCCACTATCTGTCCTCTGAGATTCTCCCTAATGTCCTCGATGTACTCCAGATACTCAATCGATTCAGGATCTAATCGTCGAAAATCAGAGTTCGTTCGGGCTTCTAGGTTCGTAAACATTCCAACATATTCCCATGCTTTGTCCGACATCCAGTAAGGGTCACGACGTAGTTCTTCGGGATCTCCGCCCTTGGCTGGTGGTTGGAAGGCTTCAGGATGTTCGTACGGATATTGTAAAGCAAAATCAGGTCTTCGAGGCATATGTTGAAGTGTATAGAGACCTGACATGTTGGCAATCTCTCTGGGATCTTCGTGCCATTCGCCTACAACACTTAGCATAGGTAAATATCTTAAAATAGGTCGAGAAGCAACTCACCTGGGCATAATCCCTCTCTCATTGTCCGATACCAGTAAAATAACTGTCTTCGTCTCGCGCTTCCCCGATACCGAGGACATGTAGAGATGGAATGATCTTTGGTATTGCACGGCAAGCACCCTTTTAGATATCCGTAGGGCGTATTGGCATTGGGATGTCCACCCAGTTGATGAACAAGGGAGCCACACTCAGCACAAGGGGCATCAGGATGATTCGTAGGCTTCGGTTTCGCGTTATGCTTCGGGTTATGCGCACATATACGATTGTCCGTCCTCGTTGGTCGAGCTTGACGGCCTCTCATGTGATGACGCTTGGATACCATTGTGAAAGGATTGAAAGGTTCCTAGGAATCAAGAACAATCCAAGCTTTGCGATATGCCGAAAGGTTGACGAAGATTGGAGGCTGGGAAAAGTTGGAGTGAAGACAGGATGTAGAGAGGATGTGGAGAGGACGTTGAGAGAAAGTAAGGTGAAAGGCGTTATTTGATAGCTAGAGGCAACTCCGATCTTGAGACTCTATAGAGTGAATCTATCGCCTTGCGCGCTATGATGTGTTGATGTTGAGCGTCTATGCGACATTCTTGTGTTGGCGGCTGGCTTTCCTTCTTTGCAGCTTCGCTCGAGTACCTAGGTACCTAATTTTGGCTTGGAAGCACGTGAAGGTGCTGCAAACATTTTGACAAGTAAGCCAAACGTTTGGCTCGGTTTTAGCGCCAACTAGCGTCCTTGGACTTCTATAAAGAAAATCTTCCTCCCACCAAATTCTTCTTTTTCTTTCTCCAAGCTGGCCAGCTTTACCCTGGAGCCCGGATCCACTCTTTACACAACTAAGAGTCTTGCTTGACGGCTTTGCTGTCGGATGACCTCTTCCTGCCCGGGGGATTTGGGTTGCCAGGGGAATCCGTCCCGCATGGGAGGGTATTCCCTTGGTGACGGGGGACGAAGAACTTCCACCTCCTCGTGGTGTCCCCTGGAAACTTTCAAGTGAAAGGCTAGGAGAAGTTCAAATCAGGTAAATCGATCATCCCCGCTTAGATAGATCAAATACAAATTACTCTTCAACCAATCGCTGTTCCATGCTGCTTGTGACACCTTTGTTGACATTCGCGCTCTGAACTTGACTTCACGATCAGACCTTCCAGAGTGAGACATTCAATCCAGCATAAACCTTTACAGCCCATGAAGCTGAGATCCTTGACGACGCACGATGAAAACTTTTCACTCGATCTATGATTCTAGCTATGATGACGTTGCCGCCTTCTATCACCTTCGCGGTAGCTTCTTTTTCTAAACCTTCCAAAGGCGAAGGAGGAGTTTCTTTATTGGGTACTTGAATTCCGAACTCTGTATATGCCGCTACTCGGCGAACTCGTCAATGTGATTCTATGTTGACATTACTGCTCCATTGCGCCCTCGCAGCTACTCTCCGAGCATCGATCTCCAATTCCAGCAGCCCTCTTCCTTGTTCAGCAACTGCGACATGACAGCCATTAACCCCACCGAGGAGACCTATTTCTCTCTGCTGTACTTCTTGCAAGATCGTTTTGACGCCTTGGATTTGCGCGTGCTGCGCTGCTTGCGCAAAAGTGAAAAGTTACAGACCACCTCACCTTCGGACCTAGGATGCACGACGTCATTAGTTGTTTCCCCCAAACAAGATATGTTTTATACAAGACTATGCAACAACGCGCGATACAGCAGTTGTACGGAGGAGTCATGACAACTGATGCGCTTAATGGGCATGGTGAAGGTCATGGAAGTACGAATACACGTAAGGGGACGATTCGTATCAAATGTCCGTCTGCCCGAGGGCTTTCTGAAAGCAAGGCTATTCATGGCATATTGAGTCACCTCAAGAGCTGAGCTACATTAATTGACGGTTGCTGCTGCACTTATTATCTGCCATGGGAATCTTGCAGTTGCTGAAACAGGACTAAGGGAGTATTTATGGTTATATTCAACAGGAGAGCCACCAACGCAATACGAGGCACATTCATCTGGTCGTCAATCTGCATTGGTAAATGGATCATGTGATATTTTGTCTGTCATGCATGGCCCTGTCTTACTGCCGCCAGTACAGGCAGCTGGCACATTACATTAAAGCAATTCGTCAGTGCCGTGACATTCATCTTGCTGAGATACCCAAGTTGAAAGATTCTCAAAATAATCTCTTCACCAATAGTGAAACAAGCTTGTCGTGATTTTCCAGAATACAATGCCCTAGAAATATTATTAGTTGAAGATCATATTAAACAGTAGATCCATACCCGTTCTTAATTAAGCTGCTCTCGCTTTTGTCTTCGAAAGCTCCTCAGCCCCTTCTTCATCGAAAGCCTCAACCTCGATCTCAAAATGCGCAACATCGGCTCCTAGGTGAGAGACGCCAACCTCCGTCCATACAGCGGTATGATTTGGCATCCACTTTCTAAGGTTCTCAACAATTCGAGTGTGCTGGGACTTTATGTCTGTACTGTAGGTGACGACTTTGTAAACTTGCTCCCAGCCTTTCCCACCAGCATGCTTGAGGTTGTTGTCAACGTTCGAAAACGCTTGATCAATCTCTTCCATGAGATCCTCTTTAATGAGCGTCGATAGGTCAATTACTTCAGGGTTGGGGTCCCAGCCACCCTGACCGGCGCAGACGATTCGATTGCCGACACGGATTGCTTGACTGTATGAGAGGTTCTTTTGCGCCCATTCACCGATTCCGGGGTAGGCATAGGATTTAAGTTGTGACATTGTGAGATCGTGTGCAAAGTTACTTTAAAGGCGGAGGAACTCGAATAGATATAATACAATATATACATGGACGTGCATCATCCCCTCCAGACTAGACGGTTACTACAGCCGTGACGTATCAAAATTCTTAGTGCTGAGGAATCAAGTTCATGGCGCTGATAAATCAAATCTACTGCGCCATGAAGTTGCATCTATTGGCGAAGAAAGTCATACGATAGGTGGGCTCGCAACATTAATGTTTGATCCAATCGCGTGCCGGTGCTCGGAATAGTCATAAGTACTGATGTACTTATTCACGTCCCGAAATTTAGGAATCAATTACTCTGGTGGACACAGGAAGCACCACAGAGGATCGAACGAATCCAGTCTTGATGAAAGCATGGTACGAAGGAGTGCACGTATTAGAACAAGGAATATCTAGTCTACGCAAAGTGGAAGACCCCAGTGCAGGAAATTATGAATAGTTGAAAGAAGTCGAAGCTCCTGTGTCCTGAAACCAAACTCAACCTTCTCCGGAGTAGAGGGATAGTTACAGCTGTTGGAAATGAAATGAGGGCGTTGTCCTTCCGACCTCTCAAAGTCTTCTATCACGCTCTTCTGCCACGTCTTCGTCCACAATTCAACTTCTCCCAAGCTGTCTTGAACCTTTTCTGCCATTTATCGTCTCCTAATGCTACCCATAAAACATAAGTGACAAGCACAACGGCAGTGAGCGGAAGAGTGAGAGCCAAGTACCAAGACCATGGTGGGAGCGAACGAACGTTCTTCATGGCTTCGAACTCGGGCACTGCCATGAGTATCTGTAACACCATTAGTGCCCGTTCTAGAATTCGTGCTGAAACTTGGAAGTAGGAACATTACTCACAGCGATGAATGTCCCTGGGAGGAATACCATGGTCAGAAGAGCCAACGCTTTCATCTGCCGAGTATCTAGTCTCGATTGGTGGAAGGTGTCCTGTATAGCATTAGCTTCAAACTCAATCTCGTTGTCCGCAGACACAGTGCTACCAACTCTCTGGAACGCCAACGGGATTGCTTGCAGAAGGACATCACATTTGTGTATCTGCACATGATAATCCTCGATCAATCGGCTGAGGTAGTCGCTTGGGTCAATCTCTTGGGATGTCGGACTTGACATGGCTCGAAACTCTTTGATGGACTTTTTCATACCGAACAACTGCGCCTTCCATGCTGCTATTCCACCTTTCGCGTAACCTACTTCGAGAAAAAGGTTGAGAAGGCCATGAGAATCGTCACCCCGATGATCATATGTGCCTGGTTTCGGCGTCGCTCGTCCCATTGTCACTGGTAGTCCACCATAGATATCTACCAGAGTCTCAAGCAAAGTGACTTTGTCACTCACAAACTTGAGGCGGGTGTTTCGCTCGAGCTCGAGGAAGATCTTCATCAAGGTGAATGGGGAGAACAGATTCCCGCTCGCAGCTCGTAATTGTCCAAACGCCTTTATGATCTCTTGGTCATTCAAGCCTAGAACCAAAGCATACATCTTGCTTTCAAGGTCTTTCGTTTTTGGGAAGTATGTGATAGTAATCGCCGTGTGCTTCTCCATCTTTTCCTCCACTCTAAGAGTGTAAACTTTGCCAACACAATTTAGTCATTGATTCTCCTCAAATGTGGGGTAAAACTCACCTTTGCACTCGCGTCCTCCAATCTTGCATGGAATTCGTGAAAATGAAGCAGCACCGTTCTCAAGCAGTATTGGGAATGCACGGTGAATGTGGAAGTTATCCACAATAAGCCGAAATGAGACCTCGTCGACAGGAATGTGCTGGAGGATGTTCGCATCATCAGAAGGCAAGTTATCAGGCGCTACATCACGTTTGAAAAATCTGTATTGGGATTATTAGCCTTTTCCCGGGCTCGCGATTGAGTCACCTCAAGCACTCACAAAAAGCTTGCGGCTTTCTGCGGCATCTCCAAGTCGTAAAGGGACTCTTTGTCGTCAAACCATGTCGCCCAGTCTTTTACATTGCCAAATGTAGCCCAGTGCAGTGCATTATTATCTGAGTTGTCTTCTTCATTAATTGCCCAGCCAAGTGCGACTCTCGATCTTTGCCTCTTCGGCGCCTTGAAAACGCTGTAATCAACAGCGTCGAACTCGTGAGTTTTCCATAGAGTATCCATAGTATCTCAGTTAAATTACTGGTAAGATAGATTAAAGAATAGAATAAGATGTCCTTGCTTCCCAGACTCGAGAGTTGCCGGAGTTACGTTGGGAGTTTGGCTCTCATAGATGCCGCATAGTAGGGTCTTTGAAAAACATAAAGATCACTTCAGATCGTCGATCTGAGAGAGCCTTGGAAGCCACATTTGCAGTGCCAGCCTCATCTCAGCCGCTTGAGAATAGAACTATGAATTTCAAGCGCAAACCTCGCATACTTGTTGGGATTTCTGCTGCTGAATTTTGTAACCATGATGAATTTGCAGCAATGTTGATTATTCTCAATATACTCCACTCTCATAAGAGAGTATTGTAAAGACTAACATACTATCTTGCAAGTTACGTAGACAACGACATTGATCCTTTAGTGCGGTATCGTGACATACCTCAAATTGGGCCGGCCCGCCAGCCTCAATTTATGTGACAGCAGACCTTCCTGTTTCCGAATGCTTTCGGAACGAAGTGGCTTGCGGCTGGAGTCATAAAACCATGCACTCTCAAATGATTGGTTCCACATCCAAGAAAACGGGAAGAATTGCGCTCGTGAGATCGACTTCATTGGTGGCCAAACTTTTCAAGAAGTTATATTTGTAACATTATATGCCTCATTTCAAATGTTGCTGTGAAAGAGTGTGACTTCGTAACACGTATTCTTTGTCACATAGATGACCACGTATGCATAGCTCTTAGAAGAGAACATTGCATAGGAGGTGTGAATCTAAGGAGACGTGTGCATTAGGTTTCCAGTACTTTGGGCGATGGGTCGAGAGCTGACGCATGCATGAGTTGGTAATGTTGTCATTGGTTCTTGAACTTGCAGCGGTCATCGCCGGGAGCCTGACCAACATCTGACAAGCATCATACCCAAGGTTGTGCAAAGTTCCCGTCCCATACTTGACACCCTCTTTCCCGAAAATGTGAGCTGAATTTGGCATCTGTTTCTTCAGCTTACCACCGCCACTTCGACACAACCGCCAACAACACTGTCCATGAATTTGTGTGAAATCTGTCAATATTCTCAACAATTCTTCAGCATAGTTATCAAAATGCCCACACCCGGTTTCCTGAAAAGCAATAAGACGAAGACAGACGATGCAGAGGCTAACCGCAGAAGCGCCGATATGTCTGTCGATAAGCTTGTGACCGGAGCTACGCCTTATCCACTTCCTTCAAATTTGGCAGCGACTCGAACGTTTGTGCTAGACGAAGGGTTCGATCCACGGGCAATGGAAAAAGCTCTGAACGAAGATCTCGGAGAAGACCAATGGCGTTTGGAGGTGAGTTTAAGCATTCCAACTTGATTCGATCTTTCTGGTTCAGTAAGCTCAATTTTGTAGCAACGCCTTGATAGACTTGTCCTTTATTCGAAACGAGACCTCCGATCGGTGTGTATGAATTTCTTCTCGCAGATGTCGCACGCAAGCTGAAAGTTGTCTCTAGAAAGGGTTAGCGAATGTTCAAAAGACTATAATATCGAGAGGGCCACAAAATAAAGAAGCAGCAGCAGAGCTGTATGCGAACGAGTGGCTGGCCAAGTTCAAGGATTTGAGTGAGGTTCTGAAACCAGACAAGCAGACTGATGAATATCCTGCACCAATAAAGATTGCTCTGATAGACTCTGGACCATCACCCGACCACCTCCAGTCGAAAGGTATCATATACATGCATGATAAAGGTAGCACCGCAGGTTCGGAGAACATTCAGCATGAGATGCTCTCAGTCGACGTCATTTCAGAGGTCTTCGACCGAGCGCAGCTCTATTTGGCAAATGTGGACATGCCAATAATGCAGAAAGTGGAAGCAACAGTGGAGCAAATAGCAGAGGTGAGATATCCACGGACCATTTTCATATTTATTGCTGATGATATCCAGGCTATCCAGTGGGCGGTGGAGGAAAACGTCAACATCATCAACATTGCCATAACTTTGAAGGAAAGCGTTGCGCTCCCAGAAATGAAAGTTGCAATGAACAATCTCAGAGCTGCCGTCGATTGCGCTAAGATGGCCGGAATTCTCATTTTCGCTCCTGCCACTACTTCTAGAGGCGACATCAATTCGATTGCTTATCCAGCTGTAATGCGGAATGAGCTATTCTGCATATACTCTAGCGATGGCCGTCTTGGTATTTCCGAAACAAATCCGCCAGCGAGCACCTCGGACAACAACTTCGCCATTCTAGGAGAGTGCGTGCGATTGGGCACAAGAAAGGCGACTGTCACGGGTACAATGGTCTCCTCTGCCATAGCCGCCGGCGTTGCCGGCTTGATACTAGACTTTGCCAACCAGCCGGATCCGCCCAAAAAACTCGGGGAGGGAGGCTTTGAAAGGTTGCAGTCAAAGGAGGGGATGACAGCAGTTTTCAGATTGATGTCAACATACCACAAACAATCTGGCTACCAATGTGTGGCGCCATGGGACCTCCTACCGCCAGGGTACGATTCTCAAAATGAGCAATTTCGGACGAAAACTAGGGAAAGGATAACGAGAGCCATTATGAAAGCATTGCAACAGTAGATATCGCGCCTATAAAATGAATATTTCATACCCAGACCCTATATCCTAACTAGCTGGTAACTGGCCGATGCCCGGTCCCTGAACCGACTGATATCCCACACCCAATCTCTTTTAACGTTGCCCATTAAGTACAAACTCAGAAGCAGAACAAAGCGCTAGAGCATCGTACAACATAGTTACTGCTAAATGCGACAATTGAATCTCAAAGAGTGCCAAGATGAACACAGGTGGATATATCCAGAATAGAAATGTATCGAGAATAAAAAGCACAAGCGTCGAACCACTTGGCGTTAGCCTCTCATTTATTCGAATGCTTGGAGGTAGTACACCTCTTGACATTCGAATACTCTCCACAGCAAGACCAGACAAATCCTTCAGCATATTCAGGGTTGTTAATATATGATTCTGGCCGGCCATGAACGTAGTCATCCCAATCACACCAAACATGATCACGGTTAGGATCTACTTCTTTATGCCCTTTAAATAATTAGCAACACTCAACAGGAATCGAGACTACGACCATACCAGAATGTTTCCTGCACACGCCTCTCGTATTCTCAGACGCATTGTATTCCTTGTTGCAGTTCGTGCATAGGAGCGGGGCCGTCAATCTTCGTTTTCGACTTCCTAGCACGTCTTCTTCAGCCTCGTCTGCACGACGCTTGCTTCGTCGAGGTGTTGTGAACTCGGATGCTACGACATCAGCATGTCTGCCGCTCTCTGCTGCTTTCTCCTTCCGCCTTCTCCGCGTGTACTCGTTCGTTTCTGCATCGTCTGTGGTTCGTTCAGGGTGGAATGGTGCTTCTGGCTGATACCTCGCAGACGTTCTGCGTGTGGTTTTGGGAAGGTCGGAGCTCGCGGACGTAGGAGGCTCCTGAAATCTGACCGATGTTCTTCGTGTGCTCGTGGTGCGAGTAGATGATGCTTTGCTTAGGTTTGATCGCTCTTCGACAGGAGATATTGCTGATGGCAGGATGCTTGCTGCAATGTTCGCAGCTTTCTCGCTTTCTCTGCAGACTTCTCTCAGTATAGCTCTCAGTATGTTTGCATCTGCCGTGCTGATTGCGGTGTCAATTCTTTGGTAAAGCGACGTATTTGTAGGACGTGTATCGGCGGGCACTTCCGTGCGCAATCTTGTCCTCAATTCTCCCACTTTTCGTTTCAGATCTACAGTTGTCTCGAGTATCTCAGCCTTTTCCGACTCCAAGGTCTTTATCTTCTGATTCAGCCGTTCGAGTTCGAAGTGGAGGACATGAGTGGGTGGCAAGTTGGTCGCGACTGTTCGACCCCAAGGATCAACATCTGTGACATACCCACCACCTCTGATGCGGTTGATCGGCACTGGAGGAAAGGCGTTCATTGTTCTGTTGGGTCTCTGCTGAGGAAGATCAGTCGATTGATATGGATATCATATCACCTCTGAAAATGCCGATATCAAAGCAAATTGCTGTTGTCAAGTCGACGAAATCAACACAACAAATCTGACGCGCTGGCACACGTTTCCACGTGATATTTGAAGGACAACTCGTTTTGGCTGTCGTCTGATGTATACACTATAGAGCTGTATAAATGATATATATGAATTCAATCAGTGTTCGAGGAGCGGTAGAATGCACTTCATCCATGATTTCCAAGAAAGAGTGTTGGTGAGGACGAGGCGGTGACTTGATTTGGTTTGAGGAACTTTGGCAGAATGTCAGCATTTCAAGTCTCTTTTAACACAGAGTGAGCTTCCAGAAATGCGAGCAATGACAATGCAATCTGCCAGCATGATGAAGTTGTTCCTTTCCCGGTGCATACCTCAACGAAACTCAGCACATCCTTGAGCTTCATTGCCTACGGAATTGGCGGTACACTCCGTTTGCTGGTTCCGTGATTTGGAATGGGAAAAAGTAACGGTCCCAATTACTGCTCTTGTTCATAGGGAACTTGTTAAGCACTCAGCTAAAGTCTCAATAGCATCTCCCCCTCCTACTTCCGACTTCGCCTGCTTTCTTCTAGCTGTCAGGGTGTGCACTCTTATTGAGCACCGCCTCAACAGCCCCTCTCGTCCTCGATGGAGCTCAACTACCCAGCCTCCATAGACGGATCAGATACCAAAGGGAATAACAAATAGAGAACCAATAGAGCGTTGGTCTTTGCATTGCTATACTCTGGTCGAGATCGCAGAAAATTTGAATATAAGTGAAGACATTTGAGGCAGCTGGGATCGACAAGCAACTGTTGAAGCAACTGTTGCTGATGTGGAGGCATTGGAGAGGTCTGTCCATTCTTTGGAAGTTCAGAATTGAAAGTTAGGGCTACGGAATGATAACGCACTGCAGGATGGCTTGGGAAGGTTGAATTAAGGTTTATGCCAGCGCCAAAGAGGTAAGAAAGGAGGTCTTTCCGAAATTGAGGTTATTAGCCAATCAAGCATGCCGCCAAGAAATGCATAACTTGTGATGGATACCGTCAAGTGCAGCAGCCAGATGTATGGAAGACATAAAATTCAAACAGTAAACACTCCTCCTCCAATGCCAAATATTGCAAAGCAAAACTCCCCTGCATGACCTAGAAGCCCCTCTCATCCACCGGACCTCTCGATCCTCCAATTCAATTCTTGCTGATGGCTACACTGTCAATATAGATCGTTCTGGCATCTCCTCCCGTGTTGTATACTGAGATAGTGACATTCGCCGTTTCATTGATGCCGCCATTAAAGACGAATTCGTTCTCCGCATACACGGTACTCAATTGCAAAGCCGCAGTGCATGTTCCATCCACGCAAAGCTGAAGGAAGCACTGTGTACCTCCAGACGAAGCTCCCCATGCTGATAGAGTATATGACTGACCGGGACAGACGGCTATCGTCTGAGAAAGTGTGACGGGGTCTGCTGCGCCGCCAGATGAGCCGGGAATGGATGCTTCTCTGTATTTTGTTAGTTAGTATAAATTCCGGAATAGAGATGCTTGAGTCAGAGGACAGGAGGTCAAAGCTTACGCAGCATATTTCCCCGATTGGACCTTTGTAGCTTCAACCGTCAACCCAAACAGAGCATTGGGAATGCTTGTTATCCATGGTGCCAATGTAGCTGGTGTAGCATCGAAACCTCCATTGACAATACTTGGTGTAACAGTGCATGGAGCACAAGTGGATTGAATCAAAGTTGCTGAAATTGTGCTCGTATATATCGAAGTTGGGGGTTGTAGCAGCGTGGTGAGTGTGCTATAAGAAACAGAGGTCAACGTGGATGGCGGAAGAACAGATAGGATAGTGGTGGTTAACACTTGGACTGTCGTGATGGTTGAAGGGACCAAAGATGAGTCCACCACAGTGATTGATGTTGTAGAAAGCGCTGTCTGGACTTCGTAGATTGTTGAGTTGCTGTTGCTGCCACTTCATGAATTAGCCTGACTTGCCCTAGAACACTGCGGAGTTTAGAATTACCATAATTTGTTTCAGTGATTGTCTGGTTCTGAATGACCAATTGCGTGGATAGGGATGTGGCAGTAGCAGCAACTGAAGGATTCAGATTAAGGATTCCAAATAATAGAGTAGTTCCAACTCACCATACTCTGTGCTGGTCAACTGCAGTGTCTCTGTGACTGTTAAGTTCTGAGGTACGAGCAACGTCGTCAACGAAGTGACTGTTGAAGGCACTTAACGCAATCAGTCTACGTTCGATATTCCCGTGAGTGGATGCCATGTATTGACCATAGTCCGTGGCGATGATATCCAACGTGGATTGTGCAGTCGAAATGTCTATTACTGTACTACTCATATCAATTACTTGGGTCTCTGTGACCGTGTAATTCTGGTAGACCGTCACGAATTGCGTTTCGCTAGCGCTAACCACGTCCAAGCTTGTAGCAGCAGCAAAGTCCGTACTAGTCTGGGTGATATCGGATTCAAAGGTCGAGTAGATTGTAGTTGTAAGCTCGAAGATTTCTGTCGCAGTGTAATTCTGATACAGCGTGATGTACTCAATGGAAAAAGTTGGAATAATATCAAGGGAGAAAAACGTGGATGTCTGGGCAGCAAAAGCCAAACTAGTCTCTGTAATGGTCGAGTAGGCAGTAGATGTGATTTCTAGGGTCTCAGTGATGTACTCGGTCTGACTTGCTGAGAAAAGTTCCAGGGTGGTTGAAGTACTTGCTGCGAGAGCCAGGCTGGTTTGCGTAGCCTCGAGAGTCGAATACTCGGTCGATGTCGATATAATTGTGGCCATGAGGATTTCTACGGATGTGCTGGTCAATGCCGCACCGTAATAGCTTGTTTGTGTAATATCTGCTTCAGTCGTAACGAAAAGAGTAGTTGTTGACAAAGTGGTGATGAACTGCTCATCAAAAGAGGTGCTGGTGAGAGCCGAGACATCGAAAATGGTGCCAGTCACTTGGGCCGTTTGGACGAGGGTAGTGGTGATACTGAGCGTAGATATTTCGGTCTGGATCTGGTCAGCACTACATATCAATTCTTCTCGTGAAGATGAGGTCGATCTTGACCAAGATAATTTAAAAGAGCAGTCTTACCGTCGTATAAGTTACATAGTCGTATTGGTTAGAAGTGATGTAATTCGTTGAAATATCCGTGGACGTGATATTATCATACACAAAGACACTGATGGTCGACACAGCTGACTCGGTAACAGTCTCCAAGATACATTGTGTAGAAGTTGCAGCAGCTATGGAGAGATCCGTGCTGGTTACTTGCTCGATATCCTCTGAGATAGAAGTCAATGTAGAAAATATTGTCTGATACTCGGTGATCTAGCACTTTCATCAGCATCGACACTGGAACCAGAAGACTGGAAGCCAAGCTACCGTCGCAGCGTCAGCCTCTGTCGAGGTCACCGCGGTATAAATTGTTTCTGTGATCTATCATACTTTAGCATAGACATGAACGAGGGACGGCAGGAGAAAGCTTGCCGTTGTTAAGTCTTCAAAAGTTGACGTAAATGCTGCTAAGCTGCTGAAAGTTTCTGTCGTTGTGATGTATATTGTGATCTGATCTACTGATGTTGATGTCTGGTCGCTTTCAATGAGTGAGGTTTGGGCCACTTCAGAAGTTTCATGGGAAGCAATCTGCTCAGCTGATGTGGACGGGGAAAAGACCACAAAGCTCAACAGGGACTAACAAGTTCGATACGAAGTGAAATTGTAGCATTGATGGATCGAAGGCAGATCTTTCCTCTTACGCCTCATAATCCCGACTTTGGTCTTCTCACGAGGATACCCGGAATGCACCTCTCCATGAAAGAAATATGAGGCGTGACAGCTCACATCAACGTGGAGATAATTTCGCAACAGAACTCGAAACAGCATAAGGATTTCTCGTCGCGGAGTTGCGATGAGCATGGCCACTGAGGATGCCATTTGGAATGTATCGCAGGGTAGTACGGGCCAGAGAGTACAAGTGCTACAATGTCAGACTTGACATGGCGTGGAAGTTCTAAATCCTTGGACTTGGAATCATAATGGCGACCGAGACTCGTCTGATGGAGACATATTATTCCGTAACAAAAGAATTATCCTTCCCATCTGGGATTTCCTTTCAGCTCCGGAGGCGACATTGTTGCTCCTCAGACGCCCTGTACACAAGGATAAATTCAGTAAACAAATCAAATGAAGAGTTATATGCAAGACGGAATAAGAGAGGCCCCTACTTGCGGCAATAAGTTTATGGCATATTCTACTCGATCGACACGTAGTTGCGCGACTACGGTAGGTATTTGTACTCAGGAAATTTCAGAAGTACGTGCTCGTCTGGATGTACGAGATTTTAATATACTACAACTCACACTTATGAGGGCACTGTATTCTTTCAATGCAACATGACAAGTTGATTGGAGCCATAGTGTCTAAGAGTTTTAGAGGTGGTGGACAGGTCGGAGCATCCTCGGGATTCCAGGTGTCATGAATGACCACGATCACGTGCTGGGATTTCCTTTTTCGGAAAATCTTCCAAATAACTTCTGAACAGAGATATGTGATGGTTGTCAAGTAGATGGAAGATGAAAGATAAGTAGGTCATTACTTTAAAGAAATCATCACGTGCCTGTCAAGTCACCCTTTGATCGGATGACGAGTGTGGTCTAATAAATGTACACAACTTTCTCAGGACATACATAGTATCTGTTTCTGCTTAGCAAGAGTAACTAAGCCGATGAAGTGATATGAATTTTGAACAAAACGCTTTGCCAAATGAACCTGCGCCAAATGAACATGGAGCCTTGCACAAGTTCATTTGTTGTGGGCTTGTGTAAATACGGAAATGTCGTGGAGGGCATGATGAACTCGGGGCTTGCTATATTATCTTTCAGATGTGAGCTACATAGGTTCATCTACAAAGTATTGTTCCCTATGTTATTGCTTGAAAAGAAACTTGGAAAGTGATGCCAACTGAGACTGAGCAGCTTCCTCAAAGGTCGAACGCGAGTTGAACGAAGCCTGGCGGATCTTGAAACTTGAAAACGATATACACGTAAATCTCCGAAAGCTTGTGTGCTAGCGAGCGATGCTTAACTTCGAAAGTGTCCTGTGTTGGCGACATTGAGTTTCGTTAAACTAAGGTTTCATGTGGAGCTTGCACTTTTGCTGAGGACGCATGCTACATTTGTAGTTGGAAATCTAAAACAACAGAAAGAACTGGAAAGTAACCAATATCCAAATGACAGAGAATCAAATGCCTAATTCTGCATAGGTTTCGGCTCAGCAGAGCAGCTTGCTTCCATAGAGACAGCACAGAGATAAGCTCTAGGGAAGGAGTGGTCACTAGGTGTCTCAACTAAAGCTATTCGAGACAAGGCTGGCTTTAAATCGAGGAAGATCGTGGGGCTGAGCAGGTAGAAGCATTTCAGCCGAGGCCGGAGGACATACCATGGATGGAAAGGGGTGACATTCATATCACGTGGCACTACCCATGAGAGTACAAGACTTCTTACGGAAGGACATCCGCTGCAAACAGTCACCAGACGGAAGAAGAAACATATTGCCATCAGAATCACGCCAGGTTTCCAATCGTTGATGCAGCCATCTTTCTTGAGCCTGCCTATGGAGCATCTAGAACTGCCTGGAACTTTCAATACGTTCTGCAGTGGGTGCCAACGAATAGTTTTCTTAGCCAGGATGAAAGATACTTTTGAGGAATAGCTTGGTGATCGGCCATATTCATCGGGCTGTAAGCTGTCCCATCGGAATGCAAACATCGGGAGCTGCTACAGAGTCTGCACGTTGGCCAGGGTCGCCCATATGAAGAATCCATTCGGCTGCCTGTCGCCCAATCACGTATTCAAACATTCTTACGGGCCCTTGCTCAGCTAAATGTACTCTATGGGTGCAGTATACTGAGCCTGGTGTTCTGGAACTTTGGAATGGCTGCGCAGCGGCTGGTTGGTTTTACAATACTCTAATTCGGGCAAGCCGAATGCTTTATATGCACCGTATCTCTTTTAGATTGAAGGGTTACTGAGAACCAGTAGGGCTGCGGATCGCCGCCCTGTCTCAGCTGTCGGCAAATATTAATGAGAGTCGACACCCACGGGCATTAGGATGCTCAACTTGTACAAGATTGCTTTAAGTTGAAATACAACTCCAATATAAATCAAGGCTTTCCAGATTCCATTGGCCACGACAATCTCATTGGAGCTGGCCCAACTGCACTTCTGCTACGCTCCACCATCAAGAGCATACGCCACCTAGAACGCTCAATTCTTGCGCGAATGTGTTTCAAGGAAAGTCTCCAACGCAATAATATCAAGCACGACAAAGCAGTAGGCTTGTTGTCTATCTGCGAAGCTACTAACTGAAGTTACAGATCGAGAATAGACCTATAGATTCGATACAGCTCCCTACCTTCTTTAATGTCAACCACCATACCTACCTCCCACCTGCATACTCGACGCAACTCCCGATCTCTCCAAGTCTCTCTCAGCTATCTTCATCTACAGTCAGCCTGCAAGATACACCCACTTCTATGGACGGCGAGAATACCTTCGGTAGTAGCTGTGACAATGCATTAAAGGAGGACGATCCTGATCTCCCATTTTACGATCCGGCACAATTCGAACAGCTGGCATTTGATGCTTTTCTTACAGACGCGCATCAATTTGACAACAGAGCTACCGAGCCCAGGTGGAATGAAGAATGGCAATCTCCTGGTGATAATTGTCTAAATGGGCCAACAGTCACCAAAGTACCATCATACGCGTTTCACAACGTGTGGCAGATGGCGTGGCAATTTCCAACATTCGACCAAGAATACTCTCCCACCTTTGACAACTCGCATCAAAACACTCTATATTCAGAGAAAAATGTTTCACAAGAAGGTATTCAAACCTTACACCTGGATCACAATACAGTTACCAACGCAGCAAACAACGAAATACGCAATTGGCAAAATGAGCCATCCGCGAGGAGCTAGCAAGTAGCATCGACCTTAACTAGCTCACACGCTCCCGGACTCAGGACTGCCAACTCGACTCGGAATTGTACCTTTGCTGCCTATCCGCAACGACCCACCAAGCACAAGAACAAAAGCTTGGGACGAAAACCTTCATCCTCAAACAGCAAACACAACGAAGTCGAAAAGCAATACAGGACTCGGTTGAACAGCCACTTCACACAGTTACTTGGTAGGATACCCGCAGAGATCAGAGCTGGGAGTGGGCTTCAAGATGGCTCGGAAAAGCTAGTCAGCAAGGCGGATACATTAGCCATGGCAGAACAGTACATTAAGAGGCTTGAGATAGAGACGAAGTTCTTAGCAGGAGCAAACAAAGAGCTTGCCAGAGAGTATGAGAAGCTGAAAGACGAATGGTTTCAACAAGGCGGTCCTTTTCTACCTTGATTATGTGTTATGGCAGGCATAGCGAGTTGCTCTATGTTTCTTCTCTTTCTATTCAACTCAAGATACCATCAGTGCGCAGCTTGAGACCCGATCGAGAGCTGGAACTTCCGAGTCGCGTTGATCATGTCTTACGAGATAGGGTGCCTCAAAATAAGCCTCAATATAAGATACAGTCATTGGACATCCTGGCTTGATATCCACGACCAAACTAGCAACCTTGCTAGTCAATTAGGTCAGTCTAAACAAGCGTAGCGTAAAATGACATGACATGACATGACGTCACAATGAACTGTTTAGCCATTGGAATCATATATCTAATCTTCACGTCTTTCTCTAAAGAGTCCCTGTTGACAATTTTCATCTACTTTCGCATCCTATGCAACATAGCCGAATGGCAAAAGCCTGATTCAAGTCATAAGCCAAATGTCCGTATGGAGCATGTTTTCATATCCTGAAGGCTGTCAGTCACAGAGGCGGAGTTTCAAGCTCGAGAGAGGTCTTAGTCTCAAGTTTACGATCCTACCATTCTTCTTCTGGTCGCTCTCTTCATGCTTCAATCCCCTTTTCAATTATATCACATATTATAATCTTATATCGAGTCATGTGACTCTTATGCAAATTATGCTGGGCTGCACCGTACTCCCTTCCGTCCCCGCTATCTCAAACCCTACCAAGAAAGATCTAGACTCTTTCAAGTTGAAGTCTTATGAAAGCCTCCCCGTATGAATGCTGCGTTTCTGCATTTTAATTGGTTCAACCGACCCATATTTTTGCACCACTTGCAACACAAAGTGGCAGCGAGCATCGAAAATTGGGTGGTAATCGTGGTTAAACCCACAGTAGGAATACTCAATTAATTATCCTGTTTCTACGTAGCATATGCACGAAGGGACTTTGGGTTTCTCTCGTATCACGCAAACCTCCCCTCTTCTTGTACCAGTATCCGCATCGCAGTGACAGCAACAGTCTTCGGGATTTCCCTACTCTTTGCTTCGTCGATCTGGATCTTCTTTCCAAAGTTGTAAGGAATGATGCTTTTCAAAGTAATTGCCCTAAAGCTCCGCTCCATATCTCCGAAGAGTGCCGAATCTCCGCAAAAATCCCTCAGTCCTCAGAACTTGAAGTAAAAATATAATCTTCTTGGTGACCCAACTGGGCTGCACTTAGTCAATGGATACCCCTAGTGTAAGAATACAATTCTAAGCATATTCAACTGACCATGATGGTCTGTGGTGCTGATATCCAATGTCAGACATACTTGTTTGGAAGTTCGGAACCCCGCCAAGATGCCGACAACGACCAAGGATTAGAATGGCAATTTTTACCAGATTCTGTACCGCCAAGCTGGCCTGCTTCCTCAGAACACAATATACAAACATTATACCCTGTCGTCAATAAGTTTGTAAGCCACTACAACGAAGAGCTCTGGGTACCTGAAGTGTGGGAACAATGGGATCCTCAGTCGACAGAAACGATATCTAGTCATCTTCCATCCGTGGACAGTTTTGCCACTATCGATAATGGACGACTGATGTCGCCAGGCAGCCAAATCACCACCCACTCTGCCTCCGGTACCTCTTTCCAAACTCTCACGCAAGATGATTACTTTGGACGAAATTCTGCTTGTTCAGTCCAAGGTATACATAGCCCTCCCATCTTGAATCACATCTCTTGTCTAACATTCCCTTAGCAAGTGGCCAAACACCCTCTATTTCCACGCCGACATCTAGTAGCTTAATGTCGCCACTTTCCACTTCAACTGATATGCCTGTGCGATCCTCAAGACAGACTAAGTCAGCTCCCCAACCGCAGCAGAAGTCAGCATCAATTTCGATGCCTACAAGGTTCAACTCAACGGCATCAAAAGATTCCCGATCCGCAGCTCGCTCTCGGCGATCACCAAGAGGCGGGAGCCATAGAGTCCACAACAATGTAGAGCGTCAGTACCGAGCAAGACTCAACGACCAGTACTCGGTGCTTCTGGACGCACTGCCAGTCGAAATTACGAGTAGTCATGGGACTGACGGAGACAAGACACTCAGCAAGATTGAGATTCTGGACTTAGCCAAGCAGCATATTGCCACTTTGGAGGAAGAGGAGGCGCAGCTCAAAGAAGAGAAGGTCATGCTGAAAGGTCAGATGCAATTGCTGAAAGGATTGGTGCAGTTGACTGGAGAGTTGGTCCCATGAAAAAGTCAAGTTCGGTGGCAAGTCGCCTCAGTGCTGCGAGAGGCGACATTAGAACCTTGAAGCTCGATATCCCCACGTCAGCTGTAGGGGAAGAAAATTTCATAGAAGAAAGAAATCTCAAAATCGAATCAGGGGTGTCACGTGCGAGTTACGAAACAAAAACTCACGCATATTCTTTGTCTGGTTTTTCTTCTAGAATTTTCCAGTGCAGTGACACAGGCTACATGAGAGCATTGCATAGCATGCAATGTGATCTGTTATTGTAAGATATTGTGCAAGAACCGTGTTTCAAAATGGCGAGATACAGTATCTCCCTATTTCGCTTGGCCCGTGATCGAGCATCAGATTCTGAGCAACAACTTAAGCAACACGACAACGCCGGATTGAGTGCCGTGACTGCGAATCACCTTTCTTTATATCACCCCCTAGATTGTCAGCAGCATTATCGCACACTTTATTGGCTGTGCTAGAGCTAGAATCGCCTCGGTGCAACGATTTATGCGGCCTTTGGAAAAAGTTTGAGAGGACTTCCGTGCCTGGATCCATAGCGCCCATATCGCCGCGCCGACGGAGAAGTGATGCCCTCGGCACATATGATAGTAAATATGAGATCTTTATCAGTGCCCTGCGTGGAATAACTTGATCTTGTTTCTACAAAACCAATCAATACGGAAAGGAAATTGCAGTTAAGCTGACATCGACATGGCTCACTGATACTCTCTTCGATGTCTGCTCTTCACTAGTCTGTCGCTTCAGGTCTACCATTCAAGCCTAGCTCCATCACCCTTCCAGTCTTGCCTCTGTCTCCTTCTTTTCCAAAACTGTTCCTCTATAATTTGCATTTTCAGCACTTACCAATATAACCAATCAACTCTGATGAACGAAAAGTAAGCGGATTTATACACGGATCACATCGAAGCAGTTCAAGAGGAATGTTATCAACAAGTATAGGAGACACCTCCGTCGTGTGGTATGCGAACTGAAAGTAACGACGCAGAATGGCTCAACGGGACTTGGCAGATGCGAGAGGGTCTTTCAGACGTATCTTCTGTACTCTAACCCGCCGATCTCTAATGTATCTCTAGACTTGAACATCCAGCGCTCATGGCGCTCAAAGGTACGCTTGACAGTTTAGTTTGAATCAGGTTCAACATCTTGCTCTTCAACTCATTCTCTTTCGACCTCGTTGACTCGACACTGGCAGCTTCACATTTGGACTTTAGTCTTGCAAGCTACTAGTGTCGCGTACTGATGCTGTTGACAACATCTCTCGTACTTGTGTATTCAGAAAGATCCAACTGACGGTCCGTCCAGGAACCTCCCTGCTCGACACGATCGATGCGTTCAAAGGCAGACGCAGACAATCCGCAATGCAATGATCAAGGCATTAAACCTTCAAATCCACAAAACGCTATCGAAGTTCTGTCGATCACCTAAGCATCGCAAGTGCCAAGCATCTCTCGTCCACCTACCTTCCTTCCCATCCTATCGGCAGGGCACTCTCCAAAACACGCTAGCATAGCTCTACACGCAGAAGAATACGAACACATATACACGCATACTGGAAGAACTGTGATGAGAAGACATGACGGAGAAGCGAAGGAGAAAGACTTTGGCCAGAATTGACAAATGGTCTGAAGCAAGGCTAGACAAGAGTCTCGGATGGTCGACTCTTTCGCATCTGCTGGACTTGATCATGCTCTGAACGACCTCTCGAAGAGAGTGCGGAGAAAAGACTAAAACCAGCTGCAAGTTGGATTCATGGACCAGAGGAGATCTCGCATAAAGTAAGTGGAATGGTTTTGCACATTATGCTCAAACCCTTGCCACACAACACACACTGGGACATGGAACGTGTAGAAAGGGGTCTCTTGTTGAGAATCCTTTAGCAGTAGCTAAGGCCGTTCTTGGGTACAAAGGATGATAGAGGTCCACAACATGTCCGTTCAGGAGGAGGCTCCATGGGAGCAGACTCTTGCCCATAACTTGCTTCTCAGCTGTTCATAGCATTTGCTTTGTCGTAGGACAATCTCAAGACGATATTTCTTGCACAAATTACGATCAAGTTGCTCAATAAAGATTGATATCAGTCGGCTGTGAATAGTGACATGATTCGCAATAATGTCAGCCCATTTCCTATCCATATCAAAAACATGCATGTGTGCCTTCGTGACATCAATGGCCAGTTCCAATTCTTCTTGTCATCCGATTTGATAGTATTTTCTGTATACTGTGATTATCCAAACACTGGAGCATTCGATAACGTTGCTAAAGGTCCAGAACCCGAATTCGCAGTTGATCTTGGAGCACTGTTCTAATTATCAATTCAAGAAATTAACAATTCGTCTCTAAGTACTTTTCTTCCGTTCAACTATGGTCGTGATCCTCGATGTAGCTTCTTTACACCTCGAGAGACTTAGAAGTACTCCACCCCGTTGTTCTACTGTCCGTTGAGGATCACATCTGGCGAAAGATTGAGAAGACACTTTCACGTGACGAGAAACGAGGTCCAAAGATAGGAACTACGTCCGGAAACTCGTACGATGTGTGCATAGTATGCATGCAGGTTCTTTGTCAAGCGAGGATGGCGTTTTGTTGACGAAAGTCGAGGGCCCATGGTACTGTGGATGTTGGGACGGTCTGAAGATGATTATCACTTCTCAAATTGAAGAAGCAAGCACCTTCATTACCTCTAACTTTCGGTCTCAAAAAATCCTTAGACGATCTTGCACCGTTGTCTAGATCGAATGGAAGGTGAGCATCGATGTTTCAAACCCAAGTGGCACGGAGAAGTTTGCACAGAGAACTCTGCACTGAGAAGACGTTCCAGAATCTCCAGTCTAAACTGACACAGAACGGGCTCGAACGTCAAATGCGGGATCAATCTCTACCATCTCCCTGTGCAGAATTCCAAAAGGGTCCAATCCAAGAAAAAGTGCGAGCAAGTGGAAGATAGAGTTGGCCGACGGCTCCTATCAGCGCGATCCGAGTATAGTAGTTCTTCTAGCATCTACAGGCCCGTCAGCCGACATCACAGTATGTATTGCAGAACTTGTAAGTTGTGTCACCTACACCAACAGTCTGTCATATTCAACGATATGGCGTCGCTGCTTGCACTTCTTCAATACGAAACCTTTCTTGGTGGTAAGGTCTGCTAAACCGCATTGAAAGCATTAATTTCGTCGGTGTAGGATGAGTCGAAAGCGATCCAGTCAATACAGTGTCTCTCAAGACCACGAAGGCTTCCATGACTGTTCGGTGCCTCATCTTCCGATATGCGAAGGCTCGCCAACGATAGCTCTCTCCCTACCGGCATTCGACCCTCTACACGACTCTGAAGTCCCCGAATTGACTACAGCGTCAACGTTCGCCAGCTTTGACGATCCTGCGAGCAATCCATTTGATGAAAGCTTCGCAAACATAGATTTGTGGGAAAACTGGGATGAAAACCAGACCCAGACAGGATATAATCCGACCCAGCAGCTTGTTGAGGGATACACACCTATATTCTCCGGATCATCGTTCAGCCTCTACCCTACTCCACCATCTACAGGCACGCAGACATCACAGAATACCTCAAAGAATCCATACCTGCTGCCACTGACGAAACCCAACGAACAACAGGGCGATGTGACTCCTGGTTACTCATATGAGTCGTCTGCCAGATATAATGCTGTTCATACTCCCTGCTTTGGTTACCCCAATATGGTAAAGTCTGTTCAAAAGCACTGGTCTAATGGAAATGCAACTTCTCCCTTTCCGACGGAAATCGCATCACTGGTAAGATAACCCTCAACTAGCAAAAACAGACACTAAATACAAGAGTAGGAATCTCCAAGCGCGCCCCGGTCTCCAAAGACAATCGCCTCAAATCCGTATCGAGAGCAAAGAAGCAGATCCAAGCAGCACACCATCGAGAAGCGATATCGAGCTCGCTTGAGCGAAGAGTTTGCTCTCCTGTTGGCAGCACTTCCCGAGAAGCTTATTGCTTCGGAAATCACTGGGCTTGGAGGACTTCAGATAGAGAGAGGCTTGAGCAAGATGGATATCCTTGACCTCGCGAAGAAATACATTGGACAACTGGAGAAGGAGGGAATAAAGCTGAAGCAAGTAGGGAGATCATTACAATTGGATGTGGATGCGTTTAAGAGGATATATGATGATTGTCGGAGACAAACTAGTAGTTGATAGGCGTATGAGGGAGAGTGGCTGTGGAATTTAATGCAAGAGAGCATGACCTGGCTCGAGGATCTCAAGGTCCATGAAGACTCCGCAGAGATACGGCTTTTTTTTGGTCGTCTTGCAACGCAACGTTGAACATTTATCAACCATAGCACTGCTGTGGAGACAATGAAGAGTTAGCTACAGTCTATTAGTGACGGCCAAAAATATGCAAATGGGTTACTTACTTGAAGTTTCCAATTCTTTGACAAGCGCTTTGAAGCATCCTCATAAAAGCATTAGTCAAACCAAGGTGACGGTGATGTAACGAACCACAAGCAACAGACTGCCTGAATGATAGAATATTCATGACCAAAAGAGGTCAGAGACGGATATTTATCCAACAGTGCAATAGATCAAGTTTCTGGTTTCATCGGAATGACGTCAGTGACGCCCCTCATTTCACGAGGTTCGCGCTTGACATATATAACCTCAAAAGCACAGCATCTAGCACTGACCAGAACGATTTTTTGCGAAATATCTTCTGTTCAACGTGTACCGCAGTACCAGGAAGACCAAGTGGTCTTATATTTAACGTAAAGCTGCCAATATCTCATGCGAAATTTATGTCGATTACTCTCAGTTGAGGCTTGCCAATTTGTTTACAAAGCAAGAGTTATATGACCACAGTTGATACTGTCCATGGTACTTGCATAATCAATTTATTCTTGATCCACAACATTTCATGCTGAGTTGCTCAACCGTATTCGTTGACCACTCAGTCCCAGTCCCTTCGACGAAGTCATCCACGTGATTCGCTGTTGCACCGCCCCTTATCTTTCAACAATGGCGGAGGATGATCCGCGGAATGGTCTCATGGATGCATATTCCATGCAGTAGCATCACGAGGCGTGTAGCATGCCTTTGGAGCAGAGTCTGATATGACTGGTGCTCAGCAAAGCCGTCAGAGCAGGCTGTGGGAAGTACCTCATTGATTTGTATCCCAGCATCCTCTCCACAACGTGCGCTGGTTTCTCATTGGACTCGCATCACAGGCTATGGTTTTCCTGGCAGAAGATTACGTTCCTCGAATCGAAGAATGAGTGGCAATCGAGAACATTTGCCACAGTGGCTTCGCTCGTTGCCCTCTAAGTTTCAAACTTTTCGCAATATTAGTGACAAACCTCTTTCTCGGTCATCACCCACAGCCAGGCGGTAGTTCATTGAGGACGGAAGCAATCTCCGGTCAGCATCGAAGAAGCCTTCAGATATCTGTGTCCTGCACCTCCACAAGTTCAGTGGCCACCAAGCTTCAACATTCGAGCGTTCTTCCAATCAGCATCCCAGTGCCAGCATGTGGAACAGTTGTTCTTTGGATCCTTCGAACGAAGACTCGACTTTCGCAAGACTTGTATTCTTTCTCGCATCTCCACCATTCACTTAATTTGCAAAATTGCGTGAAGGTCCAACCTTTCTGCTGACCAGCATCCATTTCGATCAGAAGGCATGACATCATTAGATGGAGAAGAAGAATGTAATTCTGAAGACGCATTTCCAACGTTGGATTGGCATGTCAACTCCGATCACGGCGAGCCACCGTTGACTTTTGATTCATCCACGACCTTCCCCAGTCCGAGCTTAGAGTCTTCTTGCAATCCTTTTGAGGAAAGCTTTCGCAACGCACAACATTGGGAGACGTGGGATAGGGATTCCATCTCAACAGCATCTTTCCAAGGAAACGTACCAAACGTTTCGAACGACCTTCATTACGCCACAGATCTATATTCCATGATCACCACGACTCCTGCAGAAGGAGAAAACCCGTTTCACTATACATTGGGGCGGACCAGTCCCGAATACAACAACACAACTACTTCTGACTTCGTGTATCCAGCTATGACGACATCGCCACTATCCACCACTTCCTTTATGGGTTACAATACTGGAGAGCAGATAGATATAAACAAATCTTACACAGACCATACGACTAAGGTGAACACACAGATGCGCCATCATAAAGAAAAGCTAACAGAACTACCAGCTACTGTCGACAGCAACAAGTTCTTCCAAAACAAAGCCTAAGAGATCAAGTACAAACAGGCATGCGAAACAGAACCGTGTAGGTGAGCATGATACCACAGAAATGAGGTATAGAGGGAGGATGAATAACGAGTTCGCAACGTTGTTCTCAGCACTTCATGCAGTTGGGGAACTTGGGCCTAGTGTCCTGGAAATACCAACAATGTAAATTGAGGCAAAGAGCGAACACTTGGTGCTCAATGCTTGAATTGAATGTTATCGATCACATAAAGTTGGCGCCTTGACCAGAAAACTGTAGATGCAACTTGATTATCTATCGCTATACATCGAAACGCATATTTAGAATTACGAAGACTTTCACACTTCCTCACTAAAGGCTTACAGTAAGGTTGGGATTTTATAGGACGGCTCGATTGGTGGTTTTGATGAAAAACAAGTCCATCGTCGACACTGAGATCTAGAAGATAATTCTCTAGCTCTAGGTATGAAGACAAGTCCACCGATACCACATATCAATGTCGTCTAGACTTATGGTAGCCAAGAGATGACGGAAAGTACTCACTTAAGTTAGCGTTCACGTGACTAGGAAGCTAAGATTCTTAAGTCGACGACGACAGACTGAAAGCTCTTCCCATTGAGGTCACACTTGCATGTACAATATCCCACAGCGGGGTAGCTGCATGAAGGGCTCGAAACAACTATTGCATACCGTACAACGTTCATATCAACTCCGCCGGGTACCGAATCTCGATTGTTTTCGACGACTGACAATCGCGTGCTTCCAGACGCAGCGGAGCACACTCCGTTCGCTGAGCCAATGATGACGTCCAATGCGCTTCTGAGATCAATATCGCCACCTTCTCACAAGCTGGATTTCTTTTTTCTCTCGACTGTCTTTGGTTCCGGTATGCTGTCGGCTGGCATTGGCATACCAGACCTGGAAAGCTCCGGCAAAGCCAAGGCTCCACAAGGCAACAAATACTCTTTCAAGTGGGATATAAGCGACATTTTGCAGCACATGTACTAGACAGGAAGTGCATGCATCACAATTAAGTTCTACTCAACACCTGATTACGGTGCCAGAATGCTGTCAGAGGTGCAGCCACAGATCCGCAAGGTGGAGAAAATGGCTTGAGCCGGGCCTTGTACTGTGGAATCTCATTATATGATGCCGAAGTCATCTATCCATATATTCCAAGCGCCCTTCTATTCTTTTCTCATCTCAGTATTCATTAGATCCCGCACACACATTTTCTCTCTGGAAGACACGCTACATTCGACTTTCAAAAGTCCTACATAGATGAACACATCAAGGAAACACAGTCAGGAAAGGGCTCCCATCGTCTTTCACAAAACTCTCAATGACATCTAACTATAGCAGGTGTTGGGAGTGGGGTACAATTACCCCGCAGGTCAACAAATGAGCGACACAACATCACAACAACAAGATTGGCTGGCGTCTCCCATCCTGAGCATACCGGATTGGCCCAATGACAATCAGCCAAGCGATTATTATGCTGCATCGCCGATCTCATCACCAGGGGTCTATACACCTTCAAATGGAGACTCATGGAACGTTTTCGACGACAGTTTCAAAGACTCTTTGGTCTCGACTCCTTCAAGTAGCCCGACAATGAATTCATTCGGCAATTCCATTGTGGAATATCCTCAAAACGTCCCTGTACCACTCTGGAATTTGACTTGGTCGCCAACAATGAATCCTCCAGGATCAACATCATCCTATCTGCCGCTTTCTATGATTTACGACCCCTCAACGGCATGTGATGGCGAGGCTGGAGAAGAGACCGAAACGCCAAGCAACCAATATCAACCTTCTGAGAACTACGAAAATCCTCAGAGTCCACGCAAAGCTGCTTGGGGAGTGTCGCAACGTGCAAAGCGAACATCTGGTTCAAGATCCGATAGGTCCGCTCGCAAAAAGCGAAGAGATTCTTCGAGTAGACCTGACAATAGCAATTCTCCACCAAAGGGCCACCAACTTCGCAGCACCAAACATGGACACAGGATTTCGTATTCAGAAAATGATCACAGAAGTGAAACTTCGAAAGGAGCAAGGACATCTCATAATATGGTGGAAAAGGCATGCCGCTCAAACTTCTACTTCTCCTATCCTTTCCGACCAGAACAGCTGCTTTCCAACCTACTGTCGATCAAATGATACACGCTTACCGATCAATAGCAATACCGTACAAGATTGAATGGCCAATTCTCGACGCTCCTCAGTTCCCTTCCACCAGACGTCGTTGGAAATGAAACTGATAGTTATGGGAGAGTCGACTCAGGAGCAGAAAAGAAAGTTAGCAAAGCAGAAGTCCTCGTCCTCGCCAGTACGTCAAATAGTTCCCCTCATCTCTTTCTCCTCTCAGTCGAGCTCTTCGGGATAATCCTCAGGAGCTGCTCTAGATATGTTTCAACTCCTTGGATGAAGTCTTCGGGCCCAGACTTCTGTCAAAAATGTATCCTGACTCGTCAATAGAGAAGCACATCGAGAACCTCGAACGGACCAAGAAGTCACTTGAGTGTGACAAAAAGGCCCTCATGGAGGACGTTCAACGACTTAAAGGCGCTTAGGTCAGAATGGGCGGTGACGTTATGCCTTGAACGAGATGGTCTCCAAATAGTCACGGAGAAACTGGAGGGTTGTAAGGGAAGGTAATTTGGGCTTGTGTGAGTGAATACCTTTCTGTGGAGTCAATGATCCCAACCATACCTACCGCCAATCTACGGTACTAGTTCCGATTGTTGTCAAAATTTTCTTTAGCACCAAACATCTACTTCAGATGATGATGCATTAATATTAATGTCCGGCATATTGCTTTCAACTGGAAGACCTTTTTCTCCTGCAAACCTATTGCATGTGATATCATCAATCACGTGCGACCAGATCTCGATCTGCTCGCTTGTACCTGCCCTATACAAATTCATACTTTCCGCCATCATTCCAACTCCACCTTTCATTTCTCAGGCTGAGGGCACGAAACTTTCTCTCGTACTCGGTCTCTTCGCAAGTCCAGCCACAGTGGTACGATCCTAAGAATCTAGACCACCCGAAATCCAAGCGAAAAAAGTTTCTGGGGAACGCTCATGCATGCATGTCATTCTCCTCCTCTGTCCGTGCCCGGGGACCTGGACAGGGCGTTCGGGTTCCTGTTCAGGACTTCGCCATTCTATTTCCTTGCCACGGGTAAGGCCGATGGTACCCTGGCGAGGTGGGGAGATTTTGTTCAGTGCATGACTCAGTTGTTTTTATTTGTTTTTGTTGAGGCCGTCGAGGCCATGCATGGTATGTGTCGTTGTTGCCGAGGCTACTTTGAATCTTGCCATTAAGTTTACATGGTAGAGATACCTCCGGTGTTCGGAACTCCCTTCTCGAACCTCGATTCAATTATCAGGAGATATTGTCACTGGGCGTGCAAGGCTGATCAATCTTTGGAAAAACAGTGTGATGTTTGTTATTTGCTCTGAACAAATCGTTTGTCCATCTCAGCTTCCTGCCAACCGTCATCTTTTCACTTCAGTTCGCCACGAAGCCTTGGATTCAAGATGCTTTTCTACTCTTTCAACTATCTTCAGATCCCATTGAGCTAGACACGATGCCGTCCTTCAACATGTGCTTATTATTTATCAATTAGATAATGTAGTCTTTCAATTGTCGTCTCAGGGTCGAAGTCACATTTTGAGGAAGACACTGCAGAAGTATGTCTCTGGCAATTTCGTCTACCCATCTGATCATGATTCCCTCTCCGATCAGCTACACTGTTCTTACTTAAGCTATCATGATATATCAATAAAGATAAGAGCAACGTATGGTGGGTGACAGCTCAACCAAGAACAAGCCTTCCAACTCTTACGGGTTCTCTCTGGACACATTCATGACAGTTTTCATCCGTTCTTTATGCCAAGACTTTGACTTCTTCACACATACTCTCCTTGATACGCATTCTGATACTCCTCTCTTCTTAAGGTTTCTGGAGACTCACCCATCAAAACTTCCAAGCCCACATATGTACCTGGAGAATATTGAGGGGGAGTTGGTTGCTGCGAGTTCAAATTTGTCGTAGTGTATTGCAAATGAGAATGGGAAATTGTATTTGGTATTTCAGTCGATGTTCTTCTGCGGTAGATGGAATATGTCTTCGATTTCTACGTCAGCCAATAGATATAATATTCCAAGAACCATTATCACTCGTGACTTGATCCAACATAGAATACCAAAGTCCTACATACATTTCAAAATCCTCATCCCACCTCATCTCCCTCTCCAATCATCCTCGCATCCTCTTCCCTCCGCCCCCTAACAACCTCACAAGGCCACCTAATCCACCCAACCCAAACCCCACCCAACAACCCCTCCACCCCCTTCAAAATCTTCTCTGCCCACCCCTCCGCCCACCACCTCCCCCTCAACTCATCCAACAACACACAAAACCACCCCAACACCACCAACGCCTCCTGACACTCACCTTCCTCAAGCAACCCCACGAACTCCTCATCAACATTAACCACCCACCCCAAACTCGAACTACTCTCCCTCCTCTCACCCACTCCCGCGAACCCCACCCTCAACTCCTTAATCGCATCCACACAAATACGCCGAACGGCAGCTGTACTATTTTGACTGAACGCTAAACACAGCGCATTTAGATTAGACGATATTTCCGCATCGATGGGACCAGTACCATAATCTACTTTAGATTCGAAGATCGGTTTCAGCGGTCCGGATTGAATTATATGTTTATAATCCTGATGCGCAGGTTCGATGCCGCGGAGGAGTCTGAACCAATCTAAGACTAAAGCGGAGACTTTCTTGGGACTGCTGTCTAAGGATAAAGAGTCTGGGAGCTGAGGTTGAGCGAAGGACATTAGGGTGATTCTGCCAAACAAATTAGCATAGTAAAACATCGAAACGAAAGTGAGGGGCTCCAGGAGCCGGGAGCTGTCTCAAGAGCTCTCGTTTGCAATATGTCTCGGCTCTGCCCGGCTCCCGGCTCCCAGAGCCCTCATACAAGAAAACAGTAAATTAGTATAGGGGTTTGACATACAGGATAGCGCACCCGAAGACCGCAGAGCAGTTTTCGGGCGTGACGTTGTAGAGAGTGGAACGGAAGGAGCGGAGGGCGGTATTATGATGCGTGTGTGCTGCTATGAGGTAGGTTTCTATCCCTTTGTGGTTGGGGATTTGATTCCGCTGGATGAGGAAGATGAGGTGGAATACTGATACGGCGAGGAGGGCGTGGGTGAAGTAGTCGTATCCAAAAGCCGCTTCGACGAATCCTGTGCGGTGGAATTCTTTTTGGGCTGGAGATAGGACTAGAGAGGCTGAAACGGTACAGTATGTGCGGGAGGTGAAGTTATGGAGAAGTTCTAGATCTAGCATGCTGGTTGGCGAGAGTGGAGGGGCATATTGGAGATCTGGAGGGTGAAAAGCGGGACGAGCTGGTGGGGTTGCGGATGGCGGGGTGAGTCCCTCGAAAGAGCAGGGGACCCGATGTTTGTGACAAGGGCCACAAAGAGGGACCTTCTCGTCACACTATAGACAAGAAGTCAGCATCTCTGCATCATGCGAAGTCATGTCTGGGTCTTGAGAACGCACCTTGATCTTACGGCTTTTGCATTGCTGGCACCCGTTCCTGCTCTTCAGATGTGGTTTCCGGGAAGGCATTACAGTGATTTACTCGAGATACATGTCTGTTCAGAGATCTTTCGGCTTTCTCAAGGTATTGGTCGGGTGTTTGTGATCCCAGTGGCAGACGAATGTAGTTTAACTATACGACGGGTCCGAATACGAATGAAGTACGACTTACATGAACAGGGCTGAGCACCTTGATCGTCAATCATTACCTAGACTTTGCGCTGATCTATGCCTTGAACAGCCCTAGGTCAAACCCTAATCCGCATAGCATTTGAACGAAAAGGGTGTACTTTTAAGGTTAAGGTTAAAATCCGACGGTCAGCTAACAAATCAGATCAGAGTCCGAGATTTTCGTATTCTGCTGCCCAAGCGTGACCACTAACTTTTGATAATTCAACACTAAGACATGGAGATCATGGAATCAGGCAATTGTTCGTTTGTTGCAAAATCTACTTCTTGTTTCTTACAGTAGTCATAAATTAAGAGATAACTCAATGAATCGATGATTCGCGCTAACCTGCAAAGAGGGTCAAGTCCAGTGACATAGTACGCGTACAGAAAAGTGCCTTCCTAACCTCCGTCTCTTTAGTAAAGGCATTTGAAACGTGATACTATATCACAGACGGCTATCATAAGTGGCTTGTGTCAAATCATGATCCTGTTAGAATACCTTCAATACATACAAGATCACGATGAGCTTGGGGTAACTTACCTCCGCAACTGAATTGATATGATGTTTACTTCATTTGGTTAGAAGTCTAAGCAGCCCAGCCAGTGTCCTTCAATGCTTGATCATAGCAATCTTTCTTCTGGTAATAGTCGGCGATGTCTCTCGCCGTTAGTTCTTTCGCCTTAAGTGCGTCGGGTAAGTTCAACTTTGAACGTGCTGTCCTCTCTTCTGGATCAATTCCTAGTCTCAAGACCTTGGTCAATATTCCCGGCGATCCACCTCGTGCTGCAAGATGAAGAAGATTCCATCCTCGCGTGTCCTTACGATTCGCAGACTTCAGATCAGCATCAGCTAACAATGTATCGAAAGTAGGTTCGTTTCCATGAACGGCTGCGCAGGATATAGGCAACCAGTTAAGTTCAATGGTGCGGATGTTGGGTGAGCCTTGCATACTCCGTATCATCTGAACATCTTCGGCTTTTCCAAATGCTGCAGCTCGGTGAAGGATAGTCCAGCCTACGCGATCTAGTGCATTCCAAAAGCTAGGTTCGAGAGCGGTAAAGAATTCAAGAAGCTCGGTAGAATTAAGATGTAACCGCTGAGGCTCAAAGATATATCTAGCTGATGTCCACATGCGACAATTCGTATACTCGAGTTCAGCCCCGCTATCGAGGAGCTTTTGCACGATTTCAGCGTTGCCAGTATAGAATGCAGTGTTCAAAGGGCTACTAAGACAGAGTATAAGCAGAGTTCGAAGCATTAGAATGATTCCTCACGTTTCCCATTTGCCATAAGTCAGATTCGGATCCGCCCCCTTGTCAAGCAATAACTCAACAGCGTCTAAGGCGCCACTCAGAATAGCGAACTGGAGATGATTAGCCTCGATACAATTGCAGAATATAGGAATACATACGTGCAGCATGGTCACCCTATCTACAGTCATGTCATTCGGATTTGCGCGGCCCGAGGAAATAAGCTCTTGTATCTTCTCAGTATCACCATCCTGACAAGCTTTCACCATACTTGAATCAGACGGGACAGTATTCTGGATTCTGAAACATGGGTAGATGAGTAGGCTAGGCCACGGGGCACGCAGGCTTTGAACTCGGACTCTTAGCACTCTGTTCGATGACAAAGGACACTGTAGTATCATATTTTGGGAGTATTGGCCGTCGAATCGAGAGACTATGAGGTTGATATTGGCACCAAAGTAGCTACTCGCCCAGCGGTGGACTCTTGTCTCAGAGAATTGACTGCCTTGTTGTGGAGTGATTGTTGGAGTTGGAGTCTCAGTGTAATGCAATTTTCGTTCTCCCCGTATTTCCTCTTCAACTGACGCAAGGCTGTCTCTTAGTTCTTCCAGATTAGATTGGATGTCAATCATTAAGGTTCTCAAAAAGAACAATCAATCAGTCAGAGGTCTAGTCATTTTGATGAGCGAACTTGGACATACGATTGACCTAAAAGCAAGCTTAGGCTAGAAGCAGTTTGCAAATCCGACAACTGGGTACAAAGTTCTATCGCTCTCTGCTTATCTTTGACTGCCCACCTAACTCGCTGGCGCTTGGTGGTACTATGCAGGTTTCTGGGAAAGCTTGTGCCAATACTCTCAAACGATGACTGTGCTGCAGCGAGATCTGGATTCAATTTGAGCGATTCATTCTGGAGAATAGATCGAAGTAGGTCCAGCTTTGCCTCGGCGTGTCTCATTTGATCATGTGCACGACGGTAGTCCCCGAACATGTGACCTGCGGTCTGAACAGTTTGTGCCGCCTGAACGCCTACCCCAGCAAGACCCAATATACTAGCTGCTACACTAAAGGGTTCCATTTTAGCTTGTATTGAATGTTGATACCGAGAGCTAGATCAAAGAATGATGATATACGGGAGCAGACAATAAATGCGACAAACCTATGGGGGTGATAAAGGCTATATCGTGCTGCAGTACCGTAACAGAAATGATGAGTGAGTGGTCATTGGCAAGTCAGCTTCAGATTTGCGGATATGATCCTAATCAGCCATGACATCTGCAAAGAAGTATCCAGTAAAACTCCCATCTGGCCCTCCACAATCAATGCACTCTCTTATCAAAGGAATCGCAAAGGTTGCCCAGCTTATATGTAAGCCATCTATAATTTGCCCAAGTAGCTGCTGTGTAACATCCATAATCTAGTCCAATCAGGTCTAAAGCCTCAAGGAAATGCCTCCACAGTTCACGCCGACGTGAGTTAGGATGATAGGTAATCGCTTCCCATCTGAAGAATTAATAGTTGTCCACATCAATATAGCATTTGGAGGAACACTTACCTGTCACGCCAAAATGCGTATCCTTTTTTTTCTCGAAAGCGCAGACATGAGACCTTGCCAGATGAGGCTCAGAGTCAAGCCTGCCGTAATGGACAGGGGAATGTAGTCTCTCAATGGTTCCAAATTTGATTGGGTCCAAGATGCCAATATGCCTAAGACAGTGCCTAGAAGACATCCAAATATAAGGAAGTGGTCTCGATATTGACCTTGCCCGAGCATGCAGAAGAGCAAGACCGCCGAACTGTAAATCATGATTGCACTCATGAAAGTTACAGGAGAGGGATCGAGGAAAACCATTGGGACGGATACCATCGTGGGGCAATCGACAATTACCGAAGCCTGCCTCCGAGCATCTGCAGATGTCTCCAATGGAGAACGTTCTTTAGTTGACATACATTTATTGACAACGATGCGACTTACATGCGAGCTTGATAGCCACGGAAATTTATGTCCATTGTTGAGTTCCACGTACTCCGAGATCCTCCTCATACGATCCAAGCCCTTCCCAGAGTGTGATTGGCTGTAATTGCTGACGATGACAGAGCATAAGACCTGGATAACCAAAGCTAAGCACTGTTTGAAAACACCAAACGTTGCAGTATAAGTCCATCCTGACTGATTTTGATTATTCTCGCCAGGTTGAGAAGCTAAATCGGGCAGCAATGAGATCTTTCCTAGCAAAGTGGTGTCTTCTTCCTCGGAGTCCAGATTCTTCTTGCTGCGCTTGGACTGGGTATAGGCCATCAGTTCTTTGATAATACCGATTGCCGACGAAAGTGAGATATGTTCAGATGATGGTTGAGGATGCAACAATGAGGGAATGGGAGATCTTGGGCATTGTATTAAGTCTTATGAATGCCCAATCGAAGAAGGCTGCAGCACTCAGTAGCTCGTAGACCAATAAGGGATGATCGAGCAAGCCAGCGCCGACAGCCTTGCACCGGCAATTGCTCTGAACTCCATCACGTGGTCTGACACAAGCAATACTTCTAACCTTGTTCGCAATGCTACCATAACAAGGGTTGGTACTGGTTGCCATTTAATGCTGTAAGTCTTGACTACGAATAAAACGCTTTGCCTTGTCTAGGCTAGCAAATAGTGAGTGTCACACACCAGAAAGTCCAAATGCCAACCGAAATGTTCGAGGCTCAGCCGAGAGGCTTTAAGCAACACCACGTTTTTGACCCACGCCAACGCACTCCTGTAAATAGATGAAACGGCTTCCTCGTGCAGGTAGCATTGATATGTCCTGCAACGTTTGGCTGAATATAGTGGAGACTGCAAATGTACAGTGATTTATGACTCGAATTACAGAAATCTGTGTTCAGTGTAAACCAAACAGGTCGTTTCTCCTATGAGTTTTCCATTACTCATGCACTCTGTACACAGTTTTTTGTTGCCTTTAAGTCCTCCATCATTCATGCATTCTTTGCTTTGTGTTGTTGGATCGAAACTCCGCCATTCCTTGCCGCAGATCCAGAGAATCATCTTCTCGATTCGAAGGAAAGAGAAACAATCCACTCTCAGCTTCGTTCCAGTGATCTGACCCTGAGAAGCAATATTCTCTGCCCGAATCGGTCCTCCATCCCAAGTTCCCAGTAGGAGGATAATGCAGATATCACCAATTGCCGACCAGGGATCACCCACACTTAGTTCTACAATAACAGCGCTGGCCACAACAGAGCAAGTCAACTCGCCATCCACTGAGATAACAAGCGCAAGGAACGACTTCCAAAGACAAGAGGACCACGGGAAAGGTGCCGCGAGGGAACAGTGTTCCCAGAGCATCGGTAACAGCGGGACAGACCTGGACGTCGGACCAACAGACACAAGCAGACATGTCGCTTCCCAAGAAGCAAATCATAAGATCCGTCCAAGCCGTGAGGATGATGGACAAATAGCGCACCGTGCAGCACATCCTCAGGAAGGCAATGATCCAGTCCTTGCCTCAGGGATCCATTCCATAGTTACAGAGCAGGATTATGGCTCCATCATACCGCCGCCAACCGTGGATGTGTCAAACTCAGAGGTCCATCAGCTCTTGCGCGACGCTCGTGCAAGTTACCCACCACCAGGTCAACAGAGGAGCTTGCGGCAGATCTTTCATCCCATCCCCATACCTCTCGCTTCTCTGCTCTTCCTAAGCTTCTTCGTGCCAGTTGGGGCAGCACCTCTTGCAGACAGCCATGGACATAGCCGCAGCACAACTGTACTCTTGCCGGCCGTTGCAATCGAGACTTTTGTTCTTATATCTAGTGCGGTTTCGTTCTTATGCCTCGTCAAAAGGTTTATCCAGGGTTGCGACGGGCTAGGCTCGTCGACGGTTCCTTTGTGGATTGTGTTGATCTCCGTCATGCCAATGTCCTTGTCGGTGTTCGCAGATGTAGGTCTGGGATTGAGGTAAGGGAAGTAGCTCCTCTTGAACAATATACATGCTAACAATCATCGATGGAAGTGGCCTGGTTTATGCGATGATCTTGGTGACGCTAGTACTTATCCTATCAGCCATTCTTCTCTACAAGACGATATTGGGAGTCTTAACACTAGCACGAGTCCGCCAGGGGGATGCGCATCTCCCTCTTCCCGTAGAAGTCGCTTCTGTGGAGGACGATCGGTGGAGCCGTCAGATTGCGATCTTGGGAGGATGTCCCCACTGTCGCGGGGAGGGCTGTTCAAAGTGCGGAAACGGAGGCTCGTCAGTCACACACACTCCCTCTCTTCATTCTGTGTATCATAACTGACTTTTCAGGTCTGGTGGGGATCCGCGGAGCACTTCTCAAGCATGAGTGTTCAATTTCTTTTTGGTTGTGTGATGATTAAGGGATACCAAACTGGGGCTGCTTTGCGACCAGGCATGAAGGTTTCGCTCTTTCACAGCGAGGCAGAAAAAATTTAGGGTATTGCCTCACCAAGGCTGTCGTAAAACATAGCCTGTGGTTAAGCGAACAATTTCAGGGAGACGAAGTCCAATGAATCGCTCAACTTCTCAGCATTGTAATATTAAATTTTCAAGTTTCGTTTATGTGCTATTTGCCCTAAGGTTTTGGTGGAAACATTCTTAAGTTCAGGTCACAACAACACAGCAGCCCTGCCTGAAGTCCCTCCGTAGATCATTACAGTGTCGAAGAGATGAACACATATTGAATAATAATATACACCCTACCACCTCCACCACAATAAAAAATACATCTCCAGTCCATCAACGAAACGAACAAACAAACGAAAACGCATCATCAATCTGCGACCGTCACATCATGTCGTGTACTCAAAGCCCAGCTTATCTTTCTCCCACTTCACCCTTGCCCCCTTTCCCCTTCGCCTCTTCTTAAGCAAACCTCTCCCCAACAACAACAACACCCTTCCCCTTCTCCTTCCTCCCAGTATTCACTCCCTCCACCAACTCCTTCTCACTCGCACCCAAACTCCCCTCTCTCCCCTCCTCCGCCTCAACATACACCCCATCCCTCCCCGTAAACCACCTCCTCTGCTCTACCACCCGAACAAACCACGGCAAGCTCTGGCTCAAACCCGGTTTATACGTCCAATACTCCTTCAGATCCGCATCTGGGGGTTGAATCCTCCCTCCCGAGACCTTCTTCGTGATATAAATCAATCCATTGAGGATCGTGTAGGTGAACAGACCAGCGATGAGACCGTATGCCACGGAGTACGTGAACGGCATCGAGACGATGGTTACGAAAGCCGGGAGAGCGTCGCCGATGAAGGACCAGTTTACCGCGGTGACTTGGCGCATCATCATGCAGCCCACGAGGATGAGGGTGCAGCCCGTGGCCCAGGGAGGGATAGATGCGAAGATCGGGGCGAAGAAGATGGAGATCAGGAAGCAGGTGCCGGTTGTTATGGCAGTGAGTCCTGTTCGGCCGCCTTCTGTGATACCTGCTCCTGACTCGATGAAAGCTGTGACGGGTGAGCACCCAAAGAGGCTGCCGATGGAAATGGAGATTGCGTCTGTGCAGTATGCGAGTGTTGAGCGAGGAAAGTCGCCAGTTTCGGGGTCGACGACGCCAGAGAAGCGGGCCATCGAGTATAGAGTTGCGGTGGCATCGACGATATCGACGTAGAGAAAGGTGAAGAGAGCGAGTGCGAAGTGAGAGCCTGCTCCTCTGACATCCCAGTCTTGAACAGCGAGGATATGTGTTATGGGGTGGAAGTCGACGACCTTCTTGAAGAATGCGAACATTTCATCGCCTTCGGCAGTGTGAGGGAAGTAGGTAAAGGTTGTATCGCGACTGGATATGGTTAGTGGCGAGTAGCAGCGAGAGAAGCTATACTGACGGCCATGACATGATGGAGACGACTGTGATTCCGATCATGATTGCTGATTTGACGCGATATGCCATGAGGTACGAAGTCAGAACACCGCCACAAATGACCCCAATCCATAGCTAGTAACATTATTAGCATCCATAACGGGAGCATAAGGACCAGACGTACAGTCGGATTGGTCATCTTATGACTTGTACACGCTCCAGAACCTGGATCCAGATACTGCGGAGGACAACCACCAATATCTGTCGGTGTATCAACAGCGCCAGTGATAAGTCCGATGCCAGAATACGACATGCCAATTTCAGTTAAGAACATGCCTATTCCAACACCACTTGCAACCTTGACTGAGGACGGAATGACCTTGACGAGCCACTGGCGCATGCCGATAAGAGAGAGAAAGACGAAGACGAAGCCTTCAACGAAGACGGCTGTGAGAGCAAGTTGATAAGATACACTACCAGTGCCGTGATATCCGACGACTTGGTAGGTGAAGTAAGCATTGAGGCCCATGCCAGGGCTTGGAGACGTTAGACTAGCTTGAGGTTTGGGTTCGGAAGAACTTACGCCAATGCGACAGGAAGGTTGGTGAGGAAGCCAAAAGCAATGGAGCTGATGCCAGAGATAGCAGCCGTTGCTGTGATAAGATCACGATTGACAGCTGCATGTGTCAGTTGAGATGATGCTGGAAGGCTTACAACAACGAACCTAGCAAGCATTGATTGTAGTCCGGATCGACATTGCACATAGTATCGTTTGGATTTGTACCAGGGCAGACACAAGTCCCACCACTCTGAGAGAGAATATTTGCCTATAACGTTAGCATAGCCAGCAGAAAGTTGAGATCGACGCTTACATTGACAGCGATAATATATGCCATGGTAAAGAAAGTCGTCAACCCCGCGCGAATCTCCGTGACGAACTTGGAGCCTTTCCGCTCTTTTGGCTGTACATCATCAGCAACAGTACCTCCTTACTTTCTTCCAATCATCAGACTTACATGACCAGATCCATCGAGACGGAAAACTCTCCCAAACGTAGACTTGGATATCCTCTCATCAAGAGCTCCGACCGCGTTCTTGAATGAAGACATATTTAATGAATATTGAAAATGTCAAGCACATGGACACAACGTGGGCAGCAGACGTCAGTTATACAGTAACGATCAGCAATCTCGGCAGAGGCACGCAGGAACACTTCCCGTCAAAACATCTCAGGAGGTTGAGAAAACATGGCGGGGAAGGTTGGCAGGGACCCGACGTTGGCTTTCCCGTCAAGGATCGAATGCACTTGCAAGAGACTAGGTTTTCATCCGCTATCGAAGACGAGGGAAGAAAGCAATAGCCAGTCGATGGTCCGGGTTGTTCCTGCGGTAGCAAGGGGGACTTTGAGGTGAAAGAGAATGACACACCGTGAGCTGAAACTGAATGCGGCATTGCTGCACGTAGCCGTGTGAGACAAAGCTGGGAGAGGGCACAACTTGTGGATATGCATACTCGATACTCTCAAAAGATACAGCAGACTTTCGAATTTCCCTTCCGCTACGTACATGTGATGCGCCTGGAAGCGAGGAGGCTTTGAGATAGGGTTCAGCCTCATTGTGATAGCTTGACAGGCCTAGATCAAACCCGCGAAATCATGCCATAAAAGCTTTTGCGCTTGGACACTCTGTCTTATAATACCTCAGATGCACCCACTTGGATGACTTCCGGGGCCAGAGAGTAGATTATGATCCCAAGTTTTCCAGTCCGATGGAAAAGTTAATCTCACCGGCAAGAGAACTGTACCTTTCCGAGAACAAGGATTGGTGCAGCGAGCTTCTGACGTGCTACCACATCGTATGATGCGGTACATGGCACATAGTGCTCCAAATTCTTTGGACGTCTGGTGGCGTACAAACCTCGATTCGATCTGGGAAACATGAGATGTCGGCACATCATGCAGGGCAGACGGATCTCCGCAGGGGACGGATATATACTCGGGAAGATTTTGGGAGGGAAAGATCGGCAGTGGTTTCACTGTCCCTCAACCGTGCGAAACGTCCAAAGGACAACGGGTGAGTCGTTCTGAGGGGAAGAAGGAAGTGAAGGCTGGAAAAAACTCGAAGTTCTCGACAAACATATTTGCTTCTTCCGATTGATCAAATTCTCCTTTGGCCCTAGGGATGCTGGCGCACGGGTCTTGCCACGACCCCTCCCATCAGCCCGGTGCTGAGACATCCACTAAATCGTGCACTTACCTCCAAACTTCATAGTGCCCGCCACCCATCGTCCAAGCAAATGTCATCTCAACAATTGCTCTCGATGATCTACATCTCGAGTGCTGTGCGTCCACGTCCTCCCAACCATGCTGTGTTCACAGCTCATCACATCTCAGCTACTGTTGTGACACGCACAAAAACGGCCAACTATTGACAAGCCACTGGCTCGGAATGGCCCCCTTTGGGCGGTTGGCTGCAGACTGCAATCTACTTACTTGAGCATCGTGACCCCAGCAAGGGCAAGCAGCACAAGATTCCGCGAGGGAGCGAAAATTTTCCAAGCTCATGTCTTGCACCCAATGTGCGGGACGTTCCTGCTTTTGAAAATGTACTTCGTCTCTCACACTCGTGGCCTCAAACTGCCATGTCACATCTCGGAATCTCCTGAAAAAGTCGCGTGAAGGCCACGTCTGGATCCTGCGTGGAGGTTTCATCATAATTCATTATTGCTGGGGATGTCCTCCTGCCCGCATCTGCTTGCTCTTCCATTCTGCAGATCCATGATCATTCAGGCCAAAGATTACCATGTTCGATGTATCTTGGACCGATCCCGAGCGGGAAACCGTTGGTGAAAGGAGAACTCGGAAGGAACAGAATGGCGGGTCGTCTCGAAAACAGAATGTTATATCACGAAGGTCGTCAATGCGAAGCTCGAAATCGACAGAATCTCCTGCTGCAGCTAAGCCATCGCTCTTGAATATCTTCGGATCAGGCAGGAAGCCGGCCATAGACCGAGCAAAATCGCAGTCAAAGCTCTATTCAGAAGACGTCAACGATCACCGGGTATCAATCTACACCTCCGGGTCGGAAACTTCAGCACCAGAGTCCTTTGGACTACCAGCAACGCGGATCGCTTCAAATTCGTTCTTTGACGGTCGTAGTTCCCATTCAGATACCGAGCAATCTAATCCCTCAGAGCGTGAGTCGATTGAACCTTCCATTCAGTCAAAGATACTGATAAAAGTTTAGCCCCTGACTCTGTCTTCTCCGGCTGGACTGAGAGGACTTCTCGCACTGATTCGAGCTGGGGTTCCGTAATCGACACGTCGACGCTCTCCTCTGGGACAAGCAGTTGTATTGTGCAACCATTATCACCAACATCGTTTGTGACCCAGAGCACCGAGGTAACGGTATCGCCTCGGGATAGTATAAAAGCAGAAGAGCAGACTGCGACAATCGTGAGAATAACTGCTGCTGGGACGACGATTCCTGTGGAGGTTTCCAATGTTCCTGATTCGCCCACGAAGACGTACGTTCCTCTCTGTTGATCACGTCTGATAGATTGAGAAGGTTACTATTGATTCATTAGCTGACGCGCAATCAGGGCTTCGCCTCCATCCACGTTCGCCTTCCCTCTTCCACTTCCCCTATCGTATGCATACCCGCCCTCAAGCACGAGCCCTATAGCTCCAAATCTCTGCCATCTTCCCGCGGTCTCGGAGGAGAAATCACGGCAAGTTATCAAGAAACAACTTTCTTTAGCTCCGACCCATATCGCAGGTTCATCATCCTGCTCCAACACCGGATCGAAACGCTTGACTGCAGCTTCATCGAATCTTGACTGTCGAGATCAGGCTACCTCGCCTGTAGCAGAGACTTGGAAACCACCAGAGACGTGGGAATGTCCCGCATCTTCATCAGATTCATCAGGCTGCTCTCTCTCTCCCACAGCAAAAACGCATCCCCGACCCAGAGTGCATCGTCCACCACCCTCTCTCGCAACTGAATTGTCCACGCTGCCATCCATTCCTCGACGTTCCAAGGAGAGAGACATACAAAAACCAAGACTGAAATCCCCACCTACTTCTGCTGAAATTCTGCATCTTCAGCGGAGCATTCGACGGATGGAAGCAGCAAGTAAGAAGATTATGCTGGAGAGGCTGCGTGAGGAATGGACCGAGATTGCCGATGCGAGCGTGTATCGGGAATTGGAATTGGAGAAGCAGATGTGGATGTTGACTGCACTAAGAAGCTTCGATGGGCGGAGGAGTATTGATGGTTCGAGGTGCGGGACTCCTGTCTGTGGCGAACAAAGAGGAGTATCTCGACTTGGAGAAGGCAAACCGGAACGGCGTAGGAGGAAGGCAGTAGGAGGGCATCGTGGAAAAGTTCTGAGTCTATTTGAGAATCATGGTAAGTAGCGGCCAATTTTCGAGGATGGTAGAACGGAACACTGACAACCAACTTAGCTTCAGCATCCTCGCTTGTCGCCATCGTGCCAAAAGGAACAGAGGTGCACCATCTCTCGACAGCTCCATTGTCGCCAAAGCAATACCTCAACATCTTACCACTCACTGTTCCGAGTGCGACTCCGCAGCTACCTTATGCTTCCAACATCTTTAGCAGTATTCACGCTTTCTGCCTACCGTCTCTACTGCCCTCTTCTTCTATCCCAGCGGTCTTAAAAGAGTGTTACCGCGTGCTAGTCTCAGCTCCTGTCTCTGCGCCACCAGATTCCTTAGCGTTAACTTCTCTCCCTGAGAAACCTTCTCAGTCGACAACGCCGTCCTCGAACACGTTGTCTAATTCTGTGGAACCCAGAGGTGGAACTCTTTGCCTCACGATTTTAGACCCATCTCCACTTCCAGGAACTCTAGGACCCCGCCTTCGAACTTGGCTGGATGACCACCTCGTCCTAAACCTTGAAAAGCAATTTCGATGCATCAACCCAAGTCGATTGCTCCCAGACTGGTTGGCGGATGCTGGATTACGAGCCAAAGGAAGCACGGTGATGTATGTGAAATTCTTCGCTTCTGTGCCGAATGTTGCTTGGTCGAGATGTTCATCCACTGCGGTCTCGAGGGGCAGAGCCGATGATGAAGAACGAGATTTGGCTATCAGGGACGAAATCGAGGAGGAAAAGCAAAGAGAGAAAGAGTTGGAAGATGAACGTATCAAGCAAGAGCTCAAAAGCGTAGTTGGAAGAATGCTTTGGAAAGAAATGTGGGGCTCATATGTTCTGGGAGAGAAGTGGTGGTGGGAGGATGAAGAGGTGGTCGATGAGTGCGAGAGAATGGGAACAGTATGGGAATATGCGGTGATTGAAGCGGTGAAGGGAGAGTAAGGCTCCATTTCTTTCCCGTCCATTCTCACCATTCTCCGGTGTACTTGATGCTTGTACTTCTATTGCTTCGTGTAGGGAATAGCGGCGTTCAAGCTGCCGGTGGTCTGAAAAGCACTGAGTTGCAACTCGCTTGATGTAGTTTCTTTAACATCCTTTGTTCCCGGATGCCATATCAGTTGTGGATACAGTTGACCTTGAAGCAATACGGCTCTTGCCTATTGTCAATTCCGTTGGGAAAATCGGTCATTTTTTCCATGCTTGTTAATCAAGTCCTTGGTCATGATGCTGCTGTACTGTACTTCCGGTGTCTCGTGTCGTATGGTATCATTGATGTCTTTTCCGCTCATCGCATAGAAGTTTCCGCATGTCTCTCGATACTGGCATTCGCCGCCGCTTCGATTCCGATGTGAAGGCCATTATCGGATACCTGTTGCCGAAATTCCAGTGAGAGAGGAATTTCGGAAGAACTTGTCCCAAGAACATCACCACTTCTCACACCACATTCTTCATTACCAGCCCATTTCTCCGATTCTTTCGCCACAGCCCACCTCTTTCTTTTGGCTGTTGCACATCGCATCGGCGCCCTATTTCCGCTCTTTGTTGCCGGCGGATATACCTTTCAATCAATCCGCCTTCACAACAGTTTTGTTGCAACTCGCACTTTGCCTTCGAGTCAGCAGCTCTCCAAGGCCCATTGTCTAGATTGTGACTTATGGCCTGACTCGACTCCGGGAGCAGCCGCAAGACTTCCGCATCTTGATGCCGGCCGCTTCGCTTAACGCGCTGTAACACCAAATCAGACAGTTGATGATACACGAGTCAGGTCATGTCGTACAAGGACCAATGACAGCTTTCAGATGAGTTGGAATGCCAGCTTCCGGTCAAGACGTGCGAAGGATTGGAGTTCCATTCGTTCAGACTTTGCTCTGCCTCGGTATCAACAGTACCTAGGTACCTGGCTTGAAGCTGAGGCTGTTGGCCGTGACAATAAACAAAGCAAACGTGATTCTGCTTCCTAGGTACCTGACTCGAGCACACAAAAATGGACCCCAAGTAAGCGAACGGATGAGCTCTTCCTGATCAGTAATCTTCATACGCCCCTGCAGATTGATTCCATGAAAGCAACCATGATAAGTCACTCCAGATGCTTCAAGAATTCTGGACAAGGCGCGTTATAAGCGACCCGGAAAGTCGGTAGTATTACCGACGATGTAGAACAGAATTTGACCTGTACAATAAAGGTTTATGTCTTGCATGGAGTCAAAACCTTGTTTGCGAACTAGAGCGCGGGAACATCGTTTGGGAATCGAAAACCGCATGGTCTTGATCATGCCGTGATCGAGAACCTGGCAAGGCTGATAGGAAGGTGGAGATCTGAGTGTGGGGAGCTTTGTGTGCCGTTGAATGCATGAGTCGTGTTAACTTGGACTTCGCTGACTCGGCCTACTTTCTCTCTCCAACGCCTCGGGGTAAAGCCAAGAGCAGAGTTCTCTCGGTCGTAGGTAGTCCGAATGATGTAGTCTCCAAGACATTTGTACTCAGATGATGGTCGGAGGAAGGCGAAAGGAATGCCTCCGAGTGGTTCTTCCATCTACCAAGGCGCCTTGTGGCGAGAAAAGTCATAGCGAGACTGTTTCCAGCAGATCATGGGCGCTGTAGCCGTGATGAACTGACTCGATATGAAAGCTCGAGATGCAACAGATGGTAATTTCATAATTCCCATCATCCAATACAATTCGAGTCTGTCCATGACGGCATAAAAGAAATCAGCGAAGGAGACACAAGTGTACCGTCCAAGTGATTACTCTGCATCCCAAGGCGGTTATATGATTTCCGTGCAAGGTCTGCTATGTTGCTGAAGACGCACGAAGGAGTTTGTTGCACATCGTCTTTTGTCTCCGAGTCAGAAAGATCAGGTCACTCCTCAGAATATTGTGGGGAAGTGAGGGTCTAAGAAGAGTCACGATGCCCTGTTTGGTTCAAAATGAAAGAGTAGACAGTCGTCCCGATGGGCCATGGCTTGGGAGGGCTGACTCGAAGGAAACGTTCGAAATGCAACAAAGGTGTGTTGACTTGGGGCCGCTGATTGCATAAGGTCGTAACTCTGAGGCTCGAATGTCGTATAGGCTGTCTTGACGAGCCCCCAATGTTGAAGTGGTCGAATGAGTTCGAGCTAATTCCCACATGGCGCGAATGACGGTTCTTGGGATTTTCCCGATGAGTGCTCTCAGATAGCCATAACAAGGTATCGTGATAATCTTCATCAGTGTCTCGTTGACTCTGGGCGGGTGGATGTTAAGCCCACCTGAGATTTCCTCTGAAGTAGATGCGCCCGCATGGTTGTCGCTGCGTACAGGAAGTGTGCTCCTCGGAAATCGGCAACCCCTCTCCATAGCTCTTTGCGATCCGTATCCATGTAATCACGACCTGACAGGTATGGGACTCCTTGCAAATAATGAGCGGCAATCACGATTTCGGTGCTTATTTGGCCCACATCACGAAGAACAAAGTCAAGACCTGACTCGCCTTGAAAATGCGATCTGCAACAAAATCCGGAACAATAAAGGAGGCGTTAATGACTTGAAGTGGGCTGCGGTGGTTTGACGTTGAGAAGCTGGAGAGTTGAGAAGTTGAAGAAGGAGTTGTGAGAAGTTTGTGCTTCGCACTTTTTGGTGATGGGTGAGGAAGGAGCTCACAGCTGCCGCGTTCAAAATGCGTGCCTGCTGCTTCTTCTCAGCAACAACGTTTCTTCGCCGACACGGACATATTGGATTTTATCATGGCATGTTATCTCATCTGGGCTTCGATGCTCAAAGAAATCTTTTCTCTCATTAATACGCTCCCACTGATCATGTCGGGTTGAGGCATCTCAGACGCAAGCCATGAACATGCTCGAGTCGCTGCAGCTCCAGGGACAGTGCTTGCGAGGGAAACAGTTATGTCTCAGCAATACGGCGTGAAACGTTCGAAATTAGGCTGCCCCTCAAGAAGAACATCGTAGATGCTTCGGAATATCCTCTCGACTTTTCTTATAGACATTTCTCAGCGATCTTTCTCGAAGCTGTGCTCTCTCATCAATCTTGCTACGTATCTCGAGCTGTAACTGAATAAAAGGCTTGTGGTCTTCCATCAATGACTACGACACACTAATGCTCCTTTCCGCGTTCCCTCATTGTTTCTCGTTGTGCATCTTCTGTCATTCTATCCAGGCTTTGGTTCAATGTCGTCAGCCTCCGTCAGTCGCATTCAAAGAATCTCCCAGCATCGGTGTGATGATTCCGGAAACACCTCCATACAGTGGATCTATTTCCAACTATATGTGTGAATACTGCCATATGATTGGTACCGCACAGATTGTACTTAACGTCGCTGGCGAGGGCAGCAGCTCAAGCCCGACCTGACTCGAGACATTTCGCTTGGAATGGCATTCATGTCTGAGCAATGTACCAGCTGTATCCATCAGGGAAGAGAGAGTCATATTAGAGAACTATGTCGTGGCTTGCGAAAGTCTCCTGGATCTCCAGAATGTTGGAATTTCATAGATATCCAACCCAGAGCCTCAGAGTAATCCCCATCTTGCGGCACACCGAGTGGGTCAAGGGAGCCTCTCCTAGTCCTCTCATTCTTAGCGCGCTATTTGGACATTGGGAACGGGTCGGGAATAATTTCTCGACTCAAAGGCTATTCTGCGAAGTGCAACAAAAACACGTCAGAGCCCCTGATATCTTTTAGGTCACCGCAATTCTGTGTCAAATATCATATTTCATGACCTCCTCGGAACAGTTCCGTTATGGTGGAGACATAAGCACACGGGCCTGTGGTTCATTATCAGACAGAGACTGCTGAGAAATGGCTGACCGTGAAGGTCAATTGTGCGATCAGCAACAAGATATGCCTAGTCTTCTGACGACGACGGATGGTACTCATTATGAGCAGTGCAAAGCATCATATTCTTCACTGAAACCCCGTAAACATCAAAGTCTTTTGCCCCAACCTGACTCGAGGCGGGTTATATTCGGAGTTCCTGCCAAATCTGGGGAAAATCCAAGCACTGCCGTTTCCAAAATGACGAATCCACCACCAAAACTTGAAACAAATTGAGCTACTGGGTACGAAGTAAAGTTGCTTCTTCGGACTGACTCAAGAGCTTATTTTGCGACGTGCAACACATCGACTCTTTGCAGCCTGCTGAGCCTGCTGATACCTTGACCGTCGAACCAGATCTCACGGAACCGCGACAAAAAGAAACTTGCCATCACATCTTGGCCCCATAACCATGGGTCTCTGATAAGAAGACACCTAGTGATCACATCAGGAAGTGGGTTTCAATCGCCCAATTGATGTGACGATCGAGGTCTACATCTTGAAGAAGTGATACCCAAGTTGTCTTTCCTAAGATGGATTGGCTATTCATCTGTGAGGAGACGCTGAGGATCGGAAGCATTATTGACGAGTGGGGTTGTAGGAACTCAGCGGCACGACCTGATGATCATGCTTGGACTGTACCTTGTTCGACTGACAGCGGGAGCAAACCCGAGAGGATCTCCGCAGCATGCTCTCGCTGCGGGAAAGTGGATATGACGACCCAAAAAAGAAGTTCTCAAGCCTCTGAGATAACCAGCTTCATGGGCCATCAGTCAGTCGCTGACTCGAGCTGATTTTTACGAAATGCAACAAACTCCTCTTGATGGAAGAATTGACCTGTCATATAGTGTATCCCTGGCTGATGCATCACATCATTCTCGAGAATATACTTCGTATGAGCGTGGGAAGGTCATTGTGGTTTATCCACTTCCTAGGCCTAGACCTGGGCCGAAAAGGGCCGAAAAAGTAGAATCAAACGATTATGATGAGCTTCTACACCAAAGTGTGCGCACGACAGCAGATGCAACGCGGCGAAGGACTATCCTTCCGAAATTCAATGAATATCCCCTCTTGTAAATTACAGAGAATCTGCAAGCAGCATCAAGTCTTTCAGAACAACCATGGTCTCGATTTTCGCTTAGTCTCGCCTATTGTGTTCTCCTGAACCAGTGTCATGAGACTACTCGACTCATGAGTAAGTCCGTCTCTTCAGCCTTACTGTCATGGAAATATACAGTCCTTAGCCTTTGTCTACCCATACTGACTCGAAGTCAAATCTGCGAGATGCAACAAAGTGATCATTCGGTACCAATGAGCCAAAATGCTTAGACAAGTCCGAATTACTTGGTCACATTAAAGATTTTACCCACAAATAGTCATCTACCATATTGACCTCAAGCATGGACAACCTATCCAATCTTTGACTTGAGTTCAATGTGTAGAGGCAAGAAAGAGGTATTTCATATTTTGATAACAAGGATAAGTCGTACGATAGGACGTGGAAGGTCGACGAGGATGCCGACAAAGTTGCCGAGGATAGCCAAACGACGATATGCCAACTATCCAGTCTCTCGGCTTAACATTAGTCGCCGACCTATCATCTAGACCCAACTAGAAATATATTTCGCGAACTGCAACAAACCCACCTCTTCTCTCTTCTCTTCTCATGTACGGAACTTCACCTCTCCATGCTGAACTCAAACAGAGCCTCTCAACCCGAATCCGAATCCGAACTCGAAAACCTAAACTCTTGAGCCTCACATCCTGACTCAACCGACACGAATCAATTCACTGACTCAATTCGACAGCAAAGATCCACTCTCTCCCCCAGTAACTGACTCAACCTACTTGACACCAGTCACACCAGGAACCCTTACCCAAGGCCCCATGACTGAAAAAGAAGAATCCCGAACGCAAAGCTCCGTCGGAATTGACAGCTTGGCGTAGATCCGAAGATTACCAAGTTGCGGTCCCGATACTGTGGAGTAGAAAGTTCTGAAGTGGGGCTGTTTTTGGGTAGAAACATCTATTTCTTCTCCGATGGCCTGGGCTTCACCGGAAAGGTAAATTTGCGAAATGCAACATAAGTTCTGTTTCTGGGTTGTCGGGCCCGTAACGGTTCTGTGGGTATTAATGTGGGTGTGAAGTAGCGTCATAGTAGAGCTCGATGCGGAAGTCTGGATTGCGAGAAGTTGCAGAAACTTCACTTCTTGTTCAGTGGATAACGGGGATTCTTCTGTAGAAGGACCTGATGTTGTGTGAGTTAGCATTTTAGATAGAAGGAGAATACAGCGGACTCTCAGACAAGGGCCATTGAAAGCTGAAAAGGTGTGTAATATTGCTTTGCTAAGGTTGTATGTCAAGCATGTACTTTCTATCCATCTTCAGAAGAGCAAGTCGTCGAAATACAAAGGACGTCAAGTTGAGTTGCTTCACATCGCTGTACCTCATAATCCGTAAAATAAGATCATGGCCGACTTTTAATTCTGCCATTTAAAAGCTAACAAGTCTTCCAACGCCAGAGCGAGAAGAGAAGTATTGTGCACAACAAATCACGCTGTATATACCACCTGTAGCCTTACTGATGGTGGAGACTCAATCAAGCATTGCTCCACGTTGACATTGACTCCACTATCTCCGTTATTGGGCACAGAGCAAGAACATTGAGCCCAATCGTCGTGCAACAAACTTTGTTCCCATTGTCCGGAGTTTTGCCTGACAATCAGTACGTGAATCTCCAGCATCTAGAAAGTGACCAACACTGGAAGCATCTCCGTGCTCTTCTTCTTACCCGCAAAAAATCCAGACCATAACAAAGAAATGCGTCATGAGCTTCAGGTGTCTTATTTTTGCTTCTAGCTCATCAGTGCCACCGTCGCTATATCCAAAACAACCAAAAATCCTACTCTTTGAATCAAAATCGCACACTTCTCAATCCCCAACACCTTTTAGCACATCAAGCCACCAACTCTACGTAAACAACCACCAAGCCCTCCCCACCGAATCAAAAAAGACGCCTCTTCCCGAAACCCCACAATTTATGTCAAAGTGCGACACGCAACGAAAAGCAGCACGAGACACCGCTATCACTCTGCGGTGCATGCGACTTGCAGCATTGGAATCAAAATTCGTTAATAGAGTGATCGTGACTCGATATCTAATCGACGAGGCAAAGGAGGTGAGGTGAGGGTATGACTCGCACGAGAGGAGAAGAAACAAGAGATGGCGCAGACATGACATAAAGGATAGACGAGGTATCGTGAGAAATGACTCGATGCCAAGGTGCCACTTGCAACATAACGTAGCGAAGCAGCAGAACTTTGTCACTAACTGGAGCATGCTTCAGGCAAAGGATATAGGAGGAAGGGATTCGTAAACCATTGATCATTATCACTACCCGCCAAAGTAAAGGAACGCTATCTGCCATACCACCACCGGAACGCCATCAATGCACTCCCAGGTATCAATCAACCGTGAACCAAGAACCACCATTGTACCATCCAACCCAACGTCAACTGAATCAATACTCGTAGCCGCCCTGAGCCACGACACCTTGTTGTGCATATCCTCTTTGCTGCATCATTGCTGCACCCTGATGTTGAGGAGGTCTCATTTGCCCTTGCCCAACCAGATCATTGAACCATGGGTGTTGAAGAGCGTCATGAGCACTGATTCTCAACTCTGGTCTCAGTTGCAGCATTCGCTGCAAAAGATCAATACCACTGGAATCAATTTGTGGTAGGATGACTCGTAGATCTTGTGTAGCGTACATCTGGAAGTTCTGCTTGTATTCCGAGTACTGCGAGATTCCAGGCCAAGTGCGCTCAGAGGGCGTGCCCATGATGCGGAAGATGCGTACGAGTTGATCCTCGTTGGTTGTTCCGGGGAAAAGAGGTCGGCCTGTGTACATTTCTGCCATGATGCAGCCAGCGGACCAGATATCAATACTGGTGTTGTAGGTTCGGGATCCAAGCAAAACATCAGGAGCACGATACCAGAGCGTAACGACTTCGTTAGAGAAGGTATTTACGGGAATGCCGAAAGCTCGCGCAAGACCGAAATCTGCCAGCTTCAATTGGCCCTTATTGTTGATAAGGAGGTTTTGTGGTTTGAGATCGCGGTGAAGGACTCGATTCGTATGGCAGAAGTCAATGCCTTGTAGAAGTTGGTGCATGAAGGATTTGATAACGGTCGGCGGTAATGCTCCTCGGTCGCCTTGAGTGTCCATGTACTTCTTCAAGTCTTTGTCCATATATTCGAAGACCAGCATGAGCTTATTTTCTGTATGGATAACATCATGTAGGCTGACGATGTTTTCGTGCTTCAACTCCTTCATCAACGAAATCTCTCGAATTGCGGTAGAGGGTGTGCCTTCTTCCGAGTCGAGGTGGATTTCCTTCAGTGCCACCAATTCGCCCGTCTGTCGATTTCGACCTTTGAAGACCTGGTGAGATTAGTCTTGTGTTTGGGAAACATGAAAGCCCAGGCGCAAAGGTGTGTTCCTAGGGCATGCTCCTTCCATGTTGCACGCGCAGTGGGGTCCTGTTACTCACAGTGGCATAAGTCCCCTCTCCCAGCTTCTCCAACTGTTGGAACGAACTTGGGTGTCTCTTATCCATCTCAACTGGCGGTTCGGTATCGTCTAGATTTCGTACGCTGATTGTGCTTGGGACTGAGAAGAAGGCTCTGGCGAGGGCGGGAGAAGGAGGGAAAGTTCGGAATGGGGGTGAAGGCGAAGGCCGTTGTCGGGTTGTGTATTTAGGATCGAAAAGGACCGAGGCAGGAGTGCTGATGCTCTTCAAGATATCCAACGCGTCCTTCGACGAGTGTAATGAAGCCGTGGTGAAGAGAGTGTAGCAAGTTGGGTAAACTTCTACAAAGCAAGAGGGAGGGGATCGTCGCAAAATGGTGCTCTTTATTGGAGAAGTTGTCGCTGCTCATGTAGGGTGGGGCAGTAAGTCATCCTCGGATTGGTGAAGAGAGCGCTTAAGTAAAGCGCCAGCGTCTATTTAGTGGTGGCCTGAATGTGTTTATCAATCTTCCGAATCAGGCTAGGTGGGATTCTCGGGGATAGGAACGGCGGGGTACGAGTGACCAAATGTCTGACAACATTTGAAAGCTTGGAACTGTACAAGTTCACTCATTAACAGACTCGACATTCAAACATGATATAACCTTCATGATACGCTCGATACTTCCATGAACAACTATCTCGTTACAAGATGCGTCCCTTACCTGGAGACGACGCCTTGGCAGGGCGTCCGCGAAGTGGCAGCTTGGATAACGACGTAACTTCTCTTGCAACAAGACATCAAGCTCCGCAGATGACCTACTTCCTCGCAGACGAGAAGAGCATGGAAGCATCACAATCTCATTCACCTACGATCCTTCCCAAGCAACGAGAGATCTCGAAGTCCAACGCTTACGGTGTTGAGAGTCTTGAAACTACGATAAGCTCATTAGCTCAAGATAGTGACGATTCCGAAGAGCGACTTCGATCAGCTAGGCATAATTGGAAGAAGAATTTAGGACAGCTGATGTCGAGAAAGTCCGAAGAAGATCTGGAAGAATCAGGTTCGCCGTCACTCGGATCAACAAGTGACTTCAGTCGGAATGCATCTCCCTCCCATCAACGCCGATCCTCTCAAGCCACGATCTCTAGACCATTTACACCTTTATCGTTCTCTGCTGGTCCTCCTTCTACCATGAGTAGTCCGCGCTCGCGCAGACATTCTGATGCGGGCTCGGATATGGATGATATTGTTAGTCAGGCCATTGTATCAAGCGGGGAGGAAGACAGGGATATGGGACCTGTGCTGGTAGACAGTGGAAGTGCTCCTCAGTTAGTTATGCCAAGTATAAAAATGCCGAGTCGACGACCTTTTACAGAAAAGGGCAAGAATATGGGCAGATTGAAGGTACTGGTTGCTGGAGATTCTGGTAAGTGGTGCTCGTGACGATGTATATTCTTGTACTGACCGTGTCCAGGCGTCGGTAAGACATCACTTATCAAAGCTATTGTCCAAATCTGTGAAGACATCGTTCATGTCGACCCAATCTCTGCGACGGCTATATCCGTACAGGACCCACGCCGAAAGAACTCGAAGAGCAAGTCAAGGAGCGGAAGTGCGGACATGCAATCTACATCACAAATCACAGAAGTGTACGCGAGTACAAGAGCGTATCCGCCATGGTGGTCCGATCTAGAAGAGAGTAGAATACTTCGAAGGAGGAAAAGTATGGGTGACTCGGTTCTAGAACGAAATTTATGCTTTGTTGATACCCCAGGTTATGGTAACAAGACATCAGTAAGCAGCACTTGGTACTTCCCTATGGCTCTACTAACATCTGCAGTGTTTGGAATGCATTACACCGGTTGTCGATTACATAGAGTCTCATTTCAAAAAAGCTTCTTCCTTTGAAGGTCTGAGCGAGTCAGAGATGGTGAACATGTTCAGCGGAAATGGTGGACCTCAGGTTGATCTTGTATTATATGTGATCCTGAACAGTAAGATATCGAAGTGAGAACATATGGACTTGACTAATGCCGCGCAGGAATCAAGCCAGTGGACATCGAATATCTCAAACGCCTATCGAATGTTACTAATGTCATACCCTTGATCGCACGAGCAGATACTCATTCCGCTGAAGCAATCTCATCATTGAAGGAGCATATTCTCAGCGAATTTAGCGCAAACAATATCCGCCCCTTCCACTTCGGCGTCTCACAAGAGGCCTCCCAGTTCTTATCATATCCCTCAGCACCATATGCTGTATCAACAACACCGTCTAAGGACGATGATAACATGGAAGCTAGTCTTTTAATGTCACCGGACTATGTTCAACCACTTATACAGTCCGAACTTCAGCCATTGGTCTCGCAGATATTTGAACGTGATGCAATTTCCTGGCTTCGGCATTCTGCAGCGAAGAAGTTCTTGGCCTGGCAGTCCGCATCGACACCTCTCTCGCGACCACAATCATTGTACAGGCCCCTGTCTCTGCCATCGCCGTCCACTTCACAAGTCTTGACAGCCCCAGTAGGAGCTACGACTTCTTATGCTCTTGCTAGAATCACCGATCATACCCAGCGTGAAGAGCGAATCGCGCAAGTACGGCTTGCGAATTGGGCCGCGGATCTTCAAAGGGCTCTCCAGAAAGAACGCTTGGAATACGAGGCCAAAGCACGAGGTGAGAGAGCGGTCTGGCTTACGGAGCGTCTAGGAGAATGCGTGCAAGATGGTACCCTCGTTCCAATCTCCCAGGCAAGGAGGGACAATCCAGCGTTTGATCAGGCATCAGGCGTGCTTGTAAAACAGGGAACGTATAGTAGACGGAGAGAGATGCAGCAGGACATGCGAGATATGCTGGATACACGGGATCCTCTAGGTCTGCTGATGATGAACGAGAATTTTAAGAGGAAGGGATGGGCTATCCTGAAAGCACTGAGTGTTCTGGGCCTTGTTGGTGGCATCGCAGGCTTTGCATCCTGGTTCTCTCGACAATGGCATGCGGCCAATGTCGCTGACGGCACCTTCTACGGCTTCGGTGTGGCTGATTGGGTTGAGTTCGGCATGATAGACTGGAGAGCATAGCATGAGTGCGCTTCTATACGGCGGCATGAGTTGGATCTCCTCATTCCTTTTCTTTCTATTTCTGCATGATAGCCTACGGGCTTTTAAGATGATGTCGACTATTTGAAGTTATATGATGAACATGGGATATTAGGCATGGTTGGAGCGCTTCCCTACTCATCGAAATAGGCGATAGGCCTGGTTAGGAATGAAACTCTCAATACACAAAGCCCCAGGGCACAATGATCAAGTTGGGTCACGATGAGGCGGATACGTTCTGTCTGAAGGTCACAAGTGTGTCCATATTCTCAAATTGCTATATCATGCTGCGCTTCGTAGGTACTATGCGATCCGGCCTGTGCCAGCGCCCAGGTCTTCCATGATGAAGCTGGTAACATTTCCCCATCCATCATACTTCAATGTCTATAGAAATCATCTATAAATATCAAAAACGCCACTTCAGCCATCATCCTTCGTTTAGGTTATGGCATTTCAAAAACAACAACGAAACCATCCAAACGCCAAGCACGACCCAACACCACCCAACTAGAGGTTCCAGAACTCCATTCGAACACCACACACCGCACACCAGCCTTCAACTTTCAAACCGCCGAACTCCAATCCCAAGACGCCTTCCTTTCCGTCCCGAACGCCTGACACCAAATCCACATTCGCCAGCGCCGACGGACTCACCCACTCGTCCCACGCCAACGACGCTACCTACTCTTCACCCTCATCCTCGGTGTCGCCGTCCCTCTCCCTCTCCTTCCCCTTTCCGACATCCCCCTGTTCACGCCGACTCTCACTGTGACGTGCGCTCGACCTATTCGGTCGCATAGCGAGAGGTTCAGTTGGTGCGTTTGCCGGTGGACCGGAACGGGATCGAAATGGGCGTGCTCGTGAGGGTCTTGTTTGAGACGGTCCTGCTTGAGACGGTCCTGCTTGAGACGGTCCTGCTTGAGACGGTCCTGCTTGAGACGGTCCTGCTTGAGACGGTCCTGCTCGCCAGGGTCCTCCATGAAACGATCTAGTGGGAGCGTTTGCAGATGAGCCGTATCGAGAGTGATACGTCCTTGCTTGGGTCGAACTTCCACCAGCAGGAGATCGGCGTGTTCGCGAGGGTCCTGGTTGAGATGGTCTTGTGGGAACATGTGCAGGTGAGCCGTAGGGAAAGCGAAATCTCCGTGCGTTGGTCGAACTTGGGCTGCGATGAGATGGAACTGCTTGGGACGGTCTTGTGGGAGTACTTGGGCGGGAAGGAGGGCGAGATGTCCCTGCGTCGGTTGGACTTGGGCTGGATCGAGATGGACCTGCTACTCCGCCGGAGGCGGCATCTGAAGGCGCGAAGGAGTTTGCTCTATTCAAATTAGCAGTAAACTGCCTTGCATGTGCTTGCCCAGCGGCAATCCGCGCCTGTCCAACACGATCTTCGTCTACAGGAGTGGGGAATCTTCCCTGGTAGACTGCATGAAGTTCATACCGTATCGTCCATACTGTTGACCTGTGTCTCTCACCCTCATCTTGCTGTACTCTGCGCCACTGCTCATTGTGACGTTGCTCTTGCGATTGCTCGGCTAGTGTTAGACTGTCCTCGTGTGGAATCGTGGGGGACGGAGTGTTCGTGCTGCGAGGAGAGGGCAGTAGGGATTCATTGGCCAAGACGGAGTTGGCGCAGGAGTTGGCGGGGTTGAACCCCTCGTACACTGGAGAACTGGGCCGTGAGAGCCTGGGTCTGTTATCAATGATATCCCAGTACCGGGCTTCATCGAATTTCATCGAAGCTGAGAAGACGCGAGCGACGAGGACCATGGGTAGTCCTAGGGTTTTCGCGCCGGTTTCCATCGTTTGCTTGTTCCGACGTCTCTCCGTTGGTATCAATCGCCTTTCCTTTACCCTTGATGTCCGATTTTGCCTCGCCGTTTTCGGTTCCATTGTCTGCTTGCTTGTCTGCATCAACGGCCCTGCCTTTTCCCTTGCCACCCTTTACGTTGCGGTCCTGGCTTCCAACCCCCGAAGCTGCGTGTCGGCAGGTAGCATTCTCAAATTGACTGCGAAGGAAACCTGCTCCTGGATCCGTCCATAGACTCGGATTTCCTGCCTCGGCGATTCCGAAATCCAACGTAAACATTTCGCCTTCTACGATACTAATTGAACCGACTTTGAGTGTACAAGTGTCTTGCGCAACATTGCGGATAAGTTTGAGGTTATGATTCTTACTATGCTTAACATAGAACTGAGTATCGGGGTAGAGGTGTTGGATATCAATGGAAAGGCGAAGGGATGCTGTGCTATGTATGCCTTGGATGATGACGTTTCCGCGAATTATTCCAAGCTCGAAATCCGCAGGCAAGTCGGCGTGAGCAGTGGTCGTTGGGTGGTAGTTCGTAAAGTCGATGATCCAATGCCAACCTGCGTCAAGCTGGGCGAGATCCATGATTGCGGATTGATATATCGCGCAAGGTTCCAGTTGAAGTTATTTAGATCTTTTCGAGCGTGTGTTGGTCCGAGTCGATGATGATATCCTCCAATCTTCCTCGAGAACGATTTCCCTCTGCCAATGTCCTAGGGCCAATGCTTGTCTGTCTAAAAGATTTTCGATCCAGCAAAGAGGTCGTTCAATCTTGCTCATGCAAATCACAGATTACTCGCTGCCAGAATTGCGTTGTATGCCGAGAAGAAGAAGTGTCACGGATGGGAGTGTCCTTTTCTTAAGATATAAACTGCTCTGATCACACCAGCAGCGAAGTGTGGTTTCGGCTCCAAGGTTTTTATTACGCCGGACGCTTGCAAGTGTATTATTGAACCCACAATCTCCATAGGTGGGTCTTTCACTGACTTACTTCATCTTTTCGCGTGTGTGGGCGACACTAGGAACGGCCCGTTTCGAAAGCTCATTCTATCATTCTTCTATCGAAGAACACAAGAATGACATCCCACAGTTCCGAATCTACCATATGCTTCAAGGTCCTGCGAGCTGTGTTTCTTAAAGTTCATCGTAAAGCAATGCCATGTCACTACCTTCCTAGAAATTTGAGGAAAACTCGCTTAAGAATTGGTACCCCTTTGCAGCTTCTCAACGTCATCAATCTATTCCCTTTTACGATCGAGGAGGTTATTCTAGTATTGAACTATCGATTTTACTACTCATGATATCCATCTCCGGTCCTTATTGGTTGTCGCATTGGCGACAGTGAGATTCTATACTAGAAGTTCCCCTAGTCCCAGCTACTTTGAAACTAGCGTATCGGACTGGTGCGTATGTCTTTATATATGTGTCATTCTTCAGGTCCCACCCTTCCAACCTAACAGACCGAGTGATGTTCGGTTCCCTTCGATGCTTCGTACAGTGGAGCCTTGCCGTACATAACAATTTTTGAAATTCCATCTTCAAGCAAAGTTCACTTGGCGGAAATCAAGAGGTGGCCTTTCGCTGCCACAATGAAGTTAGATGTCGATGATTCCAAAGATAGGAAGCTCACGTTATTCATATTGGGCATATCGGATCCAACCATGCTGAATTAAAATATTGTTTTGTTATTCTATTCTCAGGCCGACTTCCATCACGAGTACCTAATGCTGGACCTTCTAACCACTGCTCTTCCGAACGCTACTTTTCGCTTGCGCACGCAACATCTCTAGACGGCCATCTTCCCCCATCCACTGCTCGGCAAACTTTGAAATTCTCCAATATTTCCCACCCAAATACTCCTTCATTTCTTCGTGCTTCTCTGCTAGCTCCTCGTAAAGAGTGCGCACGTTCCTGATTGCTACACCTCCATCCTCCTCGTCGTCGTCATCGCTGTAGTATTCCCACACTTTCTTATCGTAGGGTTGTTGTCTAAGTATGGTGCTACTCTCCTCATCCTCGTCATCAGAGGAATACTGGGCGCCTTTTTGCTCGGCCGATGTTTCCTCTCCAGCTTCATCGCCATGACTTCTCGGCTCTTGTGGCTCTTGTAACTCTCCCTTCTCGGCCGATGCAGGCTCTCCCATCGCTACGCCTGCATCTTTAACTTCTTCATCGTCACTGCAGTACTGAATCCTCGTATTTTCTGCCTGTGCAGGTTTTCCACCTTCTGTGCCGCTTTCCTCTTCATCATCATCACAGCTGTGTTGCACCTCTGCCTCCCCTCTCAACTCCTGCTTCTCCATTCTTGCATCGCAACACTGATCCTCCTTATGGCTGGCGGTGTTGGATTCTGGTAGTTCTGTTATTGCCGATATCCCAACTTCTCCATTATGGTTCTCGTCCTCATCACTACTTGATAACCGCGATCTTTCGTATGCTTGTCTTGCCAATTCCGATCTTGTTGGTGTTCTGAAACGAACTTCATGATCTTGGTCAGCTTTAGTCGGGATAGGGCTCCTGTGGTATATGCTTTCCATTTCTCGAAATACCAAGCAGAGATCTTCAACCTCCGCATCCTTTAATTTTTCCGTGTTCTTGTACTCTTCTGTGAGCACCATGTCTTGAAACAGTTTCGCTATCCCGCTAGTCTCCCAGTTTCTTGACTTCTGAGATCCCCCTGGACTTCCTCTCACACCCGCTTCCGTATCTTGCGCTCGACTCTTCCTGGAGCATCTCTCCGCTGTGGCTTTGAGGTGTAGAATTGATTTCCACCCGGCAGAGAAAAGCGTCTGAACCTCTTCACTACCTTCACCGCAGCTCTTCTCATCAGCTCGAGAAAATGGTATCAGCACATGGCTTAGAAATGTTTGTTCCGCTCTTGATATAGGGAAACCCCATTGTATTTTGATCGTTCCTATCATGATGATGAGTTTCGAGAATGGGAGACAGAACTTCTTGTCGTTGTAGTCAACACTAGGCAGCCAGCCATATCCAATCATCATATCCGCCAACGTATGCTTTACATTCTCCGTACCCTGCTCATACCAGTCACTGGTGCCAGGCCTTGGTGTCATGTGATAAGGCTTCTCATCGTCAGTTTCCAGTTCTAGCGTGCCTGATATTTCGAGCGTTTCTCCGTGGGGTATTGCGAATCCAACCGTCAAATAGATCGAGTCGACATTACTGGTCCCGTTGCTCGCGTGCGTGGCAGAATCGTCCTGAGGACAGCCATTCGAAGTTGTAGATTCGTGCTTCGTCCCATCAGAAGGTAAGAATTGCGGGATCGGTTTTCGAGGCTGGAGAGGCATATTTCTTCGATGAACCTGGAAGTCTTCGAGGGCACTTGAATGCTATTGATATCATGAGCCGTGTATATAGAAATGCGTATGCTATGATTGTTGAAACAGTTTTCGCTCATGATGGGGACAGAAATAAATTCGAGTCCAGATCACGGTGTTGTGGAAGGTGCGATGATGAGGGGCCGTCTTCATTTTCCAATCAGTAGTCGCGAACACGTACGCAGCCCTCCTAATCATCAAAAGTAACTCCTCACATGAGAATGATACACCTTGTCAAAAGCACAATTAAATTAATTGAACTGATTACTTTGTCTGGGTTATTGCAATACGTGTTCTTCGAGCTACCACCCTATGACATACAATGTCCAAGTCGAAGATAGGTTCTTGGATTCTAAACAATTATCTCTTGATTGTGAGCTAAAGTCGATTCTATCACAGTTAATCACGATTTCCTTCGCACCAATCTCCCTCAACGCACCCCCATGTCTCACCCAGCCACCTCTTGGCCATTTCTGCAGCCCCTCTAGCAGCGATAAACTCGGCACTGAATTTCGGTCTTTGCAGCGGTGCCCACAGTTTCTGGACATCCATTGAGCCGCCTAGCGCTTTCCAGATGGAGTCTAGAAATCTCTTCTCTTCTGCGTATTCACCCATAAGAACCAGTTCCTCAACAGGCCATGGCAAAGTGTTCCTCTTCTTGGCAGTCTCAACCACTTTCCTACCAATCGTGTCCCAGTACGTAGTATTCGTTCTGTCCGTATCCCAAGTACCATAAGATAGATCTGGGAATCGAGATCGTTCAACACGTATGAAGTGATACGGATTAATCATCAAGAAAGTCTCAACGACTAACTCATCATAAGTGTACGTCAAGGCGAGGGTCTGTTTTATCTTGAAGCGATCTTGCTCTTCGTCACACTTCTGAATATCTTGCCAGTGCTCACAGATACCTGTACCCATGCCCGCTAGTGCTGCTTTCGTATTGTCCAGGCTGTCTCCAAAGTGCCTAAAACTCTCCAGTGGAGTCAAATCTGCGAGCTCCATTGCTTCTGCTAGGTCCTCAGGTTGAAAGTTCGGCATGTACGGTAGGCTGAGAACAATTTTCCGGGGCAGCATATGAAGCTCCTGCATGACAAGATACCGCATTTTTGATAACATCACATGCAACGTCGAGATGTCTTCTGTAGATGGTAGTTTCTGTAGTCTACGTAATCGGCGCTTTGCTTGGTCGAGATCGTATTCCACTCGATCAAGAGGTGTACGAAATGGTGGTCTGTACAGAGTTCAGCGGATAGAAAATGACATGACACATTTGTGGATATACCCATATTGTTTATATGGTGCTGAAAGTCTGGCCATGAAGTCCTTGTACTCTGGTGATCCTTCAACCTGCAATTGCACTGTCAGCCTGCATCGAGGCTGGTTTGGGATCCAACTTCACGAACACGGCCAATGTCAACCACTGTTCCATTATAGTAGCGGATAGCTGCAGTGCTGGAATATGTCAGTTTAGTTATGAAACCTCAAACAAGAATGTTTACCCGTATGGAGACGACAGATCAAATCCAACCCCGGGTGCTAGAACCAGCTCTCTCGGAACACAGCCATCGCAAATATAGTATTGGCGATTGGCCCCTTCATTTAGAGGTTGCTGAGATGTTCCACATGAGCTTTGTGGGACTATGATGCCCAAAAAAAGGAGCAGGTACGTCGAACGCATTGTGCTTGATCCTTGAAGGTGATTGTAATGAAGAGTACTAAGCAGAATTCAATTTGAAGAAAGTCGAAGTTGGGAGAGATAGGCCTATGTTGAGGACACAGTATAACAAATAGAACACAGTGCACAGAGCCAACAGAAGTTGGTGTTTGGACAAGTGCTACAGCCTTGCTGCCTAGTCCTGCAGGATTGAGGCGAAGCCAGGCTGCGGTTAATTGGAGCAGGATGATCACGTGCTCGCTACCCCTTTCTTCTTGACTGGGATTCCGGTCCTTCACTTCGTGCCATGAACGTCATCATAACCCTGATACGTGTTCCTAACATCATCTATATGGTGATATTGTTCTCAGGTCTTCCACCCAGTTGTGTGAAGTCAGCAAACTTGCGCGTCAATGATCCAGCTCATGAAATGCAATCACCGCTCTTTTTGGATGTCCCGATATCTTCGGAACACTAAGCGATCGCTGCCTGATCTTTGTGTTATCGTGAACATGAATTCTCTCCTCGGATCAGAAGTGTCGCGCCCACAAGACTTTGTATCAATAAATAAAGCTTGGGACAACGAAAGCTTGGTTGCCCTGTTCTGCGCTACATATTACTGCAATGGTCCTTCGAAAGAAGAAAAAGTTCTCCATGCGTTGAGATAGCTACTCCGTATTTGTCTTTTCCAACCTGCTTGAAGACAGAAGATAGTCCACGTGATCGGTAACCCTTTTGCTTCTCGCTTCGGATCTACCCCCGTCCTCGTTGGATGGATAGAAACGGGACCCATGTTTCAGATCAGCAGTCAAGCTGCACCGCTTGAAACAACAACTACCGTTGCGCGAAACAATTCAAAGTCGTAAGACAAAACGGTGGAGACCGGGCATCCGGAACAAGAACATGCTTCACAGCAACCAAGCAATAAGCTTGTCATCAATAACACACTCATACACCAAACCAATTCGCTTCGCACCTAGTAGATTATATCTTCGCTCCTGTATATATACACGGTATTGAAATCAAGGTTGCTTGTTTGACGGACTGTTCTTCTCTTCATAGAGGTCACACAACTCAAGAAATGAATACTCTAGCTCCACGACGTCCATTCTTCCCGTTGCCATCCTTGGCACCCTTTGCCTTGGCGGCGGCAGCAGCAGCAGCTTTGCTTGCCTTTGCACTGGTAGCAGAAGTTGTGGAGCCAGCAGCCTTTGCGTTGGCGGCGCTTGTTGCCTCCGCGGCTCCAGCTGTCGCGGAAGCAGTGCTGTCGATGCTAAGAATTTCGTTGACGGCATCGACTCCTTGCTCGCTGGTGGTTGCAGCTTCTGCGTTGGCCTTGATGGCAGCCCCCAAGTCTTTTTGGTTGACCTCAATCTGAGCTTGAATGCCCTCGAGTGTCTGGGCGGTGGTGATGGTTGCTGCCTGGTTGACGCTGGCAGTTGTATCGGTCTGTTGTACAGCAAAGCATCCACCGAAAGGACCGGCAGCTGCAGTGTTGAAACAGCGGACGGTGCAAACATTTCCAGCAGAAGCTAGATACGGGTTAGTGAAGAACATGAAGACGCAGCTATGTCTTCGACTTACATCCAATGCATGCCAGATCGCTAGGCATAGTAAGAGTAAGCGTCGTAGTACCATCCCCTGCATCTTTCTCTGTCATGGTGAGGTTTAGTTGACCAGAGGTACCATCCGCATTGCCAGTTGGGTCGAGATCGCAAGTATAAGGACCTGCATAACACAACCTATTAGCGTCTCTCCTCCTGATAAAAGAAGAGCTCAGCCTGCTGGACTTACCAGCGCCATCCGCATTCACTTGGTTCAATGTAACGGATACAGTGCTGCCCTTGGTGACTGAAGTGACCGTCTTGTTTAATAACTGATCTTCCGTGTTCTCCCCAATGTCGATGTTGCCAGCAAGTAAAGTCCTTCCACACTCATTCACCGCGTTCTCCGCAATCTCTTGTGAATTGATGATGTTGGCATCCGACTGTGTCAGTGAAACTTGAAGAGGCAGACTGGCAACAGATCCCTTTGTTCCTTGGGCACTGAGGATAACTCCTTGGCTATATGCTACCGCCAACAGAGCCGGTGCAACGCAAAGCAGTTGTTTGAGAGAAGGCATGTTGTCTTGAAGGAGAGGTCATATAATGTGCACAGCACCAGGATGAATGAAACGAAGATTAAATGTCAAAAGATATCAGGCCGGCTGCAAAGGAAGCAAGAAACGAACGAATTAGCAAAAATGCGAGAAAGGGTTTGGACGGTGGACGGTTACCACCTTATAGTTCTAGACATCGTCCGATTTTTGACATTCTCAAACAAAAATTGAATCCACAAACAATGACACAGGGGCCGTAGATCACACAAGCATTTCGGATAACCTGTTACGGCTTCGGTCGCGTCAGTGGGTCGGCAGTGGATACGGACGTGCCCAGTGGAGCATGCCGAGACTTTGTTCCATAGTTGACCGGTCCGAGATTCACGGATCAAAGGAGCTTGGAGTGCAAGTAGGTAGGTAAACGGAGAGAATATGACAGAGAGCAAAAGGTTCTCTTCATGTCGAACTCCAATAAACCATGATGACGATAGAAGAAGCTCTTTAGCATACTTGTATCTCACCTACTCGAGTACGTTCTAGTGGATCCCAGATGGTGCCACATTGCTTGGCGGCGGTAAGCTCACGTGCTCGCTAACCCTTTTTACGTTTCGCTTTAGGAGGATGGCCCCTGGATTTGTTTTCGCGAGGCCGAATGAATTGGAGAACAATTGCGGACCCCTTGGAGAGAAGGATGCATCATAATTTCTGGGTGGTTGGTGCTTCCATCGAACGTGTGGTCACTTGAGCCCAGATTTAGATGAGGTTAAATACAAAATTAGCTCCACGATCCGGCCCCAAACTCTTTGCGCACAACCACATCAAATTCAAAAACATTGTTTGAAAATATGAACAGGGCCGGTGTGAGTACATGAGGATTTGAAAGATGAGATTGCTGGGCCCTTGTTCGAACGTCCGACCCTCAACTTACCAAATATAAAATTGAGCTAACTTTCTACAAAATCCCCTGAGTTATACAATTAAATTGGTTCCAGTGAAACCATCATTTAACTTTGAGTGATATCTTTCGAATATTGAGATAACGAAAGTGCAAGATTGAGAGCCGCCATGCCCAGTTGAAGAGCAGGATGTCTTGCAAGATGGGGAAGAACAAATTCTATTGGTATACGTGAAGAAAGTTCTCAGGACATCCAGCCCTTTGAAACCTCTAGTCCTCTCTCAACTGCTCACTCAGTATCGAGTGCTATGTTGAGTTCTTCCTGAATGGGGAGAAATATGCACCTCAGTATGAGGAGCATTGAACAGAGCATGTATATAGATATCATGACGAGGACAAAGTAATAGGGCTTGAAAGACCCCCCAGTTGAATCCTTCATTCTTTCCTCGAAGTCCTTCGAGTTTCGTGAAACTGGGAGCAATGGAGTCTTCTCCGTTTCTAAACTTTCCTCAAGTTCATCATTCCGTAAGGCGCGCTTGATGGCTCTGAAATAAAACCACAGCATATCAATCGTAGTAATTGCAGCTGTCGGGTACAATACCCAATAGTCCATGAACCTCTTGTATTCTTTGTTCTCTTGGATACTGTTTGAAATCGGATACTAGAGTAGATTAATAGGGTTATTGAACTAGGTGAGATGACTAGGTGTACGTACCAAAACAACACAGATCATGAGCGGCAAAGGTATGACGTATGAATAAACCTCGGACCAGCGGATGTGTTTGGAAGCTCGATAGTCTTCTCTCTCGGGCTCCGGTTGTTGGAGAAACGTGGACTCCGACGCCATTTTGATGTGATAGTAGGATTGATAAATTGAGTCTCTGTTGCGATATGATTGTGAGTTGGAAAGGACTGCGGGAAAAAGAAAAGCTTTCAAACAAAAAGGCTTAGTCCAAAAGACAATACAGAACTAATGCAGAAGTGATGGGCTAATATGCTACCCACAGTTCAACAAGAAATGGAAGACTGCGGACCCGCTTAGTAGTGCTGAATCCAAATCCGAAGCCATGATGGCATCGTATGAATCATCCAATTTTTGGGAAAACCCAAGCTCTGGACAAAAACTGGTTATGCTTGACAACATGGATCACATTCATTTGTATAAACCTTTCTGGGACATTCGTGTGATCACTTGAGCGTAGGTTCAGATAAGGTCGAATGGAAATTTAGCTTCGCGAACCAGGCCCAAACTACTCACGCACAAATCATTGAGCCAAAAAATATTATTTCGAGATTCGAAAAATGCTGGGTCACAACTCATGAGCGCAACAGGGAGGTGTAAGTTGTTATTAGATATTTGGCATCAATGGACGTAGAAGCAAACAGCAGAGAGAGAGGTGTGCGCTTTTGCCTATCTGTTATTGGACATCACACCTGTTCAATGATGTTGGACAATTGGCGTACAGAGGTGGAATGATCGAGAGAAACCTTTCCATTTGTTCGACCAATTGCTTACATTTACACAACACAGTTTTCCAGCCATCTTCGTCAGGTGGATCAATGAGTGCTGTATCTCTTGTCCGGAATTGCAAAGCTGGTTATGACTAGGATGATGAAACCAACCATTGGCTACGTTCTTGTACGGATTTTGGAACCACTTTGCTGGAAGCTTCTCCTCAAGTTCTTCTCCAAGAAAGGTGTTTGGTGGCAGCAATGGTGTTTTTTCGATGGCGAATGTAGGAAGCCCTTCGAGTTCTTGCTGAACTTCTTTTTCGACTTCTTTTTGGACTATGAAAACTCTTCTGAGGCTTACCACACCCGTGGCGAATGTGAATAACCATCCCAAACCTACAATCCACCAATCGTTTACACTGTCAGGTGCAAAGGTCCAGTTCTTCTACATGGTATTAGAACAACTGATGCTGCGAAGCCAGGCATACTCACATATATGTCTTGACCACATAGTATGGTCGATCCTACGATCATCAAGATGGGGACGAGAACTTCCGAGTCATATTCCTGTACCAAACGATTGTGAACACGACGGTCAATGATCTTCTTGATGTTAAGATCGGACATTGTAAAGCTCTCTTTTGATGTTGAGGGCTCAGAGTGGGCGGGACGTCAGATCAGTGAAATACTAAAGTTTCGAAAGATGTTGTTCGGGTACAATCGAGGTGAAATATGGTAGCGGTCTTCTAGAAGGACGAGCTTACCTAGGTAGCTCCACAACCTTTCTCTTATCACGTGACTGTTCATACTCTCTAGTTTGAAGAAATGTTTCTCTGATGATCAATCACAATGTTTTCTAGCTGATAGGAGAGTGATGGATTGTTCCTTGGGTTATGGGACATTGAATGCTGCTACCCTGTGAAATGTGACCTTTTGCCGCGTCAGCAGACTTTTGTTCTCATAAGTCCGTCCCCAGGAGCTGGACATTGCCTGGCTTCAGAACAGCTCCACAAGAGGCCCAATGTTTAATTCGGCTTGTCCTTGCTTCTGCGTCTTATCTTCGTTTGCCAACTTCTCTGTGTCCTTGATGAAAAAAGCTCAGCCAGGGCAGCTTTCATGGGAATGAACCTGCGATCATCCCACGGCCATAAAATCCCATCACCCAGTGACTCCACAAGACGACATCATAGACACTAGAATGTCCCAATACAGAGTGGGATATTATGAGGTGCTCATCGCAGTGGTGGGATTATCTACTTTGGATCAGCGAGGATTCGAAAGTTTCTAAGAGAAGACTTTACAATGAGGGGTTACATATTCTACAACGAAGCTAATACCTCTTCTGTGGACGGTGTAAATATACTGATACCAGACACACAATTCTTGAAGACTGATTTTAAGACGGTCCATAGCAGGATGGTGGCTCGCACAGGAGAACTCGAGCTTTTTGCGGACTCTTAGCCAGGAGTTGACTCCGACTCCGACTTGAAACATGAATTGACAATTAAACCGAGGGGTACGAGAATAATACTTACTTCATGTTTAGGAGACATAACTTTCGACAAAGTAGCGAGCACTTGCAGAGTATATACGATCGAGGAGCATGACGAAGCGTTGTGAAGCGCGCATCACCACTAGGACAGGAGGTGAGTTGCACTAAACCACAGCAGTCACTAAAACTTATATTAGCCAAAACAGCACCGATAACGAAATAATCTCTTAAACAATCAATCTCATTTACCAAGAGATGGATCATGGCTGATAGAACGAGTCTTTGGTCAATGGATTTCTTGGAGATAGTCTCGCACCAGGCTACGTCATTGTTGACGATCATGTAAATAAAGGCGACGCGAGACGCGTTACCTGCCTCTGAATACCAACTACTTCCGACTTTCTTCGAAATTGCCTGCCTGAACTATATCAACAAGGAAACAGCACTTCTTCACCACTTCATTAGAATGCCAAAAGCCTCTCGTCGCTCATCTGGCGCAGCGAGCGTCTCTCGCGCAGAGCCATACCCCGCGATCAAGCCTGGCGACAAACCATCTACTACATCTGCAGCGAAAAGCACGAAGAGAACATCCTCCCAGAAAGCCTCAACTTCCTCGAAAGCCAGCGATTCGAAAGTACTCACTGAAAAGTCGCCCAACAAGCTCAATGTCCCCACTTTACAGACTCCGCCAAACAACAACTCTTTCCTCGATGTAACCCTCGACACCGACGCTATTTACGACACTTGCTCCACCGTACGTCAGATAATCAACGCTCTACTTGGCAAAGACAACAAAAATCCCAAGAATCTGAATCCTGCCGACGTCGACAAGGATGGGAACCCGAAGCCCTTCACCAAAGCCTCTTTCTGCCGAGCTGTTGGCTCCAGACCAGACATGTTGCGGCGTTTCATGGCTGCAAAAAAGATGATGGGTGGTGCGGAGAGTGCGATATATCCACCTGCTTATAAGTTTTTCGAGAATAAGAGAGTGTGGGAGGGTGCGAAGAAGACGAAGACAAGAGAGAAGGTTGAGAGCGAGTGAGTGCTTTCTTAAATCTTGAGTGTTAGTCCGGAATGGCTCTGATTTGGAATTGAATAGCCGTCCGAATGGGCTCGCGCTGTGTGATCCAAAATACATGAGAATCTTTGTTCGTAAGGGAGAGAATCCAAGGGATTTTCTCGATGAATATGGACAATAGTTGTCTCTTTCTGTTGGTAGCGCATTTTCCATACTCTCTTTGAACGTTCAAGATCTCTGATTAATCTCCAGTCGTCCACATGGTCTCCCTCTTCGCGAACCTCAGAGTTACAAGAATCGCAGGAAGATCAAGCCTGTCCGTGGCAGCAGACTGGAGGATTTCTTGGATGAGTATGGGCAATGATCGAAGAGCTTCGTCCACTCTGTGTACTAAGTATATTGTACGATAATCTCTTTCTTATTGCTGCGAAGAATGAAGGCTTTATATCACTCCAACTCAGCGGATATGAGTTCGTGGTGCACTTTCGATTGCAGATCTACTGGGGGAGGCCTTCGTCGCTGCTCTGAACGTGAACGAGCTGCTCACTTGTGACGATTAGTTCGTCATTGCTGTGGTCTGTGGACACAACTCGTCGTTGTTGTTTTGGTTTGCAGTTGCGATCATGACGATTGCGATAATTATCGCTGCGATGTTGATGAGGATTGAGGTTCCTAGAGCGAAGTTGTAACATTTTGAGCGTCGCTTCTGTTTTTCTATTTGTGACTCTGGATTGGAAGCTTTAGAGCTATGACTCCCTGAAGAGTTATATCGTGAGAGATTCAAGTTCGATCCGTCTGACGCTGGAGGTTCGAAGTTGTTCTGGATAAATGAATCGAGGTCAAGTTGCGAAAGTCGGGAAAGCTTCAAGGCTACTGTGCGGGACGACGGTCCGTTGACGAAGAAGAATGGGCCAATGTCGGGGATTGATTGTTACAAGTATTGAGATTGCCGCCGTTGTTGAGTTGCATGCCATTGTCAGAAAATGACATGTTCTTTTGAGAGACTTCGCCCTGGCCTCTCTGTCTGAATCTTGCCAAATATCATCATCAGGCTTTGAAAGATATTTTATGCCATACTTTCAAATTATGATGAATAAATCAACAGAGTAAAGATCCACTCTGCATATCGCTGAAAAGCGAAGAGGAATTTGATGAGAATAATTCCTATTGGTTCAACGAAAGGCACGTGACTCTCAATTGTTGTTGAATAAACAGCTGCGGGAATCAAGGCGATGACACTAATCTTGCTTCAAAGATCTTATTCTGTTGCAGCCTTGTGCTTGTAACGGTCAATCGCTTCTCAGAGCTTGCCGACGTGTCGAAGCTTCTCATCCCGCATCAGCAGGACGTGGCTGCGCCTTTTCCAGTTGAAGTTGTCTCGAACAGATATGGAACATCAAGCATCTGCAGGACACCGAACATAAATGTTCAATGGTGAGAACCTCACCAATATCGATAAGAGCAACACGTACGACGGTTCAACCTCTCATGGTAGAAGTTTTCAATTGAATGCCAACTGGGGAAGCTCCGGAGTTTATCAACATCGGGGCGCAGTTGCGAAAGGAAGGTCACTTCAGATCAATGGCAATCTCAGATCTGGAGTCAAGGAATGAGACCTGAGAGATTGGTCTGGAAAATGAAAGTTTCGGTGAGTGGTCAGAAAAGAGGTCCAATTATTGCAAAAGCTGCAGACATTATTAAACATTATTGGTCAGCCGCCCAAATCTCTACCCTAAGATTTCCAAATTAAGCATTACTTTCAACAATTATTACTCTCCACGCAATCTGCGTCCACGTGACTCAATAGAGCCTCCAAGAAGCGGAAGGCATCTGCATCCAGCTAATAAACTCGACAGAACGAAGTCCACCAACACCAGCAACAAAATAAGAAAGCCCAACACGAGAAGCCCTGAAAGGTTTGGAGTCTGACCAGATGCTCTTCGAATCTAAGTTCTTGCCTTAGCCATACCTGCGCTTTTTGGACACTTGCAACCTCATTACAGCTTCTGCGCTTCCTCTTCTGCTTCTCTCCACTTCTTTTCTTCTGCCTCAATTCTCTCCTCCTCCGCCATTACTCTTTTTATGTCCTCCTCCAATGCTTTCTCCTCTTCCTCCAGAGCCTTTTGCTCCGCTTTCTCTTCTTCCTTCTTCGCTTTTTCATCTGCTTTCCTCCTCCCCTTGAACCAATTATCGCACTGTTTCTTATGAGAAGGCTTCACCCAAATCGTCTGAGGCAACCTATGCCAGCTTCACTGTCTATCGAAGACGGTATGATTCAACGTGTTGTCACAAAAGGCTAAGTTAGCTTCAAGTTCCGTCATGTTGTTGGTCGCATCTATAACAAGACTACAATCTTGATCCAACTCGGTATGTACTCTGCGTTGATTAATGACCCATGAATCGCCTTTCATATCTTGCATTTCTGGAAGGCGAATCCCATTCGCGCAAAAAGTTCGGTATGAGCTCACTGCAGACATATTTCTCTCGGCGATGAGCTTGGTAACCAGTCAGCAGAGAGCGTTAATGCATGGAAGAATGTTCCTTACCCGAGGAATGATATCCACGAAGAGTTGGTTCGGATGCTTGGTTCCTGATATCCCTTCAACTGCTGCATGAATCTTAGAACCAGGTGCGAGGTTCATCTCTTTCATGAAATTAACGCTCTCGATTGCGCGCCAGTCTCCGCATATTAATGGGAATTGCAGATAAGAGGGATCCTTCGAGAGGTAGCTTTTCCATAGCGGATTCATGTCGTGAAGATGCAGATGGTCGCTCACACAAGTCGGAAGGTGAAAGGTTGGTCCAGACAAATCACCAGATGCCCAATCCACCTTTCCGACGTTGTTCTTGAATTTCTTGTAGAATGCCCAAGCTTCGTGAAGAAGATCCTTGATGACTAGATGATAGGTCTTCGTCTTCCACGTCTCAATTGAGTCAATGCCGGACATGATTCCGACGTGATCCTGATAATCAGTGGTATGAAACCATCGGCTCGCTGTGCAGAAAGTGTTGGATCGGCCTCAGGCTCTGGGCAAATTTGAGACTTCCGATAGCTGTTCCACCAACTGGGTTTTCCTTTTCTAGGGACCTCGTTGCATTGTTGCTGCGCATCTTTGACGTGCATGCACGTCATATAAGTATTGTCCTCGCTCATAATTGTGCCGATAAAGTGTTTCATGAGTCGATGTGTTAGCTGCTCTTCTTGTGAGACTGCAGTAGAAAGGTTTTCGGTAGAATGGCTTCCAGTAGAATTGGTAGGTGCTTCGTGAAACCAGTCGTGCATAGCAAAATCAATGGCCATCGCGGACGGCATACCAGGTTGAGGAATCCAACCCCTGGACATCCTGGCGTCTAAGTTCTGAATCTGCTGTCTGTCCTTTTGGAAGAAGTCGGAAATGATTTCGTTCATTGCGTGAGCATTCCTGCCGTTCAAATCTTTCTGGTCACCTCCCAAGTACGAGCACAGAGGATCAGTACCCATGCCTGGATCAAGATGCGAGCTCTCATTATCTGCTGACGAGCTCGAATTTCCTGCAGTCAAAGGTGAAGTCTTTCTGGTCGCATCCGTTGCTAAAGTAGTTGCTATACTTTTGAACTCGTTTTGCAAGATTCCAAAATAGTCGAACTTAGCTGCGTCAAGAGAGCTATCTCGCATAGTTTTCTTAAGCACACCGTCTACCATCTTGGGCCCAGTATTGTCGAATGTCTTGCCTGATATGAGATTGACAGAAGCAAAACACTCAAGCAAACTGCCCTCTGCTGTGAGAGCAGTTGACAATGAACTGGCAGCACCACCTGCCATAGCCGCAGCGACCTGTATTCCAAGGTCGAGCAATTTGTGAAAGGCGCCGCACATTGCGATCATATCCTGGCTGACTTGCTTGGTGAAAGTTTTGATCATGTCATGTGCATGGCCCAGAAAGTACGACTCGGCGACTGCGAAAGCTTCCTAGACAGGCAATCAGCTAGAGTAAGAGAAATAAATCAAGGAATTTTATCTTACCAATTCTGCCCTTCTTCTATTATGCATCATCGACATCCTCCTGGTGTGGAAGTATACCCGTTGTGCCAAACGCCGATTCTCTCGACCCGGCCACAACTTAATAATATCATTCCTACTGGGTACACTCATGCACCATGTCACGGTTTGGTCGCATTGGAAATCGGCGTCTTTGTGGAAGAGGCGAGCGAAAAATTTGGACTCTTCATCCTCCTTCCACCGCGGGTCAGTCTGGTAATGCATCGTGAATGCAGCGTACCACGTGTCGACGCCAGATTTTCTGACATTCTCCGCCGTGAACTCAAACGCATCAACGTCTGGGATGTCGTTCAGCTCTTCACTGGAATTGGTGATCTGTAAGAATGGGGGAATCACGGTATTCCAGTCGATCGTTGTTAGATTGGTGGAAGTATTGAAGGTACCGTCACGTGCTTTCAATGCGGCGTGGGGAGGAGAATGATCATTTTGGAGTTCTGAGGTCGAATCGACAGTACTTGGTGCAGATGCTTGCAATTCCGAGTTGTGTCGAGCTTCTGGAGTAAGAAAGTCGTCGGTGCCGGGAGCAGTTTGAGGCGAGGAGGTGGGTGAAGAATCCAATGGGGACTCTGGGATTGGAGACTCAACACCAGAGACAGCTGCCGGAGAGGGAAAGCTTTCAATAGCGTCTTGCGATTCTGGCGTGAATTTTAAAGGGTTGTCTCCTGTGTTTTCATTCGCAGATGCCACAAAATTGGGTATATAGCCTTGAGGCAAGCTCCCAGTATCTCCGTCCTCAAATGCGACTGGTTTGGCAAATGAGGTCGACAGAAGATGGAGCCCGAGGGCTAGGCCGTACTTCCATCTAGCCATAATGTTGGAGAGGACCGAACAAGGATAATGGAGGAGTAAACTTCTGTTCAGAGAACGAATCCTATTTATCTGACAGGAAAGACTGAAGGCGTCATGTTTCTGAGATCTAATGGAAGATGCACCAGGTGCTCCCATCCTGTGGACAAGACTGAAGTATATACTTTGTAAACAATCATCAGGTCATCCCAAGAGTTTCTAGGTGATGCAATTTGCAAACCGAATCACACAGTGGCATCTAGCTCTCCATATCGAGTCCGCCGGGCGACCTGAGGCTATTGTCACCTTCCTGAATAAGGACCCAAAGACGAAGACGACTAAAGTCCACATAGGTAGGGTCTGGAAGTAGAATGATCAAAAGGATTGCAACAAAGAAAATGGAATAATGTTCAGATTGCATCTCCGCAGCTACCAACTAGACTCAGTTCGTACTAGCCAGAGATAGTGATGTCGCCGGCGTTGAGAATCTGGGGCTATACTCTATAGTACCCGCTCAGCTTAGTTCGGAGATAAGAACAAAAGGTATGACCGTGTAATAGACTGTTTCGTCATGGCTATTATTCTTTCTACAGCAGCTCATGGCTGCAATCTCTAGCAATCCTCTTCCAACACGAATACAATGTGCGGCATTCTTACAGGCATTTTTTTGGAAGTGCGAGCATACGACAATGCAAGGATCTCCAATTGCAACATCGCAAGCCAAGTAAAGAAGATGATATCTTGTCTTTGTTCGCACGCACCGATCATGTAAGACAATGACCGAAAGACGACTCAAATGCTGCGCCGACCCGGTCAGCATATATGCCGCTACTCCAACCCAGCGGTCCAGACCACGCGCTGAAGTCTGAACTAACCAGAATGACAGCACTAGCTCTCGTCAACTGTTCGGAATTTGAGCCTCATTCTGCTTCATGACGCCGCGTACCACGAATGGTGCCCATCTTTGAGGGTGTATGATGCATTGAAAAGGGAACGTTCAGAGCTTCCGTGGTCGATGAGAATAGCTACACATCCAACTAACCTCGGCTGTACATGAACTTCGGCGGAAATTCATCAATTACTTCAATGTCTTACACATATATCAACTACAAGCACTCTTGCAAGTTCTAGCTTGTTTTCACGACAATGATCTGCCCTTGAATTAGCAGAGATGTGACGAATGTAGCAATCAACTTACATGCTTCGATCCATCCCCTTCTTGACTTCCTGGAGTCCACTCTCTGAGTATCTCGGTATAATGCCGCCTGTATCTACAACAGCTTGAAAGTGTCGTAATGGGTGCTGGCTACCGCATTGCATGATTTCCGAAAGTCTACCGCCGATCCGCTGTAACGAGCTATGATCCTCTTCTGCTTTCCAGCCAGATTTTTGTTGACGCCCGTCAACCAAGAATCAACTTCGTTGCTGAGCAATCCCTGCCCAAGATCGTGGACATGATTAGTCCATTCGACAATCTAGTTTGTTCAGAATACTAGCCGTTGTGAGATGCTTGGGTTGAACTTACTCCTTGCTCTTTGGCTTCAATGTAGGTAATATCGTGATTTCTCAAGTACTCGATGCAATCAGAGATCCACCCCACGGCATACTCGATGCTTCGTGGAATATTTCCATATGCTTGATGTGGTCCAATGGACATGAACATGTTTGGAAAGTGTTGCACCTGGTAGAAGTCAGTATAATTTCATCACACCACGAAGGAATTAAAATCACCGTGAGTCCCAAGTAAGTTCTGGGGCCTTCTTTCCATTCATCTAGTAAAGCATGGTTGTCAATTCCACGAAAATCAATGGCATCAAAAGCACCAGTGACTGAATGCTACGTTAGCCGAATATCAGAGTATTTATCATGTGATTCTTACTAGCAGAAAATCCTGTCGCATAGATAATCATGTCCAGCTTGAAATCCTCCCGGGAAGTCTTGAGGCCATCTTCTGTGATGCACTCAATGGGTGTCTCAAGAAGGTCTACAAGGTGGACATTCGGTTGATTGTATGCTTCATAATAGAACGTCTCCATTGGCACACGTCGAAGTCCGAATCCTGTGAATGTCAGCATCATTTCGTTATTCTTCGAGGCACTTGGCCCACCATAAGTTTTCGGAATGAGTTTCTCCGCCGTTGCTGGATCTTTCACACGTTGTCTAATCTTCTTCGCAACAAACTCGCTAACCAGAGCGTTTGCTTTCCGATCAACAAGTGTCTCTTTGTAGTTTGAGACCCAGAAACCGAAGCCTGGCTGGGCGTACATGTATTCCCAGAAAGCCTCTCTTTCTTCTGGAGTAGCATCCCATATCGAATCGTTGATTCCTTCATGCATGAAGCTAAGCCGTGTGCCGTCTATTTTCTTGAGTAGTTCGGGATAACCTTTTCGAATCGTCTCCCACTCCTCCTCGCCTATTTTCGCGTTATGAAGTGGGATTGCCTTTCAGAGTAAGCGATTACTCTTGAGATTTATCAATGGATACCCACCCAGTTTGGTGTCCGCTGAAATACCGTCAGATTTTTAACTGTCTTCGCAATCTCCGGAATAATCTGAATAGCAGTTGCTCCAACACCTATTATTCCAACATTCTTGCCCTCGAAATTGGCAACGTCCTTGGGCCAGCGTGAAGTGTGAAACGCTTGGCCTTTGAAATCTCGCACTCCTGGAATATTTGGCAATGTCGGATTGCTCAAAAGACCGATACCTGTGATGAGAAACCGCGAGGTGTATTCGTGTCCATCTTGGTCTATCAACTTCCAACAACGAGCCTCTGACTCCCAGTTCGCCTTTATGACGGAGGTGTTGAACTGCATATCTTTCCATAATTGATACTTGTCACAAATGAATCTTATATACTTTTCGGTTTCCTCTTGCGGCGCGAAGTGCTCTGACCATTTCCATTCGTCAAGAAGCTCTTGAGAAAAGAAAAATCCATATGAGTAGGACTCGCAGTCAAATCGAGCACCTGGGTATCTATCTAAATGTCATTAGAATCCAAAAGTCAAACAATAGCAGTCAAGACGCCTACTCCAGTACCAGGTGCCTCCGACTGATGAACCTGCTTCCAAAACTTTGACTTTCACACCCAGCTTGCGCATTCTATAGCACGCATAACATCCAGATAAGCCTGCCCCGATAACGAGGACTTCATAATCTGGCTGTTGGCCTCCAATGGAACCCATGATCAAATAGCAATATGTCTCTGGTTGCGTCTTTAGCTGCGTATGGGTAGCTGCGTATGGGTAAGAGATATTCAATTAACAAAGCACAGGACGGATGTGGTTGCTTGTGCTCAATGGAATGACAGATTGAAGTGAACTCTTTCCAAGGCCCATGCTTGTGCGACTCTGCATACCCACGTGAAAATCATAGTCCAGACGGTTCCACGGAATTGGTTCGCGGAATTGCTCCATTGCTAGTTCTGGCCGTTGCGGGGTAACGCAGCGGGAATAAGATAGCAAAGAAGATTGTCCAGCCCCCCACAAGCTTTAATTCAGTGCCCAGAATCCTAGATTCGGAATTTACCACCTCTAGAAGCATTAAGAAAGTTTATTTGATCGACTTGTCGTCATCAATCTCATCTAATAACGCAAGCTAGATTAGTGACTTCCAAGTCCCATCTCTTGTGCGGGGTAACCGGGAAAAAAGATCGCCATCGGAATCAATTCGAGTAACTGCATTTACTGCATTTTACTGTTTGACATAAGTTTGCCGATAATACGAGTGTCTGTCTAGTTGGCAGGAAAAGAAAGGCCTTACAAGTGGTGAGGAAACAGTAACCGATAGAAGACGAGCGGAGCTCCGGAAGCTTATTGAGTGCTCGGGGCGGTGGTTTCGGTTTCTATATGCCTTTGATCTTGCGTTTACTTGGAACTAGAGAGTATATTTTCAAATGCAGATTGCAAGCTGATTTTCTGCTTGCGGATTCCAAGTTCAACACCGCTGTCAACAGAGCACTGAAAATTGAGAATAATGTGCATAAAAGGCGTCCATCCAAATTTTCGAGAAACTGCATTCATGAGTAAGGTATATGCTTGAAGACGGGCAATCCATCTATTCTGTCTCTTCATCGTCCCAAAAGACAAAAGCACGAAGCTCAATACTAGTCCTTGGATCAGAGTGGTCATCTTGTCCCTTCAACGGGAACGAAGAATGAACAGCACACCTCGCACGACCATCCTTTTTCGAGTCGAAAATCTTGAATACCCACGCCTCCTCTGGTGTCATATCGCTTGCATAATACCACTTTTGACTTGGATTGTGAGCCATGTTCGTAACCTCGTACACTGCTGATCTTTCCCCATTGGACGAATACTCTGCTACCTTCTTTTTGTGAGGCAGGTTCTTTGACACATTGCCATATTCACCTGCTCCTGGAGGCGGCAAGTTTGCAATGACCGTGCGAAAATCATTCTCGTCGATGGAGCGGTAGTCACAGAAAGCCAATGGGTCTTTCTTGACTGGCTTGTTGATGGGCTGCCATACATTCATGATGGCCCAGCGCTTTTTCAACCTTCGCTCTACTTCTTCTTCTGGTAAATTGAGATACATGATCTGTTCTGCACCACGATATGACTGATCAACGTGGACAAATCGCTGTGCAATATTAGTCAAGACTTCATCAATTTACAATATACTAGACTTACAGCAGGGTTGTTCTTCGTCACGAAATCCGTATCCGACTTGACTTTGGCATCTTCTTGTGCTTCGGCGAACGTGGACTTACGGCACATGTGCGAGACGATGTGCACCTCCGATGCGCCAGACCTATGCAATGTGAGCATTGGCACTTCATGCTTCCTAGGTTGGTAAACACTTACACTTTCTTGATCAATTCTTTGCATTCAGGATAATAGACCTTCTCAATTTCTTCGTTACTCCCGAAGTCCTTCACCCCAGTTTTGTGCTCAACCAACTCAAATCCAGCGTTATTGACATTGAAGTCTTCACGAATGGAACGCATATCGTTGATGGTGACATCATGAAGCACATGCTTTCTGCGCTTCTCAAATGCAGTACCCGGATATGTCTGTATGATACCACCATCTTTCACTTCCAGATAGAAGAACATTGTCGTCGGTTCAGACGGTAAGGTCATAGTGGCGGAAGGCATGGTGATTAGAGTACAAGATTCGTCTTTGTGTGAATGAAAATTAGGAACAACAATTGAAGTTATAGTATCGATAATCAACTTTGGCTGCAGACGTTGGAGACCACAAAATGATATATGCTATCCAAGGTTCCGTCACTCTCGATGTGGGAATTCCAATGACAGGAGTGGAGAAAGCCTGATCATGGAGAGCGGAAATTAGATCCAGCTAGTATCACTTTGACAGATTTATTACCCATGCGCTTGTTGACGGCGAGTCCCATCTACGGAGACCCGGCACAATGTACTCTCGTAGGTAAGCACGTCTCGATCGTAAAAGAGCCAAGCGGACAAATGGAAGAAGCAGCTCGAACATCTCCGCGGATCAGTACTTCCTCAAGTACGTACCTAAGAGGATAGTAGTGGTTGCAACGGACGTGTTTTTGTGACCATAATCAACTCATTGGGCATCGGCTCCTAGACGATCTGTGAGGTTTTGTACTAAAACTTCTCGGAGGTTGTAGGCAGCACAAGAGGAGAGCGATCGGCCCCTAGCACTCCACTAGAATGGAAATACCCCAGATTCCCCGCATGACAGTACGTAAACTAGATCTGTGAAGATGCACTAATTCTCATCTTGATCCCCCGCATCTGGAGATAGCATGATGTTGGACTGAAGATAAGGCATACTGCGACTATCACAGCCAGCCTCCCAAACTTAGCGATTTGCGTATTCATACGCTAGCCCCAGAAATGGAATGGATCCAAATACGAGGACAAGGAAATTGCCAATGATGTCGGCTCTGCAGACAAAGAAGTACCTGTCTTTCTCAATAGGAAGTCCAACCACTCTACGGAGTTAGGAAAAGCACGAGAATTGAGTTTGCTCTATGTAGGGCTAAAGATGGCCTCGGGAATAATTCCGCCTATACTCTCCTCATTGTAAATATGCAGGACTTTAGTTATCTGGTCTTTGAATCGGCTATCTTTGGTGTGTTCTGGTTTACATTTGAGTTTGTAGCTCATCCTGTCAACCACTGGTACTACCAACTCCGTGGTTCTGGTTCCCAGGTTCCTAGAATCCCCGCATATGCATGCATCTGGATTGACCGATCCCTCATTCTCATAATCATTCTCTATCTCACCAACAGTCGCTTGAATTAAATCTGTTCTCCCATTTCACTTTCCCAGCAATCGGAAGATTTTAGCCATGCAGAACAACAAAGATAGTGGTATTGAACATGAACATCGCGAACACACGAACGACCAATCATCTCCTTCATACACGAGCAGCCAAAATTCCGATCAAAATCACAATGACGTCGAGAAGAGAGCCAGGACAACTGCACTTGGCGGCGGTGCTGTAATGCGAGAGGATGACCATGTGACTGCGAAGACCTGGGCTGTCGTTATCGTAAGTTTCCGTTCCATCATAAAATTAGAGAGAAACTGATCTGTTGCATAGGTTCTTGCGGCATCGTACGGCATCTCGTTCTTCCCTGTTCCATTCTTCAGCACAATCCAAAATGATATAGCTGCTGAGCTCGGGTCAACAGTAGCTCAGGGTACGTGGTTCACCTCCGTGTACAGCTTGGGCGGTACCATTGCCTTCATGCTTTGCGGAGCGAATAGCGACTTATTCGGACGTCGAGCATTTATCTTGCTTGGCAATGTCCTTATGCTGATCGGCTCCATTCTTGGAGGGACCTCGCACTCACTTGGTCAAAGCATTGCGGCTCATGTATTCCTGGGCTTTGGCGGAGGTAATTGTCAAATAGCAGCTTTTGCGCTGCCAGAATTACTGCCAAACAAGTGGAGACACATTGGTGTCGTTATTGCAGACGCAGGAATCTACTTCGACGTTATTGTAGGGCCTGTTGTATCACGAATTGCGTATAAGCACGGTGCGTGGAGATGGGGATATTGGGGCATAACTATCGCCCAAGGCATATCGCTCTTGATCCTCGTCTTTTTCTACTTTCCACCCAAACATCCAAGAGGAATACCGTGGGGACAAGCGCTTCGAGATCTCGACTATGTTGGCATGGTCAGCTTTACCGCTGCCGCGGCTATGGTACTTTGCGGGATTGTCTACGTGCAGCTTATTCCCTCAAATTCGCCAACAGTCATCGCCCTACTTGTGGTGGGCTTTGCCGCTCTCATCTTCTTCGGGGCATGGGAAACCTTTGCAAAACCAAAAGAAGCACTGGCACCGACACGGTTATTTACCGCAAACAAGGGTCGCAGACTTTCTGCTCCTTTCATTTGCGGCTTCGTTGTCACCATGTTCTACTACTCCAATAACATCACATGGCCTACCATGCTCGGAGTTTACTTCACAAGCGCAACCACTCCACCTCACATCGTCTACTGGCTTGCCACCGTACAAGGCTTCGGCGTCTTCACTGGCGCTATGCTTTTGTCATTACTTGGGGGAACAATAAAATTTTGGAAATGGCAGATGACGGTATCGATCACAATCATGACTTTCTTCGGCGCTATGTTGGCCTACGTTACGCCTGAAAAAGAGAGCACAGGCATTGCCTTTGCCTTCCTCTCATCTATGGGCTACGGATACGCTCAATACTTGTCCATTGCGTACATTCAACTTGGCGCAGACCAGACCGAACTTGGGATTGCCGGAGGACTTGCCGGTGTCGCTAGGTATGCAGGTGGTGCTGTTGCTGTCACTTTGTTCGAAACCATCTTGGATACGGTACAAAGCAGCTGGACACGCACGCACGTTATCGCTGCTGCAGAAGCTGCAGGTGCTTCTCTTGGAACAGCCAAGGCTGTGCTCACTGCGCTTCCTCTTGGGACAGCCGCTCTGGAGAAGGTACCAGGCTTGACAACCGCTATTGCGGAAGCCGCCGGTGCAGCGTTCGTAGGAAGCTACGTTGAAGGCGTGAAGTGAGTCATTCTTCTCTTACAAAATGATAGTTTCACTAATGAAATGTATCAGGAAAGTCGCTTTTGCGTCATTGGGATTTGGTGGCCTCGCTATCATTGCATCCTTCTTCCTTGAAGATGTCGGGCCAAAGATGAACAATCAAATTGAAGTCTTCCTTGAGAACGATGTTAATGCGGAGAAAAACACATACCATTAAAGAAGGCTTTGATTATTGTTCGTTACTCATTGAAATTTACATCTGAAGCACAAAGCAGATACTTGACATTGGGCTTCAAAGTCGTTGTAATACATCTCGATCCGCAATGTGACAGTGAGACCTGCATGTATCTCCAGAGCCCTTGGCAATGTGAAGTTTCTGAACTTCCTATCAACCACTTTGAGGGGCAAAAGAGGGGAACTGAGACTAGTGGGACTAAACTCTGAGCCAAAAAAGGGGCGCTCGCTAAATGGGACTCCACGCAACCCCGCGTCTCACAAAATCCGAGAACCTAGCCCCCCCAATTTTATCGGTCTTGATGACGTACCAAGAACAATTAATAGATAGCTATGCAGTTTTGCAACTGCACTTGGACAGCCCCGGTCATACATATACTGCCATCGGGTCAATAAACTGCGAGAGCATAATCATTCACTATTCGCAATGACTTACAAATTCGACCCGGACTATCAAGCCTGCGCCCGGCAAACCTTTGAAGAACTTGGCTTCCCACCAGACCGACCAACTCCTCGTTTTCCAAAAGGAGATGTCAAAGCGCGAAGAGAAGGAGCAAGCTTCGCCAAAGTGATTCTTGCACTTGAACCTGAAGTCCCTGGCATCGTGAAGACGAGATATACAGCTCTAGCAAAAGATGGTTATGAAGTCCCCATCTTTGCTTACCGAACAGAGACGGAGCAAAAAAGTGCAACTTTGCAGCCGGCTGCGCTGTATCTTCATGGCGGCGGTATGATATTTGGCTCGTCGGAGGTATTTGAACAAGCTACCAAGTCAGATGTAGCTGCTACTAGCGTTGCACATTTCAGCGTGTAAGTTAATGTAGCCTTCTGCAACCTTAATTCCAGAATGTCTCTTAACAGGCGTGTACAAAGGGATTATCGCGTAGCACCAGAGGCTCGCCATCCAACTCCGGTTGAGGACTGCTATGCTGCACTCGTCTGGCTTCATTCGCAAGCCAAAGATCTAGGGATTGATAACTCACGTATTGCCGTCGTTGGTCTCAGCGCAGGAGGTGGATTGGCTGCTGCTGTCTCCCTCATGGCCCGCGATCGTGGTCTGAATCCACCCATCGCAAAGCAAATCCTACAGTGCCCCATGCTTGACGACCGCAACATAAAACCGGACGAGGCATTGGCACCATTTATGACTTGGTCATGGGATGACAACTGGACAGGGTGGAATGCTTTGCTCGAAGGGAAAGCTGGGTCTAGTTCAATTTCTGCATATGCAGCTCCCGCTCGGGCTGAGAATCTCGGTGGGCTACCGGCAACATACATTGATGTAGGCACTTTAGATATTTTCGCCAAGGAAGACGAGGATTTTGCATTGCGTTTGAAGAAAGCTGGAGCGGAAGTCGAGTGGCATTTGTATCAAGGTGTGCCACACGGGTTTGAATTCCGAGGACGACAATCAAAGATCATGCATAAGGCGCAGTCAAATAGACGAGCAGCTGTTCAAAACATTTAGAATAAAAGAACGGCAAACAATGCCAAGTAAGCAAGTAATTGACAACAAGCAATTTCGACAACAAAATATAAGACTCTCCTTGTGGTAAAGTCAAGTTCGCAGCTCCTTCGCCTACGTCACTTGTTGCACACCGGCTTCAGAAAGAAGAGGCCATACTAAGGCCCATATAGAATACATAATTCTACTCTTTGTGCCTCATAGCCAAAAGGAGGTATATAACCACACTAGCGTGATCATAGCCCTGTTCACGAAAAGTGAATCTACCTTCTCCACAGCCTTGTCCCTGAGCCTCGTAGCCTTACCACAACCGACACATATAGATTCTAATAAGCAAAAATTTGTCACCAACCCGGTGGTGTGGGAGGCAGCTTAGAAGGCCCACACAGTGACATCAATCTCACCGGGTTGCCATCCTAACGACAACAATCGAAGACTTAACACGCCATTCCCTCCGCCACCGCGAACAAGCTACGCGCTTGGGCGCCCGGGCACACAGTTACTACGGTGCTGTGTGCCCGGGCGTTTTGTTTCTTGTTTACATTGAGGTACTGGTTTTTTCCCTTACTTTTGCTTTTATTTTTTTGGTGTTGTGTTGAATGCTTTTGGTAAGCGAGAAAACATACTTGCGATTTTGTATCTACGAGTCACATGTTTTCACTTCTGCGATCAGATACTTTCGAAGACGTGATAATTAAATGGAAGTAAAGGCATGCTAAGATGTTTGGTAAACATGTGCCAGGTCTATGTGAGGCAGATACACGTGAATATACTTCGCTTCGACTTTTAAATGATTGGGTCCCTGAAATGCTTGGCCGAGATATGGCCTCGAGCGAAAATCAACGTGCAGGAGCTGCAGGCTATAGTGAGAGAGGTTGTGGTACAGACACCGCGAGACCAGATCGTGGTGTCGTCTGGGAAGATTCCTCAGCGAGAGGCTGTTCGGATTTCGCATTCATGTTTTATGGAGAACTGGGCGTTTTGCCTTCCTCGAATGGTATTGATGCTTTCTCGGCTACTGACGTTCAAGTTGATCTGCTGAGATGGTTTGACTATTCGTAACAATGAATATGAGAGTTTTATTCTAGACCTGATTCAGATTTGCGGCGGTAATACCATTTTGGGAATCGAGCCCAGAGAAGTTCTTCATCTCTGAAGGCCTTTGCGTTCTTGATGTATCTGAGTAGAGATAAGGCATTGCAGAAGAATAGTTGCTAGCTCTCCCATTAAGTTGTCGAATCCGTATTGATGCCAATACGCTCTTGCTGTCAGGCAACACAACTGTGAGCGCTGATGGCGCTATATGCGCCAGACGCGATATACTTTATTACTCGGTCACATGTTAAACTACAACGACGCTCATAGACATCAAAAATCCAATTCCAATTAAGATTATACTACAGACATGCTCTCACTCAAGCACATAACAAGACCCCATCTCAAAGCCTCCAACCCCCTTGCCATCCAAACCCATCCTCCACCCTCCTCCCAACCATCAACACACCACCCTGCCACCCTCACCTACCCCCTAAAAGCCCTCCCCTTCTTACTAGGAAAAAGATCCGTAAACCCAAACTGACAGTCCCCAGCATCATCACACCCATTATTCGGCACGTTATACGTAAACGCATTCGTCGGATCCGTATACGTAGCCGCAATGCCCTCATCGACCGAATTCCACGTATAACTCAGCGCGTATCCATCATTGCAAGGGATGGTCCCCGAGGTGGGGAGGAGAGAGCCGGTGTACGAGCCCTGGCAGGTTGGAGCGTCGCCGACGTTGCCGTTTTGGACTTCCAGGGTGACGGTTACGGCGTCAGAGGAGGTACTGGAGGAGCCGGTGATGGCGAAGATACCGTCGGCCAGGGCGGAGGAGAGGAGGGTTAGGGTTGTGAGGAAGGTGATCGTTGTTGAGAACTTCATTTTGATGTCTTTTTGAGCTTGAATTTTGAAATGTGAGACGGAGAATGAGAATTGAGGTTTATGTCTTGCTGGTGTATTTTGTGTGTTGCTTGTCTGAAACTTCCTCGAGCTGGAAAAGTGCCATACTTATACCTTTCTCCTCAAGCCTTCCACTAGGTCATCTGCTCACCTCAACTCGAACCTGCAGATCTCGTAATCCTCCTCCTCTACACAAACAAGCTACAAAAAAGCACGGTTAGCTTACCAAGAACACAGCATCGTATATGACTCAATCCCAAATCCAAACCCTCCCCAAACTATCCACCATTGCGAGCGAAACTAATACCGTACGTCAATTCCCGGCACTTGAAGCCTCGTGACTTTCCCCGCCAAGAGACTTATCGTCACTCTTGCTCATCGGATCTTACGATCCTGATCCGAATGAACCGTATCAGGTCAGCAGGAACGAAGGCGCAATTGCAAGGCTGGTGGTTGATAAATATAGATACGAGGCTGTCGATCTGCCGCGTGTGGAGTCTAGCGTATCAACCTCATCCTTACGCATGATTGGCTACCCATCAAAAATGTCCGCGTGGTCGATTCATTTGGAAGAGACGATCAAGTGTGGATGGTGAAGTGTAACATGAATGAGAGGACACGACGTGCAAGATGGAGATCCTACAGCGGAAGCAAAAAGGAAAATTTGAAAGCAGGTAAAGCAGATGAAGGAAGAGGCAGGAAGCACAAGTGTATGGGAACTACTACACCACTGCGCCTCTGCATTGGAGGAGAAGCATCTCTTGCAACCACTTGGGCATTGAATTGAGCCACACAACAAGAACAAACAGAAGGGGGCCAGCATCGAATGCATCTATTATCATAGGCCAAATATGGCTGTAATCAAGTATCGAATTCCATGCCGTTAGGAGGTCCACCAGCCAAACGCCATGAATGCAGCTTTTCTTTTCCCACCAATATCGTCACATATGTCCACCTCAGCCAGTCTTCGCTTTCTTCTTTGGCCTCTCTTCTTCTTTATCGCTGCCACCTTCCTCATCATCACTTCCGCTACTCTCATGAGCTGAGTCGTATTCTTCCGCAACATCACTGTCGCTGTCCGTCTTGAAGTCCTCATCCACCGACTCATCGTCTTCATCAGCACTGCCTCTATCTGCTCTTGCAGCCACGACCTCCTCATCACTCGATGCCATGTCGGGATCTCTCAATGCAGCAGCAAGTAAAGCAGAGCTATCCTCGTCCATCTCGTTCTTGACTCTGAGACCTTTGACCTTGAAGAAGGCCTCCAGCGGCTTTTGCTCTTCACGGTTAATATTCGAGAACTGAGTTTCGAAATTGCTGTCTTTCAGTTGGATTGTAATGTCGAATGTTCGTGATGCAGAGACAGCGCCACCGACACGAGAGAGCACGATGGATTTGATGTTGTCATATGGAGTGAATGTTGCAGGCTTAGGGACGAACATGAAGGCTTTCTCCAGGCAGTAAAGGAATCCTTCACTAGCCTTGATGGAGCACTTAATACCAAACTGTCCGTGATGGCTACAGACATTAACAGGCTATCAATAATTATAGTGATGAACTTACCTCAAGAAGTCTTTGGCTGGCGCGTTGACTTTCTTACCAGTCAATCCACGGAAGACTTGTGTCACAACTTCATGCAAAGGTTGCTCATAGTGAGGCAACAACTTTCCATTGTACTTGTCCTTCATCAACTCATCGGTCATGTTCAAGTCAATCGTAACCTCTTCATCCTTCTTAAATTGCATGACCAAGAATGGATATCTGGTCTGGCCTTGTCGAAGAGGGGGGTCGAGACCAATACAGATCATGAAGTGTAACTCGTCAGGTTTTGGCAGAATCATAAACTTCTTCAAGACATCGTACTGAATCTTATAGTCGTAGGTCTTGCCTCGTAATCTGAAGGAGTTCTCGTACATGTCAATATCAAAACGTCCTCTGCTTCTTGTTAGCACCCATTCAAGCACCAAAACGAACTACACACCTTGGGGTGAGATGTAGGACATCCAAGAAAGTGGCAAATGTATCGCCAGCAACCTCTCCAATTTCCGCCTTCTCCATCAGGGTATCATAGAAGAGATTGGCAGCGTTCTGCTCCTCCTCTGCTTCTTCAGCATCACTAGGCGCATCTTCGCCCTCCAAAGCCTCTTTCTTTGTAGTGACACCTGGTATGTAAAATCGCATCTCCACCAACTGATCTTTGCCAGCACCAGCCTTCTTTCCCTTCCCTCGTGCACCACCAAGTGAACCATTGGTACCAGTATCATCACCATTTGCCGGCAGTGCAAACTCGAGCGCAACCTCATTTTTGCCTGCCAGATTGGTATTCGAGATCTCGGAATATGGGATTTCGAAAGCCGGTCGGTTCTGGACATTGAAAGCCAATTCCGCCTTACCAAATTCGCCTTTTCCCCAATTCCATCCCCTCAAAGCGTGTTCCTTGTGTTCGAGATTCGTGCTGTACCAATTCTTGAAGACCTTTTGCATGCGCTCGAAGTCCTATCCCATCACATCAGCTCCATTTCACGTTCAAAATTGTATAGACCGAGCTCACCTCTTGTTGGAAGCCATCAAGCTGTACCACGCCCGAGTGCCGCAGAAGGATCTTCACCTCGAAGCCTTTCGAGGCTCGACTCCATTGTGCAGCACCAATCTCAACAGCGTTCAAGGTGAAGGTATCGCCACCACCACTAGGCTTCCATCCAAAACCCGTTTCCGCAAAGCGACATTTTCCAGATTCCTTCGAGAGGTCGAGGTAGATGTTATCAAAGCTTTCCCTGGTGAGAGAAACGACAACGTTAGCTTGAAGTGGCTCCATTGTGAGATTGCTTTGTAGTTGCGTTGAAGTTGGAAAAATGTTTTAAAGAGAGGAAGCGAGCTTACATTGCCATATTTTATAGATCGTTTGTCTAGCTGGGTGCTTGCAGAGGGAAAGACGCCGGTTGAGACAGGTGAACGGGTGCTTGCCTCTGTCGCGTAGAGTGCTTGAGGATCGCGACTGCACGCGATTTAGTGGAGTCACGTGAGTAGCATTGGAGCTCACCTGGGTTCTTCATTTTCCGAAGTCATTTTCGTCTGGCTGTATGGTTTAATCCCTTGAATTTTATGTGTTACTTATTACTTAACATCCTATTGTCACAGAAACTATGGATTAATAGAACTCCTCTAGCATCTCAACTCCCACCACAATTTACAACCACAAAGTTCCCTACACACCACATGCACCCAGCCTCTCCTCCTCCTGTCATCCCATCTCCTCAGAGACTCACCAATTCTCGCCAATATCCCAACTTCTAAAAGTCGGAAAAGAATGAAAACAAAAAAGAGTAAAGACACGTCTACTTGCAATAACCACACAGGTGATGTGATGATTGCATTGGTATCGACTATCCACACAGTGGAGGATAGGATAATGCATAACTCACTATATAATGCCATGTAGCTAGATTTTGAAGTATATAGAGATATTCGATGTCCCGGATTTCCTCCCGTCTAAGTGCTCAGAGTGGGAGGGATTTGAAGTTAGCCAAAAGCCATATCTCTAAATAGAACAATAGACCGTAAGTGCGCTGATATCAAAGAGACAAACCGAGTTTGGAGGAGCATATGTTTGACTGTCTGTCAATTACTTTAGCATAATTACAGATTTTCAACCCCTTCACCGTCACCCTATCCCTCTAGCAAATCTCCTATCCTCTCCATTTCACGCTTCCCAAACCCAGATGACCACCCACCAGAGCCACCAGATAATTATCCATCTAATCGGTCCCCATATCCCATCCTGCCTCCGTACTTCAGAGCTAAAGCATCCATGAAAAGCATGCTATGCACCTCACTAGACTATCATACCACAAAATAAAAGGAGAAAAGAATCGAAGATGTTCCATGCTAAGTGGTGAAAGCAAAGCAGTAGAATTTTGAGAACGTTTCAAGAAGAAACATCCATTCGCAAAAGTAGCATCGCACCGCATTGCACCCGTTTTTGAAAATGCAAACACGCGGAAAGCAGAGGGCATCAGGCATAAGACGTGGGTAGAACGATTTTGCTGAACTTTTGTTTTCGCGAGTTAAAGGGAGGAAGCCTAGAATGCATGGTGAAGAGGAAGGTGTAGAGTACAGTTTCTTGGAATCGTGAAGGAAGATCGAACTCCAAGTATGGTACAGCGTCGATTTCGTAAAGTTTGTCATGGCGGGATGTCGACGACCGGGTCTGGGTAAATGTAGGTAAATCATGCGTTTGTAGGTTGTCCGGTGCCTCGACCTCGAGGAGCGCCTTGACCACCCCGACCGCGTTGTGGGAATCCTCCTCGGCCTCGTTGATTGTTAAGCCCTCCACGTCCGGTGGAGTATCCGTTGCCTCCATATGCTCCTGCCTTTGGTCGGCGAGGCTCAACATAGATAGACTCTCCGGAGACTTGGTGGGGATTGGCAGCAGCCGCAGCTTGGTAGCCCTCAGGAGTAGCAAATTCGACGAAGGCACAGTTCTACTATTGTCAATTTGGGGCAGAGAAAACGAGAGAGAAATACTGACCTTGGCTCGGTTGATGTCAAAGTAGATCAACTGACCATAAGTTGCCAAAGCACCACGTAGCTCTTCGGTCTGCACCTTGTCGGTAACATTTCGAACATATCCCATTGTACCCTCCTTCTCAGGTGGGCTTGAGATAGACTGTGGTCTGTTTTGTCGCTTCGTGTGGTCACTACCAGCAGTTTGCCACCCGGAGCCTGGAGTGACGTTCTCCTTCTCATTTGGAGTACTGGGGGCTTGTGGAGTTGAAGTAGGCTTAGCGGCTTGAGAAGTCGGTGGAGCAGCGCGAGTCTGCGCAGGTGGTGTAGCAGTCTTTGGGGCGACAACAGGGATAGCAGGCTTGGGAGCAGCACCAACAGCGGCAGCGGCACGACCAGCCCAGCTGAGAGGTTTAGCTGGAGCGGCAGGTTGAGGAGTTGGGACCTTTGTGGCAGATGGAGCACGGGTGACCGCAGGGCTTGGGAGAGGATCCTTGGGCTTCTCTGGTTCCTTGATCTCTTCCTCGACCTCCTTAGCAGCAACTTCTGGCTCTGGGATGCTTTCGACCTCAGTAGAAGCGACTGGTTCCTCCTCAGCTTCTTCAGTGCCATTTGTAGCTGGAGTCTCCTCGACAGTTTCTGGCTCTGCCTCAACAGTTTCCTCCAACTTCTTATCAATAACCTCAGCATCCAAAGCTGGGACGGCTGGGACAACGGGATCCTCAGTAGAGGGTTGAGCCTTTGGCATTTCAACGTCCTCAACCAATGCGGTTGTAGCAGCGGCAGAGTCCTCTTGAGCATTCTCAACTGGCTCATCCTCACCCTCCTCGTTGATGTATCGGAAGATGTCGTTGAGAACGAAGTAACCAGTGGGCTGTTGGGCAAGGACAAAGGTCTGGACAAACTTCTTCAGATCGGCAGACTTGTTTGATGTCTCTCCGATAACTTGGATGACGATGTTGTCGTACGAAGCTTGGGAATCGACATTGGAGACGCGGACTTTGCAATCTTGGAAGTCGAGTTGTTTGATACGTTCTTGGATAGCCTGCCATTATTAGATGTGTTGTCATGCGAAAGGAGAGTTTAGACCTACAGGTCGACCAACTGCGACCGCAGAAACCTCAGCCTCTTGGCCAGAAACGAACTGGGATCGCTTTCCGTAGAAGAGCTATGATGATGTCAGGAACGGTCATATTTGCAGCGCAGACTTTCTTACATGGAGCTTCTCCGGGTTCTTGCTCAGGGTGGTATAATATTGCTCAACAAAGTACCAGCCAACCTCATCCTTTGACAAATCTTGACCACCAGTACTACCGCCGCTGTTGGACTCCGCAGGACCTGACGTCGCAGGGTATGACTCGGGTGTAGCTTTGTATTGCTCCTGCTGAGCGAAGTTGCCATTGGTTGCCATTGCGCTGGTCGATATGCAGGATGAGGAAGACAGAATTGTCAACCTCACGAGACGAGAGTAGAATGGCGGGTGGTTTAGAGGTAGTGAAGGTCGAGACGCGCGAGTGTCTGATGTATCTAGAATCGCCTCGCGGATCGTAGACGGGTAGATAATGCGTTGTTGAGGAGATCGAGTCCTGTCACGGATATCGAACGCGTTCTATGACCGAAGGAGGGAGCTTGGGAGAGAAAGACTCTAAAAAAAATTGAAGAGAATTTCAGTATGCGGAAATACAATAGATTAGAAGGATCTGAAGAGAAGGGCCAAAGAGGAGTTCCAACAGAAGGAGGGAGGATCGAAGTGCGCGGAGGACAGGTTTGCTGTGATGCTGGTGGAAAGTGGAAGACAAATTCTTGTCAATTGGAAGCTTTTCGGCAGGCGCCTTGGCTTTAGCGAGGCAGCAAGGATCGTGGGGTCACGTGCGGGTGGACACGATCAGAGAGGTACTCTTGTGAATGACATTTTCGGGTGATTCCTGGGCATTGTATGAGTAATAATCGAATTGACTATTCTTCCTATTGTATGCGAATCAATGAATCAATCCAGCTAAATTGGTGAGGTACTGTACTGTACTTGTTAACTCCAGCACTTCTCTTTCACATCCTGTATCGCCGAAATGCATCCGGCCGAACTACATGACAATAGAGGTAGGTTATCTTTCCCTAAGTACGGAAAACCCAGCTTTGAGATGACAGTGAAGTATACTAAGTGTGTACATCTACTAAACAGTCTCTTGATATCGTTAATTCCACATAGTTCATCAGCTAGCATTGACCGAGGTAGTTTTAGGTGTTACTATTACATGAAGCATGTTTGGCAGAAATATTAATTGTCGCCATCAGATTGTATCACAGGCACAATCTCAGAGGTCAGAGGGTTTGACACTTTGAAGCAAGATTGAAGCACATGACTAGCAAGTCGTTTGACTATGGTAAGTACCATCGCTCACAGGGCAGAGCAATAACTTAGAGGGGCATTCCACCAAGCTTTCCAAGATCACTTCAAGTCCAATGTCATACTTCTCTTAGTACGTTCGAGATTGACGAGGAAAATCACTTGCTTGCCCAAATACATATCCCATGTCAAGAGAAAGAGTATAGAGAAGACGCAATCTTTAGCAGTATTGCGATTCATGACCCAATCAGGCAGACATATCAGAGTAACATATCTGAGCAATTCAACGCTGCTCTCAAACACCAGAATAAAACATCACTTGTGCATATTATCTCCTGAACTTCAGAAGACACTTCCCATACCCAACAATAGTAACAACGGACGACTTACCTCCCTCTTAACATCACAGCCAACCATCCTCCAAAAGCATGGTATGAAGAGAGTAGAATATGCATCTACCCAGAATTAATCCATTCCAACCCTCGAGTATGATATGTGCAGCACTATCAAAGGAAGAGCACGACATGCAAAAGAACCCCATACCCATCGAAGCAGCAACAAGACTTGGTATTCCTCCCAATGAAAACACAGCAACAGCAGCATCCCTGATCTTCAACAAGAAATAAAAACAAACGCCAGTGTTGCATGCCCCCGTTTGGTTCAGTTGCATTCAATTCAAATCCATTCATCCATCCATCCATCCATCGTATGACTCGTTCGTTCCTCCATCCTCCGTCGGTCCGTATCGATTCATTCATATAAAGAATTCGGCGTATTCGTCTCGTCTCAACCTCATGGACATGTTCAAGCAACGACAGCAACCTTCTCCTCGTCCCTCTTCTCCGACAACTTCGGCTTCCTCTCCCTCATCACCGCATCCTGGCCTCCCATCCTCCTGTTCAGCGCCCGCTCCAACTTCGCCCCCAGCGCCAGCTTGCTCAAATGCTCGGTCTTCTCGACACTAGGCACGAAGCGCTGCGCGCCCAGCTTCTTGTTCTCCAACTTATCTAGCCCATCCTCGATGTCCTTGATCTCCTGCTGTGCCGACGCCGATGAGAGAGTAGTGTGGACGGTCGCCACCGAGGGCGCGGTGCTGAGGGTGCTGTAGCGGTTTGAGGTGCGTTTGCTGGCAATCTGGGCGGTGGCAGACATTGTTAGATTGTTGCAATGTTGCGATGAGATGATTGAGAGGAATGGAAAGAGAGGAAGGGAGGAAAGGGAGAGCTTACGCTGGGGGCCATGATGGGGCGAGAAGACTCCAGTGAGTGACCCATTTTGGAAGGGCGATGTTGTTTCAGAATCCTTCTACGACGACAGGGGAGAAATGGATCTTCGATCCTGGGCAATTGAGATTGGATCTGCGCTCGCTGGCTCGACGATAGAAAATTGGTTCGGATTGCAAAAGGACGAAGGGATGGAGAGGTCGAACGTTTGGCCGAAAAGAAGGTTCTTTGAGGTCGAGAGAGGCGGAAGTGGAGTTTGGTTGTTTCGGGTTGCCACGAGGTCAGGTCTCAATCTCAAACAGGAGGAGCAGGCCGGCGTCTTTTGGGTTGGTGGAAAGGCCGGGGTGATCAAAAAAGCCTTAGGTTTTCGGAGACTCCAGACGATGGCGATTGTTCTTTTCTTGTCCTGTCAGGAAGATTTGAGGTTGGAAGGAGATGTCAAATGGACTGCACAGTCATAAGATGCAGGAGCGAGGATGTTGTTCGGGTGATGACAATTCTGCAGGCTGCTCTCAGATGCACCAACAACACTTACTTTTTGAGATGTGATGAGATGAGATAGGGAGAACGGAATCTTCTCCTTCTTATTTCGAAGTCTCGATACCAACAACCCCAGCCAATATGGCGCTTTGGGTCACAGCAGGATGATCGTAGGATTGTCCCAAAAATTGACCGCCAACTCTCATCGCGATGATCACTGCGCAAGGAAGGTTTATATGCCGGGGCCCTCGGCGAGATGGGAGATGGGAGATGAGCGTTCGCAGCTTTTCGTGATGTCCCTACCACACCACCCACTGTGATTCGAGGAATGGCATCGAAGACTCCGTAAGTGGAGCGTGGGAGGGGAAAAGGGGGAGTTCGTAATGGTCGAGTACGCGGGCAATCGGGGTGCTGCAGGCCAGGGGAACAGTGTGAAAGGGAAGGGTGTCTCAGCGGTTCAGCCCCTGCAAAGATGCACTGATCACACGTGGCTACCCGCTGTTGCCCGCAGAGAGAAAGGATTAAGAGCCCCTGAAACGTGGGAGTCAGGCATTATTGCGCCGGCTCACTCTTTAGGTTTCGTGGTGCGGTTGAGTGCATTTGACATTTGACATGAGAGACTTCACAACGACAGATATGATAATTTGTACACAGTCAATATAACAACCGAACCTTTCTAAAATGGAATTTCGAGCCTGCATTCAGTGAGCAGAGAAGAAGTAAATATAACTTCTTCTGATGGATCTCCGGCCTCTCCCGACCACGCACCACTCAGCATGTCATAATCTCGCTCGCGCTTTGATTAGTCACTCACACTCATCGTTAGGAGACTTCACTGCTTTAGAACGATAGATATGATAATTTATATTCGATGAATAAATTAATCGAAACTTCCTGAAATGAACATTCGAGCCTACAAAGGGAATAAAAAAACGGAATATGAATTGTTGGGAGATTTCACTACTTCAGAACGACACATATAATAATTTATACCTGAGGAATAAATCAATCGAACCTTCCTAAAATGATTATTCGAGCCTACAAAGTGAATAGAAAAGACGTAGATATTTCAAAGTATAAAGTCTTCCGATGGATCTCCTTTCTTTCCCGGCCACGCACTACCAACCACGCACCACTCAGCATGAAGTCATGATCCCGCATGCGCTTTGCTTAGCCACCCACACTACAGTCGGCAGAAGAAAAGATCACCACCTTCCTCCCTCCATCTCCATCTCATCTCCTTGCCAGAGTTACACCCACTAGCAACCAACCCCCAACCTCCGTCTCTCTGTGACCACATCTCAACATGCCGAAGTCCAAGCAATTCCTCAAAGAGCCAAAAAAGAAATCAAAGCACGCTACTCCCGTACCTCATCCCTGGACTCTCCCTCTATTTCTAGGACTGACTTGCGATAGGTCCCCACTAACTCCGACGAGTACCTAGCAGGTACGAAAAGTCATCAGAACTACAGATCAAAGCTAACCTCTCCATAGCTGGTGTCGATTTTGAAGAAGCAGGCGAGAAATGGAGAGGTGGAGATGCCGTCAAAGTTTGCACCTTCCATTCTTGGCCTGTCACGTGATCCTACTGATTCACGCAGTCGACCAGGTTCTTTGTGAGAGCGCTCGATTGTTATGAGGAAGGGTTGAAGAAGTTCCCAGACTCTTTCGATCTTGCTTATAATAAGTGAGTGCATTGTTGCTATTGATTGCGAAGCTCTGCTAACAACTATGTGCAGAGCCCGTAAGTCTTTTCACATCAACACAGCCTTTTATGTGTTGGCTCTGGACTCTTGGCTATTCGAGCTATTCTCTCTGATCAGAGACTTCTCCGTCCGTGGAGGAGACTCTTGTCTTCATGAAAATTAGTGGAAGTGGTGCTGAGTTGTCGAACAGGTCTCCAATATGAAATTACGCAACACCCAAAGATTGTCGAGAATCTACCCGGCACTTTATTGGAGCTACTCCAGACCGCCTTAGACTCTAGCCGATATGCCCTGAAGTTGGATCCGGAGGATGCCGATGCCTTGTTGTAAGTGATGTCTTATTTCATGCCTTGACTATCTTTGGTCTTAAGTTTGTATTTCTTGGTTTTTTATGTCGAGCTTATTTCTGGTTCATGCTATTGTTCAAGTTGAGTTCACATTTTTGGCTATTTGACATCCAGTCCATTGTCGGTGCCGTTTCCTGCTCACACTATTCTGTATTTCAAAGTTGGTTCTAGTTAACTGACACCTGGTCCGATTTCGGAGCTGTTTCCTTTTTGTGCATTCTTCAACTCGAGTTATGGTTATGGGATGTCTGGCTCTTTGTCAAGGACATTTGGCATATGGCATTATTGTCAAACTAAATTTATTTTTGGGTTTAATAAAGTCTGGCTTATTATCCGTACTTTCCATCCGTGTTATTTTCGGATTAAGCTTCTAGTTCTTCTCGTCATATGATGTCTGGCTAGTGTTGAGTACTTTCACGTGGTGTTATCTTCAAATGATTAATATTGTCTTTTGGATTAGCTAAAATCTGGCTTGTTATTGATATCTTTCATTCAAGCTATTTTTCAAATTAATCTTGTAGTTTTTCTATCCCATAATCTCTGGCTAGTGTTGAGCCCTTTTGACATAGTATTATCTCAAATTAAGTAAACACATATTCTGGGGTAAATAAAGTCTGGCTTGTTCTGAATATTCTCTATCCAAACCATTATTCAAAAGAAGCTTGTAACTATTCTATTACATGATGTCAGGCTAGTGCTAAACACTTCCAACATAGCATTATACTCAAAATATGTGAATTTATGTTTTGAACTCCCTAAAGTCTGTCTTATTTTTGTTATTCTCTATTGGATATCCTATTCAGATCGAGCTTATAACCTTTCCATTACACCGTGTCTGGCTAGTGTTGAACGCTTCCCATCGCTCAAAGCCCTTTTGCTACATAGCGTTATTTTCGAATTGAAACTCGCAATTCGGATTAACTAATGTCCGACATATTATCGATACTTTACATTCACGCTATTCTTCAGATCTAGCTTGTAGTTTTTCCGTTACCTGACGTCTGCTAGGCGAGTCTTCGGAATTTCACGCTATCTTTTCGACCTGATCTTGTTTTCTTTCGCTATTTTTTTCCCTTTCGAGATCAACGCCGCGTTCTGCAACAATGAATGCCCTCAAATCTCTCAGAATGGCCAAATTTGGCCCAAAGGCGCCTGACTCGAACCGATTTCCGGTGCTGGACCTCCTCAAGTACGATGCTGACTTGTTCAGCACCCTGGCCAGTCTTTTAACTGACTTCGCGGAGACTAAAGTCTCCAACAACCCGTCTGACAAGCTACAAGAGGCCTTGTGGCTGTTCGAGCGTTGCCTTAAGCGTCAAGTAGGCACGTTCAAGGAGGAGAATGCCGCTCTGGGAGACTTGGCTCCCAAAGATGTCGATATGGGAGAAGGAGATTCTGCAGCTGGACCTCCTTTTCCGACAAAGGAGGAAGCTTGGGCGCGAGTTGTCGAACCAACCACCAAGGAAATCCTTCTTGAAACCATAGTGGCCAAGCTCGAAACGCTGTCCAAGCTGGCTGAAGAGACGGACCCCCGAGACGGAGATTCGATTAGCTACATATCCGACTATTACAAGGACACGATCCGAAGAAAGTACTTGAAGCCACTCTGCGAAGCCACATCTACAGACTCCTCCTCGTTCCCGGACACTCTCAAACTTGCCATCGCAAATTACCAATGTGCGGTAGCCAACCTCAGCTACTCAGCAAGACGAATTGATCTCCAACAGTACGAACAAGTCGTCCAGACGGCATATAATACCCTGAAACCCTCCTCCGACCCACAAGAACTCCCCTCCAATCCGCAAGTACTCTGCGACTACGCAGAATCCATTATCGCTTTTCAGAATGCCGTCAAAGAGCTCGGTCTTAACCATAACCCTTACCTTACGCAACGATGGCTGGCGCTTACGGAGGCGCTGAAGAGTCTCACGGTGGCAGGTGCGATGAAGGACGTTAAGCATAGAGAGCAAATTCAACTGATGAGAGGCGATGTGGAGATGATGAGATTCCAGTTGGGCGAGGGACCTGGTCAATTAGCCGCCAGTCAGAAGAATCGGGAGGCGTTGTTGGGCAACTCAAAGAAGTTCTACGACGGATCTCGGAGGATCTCAATTAATGTAAGTTGTACTCTGCTCTTGTCTGGAAGGAATTTGAGGCGTTGAGCCACTCTTTCCGAAATGAGCGGCCCTTGTGTTCTTTGGTCTTCTAATAAACGGATACTAATTTTTTCTAGAACGGAGCAAAGGAGAGAGAGATCGAGGCCCGGATTAAGCTTGACGTTGTGGATGCTTTCATTGGGGATAATACGACGTTGTTGGAGGCTAAGGCGACGCTAGAGAGTTTCGAGGCGGTTCTTACGGAGGCTATTAGTGACGGAGTTGTTACGAAGGAACAATTGCTGAGACTTGGTTTGGAGGGTTGAGCGAGAAGAAGATCTTGCGTGTCTTGCTCTGGAGTTCTTGAACTAGACTCTTTATCAGATTGGAACACTCCTCGACGTCGGTCAGATATCATGGTAGCATCACAGAGAGTAGACAACTCATGTTCTAGCAGGCGGGACGGCAGTATTGCTTGCTAGATAGAGCTTCCTCAATACATCTCTGAACTACCGGACCCCCTTCCTTTGCTAACTATCGTGTCTTCTTCGAAGGTAAAGCTAAGCTTTTCTAGTTTTGCAACTCCGTAATGCAGTCTTAATGCCTGCATTCCCCATGCAGATATCTCCAACCCGCAGACATATAATATTAACCCAAGCACAAGCACAAGCACATATAGCATCAAAGTAGAAGGTAAGGTTGTGCTCTTTTATGGTTAAGCTCCACACCGCCTTTTGTGGCCCAGCTGTAGCTAGAATAATCTTACCCCAACGCATCGCTCCTTCTCTTCCCTCTGCCACGAGAAATCCAAAATGCTGTGCAAGTTGTGCAAAGACTTTGACTACGACCAGTTGATCTCAGAAGGAGGTTACAAGCATCATGAGGACTGTGAGCAATTATGCCTCTCCGCGGAGGCTGGCTGCTCTATCTGCGATCTTGCAATGAGAGAAGGTGGAGAGCAGTGGATGAAGGAGGAGGACCAAAGGATCATCTGCAAGTTATCGGATACGGATCTCGTTCAGTGGCATCATGGAGACACACTGAGATCAATTCTTCAGCTGTGTACAACGGATGGTAAATGAGCGGAACCATGGATTGCAGAGCTAATCGTCGGACAGATGATCCGCTTGCTACTCTCTTTGAAAGTCGGCCTGTCTTTGAATCGGCTCTCTCTGCCGGATGCATCGAGATGATGACTGGATGGATGAAACGGTGCAAAGTCGAGCATAAGTCTTGTCCACGACAGATAGAACAACCACTCCCAACGCGAGTTATTGACGTAGAGCCTAGCAATGGGAAGGTACGCTTATTTGTCTCCAATGGCCGTTCAGGGCAATGGGCAGCTCTTAGCCATTGTTGGGGTGAAGTCCAACCCGTTAAAACCATCAAAACAAATTTTGACATCCATTGTCAGAAAGGACTCGATTTGGCCAGCCTAACGCCCACCTTTCGGAATGCCATAATCCTAACAAGACGTTTGGGAATTCCATATATTTGGATTAATTCTTTGTGCATTATTCAGAACAACTCGGCAGATTAGGAGGCTAAGTCAGTGAAGATGGATCATGTCTATCAGAACGCTGTTATTACCATTGCCGCAGAAGCTGCCTCGAATGGCTCTGAAGGGCTCTTCGAAAGTATGTCCTTGAGAGAGCCAGCAAGTGTGATCCCCCGAGCATCGTTCCATAGCAATGCCAAAAGTTTGAGAGGGGCGATTTACTTCCGCAAGGATTCCGATTTTGGTTACAATCAGTGGCGTGGTCCGCTGAGCTTTCGTGCCTAGACCTTGCAAGAGGAAATCTAGTCCTCGCGTATCTTGCGTTTTTCTGCAAGGGAAATTCTGTGGAGATGTCCTTCGGGTCAGTGGCGAGAACGTAAACCCCGCGATCTGGAAGGCTTAGGAATGGCATTCTCTACTCCTCTTTACACAGACATCAATCGTCTACCAGCACCTGTCCAAGATTGGATTGTGACACCTTCCGTGAGTTCGAAAAAAGCCATGTTTAGATATTGGTACCTAAATGTAGCGAACTTCTACGTAAGTGATTTATATCATTATACTTTGGAGGCGATATCTCACTTTTCGGCAACTTTTTTCGGACAACCTGGCCTCTCAAACATGTGCAGACTCTTATTTGGCAGATATATATCCCTAGGCTTGAAGCAGAAAGGATTTCGGACATATACTGACAATCCTCAGGTTGGGAGTAAACTCACCTATCCCACAGACAAATTTAGGGCTCTCGATGGGACACTCAACGTAATCCAGCAATATATGCCAGGACTTGAGAACAAAGCCGGTCTCTGGGTTGAGGACTTGCATTCTGGTCTAGCTTGGGCAACTCAATACATTCGGGCAACTAAGTACAATGAGCATGTTGCTCCATCTTGGAGCTGGGGTAATCTTGACTTGAGCGGCAGCGGCATCACAAGGAAGGTGAGCAACGGAACCCCAAATCACGGGATGCAGCAATACTTGTACGATGCGCGCCTGGTCGACTTCTGCACTCCGCTCGCGGGTATAAAGTCGCCTTCTCTTAACGACCCGACTACCTCTGTGGAAGATTTCGCTCTCGAGATAAGCAATGAATGCTGCAGTGTCTGCTCGTGCAATATCCCGGAGCCCTTCTTGGACATCAGGTCAGACCCTGATGAGGGGATTCAACTATTCACTCGAGAGGGTTGCTGATCCAATCAATAATTCCATTGAAAGACTTGGACTAGAAGAACTTCTAACGCAGCCATGCTCAGAACACACAGAGAAAGCCCACGAAGAGCACCTTTATATCCAACTTAGCCGCTGGGAACCCAAAATAACACACAAGACCTTGTCTACACAAGTCCCCGTTATTGTGGCACTAATTTTGAAGAAGAAATACGAAACTAATGTAAAGAAGAAACGCCGGTGGGAGAGAGCACCAGAAATGCCCGTATACGAAAGGATTGGGATAGCATTGATTCGTACCGATCCGAGATTTCCTGTCGAATGGCCAACAAAGACGATAGTTCTCATCTAGAGTCAATGAGTCTTGATCACATTCATACAGCGGACCTCGATTGCAAGTCACAAAATAATCTTCATTCTCAATCCTCATCACGACCGACAAGCTTCCTGTACGCACGCGCTGGGCCATATTGCAGCGCAGGGCGAGTGAGCGTCTTGATACAGGTAGACGGGCGACTCTTGGTGCCCGCTTGTCCCCAGACATTTGCCGGGCTGAAAACCTGGAAAGCAGAGGGGTATATATTCCTCATCGTTCCGCTAACTGCGCTGCTTGCGGTGAAGTGGACATCAGATGGGCTAATGGGGCGGGGAAAAGAGGGAAGGGGGGGGGGGGGGGGGGGGGGGGGGGGGGGGGGAGGAAGAGGAGGTTCCTCATAATAGTACATCACCTGCACCCAGGGACGTCTTGAATCGTATATTCCTCCATAACTTGTCCTCGCCTCGCCTATGCATTTACAGACAGCTAGTCCCAAGCATTCCCATCTTCAACCAGCGTCTTGAGACTGGTCGGGCCGAGCCCTTTGGCTTTTTAAATGCTTTCCCGTAAACCCTCTGAGACAGTGAAGTATCAGGGGTAGCATCTCGCGAACCAAGACAACTTGAATTGACCTCTTTAGGTCGGATATAGGGTGGCTTTCTAAACTTGGTGAAAGTCTTCATTCTAGTTTTACATAGCTGTAATACACTTTCAATGCACAAATTTTGGATTTAAAAGCCCGATATAGAGTTCTCATTATACATGTACTGGATGCAAGAAATTGTCCGAAAGCACCGGCCGGCCCCACTCCCCACTTGCCGTGATCACATGCGGAACTGAATATGATACTCTAGACTCAAGCCTCATCTTCTAGCTTGAAATGCTTCATCCCTTCGAAAAGGACGCCATGCCCCAGATACTTTTGATCCCATTTCTCCTCCAACTTTCCCGAGAAAAGCTGGGGATGTCCTTGCTACCCCGCGAACAGTGCCGGACGTGGGCTTGCAGTATAATTAGATAATAAGGTTCAAGTTCTCCATACTCAAGTTCTTTCTCTTGTCCCTTCACTCTTGCTCACTGTCATCCTTCCTGTCTTCCAAAAGTTCATCAGTAACTCCACCATGTCGTCCATCAGCCTTCTCTTCTCCCCCCAATCCGCTCTCCTCATCTTCCTCCTTCTCCTTGTTTACATCAGCTACACCATCTACCAAGCCTTCTTCGGACCCCTCTCCAAACTCCCAGGTCCATTGATAGCGAAATTCACTAATTTCTGGAGAATCAAAAACGCAGCTTCTGGCAACGCACCAGCCAATTTCCAAGACCTGCATAGGAAGTATGGAACTGTTGTTCGGACGGGACCGAATCATGTCTCTATCAGCGATCCAGCGATGATTCCAGTGATTTATGGAATTAGTAGCAAATTTACCAAGGCTCGTTTCTCCCTCTTCCCATATGTTGAAGATTTGATGCTAATGAGTAGATAGTCTTCATTCTACGACGTCTTCAGTAAATCTCCACAGCAGATTTGAAGAAAAAGGTTGGGGCTAACGATACCCAGCACCCAAGAACGCAGGCAAAAGCTATCCCAGCATCTTCACCCTACAATCCCAAGACGCACACCGCCAACTCAAAGCCGGAATCGCGCAGAAATACTCCCTTTCCTCTCTCCTTAGTCTCGAGCCAATGGTCGATAACGTTACTCGAAACTTCATGTCTACTCTCCACGAACGAGCGTCTTCGGGAACGAGATTGGATCTGGGAGAATGGGTACAGTTTTATGCTTTTGATGTGATTGGTGCTATTACTTTTACTGGGACATTTGGGTTTATTGATAAAGGGTGTGATGAGAGAGGTATTCTTAGGGGTTTGGATGGGGGACTGATTTATGGAGCGGTGGTGGGGCAAGTTCCAGGGTGGCATGAGTGGTTGATGGGGAGTTCTTTTTTGCAGGAGACAGTGATGAAGATACCGGTTTTGGCGGCGGGGAATCCTGTTCCGATTGTTGTCCAGGTTGGTTTGTTCCAGGAGGTGTTAGTGGAGTGCATGGTGCTGATGTGGTGATAGATGATTAAGGATGCTCTAGCTTCGAATGCTAAGGATGGAGCAGAGTCTACGAGAGAGGATTTCATAACATTTATGAGGAAGCAGAACGAGAAGGATCCTGAGAGAATGTCAGAGGATGTTATGATTAATCACATGTTTGTTAATCTGTAAGCTCCCTTCACCTCCGGCCTTCTTCCTAATTATGGCTGACTTCATCACAGGCTGGCAGGAAGTGACACAACAGCCATTTCGCTTCGATCAATCTTCTACCTTCTTATGAAGAACCCTTGCGTTTACGCAAAGCTACAAGCCGAGATCGATGCAGCGGATTCCAAAGGCCTGTTGTCACCGATTATCACGTATTCCGAGGGTCAGGAACATGTTCCGTACTTGTATGAACCCTTTCCTCCTCTCTATATACCTCTCTCCTTTCTCTTCGACATTCTGACTCTCACACTGCCGCAGAGCAAACGTAATTAAAGAATCTCTCCGCCTTCACCCCGCCGTCGCTCTCCCCCTGGAACGTATCGTCCCCACTTCCTCTCCTCTACAAACTCAATCGCACACCATACCCGCAGGAGCGGTGGTAGGAATCAATGCCTGGGTTGTGCATTACGATAAAAATGTTTTCGGTCAAGATGCAAGGGTTTTCAGACCAGAAAGATGGAGTGAAGAAAATGGAGAGAGGTTGAAGATGATGGAGAGGAGTTTCTTTGCTTTTGGACATGGGAGTCGGAGTTGTGTGGGGAAAAATAGTGAGTTGCTCTTTTCCTTTTTGAGATTGATGGTGAAGGCTGATGATAGGATAGTTTCTTTGATGGAAATGGGCAAGTTTGTCCCGCAGTTCTTGAGGGAATTTGAGATTTCTTGGGATGGAGACGAGGATGGATGGAAAGTTGACAACACCTGGTTTGCGAAGCAATCTGGCGTTTTTGTCAGGTATAGGAGTCGTGAGAGGAAGGCTGTCTTTGCTTGAGCATAAGCAGGTTTTTAGCGCGTTTTTCTTTCCCCCCTTCTCCATAGAAAGGAGTCGTTTTGGGGCTAGGACAGGTTGTAAATGCTGGAGAATGACATAAAAAGTGATAGCAATGCTATCTTGCAACCTAACAATGACCAAGGTGGACATAATACCCACGTTGTTGCCAGACTTCTCACTGAAAGGAAATGGAACTTCGGTGCGAGTTTGCTGGTACCTTCATTCGTAAAGAGACGAACCGACGAAGCTCCGGAACAATATACCGATTTATTGTAACCCCAATGGTTTAGGAACTCCACTATGTATAACTATTCATTGTTTACGAATCTATGAAAGAGATCATCGAGCGCCTAAATGAGGAACGAAAAGCACTTCTTAGTAATAAAGAATAATATTCCGAACAGGAGTTTCCTTTGAAGAAGTCCAACGCCAAAATACCGAACTCTCCGTTTTCTCATCGGCTTGTATTTCCTATACTTCGCCGCAAATACAAGCATACCTCCAAGATGGCTGCGTTACCAACCTGGCCGCCACCTTCCCAAGTTATAACCACCAATTACCCACGAGGCCTGCACAATGTTGGTAGTCTTTTCAATCAATCAAGAATTTCAGTCAGTCCCTCGAATGCAGTCTGCCTCGCTTACCTCACCACACCACCCTTAAATCAACGTTGCATCCATCGGCTATCCTCCCGTCCTGTATGGTCGGCTATATGCCACCTCACTTCTACGCACCACACCTTCGTTCCATCTTGAAAACCTGGAGGTTCGCACAAGGCTCGCAGATTCAAACATCGCGATGCCATCTTCTCTAATCTAGACGTTTGAGAAGAAATCCCCCCATTACACATCACTCGAACACACAAGCTTCTTGTAGAGAGCTCTGCTGTATCTCGTCTCAATCCTCGGCCTTGCCTCGATTGCAGCCTCCTCAATTCTAGTCAGCAGCGGGAGCCTAGACTTTTTTTCTTATCGTCTTCTTGTTGGCAATCGACAACTCCTGACCTCAGCTCCTACCTCATTCCCTCTACAACTACAAATCGAGACTTCAAAAATGTCATTCGGCTTCGGTGTTGGTGACTTCATCACAGTCTCAACTCTAACCTTGAAACTTTATAGATCCTTTAAAGGCGCACCGGGCGAGTTTCAAGAACTTAGTCGCCAACTTGAATCTTTGCATATTGTCCTCGCAGATCTCAACGATCAGATACATAACCCAAATTCTCTGCTGAATCTCGATGGCACTACACGACATGCAGAGTTAAACACAATCCACGACAATTTGGTGCAGACGATGGAGGAACTAGAGGACATACACGAACGACATCAGAGGATGGGAAGGATTGCCTGGTCTCGCTTTAAGCTAGGTCTGAGAGATCTGGCAACACTCAGGGCGAAGTTAACAGTCCAGATAACAACATTGAACGGCTTTATGGGAAGTCTGACGCTTGGGGCGCTCGGGAGGATGGAGCCCATGCTGCAGAGAATTTATGAGTTGCTTGAGGAGAGAGTGACAGGAAATCGAGTCATGGCTCAGACCATATTGAGCGCAGCATCCTGTCCGGACGATTCTGGAGCCTGGGATCGAATGAATATGGAGTTACGGACGGAGGGCATTCCTGAAGATTACCTTCGGCAAAATCAAGCACAAGTCAGGGAGATAGCCCAAAGTGTTGTGGATGCCAATTATTTACACGATGACGATTTCAGCGCCGGGAACAATACTGAAGATAATACGATATACGCCGATGACTCAATTTCCCAGGCTGGGACAGATATTTATAGTTCAATTGCAACAACCGAAAGTCGTCCTGGAGATTCCAGCAACCTGGGCCATAGGGTATCTGCGCCACGATTATCCACCTCTGCTTGGTTACGGAGCTTAACACCAGAGCAGGAAGCTACTCGAACTTTGCTCTTAGAACACGGCATTGACTTGCTCAAAGATGGGACTAAGACAGGTCTTCAGAAATTGTGGGGAACTATCAGAGTTCATGATAGTACACTTTTTCTTTCGATTGCCGAAAAGGCTTGGAATTGGGTTGTGAAGAATAACAACATGAGTGCTGCAAAGCTTGTACTCTCCCGCTATGGACAACTCGAACTTTCAAAATTGTACCCAGCCTCTGAGGGCAAATGGGATATCGTTAAGCTTTGCGTGACCATGAGCGATCACCCTAACGAGACCGGACTCTGCCATTTTGCTGCAAAGGACAATCGGACGGACATACTACAACTCCTTGCTGAGCGAGGTTTCTCCCTCCAGCATGAGGGCTGGAAGGATGTACCCATCAACATCCACGACATCATCGACTCAGGCTACGCGAACAACTTTGGCGGTACTTATCCAATCCAGGTTGCGACCCATTATGGCGCCATCGACGTGGTGAAGCTTTTCCTTGACCATGGATTGAGCTTTAATATACATGCGGACACAAAATACTATCAATCTCCTCTCCATTGGGTATGTAGTGCTAGAGAGACAACGTGCCCAGACAGGATCAAGAAGGATCTCATTTCACTTTTCTGCAACAGAGGCGCACAGGTCGATGCTGTGTCGTACCAGAATGGCATGACGCCATTACAATTAGCCTTGAATGAACGTTCTCCTCTCGCAACGAAAGCTCTCCTTGAGCACGGTGCGAGGATAGTATTAGATACCCCGAAGCACCGGGGTGGACAAATATCTCATCTCCATGAAGCAGCACGGGACGATAAACCTATCTTCATAGAGCTTCTGCTTGCCCATGGTGCCGCAATAAATTATTGCCAAGGACGGTATACAGTTACCGCGATCATGGCTGCGTGTTCTATGCGCCATTGGAAGACAGCCAAGTATCTGAAAGAAAGAGGCGCCAGTCTGAATGGGGTATCAGAAAAACACCTTCAGCACATAGCATCTTTACCTCCCACAATATTTCCGTTGGAGGAGCAGAAAATCCTCGACTCATTAAGGTATTTGCGACGATGAAGGAATACTCTATGACTTTCCCTGTTCAAGGCCCCCTTCACGCCAGAGCAAAACAAAAAAAGGGCCTCTCGTTTGAGAAAGGGGAAATCGCACCATGTGACATCTATCGCTACCCACACGCATCATCCAAGTTACTGCACTTCGTATCCATAATCCACAACCGCCTCGGAGATATCGATGGGTTTTTGTGTCTCACAGGCTTAGGGATTCTAACCCTGGCGGCTCAAGCCTCCGAGATGTGCTTGTTATCAGCAAGTCCACTGGCTCGATTATCTCCAACATCAACTCCCAATCTACTCCCCAGAAGGGGTTTTTGAAAGCGGCCTCAACCATCTGAGAGAAGTGCTCCTCAACAATATCTGGGTCCGAATTGGAACTAAATATCCCTCCATCACATTCCAGGATCAGCAACATGGTCCTGAAGGTAATAAATCTGCAAACCACTGACTTATCCTCACCGCTGACATGAAACAGATGGAAAGTCCTATTATGAAGTAAAATGTCTTGAAAGTGACCTCTACACTTCACCGCTACTCTTGGAATTGAGTAAAGGTCTCCCATGTTTTCGTCCACGCGTTGAAAACTCTGAAAAGGTATGCAAGCCACATCGAAATCGTAATCACAGATCTAATGCAGAGGCTTTGCGCGACAGATCTGGGAATATGATTGCTTTTGCTCGTGTTTCACGGAACGGTGCGAGGCGGACCCGTTGGCCGGTGGCTGAATTACCTTCAATGCTTGTCTCACTGCATTTATCACAATGAGAAATTTACGCCGCTCACAAATCTTTATGTTCTTCTTTTCTTTTTTCGTTGATCCCGTTGATCTTGAAGTTATTTTCAAGTAATGCATTCTTGTCTAGACATCAGCGAGTAAAACCCCACCACCTCCCAAGTGGGAATGAGCCACGTTGTCGCCAGGAACTCAGGCTTGAAAGCATAAGTCAATTTATGGCCACGGTTGTCTTCAATTTTATTTCTGTGATTAGTTGTGTAGTGGCAGTTCTTTGCTCTTGCTTATTTAAATGTACATTAGAATTTAATATCTACAGAGCGTATTTCTAGTCGTACTTCATATCAAAGCATTGACAAAAAGTTCAGTGCTTCAACCTGAGAGACCAGGTGGCCACGAAAGTGTAAGGCCATGCAGATGAGTCAAAAGGTTCTTGTCGTTGCTTCCTTTAAGATGCGGTCCAAATGTTCTTTTTTATAGACTCGCCAACATCCATCACCAAACATACACATTTAGGTGAATCTGAGCATAGCGCCCATTTATTAGGAGAACCGGGTCAGGGACTTACAATACCGAGCCTACAGCTACCCATAGGGACAACACTCGTTACCTTTAGATTTGGCGTCAAATTACACCGCAACTCTTTAAGAAAGAAGTGAGCACTTGCACCGCATGCCACATTTAGTTCCAGAAGATCAATTGGGCTGCTTTTCGTTTCATTTGTTAGTTTGCTTTTCCCACAGGGCTGAGAGCAGACACTTTGGGCCGTCCAATCATCAACCTTTCCACACGTTGTTTGAGACGGAGTGACCATGGGTGCTGAGGTTGCCTGAATCTTCAACACCCTGTTAAGCTCGAATCATCTTTCACGTCCTCACCACGGTAGTGATAAGATGAGAGTCAGCATAAGCCCCCGTCTCGGATCAGCTGCATGGATGAGAAATGGCTTGAGGAAGTTTCACTCTATCAAGTTCAATTCTTCGAGTTATAGAGAAACCTACCAACTTATTGGGTTAAGCTTGAGGAGGCATGCAGCTCATTGATACACCAAGGCAACGCAAGGTACAGAATTGGTGAAAGCAATGCACTGCCCCATCACTTTCTACCTGCTCAGGGCTTCAGACTGTGGCATGAAAAAAAGTATAAAAAGTGAACTCTATCCCTCGACAAGAAACGTTCATCATTAACTTGGCTCAATCAAGCCTTAACTCACATACTTCAAGAAATTCTTCTTCAAGATATCTCTACCCTCAACCAAAGCACCTCCTCACTCCCACCATGTCCATCAAACAAGCAGCCTGGACTCACGGCATCGGCCTCGAGCTCGAAACCCCCACCTGGACCGCCCTCCGCCAAGGTTTCTACACCACCGTCCGCCCCGGCGAGCCCAGTACCCCCGGCGCCCGCAGCCGCCAACCAAAGCACAACCGGCTGGGTGCACTTCGTGATCCCCACCCCCGTCATCGTCGACGGTACCCGTCTGAAGGCCAAATCGGCCATGATCCGCTTCTCGACCGGGCCGACTGCCAAGATCACCTCCATCCATGTCTATGATGGCGAGAAGAAGATTGCCGATTACAATGGGTTGAGTTTGACGGGCAATCTCCAGTTTGTGAGGAGGGCTATATATACCGGGGAGGCCGCAGGTTTTGTGGGGGACGGCTGTTTGTGTGGCGGTGCAGTTTAATGGGACGGCGGCGAGTGATTATGTGCAGTTTATTGGTTCGGGGATTGATTTCTATGTCTGAGGGGAGAGGGTTCTGAGGTGGGAAGTGGGTATGTGAAGAGGGTGGTTGGATTTCGGGTAGAGCTGCTATGAAGAATCTGGGTTGAATTCAACATGTTGATCACTAGTTTGTTGTTTTAGAAAGGTTGCAGGAACAATCTCGAGCGAGCACTGAATGAAGGTATGCGTGCCACCTTCTCTTCACAGCTCGCTTGATTGTCAGTTCTTCTACTCTGAGATATGGCTTCCTTGGAATCTGCGGGCAATGCATCATCATGCTTTTAAGTGCGTGTAAATGAATGTTCTTTGATTGTACACTCGCTTGCACAACTAGCACCTAATAGAAAAGGGTATTTATGTACTTGTCCATGAAGGCTTGGGATCCCGATGTAGGATTCTCCATCCTTTATCATTATCGCAAGCTTAGGTTGATGCCTTTTGCGCACCTCCTTCCCATAGATCCTTCTACATTACAGAGTTCTACAAGATATCTAAGATCTGTTTAGACTGCAAGTGAGATGTAGCAGAAGACTGTGTTACGATTTTGCCAATATGATGAGCCAATTATTGATGTGTTCTATTCTTCTGACTCTTTTGAGGTTTGATCTTGAGCTGGTTGTAGACCAAGTGGCTTTAATTACTGCAGCTTTATTCATGATGACTTAGTACCTTGGGACATTTGTATGGTAAAGGATATTAAGAGTATGTGGAGAATGTGCAATAGCTAATCTGTTTTGAATTGACTATAGTTAAGGCCAGTTGCAGCCACTAACAAACGCAAATGGTGGCATTTCATGACGAATTATGACGACATGAGTAAATCTAAACCTAGAATAACGAAAATTACTCTCGAATGTCTCCATCTCACTTATAAAGTTATTCTGCAGCTTGAATTCAATTCCGTTTACAGGTGGTGTGCAGATTCCCTGTACTTGCATTGCATATTGATGCAGTTCCGGAAACGGATACCTACATATCGTTACCATCAAAACCACACAACCTCAACTTAAGCGCTGAACAACATCCATCATCCCATCTGAACCCTAAATCAACTATATTCATATTCCGATTTCAAAACATCTTCAACTCCACCTCCCAAACCCCCACTAGGTTACCATGAAAATCATAATCCTAGGCTCCGGAATAGCAGGCCTCTCAGCAGCCATCGCCCTCCGCCGCTCCTCCCACGAAGTTCTCGTCCGTCCCCATTCTATCCCCTCCCATCCCCTCCTTACCCCCTTTCCCACCAACTACTAACCCCCTCCCTCCCTCCCTCCCCAACAGATCCTCGAGAAAAACCCCCCCACAAAAACCTCAGAAATCGGCGCAGCGATCCACCTCGCCCCAAACGGGACCCGCGTCCTCCTCACCTGGGGCTTCTCGCCCCTCCGCGCACAGCTCGTCACAGCGCATCGATCCATCTACGCGGATGGGAAGACGCTACAGGTGAATCATGAGGAGGTGTGGGATGGTGTTGAGGGGGTGTATGGGGCGAGGTTTTATCTTGCGCATCAGGTTGATCTTTGGGGGGAGTTGGAGTTATTGGCGAGGGAGGCGGGGGTGCGGTTTGAGAGGGGGGTGGAGGGGGTTGGGTTTGTGAGTTCTTTTTTTTTTTTTTTCTGAGTTGTTTTTGGGGGTTGGGAGAAAGAGGGAGGGGGGGAGAGAGGCTGATTGTTGAGCAGGATCCGGAGAATGGAGTAGTGATGTTAGCGGATGGGACAGAGAGAAAGGGCGACTTGATCGTAGCAGCGGATGGTATTCATTCCAGGGCAGTGAAGTACGTCGTGGGGTTCGATAACCCAGCGAGGAAGACGGGGACGGCGTGTTTTCGGTGCCTGATTCCGAGTGAGGAGATTCTGGGGGATGAGGAGACGAGGGAGTTGATGGAGGGGCATGAGGGGCTTTTTAGGTATTTGCCGGATGGGGAGGGGAGGGTGCTGGTTTGGTATCCTTGTCGGGGGTATGTATTTCCGAGTTATGGGTTTTGGGATGATGATGGTGATGGGGGAGTAGGAATAAAGTTCAGAATATTGCTCATATTGTGCCTGAGCATGAGGGGCTGGGGGCACGGGAAGGCGAGTAAGATTTGAGTGAGGGCTTGAGTTTTGCTGATGATGTAGGATGGAATATCGATGTTGATCAGGAGGTCTTGCTGCAAGAAGCGAAGTGGTTCCATCCTTCGATTCAAGCTATGTTCAAGTATTACCGTTTGTGCTCGAATCTCCTTGCTGCTGACGAATGATAGGAAAGCGAAAGATATCAAGTTGTGGACATTGCTGTCTAGAGATCCGCTTCCGACATGGCATAAGTCACGTTTGGTGCTCATAGGAGATGCAGCTCATCCTATGCTTCCGAGTCAGTTATTTTCTTCAACCTTCCCAAGGGCAACTTCTGACTCGTCAAAATCCAGTGCAAGGACAAGCAGGTTCCCAAGCAATCGAAGACGGTGCAGCTCTCGGGATAATGTTCTCAAATTTCGACGCCACAGATGAAAAATCGATATCAGATCGTCTAAAAATGTTCGCAAACGTGAGAATGAATAAAGCTTCAGCGATGCAGAAATTGTCGGACATGACTTTGGGTGATCCGGAAGATTTGGAGAAAGCTACACAGCCTTATATGCCGGGAGAAACTGTTCCTGGTATGTGTGATTAAGAGAGGTGAGAAAAATGGCTGACGAGGATAAAGTGACGGTTGCAGAGCAGATTCGATATAGGTTTAGTCAGAATGTGTTTAAAGATTGTGAGAAGGAGTTGGAGAAGGTGAAGGAGCAGAATAGTGGGTGAGATGCTTAGAGTTGTGCTTATAGAATGGTCCAAAATCGATTCATGGTCAATGGAGTCCTTTATGGATCACTTGAGTCTACCGAAATTCTCCAAAAAGAGGAAACAATAACGTGGTACTGAGATGACAAGTTGAATACAGTAATGATAAGCCATACTTCGGCGGATCCTCGGGATCGTCGAAACGGTTTAGCAGTTTAACGTGAATGTCCAATCCCACTTACAGTAATACATTTCACCTCGCGAAGTAATCTTACCTTTGTAAAGACTTGCGGCATCTTGCGGCATCTATTGACATTGACAGAGAGCGGGTCCCGAGCGTTCCCGACATTCTCTACCGATCGTGTTACCGAGCGCGTAAGATTCTAGAAGTAGAAGCCCGTCCGGTTCACTTGCCGTTGGCATCTACCCCGCCAATTCCCCGCATTTGTCGGATCTGCTTTTACCCGCTGATTTCGGCTGTAAGTTTTCCCAACACACTCTACAAGACTGCCGCAAAATTCATCCTTGGGCGCCAGACGTACGATCGGTGGGTGTCACACGCAACCAACCAACCAATTCAGCCTCACGCATTTGCTGCTTACCATTGATATTTAAAAGGGGGATATCCTGCTGTTTTCCCAAAGTCATTTATCCATCTCCCTCCCTCATCGCATTACTCTTACTCTCTGTCTTCGCCCACAGCAGACCCAAACTTCTTCATCCCACTCTCGAGTAAGTCATCAATCATCATGGCGACCAACGGCACAAACGGCACGAACGGCACAAATGGCGCCCACAAGAACAACAACAACAGCAAATACGATCCTCTCTTCACACAGCACGTCATTGATTTGATGAGCCCCGAGACCAAACCCAGACACAGACAAATCCTGAGCTCGCTGATAAGTCATCTCCACGACTTTTGCCGCGACGTCGAACTCACGCAAGATGAATGGGTTATCGGTGTCAATTATGTCAACTCCATCGGCCAGGCCTGGAGAAAGAATCGAAATGAAGCCTGGAGAGTATGCGATGTCCTCGGTGTCGAATCGTGAGTTGCCCTCTGGTCATGTGACCGGCAATCCCCCAAGTCAGTTGATATCAAATGCTGATAAAGTAATACAGTCTGGTTGATGAGATTAACCACAAAATCGCCACGGAAGAAGGCGTTGAGCCTACATCTTCCACCATTCTCGGCCCCTTCTGGTCCCCCGACACCCCATTCCGCGACCTCGGCGCCAGCTGCGTCCTCAACATGCCCGCCGACGGCCAACTAACGCTCTTCCACGGCGTGATCACGGACGCCGAAACCGGCAAAGGGATCTCGGACGCCGTCTTCGACATGTGGCAAGCGAGCACCAACGGCAAATACGACGTCTTCGACCCGGACAACCAAACCAAGAACAACCTCCGCGGCAAATTCCGCACCGACCGCGACGGCAAGTTCTGGTTCTACTGCCTGAAGCCGACCGAGTACGCGATCGACACGTCGGGGCCCTCGGGCGACCTGCTCAAGTTGATGGGCCGACATCCCAATCGGCCCGCGCACATCCATATGATGGTCACGCACCCGGAATACATTGGCGTGACGGCGCAGCTGTATCCGAGGGATGATCCGTGGTTGGAGACGGATACCGTGTGTGCGGTGAAGGAGGACTTGCTTTTGGATTTTAAGCCGGTGGAGAATGATCCGCATGGGGCGACGCTGGATGTCGAGTATGATGTGAGGTTGTTGTCGAAGAAGTATAAGCCGGATTCGACGATGTTGATGGGGAATGCGAATCAGGATCAGTTTAAGTGAGGGTTGTGGGTTTGTGGGAATATTTGGAGTTTGGGGTTTGTGGGTGTATATAGCATGAGATTGCAATGATGATAGTCGAAAAGAATGAACATTCTTGATATCAATTGCCTGAGACACAACGAAGAGGGCAGTCAAAGTGACATGCAGATAGTTGCAGTAATCGAATCGTTGGCCTTTTCCATCTTACGTTTACTATGCGTTAGATCAGAGCCAGAACAGAGAAAAGCGTCGAGTATTCGAGTGGATTTTCGATCTTAGATTTCTTTCACTTTGAAGCTTATGTATGAGTTGACAACAATATCTATTTGTCATGAATACTTAAGATAGTAAAGACCGAGGATGGTCTTTAAGACGCAAATTATTGAAGCAGCACAGCTGTACTAAGAAAGAATCTGAAGACGGGGAGACTGAATCATTACCGATCGAACGGATTGGGGAGAAGAGGTTATAGAATCGAACAAGTGGTTTGTCTTATAGGTATCAATATCTAAATTTCAAGTAATTAAGAAAAAAAAGCATCAATCTGCAAGCCTCGTTAAATTCAATAGTTGCAAAAGCTCTGTTCTATGAGAACTTTGAAGAAAGCCAAGAAAAGAGGATATATAGATAGCTATGACTCGCTCGGCTCTTGCTAAGCGAGCTAAAACCAAAGCCAAAAAAAATAAAATAAAATAAAAAAAGAAGACTTCCAAGACCAGAAGAACCTTAGTTCCACAATCTCCAAAGGATGAAAAACGCCAAAAAATTAAACCTTTAGCAGGTTTTACTGGGAATCGAACCCAGATCCCCGGAATCAAAATCCGATGTGCTAACCATTACACCATAAAACCACATGCTGAACCGAGACGATTCAACCTATGGGTTGTTTTCATTGGATGCTTGCTCGTTCTCTTATTTTGTACTATATAGATGTTTGTGCGGACCCTAGCGAGAATCTAGTTTTTCGAACTATTTTAGAGCGCACTCGTCCAGGTTTTCTGCCGATTTATGGGATAGGGGCTCGCTTCTAAATAGCCCGATCATTATCACGTGTTGTCTCCCCCACCCTTCGCACAACATGGAGATACAGTAATCAGGCTGAATGGACGTCTCCCCCACCATCAGAGCATCACCAATCGCGATCTCTCTCCGCCCAATTCAATTCACTACTGTACTGCTTACTGTACGGCTTCCTTCCTTCCTTCCTCGTATGCAGCTCGTATGTAATTCGAACGAGACACGAATGCAGGGGACCCTCAGAGAGCAAGCACCGACCGGCAATGTCGGTCCAACCCTACGTTCCCTCCCTTCCTCCCTTCCTCCCTTCCTTGCTGAGACGAAAACCTTCATCACTTGCATCACTCACTCACATTGCCTCGGGCCCAAGGGAAATTCTTCCGAGATCTGCGCAGCGCGCACCACGCACCACGCACCACGCACCACGCAAGACGGCAGCCGCACTTCCTACCTACCTACCTACCTACCTACTGTATTCAATTGACTGACTGACTGACTGACACTACTGTATTGATATGGCTCTTTCCCTCTTCTCTGCCTTCCTCCCACTTCTATTCTTGCTCTACCGCCCTCCCCCCTATATCCTGCTTACATCCACATCCTAGGTTTATTTCTTTTCTTTTTTTTCCTTTTTGCTTGAATTGAATAAAAAGCAACAAACGCAGCCTGCCTCCCGCTCCCGCACTCATCATACAATAAAATAGACGTTGCAGAAAATCATGCCTGACCGACATTTTTCCCACTCATCCGATTGTTGTTTGTAGCTACCTAGGCCGCGCTGGCAATGGTCGAGGAGGAGGATACTGGCAGTCATGTAGAGGCTGCCTCCGACGTCGACGTCCTCGTCTCGAATATCACCACCAGCAGACTCTCCTCACTCGACGCACCGCATCCTCAGAGCTCAGCCCGTCACTCGATGGACGAATACTACCACCAAGAAGAAGGAGGCATCGTTTCCGAGCCTCCCGGACCACCACCCAACTACGACGCCCTACTCGAATCTCCCACCCTCCGCCGCCGCTTCAACATCCAACCGCGCGAAGATGAAGGACGGGAGGTCCTCCCGCCGTACTCGTGCGAGATCAGCGTGCAGAGCGTGTTCTTGAGGAAGATGGAGCTGGAAGGCGCGGTGCACAAGGCGAGCGATCGGAATTGGTATAAGGTGCTGGTGACGTTGCAGGGGACGGCATTGTCGTTCCATAAGTATCAGAAGCCGGGTATGTTCTCGTCGTCGTCGGCGAGGGATGCGAGTGGGAGGAAGATTGGGGGGCCGGATTTTCCGTCCGGGGTGAAGCGGGGCTTGTTCTTGAGGAGTTATAATCTTCAGCATGCGGATGTGGGGATTGCTGCTGATTATCTGAAGTAAGTTTATTGCGTTTGGGAATTTCTCCTAGATAGAAAGAGGCCAGATGCATCAGCTGCATTGCCCAAGTCAATGATGGCCCGGCTTTCCTTGAAATATATCTTCAGGAAGAAAAGGTACTAACTTCACACAGGAAACGCTACGTGATCCGTGTCCGAGCAGAAGGAGACCAATTCCTCCTCTCCTGCCACAAAATAGAAACCGTCGTCCTATGGCTCCAATCCCTCTTCGCAGCCATCGACCTCGCCCCGCCACTAGACGATCGAGAAATTCCCCGCGATCTCAGCATACCCCGCCGTACCCGACGTCGCCTCGTAGCAAGAGGAGGCTTCAGTGCAACTCCCGCCAACACAGCTCTAGTTCGAGAACAGGAGGAAATAATATCTACACAATTCCCCCGCCTGGCTGAATCGGGTACACAAGACACTGTCTCGACAGAAATAGAACAAGGCGATATCATCGAAGAGATACCCTCAGGATCAAGCTCCCCCGCAATCTCTCGCCCAGTCTCCCCACCGTCCTCCTCTTCAACACCATCCCTCACGCCCAGCCGCACAAATTCAAGTCCAACACCGACCTCTTCCTCCGCGACCCCTATCTCCATCTCATCCCCCATCTCCTCGTCCCCTCCAACTCCAACACCAACAGCCAGAACATCCCTCCTCCACCGCGCCCGCCACGCCATCCAATTCCCCACCTCCACATCCTCACACTCCTCCAGCACGCACCAACCGCCCAACCCAAACCTAACCAGCGACGGCAAGTGGCGGCCCCAGCACCAGTGGACGCACTTCTACGACATGATGTACGCGAAGCGCTGCATGGCCGTGCTGACGCAGCGGAGTCCGCGGAAGAGTAATTTGGTCATTATGAAGGGGAAGCGATGGATGGTGGATTGGGCGACGGGGAAGTTGGAGAGATGCGAGCCGCCGGATTATGGGGAGGCAACTGTTGGGAGGGAGGGGGTGGGGATGAGGGATGTGAGGGTTGGTTGAGAGAGAGAGGGAGAGAGTATGTGTGTGTGTGTGTGAGAAAGAGAGAGAGAGAGAGAGTAGATTGGATGGGGGAGTTTTTCATGGGAAAATAAATGAATATTTTGCGTGCATGCATGGCGTGGCGTGGTGCTGGGTTGGAATGGGTTGGATGGTTTGTGTCTGTACTTTAGCATGGAATAGATGATTTGGATTTCTCATATTGATCTCTCTTCGTGTTGATTTCAGTGCATAGGGAAGTAGTAGGAGTTGACAAGGCTTGAAGGCTTGAAGTCATGAACGAAAGCTCTTACACTATGGTATCTGCATTGAATTTGATGCTCTGCAAAAAGTATTGACATTCCTATCCTGCAGCAGCGCTTTCTCATCCTTTGTCCAAGAATTCTCCGTCCATGTCCGACCCGAGCTTCTCATCTATCTAGAAGCCTTGGATTCTACATACTGAATCATCTCCTTGTATAGACTTTGGTGCATGGGCGAGTGATAAGCGTTGAGAAAGATTGGTGTGATGAATTTGATTGCTATAGTGTCTGCATTGGATCTAATGGCTTGGATGAGAATAATGGCATTATTGTTCTCTAGTACTGTGGCACTTTCGTCTACTGTGGCCAGGAAACGTTCGTTCGTGTCTGCCTCGAGCTGTCTGCTCGTTGCCAACTTCCACAGTCTGATTGACTGATATCTGAACATTTCGACTAGAACAGACGCCATCAACGCCAACCCATCAAGCCGTTCCCAGTCCCATTCCTTGATATGTCGTCTTGCAAACATCAATCCTTTCCTAACCATGACCCAGAACTCCGAATCGAATGCTCCTCTTTCCCATTATCGTTATCATCACATCGTCCCATCCTTAACAACCCATCGATCTCAGCTCTCCAAACACCCCACCATCCCTTCCTCCCCTTCACCTCTCCCACCCACTCAAAACCTCACTCGCCGTCCTCCCCTCCCCACTCAACCCCCCAACCCTCTCTCCAAGCCTAACTCCCGCCATCTCAACATCCCCCACCCCGCCCTCAACTTTTTTCAGCAGCTCCTCAATCTCCTCCCTCTGCGCCCGGATCTCCGCCCCTAACATCGCGTTCTGGCTCTGCACCGTCTGCAGCCTCGCATTCAACTGTCCGTTCTGCGCCCTATGCAACGGCAGCGTGTGGCTCTCCATCAACGGTTTCGGTGGTAGTGTATGTGGTCTATCTCTCTTATCAGCCCATCCCTTCCATCCCTTCCTCTCCCCTCTTGCCTAGAAAAAAATACTCACGGAATCTCCACATCCCCCTTCTGCTGCTGCCCATCAACCCCATCAACCCCCGCAGCCCTCCTCTTCCTCGCTTCGGTAATAACATCCTCCAACCCGTTCACCCGTTCCACAACCCTCCTCTCCTCCATTATCCTCTCGAAATCCTCAACGGCAAACCCGCGCAGCCGCTCCAGCATGCCCGCGTGCATGCCGCGCAGAGCAGCCTCGGCGCGCGCGCTGACGGTTGGGAAGCAGGCGGAGAAGGAGGTGTAGGTTGTTGATTTCAATGTGCTGTCGAGGGCGGAGAGGTAGAGGGTTGTGAAGGCTGTTGCGCGGGGGCCGGGGGTTGATTGTTGGGGCAAGGGGGGAGGGGGGGAGGGTGATGGGGGCGTTGCGGATGGCATTTTTGGTGATTGGAGATTGGTAATCGTTTGTAAGGAGAAGGTGAGCGTCGGGATGAAAAAGGTTGTGGTGCTGTGGAAGTTGTGGTGTTGTGGTGGTTAATGGAGAAGAAGTTTGTTTACGCGATAAGATTTTGGGCGAGAGCGCGCTTTCGGGTCGGTAATTGTGGGGGGGGGCTGCATTTGGCGAGTTGGCGTCGTTGACTTGGAATTTTGTTTCCACGAGAGGATGGTGCTCTATACCGATACATACATATAACTTATCCATGTTTTTCATTGAACTGGAATGTATGTTAATCGTTCGAAGTAGCTGTTAGGATTAATCGCCAGCTGGTAATATTAGGTGCTGGTGGTAAAGAATAGATTGGCAGCAGACTTTACTTGGGATGCAGTTCTTCTTCGAAGCCTTCATTTAACCTTACCACAGAACGAAAGATATCAGATCTTACGTTCCACCAAAAAGGGTTCAAATCACAGACGCGAAGGGCGGGATGAAGGGTATGAACATGATCTCATTACAATCTCAACAATAGGTATCTATCCATCATGATCTCATCGTATATCTGCAACGCAACACACCGCAAACACGAGAACCATAAATGTCTGTCCTCCAATACCAACGAATTATGCGACATGCATCCTACTATTTTTACAACCCCGTAACGCCACGCCCGCTTCAAATCCCCATCAAGTGAAATCCACCGTCCCCGTCGTCCCACCCGGATGATTCCTCGCATTCCTCTCTAACCGCCTCCTCCGTCTCCTCTCAGCAGCAGCCTCAGCCCCATCCCCTTGACTGACATCAGGACTCATCGCTGACCAAGTAGCGTGGCTCTCTGGACTCTCGACACTGGGTGCTCCGACTCCGCCACTAGCTGATGGTTCGCCTGGTCTACCGCTGTAGTACGCACTATCTTTCGGTCTTCGTCCAGCTGCAAACGCAGGATTGGGAGGACTTAAAGGAGCCATGACTGGTGGCGGAGGAGGTGGCGGGACAGAAGATTCTGCTCTCCGCTCAGCATCTCTTTCATCTCGTCGATATCTTCTCCTCGAAGCGGCGGTGTCCGTCCCGCTTAGACTCGACAGCGAATCTGCTCGTCTCCTATGGCGTTCTGATCGTCTGGCTTCTCGTTCAGCGGCAGCTTCTTGCTCAGTCAGTCGTCGTAGTGTGACGTGTCGGTCTTTATCATCGTGGACTTTGACTTTAACGCTCACGGGCGGACTGGCTACGTTCGAGCCTTCGTGTCTAGATTGACTTCTTTGTCTTCGTCGCTCTTCTTCCGCAGCTAGAGTAGCTGCTGCACCAGCTGCGGCTGCCATGGCTGCTTCACCCTCTCTTCTTCGACGCTCGGAATGTCTTCTATGAGGATGGCCACCAGCTGACATGTACGACTCGCTTCCTGATTCTTGATGTAGGATTCCTTGTGGATCAGGTGGAATTGGAGGCATGGAAACAGGCTCCATGACATGTTGCGTGATATCATGTCTCGACTGAGATTGACTGATTGCTGCTCCTGCGGCTGCACCAGCTGCTACTGGAGCTGCGAAAGATGGTGGGACAGGTGGGATTGCTCCAGGTCGGATATCGTGTGGATTATCTATCACGGATGAGAGATCTGAAGACTGTGTTCGTGATCCTCGTCTTCCGTGTCGTCCTGCAGGGAATCCATCGCCTGTCAAGCGCTGTGGAGTTTGTCCTCTGCGCGCACGTCTCTCTTCCTCGATACGGTCTTGTTCGAGTCGTGCTAGACGATCTGCTTCTTTCTTGTTTCGTCTGTCACTCAATTTCTTTCCGATCCAGGCTCCACCCAATGCACCTAGAAGTCCATTTCGTACACCATGTGATGACTGCGGGCGTCTTGATGGGGAGATCGTAGAATCGTAGTCGTAGTAGCTATCCGAATCATAAGAATCTCGTCGAGCTCCTTGACGAACTGGTCTTGGCGTCACAGGCCGCGCTTCAGCTGCGCTGATAGCTGCTGCTGCCATAACAGGATCTCCTGGTCCGGGTAAAATAGGACGGTTCGTACGGCCTTCTTCCATACGATGAACCTCAACACTCTCTGTATCATCGCTATATCGTCGTCTGTCGTCTCGCCTGTCATCTCTACGGTCATTTCGTCGAGATGGTGTATCTGGTGCAACGGAAGAATATGCATCTTCGTCTCTTCTTCGCTTTCTTCCATCGTACCAACTCTTCGCTAGACCCGCGACACCGAGTACTGCTGCTCCCTTGAGCACTTTGTCCATTACTCCACCACCACGATCATCTCTTCGTCGCGAATCGTATTTCTCTTCTTCAACATAGCTTCCACTTCCTCGTCGGCTTCCTCTCCGACTAGGTATTACCTCCACTCGACTTCTGCTCCTACTCCGATCCCTTCTCCTCCCACTCAAAAGAGCCGCTGCTCCAGCACCCGCAGCCAAGGGACCAAGCAACCCACCAAATCTACTCGGCTTCCTATCCTCGATAACCGTCCCACCATGACTACTCGCTCTCCCAAGCCCCGTATCAATAGGAATCTGAGCCCTATAACTCAAGATAAAAAACCACACCAACAAAAAGAACATCCACAGCGCATAAAGAATAAACGTCCACTTCGGACTCCCATAAAGCGTCAATCCCAGCGGCACCTGCGCAAACCCAAGCAAAGCCGTAGCTCTCCCCAACCACTGATGCAACACAAGCTTGACCGGCAATCTCCTCCTCCCACGCCCCCTCTCTCGCCTATGTATCCACCACCCCGTAATCGCCTGCCAGAGCACCAACACATATATGGCCAGCCCAATCCCATGATGCGGATTCGTGAGGCTCCGCTCTGGACCAACGGCAAACCACCCAAGTGTAAATACCACAGTGGTGAGCGCCACAGTCAGGATCTGGAGGTAGATATGCATGCGCAGCGCCCAGAAGGGCGAGCGGCCATAGAACGCAGCTATGAGGATCGCAGCGGGGACGATGACGAGGAAGGTTATGACTGCGATGACGCCGTGGCCTTTGATTAGTTGGTGGTATTGCGGGAGACCTGCGAATCTATTTCCCATTCCTGTTATCTCTTGTTAGTTTCCTCCTTTGGCTATTGGGGGAACGGTTGGAGGAATACCATTATATCTCATCGTCTCGAAATTCAGCCCTTGGAGATTCGGTAGGAGGAAGTCATTCCGTGTAGCGTCCCAGGTACCGTCACCTACGTACATGGTGTTGGACGAGTATGTGCTGCTCCCAGCGGGCGACAGATCATCTTGAGGCGCCATGTCGTTGTTGATGACGGCGATGCGCCGCCGAGGTTGTTGCAGACCTCAGGTCGTAGATTCTCTCGTCCGTATCGATAAGTTCCGTGGAATGCGGATAGATAAATAGGACAGGTGAAGATTTCAGCCCTTCGTTGTTCGAGGAATGGAAGAAAAGTTCACCGTTTGTTCGTTATCGGCAGCTTGTTGACACTCTTATCGCTGTGCTGTTCGCCAGGCGATGTAGAGGGTATGCCCCCACTCGAAAAAGAATGTTGTGCGATGCAAGAAAGAATGAAGCTTTTGATGATGCTGCTGCTGACGATAATACAACTTGGGATATGGACAAGAGCTAAGCTGCTGCTCGGTGTGCACTGGAGTGGTGGTCGTATGCTTATGCAAGGATGTATCCGCCCTGCTGGCGGGGTGATATGCCCACTGGGAAAATCCGGGTTACCGGGCAACCACGCCGAGGGATTTCTACAAGGGATGTGTGAGGGTTGTTTGCAGTGGGGTCGAGAACTTCGAGAGCCTCGTAATATTGAGAGCTGAAGAAGAAGGCAAATGGTATGAAGATTTTGACCACTTTAGATTTATCTTTGTTATCTTCATTCAAAGTCCTATGATTTTGCAGGTTGGTTTTAGTGCGGGTCCTTCAACTCGGGCATCAATGAACAAAAACAGCACATTCTCTCAGCAACCTTAAATCAAGATACCTTCATCCTATAGAGTATGCAGCCTTTCGGATGTTTACACCAGACTCGACTCAATCTCACGCCGTGTCTGAATCACAACATGAAAATCGAGGCTGTGTAGCGCCAACTCGGGACGCCTCGTCCAGTTGCCTCATTTCAACCCCTCGTATCACCACCACTTCTCAAACAAAACATTCTCCTCCAGCATCCCCTCTGCTTTCTTCGCCTTCTCGACAAATTCATCCGTCATGGTTGGCACGCCACAGATATAGCAAACCGTGTCTTTCCTCTCTTCCACTGGTCCTAAAGCCTCAAGTAGGTCTTGATCCGTAACCCTCCTTCTTCGAGTCGTGATTGTTTGCCCTTGAATCTCAACGTCTCCGTTACTCGACCTTCCTCCCGTAAAGAAAATCCTTAAATCCCCCTCCTTCCCCAACATATTAAACGTCTCCACCAACCTCCTCAGAAAAAGCACCTCCTCAACCCTTCCCCCCTCCCTCACAGAATACAAAAACCTCACCTCAACCCCCTCCCCCGGTCCTCTCTCCGCAATGCAACTCACCATACTCATCAAAGGATTAACACCCACTCCGCCCGCCACAAACACCACCCTCTTCAACCCCACCACTCCCCTCGGCGGCGGCCAGACGAAACTCCCTCCTACCCTGACCTGCAACTCTGCGTTCAGGATGCTGGGTACAGCTTGCCACAGCCAGGCAGCGGGAGGGTTTTCCGGTGATTTTTGGACGGCGAGTTCGAGGTAGGGGAGAGAGGGAGGGGAGGTGATGGTGAAGCCTCCTGCTTTGGGGATGGAGGGGCAGTAGACGTCTAGCCATTGGCCGGGGAGGAACTTGGTTGTTGTTAGTGGGACTCTATATGGGAATGGTAAGGGAGGGAGAGGTACTTTGATGGGAGGGTTGGTGGGTGTAAGGCGGAAGAGGCGGATGGTGGGGTTTATGGGGTCTATGTGGGTGAGGCGGACGGTGTAGAGGGACTGGAGGTAATTAGTTAGGGTTTTGTAAATGATTAGGAGGTCGACGAAGCGAGGATAGGGGAAAAGGGGAAAGGGGAGAGACAGACGTTGTCACGTGGCTCTTCGGCGGTTCGTTCAAGGTGGGATAATGAAGCATTCGTGGTTGCCATTCTTGGATAGAAAAGCTTGAGAGGCGAGAGGTAGGGTGTCCTGACAATTGCTCTTGATAGAGGTATCATCAGTTAGAGTGATGTTTGGTAATGATTGTCGAGGAAGGGTTGATGATTGATGGAAGTGACCCGGAGCCGAGAAGGTTTGATTTAAGCGAGACTGGTAGGGACAATCTCCTGACTACCTAACCAGAATAGAAAGAGGTTTCAATGGAAGTGAAAAAAAACATCGGTTAGTATTGCTATATCAATCCATTTGATATTCTAGACTTTCACAGATCCCGTTTTAGAGACTTCACACACAGGGGTAATCGTCCAAATCACGTGAGGCCTTGTCATGCTTACCTAGGTAGGTATCGATCAAATGCCCCTGAATCGTGAATTAGAGGTTAGAATAGATGGTACTGTCGCGTACCATATATCGAGAAACAGGTAATTCTATGACGTTTCTCTTGCAACGTCATAAATTTTCGGATTTTCCGGGTTTCTGTGTTGGAGAGGAGATCTAATCCGACGATCAAGGTCATAGAAGAATGAATTCTGCAGTCAGGTACGGCTTCACCTTGGCCATTATGTTAGAGGTAAGAAGGGGCTTCCTTGGAAAAGATGATAGAAACCGTGAGAATGTCAAACAGCAGGCAAGTGGGCTGATCAATTCTGGCATTGATGCAATGTCCCTTTTGTACGATCTCCCAACTCTATCGGCACTATAAACATGGCACGTAAAAGCCCTGTCCAATCCTGATGTACAATGTCCACAAGATTATGTCCCATGATTCATATGTTCCTTCCCAAACGCCGTTATCGTATACAGTACAATTTATCCTCCGTCCACCGCACCACCACCCGAAAACCAGTTGCCGTGGACATAGTTGAAGGAGATTCGAACGCCGTAGAACAGTCAAGGAGAGTTGGTGGATTAGTCCGTCGTTAGGAGAGTCGACGAGGCGAATATGGACATGGAATAGATGAGGACTTGAAAGTGTCGTATGATGTTCGGAGTATCGTTACCAGTAGGCGAATGAAGAATCATCAAGTGAAAGAGTCCGAATGGTTATAATGCACAAAGATAGTGTCGACCTTTGTCCAACTTCAAAGCAATCAGATCATTGAGGATCGTCTCGACTCTCTTTCCCAAATCAATCTTCCTGGCCATCCTTTGATAACTTCAATAAGCAATCGACCGAGACTCCTTCGACATTCCTATCCTGATCAAACATGCCAGACCGATGAGAAACACGGTAAGCGCCAAGAGACCCAAGATCAGAGGCAGACTGAAAGCGTCGGTAAGAGCGTTGCGAGCAACGATGACAGCAGAATCGCGGACAACTAGGATGGCAGCCATTTCGAAGGATATAAAACGAGAGTAATGGACAACGAGTGTAGTCTCAAAAGTAGAACAAGATGGCGAGGTCGAGAAAGGTACGCAGAGAGATGGCTTAAGTGAAAATGAAAAGGGTAGGGGCGAACCTCAGTGCCTATATAACCTACCCGCCAAGCACGAGCAGGTGAAGTGGCGCGCGATTGGTCTCCACACTGAGAATGTCCCAGGGGAAATGAACTACACGAACGCCTTCCGCGACGCCTGCAGAGCAGAGAGTCTGAAACCTGATTGCTGTCCTCCCTATCAACTTGACTGGAAGGGGCAGGAAAAGGATCAATTGAGCCAGTTCCAATGAACACGCTTGGTCCAATGAAGATGTAACGGTCAGCCTACCCGGTATCACTGATGGCCGCTCTTACCTTGCAGCGAACACGCAGGGGGTGCTGTACAGTCTCTGTTTTTTTATTTTGGTGACCGTACGCCATGGCCAATGAAGGGTTGCTGGGAGCGAGGCGATCATCATCGATCAGAGACAACGGGGTCAACGGGGGCAGCAAAGGGAACGGAATGCATGTTGCTATTAAAAACCGAGTTCGATTGGGGAGATATCCGAATGAGGGTTAGGGGGTCAAGCGTTTTGGACAGTGGAGCTCCAGTCCCGCGCAGACCAGTGAGAAGGAGCGCAGTACGAGGTGGAGTGGTCCAAGCTCACAATGGCGTGTTCTGATTAGTCCTGAATGGCAGTGTATCCCAACCCGAAAATCTCGCTTCTGTCAACATCCAACATCAACTTGATAAGGGGGAATAATCTATCCGCGCGATTTACCACACGATGCGAGTGCGATGTTCATCAACTCTAACTCCGAACAGCGAGGTTATATCCCACTCTCCCACTTTCCATGGAGTCTCTTTGATTTTCGAGATCCCCCATTACGGTGATACAGTGTCAAGTACCGGTCTAGCAAATATCGACCAGGTTAACATGGGATTTTGAAGAAGCTTACTGAGGAATACGAGGCAGCTCCAATGGCAGAAAACAGTCGAGGTGTGGTTGCACAGCGACTTTAGGCAGCAACTTCTGCACCCTGGTAACCTGCTGCTTCAACCGCCGACAAAGACGGTGGCAATCAAGGTGTTTCAATATCTCCCAGCGAATGATCTCGAAGGTCCGCTTTATGCACCTCATCGAGGCTTATTGACAAACGGTCTCGAACCATGCATACCAAACAAAGGAATTGAGAGCGTGCCGATCCGGAGATTCGAATGGGCTGTGCAATCAATAATTGAGACCTGCCCATGATGAAAGCTTTTCTTTTATCTTCCTCGAATTGCTATCTTTGAAATGTTTTGAAACCTTCTTCCCCTGAATACTTTGGAATCTTTCCCAGGTGATGTAAGTATGCAGATTCAAGTTTGTCTTGCGTTCGCTGGGCTATGCGATCGATTCCAGCTTTTACCCCATCTATCTGCCAACCAAGTTTTTACTTGTCCAGTGTTATGGAAATCTGGTTACTTAGCCAGAGCCCTATTACGGAAGAGATCTGCTGGTAGACTGCGTGAACTATTTGGCGGGACTCGGACTATCGGCTCTATGTTGATCTCTTGATTCGGGACCACGAGGTGGTCTTTCGCGCCTAGAGCGCAGCCCACAACAAAGGAAAAAGTACACAAGCATAGGCCCAACACTTAGAGCTACAGTTCATTGAAAGTCGACTGGAACAACCGCAGCATCAAATCCAATCTGTCCATGTCTCGGCATGTGGATATTCTCAAGTCTGCTCCTTGTCTTTCTAAAGATGGGTGGTCATGAAAGGTTTCAGAGCACTTGCAAAGGCAGGAACATCTACTGTGTTCCAGTGCAATTTCTTTCAGTCTGATGATACTTAAGGACAAATGTAGACCACTTGCTGCTTCTTCCCTTTTATTTGCATCAAAAGCTTCCAAACTCATGCCATCATGTCGCAGAATCGAAACCAACCTCCATCGCATGATGGCTATCCGCAGTCTTCAAACAAGGTAAAGTTCTTCTTCCATGCTTCCCTTCTCGACTCTTTAACTGACGGAGGAGCAGATCATAGAGAAGATGAACAAGTTCGTTGCTGATCACTGTCAACTCTACACAAGACCCCCGCCTCTTCCTGGATTCAGTTGGGCCTCAATCGACAAGTTGGAAGCCTCTTTGCTAGTCTCGGTCGTTGCCACCACTACTAGACTACACCAAATAATTCAAGCCTCAGCAGATAGCGAACCACAATTCCTAGCGACGACCAACGAATGCATGAAACGCTATGTGGAGATTATGATACCGGCTGGGATATGCTGTAGTGCTTTGAACAACATGAGAGATGGGAAATTCCGAGGCAACCTTGCCGTGATTGAAGCAGTGCTTACAGCATTTCACTATGTTAAAGAGAAACATAATCCTATCCTCCCAGACTTCAAAGGAAGTCTGGAGGAGAGTCGTAACTGGATACTGGCCTGCAGGATGTACGTTGAGAACGCCGTCATGACGATGAAGCACGCTGCACTGGCACTGAAGAGCACTGGCTCCATATGAGAGGCATGCGGCTGCCATCTTCTCGGCCATCATAGCCAGAGGTTGGCTTCCAACGATCCAACTTTCTGGCAAATGAATCAGTGTTTCGGACAAAATGATTCGATTTTGATCAACCTATTCCCAATCCTGGCTTCCGGAGCGGCGGTATCATCCCCATCACGACCTATCGTCCCACGATCAAAGCAATTACGCTGTAGGCCAAACCCAGAAAACGCCATGCTCACCTGCTGCGTTGGACATCACCACCTTCCTGGACCCGGACTCTGCATCGGCATCGACACAGACACACTACTCCTCCTTTGCAACTGCATACTAGGGGTAGCAGACACACTGCTCCTTCTGGCCAGTTGCTGACTCGGCCTAGGTCTGAATGGCTCATCATCGAAATCGTCCAGATCCTTCAACCGTTTTCCTCCTCGTGTGTACCAACAACTCAGTGGCAGAAGCACGAATGCAAAGAATGCACCTTCTTTAACCTTGTTTACTGGTGTCACCCTCATAGGATCATTTCGTTCGAGCTTTGCGATTTTCTGCCGCTCCAATTTCGATGGCGAGCTTGAGGTGCTCGAATGTGAGGTGGATGTAGATGCCTCTGATCTAGGTGCGGCTGTCGAGTCACTTGTCTTCAATATCGACCGGGGAGTCGTTGGTGATGGTAGAACCGGAGTGGATGGATAAGTAGGTGGCTGCAATCCTCTCGGTCTTGGAACAAGTGGTCTTACTGGCTCATCCTCCATGGCTCTGTGGCTTCCCTCTGTTCCAGTTGATTTTTGAATGGATGGTTCGTGATCCTCCTTGGCTTCTCTCTTGGTTCCGGATCAAGAGGCAGCTAAATGGGCTTTGACGTGTCTTAACGTGAGCACGTTGGGACGGTCTGCCATCTCTTATAAGCACTCACCCCTTTCATCCCTTCAAAATTATACTTTCGGGGTCCACGAATAAGTTTGTACGACGACCAGGAATCGCAAGTTGCGATGGTGGGAAACGCGCAAGGATGACCCCGCGATACTTTTCTTCCTTCAGCGCAAATTTCAAACGAACTATTTCCATCAAAGCCTCCTTTCTAAACGGCGCTCCGCCCTCTTCTGTTACAGGCCCTTCTTTGACGTCATGGTTTCAATTTATCGTGCAGATCCGGGGTCCAAGTACTCCACTGCCTGTCAATGCGTGTCAAACGGTCGTTGACTATTTCGATTCGCGAAGTGGAGTGACTTTCGCAAAGAATGGGGAGTGGATCTGGGTGCTGCAGATATTCTCACACACCGCTTGCTATATCACAGGGAGTGGGATGTTAAAGGATATATGTCGGCTGTGTTCTCTCTGTTTTCATATGCCCACTGAGTTGTGTATGCGACTTGGTGGATTGCAGGTTGCGACTCGTTCACGACTGCTATGAGAGTCGTTCTTCCAGTTCCGAGCTGAGGCTGAGAATTCGTACAAGATTAGCCGTTATGATGAGGATGGGTTCATGATTCTCTCGCAGCATAAAGGCTGCAGTATTCTTTCAAGGTTAATATCTCGCACTCTGCACTTTCTTGCTTCCATCTGCTCGATCGAAAGTCTAAAGAAATGAAGTTTTAAGAGTGGAATCCTACTCTCATTGCTAGGTCACAAGAGGAATCTAATACCCTTCTGATAACACTGTGTTGTCAACAAAAACTCCACGAAAGATCCACCACAGCTATATCCACAACTCCTATACCTCCAGCTATATCTCTGCAGCACTCTACGGTGATACCCAACCTCCCACTCTCCCCCAGCCTCACGATCTGTATCCAAAGTCGGCAAACGCGGGTTTCCAAAACCAACTTTACATCCAACTCAAGTGGCGAAGCAAAGAAACTCAACTATACCATCTTCCGGCTCGATATAGTTCTCAAACCCGAATCGTAAAATGCCGATCTGTAAAGCAAGGAAGAATTGTCCGAAATGACCGATTCATGCAACGTGGTTCGTTGGCGAGGAGGGAAAAAGGGACATCCTTGATGAGGCTCTTGGCGGTCATCACGTGGTGAGGGTGATGCGACGATTGAGAGAGGGAGGGGGAGGGGTGAGGATTGCGTCTCGGCATGATGGGAAATGGGAGATAATCTGGTAGTTAGGTTATGGAATGATTATTTGCTCCAGATATTGCCATGTTCGGGTTCACTAGCTTGCGCTGGTTCGCTTAGAACATGACTGTTTTGGAGCCCTCATGGCATTAGACCATAGCTTACTCCCATTCTCCCCCTTCCCAAAATCACGTCCCAGTTCCTCAGCACTGAGAGAATAGCTTGTGCACAATTATCAGCCACTAAGCGCCACTCCCATCAACAAAGACCATAACAATTAGGTCATTACTTACCACAGCAAGCTGAGGCAACGCAGATCCATAATGCGTAGACATCATAACAAACTCCTGCCATCACCTTGCTTGATATCTCACATTTGCGGCTTCCACAGCAGTTGGCACCGCTATTGGCGAATCTGTATACACTGTCCACGAATATCTGGATGGCCGAGGAGTTTAGACACATCTTCGTCGATGACCAGCTCCTGAGTACGATCCCAAAGAGTCAACTCCTAGGATCAAGGAAAAAGGCAGAATTCGACATACTCAATCTCATCCCCCACCAACCATTAAAGACCTCAGCAACCAACAGGGGCCACGACGAAGCAAACGCCCAGTATATCAACTTTACCTCCCAATCCCTCAATGTATCTACCAGACGTGGAGGCCCTTTGGAGGTATGGAGCGGCGCTATGTGAAGCAGTACCCCGGCGGATGGGACCATCATGCCTTCTAGTAGGAAATGAATGTGCGCGGAAACTCCTAGACGGGGGTATTTTGTCAGAGGGCCGATGCAGCCGACGAAGATCCCGGATGCAATCATGGAGGAGCGGGAACGCATGAGAGTTAGTGGGAGAGAGTGGGAGGTGGCCATGGTGTGAGGAGACTGCGTCGTCAGGTTGGATTGATGGAGGGAGTCTGGGTTTTGGAGAGTGAGTTTTAGAACTGGATAAGGTAGGTCAGTCGAAGGAGGACAAGTAGATATATTGGAAAACAGATCTGGCGACCGCTTCAACCCCTTTCGGGAATTGGAGTAATCAACTAGTTTCGTACCGAGTAACACCTAAGTAGTTTGCTGCTCGTAGTATTTATGTACAGTGCTAATACATTCACAGAATAAATTGTTCAGATGCGTGAAGTGATGATTCCCGCTGACTGCGCGGTTTGCGGGAATTGCGCAAATTGCGCAAGACGCGCAAAGTGCGCCAAAGCCGCAGAGTTAAAGCACTCAACTTTCTTCTGAAACGCCGTACTTGAGATCATTCCAATTTTCATCACTTACGACATTTATACAGTCATATTAGATGGCCTTCACCGTTGTCAGAAAGATAGAGTCTTGAAGGCTAGTATTTTCAGCCTATGATGATCGGGGACGAGATTTGTGGTTACAAGGATTCTCAGTCGGAGAAAACAACAGCGTCCTAAAAGGATACCACCTGTTTGTGGAAATCAAGCAGGATCATGTCAGAATGACCACATATGATATCTGGGTATTATTGATGTTTTTATGCTCTGTCTGCCATGTTCAGGCACAACTTCGCAGTGCCATATATCAACAAACTCACCGCCGCAGACTCCTTCCCAAATCTTGTATATAAATGGCCTCATCTATACAGGATCAACGCCTATCTACGCCACATGTGTATGCGTAAAAATCCCACTCCTATTACTCCATCTGCATATAATGTCCAAACTTCTCCTTCAACAACGCCAACCGGACCGGCTTCGCAAGATAATCATTCATCCCGGATGCAAGACACTTTTCCATATCTCCCTGAACAGCAGACGCCGTTAAAGCAATAACTAATATACTTCTCACAGCATCCATGCTATCTTGACGTAGAAGTTTCGTAGCTTCGTATCCGTCTAAGACGGGCATTTGAACATCCATCAAAATCATGTGGTACGGACGACCAGCTTCAGCCTTTTTGCGAATACCTTCCACGGCTTCCTGACCATTGTTGTACGCATCGACTTCTTGGAACTTAAGCTTCTTCAGAAACTGTAAGGCAATCTTCTGATTGATAAGATTGTCTTCCGCGATGCATACCCGGAGATCAGATTGAGAGAAGTGCGAGAGGTCGGCAAAGTCTGTGGTGATTGTTGGTATCCGTATCGAAGCGGGGCGTTTGCCCACCTCGATAGGAGAATCTCCTACGGAAGCTTCAGGTATTGCTTTTCGCAAGGTGATCGAAAACGAAACAGTCGTTCCAACGTTCTCGGTACTGTCGAGCCTGATCGTGCCACCCATAGACTCCACAAGAGATTTGCATATACTGAGACCAAGACCACTTCCTCCATATTTTCGAGATGTACTCGCATCAGCCTGGCTGAAGGGAATGAAAAGCCGTTTGAGCTGCTGTGGAGAGATTCCAATCCCAGTATCCTGGATCCAGAAAGTTAGACACGTTGCCGACTCGGTCTCCCATTCTGATTTGGCACCAACAATGATGCTACCCTTCTCTGTAAACTTCAAGCTATTGCCGACCAGGTTCCCGAGAATCTGATGGAGTCGGACTGGGTCACCATAAACCAACGATTGCGGTAGATCAAGTTCCTGCACAACACGAACATTTTTTGACTTATTTTTGCTCACAGCTGGGATTGAGCGAACAAGTTCCCGGACCATTTCTTCGACATAAAAACTTGTTAGATGGAGTTGCATTTGATGAGCCTCGATCTTAGAAAAGTCCAAGATGTCATTGATCAAGCTGAGCAGCAGATTTGCTGAGACTCTGATCGATTCTGCCATTTCAGCTTGTTGTTCTTGTAAGTGACCGTCAAGCAAAAGAAGTTCAGAATTGCCAATGACTCCGTTAAGAGGGGTCCGAAGCTCGTGCGAGATATTAGCAAGGAATGTTGTCTTTGCCTTCGCAGCCTCTTCAGCTTCAGCTCTGGCGATATTTGCATTATTCTTGGCTTCGATGGCCTCTGACAGTGCTTTCTTCTGGACTTCGACCATGGACTTGTTGATTGCAGACACCCGCTCAACCTCTTTAAGCGTCAATGAATTCGAGTAGCTGATTGCAATTTGGTTAACCAGCAATTGTAGAACTTCGAGGTTGCGATTCGTCAGAGAATTCGGAGCACCTTCCAAGTATAGAACTCCAAGTAGAGGTTTGTCCTCATCTCCATGTGAGATGGGTATGGCAACCACCGACTTACTTCCGTTATTCCGCGCGACCCATGTCTGGCTGACGTTGCTGAATCGCGGGTCTTGTAGCAAATCTGGGAGGAAGACAGTTTCTCGAAAGCGAGAACAGTAGTTCACAACACTCTCTGGAATCTCGGACTTCGCAAGTGGAAGAGGGGGGTTGTGAGCTTCGGCACCTTCTTCGGGGTGACCGCTTGCAGCAATTCCCCAGCCGGTCGTTGCGTCTTCAATTGCAATTGCTGCCAGCGAAGCAACACCTTTGCAGTTTTGTAAGATAATCTCACACATTATCTTGAGGAGTTGATCCACCTGAAGAACGCTTGAGATGACCTGAGAGCTCTCCAGAATCGATGTTAGATCTAACATGTGCAGATTCTCGCCAGCGTCAACAAGGACTGCTGCTCCTTCTTGCCACATGCCGATTCTGTCCTCCCCTTTCTCGATCATGGATTCTGGCACCGGTGAGTCCTCATGTCCAAAACCATCGACGTCGGTTGGCATGATCCCCAGATTACCATAATGTTCTGTTTGAACACTGACGTCCACGTTCCAATGGTTAGATCTTGTCTCTTCGAAAATGCGCTGATTGTCTTCTTCAATATGATCAGCAACTCCAGTCGCTCCTAGTCGTCTGTACAGCTTGATCGATTCGCCGAATGCCATCTTTGCAAGCCTTTTGGATCCAACTCGTACAAGATGGCCACCTAGAAGGCTATTCGCGAGCGCTTCTTCGAAGCAGAAATTATACGTTGAGGCATGGTCTATGGCCTCCTCGTACAACCGGAGCGTAGCCGTATGGTCATCTTCCATCTCCGCTATCTGAGCTGCAAGCATTTTCGACCAAGCCAGGTAGTTCACATCCGTGACTGCTTGCCACTGTTCTATTCGTTTCTTGAAGTACTTCATGAGCATAGCAAGACCTCCGATCTCCTCCTGGAGCCCAGCTTCAAGAGTTCGGCCACTAATATCCGAAGATAGCTCATGTGACTGACTGCGATATGCTGGATCGAGTTGTTCTTCAACCCGGGTCCACACAGAGCCTGCCAATGACAGGGCATGAAAGAACATGAGAAAGCGAGTATTTCGCGCTGACCATATTGCATTGATCTTCTTCAAGCATGAGTTTCCTAATGCGACAGCGTTCGAGAAATGACCGTACAAGAACAACGGAGCGATTTCGATGCTCTCGTACAGCATAAGCGGCCGGTCAGAATTCTTGACTGTATTCTTCAACCAAGACTTGTACTTGGGTGAGCTATGTTGATCATCACTCATCACTCCGACTGACGGATCGTTTGTCTGGGTTTTGCCTTGCAAGGCACGGCACACCTGGCGTATGCTAATGATCATTGTGCCGCCTGGCGTGTCTGTTTGCCAGTTCGAAATGTCTTGGCAGGCATATGTACAGAACAATTCCAGGTCAGTCAGATTGTCAGAGGCAAAGAATCTTAGGCTGCCAACAAGCCCAAAATTCAAAATCGTTGCTATCCGGTCCCCTGCTTGAATTGCAAACTCGAGAGCTCCTTCCAACTGGGCTATTAGCACATGAAGTGGGCTCTGGATATGTCCTATGAAAGCTGGATAAAGGGTGCCGCCTCTGCCTATCGTGTAAGGATCTTTACCCCGTTCCATCAAAGCAAGTGCTATGTTTCCGCAATCATCGCCGAAATTGATCATATTGTGCCTCGAGACAGCGATGAGAGAGAGTTGAAGAAACCCCATACCAGCCTGGGGATAGTTACCCGAGAACAAGTAGGTATTTATCATAATCAGGGTCATTTGATAGAAAGTCAAGGTATCAGACCAGAACGCAGCACTCGTTGCTTCGACAAGCACAGCACCAATAGCAGGCAAGTTCGTCTCCTCCTCTGTACTCATTGGTCTTTTCATCAGAGAGGAGATATCCGCAGCCTGGATCTCCTCGCATAGACGCTTGAATTCAGCATCGCACTTTGGGAATGATGGATCATTATCAACAATGACGTCCAAGGTTACAAGGCAATTCTTCAGAGCCTCGAAAGCACGGGTCGAATCTCCTTCTTGAGCGAAAGCACGAGATTCAAGTACCCAGGCAGGGGCTTTGTCCACGGCCGTCCGAGCATTCGTAGATACTTCCAATAATAAGCGCCTGGCTTCTTCGTATTGTCCACTATACAAATAACACTCGGCTGCTGCAGTGTGAACTTGCAATGTCTCCTCGTATGAGACGTCCTCAGCATCGTCATTCCACATATCATCCTGCAATAGCAGAATGCAACTGGCATAAGCCTTGACGGAAGCGGATCTAATGCCACTTTCACAAGCCATACGCGCGTGGTTCAAAAGCAATCTTCGAAAAGGTCGCCGATCCGGAATGGAAGTTTTGATGGTGGTAGTAGATTCACAAATAGAAAATGCCGCAATGTCCCGGTAATTGTCATCATCAGCGTAGTGTTTGAGAAGCGTTCGCGCTAGGATGAAATGCATCAGACTCCTGTCTTCAGTCTGAAGTGAGGCAGCTGCTTCGGCATATCTGTCATGCGCAAATCGGAAAACGTCTTCATCTGAGGTTGGTACAATGATATGGGCTTCTATCGCAGCTTGGAGGCCTCTCACTGAATCTTGTTCCGAGTAATGAAGTTTGCCTGGGGTGAAGTCACCATTCAACAGAAACTGAATCAGCTGGAAGTTGAACGATGCACCTAGCATCGAAGCCCACGCAAGAATCAACTTTGCAACAGCAGGTAGTTCTTTGATGAGATTCATGACAAGACCTTCACGGCGAGCATCATTTAGCCTGGCCGCAGTAAAGTTCTCGAAGAGCTTGTCGAGGTCGAAAAGCCAGCAATTATTTCGAAAGTCGAACCAAATGCATTTCTTCCGATAACATGCACTAAGCATCTCTTTGACGTAGAATGGATTACCGGAAGTTTTCGAGCAGATGATGGTGCCCAAGGCGAAGACTTCGAGTTTCGTACGACGGAGTGTATTGGCAACATATTCTACTGTTTGGTCTTCAGTAAGAGGTTTCAGGATGATTTGCGTGGTATCGATGTCCCTTGACATTTGGTGATCTAGCTTTCGTAAGCGTGGTCCAGAATGAATGAGTTTACAGAAAATACGCACCTTGATTATGGGATGGATCCAAAACTTTGCGGATCCTTTCAGGTAAGCTTTCCTTAGATCTGTAGGCGAGGATCATGACCATTTGAATTTTCGATGAAACCATTTGAGCAATCAATTCTAAAGACTCCTCATCTGCGAGGTGGATATCGTCAAGACACAGGCAAACGAATTTATGGCGGGTGAAGATGCGCAGGATATCCAGCAGCGTGGTTGGCAAAGCTATGGATTGCGTAGAAGAGCCAGCACGCAGGAAATTATGCGCACTTTGAGCACCAAGTGTCTTGCCATATAGACTGCCTCGCGAGCTTGTACTCCCAGGTGATGAATCACGTCTCCTTGACGCAACGTCCAGACTTTTGTTGAAACCCTTCGAGATTTTTGGCGAGTCGATTGACATTCGGTGTGATGAGCTAGGGTCGAGCAAGAACTCTGGGAGACCTAGCAATTTATGAAGGATATTCCAGACGGGCCCAACTCGTCTTTTGAGGCTTAGGTGGAAGACTGGATCAGTGTCACTTTCTGAAAACACTTGCTGAAAGAGACTTGATAACAGGCTGAGGATCGAGTCCAATGGTTTGCTTTCCGTTTGATTATGGTCGAATTTCGAGCTAGCAAAGCAGCCTCGCTGTCGTGCGTCGACTTGTACAGATTGAATGAGGCGACTCTTTCCAAGCCCAGCAGCTCCTTCCACTGTGACAACCGCACATTGCCCTGTTGTAAGCATGCGCACGTTATTGCGGTCCGCAAACAGACTGCTCATACCATCTGAGCCGGCTAAAGAACCTTCAAAGTCGCCATTCACACTTTCACCAAAGCCAGGAGACCCTAGTTGCCGTATTCTCAACTGGGCAGGTTTGAGCCCAACGTCTGGACTTGTTGCTGATAGTTCTGTCGAATCATGGTGCGAATGTGCTGGGGATCTCTGTTTAGCCGTGTTGGCTTTGTATGCCTTTTGGTCCCCAGGCAACGTATCGAATAAAGAGTGTGAATTTGTTCTACTACCAGTCGAACTTCCGTTGTCATCGTCAAGGATGGCATCACCCGCCGTGAAGCTTTTCTCCGCGCTGGTGGAGTTGTCCTCGGATAATCGACCTAATTGGGTTTGTTTGTCTTGCCTTTGACTAGTTTGGTGCAATCTAAATGCGTGATCGATAGCGCGGACGAGAGTATCATGCTCGTCTTTCCTACCGACCATAGCTTGAGGTAAAATGAAAGACGGAGAGACGTCTCTTGTAGCGATTTCCCAACCAAGGAGCTTCGAAGAATCTCCGATACTCAGCAATCGTCGAACTTCCACAAGATCATGTCGTAGCCCGCTCATGGAGTGGTAGCGGTCCCAGACTGGTTTTGCTGTAGCCTTTTGAATGATACGCCCAATAACCTCGGGAATATCTAATCGAATATTGGAGACCAATGGAAGACGTTGTCCCAAGACGGCTTGGATAATGTCCATCGCAGTCTCGCCTTCAAAAGCTGGTTTCTGTAAAAGTACTGTCCAGAACAGAACCCCAAGTGAAAATATATCTGTCCGACTATCTGGCTCGAAGGGCATTCGTCCTGTCTGCTCTGGGCTCATGAAGGACAGCTTCGTCATTGCTCCAAGTTCCTTGGACATCGTTGACCAGCCATTGCTCGTTAGACCTTGCTCGAATGTGCGAAGTCTCCCAGGCCCAATGTTAATCAACATAACTTTGCCTGTTTCCTTGTTCATATGAAATGCATCGCCTCTGATTTCCCCGTGGACAATCTGCTGCCCGTGAAGAACTTCGATGCACTCAGCGGCGCCAATCGCAAAGTCGAGAAACGTTCGTAAAGATACAGATTCTGGTTCAAATATCTCATTGCGGCGCCCTTGGACGGTGTCTCCACGCAAGTGTAGGTGGTACCATGCTGGTGATATATACGTTAGCACTTTAACTGGTAGAATACAATTGCAAGTTCTGAAATTTCCATATGACAAAATAGGAATACAGTATGGAAATAAGGTTACCTGGACCGTAATCGATGATTTTAGACAAGTAATTCGTTCCAAGAGCTTCGAATATGCAGACCACCACAGGTTTTATCTCGTCATCCCCGGCTTGAGCGGACCATCGCATTCTCTCCAGAGGACGAGCAACATGATGCCCTTTAGGATCCGCAGTTGCGATCAACGACTTGCAGATATGGTATGCTCTCTCGTCGCGCAGAACATGGAAAGATATGCGCGCGACGACTGGTATATCTTTCCCGTCACTACTCAAGTCCTTGTTTGTATCCTCGCTGTCTTGTTTCCTTCTGCTAGGACGTTTCCAAATGTAGTGTGGCCGTACGGATTCGGAGGTGGGGGAAGTTGGGAGTGAGGTACTGGGGCTGCTATTGTTGCCTCTATGCTTTGTTCCGAAGACATGCCTAATTAATTGTCAGCGTACTAGTGATACCTTATTCGACTTTCCAAAGCAACCCACCATATGTCGTAGGAGGTATGGAACGGCTGTCTAAAGTCATCCCAAGTGTATCCAGCGAGTTGTCGAAGTCTCTTGAGAAGGTCTGCTGGAGGATCTTGGCGCACGCTATCCATGACGGCGGGACGATCGCTCAGGCGGCCGGGCAGGATCTATAGCGAGTGAGCCTCACTACAGTGGATCACCGCACCTCTATCCCCGCACAGTTGTTCCGTCGTCGAAATACAGCGGCATACGATGATAGAGTTCAAAATCAAAATCATCATGAGCTGTTGGAAATGCCATCCGGGAGCAATGGGCAATGCCGAAGGGGCTGTAACGGTGCCATAGACGGCCCATGTCAATTCCCACTTGGGTCTAGATCACCGTCAGAGGCGTACAGGGTTTGCAATCGACGATTCATCCCACATTTCAAGCCACAGCAGCATGGTGCTGGAAGGGATCACTGTGGCGCTTTGTCTCACACGACCTCAGCCTGAGCTCAAAAACAACAGACACCCAGAAAACCAGCTTGAGCAACTGGAACTGATAGACCTTTGCTGAAATGGCTGATGAGCCCAGAGCACCTCCGTAAGTTCAGTTGTGACAAAGGCCAGCTCAGGTGACTGACACGGGATGCAGCCTCCGTCTAGGATCTCTGGCTCCTAACTTTGAAGCAGAAACGACAGTGGGATTCATCGATTTCCATGAGTGGATTGGCAACAAATGGGCTATCCTCTTCTCTCATCCTGAAGACTATACTCCAGTATGCACCACTGAGCTTGCAGCTTTAGCCAAGTATGAGCCCGAATTCAAGAAACGCGGGGTCAAGTTGATTGGGCTGTCAGCCAATTCTGTTGAGACTCGTAAGCTGGCCTTGCTTTGCGAAACTTATCGACAAGGCGGGCTGACTCCAAAACATAGATGGAGGATGGATCAACGACATTGACGAAATCGCTGGATGTGCAATGTCTTTCCCTATCATAGGAGATAAAGACCGACAGATCGCCTTCGCTTATGACATGTAAGTTTCGAGAGCATTCTCGCTCTTCATGACCTCAGGATCGTCTCTTCTACTCTTCCCAATTCTATACCCAATATCAACTAACGCCACTAGGCTCGACCATCAAGATACCACGAACGTGGACTCACGCGGAATAGCTTTCACCATCCGCTCAGTCTTCATAATCGACCCGTCCAAAACCATCCGTCTCATTCTCGCCTATCCTGCTTCCACGGGCCGCAACACAGCAGAGCTGCTCCGAGTCATCGACTCTCTTCAAGCAAGTGACAAGCATCGTATTACTACGCCTGTCAACTGGAAGCCTGGAGACGATGTCATCGTGCACCCTACGGTGAGTACGGAGGACGCGAAGAAAAGATGGCCCGCCATGAGGGTTGTGAGGCCGTATTTAAGATATACGACTTTATCAAAGGAAGAGGTACTTGCTGCGAGGGTTTGATAGTATGGGTTTCTGAGCCTATAAGTCTAGTGCTGAAGACGGCCTTTTTTGTTCTGAACAGCTGGAGCTGGATTCCCGAACTCGATAGCTTTGGCAGAGTTCATACTTTCGTTTGGTAGTGTTTGAGCTTGAAGTGTGTTCGTTGGCTAGGAAATTTCTGGGAGTCTTTGGGTGGTGTTATGACCAATGAGATCCATATACGAACGATCGAACGAAACCAGAAGTAGCGAAATATACCATATATACGAGGTAGTTGAAGACATTAACGAAATGAAATCATTATTCATGCCAATTATCACATGTAGTACATATTAATCAATGACCTAGCTGCCCTATCATGGTTCACCCTCATTACATTGAATCTTTTCTTCAAGACAGCTGCTGTTCCCTAACCTTCCCATCCTCCAATGCACTCTCGACATGTTCGTTCATCATCGGCTTGACGCCCTTCAGAAAGCACGCAGCAATCCCATTAGCAGCCACCAAACACGCAACCGCAATCCATACATATTTCCAAGCTCTCTCGCTCTCAGCCACAACCACTGGAGCGTGACTATTAGCTGCGAGAACGGGACCAACATATGAAGCATATTTGTTGTTGTAGATCGCTGTGAAGATTGTGATGCCGATGATACCGCCCAGAGCGCGGCAGGAGATAGAAACTGTAGCCGCTGTACCGATGAGGAAAGAGGGGATAGAGAGGCCAAGAGCCACAACTGGAATGGTGGTAGTAACAGCCGTGCCGATACCAAATAACGTTGAGAAGGCATAAGCCCAACTCAATCGATGCGAGTTCACGAGTGCCATGAGACCTGCCTTTTATCAGCTGCTTGGCACAAATGCAGGAAGTGAACATGTCTTACCAGTAAACAGACTGCACCAGAACAAAGCAAACACAAGCATCGTTCGGTACGACCTCGTAGAAGCCATGATCCAACCTGCAGGAATACATCCAAAAGTTGACGTAATCAGATAGGGGCTTAGAATCACAGCGATCCTCACGGCATTCTGCGAGAACAGATCGAAGATCTGTTGCGAATACAGAACATTGACACCAAGCAATAGCATCCCATCAATGGTGCAGACGAAGAGCAAGATCGGGAAGTTCAAAGTCTGGAACAGTCGATGGTCGAGAATACCCTCTTTGACCACGAAAGCTTCGTAAAGGCCAAAGATAACCAGTCCAAGGCAGCCCATGACGAGCGTGGCGATGACTTGTTTGGAATCCCAAGCATAGGTTGTGCCACCCCACGTCAAACCAATGATGAGTGATGCGAAAGAGCCGGACATGAGCAGGATACCAATGTAATCAACCGTGGAAGCGATCTCCTTGAGAACATGGTGACGACGTAAGACTGGCGGAGGCGGGAAGTAGGTGAGTGCAATAGAAAGGGCAGTGATGCCATAGATAATGCCGTTGAAGTAGTATGCCCATCTCCAACCTCCAGCTCCACCTGCATTGTCTCGAACGAAAGCTGCTGCGAGAAAGGTGCCGAGTACGACGAAAGCGCTTGCTAATGCTTGGGAGACACCCATTGCCCATGGACGAAGCTTATTTGGCATGATCTCCTGAATGCATGAGATTGAAACAATCTGGTACAGTAAGTATATATCTCAATGGGAGCTGGAACATGAAACTTACACATCCAGCATTTGCAATACCAGTGAGAATATTACCACCAATGATATGGGTAATTTGATCTGCAGAACCTGAAATGACTGAACCGACAACACCCAGAAGAGCACCACAAACAAGGAACCATTTCTTCCCAAGGCGGTCACCGAGAGAACCCTGATACCGTCAGACAATGAGATCAAACAATGGGATACTTCTTACAAAGATGGGACCAGCAGCCAAAACCACGAGGAAGTTTCCGTTCGCAATCCATGATGCCAGCGCAGCATCTGCTGGAGACTTTGCTACAGTGGCGACTTGAAACTTAATGGTTGTGTTTGTCTATTTCATGTCAGCCCTGTATCTATGCTCTAACAGGGGCATGCAAAATACGGTATTTGAGAGAGCCGCACAAACATTGCCCATCGATAAAGTCAAGAGGGCAAGAATGGTTCGCCAACCCAGTTGATACGGAGTTTGTGGTTCGTCCTCATTCGCAGCTAGATCCTCAATGGCGTGATGCTTATGATGATGCTGCTCTACTGTCTCCACCTGGGAGATTTCTGTCTTTGTTTCTTCCATGGTGTCCAGATTAGGATGGTTCTGTCCACGATGCTGTATGAATCAGGAGAGGTCGAACCAGCTGTCTGCAACAATCAGGTGAAAGAGATGAATATGGAATGATTGAAGATACCCGGGTCGTCCTGCCGTTAAGTAGAGACCCCGGCAGGACGAAGGGGTGCTAGCGGTTCCAGACTCTGGGGTATGGAGGCTCCAGGAATGAAGCTCGGTCTGGACAATAAGGATGGGACAACGTGGACGCTACATTGCCGGTCTCCTATGCCGGTCTCCAGTACCAAACCCATTTGCATTGCAGAGCGCCACATCTACCAGCGAACCGCTTCGACTCAGGGCTTGTATGGTCTCGAAGCGTGGGCAAACGGCGCCTGTCAAAGTGGTTCGTCCACTCCCGTCCACCTCCACAACCACATGTGCACCCCCGCACCCCGCAAACCCCAGCTCGAATTCGGAGTGAGCATACCAATCGATTCATGAACGGTCATATCTTTATGACCGAAGCACTGTTATTCAAATAAGCCTTGTGGTGGTGGAGCTGTCCAGCCTTGCCAACGCTTACGCTTACGCTAACGACCGCGAGAACCAGATGCACGGGAAGAGAGAAAGTACTGATCAGATCTTGACGCGTTTGATAGTGTATTTGTAAATGTGGCCTCGACCACTCAGTCAGCCGCATGCATTTGTGATCCTTGGTCTAGGTGTCGCTGTAACATGTTTCTTCACTTCCTCAATGTCCCGTGTACAATCCACGAGTCTTCCCTCCAGACCGGCCCCGTTCCCGGCAGATAGATACACACAGGTCCAAGCCGCCAACTCTGCTTTGAAATCTGGATGCATTTTTGCCATCTTCGCCATATGTTCTATAACGTAAGGCGCTTCGTCCTTCGTCTTTTGAGGGAATGCTGTTTCATGGAGCTTCGTCTTGACTTCACCTGGATGTATTGAGAACACCGATATACCATTCGTATCATGGCCGAAAGTGTCCTTCTGAAGGATATTGAGCTCATTCTGCAGAATACCAGCGAATCGAGTGATTGCCGTCTTCGCACAACTATATCCAGCCGCCCATGGGAGATCTGCTCCTGCTGCTCGAGAGGATGTGTAGATGATCGTTCCAGAATTGCGTTTCTGCATCATAGGTAGAATCATGCGTGTTAATTCTGTAGGTGATTTGACCATGATCTCCATCTGCTTCCACCACTCGTCTGGGTCCGTCATGTGAAATGGCATGAACGTATTGGTTCCGGCATTGCAGATAAGAATGTCGATTGGGCCAAGGCTTTCGGTCACCTAGCAAGTCAGCAACAGCCACAATACTATCTGGAGAATTACCTCTTTCACCATACGTTCCTGGTCTGTTCTCGAGCAAACATCTCCAACAACTCCAATAGCTTTGACTCCACTTGCCGAACTTAGAACAGCTTGTGTGGTCTCCTCAACTTGACTCTTTGTTCTGCCAGAAATTGCTACAGCAGCACCAGACCTTGCCAGTGCCAGAACGATCTCTCTTCCAATTCCTCGACCAGATCCAGTGACAAAAGCAACTTTACCATTTAATGAACCCTTGAACAGCTCTGGTTCAATCGCTGGGTAAACATCTGTTCGCAACGTAAATTCTGGTTTTGACATGATGAATCTTCTACAATAGAAACCAAAGACGAAATAAAGAAGGAAGGAAAGGCTGAGAACACAAAAAAGAATATCAATGCCCCAAAATACTAGACACAATAGCTGCCCCACATCGAAAGTGGACGGGAGTAACTACCCCGCCTCGCCATCAGCCTCGCCCGAAGACCGAAATGTGTGCTCCGGACATACCTAGGTCATACAAAACCCCAGAGTCCAGAACACACATCCAGAATGCTGCCACGATGTAGAATTCCTCAAAGCACTCGCCATGACGTTCGACATATACATACCATCTAATCTTACCTTCCAAGATTACCTCGCAGTCTGCCAATGCGCTCGCACGTTGGCGGACGGGTATGACCGCAAGGTAGACTGCATCTTCCCAATTACGATATATATTGTTGATCGATATAGGACAAATCTCGAGTCCGCGCGTCTCTCGCACCCAATATAATCGTCGACTACAGCCTCGTTGTTCCAGCTTGGGGAGAGAAGCATTTCGCAGCAGATGCCTTCGTCGAAGAATGGCTCGGTCCCAATCACCTTGGTGTAAAGGCTCTAGCAACACAGCATCTTCTTGGGATCCCATATTTCAAATCCGTGACGGATGAGGAGATTGTGGTCGAGTGGCAGCAGATGGCTAGCCATGGCAGACGCGTCGAAGGAGAGGATTATGCCAGTCCAATGTGCAAGATTGGAGAAATTAGCGACGGGAGGAGTTGGATGAAGCAGACGTTTGTGAAGGTTGAGGGATCTTGGAGGATCCGAATTATTCGGCCGGAGGTGTTGTATCATACTGGGGATTTCTTGAGCGTTGGACGACCCGATCATGGAGAGGATATCAAACCTAGGTGAGAGAAGCATGTTTTGGGGGTGTGAATGTAGCGAACTGCGAGATCGCTCAACCGTTTTGGCTCGCCGTCGGCGACGACATCTGAATATCCCACTTTATTTGAATGATTCAGCGTGTAGGTGTTCCATGCTGAAGTATAATAATGTGAGTCTTTCTCTTCATCTGAGTCTTTTCTTGTCCATGTTGTCCAGTACTTGATTATTTTCGAGTTCTGTCTGCGAATTGCATCATGGACGCTCAAGCCCTACTCAAAATCATCGAAGCCGATGAAGCATCTCACATCTCCTTTCTTCAATCTTTCACTCAAGCACCTTCTCCAAATCCGCCTGGAGACACGCGAGAGGCTGCAGATGTCATCATCAATTATCTAAAATCTCGTGCCATCTCCCCAGAGATCATTGCTCCTCAAGAATCCATGCCAAATGTCTGCAGCGACACACCATGTGGCAGTACCGAGGGACCTCGTCTCATCATGAATGGACACATTGACGTCTTCCCCGCCGGAGATGGAGCAGATTGGGACAGAAGTCCTTGGTCCGGAGAAGTCGTCGATGGTCGTCTTCATGGGAGAGGAACTGTTGATATGAAAGCCGGGACAGCAGCTTCCGTTATCGCGTATTCTTATATTCACAAGTATCGAGAGCATCTCAAAGGCAGCGTGGCTCTCTGTGCCGTTTCGGACGAAGAGACTGGCGGCAAGTGGGGGACGAAGTACCTTCTCGAAGACCCAAGGTGGAGGGGTGATTGTGTGATTGATGGTGAGCCAGGTGGACTTGGGACAATCAGGTTTGCGGAGAAAGGCACATTGAGATTGACGTTTACCGTCAAGACCGAAGGTGCGCATGGAGCGCATACTCACCGGTCGAAAAGTGCCACGAGGATTGCGGCTGCGCTGATCAATGAGCTTGCTATTATCGAGCAAATTGTCCCAGATCTTGAACCGACATTGAAGGAGTACATGAAACGAAAGGATGTGAGAGATGCAATCGATGCCTCGATGGGGGCTGGAGCGGCAGACATTACACTGGTCCCGACTTTGAACATCGGCACTATTCATGGAGGATTGAAAGTCAACGTAATTCCAGGCGATTGCATCTTCGAGGCAGACATTCGCATGCCCATGGGATTGAAAGCCGATCAGGTTATGGAAGTTATAGACGGACTTCTGGAAAGATTCCCAGAGACGACGGTCGAGATCCAGAAAGCTGCAAGCAATCCCGCAGCATTTTGTGCTCACGATCATCCGATGGTAGACATTCTGGCTCGCAATGCGGCAAAGTTCACTGGAAAGAAACCTGTGACAATTCCTTCTCTCGGTGCGACTGATTGCAAGTTCTACCGGTACAAAGATATCCCCGCGTACGTGTATGGGCTTTCCCCTGAGACGATGGCTGCGAGGAATGAATCTGTTTCGGTGGATGAGTTTCTTACTGTGGTAAAGACACATACGTTGGCGGCATGGGAATATCTAGGGGGTTCATAAACAAGACGAATCAATACTTTTGGACAGAACATGATGTAACAGACCGAAACTCCTAAACACTCTATCGCAGCATGCTTGAAGCAGAACTTTTGAATCTCAAAACATATTGGAAAGCCAAATTTCTCCTGAATGAACGCCGAACGCCTGATAAATCAACGGTGACTCCGACATACCGTTCTCCCAGAGCCGTGTCGCTCTCCTGAAGGCGCAGCCGCAATCACCTGTAACATGGGTAGGAATGTCCTCAATTGTACCCGTTTTCATCAAACGCAACAACTTTGCCAAGACACTAAGGCTTTCCTTCTTCTGCAAGCTCACTTGTCCAAATAGTGCATCCCGATTCAGCGGTCGCGTTGAAGAACTCGGTCCCGTTGAGCGGCTGAGTAAAGTTGAGTGAATAGGTAGAGTTGAGCAAGTCAGCTGCCCCAAGGAAGTCAGCCATGCACGGCAACCCCGCAAGAATCTGGCTCTTGAGACCAGCCAGAATCCGAGTTTCATTCTGGGTCTGCATCACTTCCTTTGTCTCCTTTTGTTGCTTTTGACGGTCCGCCTTGTTGACTTTAAGCCAGCCTTCGCATCTACCTTTGTGGGCTTGTGGATGCCGATTTCTAATCCCGTAATGGTCGTCTTCGTCTTGGAAGACAGTATGGTTTCCATGATTCTCACAGAACCATATGTTCGCTTCCTCCTCATTCATGCCCAAGGTGGCGTTCTGAATAAAATCGCAGTCCTTGTTTCGACCTGGGCGCGGTGAACGGTATCCTGCGACGCCGCCTCCCTCGGGCATATGTATGTTAGCTTCGCACCAGACACAGTAATGGGAAAATAGGCTGAGTAGAGCGAAGTTGGCTTGCTGCAAAGATCATTAGTCATGTTTGACTTGTACTGGAGTTTTACGCTCACCCTAGGAATAATGTCGTAGAAGAGCTCGTTGAAGTTAGCATACAACATGCTCGTCGGGTCGGCGTTGGCTGCCTTGAGGAACGCTGCTAGTAACTCGGCGCGGTAGCCGCCACAACTTCCAGGGAATCGAATTTCTTTCAGGTGCTCGGTGTATAAAAGATTGAATGAGGGGTTCAGGTCGTAAGGTCCCAAATGGTCACTGACGCAGACTGGCAGATGAAAGGTCGTAAGATCCCCCGAACCCAGAGCCCATGACATCCAGTCAATTTTATCAATCTCATTTCCATAGAGTTTGTAGTATTCCCACGCTTCTTGAAGCGAGTCCCTAAGCTTGAACCCATATGTATGGTTCTCAAACGTTTCCAGGCTATTGAGTCCCACGAAAGCATTCTCATGCGAGTGGAGATTTGTAGCAGCGTACCAATGAGCAACTTGGCACATAAGTGAAGGATCCTTCTCATAGTCCGGAAAGAATATTGATTTGCGATAAGCTGTCGTCCACCATTGTTCTTTGCGTCCTGGGGTTTCCATTGTGAACTTTTTGTGTTGTTCTGCTTCATGACGATCCGGGAAGTGAAAGCACTTGATATAATTGTTGTCCTCCCCTAGGACCTTGCCAATGGTATGTTTCATGAGATGCTTTTCGAAATTATCCCTTCTCCCCTCTCCATCGTCCAACTTGGCCATGATATCCTTCCAGTGAGCACTTGCCATGACCATAGACCACAACGACGGTCCACCCTGTCCAACAAAAACTCCTTTTGTCGTCAAGTTGAAAAAGTGATCCATTTCTTTTTCCATCTTGTCGAGATTCTTTGGCAAACTTGCGCGCAGTTTTTCTATATTCTTGTCATTGTTGTCCTGTTGGCCGCCTTCGAATCCACCGCAGAGCGAATCATTGTCAATCCCACCGGTAATACGCTCGTCCTCTTCCTCAATATATGCTGCGTCCACGTGAGATTGTGGGTGATCTCGATTGTGTTTCTTATATTCCTGCACCGGCAATGCTTTGACGTAGTTTATGAGTGGGTCCAAAAATTGGTATTGAGGGGACTTGGTGGTATGATGCTTATCATCATCATTTGCAGGCTGTTGCGTGTGCCATTTCGAGTCCTTAGGTGCGATCATTTCGGTATAATCATTTGTTTTCCAGCTTAGAAGATTTCGAGACGCAAGTGAGGATAGGACATTGCCCTCGTACATGAGCGGAGGAATAAAAGAGCTAGCCATTCCAACTGCTGTATTTATCGCCATTTCCACCAAGAAATCGATGAAATCGTGAAGGGTTTTGCAATTGGCCACAGCTTTCTTATCTTGTTGTTGCGTGAAATGTTTGATTATCTTTGGGATCTTACCCTGGATGTTGCGGAATATTATCTGTATATCACTATAGAGTGGTAGGTAGTCAGCGTGCCGCGCTGATGGAGTTGTGGCGCAGGAAAAACTTACCACCCGAATAGCATAGAGCAGTTGGTGAATCTCATGCTGCATTCTGGCAGTGAACCACAGGCGCCGAGCGATTGTCCGATTCTCCAACCCAGGATAGTGCAATAGAACGTGGTCTATGTCATTGGGAATGCCGCAATCCGTGCGGGACAAGCTGCATCTGAAATCGGGATTGTCAAAGAAATCGTCATAGAACGTTGCCCACTCTTCGTATTGTGGGAAGTCTGGTGCTCTCATCATAGAATACGCCGAATACCACTCGAGTACTTTCGATTTGTCAATGTTCTCCTGAGTGAATGCGAAATAGTCCTTGTTTTTGACATGTGGCTCGTTGTCAATCTCTGCCTCGATCTCATGAAAAGGACGGAAGATGGAATTTATGTGAGGCGATGAGGAGTCGTCGGTTTGGTTGAAGAAGACTGTTGAAGAATTTAAGATCGAGGAAAAGCCTGATTTGTCTCAGTTCGATGTCGTAGAATTGCTTTCGATGGTCGAGTTTGGTAGCCTGAACCAATTGGATCTGTAGTCTTGATACCAAGACGTGTGTATAGAGCTTTCTTCTTCGATCGGCGACTCGTCCTTTTGTGGTCTAAATGACCTTTTTGTCTTCCCCTCCGCAGCATTTTGAACCGGTGAGAAGTCACGTTTCAGATGTTGGGAGATATGCAGCAAGTGCTTTCGCCAGATCTTGTACAATGGGATGCCAACGGTTTGGTGATCGGACTTCGCAGTCCCCTGGTCCAACGTATGACTTGTGGAAATCGCTATGTGTCCGTTTCCAAGCATTTTGAAGGAGAATTCAGGGATGTGAGTAGTATTGCGGCTATCAGAGGGGGATTTGCTCTTGTTGCTGCGTCCTGAGATGTGCGCTTCAGCGTTGACATGTCCAGTAGAAAGGTTGCCTTCATGATCGACAGCGTCTCGCTTACTCCATTGAGAAGTGCTGCTGGAAGTCGGGAAGTGGCTGGACTTGGTCGGAGTTGTCGCCATTTTGCGCAGCAAAGACTCAGTGGTAGCGCCGAATCCTTTCATCATCACTAGATGTTCTAACTGAGCACGAGTCATATCAGTGACCTCAGCAAGCTCGATAAAGATGTTATCTAACTGAGTCGCGGCGTCTGGTTCGGACAGACTGTCAGAAGGCGACGAGTTCGATGCAGTGGCAGTGGCTTGTCCTTCTGTCATGGCAAGTGATGGTGTCGGCAAGACTCGTGTAAGAGTTGTCGGAAGCCTTTCATTCATGACGCGAACGAGGAAATTCGATATGGTGGAGTTTGTTGACGGACCCGGGACAACTGTATTGGAATTTCCCGGCGATGTTGTGTGAGAAGTGTGCGTTGGTGATGTCCCGCTGCGAGTTGTAGAGCTTATTGGACCCGAAGACGAGTTGTCATGTGCGATTGCTTGTACTCTTCCCACAAGAACAAGGGGAAGAGCAAAGCGTGCCGCAAACCAAAGTATCTGAGTGGCGAGCGGCCTGGCATCACATCCCTGAGATACCAACAGCAATACAGCAAACACAAAAGGTAAATGGCGTCTCGAAGGCATAGCGAAAGTGTAAGAATGAAAATAAAAACGTCCTACCTCAACGACAGCAGGTTGATAAAGATCTTGCAGAGAAGAATGAGATCAAGGTGGATATGTCAAGTATAAGAACTCTCCGAGCCATTCTCGTGGTGTACATCTAGACGAGGTCATAAATCGTCAAAGGTATGATGTAGTCAAAGGTATGATGTAGTCAAAGGTATGATGTAGAATAACCTCGAGGTTTCTCGTGTTCTAGGCCCATCTTCAGCCCATTTGGGCTTGTTTGAGAATACGGAAGGCAGACATTATCTCAAGCTGAAGAGGATAAGCACAGGCTACCAACATTAGTGCTATCGTGAATGCTGAAAAGCTAAATTAGCTGCGCAGACTGTGAGATAAGGCGGTCGCATAAAACGCGTGGGCAACACAGAATATTTGAGCGAATCAAGAAAGCTTGTTGGTGAAGTCTCCGTATACAGATTCCATTTCGATGCTAACATGATACACGTCAACATGGAATGATTTCATTGGCGTGTAAATCTATGATCTTGACAAAGTGATCATGTAAGAGCAGAGGTCTGCTGCTAAGCCATCTAGCGCCTACAAAGAACAGAGCCGCATGCCCCGTAGCCGAATATTGAAATGCACACTTCAAGTTCATTATTCGACGATTTGAGTGTGGTTTGTTCAGAAAATATTTCAATACTGGTGCAGTACAAAGGGTTCAAACAAACGCGAGAACTGAATGACAGCACCATAAAAGGTTGCTAGCCTCTGGGTCGACCTTTCATTTCGAAATATCGCAGGTGCGAGAAAATGTTGCCGGCATTTCTGTGGGCCCTAACAAAGTCATGCGGATGTCACTTGACCACATCTATCTAGGTAGACATCCAAGCATCCGAACTATCAAGACTTATTTGAACAGGCGCGGTACCGCTTGGTATGCAGGGACACATCTCGTCATTAGCTAAATTGGCCAACAAATAGGTCGCAACCGCATTTCAGTAGACGTGCTCAACTGGGACAGGTTTCACACGATCTTGCTTGGAACGTATGGCATCACATCATCCATCATACATGTAATGCATAGCTTGAAGAACATTCGTTGACCACCGGGTATCTCTGACAGTAGGAGATGTAGCAAATAATGTACAATATCTAGCATAAAACGTACAAAGAACAAATCATACTCAGGCCCAAGATCATCGAGCACCAGAAGCAGACATTGTTCAAGACTCTCTTCCCCTTTACCCACTTTGTGCGCTGAAGCATCACGATGGGAAGCTGGCTCATTTGAGCTAGGAAACCATACCCTCGGATCTTCTTCGTAATGCAGGCCATAACGATTTCGTGACCAATGGCGCTGATGAGAAAGGTAATCAATGTCGCCATGGGACGTCCAATGTGTGGTCGTGAGGCGCTATAGACATGTCGACGGAAGAAGTGATGCACTGGGATGTTCCACTCGCGTGAGAATTCGAGCCAATCGGTAGAGTTCCACCAGTCTGAGTAGAAATGCCTGTCGGCGAAACCTAGGTTATTTTAGTAAATGTATCCCCGTTTCAGAAGCTCAGAATACTTACAGGTGATTTCAGCAAATGCACCGAGAACATACTCGAAGATGACCAGGAAGACGAGAAGAAATGTGATCATGAAGGGAAATAGCAGCAATGAGATGGATTCGGACAAAATGAGTGCTGTCTCCGAGAAAGAGGTCACAGTTTCAAGTCGGCTTGCTGATTCGATCATGACGGGGAGAATGAACTCTTCGGAGGTGACGACTAGGAGGAAGATCACCCCAAAGGTTGCAAGAACTTTATAGCCCAGCTCACTCCATACAATGCCATCCGTTCGAGGATATTCAAGCTCGTAGCAGAGAGTTGGGCAAAATAAAAAGTCCCCGTAATTGTACCATGTCAGATTCTTCGGGTACGTGACCGATCCCAAGGGCGATGTCAATTCAATGGCAAGGTCTTCTCGAAGACGAGCTAGAGCCGTTTTCTCATCTGCCTCTTGTCGTTTTCGGTCTTCTGTTGTTGGGGAGTGTCCAGCGCTGGGATATTGATATGCGGGCTCTCGCGATGCGGTCGAGGGCTCGTCGAGTTCCTGCAATCTCCTCTCCGTCTCACTCAGATGGCCGTTGTAGAAAGCGTACGAATGCATCTTCATAAGAAGAACGATCGTGTGAAGAGTCAAGAAGACTTGCGCAGTCCATGTCCATTCACGTTGAAATGGCAGTCTGTTAATGGTTAGCTTGGAACCACTGCTCAATCAAGAATACTCACTCAACCCAGAAAGCAAACCAGACAGTCTGAAACAGAGCTTGAACCACCATGCCTCCGCCAATCCATCTGAGACCAAGCGACCTGCCCATCTGGCTCCTGAACAGTCTGTGGAGAGGCAAGCTAACGGCTGTGCTGAGGACCATCATACCGTCAGCTAAAGCTAGTTCCCAGACTTTGACTGTGAAAAGCTGCCAGATCTGCACTCTCATCGGATATCCAGTATCTTTTATGTTCCTTAACATGGTTGTGATGATCATAATTGTTAGAGCGATCCAGAACAACACATAAAACCCCTGGAAGTCTCGATAGTCGCTGTTTGGGTCGAAGTGAGAAACTCGGGAGGCATACTCGATCGTTGGAAACAGTCTTCTGCGTTGCTCCGCTCTGAGTTGCTTTCGTGCCGAGGAAATTGATTGAACGGAAGGTGGTGCATCTGCAGGAACAGGAGTTGAGCGGCCACTGCAAAAGTTAGCATAATGGTATACACATTGGAGGAGATCGTACCTGGTCTGCCCTGAGGCGTTACCACTAACAGAAGCATCTTTCGCGCCATCAGGAGCCAACAAACCCTCTTCGCTCAATGTCCGCAGCACTCCAGGATTTCCTGGCTTCACAGCTCGGGGACGGAGAATATGGTCATGGCTGGCGTGGCCATTGCCATTTGGTTGAATCTGCATAGAGGTTGACATTGTCAAATACAGCAGAAGAGTATGTCGAGGTAGAGTTTCGCCACTGATGTAAACACTCGTAATAGCTATAGGTAGCTGGTGTAGAAAGACGCCGAGATGGTATAAAACTTGGACAAGGAAAGGTCGAGATGTTATATATGCGGATTCATAGATACAAGATGAGGGTCTGCCATCGAAATTCACTACATACCAAGACGCTTGTTATGCGACTCAGACGTAGTTGAGTAGAAGGTATGCGAACATTTGTATCTTTCGGAGCCAACTTCGCGCTATCCTGGCTGTGACCTTGACCTTGCATCGGTGATGCTGTTTATTTTGATAGGACCCACATAACTGTGGCGGTGCTTGACCTTTCTGATTGGGTCCTTCTCCTTTAGAAGTTGATCTCTCGATTATTAGGCATCAACATCTAAGCGGCCTCGCGATGTTTGGACACTTTGTGTCTGTTGCATCAAAGTTGCCTATGAAGGATTGTCAACGCACACTTTCAATTTATTTGCACGCAATTCCTTCGAGGTGCTCGTCTTTACCAAAAATTGAGCTGGAAGACGTCAAGAGAAAGGCCCATCGCGGGCCCACAGACCGCTAAGATGAGCTCTTGTCAGGCCTCCACATAACCCCTCCTGCGGAGTTGCGCTGACTCTTTACAGTGAAGCAATTTATACGCAATGTGCGAGCCTCGAAGACGATTGCTGACGAGCGCGCGGTCGTCCAGAAAGAGAGCGCTGCTATCAGAGCAAGCTTCAGAGAAGAGAGCGGGGACTCGAACGTCAGGTACGGCAGGATTACAGTGAGAGCTGTGTCTTCAGCTGACATTTCACCAGACGAAACAATGTAGCCAAGTTATTATACCTCTTTACCCTTGGGGAGCGAACCCATTTCGGCCAAATCGAATGTTTAAAGCTGCTCGCATCACCTCGTTTTGCAGACAAGCGCTTGGGATATCTGGGTACAATGCTACTGCTAGACGAGAATCAGGAGGTTTTGACCTTGGTCACAAACTCTTTAAAGAAGTAGGTATAATTCTATTGACTTCGCAACAACGCTAATGATTGCCTCTGTAGTGACCTCAATCATTCGAATCAATATATTGTCGGCTTAGCTCTATGCACCCTTGGAAATATTGCATCTGTGGAGATGTCCCGAGATCTGTTCCCCGAAATCGAAACCTTACTTTCTACTGCGAACCCATACATCCGACGAAAAGCTGCCCTCTGTGCAATGCGAATATGTCGGAAAGTTCCAGACCTACAAGAACATTTCTTCGATAAGGCAACCACTCTTCTGTCAGATCGTAACCATGGTGTTTTGCTTTGTGGGCTGACGCTGGTGACGAGTCTGTGCGAAGCTGATGAAGTCGAGGGTGGAGAGGAAGGGATTATGGAGAAGTTCAGACCTTTTGTAGGAGGTCTGGTGAGGACGCTGAAGGCACTTTCGAACTCTGGTTACGCTCCCGAACACGATGTGACTGGCATCACCGATCCATTCCTACAAGTCAAGATCCTACAATTGCTGCGAGTTCTTGGTCGAGGAGATCCACAAACAAGTGAGCAGATCAACGATATTCTTGCACAAGTCGCTACAAATACCGACTCGTCAAAGAACGTTGGAAATTCGATTCTCTACGAAGCAGTCCTGACTATCCTGGATATTGAAGCAGACTCCGGCTTGAGGGTTCTTGGTGTTAATATCCTTGGGAAATTTCTCTCAAACCGAGACAACAACATTCGATATGTAGCCTTGAACACTCTGATTAAGGTCGTTGCGGTAGAACCAAATGCGGTACAGAGACATCGAAATACGATTCTGGAATGTTTGAGAGATCCGGATATTAGTATCAGGAGGAGAGCTCTCGACTTGAGCTTCACGCTCATCAATGACAGCAACGTGCGATTATTGATTCGGGAGCTGCTGGCTTTCTTAGAAGTTGCAGACAACGAGTTCAAGCCAATCATGACGAGTCAAATTGGTGTGGCTGCGGATAGATTCTCTCCCAACAAGAGGTGGCACGTTGATACTATGCTGAGAGTCTTATCCTTGGCTGGTAATTATGTCAAAGAACAGATCCTGTCGTCATTCATCAGATTGATTGCTACCACTCCTGAATTGCAAACATATGCTGTCCAGAAGTTATACATTGGTTTGAAGAAAGACATCACGCAAGAAAGTCTCACCCTGGCTGGTGCTTGGTGTATTGGAGAATATGGTGATGCACTTCTTCGCGGTGGACAGTATGAGGAAGAGGAACTGGTTCAAGAAGTCAAGGAGAACGAAGTTGTGGACTTGTTCTCGTTAATTTTGAACAGCAGTTATGCAACTCAAATCGCAACGGAATATATCATCACATCTCTCATGAAGCTTACCACGCGTTTCCATGATCCAGCACAAATCGACAGAATTAGACGAATCTTATCGAGTAACTCGGCTAGTCTCGATGTCGAGGTTCAGCAACGAGCAGTCGAGTATGGAAATTTATTCGGATACGATGCAATCAGAAGAGGAGTTCTTGAGAAGATGCCACCTCCGCAGATCAAGGAAGAGTCGCGAGTGTTAGGCGAGGCTGCGAAGAAGCCAAACAAGGCCGCGAACCGAAAGTCAAAGAATGTCAAACCTGCTGAACAAGATCTTCTATTCGACCTCATGGGAGATGGAAATATGCCAAGTGCAGATCTTAATGCCAATAATTCTCAAAACAACACAGACTTGTTGGCCGACATCCTCGGTGGAAGCACTCTGCCAGCGTCGACATCACCACCGGCTCAACAACAATCCAACGTGAGCTCGATCATGGATCTCTTCGATTCTTCTGGACCATCTCAAACTACGAACAACGCACCTGCTGCTGCTATGTTCTCAGGCATGTCTTCGCCACCTCCCCAGCCTGCGGCTCCTAGCATCCCCACCAATCCTTGCTACGACAAAAACGACCTTAATATCACCATCCAAATCCAACGCAATGCAGAAGGCACTGTCCAAGTCATGGCAAGATTCAGGAACACATCCATGCACCAGTCAATATCCAGCATCGCACTTCAAGCTGCCGTGCCGAAGACGCAAAAACTTCAATTGAATGCAATGTCAAACCCAGATTTAGGACCAGGAGCTGAGGCCACCCAGTCAATGCGTATCACTGGGACGAAAGGGGTAAGTTGTCAATTAGATCCCTGATGAGAGATACTAACGGAAGTTTAGCCCCCGCTTCGGTTGCGTCTGAAAATAGCCTATGCCCATCCATCTGTGGGTCAAGTAATGGATCAGGTAGATTGGTCGGAGCCGAGATAAGCAAAAAATACTGTGTAGACTACGCATTGCATAGCATTAGTCGGACGTTGAACATGAAGGGCAATCGCTCACACCGAGTGACTTTTTTAACACTCATTGCCCCTGAGAATTGCTCATCAAGTTATACAACGAAGTCCTGAGTAGGGCTGTCACTTTGCTCAAAAGTCTGCAAGCCTGGTATTATGCTAGGGGCACAATTATCGAATTGTGCTGAAAATGGCATATTAGTGGTTCAACAAACGCCGTCTGCTTCTCCTTTCCATTTATTCACTGCCTCATCATTCATGCATCCTGGCTCTTCTCATCCATCTTATATGACTTCCTGAATTTGCCCCTGATATGTTCTTCCACCGTGATGGCGTTGAGAGAAACACTACCATCAAGTGGTGATATCGTTGTGGCAAGATTCCCATGATAGAAAAATGGGATGCTGTATCGATCCGTCTTCCCGACATCCACGACGCGATGCACTGTACTTCTGTAATGCCCCTTGGTCCATCTGTGCAGCAAGTCACCAACGTTCACCACATATCGATCTGCTGTTGATGGGATTGGAATCCAGGTGTTTGTTAATGGACTCAGAACTTCAAGCCCTTCGGATCCTGGCTGTTGGAGAAGAAGTGTGATGCAACCAAAGTCCGTGTGTGATCCAGCTATTTCTGATAAGCACATATCCTCCTCTCTTGTACAAGGCATCAACTCACCTCCGAGTCTGCTTTTCGATTCATTAGGCGGGTAATGTAGCAATTTCAGGTTAGCAACTGGCTGTTTCATGAATTCGTTGAAGACATCAGGGCCGTAGGGCAAGCCGAGAGCAAGAATAGTCATGATTGTCTCAGCGAGATGAAGTAACTTTTGACGATATGCCATGATGGGAATTCGGTATTTGTTTTCAGGTAGATTGGGCCACATATTCGGACCTTGGAGAAATTTGCCTGCTCTAGGATTATATGGCGGTACTTCTTCGCCGATGTATATTCCCTGCAGAATGCATTCCAGTCAGTCGGTCTGTGACCCCTGTCCACCACTACATGTCCATTGGCAGTTATATTTTAGAAGCAGAGAGATACTAACCTCTTTCGCATCCGGCAGCTTCCCCTCCTCCAACACCTGGCCACCAATAGCTTCATACCCCCTTCCGCACTCACTCATCGCATTCTTCATGCTCAGCTTCACTTTCTCCTCGACGGGGAGATCGAAAAACATTTTCGCACATGATAAAGCTTGTTGTTGGTCTCCAAGTGGAATTCCGTGACCAACGAGCTGGAAGAATCCATATTGGATGCAGGCGTCTCGAATTACTTCAACGACTTTTCGTTGCTCAAGGACGGAGGCAGTGGGAGAGATGTAAGGACCGATATCGATAACCGGAATGGAGTTCTGAATTGGTGCCATGGTTGACGCTGAATCGGGAGATCAAGTTGTTTGTGGTTGGACCAGAGAGAGTGTTCAGAGATATGCTCTGAGCTTCTCTACCTCGAAAATGCAAATTGGTTTGCGATTTCATCCGATTGTCATGTGTAATACAAGGTGGCCAGACGTAGCAGTGCCGATTAAGGTTGTCCTTGGAAGTCTGTGTCTAGATTCTGCTCGTGACGAAGGCTTCTGGCAGTCTGAGGACTCATAGGAGAGGAATATGCCAATGATCCTTCTTCGATGCATTCATTCGAGATACAAATAAGCCTTATCAGTGAAGATGGACCCAACAAATTAGTGAAGTCACTCGAAATGGAAAGGTCAAAGGTGGGGGTGTCGATCCCGATTGAGCCGCATGGTTGTATGTTCCAGGAGACGGACATATAGAATTTTGTTCAAGACTACGAAGAACCCATCGTGAAGAAAAGTGCGTACCATTTTCAGTAATGCGGGGTAATTACAGGGTAGTAAATACTCTGATATGTCTGCAAGAAAAGTACCAACTGGTGACACAGTCTCGGATGATACGACGGCGGTAAGTCTAGCAATAAAAGCAAAGGAAACAAGTCACAGGAAGACAGGCATCAGTATCCATGATTCGAGAACGAGGTGGTGACAAATCCTTGCTGAATATTGTACAGCAACCTATCCTAATTTCAATAATTTCCCCATATTCAAAACCACTTCTCAAGCGTGCTCTCCTTATTGTCCTCTTTCTCCAATTGAGCAATCTGCCTCTTCAAAACATCAGCTTTGAATTTCCTGAACGCTGACTCTACTCTCGCTTTCCTCTCTGGATCACCTGTAATCGTCCTCTTCGCACTGTAGCCACCCAACAACAAGCCAGTTTCACCACCAACAAACAAACCTCCTGCACTAAAGAAGAAGTACGTTGCGATATCTCCAGCTGTAGATGGCTTGAGCATCGGAGTCAGGTCCGGTAAAGCCTCTGCCACGTGATCGAATCAGTAACTCATTCTCAGTGATGAAGAAAGTCCAGCACCAACGAAAACAGAATGAAGTAAAGATTACATACCAGTCCGACCGTTAGCAAACTGCACGTGAGTAGGCTTCTCTATAGCCCTAAACGCTTTGAAGTAATCCGTCCGAACCTTCCTCACTCTAAACGCCATGGCAGCTCCCAATCCAAGACCAAGTAATGATCCAATCGTTGTATATGTCGAAAAAGTTCCAGAAGCGCTCTTCAAGGCATCTCGGTCGGATTGGGTGAGGTCATGTTGAATGTGTTGTTCGGCCAGGTCGGATATCTCTTTGCCGGCATTTCTACGCAGCAAGGCGAGGGAGTCGGTGGACATTTTAAAAGTTGATTTGAGGGGAATTAGACTAGATAATGAGTGATCTCGAAGTTGAGTACGGATTAAATGGAGTCAGAGGCTGCGTCTTTTCAATATCAGATGTTTGGCACGGAAGAATCTCGAACTAATGACGTCGGCGCTTCAAGGCTTGGCGACGGCGAGCTGCTCCGGGCGCTGCTCCGGGCGCTGCTCCGGGCCTCTCACATTGGATGCTTTTGATCCACGTGACTGCAACTCGAGCTTCAACGCTGTTGAAGAGGAGGAGAAAGCCGAAGCTGAGAAGAAAGAAAATACGAATTTGATGGTACTGTATCTATGTTAAGTTTCTGTGATGTTTGTTTTGCAGAAATTGATGCAAGTGTGACTTTCACTTTTGGCTCTCCACCTCACCTTCAGACTCCTTTGCACTCAAACCTTTTCAAGAATGTTGATTTACCTCTGGCATTTTAATCGGTTGTCTCTTGAAGATCAGGATACTTTCTCCAAGTACTACTTGAACTTTTGATCGCTCGTTTTAGTATCTGGCATAGTGGTTCTTGCTGCAGATTAGAATCGTCAACTTTGAGAAGCAGATTTCAGAGTTGAGGCGGTATGAACGATTAGCCCCGTTGCGACCTGCAACAAAACTTTTGAGAGTGTTCACGTGAATTGATTTGCAAGGACCAGTTCAGAGTTTTGGACATTTGGGCAAGTGTTGGCTGACTCGACTTATTGATCTCAAGCATTGAGGAAGCAGGAGGGATGATTATGATACCAACGAAAGATATACAGTTCTATATTCATACGGATCTAAACCTTAATTTGTAGCAAATGGTGTGTTGTGCCTTGTGTGTGTGCCATGTAATCGAAGGATCACCGGATCACATCTTTTGATTCTCTTGCATATACAGGAACACCGTCTAAAATACTGCCATTTATGCTTCCAAGAGAGTAGTTCGAGATAAGCTATAATCTTCAATAATCTCCTCGCTTGACATGATGCATTCTGCTCAATATCCGCTACATGGAGAAGAAAATGACTTGAAATTGCTCGCAAGAAGCAGCGCGAGAGGAGCGAAGTAAGACTCCTCTGCAGGCACAAGGGGAAGTAAATAACTGTATGGTAAGGCTAAGCTAGTACCAAAGTAACTCAAATCGCTAAAGGTGTAATAAATTTAAATATGCCTTTTTTATGCCATCCGGATCCAGACGATGTTGCATATCATGGGGCCAACATTAAAATCGTCTGGTGGATCACGCCATCGCGACGGCCAGACTACACACCCTCTGGTGCCCCAATAGTAGATAGTCATAATTGGCTTTCTTTTGTCATTTTATTCTAATAATTTTGTTCTTTTTGCAGCTTGCTCACCAATTTTTTTGCTTTATTTTTATACTTCGCTTCGGGGACTCGCTTAGTTCAGGGACAATGTTGGACATCGCTTTTGATTCATTCAAGGTTGCGACTCAAGAAAGAGGTCTATTTAAGGAAAGAGCGCAGTTCATTGTTGATGCCCGATCAGAATGCTCCATGCTGTCAGTCAAGTCCTCCGCAGAGCCTTGGCGAGTAAGCTTACTAGCATAGGCAACCTTTGTCCTGTCTCTCAATAACACCCCTCAAGAATCCAGGATGCAGGTGAATGAGTAGCAGAGTGAAAATATGAGTCAATGACATCCTTCAGCACAAATAGCATAAGCTCCTCGCGCCATCTATGTCACCATCTACACCTTCCATCCGCGCTCAATACTTCCGCAACTTATACAAGTTCACCTTCTCAAATTGCTTCGATTCCTCATTCCACACGTTATTCGCAGCCCAAGCCTCATTTCCAGTAACAGGCGGTTGAGGGACGAAGTCGGCTCGCTTGAAGTAGGGAGTGAAGACGATCGGCTTATTGTAATCGGGAGGTGGAGGACCACTGTTGACTTGTGGTGCTTTTTGCGGAGCAGATTTGGCATTCTTCGAAGGGGCCGGAACCTTGCGAACACGATTCTGGCCAGGGTCGCGGACACGATCACCATATAGTTGCCCAAAGATAGGCTCCTCTACGGGACTGTCTGAAGAAGATGATGAGGAGGAGGAGGAAGAAGAGGTTGTGCGCTTTCCTATCTTACGACGCTTTGCGGGACGTTGGGTTGGTGGCGACTCGACATATTCCTCCGACTCAGGCGAACTTGACGTTGAAGCTGAACTTTGCTCGGTGTCTTCAGGGCTCTTCTCGTCGTCGGCTTCTTCGCCATCTTCAACATCTCCCTCTTCAACGTCTTCATCTTTAATATCACCAGCTTCCACGCCATCCTCACCATCAGAACTGCGTGGTCCTAAAGATTGATTCGAGAGTGGAGATATGGTCGGGGGAGTGATGGAAGCATTTGCTGCACGATCTCCTGGGCGAATTCTTGCTGACCATCTTGGCTGAGGAGTCAAACCGGCTCCGGGAGAAAGAGATTTGAGGGTGGGCGTGGCTGGTTCTGAAGATGAACTCTTTGAATTTTCGCTGTCTTCAACTCGATCTCGAGCACCGCCTCGCCGAGTGCGGAGAGGCATGATGATTAGATTAACTGAGACAGGCCGATTGCTCAAAGCTACTGAGTCGACTTTGTAAGTTGTTTGTTGAAGTATCGGGAGATTTGTGGAGTGTTTGCGCAAAGAGATGGACCGGGATGGACGAGAGAGTCCTCGCTTAAAAGCTCGTCTAAGAGCGCAAACATGGAAGGAACAGCGTTTAGGTGAAAACCTTGTTTGTCGCAATGTTGCTATTGAATAATATCAATATATACACATTATGTGCTGAGGAAGAGTACCAGATGGTTGGACGAATCTTCAGAGATAGCAAGGAGGTATTTCTGAACTAAATTCAGCCGAGGCTATCTCAGCAATCCCTTGAATGTTCAACATCACTTAGGTTCTTTTAGGTATTGAAAGTACAGACATGACCTTTGATTTCTTTGAGACGAAACTAACCTGTTACGATGAAAATGAGTGGTGTCACGTTCTACCTTTGGCACCTTCAATCAGCTTAACAGCACTTTCACAATTGACAACAGACCAACCCAGCCAGAGAGGTTGAGTGCAGCGCGCTAGTAGAGCGAGCAAAACACAATCCATAAACCGCAGAACATCAAAGCTGACCACATTCAGCATGCCAGGCCACCAGTGTGCCACCAACTCGTTTTCATCATTTGAATGATGTCCCGGAGAGTAGACGGGCCGTGTTTTTATACTGATTTCAATGCAAGTTCTTACATCCCTGCCCGTAGCCTCATTTCAGTAAGTTTTGATTCACTACTGAGAATAATGAAAAGTGTTTCTGTGCGTTGAGTCATTACAAGTTTTAATATTTCTGCCACACACAGCACAACCTCAGTAGGATTCGTTCTTACGGGGAAAATCAAGGCAGCTAAGGCAACAAGATTAAGACGAGTTCACTTTGTTTTAAAGAGGTTAACTTAACCTCTTTAGTTCCTCAGGATTACCTCGGCGTTGACTATAAAAAAAAGCTATCTACAGCTGTTAAGATGACTCTGCTAGTACAACTAATAGCTACGAGAGATACAAGAGAGATAGTGGCATGATCGTCACATGGCTTCACTATGTAGCGATCGTTTTCATGGACACTTAGAGACAGCTCTCTCAGTTGTGACTGATGTTGAAGACGCTGACAAGATGACAGTAGAATGAATGTTGACAACAAGTCAATATTTAACAGGAAGTGAGAGCACCAGCTCAGAAAACTGTTAAGTAAGACGGGAAGTTGTTTCGCGGAGACAAGGAAACGTACTTCCAGCTTTGCAGGAATAGTTCGGAATTCGAAAGCACTCTGTTGTTCTGATATTGGTGTTGTAGAGGGATGGGGAGAGCAGAGACAAGTCTATTGTATTATTTATATGATATAGGAGAGGAATAGTTATGCTTCCGTCCCAAGATATTCACTATACCGTAGCCTTGTGCGTAGAACCAAGGCGCTCTGGAAATTGCAATTTGTGAATCGCCATTCTGAATTCACCTTTCTTTCATAGCCCGGGCGGAAAAAGAAAAGGTAAGGTCCGGGGGTATAAATAAACTGGTGGGGACGGAGAAACTTGAACTTCCGTGCCGACCAAGAGATTAAAGACCTAGGCGTCTGGGACCACTGGAAGAACAGGTCGTGGAGAGGAGGACACCAGGAAGCTATACGTGTGATGGAGATACCATAGCCAAAGAGAAGTTATAGCAAGATGTACTTCCACCTTAGAATACGTATAATTGTTGTTAAGTCCATTGCTGCTGTCAATAATCCTCAGCCATTCATTGAAAGAACTGCTATAAAAACACTTTCTGTTCAGACCAAGTTCCAACATAAAATCGAATGTTAAAATCTTCTTGTCAGCTCCAACACGACGACCGTATCAAGCTACCAACCCGCATCCATAGCTCAGAGCGTCCCATTTGTTGATAAGGAAAAGAGACAGCGGACTTTATATATCTAGCCTGGCGCCTTACGTTGTAGTGGTGAAAATTCAAAATCACTATTCCCAAGAATCAGGTCGCCCTGTTCCTCTCGTGGAATTCACTATGCCCTTCGTGAACTCAGAACACGCGTGTCCGAGTATATAAAGTCCCCCGGCTACGTCCTGTGGAGCAAAAATTGCCTACATTCGGATACTAGGCCAACATGCCAGATTATGGAGAAAGTCTGACGGTGCGAACGTATCGGAACTTGGAAAGGACCCTCTAAATTGAAAGAGTCGTCCCCTTCTTGGAGCTAGACACAAATTCCAAGATCCTGCTTACGTGATCATATTTTTGAAATAAATTGGTTGGGCCCAGTGGTTGAGCTTGAGACGACAGCGCTTTATCTATTGGCAATAATAGGAAGTTTGATAAGCTACTGTTCCTCAAAAACAACAAGGGTTTCAAATGATAGTAAACAGGAATTTTGGAAGAATCCGGCATCAAACTTTACGATGATAACCATTGTGATCACTACTCAAGAATCACAGAGACCTGGGTGCACAACACCTGGGTATCGATTTCACAATCATTGTTGTCTTGCTACAAAGAAATTTCTCCAGGAAGGGGAAAGCGTCCTTTTTATAGCCAGGATCGGTCCGTTGCTCACAGCTAATCCGACATCCAAGGCAAAGGGTGAATGCTAAGTTCACCAGGAGGAAGTAAGTAGCACTGCTCCGTTACTCACGAGTACTCCGACATCCGAAACATAGTGAATGCCAAGTTCACCCAGGAAGAAACAACTAGCACCTGTCCGTTACTCCCGAGCAACCCGACATCCTTAACATGGGGGTGAATGTTAATTTCAATAAGCAAGAATCCACCATCAGTCGTCCATCACTCACAAGCAATCCGAAATCCAAGGCACAAAAGCATAAAGGAGCTACTACTTGTCCGTTACTCACAAATGATTCGACATCTAAAGCATCAGGGTGCATGAAAAATGTAGCAAGCAGAGAGCTACCACAATTTGTTAGTTGCTCACAGATGATCTGACACCGAAAGCAGCATGTGCATACAAAATGTGAAAATCAGAAAGGAACCATATCTTGTCCGTTTCTCACTAACGATTCAACATCCAAAACACTAGCGCGCATGCAAAATGTAACAAGCAAAAAGGTCCAACCACTTGTTTGTTATTTACAAGTGATCCGACGTCTCAGGCATACGGGTGAATGCAATTACCAAAATACTGCTTCTGGCACAGCCTTACGCAGTGAACAATAGTCACAACACAAAGCGCACTTCCCCAACTTTTACAACCTACTGATTCACTTGTTTACAGCGGCACTGACCCACACTCTATATCAACCCCGAAAACCCGTCCACCGTCCAACAGCTCTCTCCTTAAAATCTATATAAACCCCGACCGCCCGAAGTTTCTCCGGATTCTTTAGCAATATTCGAGCGCCAAAAGAAGATCCTCAGTGGGAGGTGCCAGGTGCAGGTGTTATGGAGAGGAGAGGACTTTTCATGTTGGTAAATAGGTTGGCAAATATTCTGAGGTGGTAGTAAAGTAATGTTATCGACTAATGGGTGTTGCCAACTAGTGGCTGTTGTCAACTAGTGGCTATTGCTAATTAATAGCTGTTGTTAATTGATTATTGTTGTCGACTTCTTGTTGTTGTTTGAATTTCTTGTTGTCGTGTTGAGCACCTTGTTGTCGACTTTTTGTTTTGCTTCATCATCGAGTTTTGTTTGTTGCATGTCGCATTTCTTGCAGTGTTCAATACTCGACCATGAGCAGTCTCATGGCTCTTGTACTCATACCTCGTCGTCCCTCAGGCGTGGAGAGACAGTTGGTGATGCTATTCCGAAGTTTTGATTTTGATTTTAGTCGTCGCCATGTACCTCGCTATCGCTCCAGAAACTTCTGAATTTTGGACTTGTTGTTTGAGGAAAGAGCACTTCGAGTTGGGTGAGCTCCTTCTCTCGCAAAAGGGATAGAAAGAGACTAAGCCGTTTGGAATTTGTTGCGGGGAACAACTCATGCAATGTGAAGATTGGCAATAGATCAGAAGTTGACAATAACCAACATAACACTAAAATGACCGACAGCTTCATCTAGAATCAGCATAGGACAACTTTCGCAAATCACATTTTAATGAGCTTGGTCAAAGACACTGTACGCCGGGCACCCCAGCTTTCGACCTGAAGCACGAGGAAGACGTCAAGTGGGATTTTATGGGGGTAGTATTTGTCTTTCGTGTTTGTTTTATAGACTTTTCTAAGACGATGAACGAAGAGAGGCTTTTTATAGACTGGCGTCATCGCTCGATTAAGTGTATTCACTGAATCCTAAGACCTCGGACATGACGTTGTAGAAGTGAATACTACTGCCGAAAAGCAAAGCAAGTTGATAATTAAGAGACTGCTCGGCTTGTAACAGATTCACTGTTGAATTGCCACCTCAAATTCCCTGACTCGATCTTCTAGCTCTGAGAAGTTGGATATAAAAGTAACTGCTTGCACCTGGAAGAGACAACACGTTGAAGAACTAAATGAGGAGGGCAGTCCCAAGTTCTGGTGTTGCGCCGGAAGCATCGAAACGAAAGTCCAGCCTCTGTGATTCTCTACATCTAATTATAATTTTCTCAAAGCGTGCCAACTTTACAACTAAAATTTTACAGCTAAAAAGGTTTACATAGTACTGAGTTCGAACTCAACGATTGACAGCATAACGAGACTTGACAACAACAATAAACAAGTAAATCAAACGACTCCTTCTTCATCTAACAAACGCGACCTGGGAGCCTCATCCCAACTCACCTCACGTGCATGCCCCGTGCCAAAATCAGCCCGACCCAGCAAAAGCCACACATGACCCCGCACCTCGACAAACTGCCCAGCTGCACTGCAGCTCACCACCACATGAACCCCTGCCGTTCACCTCAAGTTGCCTGCAAGCAAGCGCCGCGCTGACAGCCTGTCGTTCCCATCGGGAATGTGCTGAGCTGCAGGAGTATGTTTTGGATTGATTCAACGTTCTGGTGATTAGGTACTTACTGAAGAGTAAGTAAGTTTTGGCGGGGGAAGTAGGGATCCACTACACGAGTGGGAGGCCGTGACCCCCGTTCTGTCTCACTACCGATGCTGTGGGGGCACAGTTGCGATGAGAGGAAGAAGGAAAGGGATGGATGGATGAGGATATTGTAGAAGTCGGAGGGAGTATTGATCGGAGCTGAGCATCTAAGGTTACGAGGGAAGAGATACTTACTGTAGGCACTGAAACAGACCGCCAAACCGCATGTACTAGACTTGAAGTACATGCATTTGCAGCTGAACAACGGGGTTGAAGCGTGAAAGTGGAGTTGGCCTAGTGGGGTAGAGGATGATCCCGCGTATGGCGACCACAGCTGGTATGATCTCCCGTTGCTAGTAGCTTTCACTTAAGGGATGGCTTCTTACTGTATTGAATACTGTCGTAGGGATGCGAGGCAGATTTTCTTCTTTCTCTCGATGTGACTGAGCAATGAGCTATCCAGCCCCAGGTGAAGAATAGAGTAAAAGATCAGCAAGTGCTCGGCTGTACCCATCTTTAGTCCTCTAGCCGCGAGGGCATGCGATTTGATAGACTACTGTACCAGCTCGTCAGCAGCGGATGAATCTCAAAAAGAAGCTTACTGTACAGAAGAAGGTCTTTCCCGCGGTAACCCATCCCATTCCATGCAGCCCGTCCAATCACCCCCAGTGTGTCAGACGAGATGTTCACCGCTGGCTGAAACAAGACCCAGATTTCGCCCGATTGGCGCGTCGCAGTGATGGAGCTGCAGGTGCCGCTGTTGCCCGCGCCCCCATTTCACATACGGTACCTTCTCGTCAATATATATTAAATCTCGAACCGCGATATTTTTACTCGGGTTGGAGTGACTGAAGAAATAGAGTTTCACGGGCGGTTAGAAGAGAGCGTGAAGGGATAATCATGGCCGTGCAGCAGCAGTGACGAGAAAAGCAACGAGGAAAACGTGGTGGTGGTGGTCTCATGCACGCTGAAGAATCTAGTACAGCGGTTTTTTTTCTTACTGGTGCAGCAGGGCCAATCAAAGGTTTGGTCTGCGAAGCTATGTTTGAAGAGTTGTGAATGGATATCAAACGTCGCTCTTCAAAAGTGGATTCGTGCCCAGTGAATCGAGGACAGCAAAGTGCTTTTCATACTCTTTGTTGTACTGAACCTTGATACTGGGCATTCCGTCATTGGTATCGAGGTATCGAGAGATCTCCGAAACGGCGACTTTTGAGCCATCCATCCCATCATCAATTCTGTGCCTTTCGATAGTGAGGTTCCTACAACGCCGTAGATATTGCTAGTATCGTGGATTGCATTCGACGGTGTGCGCTGACACCTCCTACCTGCGTTCGGTCTCTTCAATTCCACGGGCGTGGCTGAATCGATTCCCATTGAATATTCCACTCGACCCAGAGCGTAATAAGCTGTTGACCCAGCTCCGACGACTATTGAGTCTTCACTTCTCCTGCCTTATACTTTCTGGGCGTCTCAAAGTCAACCTTTCATTCCCATTCAAGTTCAAGGCTTCTCCCTGGCCAGGCTGTACACTTAATAATCTTCCGGAAAGACGAACGCCGTCGCCTCGGATCCTTTGGGGAACTATTGTATTTGCTGCGGCGGCACAAGGCTGGCTTTCGAAGCCTGTTTCCTGGGAAGAAGTGCCCGACATCCTCGAGGGAGGGAAGGACGAACGAATTCATTTAATACTCTGAGACTCGGAGTGCCTCGTATTATTGCCCGCGCCCTGCTGCTTCTGTCTTCTCCATCTTTTCATCTCGAAGCCCCATCATCTCACCCACCTCGAGGCTGCAGGCATTCTGGTCAGAGCTGGAACACGGCGTTGCAGGAGAGCAAAGCAATAGTTCACCGCCTCGTCTATTGTTGTTGTTGTTTGCCTCTTCGACGACCACTCAGCACCGCGGTCACTATCTACCGTTCGCCCATCCTGGTTTGGCCTGGCCTGGCTCAGATTCTGGCTATCACGGCAGACTTCGACTCCAATACCGACCGACGGTTGTGGTGTTGTTGTGCAGGTCCCAATCGAACATTTCCTTCGGCCTGGTTCTTACTCGGAGCCGGAGAAGCCATTCTCAACTTACGATAATTCATTCCATTTTGCTTCTTTCCCGGGGGCAGTGACCATATTAAAGAGATCTGCAGTCAGAAAGAAAGATAGACAGAGAGGCGAAAAGATTTGTCAAGAAGAATTGTCGCGTCTTTTTTTTGCCATTGCCATTGCCATTGCCATTGCCATTGCCACTGCTGACGGAAGCACGACTGCGGCCTGCCTAGATTGATTGATTCTCACCACCAACCGTACAGGAAGGCCGGCCTGACTCGCTGGTTCGAAAAGCTACAGCGCAGGACAACGCAAGCCGGACTGATTCGAGACAAGCTCAGCGGATTACAGCGCATCATAGCATAGCACATCACGATCCCTCGCAGGGTTGGATCGTACAGTACATCGTCGCGTACGATTTGGTGGCCGTTGGCCTCTTCGTCAGGACCTGGACCTGCACTTGGGCTGCATTTCTGGACTCTGGTGGCCCGTTCAGGTCGACATTTGTGCACTCTGGTGGCCTGTTCAGTCAAATCACCTTCTTCTGTTGTGGCTGTTGATGCCCCATCGTCATCGTCATTGTCGTCCGAAGTCGAGCGAGCGTGTTTGATTCCCACATCATTCATCCGACACATACATCATTTATCATCCAGTTGCCCTGTTCTGGACGTGGTCGCCTGCCGTGACCAATTTTTCATCAGTGCATTGTCGTGGCTAAGGTACGATTCCTCACTCATCCTCACTCATAGATACGCCTTCTCTCTTTCCGCCATCCAGGATCGCTTCGGTCGCCAGACTCGCGTACGGCACCCGCACCAGGCTCCTTCGGGATTGGTCCGTGACCTCATCAAATCAGCCACTTTTGGCCTGCACCTTGCAGAATCCGCTAATCCGCATCTTCCCTCTGGCTCGGCTCTGGCTCTGGCTCTGGCTCAGGCTTGTCCCTCGCTCCCTCGCTCCCGCTCTTGGCCTCGTCGCTGGTACCACCGTCGACCACGCCCATCGACCACCACCACATCAACACAGCCAACCAACTACTTAGGACGCCCACTGACACCGACACTCCACCACTCACCATTGCTCACCATCGCTCACGCCCTCTTTGCACCAGGACAAGACGACGAGTATCCACCGTCGCTCTCCCACCATCCACATCTTCTCCTGTCCTGAACCTGACCTGACAAGGAAGGCCGTCTGCTATTCATTGGAGAGAGAGAGAGAGAGAGAGACATCTACCCCATCCCTCCCGACACTCCCCTCGAGCAGAGCAGAGCAACGCACCTTTACCTTACACCTCAACCCCCCCTTCCCCAATCCAGGAACATCACCATACTCGTCTCGTTTTGGTCCCATCCTCTCTTCACCACTCACTCCCTCGCTCTCCTCTCGCCGTCTCTCGCCAACACTCCTCGCTCTCTCTGCCGCGGTGCGCGATAAAACTGTAACGTGCTTTGCTTCTACTTCTGCTTTCTGCAGTCTTCGATAGCACTGCCTACTTCTAGTCATTCCTTCATACACAATAAGACATCGCTCTGGCACACGCAGCACATTACATTCACCACACCACCTTTCGTCATTGTTACTGTTACGATGCAATAGACTCCTGTGAGCCTCGCAGACGACGAGCTACCACTATCACAAACATACGCCCTTTCGACAACTTGGCCACTCAGCTGACACCCCGTCTTCCATAATCATGAACTCGACATTACCTCCCGACCCATACAAGTTACTCGGTGTTGCCAAAGATGCCAAGCTCCCAGAGATCCGGAGTGCGCATCGAAAGCTGGTCCTGAAGTGCCATCCGGATAAGGTCCAAGACGCGGCTCTGAAGGCGGTCAAACAAGATGAGTTCCAAAAGGTACAACAGGCGTACGAGATCCTCAGCGACGACTCGAAGCGACAACAATACGACAATGAGGTCAAGTTGTTTGAGCTGAGGAAAGAGATGGGACGAGGGAATCCAACTCCAAGAAGTAATCCTTTCGAGTACGAGGTCAAGACCGCAGAGCCTCGCGCGAACTCATATGCCCGTGCGGCCCCCAAAGTCTACACCTACCCTACAGCCGTGCCGAGGTCGCATGAGGACTTGTACGAGGAACCTATCAGACATACACCCAAGAAGTCATCGAGTTATGAGTCGGCTACGGATCGGGATCGAAGGCGACCGACGGCACGGGAAGATGATCGTGTGAGGGAAGCTGCGTTGAGGAAACTCGCTGAAGAGGAGAGATTACGAGAAGAAAGGTTACGAGACGATAGGAGACGAGCAGAGAAGAAGAGAGAGAAGGACGCCCGTGATCGAACACATACTGATAAGACGAAGTCGAGGGAAAAGGAGAGGAAGAGTCGTGGAGAGGAGAAGACTCGTACCCGTCAACCCTACTTCGAGGATGATTCTTCGGATGAAGAGTCCTACCGAGAACGAGCGGCGAGAGCTGCAAAGAAGGAAGAGAAGAGACGAGCGGCAGAAGAAGACGCAAGATTCCACGCGGAGCAAGCTGCTGCCATGCGAGCCGCTGCAGACGCTGCCCGTGCTGAACAACTTCGTGCTGCTGAAGCCGCTCAACGACCCACGATCAAGGAAGCGCCTATGGATCCGAAATGGAGCGACCATCGAGACTTCGCCGGAGCATACATGATGGCTGCGCGCCGGAAGGTCGCAGTCGAGCCTGAAGATGATCGTCATCATGCTCCCCATGCTCCTCATCCTCCTGCTCCAGGTCTACGAAGAGCTGAGACATCGTTCAATCCTCCATCCCAATATCAAGTTCGATATGCCACGGCTCAACAATACAGTGATGATGATAGTCCAAGACGATCGTCTGGTTACAAGGACCCAAGAAGATCCTCGGATACACCTCCCTCGAAACGAGAGAAGTCAAGACGAAGATCGCCTGAACATCCTCAAGATCCATATATCAACATTGTTGAGCCACCTTCTCCGGGTCTACCTCCAAAGAAGCCGTCCCTCAAAACTTATTCATCAGAACCTCCCATGGTGTCGTCGAGAAAAGAGCCCAGTCGATCGAAAACTCAAGACTATCCTCGACAAGATCCTAATCCACCTCCTCTCCCCCGAGCTCAGACCTTTAATGGTGATACGAGAGAACGAGGTCGGGATCATGGTAGCAGTAGGTTGAGAAAAGAATATGCGTCGGCTGAATCCGACTCGGATGCTCCTGGGTATCCTTCACCTCGACTCTCTCACAGTCCTCGTCGAACTGTCCCGGAGCCAACGGTATATCGTGTACAAGATTCACGTGCTCATCCCGTTCCCTCTCGAAGTCATCGCTCAGACCTTCATGGTCTGAATGAGCCTTCTTATGCACGTGAGCGAAGTACATCTCCTCGTGGAACTCCACATCGACCTCCTATGTCACGAAATCCTCCCAGTGGCGAGTATCGTACTTCTCCTAGTGCATATTACTCTGTCCCGGAAGCTCCACCCACGAAACCGCATATCGTGACCGCGCGACCCAAGATGCCGAGGGAGGGAAGTGGACGAAGTCACAGTCACAGAGCAGCACCGAATGCATCTTATGAACAAGTCAAGTATGCACCTACATATGATCAATCACAAGTCAAATTTGCAGATTATGCTGCAGCAAGCCTGTATGATTCCAACCGGAGACCCAGCGATCATCGAGAATACTATGCTCGCCCTAGAGGAGAACCCATCTACACTTGATCCTGATTGGCAACCTTTCGCCTTTCTACCACAACTCAACCAGGAAAACGACTATGCTCGTTGAATTCCTGAGATTTTAATGAAATCGCGCTTGAAGTGCGCACAGGGGGAGCTTTCCATCTTCGATTCTTGTAACAGATTACGAAAACCATGATACAGTAACGAGATTCTTTCCTTTTATCTCTCAGACTGTTTCTGAGGGATTTTCTTTGCGATGGACCTTTTTCATACCTTTTCACCAACAGAACACAACGAAACGAAGCGAGATGACGATAACAACGACAGAGATCTGCATTGCATGTATACATGGCTCGGAGTGATGGGTTCCTTTTAGACGGTCTTTTTTATCGCAGAGCGAGCAGAGCTGGTCAAGTCGGTCGTTTATATGCAGGTGCATCGTTCGTTTGGTTTGTTTTCTGGATTCGTTGTTGTATTTTACATACGCTCACACTCCTTCATTCGTTGTGGATGGGGAGGGAACCGTTGAGCCGGAGGTTGGCATAGTCTTTTTATGGAGTTGGGGATTGTGCTTTTAGTGAGAGGGGAATGGCAATGAGAAGTGGCGCCAAGATTGATAGGAGAGGAGAAGAAGATGAGGTGTGGGGAGAGACGAAGAAGAAGAGAAGACTTGATACGATTGATGATGGCATGGCATGATACGATCTTGATGAGCAAACAGAACACAGCACAGCACAGCAAGCAGTGCAATACCGCACTTGCATCTGAAATGGAGTTATTTTCTCTCTTCTGATCTTGATCTTGATTGTTTCATGACTGCTATTGTTTTCCTGCCTTTGACTTGCCTTCTACTCTAATTGGATCGGATCTAGTGATTCTGATACTCCTAGTTGGATGAGATTAAGTGATTGTTCGCCACCTAACGGCACATTCACTTCAATTTGAATCTCCGTCTCAAGCGAGAACAACCAAACACACCTATCCTCAGCCTTCACCTCCCCGAGAAACTCGAAGAGCAAGAAAATAGAAATTCAATTGAGTTCTCACCTCATATTCGCCATCAAAGCTTTCTTTCCCTCCCTTTCCCCGGAATCCTCGGCGCCGCGAATTCGCCGCCGCCAGTGGTGTGGCTATGCTACGTTACCTACTTTATCCATATTAGCTTTGGATATGAAACGAAAGAAAAGCAGAGCTAGCGATGCGATGCGATAGGATTGGCAATTGCGGATGTAAACATATATCGCAAACTGTACCGATCTCGTTCCCGGAACTGTCAAGCAACGAGTGGGCTCTGTCTGGGTTTGTGAAAAGTCCGGATTACAGTTATAAATACTCTTACCAGTGGGAACATCATCGCTAGCGGGGAGCATTATGATGGCAGTCCTGAAAGTCTGGGCATAAATTGGAGTACCAAGGCAACGAACGAGGAGATTCATATGATGGAAGGAAGGAAGCTGGAGCGTATGAACAATCTCGGTGAATACAAACTGACTGCCGGACATGATAGACAACGCGTCGGGGAAAAAAAAGGATCCGCCGTGAGCTCTACCACCGAGAGTCCGGTATCAAGGAAGTCGTTCATCACATGGGAGCCAAGGTCGTGGGCATCTATTTATGGAGTTCGTCTGCTCGAGACCAACAAGCAGATCATGCAAGAAGCCGCCAAGATTGTGTATGGAGAGAAGAAAATTGTATTTGATGCTCGAGCAGGAAGCTGACCATTCGTTAGATGAGAAGCTTAGCATGCGAATGATGTCTTTAACTACAGGTACTAAGACCTTATCCCTTCTCTTAGGTCAGTGGGGAGGCGAAGAGCCAGAGACGCGGAATCGTTCGACAGAATAATTATACGAACGATGTTCGAGGGGCATAGCACCCTCGACCGCGACATCCCACGTCCTTCAACCGAGACCCGGTGACGATGTTCTTTCGTCGTATCGGGCTCTTCAATGCCTCGAATATTCGAAAGGTACGTGTCGAAGGTTTTGTTGAAAATCATTGGGGGCCAGAATATTCGTAGGGACGAAAAGTTGCCCACCGAGCTTCAGGCTCGCATGATGCCGATTTACACCGCTATTGTTCGAAACGTCTGCCGAGATCTTAAGCTTTTGAGCATATTCTACGAGGAATCTAATCAAGAAGGGGCGGGCCAGATGCCCATCGTTCACGGAGGGTTTGCGAAGAGCTGCATGGGTGGAGTGGTTGAAGATATTGTCCAGAGCTTGCCGCTGCTCCAGGAATCGCGGCTCGAGAACAAGCGTCGGCAGAGGATCAGCGGGGATGATGAGTATCGTGAGGTGACGCTTTGGTCAGATGTAGCTTGTGAGGAGGTCTTGGTATCTGAGAGATCTCGGGAGCGGAAGGATGACCTGGATGTCAAGGGTGCTCTAGGAAAGGGGAAGAAAGTTGGAGTATCCATCACTTCTAGAGACAGCAGTCAACTTTGAGCGTGTTTGTTATGGAATTGTGGTGGCTTCATTGTGATTCAGATGTGTTTCGTGGTGCCCCAGAGTCTTTGAAGTTGGTGAACTGCATCCTGAGAGGCTGAGACTGCGCAGCCCTTTGGTGAGGAAATCTATGTATGAAGACTTCGAGAGATACTTCTCTACTAATTGTGAGAATGAGAAGGAAATGTGTTTGTGGGTTTTGTTTTTTTGGGTTCTTCTCGTCCACTTTCCGTCCACTTGTCTTGCAAACGACATTCGCAGGAGAGAACATACGCAAGCAGTGGAGCCTCATTACCCTTGTCAATGCTTGTTTTTGTGCTTTCAGCCGCTAATCTTGGAATCCATGAGCAAGATGTCCATGGAGCTTGTTCTTGTTTATGATCTTCAAAAATGTTTCAACCTCATCGAAGTGGACGGCGTCCACTTCATCTCCGATGAAAGTTCATCCCTTCTTTGGTATTCTTTGGCACAAGAATTGAAGCAAGATCTGTGTGGTCGAGATCTATGCAGCTATTCGGCTAAGATGGAATCATTGCCACGACATGTGGGTTGTTTCTTCTCCACCGAAGACGTCTCAAGGACAAAAAAGAAGATCACACTAAGCATCAAGAACAGTACTGTACAATGTTAACGATCTATAAAACACTCGATCCCAAGACATGAATGTCCTCGTTTTCACTCACCTTCGTTTCTGTTTACTTTATATTCTTTTCTGATTTCAGTCTTTCTCTCATCATGCGATCCACAATTAAAGTCTTAGCAAAGGCCTTCGTGATCACATTTGCAGTTGCTCAAAACACAACCGCATCAACAAATACCACGACCGCCGCCGAAGGCATCCTCTCTTCTGGAGATGTCGATCTCGGAACTTGGACAGATGCATATGCTAAAGCAGTGGCACTTATAGCAGAACTTACTAACGAAGAGAAAATTACCATCATCACTGGAGGATCGGTGACTTCGGTCAATTGGACTGCACTCGAATTCAAGGACGGAACGCAGAGCGTCCAAGGTTAGTTTGTAATTCTGCTTTTGTGTAATACATCGCTAACAAAAGCAGGCTACGACTATGTGACAGGTTTCAGCGAAGCTTCGACTCTGTCTATGACATGGGACAAGACTTTGATGTACAACCAACTCAAAGCTGTAGCTCTCGAATTCTACGGAAAAGGGTTTCAAGTCACAAATGGACCTACTTCCCAACCCCTCGGACGGACTCCTTGGGGTGGACGGCTTGTCGAGACGCTCGGCCAAGATCCTTACCTAAATGGTATTGCATTCGGAATCGGAGCGAAGGCATTTTCTGACGCCGGAATCGTCGCTGGTGGCAAGCATTTCTTGCTCAATGAGCAAGAGACAAATCGTCAGGCTTCTGGCTCTGATAGTGATGTTGCTCCTTACTCTAGTGTGGCTGATGATAAGACTCTGCACGAGACGTACCTCTGGTCAGTTCCTAGTTTTCAGCATCCTGACGATCCACTAATCTTGAAAGGTCCTTCTACGACGGCGTGAAGAATGGTCTTGGAGCCGTAATGTGCGCCATGACGAAGGTTAATGGAACCCTTTCTTGTGAAAATGAAGACCTTCTTCAAGGACTTCTGAAAACGGAGCTTGGGTTCCCTGGCCTTGTATTTCCTGATGTTGGTGGGCAAACCACAGCATTCGGATCTGCCAATGGCGGACTCGACTACGGTTCCTCAAGCTACTGGACAAATGCGACACTCCAAGCAGGCATCAACAATGGATCCTTCACCCAGGCCCGCCTCGATGACATGGCTGTCCGAAACGTTATCGGATACTTCAAGGTCGGACTTGATAACGGCACTCAACCAGCCTATGTTGACGCAGATGCATACGTCGATGTTCGTGCCAATCATAGCACGATTGTTCGAACTAATGGCGCTGCTTCCCTCATTCTTCTGAAGAACACCAACAGTGCATTACCGTTGAGCAAGCCGAAGTCCATGGCTCTCTTCGGGTCACATGCTGGACCAATCATGGCTGGTCCCAATTATATATTCTCTGTCCAGGGTTCTGGGCCAACATATGCAGGTCACTTGGCAGGCGGTTCTGGTTCTGGACAGACCAGTTTCCCTTACCTCATCACCCCACAACAATCTCTAACCAACAAAGCCTCTTTGGATGGAACGATGATTCGATGGATCTTGAACAACACTTATACCAGCACCACCACGGGTGGCTTTGGTGGTGGTACCGCGCCAAGTGGAAATTCAACCACTTCCACCTTAGCCAAGCGTGCTGGAGGAGCCGCCATCGCTGGTCTCAGTGGCGGAACCTCGCTCTCACAAAATATCCCTGACTACGCTACTGGAGCTGAAGTCTGCATGGTATTCATCAACGCATTGTCGGGTGAAGGAGCCGATCGGACTGAGCTGAGAAATACTGAGCAAGATGACCTCGTCTCATCTGTGGCAGAGAATTGCAACAACACAATAGTAGTTGTTAACACTGTCGGTGCCCGTATCCTGGATGCATGGATCGAGAATGAGAATGTCACGGCAGTGGTTTATGGTGGTCTCCTTGGGCAAGAATCAGGCAACTCTCTGGTTGACGTCCTTTATGGAGGTGTGAACCCAAGCGGTCGACTTCCTCACACCATTGCTAAGAACGAGAGCGATTACAATGTTGGAATCTGCGAGACGGCTGTTTGCAACTTCACGGAAGGCAATTACATCGATTACAGATATTTCGACAAGTACAATGTCACCCCGAGATACGAGTTCGGATACGGTCTGTCATACACCACATTCGATTACTCTGGCTTGAGTGTGAACATCACAAATTCGACAGCTCTCGCTTCAACCTACCCCACTGGCATATTAGCTGTCGGTGGGAAGACCGATCTCTGGGACGAAGTAATCAGCGCTTCTGTTACTGTCACCAACAATGGTACTCTAGACGGTAGCGAGGTCTCTCAGCTTTACGTTGCTTACCCCGATGCTGCTGATCAACCGGTCAGGCAGCTCAGAGGATTTGAGAAGACTTTGATTACTAGTGGCTCTAGTGCTACAGTCACATTTAATGTCAGGAGGAGGGATATCAGTATGTGGGATGTTCAGGCTCAGGATTGGGCTGTTGTCGGTGGTGATTATGTTTTCAGTGTTGGTGCTAGCTCGCGGGATTTGAGAGTTTCGCAAACGGTCACTGTTGGTGCTTAAGGGGGCTATGAACTCTATCATATTCTTGTATATATTTTATCTATTCTTTGACTCTAGGTCTTTGCTTCTCGGTTCCGACTTCCCATATTTGGATTGAGACAGGACATCATAGCCGATGAGATTCAGTCCCGGCATGCCGAGACATCTCGGTTTCACATTCCCCGAACCACATCTGCTCAAGCGGCTGCTGCTCGAAGTTCAACTTCCCGATTTCATCAAAGCCGTAATCGTGACATCCGTGAATAGACTGCTAGGTGAATCTCGTTAGGCAGACTAGGTTGACTTACGGCTGCTCGTCGCGAGATTATTTTCCCCAGCTGACAGCGAAAATCAAGAATATATTGAAGGTTGCAACGGAATCTTCATCATAATCGTACGTGTCGATCTCAGAAAATGAGACATGACGTCGAAGGAGCACCTACTTCTCATGGCTTCGAAAACCTCCACCGCCATCAACCAGTCGGAATGCATCCCAGACATCCGTCTTTGTTCTGGATGCAAAAAGTAAGTAGATGCGCAGCAAACGTATCAGCCCGTGGGTATTCTCCGTGATCTCGATCCGTAGGCGCTGAGACATGGCTTCGGTGAGTGAAGTATGTGGGAAAGCGGGAAGCGAGGAGTTAAGCGAGTCCACAGGGGAGAGCTAGTGCGAGAAACATTCGCGCAGGAGCATTGGACTTCGCTACCAAGACCCAACCACTCATCGTCGTGCAATGCCCCAGCCAGATAAATACTCTATCGTTGCTGTGTCCGGTTCAGTACAAGGGTACGCCTTTCTTCATCATACCAATTCCATGCTAGCCGAAGCTTCTTACTAAATCTATGCTTCATAGACTCGATGGAGAAAGCGTCAATGAAATAGCCACGAGAGTTCTCGACAATGACGAGTTCACACTTCAGCGAATTGAAGATTTCTTGAACGACAGAGAACAACCAGTTATCTCGATGCAGTCTCAAGACAATGTCGAAACCTGTGACCGAACTAGACGATTGGAAGCTGTCCTGGACGATTTCGATACAGTCTTTGCTGGCTTGGATGCAAAGATATGAGGTCGTTTGAGGACGACTTCAAGATGATTAGGGGAAGGCTTTGAGAGCTACGGTTGAGTAACGAGTATGGATACTGTGCCATCAGAAGATGATACCATGAGTTGAAGAATAGAGCATCAGGATTTTAGAGCAAGAACTTGTAATCAAGACATTGACGAGAACTTCATTGTCGCTCAACTGTCAATGCGTCAGGAGTGTCATTTCATACACTAGGTGGAGGACTTCCACCGGAAACAGAGAGAAGTGAATTTGATTCACGTTCAATTATAGATCACTGTGATCTGTCTAGTTCTATGAAGCACAGCCAATGATCGCGAGTGCGAAGCAAGCAAATATAGATTGCCATAGGTAACCTGACGCCAACGCTGTGCTGAAAAGCAAATTTCATCTCTTCATATCCTCGACATTTAAAATCAACACTCTGCCAAAGGTTTCCTCGCACTGATCAAGTCCTCAGATCCACGACCGAGAACTCCATGCCATCAGCCTCAAACACGTGACCAGGCTTTAAAGCATCCGTGTAAATGTTATCCTCGCTGTGTGGATGAAAGAGACCAGTGTTGCGACACTTAGCTACAGCTTGCTTGCCAGGAGGATCGGTCAATCGGAAGACACCCCATCTGATTGATATTAGCAGAACACATCACAAAGGCAATGAAGATTACTTACGAGGGATTCTTGCTGGGTGCACAGACGATCGCAATACTCTCCTTCATCATCATTTGATAAGCACAGTGGGTATGAAGATCCACACTACTCATGAAGCAGGACTGAGTAGGGTGGGTGTGTATCCAGCCGAGTTGCAATAAGTCTTCCTTCTCGCAGTAGCCGAAGAACGCAGCATCATCGGTTGTTTCACAAGTATCGCTTGTGCTCTTTTGATCAGGTATGACGACTTGAGAGATGAAAAGAGCATTAGAGATCAATGTTCCACATAGCATACCACACGTCTCCAGGTTCCGCCGCGTATTTGGTTCTGCATATTTCAAGAATTCCTGACGGATGCCTTGTGGTAGGAACACTGTTCTAAGAGGTTCGCCATTCTCCAAATATGCTGATGGACGGAAAGTGAAGGTGGGAGGTGCTTTTGGACTCGCCGCCTCTGCCGGAGGTAGGGCTGGAACTGCTTTCTCAGGACGAGGTGGTGGCACGTCACCCATCTGGTCTTGGAAGCGTTCCTTTGGTGGCGGCGTCGGAGGAGTGTACTCTGGCACTTGAGAAATATTTCGTGACTCAGGTGTCTCGCCATAACTGTATGGTTGGGATCTGTTGATAGAGGGATATCTGTATTGAGTCCCACTTCTTGGAACTATCGGAAGTGGTCGAGGCCGTGTATTCCTGCTCCTGACTCCATCGGGGACAATATCATGTGCTCCATCCATTCGCCGCCGTGAAGCCTCCATATTCCTGCGAACCTCGTCCTCGTCTTGTGTAGAACTGTCTTTCGAAAGAGCGGCTTCCCAATCATCCCATATTCCAGCTGTACGTCTCTCGTGTTCCTCTTCTTCGGACACTCCAACTTGGCGAGGTCCTCTTCTTGCAGCGTCTCGTCTTCGAATTTCCTTATGTGCCAACTTCACCGCAAGTTCACTATTCTCTGCAGCCGCTAAGGTTGTGGTATTTCCTGCCACAGCCGGATCTGAGGCCGCTGGAAATTCTGTTTGTGACTCCGCGCGTGACCTTTCGTATGACAACGCCATACTTGCATCCCTCCGCCGTTCCAGCGCTCGTTCCCAGGCATCGTATCTCGCCGTAATTCGAGGCTTGAGAGCTGTCAAAGCATCAAGAACTCCTGGCAGTGTCTTGTTCAAGTCTTTGATCCCTTTGCGGTATTCCGGATCCTTTGCAGAAGGATGGAGGGGAAGTTTCTCTGCCACCAGAGCAGCATATCTCATCAATAACAGGTATGCTTGTTGGTCGTTCTCTTCCTGCTCGTAGATGTGCGCCTTGCAGAGTCAGCCAACTGTTCCGCCTTTCACTTGGATATTCAGCATACCTCTCTTAACAAAGTATCAGCAGTCCGCAGCCAGTATTTCATCGCTATAAACTGATTGAATTCGAAGTCCTGGGCTTTTGCCGCGATCTCCTTGATGTTCATCGGTCTCGCGATCTGCCCCGCCATGATTGCGCATTCGAGTTTGTTCCTCAAGTTCTTCGCTGTATTAATTCTCTCAATTGTGTAAGCCGTGAATGGCAAGCAGTGGCAGCTTAAGTTAATCTGCCCATCGAAACCGCGTCAGAAGTCAAATGCGCCATCCGCAGATGGTCGAATTCCTGTTGCCTGTAAGTTCAGTCGCATGCCATCTCTGAAACCTTGAAGGACAAATTGTCGGGGGTAAGTGGCAGAATTACGGTCGACGAAAGAGCGCGCTTGCGTTATAACATCAGCCTCGTCGCCTTGTCGAAATTTTGTTCCAGCCTCATCGACCAACCCCTTTTCGACCTCCCCCGTTCTCTCGACATAGATTCGAATCATAATTAATCCTCATTGATGTTCAGGATCGTTGCTTCGAAGAGATTAGCATTGCTAAGATCTACTTATCGATCTTCCTTCAGACCATTTCACCATAGCGCTGTGCGAACGAGAAGCCCATCCTCAGCAACCGCCTATTCAGAACTGCCTGGTCTTGATGACCATAGGAAGCTTCACCTATCGGAAGATGCAATTGGTATTGGAGACTCCGCCGCCGTGTCTGCGGCGAGCGTAGCTGATCTGAGCTCTGTTGAAAATGGGCCTAAATCCGGGAGAGTTGCAAAACGGACAGCAACACAAAGCAAAGCGGCCACCACTAAGACCAAAACCAAAGGGAAAACAAAAGCGGCCAGCAAGGTTGAAGCCGGCACAGCATCTGTCTCTCCGAAACGAAAACCTAGGAGTAGGAAGACCGTGAACAATCAACAGAATTCAATTGAGAATCAAAAGGAGTCCAGTACTCTGTTTGGGGATACCAGGAAGCCTGAGAATCTCCAGAAGCATCTCGCCAGACAGTACAGCACATTAAAAAAGAGGGTCCAATCAAAACGAATGAACGTTGTCAGCCGGAGTCTGTGTGGTGAGTCTTGCCAAGCATTTTCCTACAGCCGCTAATATTGGGCAGATGATATTATCGAACGCTTAAAGCCTTCCCTCGAGCAATACAAAGGATGTGATATCATCGATATTAATCCAGGGGCTGGTGTCTGGTCTTCGAAGCTGCACGATCATCTCAAGCCTCGAAGCCACATTATGATGGAACCCGACGATGCCGTATATGCACCCTTTCTGCAACCACTTGTAGACAAACCGAACTCCACCTACAAATTGGTACCAAAATCCGGGATCATATGGACGCAGCTGGAGAAGATTCTCACGGAGGAGTACCTGCCACAGCAAAAAAAGTTGTCTTCAAGTGACCCTGAACTGTCTCGGGCGAATACGTCTCTTCTGGTTATTGGCAATCTAGGAGTGACCCCAAGAAAACCCTACAAAGGATTTGGTTCCCTAGCACAGCTCACTTTGTATCAATTCTTGAGTGCTATGAAAGCTCACTCATTATTTCACCAATACGGATTGATACGAATGCTATTGTGGGTAAACGACGAAGAAAAGAGCACCGTACTTTCCCGCAGCGTTCGTCAAAGGAGCAAAGCTACTATCGAGATGGAAATAGCTTGTCCTCAATCTGCTGAGATTGCTTCCTCAACATCCAGGCTCCCTGAAGCCTACCAGAGAGAGCCTTCCATCGACTTCGAAGGCTTACGACAAGTACTAGAACGAATGAAGAAGAATGGCATTAAAACTCCTCCTGGGCGTGAAAGTATAATGATGGATGAGCTAGCCCAGGGCACATCTGTGGAGACAATACGAAAATTTAGAGAACGCCCAAACCAAGTCGCTAAGCTAGAAGAAATGCGACGAGGTGGTGTTGACGTAACCTCTTCAGGTAAACTTTCAGGCACAGAAGACAGCAACTTGAACAAGTATAGGTACATTGCTTCAAGCCTAAAATCCTTTCATAGAAAGAGGGCTGCTATGCGAGAACTTGTCGAGGAACACAACGAGATTATGGCCTTGGCGAAGGACCTTCACAACAGACCTTCATCAAAGGAAACCGATTCGACGAGAGACAATTACCTGCAGCGCCACGCGGCATGGCGACAGCGTGTCTCGACCGAAATCGGCTTGAAGAGCAACGCCGAACTACAGCTTTGGCTAGATAACTGGCATTGCTTTCACGAGCAGTATCTGATCTGGGATCGTCGAGAATTCGAGCCACTGCGTGTACGTGCCGATGAGTTTTATCCCCAGAAAGAAATGGCACTATTCGATCTGTGGCCCGAGACCCAATCGCCTATTCTCCGAGAGAATTATCCCGAGAACGATGAAATACTAGAGTTTATCATTGCTCAGCTCTACCTCACTCCGACCCAGAGTGTACAAAAAGGGCTCGGTTCACTTTGGCCTGGTGCTTTCGAATGGTTGAGCGAGCATTGTCCTTCGATCAAAGATCCAACCAAAGGAGGTTGGCCAGATCTCAATGAGATGAATATTCGGCGATTGTCCAGTGACATGTTTCTGGAGATCCTCGAAGCTTGGGTCGAATGGCCCTGGAGACCAACCAGATGGGATATCATGCATAAGTTGGGGTCCGAGCAGTTCGACCCAGCAGCTGCTGAACGAGACGAATGAGATTGTGTGGCACCCTGTATTCACATGTGTATAATGTAGATAGAAGTCTCACGGAGAGGCATGTACCAGTCCAGTGATGTATAATTATGAGTTACGAGACTGGATCACTTCTTTTGGTCGTCACCTTCTGACCTCGAGATGTCACCAGCACATCGTGAGCAATAAAATTACCAATCAAACTGACGGATACACAATGAATCTCTTATGTTCGTAAGTTTTACAACTGCTGGACTTTGCTGACACCAGAAGATCCTAGGCATCAAGCGCTCTGACATCCATTTATTGTCAGAAAGTCGGACACGTCCTATACAGTCTCTTTGGAGCACCCAGTTCATTCAGAGGTGGGCTACGAAAAGTTCTGTGCCCGTGTCAGACAGATGTCAGATGCAAAACGAAAGAGCACGAGATACATCCCCTTGGGCGATGTTTATCTCCCCTCCTTACGGATTATCGGCATGGAGATTTTTCGGTGGCACGAGTAGCATAATCTCTCATTTTGCTTACCACCCAATATTTCACTTTGGACAAACCATGACTGGAGGTGACGTCCGATGAAGGTCAGTAATATTGCTGAGGCTGAAGCCACGAGGATCTGTGCAAGGTTCTCCCTATAAGATCCCGCCAGTGACATGCTTATGCATGTTCGCGCCTGCTGCCAGGTCCCTTTGCAGGATCTGTTCCGGTCACTCCCCGAACCCTATCATCACAGATTTCCAGCATCTCTCTTGCAGGCTCTCGAGAAAGGCCCAGCAATTGCGAGTTACTTGCATTGCCATTCTGACTGCATCGCTACCACAGTTCATAGACACGGGTTTTCGGGCCAGTATTCAGAAGCCCCTTTCACAATCTACATTCTTGTCAGACACGTAGTAAACATGTCCGAACTTGGAAGAGAAGCTACTTACGTAGTACCAATTATCAAGCTTTGCCATAGCTTCCTTTGTATTTATAATTAGCTCTGAGTGCAACGAAGCTCACCGCCCTACTCGACAAGTCCAAGCAGACAATTTCCTTAGCAGTTCCTGCCTTCAATGAATGTTATCAAATGATGGTAGGGGCTGCTGTAGGTGCTGGGCGCAGTTCGTTCCCACGGTACCATCTTACCAAACTTTGACCCTCGCAATGATCCTAAAAAAGAGCTGAAGCATATAGGCTACAGCGGCTCCATCATATCCAGAGAATATCTTCCGTGGCATTGGTATTTGCAGATTCTGGTGGCTTTTCGAGGCGTACATCCCTTTTGCTGTTAATAGCCAGTAATGATTAATGCCCGCTCAAAACTGCTATTCCGAGTTCACACCATCCATCATTCGTATTATCGTTTTCCCGTCAAGTGGCATCAGATGATGAGGTTCGTGCCACCTTCTTCAGACTCCAGACGATGGTCTATGCTCGTTTGGAGGCGATTTCGGCACCGCCTCAAGTACGAAAAGCTCAGGCGGTGTTATCGTCACCGAGCCTGATCATTTCTCCAGCATGCTTTGCCCTTTCGTCGATACCAATCACATTCTCTCTCTTTCTGTGGGTTGCAAGTGCGATAACGGCAGAGGTACAATCGATTCTAGACCTTGTTGATTGATACCGCAATGGTAATAGCGGTTCGGTCTCGTTCTCCTTTGCCCTCAAAATCCCTACCGGTGTCCCTGTATTGAAGCTGGTCTTTGACACTCTTGGTGTATTCTACACTCGAGGCCGGAAGAAGCGGCCTAGTAACCCGTACGCTTTTCAACACACCAAGATCAATGCAAGAGGGGGTAATCCGTCTTGCAAAGCATTTCATGGCTACAAGAGGAAGGATTCCCGATGCAGCTCAGTATTGTGTGCAAAGGAAGGGCCGTCACACTTCTAAATCGAAATTCATGAGCCATTTTGTCAGGGGCCAGTCAGGGCAGACGGGATGAGTGCGGGCTTACTTGGTGATGATCACGGTGTGAATCTTAGTGATGACTATCCTGTTCCTCTATATATTGGACCAAAATGCTCTGATCTTTGTCTTCCTTTCTTCACTTCCTTCAAACACTTTCTACCAAATATACCGGATCAAGAATGAAGTATTTATGTGTACTCGCATGGCTATCAGCCACACTTGCTGCTACAGTCACTTACAACTGGGACATCAATTGGGTAGAGGCAGCGCCTGATGGGTTTAAAAGACCTGTTATTGGTAAGTTGACCATACTGCATCAAGTATAACAGATATCTGATGTTGTCGACAGGTATCAATGGACAATGGCCATGCCCAACCATTGAAGCAAATCTAGGCGATACTATTATTGTCCATGTGTACAATGGCCTTGTGAATGAAACAACTGGTATTCATTTCCATGGCCAGACACAGACTGGTACTGGTACCATGGATGGTCCTTCTGGAGTCAACCAATGTTCGATTCCTCCCGGTGGAACATTCACGTATAACTTTACGGTATGTATCACGTTCAAGTTGTAATCATTCATGCTGATACTCCTAGGCCAATCCGGCAGGAAGCTTCTGGTACCACAGCCATAACAAAGGGCAGTATCCAGACGGTCTTCGGGGTCCATTGATCATTCATGACCCGAAAGACGTATATGCAGGGTCATATGATGAAGAGTTGACTCTTACTCTTTCCGAGTAATATCCCGCGACCCCAACTTCGCTCGAGAAGATTACTGATGGCGTAAAGTTGGTATTACAAGCAGATGCCAGTGATGCTGCCGCTGTATCTCAACCCAGATAACTCCGCAGGTGTTGAACCAGCACCAAACTCAACCCTTGTGAATGATTCGCAAAATATAACTTTCGCCATCACACCTGGAAAGACTTACAGGCTCCGGGTTATCAGCGTTGGGAACTTTGTGGGACAGATCTTCGAGGTAGAAGACCACGAGATGACCATCATTGCCGTGGATTCTGTTCCAGTCCATCAAGCATCTACAAGCAGCATTTATGTCTCGGTTGGTCAGCGATTCGATGTGCTCTTCACGGCCAAACCAACAGCAACCAAAAACTACTTCTTCATATCAAGTATCGATCAATCAATGATCGGCGGGGACTTCGAAATAACTTATCCTAATGCGTATGGGTATCTTGTTTATAATCCCAAACCTCCTTTGCCTGCGGTATATCAACCTACCTTCTCATGGATCGATGACTTTACCCTCGTTCCATACGATAACGAACCGATCTTGGGCACGGTGGACCATCAAATAGTCATCAACATGAATTTTACGAATGATGCTTATGATATCAACAGGTAGTATGCTCTCCCGTTTTCCTAAGCATGAGTTAATTTAAGCTAGGGCTGTCATCAATGGTCAAACCTACGTTACCCAAATAGTTCCAAGCTTATACACGGTCTTATCGGCTCCAGCAGTAGATGTCATGAATCCCCTTATTTATGGAAATGGTTCAAATCCATTCGTTGTTCAATATGACCAAGTGTAAAGACTCAGCCTCAGATCAACAAAGGAAGTGTTAACAAGAAATTCACAGTGTCGAAATAGTCATAAATAATTATGACACAGGAAGTCATCCGTGGTATATGCACGGTCACCAATTCCAAGTGGTCTATCGTGGTGCAATGGACACTCCGTTCTGGGATGGAACTCAACCAGTATCAGCTATCCCAGTTCGTCGAGATGTGGTTATGGTGAACACGATGGCATCCGCTGTGTGGCGCTTCAAAGCCAACAACCCAGGAGTATTCCTGATTCATTGGTAGGTTCTGCTAGTCGTAGATCTCGACAGAATAGACTAACATCCAACAGTCACATTGAATGGCACGTTGAAGCTGGTCTTCAAGCAACTCTATTTGAAGCTCCAGATCATCTCCAGGGTGCCTTGACTATTCCCGCGGATCATCTGAAGGTTTGTAAGACGGACAATACACCGACTGTTGGCAACGCAGCAGGTAACTCGAAGAACTGGTTGGATCTTGCTGGCGCCCCAGTAGTTGCTCCGAGATATGATTATGGGTACGTTTTCCTCCCTTTTATGGGTGTCTTGATCCGAACTGATACTAGAATCATAGTTCATTGGTCACTCCGCCGGCAACTGCAAAGATGCTTAGATCAAGAGCTGATATGCGTGCGCGACAAGAGATGTCTTCGTGGCCATGAATCGGAAAGTCGAGAGTCTAGCCACACTTTCTTAATTTCACATTGTGGCGTTTGACTCGCTTTTCTCACAGTTAGCTGGCAAACATCTTCTTTCCTGTTTGATTTTGATGTCATCCAGAAATTTGGTTGTCTCTCATCCTTGGCATGTTGGCTTCTGCCTTTCCTATCTTGCCAATCGGGTCATTCTTCCTTATGAACACGATGTAACAATGCCTTTAGAAAGATTACAGTTGTTCTCGAAAATGTCCAATTCAGGTGGAATCATCGATCAAAACCTTACGTATCCCACTTTATCGGTACTTCGGCAGCCGAAACGCTCTTTAACCTCTATTTAGCCACCTCGAATCTATTTTCCGTTCCCTTCCGATAAGCCCCTGATGATCATTTGCCTTGAATGGCCCCACCGTCAAGAGAAATCTTTATATACATCACATAACCGTACTCCCGGCTTGGGATTGATATTGAATTGGGCCATTCTTGCGGAAGTCCGTCCCATGGTATACCTGCCATCATCCTCCCACACACTCGTTTTTTTCTGAACAGTTTGTATTACTATTTTCTCTCTCAATTGAGCTCGCACTCCTTTGTAGCTCGGTATCTCTCATTGGATATCCGTTTCAGTTTCAACTGCTATGTTAGCAGCAATTTTCTTTTTATTCTAGACAGTCCCAATTTTAACGCGACAATGCGGTGGACTTTGGTCTCATTGGCAGCATCTCTCGCTCTTTCGAGTGCCTCGTCTTATGTCGACGGCACTCCCTTAGCTGGCATTATTGCTGGATCCGAGGCCATTTCCGGGTTCGCTGCGCTCAACACTTCCAATGATACGCACTTAGATCTCCTTCGGCGACAGAACGATGGCAGATGTGGGGCAAGCTTCAACAACCAGAACTGCGGCACGAGTGCTTGCTGCAGCCAATTTGAATACTGTGGAGTTGGGGATTACTACTGCTCAGCTATCCAGAACTGTAAGATCTTATTTCCGTTCAAACAATGCGTGGAGATGTCAGGTTATCTGCTATCATGTAGCAGCCCCGGAGGTCTTTCTTTCTGTAAATGACACTAAACTTTACCTTGTTCTACAAGTCTCTTTTCTGAGGCCGAAGAAGGTGTCCCATGAAAATTTCGGAGCTGGGAGCCTTTCCAGGAAGTGAGACGTGACAGAAAGAAAGACGTTGTTTGTTTCATTCTGAGAACTCCTCTGGGATCTAGGGGCTGTCAAAGCAACATCAGCAAAGCTAATTTGTTTTCCAGGTCAGCCGCAATTCGGGTACTGCGGTGATTCACCGCCGCCATCTTCGTCGGCCCCTCCAACTCCAACCACCTCATCGGTTATTAGCATCCCTCCTCCACCTCCTACCACTTCATCAGTGATTAGTCTTCCTCCGCCCCCTCCGTCCTCAACGCCGACGCCTACTACTTCATCCTCAATTTTCAGCACCACAACTTCCCGGTCCTCGTCTGTGATTGTTCCCACGTCCAGCACCGTTTCACCACCACTTCCATCTTCCACTCTGGTCTCCACCAATGGAATGTGTGGTAACATCACCACTTGTGCCGGTTCAAACTTCGGACCCTGCTGTAGTCAGTTTTGGTATTGCGGAAGCTCCACTGATTACTGTAGCTTTGGATGTAACCCGCTATTTGGATCTTGCTCTGGAGTAGTGCTGCCAACAACTTCATCAATCATACCTCCAATCAGCTCCTCAACCATTCCAGTCGTTTCCAGCTATACTCTGCTTCTTCTGTGGTGTTTAATCGATGGGTTTGGGGTTAGATCGGAGAAGCCCGGCGGAGAAGTGGGTTGTTGTCACTTGCTGGGACTTTGTTAGCAGAGAAGAGAAAATTAGACAATGTTCAAGTTCGCTGAAATACCGTTAGTAAAGATCATCAAACGTGGAGATTTTGGGTCTGATACTCTTGAAACCGCCTAGCATTCATTTTCGGCCCCCATCGGCAGTCTTGGCTGCCTGTTCGGACTAGCTCACAGTGCTGACAACCTCCAATGCAGCTGAAGACACTCCGCATCGTGACTAACACCTCAATTTACACAGTACATCTTCAAACCTTATGGTCCTGACATTGAACTATGTCGATATGTCCAGCAAGCTACAATATCCTCACGCTACACGAGGAGGATCTCGGTAGCCTTAACGACAGCTATGCATCTAACATCCTGGATGAGGTTCTCTTGGAGCGTCGCATTGATATCAATCTTGGATGCAAATTCTTCTTTAATGGTCAAGGAAAATTCAACTATAAATTGGAAGTGGTAACGTGGAAGAACGGTACAACAGACCTGTGCGGATTTTGCCCGTTTTGCAACCTTCTTGCCGACAGTATGCAGAAGGCCGTGGAGTCTGGCCAGTGGAATTCATCGAACCTAGGCTACAACCTTGATCCCGCTATGATTTCTCGACCATTCAGTGTAGGAGGTGTTGTTATTTTCGACAAGCTCGAGTATCAGAAGGGTTGCGCGCCACAAAGTATCGACAAACTCACCTCTCGAAAGATGGGGAACTACTGGGATGTCAGTCTATTACTCCTGACCGGATATGTGCTTCTACATCCAGAGGGGAGGGATTCAAGCGAAGAGTCAGGGAAAGTTAAGGTTGATTTAGGGTTTAGCTATTTGGGGAAGAGGATGATCCGGTGGTGAAACTGCTTAAGATCCATCGGCGCCCTCTATACGAGCCACGTCTTTCGGAACAGAATGTCGCAAAGATGCGCAATTGGATCGTAGACTGTGATGAAAATCATGAGACATGTTGGTCAGATTTGAAGGATTTGAAGGATTTGGATGATGCCCCACATGATCAGGCAATGAATTTTCGTCCATCTAGGCTGATAGATGTTGGAGATGCTGTGAACGATAAACACCCGAGACTTATCATTACGTCGGAGCTCGAACGCATGACCTCGAAAGACGAATTTACAAAATACATGGCACTGAGTTATTGTTGGGGTCCAATAGATGGAACAAGCAAACTGCTTAAGACGACACATGAGACGTTGGCATCGAGAAGGGAGAAAATCGCAGTGGATACTATGCCGCAGACTTTTCAGGATGCAATAATCATTGCTCGAACTCTTGGTATACAATATCTTTGGATTGACAGCCTTTGCATCATCCAAGATGACTCTCGAGATTGGCAGATTGAATCAAGCAAAATGGCTGAGATATTCAGTAACGCCTATCTAACTCTAATTTCCGCCTCTGGATCAGGTTGCAACGATAGCTTTCTCAGCCAATATCTGGCTGGATTATCCTGCACCATTCCTGTCGACTTGAACCCAGAAATGGCTATACAGGGGCAATTCTCTATCAGATTGCGGCGATTTCCGGGATCATCTGATAAAATGGCGGAGATTCTAACTGGCAAATGGATTTCGCGGGGTTGGACTTTTCAAGAGGAACGACTTGCTCGACGTGTTCTGATGTTTGGAGAAAACAAGTATTTCTTCGATTGTAGGACCTTTGAGCAGGCTCAGGATACGGACAAACGTGGGCTACGCCCGAACTGGGCGACAGCAGTTGCCAGCACTAAAGACGAAATAAAGTTCAGGAAGGAAAATGTTCAGCTAGACAACCATTGGGAGCATTGGCAGACTCTCTGCAGGCATTACGCATACAGAGAACTAACGTTCCCGGAAGATAAACTGCCAGCAATTTCTGGCATGGCGAGCAAGATGGCTATGAAAGTCCAGTCTGAATATCTAGCTGGTCTGTGGAAAGATAATCTCATGCACGATTTGTTTTGGGAAACTGGTGCCGTCACGACTAAGCTTCGGAAATATCGTGCTCCTTCATGGTCTTGGGTCTCGTTGGATGGTGTGATAAATTGGCCGTTATGGAGAACTTTTGCGTCGTGTAGTGAATGTACGACTTACTGTGATGTGCTCGATGTACGGACGACACCCAATGGCCTTGATCCTTATGGGGCAGTGAAGGACGGGTTTTTGAAAGTTCGGGGAAGATTGCAAGAAGTGAAAGTGCTTCGGGTTGGTGAAAGCAAGTATCAGCATCCTGGAAAACTTTATCAACAAGGTATTGAAATTGGCAGTGCAAATTTTGATAGAGGCATTGAGAGTAACTCCAATCAAGTTCACAGCTCAGAGGAGGTATATCAAGGCCTTCTTATGGCGGAATGCAATAGTTCTGAAGATGGCGAGCCTCTTATTCGTGGTTTAGTGCTAGCGAAGAACGGTCGTAAACGAGAGGGCCATGACGAGTTGGAACGAGTTGGTACTTTCACTCTACCATCAGGCGGTATTCCGGATGAGTGGAACAGTGATGCAGAACAAGTAGTAGTAATAATTTAGCCGCCTCCGTTCAAACATTTCAACATGACACATTGTGTGATTCTCGTATATTAAGGAGAAGAAATCCACTTGACTTCGAGATGGACATTTGATATATCACATCCCTTCACTTCCCAATATTATAAATATGAGCAATCCTCATCAACTGCCCACCAACCCACTGCTTCTGCCCCTCTCTCATTCCAATCCTCAGACCCATCATCATCTGTAAAGGACCCAGCAACCAGAATCCTCCCATCGCAGGCGCCATCGTATAATGCGCACTAGGAACCTCTTGGCCAGGTGCATGGGGATATTGTACTCTCTTATCACCCATTGAGCTTGGTTTGACCTTGTCGCCAAGCATGAATGGAACACTGGCGCATATATCGTCTGTTAATTGCTGAATCATGTCTATCTTAGAGGACGAAGATTGCTGAGAAAGTTCCTGGCGAATAAGGTTGTTGACTTTGATGCGTGATACTCGTTGTTTGTTCCACAGAGAGGCAACGGAGAGGCTGGGGTAAATGTAGCAATGACTTTGGTAGAGACCAGCAGCCTTCATTCCTTTAGGTATGCATTCGCCACCAACAACTCTGACAGGCATCCAAAAGAGTGGAAGAGTCTCGGACCACTCGATTAGCTGACGTTCAATGTCTTGTGCTTTCTGCAAGATCTCTTGAGGGTTCAAGTCTGCCCTTAGAAATGGGGGAAGGGCTGCCCGTTGCCGGGCAGATGCTTCAAGGTTCGCAAGTTCGACATTGATATTATCTAGGAATGTGCCCGGCGATGCCTTGGGTCCTGTGAGGTGTTCTTTCCACGTTGATACGTCGTCTGATATTGGCTCTCCGTTGCGAAAAGCCTCTTCGATCTAGCGCTGTCAGCGAAAACAGATCAAAGTTGTCATAAGGAAAGGTTACCAGTTGGCTACGAATATAATGCAGTAGACTCTGACCTATATCATCTTGAAAGTTCTCTGCTCCTCGATGCTTGATCAGAGCCAAAGCTCCATCAAGATGGGCTCTTGGATTCCCGCTCCTATTTACTGTGCCGACTAACATCTTTGGTTGGATCTTGTTAGAAATAGGTCGGTTACTCGAATACCGGCCGAGACACACCTCATACATCTGCAACAGCAGCACCGAAGTCAACACATCGTTATCAGCACAGCCATCCGGTTGGCGAATTCGATCTTTTATGATAGACAAAGCCTTCAGGTAGAATCCTCGAGACATGGGATTGTCGGGTCTTCGATCAAGCCAGGCGACGAACAAGAAACTGGAAATTGCCATGGTGGCCATTTTCAAGGCGGAGTCCGGCTTGGCGTTCACAAACTGAGGCCCAACGTACTCCAGAAATCCCTTTCGATCGTAGATTGTGAGTGGAGGACTGGCGTATGTTCCGAAGAAAAACCCAAGAGCATAGGCTTCGGGATCTTCAGAAAGTGTAGGAGGTACGATTGTCATGACTTGCTTAATGGTGAGAGGGCTGCGACCTCCTGAAGCTGCTTTTGGATCGATTCCTGGCAGGAAGTCAACTTTAGGTGTGGCTTGCTCTGGGGAAGCTCGCTTCCTTCTCTCGACGTTCTTCTGAGCGATGGATGTTTGATCTCTCCATGCAAGGTCAAATAGATCCTTGTAACCGGGACATTTTTGCTTGGTTTTGACGCAGTAAGAGCATTCTGGTGATTTCTCATCGCACTGTGATCGGTCAGAAACAGCTTCATGTCGGGTATTAGATGGTACCTTGATTCGTCGTCTGCGACATACTCCACACCCTCTACTTGGTCGACCCGTATGCACCATTGGGGGAGATCTTGTACAAAGAGAAGGTCCCAACTCGCTTATCTCAAATCCAAATCGAGGTTTGTTTGCGCACCAAGGAGGCTTTGATGAACTTTTAATGTTTTTGGTCCTGGCACATACCGCCCGGCAAGACACCACCCCGGTGATTCTCTTCGTCTGGACTGTGGCTAAGCAAATGTAGGCGAGGTACTTAATCTGTCTGCCTCGAGAAGGTTACAGCCAATAGCTCTGGTTTCCAATGTTTGGTCGATTCTAGGGTACCATGATGAGCTTTCACACGCTGGTCATTGTTCCATCATTGGTCTCAGCCTTAGTCAAGTGCGAGAATTCCACTGCATAGACCGTAATGCGGCTTCGAGGCAGTGTCGTTGAGGATTATTAACGCAACAAAACGCAACCACTCCCAGAACGATACTACATCGTGACGAATGACGTGGATTCGATCTAGGTTGACGTTGAAGCATGTACATGATTGGAAGCTGACAGCGTGTTACGGCCGAGAGGTCAGACTAATATACCCCCTAAATCTTAGCGAGCCGTGGCAGCTCGCTTATTCAACCACCAAGAGAGCGATTTGAGACTGAGCAAAGTCTACCCGAATAGGTAAAGTGTGCCAAGCCACACTTTCTGTCTCCAAAGTCTCTAAATATGCATGGACTCGTTGATCAACCTTACAGAATGAAGTCTTACTCGCATCTTGAGAGTTACATACAATCCTTGAAGTATTGCGACGTCAGTACATTTGTTTCGTGGCCCCTAGGCAAAGGTCAGCCGCAGTACCTGAGTGGGGAGGTCCGCAGCTCAGTCAAGGGTACTGAGAACGCAAAGCGTACCAAATCGAGAGAAATTAGAATAGGTGAAGTTTTTCAAGGATCGATCGTCGAGATTCTCTGCATTGATGCTAATACCACGATGCGCTTGGAGGGTTGGGGCAAGGTATAAGATGGCGATGTCCCTCAATTGCTGGAACTCGAACTCCACATTCACAAGTCTCCAATTCCTCAATCTTCGAATCAAGACATCCGCTTCCTCCCAAAATCTCTTGCAGTAAAGTTCAACTAGTAAAATGGCTATGCAACAGAACTCAGAACATGCACTCGAGCAACGGGTATCAACTGCCTCGACACTTGATACCAAAGCGGAAACGATGGACCTTGCTAAAAGCAGAGCCCACAGAGGAAAGTTTGTTAATGTTATGAGAAAAGTGTACCGGCCATTGGGGTTCAGCAAAGGATATAACTTCCCACTTTGTAAGTTCGTTCTCCTTCAAGAGGTAATCGCGACTAACAGTTGTCAGTCGTCATATTTGCTGGAGCTATATTTGGCTTTGTGCTTGCCCGAATATCATACCTGAATGTAACTGGTACTTCTGCGCGCAGTTTCAGGAAGAGTGCTGCTCCAGGAGAGTGGTACTTCTTCCACCAAGGCCATTACCGAGTTGGAATCATCCTCCACTTGGCTGGATGTCTTCCCGCTGGTTTCTTGGCAGTTTGGCAATTCGTGCCTGTGATCAGACACAAGGCCCTTCTTTTCCACCGTATCAACGGATACGTCGTGATCCTCTTGTCCTTGATCGCTAATGCTGGAGCTCTCATGATTGCCCGCCGTGCATTTGGAGGTGGTCTCGATGTCCAATCGGTTGTTGGAGTCTTGGCAATACTTACCACGACTTCTTTGGCTCTTGCATACTACAACATCAAGAGACTCCAGATCGATCAGCATCGAGCGTGGATGCTACGAGCTTGGTTCTATTTCGGAACCATCATCACCACTCGTCTCTTCATGCTTGCGTCGGCAGCCATCATAACTCGGAGTGGTAATTACTACCAAGTCCAGACCTGCGGCGAGGTGGCATTTAACTTTGGCGGAGCTTGGACCAACCCCCGGACTCTCCCACCGCCAACGTTGAAGATGTATCCCCAGTGTGTCAATGGTACAAACGATACTCCGATCGTGGTCAACGCAAACATGAACGGGTTACCAGAGCAGATCGGAGCAGGCCTTGGACTTAGCTTCGGCATGGCTTTATGGCTCGCCTTGATCGTGCATGCTCTTGGTGTTGAGTGGTATCTGTGGCTTACACCAGCTGAATCAGCTCGACTGAGAAATGTCAGCTATGAGAGGCAACTCGAGGCCGGCTTTAGGAATCCAGGAAACGCCGGACTGACGGTGGATCGATGGGGTGATGCACCTGCTTTTCAGCCGACGAAAACGGTATCTTTAAAACCAATGGAGGAGAAGTGACGCAAAGGGGAAGATGATTCTAATACGAAATATGGGAGGGTTAGCAATGGAGAGAGGCATTGATAGGCGTTCCGTGGAGTATGGCGTGGCTCTAGGATATTTTTCTCGTGCTTCGGAGATTGAAGCTCTCGTTGAAGGGCGGTCTGATAGTGTGAAATAGTGTGAAATAGTCAAAATAGTACTGAATATGTTTCATTCCATTGGTTCTCGGCCAGAGGACCCGAGCACTTGCATGAGAAAAGCAACGGAGGAGGTGCTAAGGCGGAGAATAGGGGAATATGGTCTCTTAGCGCAGAACTCTCGTAATCACGTGGTACCCTAGCTAGTTCTGGCCTTGGTGCCTGAACCTAATGCAAGCCCCTGCTCTTTTGGTTGCCAGCCCAGAAAGTCAAAACAAGTGCGCGAGAATGATTTGAGCCTCGACCTTCGGACTGCCAGCGCAAAGACAACCATGACCTTGCGAGTCCATTTGCTTAAAGACCACCACATATCAACAACCATCTCCATCTCGTTAATGTTCTCGTCACCGTCGCAACCAAAATGAGCACATCTACAAAGTCTGCGAGAACTTCTTGACGTCTCCTGCAACAAGCAAACAAAACCGCAGCTGCCCTGATCACAGAGGACCGAGCGCGTCTTCCTCATAAGGATCCAATTTTCTACCAAACAACGAATCCTTCTCCAGCCAGAAATCGACTGCAGACGGACGCGACGCGTTGAGGACTGGAAAGATGGCGGAGGAAGAAGAACATTTTGATGGACCCTCGACATCAGAGGAACGTCCGCAGACGGCTCGAAGAGATTCACCACAATCGCGCAAGGTTCCTGGTGGCTTCGGGATCGACGACCTGGATGATCTTTCACCAGACAAAGATACCTTCGAAGATTCGATATTCACAAATGCGCAAGCTCACAAACAGAACAATCGAATTCCTTCCCTCGACCCCGCTACACTACCTTCGTTACCCCCTCCAGGCGACAGCAGTCTGCTCTACAGTCACAGCGAGGATGGAGGCAATCCGGGCGATGCGCATCTTGATGCGGTGGATGAAGAAGCCATGCAGAGACATTTAAATAATGTCGAGTCGAGTTTCATGCCGGTTGATTCTCCAATCAGTATGAATGGGCACAAGGGCGCAGACGATACATATCTATTCGATGGAGCTCAGCCACCTGCACGAGGAACCAACGAAATATCTACACCCAGCAAAAACCATGCCGAAAGCACGAATAGCGATTTCCCTCCTGTCTCACCTCCGACCCCGCCAAATGCCTATCAAACACCAGCGCCAGGCAGAGAATCATCCGAAGCTGGGGATTCTTCACTTGACGTTGGGAACAACACATCTTCTCTCGAGACTATGTCTTCATCTCCTACTGCGGCCGCAGCGGCACGTACAGTATCTCGAGCGATATCAATGGCGGGTGGACACGAAGAGGAGGAAGATACCTCCTTTGGGCATTCACAAGAGGATACTGACAATGATGTCAATGCTGATGCTACGCCCCGGAAAAAGAAGAATTATTCTAGTTCTTCAGATGGTCGTTCAACGGTCCGTCATGTTTCCTCGAACCAAAGTCTCAGGACCTCAGCAGCAGATGCGGGAAATACGCCTGGAGCCGCGTTGCTCAGACGGAAATCTTCTGGCAAGCGGCAAAAGTATCTGCGGGGTCGACATAGTCATACCTCTTCGGTGTCTTCCTTTGTCACCAATGGAGATGATGAAAGCGACGTTGGACACGGGGCAGATTACGCCTTGCAATCCGGTGGTGCTGTTCCTGCAGATGGGTTCTCGAGACATAGCAGCATGGCATTGTCGAGATCAATCAGCTTAGGCAGCATGGCATCAGGAATAGAGGATTTCACGGGAAGCACAGAATCTAGACTTGATGGTAGCCTTGCGACATTGACTGAGGAAGACCAAAACCGAGACGGAAGATCGAAGGACATCTCTCCACCCGAAACCCCACGAGGACTGACAAGCAGGACACTTGCTGCTCCTACCGATACCATAATCGCGAGGCATGTGCGTAATGTGCATGTGCCAAATTCTGTGGCTCAGGAGTATCGAAACAAGAATGGAGTATCGCCGAGGCGCTCTGGATTTACAGTGTCAACTCTAGGTCGGAATGGGAAGAATCTCACCTTGAAGGAACAGAGCAACTCGATCGAAAAGCTCACAAAGGAGAACTTTGACCTCAAGCTGAAGGTTATGTTCTTGAGCGACCGACTGGACAAGCTATCTGAAGAGGGCGTGAAGGAGATGATCTCCGAGAATGTCGAGCTTAAGACTGGTATTGCAGTGGTGCAGCGAGAAAACAAAGCTCTGAAACGAAGAGTGAAAGAGCTCGAGAAGCAGTTAAAAGACGACGAAGACAGGCCTTCGACAGCACGGTCTGGTAACTCGGATGATACCAGCCCAAAATGGTTTGACCAGGAAGGCGCTCAAGAGAGGGTAGAGGAGCTGTTGTATCTTCGCGAGAGGGTTGAAGAGTATGTGACTGAGATTGAGAAATTGCGCAATGAATCCCTCTCCCGAGAGAACGAGAAACGCAATCTCGCTGAAGTTGTACGACAAATGGGTGAACGCCGTGGCCAGAATGTCGAAGTTGAAGCGAGAGAAGAGATGGATGTATGGAAAGATCTTCTGGAGCAGGAAACTTCTCGTCGAGAACAGGCAGACGAAGACAACAGGAAACTTCGAGAAGAGATCTTTCGCCTGAAGACTGAGACAACGTCAAATTCAGGAGCCGGTCTTACTCATACCACGAACATCTACAACATTACTAAGAAACGGCAAATCTCGCCATCACGGCCACGCTCGGAAATTTCCGACCGTTTCGAGGATAGGAACGGCAACATGAGTGCTGCCAGTACTCTAGTTGAGGAGGTCAGAAAAGAGTGCGAGCAATTAAGGCACGAGAATGCTGAACTCAGACGCGAAGTTGGTGCTCAGACATCTATGTTGACATCTCGAAATCGTGAAAAGGAGCGTCTCTACCAGGAAATCGAAGATTTGAAGCTTGGACAACGGAGAGGTGGTGGATCTATTGCAGGTGATAGCATCCTTGAACGTTCAGCTTCCAGAGCCTACGAGCGACCAGTATCTCGAGCTAGCGTTGATACACGGCAATCTTTAATTACCGACGCCGAACGAGAAGACTTTGAGGACAAGAATGCACAACTTCGAGACCGAATTAATGCCTTGACGATCAAGAACCAGGATCTTCAACGAGAACTTTCGTCATGCGTACACGATTTGGAAGTCGCTTCCGAGGAGAAGCAAGAAGTGGAAGCACGTTTGCGGGAATGCGAAGAAAATCTTGAGACTCATGAGTTTGAATTGGGCACCGTGTCAAATGAACGTTACGAAGCTTTACTAGCGGTCGAGGATGCTGACAACAAATTTGCTGATCTTCAACAAGAGGCGCAAGAACGGATAGATGAAATGGATGCTGAGGTTGATGAGGCCAATATCGAGATAGAACGACTGCAAACAGAATTGCACAACACGACGGAGAACTTTAACAGTCTTCAGATTGAGATGCGACAGCTGAGTCAGAGTCTGGTTGGGTTGGAAGATGATCACGAGAACAAGACGAGGAAGATTCATGAGCTTCAAGGGGATCTCGACGAGGCCAACAAGGAGCTTGAGCAGATGGAAAGCGATCTTGTGCAAGCCAATGAGAAATTCAACCGCCTGTCTGTGCAGCAGGAGAATCTGCAGGGAGAACTTGGATTCATGCGAGAAGATCAAGAGAGCGATAAATTGAAAATTGGTGAGCTGGAGTCTGCCAAGACAGAAGCCGAACAGATTGTGCAAAATCAGCGAAGCCAGATCCAGGAGCTCGAGCAGAGATTGCAGGATGAGAGACGTCAAAGCGAGATGATCACAGACAATAGAGAGCGCGAAGTACAGCAGTACATTAACAATCTCAACCGGGAGAATTCTGCGGCCAAGGACGAAAATAGGCAGCTTCATCACAAGCTCAAGTCGGTTCAGGGTGAAAGTGCTGAACGGCAACAGCGTCTGGATGACCTGGACAACAATGTGAGAGTGGCTATGGGTTGCCTGCATGGAACGAAGTTCGATGTGCTCTCTCAGATCTCTCAGCTAACCAGAGATTACGAGAGGTCCTGCCGTGAATTGGACTCTACCAAGGCATCACTTGCAGAGAAAGAACGGATCATCAAGCAGCGCGACTCGCTTCTGGAATCGCATGCTCTCGAATCTCGGAAGCTTGCTGATATGTTGGACAAAGAGCGCCAGACTCATCGCAATACGAAGCATCAATTTGAGACTTTCCAGAAGACGCAGCAACATACTACTCGAACTTTGACTCAGCAAGAGTCTCGTGTACTGGAGCTCGAGACAGCACGCGCCATGGATAGGAGGAAGATTGCCTCTTTGGAAAACAACCTCAAAGACCAGATGAACGAGCGAAACCAGCTACTTCTGTCTTTGTGGAATCGACTCTCTTCGTTGTGCGGTTCTGACTGGGCCCATAACAATAGTTTGATCAATGGACGAGCACTTCCTTCTCTGGAAGTGGTGTCAACTATGCTTCCTGGGTTCTCAAAGAATCTCATGGCAGCTGTCAAGACGATCGAGACTCTGATTGGTGACTTCAGATCTCGGATTAGATCAGTTGAGAAAGATCTGTGGAAAGAGTATCAGACTCTTGAGACCAATCTTGAGGTTCGTACCAAGCGCCTGGATCGTCTCGAAACCATGGCCCGAAGCGGTATCCCAGGAGTCGTTGGTGACAGCAGCAAAGAGCTCAATAAACTCAAAGAGGTCAACAGAACACTGAAAGCAGAAATCTCAACCCTTCGAGCAGCAAACGATGTCCGAGCCGGTGTTTATCACGAGACGAGTCCAAGCCCTTCAGTACCAACGGGACCTCGAAATAAGTCTCGCGAGAAGAGTAGTAGAACATCAACGATGACGAGACACCAATCCGCCTCGGCAGTCGAAACATTCGATCGTGCTACTCTAAGTCGATCAGGCAGCATTTCCAGCGCGGATAAGCTAAGAGCACTCAGCCCAGAGATGAGTGAAGGTGGTTCTTTCAAGCCTGACCTGAGATGGCAGATTCGACTGCAGGAGCTAGAATACAAGCTGAAAGCAGAAAGAGAAGCAAGATTAGTTGACCGAAGTAGCGCTCGACAGAGACTTGAAGAGAAGAACAGAGAGAATGCCGAGCTAGCAGCACAGGTGGAGAGGAATCGTGTGAGGGAAGAGATGGGGAGATGAGTTAGTTGTATTATAGACGGGCGTTTGTCGGGATTAATGAAATGCATGCGTGGCGCTCTTGGGATGGTTGGGTGGATCGGTGCATAAGGAGGGTATTTTTTGAGGTATGAAGATGGAATTCAATGTACATCAGAGGTTTACTTCCGTCTTGCTTCTTGAATTATCGACTTCCTCTTGTGATTGGTGATCGTGATACGTGTGCATAACTCAAGCTACCAGGAGCAGCAGAGGGACCCCAGCAACCCAAGAGAGACTCTTCTAGCTTCTCACAATCACTCTCTATTTTGCTATCATGCCGCGGACTCTGCTGAGGTGGTACAGTACCAAGGGATTCTAGCAACGAAGATTGAGACTCGGTGAAGTCGAGGCCTTTGCCGCCAAGTTGAATCTTGGTGGTGCAACGTGGTAACGTCTGCTACCAACATCGTCATGCACTCTTCTAGCTTTGTGAGGGCCATTTAAGCCATGGAAGGGATTTATTCGGAAACGAATGTCTGGGTCTTAAGAGGAACAATCGAGGAGCATGTTGTCCATTTCTCCTTTGCTCAATGTCTGTCATCATCCACAGCCTCTAATTTGTCTGGTTGAGGCGATGGACATTCGAGCTCAACGTCTGATTGAGCAGCAGACATCTTAATATGCAGCACTACTGTAGCCACGATCAGCATCCTCCGATCCATAATCCCGAAGCTCACCACCTTCCTCGAGTCTCTCCCGCCAACTTTCACAGTGGATTCCTTCACGAGAAACGGACATTCAGCAGGACAGTGTTGGAGTTTGGAGGTATTAATCCATTATGTATCTTTTTCCCGTCCTTCTATCACCCAGCACTCAAAATATACAGCACAGCCAACCGCCTAGCCATGCAACCCAACACCTCATTTTCCCAAACGCCTAGCTCTTGCCGCTAAATATGTACAAGCTTGCAAGATTTATGCTCCCAGAACGCCGGCCAGCCATGCATGACCTATATACAGATGGTATCGTGTCGACTGTACTCGCAATCAATCAATCAATCAATCAATTACAACAAATCCCCAACCCACCCCATCTTATCCCTTCGATCGTCGCTGATTCGCGCGTATTCTAATAGGAGTCGCAGGACGTATATCTGCATATCTTCCTTCCGTAGCACCTTGTTTGCCCATTCTTGGCCGCTCATTGCTATCTTCTCCGCTTGTTTATCGTGTCCTTCGATCTTAACGTTCTCCCCTTCGTACCCGAGGAAGTATTCCATGATGCCCCAAAAATCCATGAAGCGGTTATCCATAGGGACGAAATGCTTCCAGGGAACCAATCTCGAGTCGTGCCATTCTCGGAAGATGGTAGCCTTGATGGGGAGAGAAGTGGACATCAGAAATCCGCGGTATCGGCCGGAGAAGGAGTTGCCGTCGATGTCCGGGAGGTATTTTCGGTCGAATTGATCTGCCATCTTCATCCCAGGTGTGATTTTGTAGTAAGGAGACGTGTAGTTGCATGTTCCATTAGCCTCTATCGGCGAACACATCAGATCCACGAATCCTGTATCCGCCCACTCTCCAGTCCATTCTCCCAATCGATTTTCTTGCTGAGCAGCCAAGTTGAATTGCGAGGTAGGCATAGCCCAGTTTTGGGGGATCTGGCTCCAGTCTTCTGCTGCTGAAACTTGGGTGCTGTTTGTCATTGCGACGAAACGGTGACGTTGGAAGCCCCGCCAGTTTGAAGCTTTGTTTCTTCCTCCAGTTGCTACACCCCGCCAAATGACTTTGTTTTGTTTGTTGACCCAGTCTTCGCCGTGGTCATCTCCTCCGCTGAATCTCTCCTCATTATTCCAGTACATGGGGGCCGGAAGGAGGATTTCATTGTTGGTTGGAAGTTTGGATCCACCAAACATTGGGAATAGAGTCTTGGTTGCAGACACGGAAAGAGGATCGATCATCATGCCATGTAGGGATTGGAGATCTGGTTGGTGGCAGAGATCTGAGGAAAGGGTAAAATTCGAGACATAACCTTTGTAGGTATGTGGAAGTGTGTGCGCGAGAGAGATATCGGGAGTATGCGAGAAGTCGGTCAGGATATCAGCCTTTCGTGCCAGACTGTTGGGATGGCATCCTCGGGTCGCGATCTTCCAGTAAGGTCCTACAAGGATCAGTCAATGTACGCAAGACAAGCAAAATTGTAACTTACTATATTCAGTCCATTCCTTGGGATGAACTTTGACGTCGGGATCGGGTTTGTTTGACAGGGACGAGAATTCCGAGACAACCTCGCTCGGTGGTGGCATGTTTCGCGTAGCGCGTTCAATCTCCATGTATTTATTGATTTGCTCCCATGGCAATACCACTCGCGGTTCGTCCATGGCGTTCAGCGCAATGTCCATGTCTGGCAGAAGATGTTCAATCGTCTGTGTCAAATTCAACCATATCTGTGTCCAGAACCAACCGCTTCCTGTACTCGCGTTGTGATTTCGGACATTGATATTCATCTCGTACGCCCAAGCTTCCTTGCGCATCGTTGATGGTGGAAGTCCCCAGAATGGTCCTAGATCATGGTAGATCTGATCGAAGAAGTCTTCCACCATAACCGCTCCATTGTCTTGTGCGAACTTGAACCAGACATCGAATCCTGGCGGAGGATGTCTCCCTCTCCGATTCCGGTATTCTGCGGCCGCAGACTTCAAATCATGACTCTCCTTGCTCAGCAGATCCTCATATGTCTTCTCTGCAGCTTCGATTAGTTCATCGATCGGATGCGCGCTCGTCTTGGGTGTGGTGATAGGGTGCTCGGTCTGTACTTCGGGCGACGGTGCTTCTGTCGGCTTGATGTCTGGTCCTGTAGGGTTCTGCTGCGAAGGAATCGTGGGCAGATGTGAGGGCGTCACCTCGACAGGTTGGTGTACAGAGGTGAACGAGGGCGCCGAGTATCTCAGATACCATAATAAGCCTATCAGTCCAACGGCGAGTGCGGCGTATCGTACCAGACCACCGGCTCTGCGTGGCGGACCTGGATAGGCCATGGTGATGGGTGAGGATATCTTCATGAATGGAGGTTTTGGAGATCGGTGGAAGATCGAGAGGGAGAGGAGGTTCGTGGGAGAGAGAGGGTGGGTGAATTGTGAATGTCCCTCCGGCCTCTAGTTTCTTTAGCACCAAATAGCGGCGGCACCAGACGGCCACCAACAACGAGTGTGATGGGTAGCGGATACTCAGTAGTCGTATACGCTTCGAAAGAATAGTCGTAGTGCGGGCTGAAGTGCAAGTGCCAGTCGTGAAAAGAGAATAGTCCCCAAATCTAATCAAAGGCCGAGATTATTGGAAAGGAGCCGTCGAAGAGAAGTCGTCACGAACAAGCGCGGACCGGGAACACAACCATTACTTGGACAGCGCACCAGATTTCCTTATGGGATTCGTGAATGTCGTAAGATTGATGTCGATTGAAACATAGGAGAAGGAAAGAAGAAGAAAGGAGGGGGAGGAGAGGTGAAGAGGCAAACAGACGGGGTATGTACAGTACGACACGAGGTTTGTGATGTGGATGGGATGGGATGGGATGGGATGGAGGTGGGATGAAAGATGGAGTCGTGCAGATGGTGGAAATTTCAATGGACACCCAGCGACATTCAGCTTAGACCAAAGGAGCGATCGTCTCGTAATAATCGTAATGATGAAGTGACAGTCAGCGCTTTTTCGTCTTCGGCCGCTCTTCCTTAGTCTCCTCTTGCTCTCGTCTCCAGATGAATTCCCCGTTTGGTGGTTCCTTATCCTCATCCAATCCATCTCGTGCAGACGCAGACGCAGCATTGAAATAATTTCAGCCCCTGACCTTGCAATTTCACCCAACCCACGATGCATTCATTGGGCGAGGACCGGCTATCTCTTACGCCTCACCCATCACATCACCCGTCCGTGGCTGTGCTTCTCTTTGACAACAAGCAAACAGGGACAAAATCTCCAATTCATTTTCATCCTGATTAAGCTTCTTTTCCACGAGCTGTGGCACCATGCATATACGGAGTCTTTTGACCAAAGAGACGAGCTGGATATCATGAGAGACAATGAGTAATCTGCTTGGTCACGCATTTACTATTTGTAGCTATTCAGCAATACGATCTTCATCGTCTGATCTCTTCTTCCTCTCCTTCTCCTGCCAAGACTTTTCTCTCTCCTTTCGCACTGCCCGTCTCTGGGATCCCCCTTTTTTTTCTCTCTCCCAAATCTCAGTCGCTACCCGCTCTCCGTTTCACCATGTCAATCAAACCCGGCAACCAGCAGCTCCCGCCCAAAAAAAAGGGAGATCAGAATGAGAATCCCCCACCTGTCTCCACTGAAGAGAAATGGGTTCCGAAATTCGTGTTCATGGCGGGGAGAGACAACTCATCCCCAACTTCAGATAGATAGCCGGAGTGCCACATGCTGGATATCAGATCAGACCCCGGATCAAGATGAGGCTCCTGGAACAGCATTGTCAAACAGAGACATGTCGGAAAGCTCGAGCTTCCGAGGAGGGAAAGCTTGGTCACTGCACGTTTGAAACCGGTCCGAAGAGTGGTGAGTTCGTCTGGTGCAGAAATAAGAAAAAGCTTGTGTGTTTTAGGAGATGGAGATCTGCATGGCTGAGAGCATGATCGCCGAGATATGATGATTGTTTCATTGGGTGAGATTAGATGTGTAGATGGGATGCTGCATTTGGGTTTGTTTGCTGACTCGGGAGTCGGTTCGTTGCAGAAGTAGTTGCGTGGTTAAGAGGAGTTCGAGGTAAAGTGAAGAGGAAGAGGCGTTTACTATGGACTAATTACTTCGAGTCTACGGCACCCTACATATTTTATCAGATCATCGCTAGATTGGTAGCAGCATGTGGACTATTGTTAGTTTCTTTACTGTAGTGCAGTTGAGAATGGGAGGACACCAATGCAGGCGCAATGCAAGACCCAAGCCAACTTTGCTTTGTCTGCACTTACTCTGGTAACCGTCAAAGAGCCTACAGCGCCGAGGGCATTAGCATAGCGTAATTTGGTCGTACCAAAAGATCTCAAGCATCTCGAGCTTCTCGAGTTCGAAGGTGACATCTGCACGTGACTGGTGCTCGCAATGACAGGGGTCGAAAGTGGTGCTATCTCGAGGGCAACCTCCTCTCTTCAAGTGCTACAGTACATCTTCTCTCAACGACATTCTGACCTTTCTGAACTCTTCAGACACATGCCAGACACATGCCAGACCATCACTGCATCTTCCGATGCCAGGGATCACCCTCCTCTGGGCTTCCTCCTTTCGTTCCATCAACTCAGTCTGTATCACACTTCCGCGTCAGCCATGACGAGAGCAGATATTCATCACAGGACATCGTGATGGCTTCACCCTTCCCAAACCTGGTCGGTAATGTTCGGATTGCTATCGCAAAAGTTTGACAAATCTTTCCATGATTGGTTTCGTCCTTATCCTCTCCCCTAGTCATTTTCCTTCTTGACTCGTCAATTCCTGTACTTAGGGGATGTGACTTCGTGGACTTGCACTTAGAGGCAAAGCGCGAAATTTTTGGGTCGCGTATATTATCACTTCACGGTCAAGCTGATGGCAGAAGAAACCTCTTTTACCTAATCCTCCACCCGAACGCCCACACCTCGGAATTCCTGTTGTCCTTACATAAGCCTGTCCTTTTCTCTTTGAATCATCTTTTCTTTTCGTCTCAAGAAGCACAAATAAATAGTTTTCAAGTCGGAGTCGTCATCGTGGAACCCCACTAACTACCCCACCATCTATTCTTATTCACGCTTTCACACATCGAACATCTATTTATACAGGATCGCAAGCTCTTTCAACATGACAACTACTTCCATGATTCAACCAAAATTCCTAACGAAAGGCGACCAGCTGGGCGTCGTCGCTGTTGGCTTTTCTGGCGGTCAAGTAAGCAAATTCTTCAATAGCAGACGCAAATCTAACCAGCACAGTGCAAACCAGGAGTCGATGCCGCACCCTCAGCATTGATTTCCAGCGGTCTTCTCACCCAGCTACGAGAGGATCTAGGATACAAACTTTATCACGATGATACCGTCCACTCGTACAAAGAGCTCCTCCCTGCATCCGACCCCGATTATCGCGGAATGAAGAACCCTCTCGCGGTCTCTGCTGTTACGCGCAAGCTCTGCGATCAAGTCTACACCCATGCGAAGGAAGGCAGATGCGTCCTGACACTGGGTGGCGATCATTCTATTGCCATTGGCACGATTGCGGGCACTGCGAAGGCGATTAGAGAGAGATTGCATCGCGAGATGGCTGTCATTTGGGTGGATGCTCACACGGATATCAATACGCCTGAGACGAGCGAGAGCGGCAATGTGCATGGTATGCCAGTTGCCTTCTTGACGGGTCTGGCGAAGGAGAGCAGAGAGGATGTGTTTGGTTGGTTGAAGGAGGAGAATATGATCAGTCTGAAGAAGTTGGTCTATATTGGCTTGAGGGATGTGGATAGAGGAGAGAAGTTGATTCTGAGAGAGCATGGTATCAAGGCATTTAGTATGCATGATATTGATAGGTAAATACCCCTTGGGATTGAAAGAATCGAGCTGACAGGTTTAGACATGGAATTGGCCGAGTCATGGAGATGGCTCTTGGACATATTGGAAACGACACACCCATCCATCTATCCTTCGATGTCGACGCATTAGATCCCATGTGGGCTCCTAGTACTGGAACTCCCGTTCGAGGTGGTCTTACCCTTCGAGAAGGAGACTTCATTGCTGAATGCGTACATGAGACTGGTTGTCTGGTGGCAATGGATCTGGTAGAGGTCAATCCTACCTTGGAGCCGGGAATTGATGATATTGGAGCTCACCAGACGGTGCGATCTGGTTGTTCGTTGGTGAGATGTGCATTGGGAGAATCTCTATTGTGATTTGGATGATACCAGGGACACGGACATAGGATAGATTTGCGTTGATTTTGCACTGATTTTACGTCTATTTTGCGCTGATTCTTCGACGGATTTAGGGTAGTATAATAACTATTCATTTCTGATCTCTGATTGAGATGCTGTGTATTGTGTTCTCCTGGCGCGAGGGCATTTTGATGGCGCTGGAACAGTTTCCCTCTCCAAAGTGCGATAATTCACAAGCAGAACCCCAAACAAGCATCACCCCATAATCCGGCTTCCAACTCATCACAAAAGGGACTCATCTCCGACAAATCATCCAGTCGGGCATTAAATACAGAAGAAGTTCTACCCAAATCTTGCTGTCATCCCCTGCCACCTTTTTTTCTGCTGTTGAGTCCAGCTTTCCCAGCCACCTGCAGAAACCGGCGAACGTCACAATGCACCACGACACAATCTCCCCACTACCGCCAAACTTATCGCACAATTGCTTTGTTCCTGTCGAGTCTAGATTGTTTACTCGCTTTCATTCTCTCGCTTTCTCCTGGCAAGTATTTCCTTTGAAGGGAATAATAAACCGTTCGTTCATTCCGCAGCTGCAGCGACGAACGAACGACAGCGGAAGTAAAGCTGAGGCGATCGGTGCAGCGTGCGTGCAGTGCAGGAACAAGGAACCAAAACACCTCCAATCGCCATCGCGAATCCACGTGTAACTCAACCCGACGAAGAGAGAGATACCCAACCTGCCAGCGAAACAACAGCGGGACGTGGCGCACGTACGAGTTGAAGGGTTCTATCTTTGCAGGTTTAAAGAGTATTGGAAAGAGAGAATTGGCACGGTTGGAATACTTGCGACAGAGAACTTGGACTTGAAGACGGAAAGTGGGAAGGTACATACAGTTGTGCTACGACAAAATACAAACATATCGCAGACAGGACTCGAAACTAGGCTAGTTTAGACTCGAGGATCGAGAGGGGTGTAGCAGCAGAGGATTGAAGGGTGGAAACTCCAAGAGGAATTGCGCCAACGACCTCGAACTCGACGTCTCTGAACGATCCTACGCCGGCAGAGCGTTGAATCCTCACAATGGCCTCCACAGAATCAACAATGACAGAAGTGGTCGTGCAAAGAGTTCGCACAAGATACCATTGGCCACCATGGCAATTGAACTTCTGGATCCTCATTATGCTGATTGGGAGCGGGACGATACTGGGGATAAATGCCTGGTTCGTGACGGTGCAGAATCAGTTACTTGTTGGGATTCCTTGGTATGTATCCTCTCTATTCTTCAGAAGTAGCAGAAAGATGGATTACTGACCCTCTCCATCGCAGGTACTTCCCGTACTGGATAACAACATCCGCCCTAGCAATCCTCTTCATCCTCGCAATGCTCTGGCTGATATCCCAACGCCAACTCCTACCTGGGATCGTCATAATGGGCTCCTTCATCTTATTCGTGCTCTGGATAGTAGGACTCATTGTCTTTTCCATCGAGCTTTGGGGTCCCAACGGGGTGAGCAGTAATTGTAATCTATACGTCGATGGATCGAAGAGTTCGGGCGCGAATGTGAATACGTTGGCGTGGTTGGAGCAGAGTAGTATTTGTGAGTCTTTCCCCGGGCAGAAAAAGAGAAGAGGGATGCTAATATGATATAGGCCAAAGTTGGGAAGCTGCGTGGGCTTTCGAGTTGGTGGGGGTTGTTTTCCTATTGTGGATGATGATCCTCTCGTACCAGGTCTACCAGAATAATTGATCGAGAGAAGAAAAGAGGAAATGAAGAACGAGAGACGAACATGATATGATGGAGGCATAATTTGGGTGCATATATTGGCGTTATGGGATGGGTACATGGTTCAACTGCATCGAAGCATAGAGAGGATGTGCATATTGTATAGGATAGCATGGGGAGAGAATGCATGGTCCCGTGGGACAGCTACGAGGATAGTATCGATCTGAAGAAAAGATATATATCTCAGGCCTACGAGCCTCGTTCTATTTCAGCTGTTTACTTTGCCGTGATCCTGGAAGAGCTGCAGGTAGTGCCTGACCAAGCCCGATCCTAACCAGCGTGATTGAGGCTCATGCAGCTCTTCAGCTGGGCTTGTTTGCCGGTTAGTCTAGATTTCTGTTCGAAGTCCATCCAGAGTAGATTCGAGGACGCCATTCCAGCCAAGCCTCACGGCACGGCGAGCACTAAGTATGTTGAAGCAGTCTTGGAATAACATCAACCTTGAGCTGCGACGAGCTTGATTTGAGACTATTCCGACTTTCCATCCTCATGATCTTTTCTTTGTTCTTTTCTGGAAGGTCATTCCACAATTCCTGCAAAATCATCCTTTCACATGCCAAAAATAACCCCTCGATAGACATCTTGATAAGCTCCAAATACTTGATCCCTATTCTCTTGGCGTACATCACATCTCGCCAATCGACACAATGACGTCGACGCTACCAAATGTCTCGCATTGACCAGGCCGTTTGGGGTACGAATTCAGCTCAACTGGGTGTTGGTTCAGCTTGGCAAGAAGAAATCAGGGACGGGAGCTTGGTGGGGTGATTTGAGGATGAGGGGTATAAGAACTCTTGGACCCTGAACTCTTCTGCTTCTGCTTCAATTTCTACCTTCATCAGCAACAACAATATACACATACATACAAGTTTCTATTCAACTTACTCTTCAAACCTTCATAATGGATTTCCTCAACAAAGGCAAAGAGATGCTCAGCCAAAGCGGTAACACTGGCGCCGCGCAAGGCCAACAAACCACAAGCAACGTCCAACAAGGCGGTGCTGGACAGGAGGATTACGGTGACAAGGGTTAGTCCTCCCTCTTACTTCTTAGTCTGCCGGCAGATGCTAATAGATGGACGCAGGACTCGACTTCATCGAGAAGAAGACCGGACATACAATGGGTCGCGACACAAACGAGAAGATCACTGATGGTGCGAGGGGATTGTATGAGAAGGCTACTGGGTTCGTACAACCTTTCCTTTCCTATTCCATATCTGCTGCTCCAGCTACCCGCTCGGCCTTTTGGCTGGGTAGGAAAGGGAGTAGTGTCACATCAAGCAACCTAATACCGTGTTGCGTTTAGAAGCCAGGTTAATGCCAAGTACTCAAACTGAACTGATCGTATCGATTCGCAGGAGCACGGTTAACCCGAAGTGGTCTAACTGAGGGTGTGTCTTGGGTGGTGTTTTATTAGGCATGGATGGGATGGGTGGTTTGGTTGGGATTAGGAATCAATATCATTAATTCTCACGCATTATGAAGTGCTGTTGCTTGCTGTGTGTTGTTGCTATGGGCAAGTGCTCAGTGTGCTGCTCGTTAATGTTTCAATCATTTTGTGTCTCTCATGTTCTTGAACTCCGTTCATTGCCCCTCTTCCCAAATTTGTTCGACGATGCTTGTGCTCATGTGGAAACCCATTCTTCCTCTAAAGCTCAGTGGCCTTCGATTGGAGCAAATATCTAGGAACATGGAATTTACTTTTATGACAGCGTCCAGAGCATTTGCTCATGGAGTCAAACAGCTATGAGCACAGGAGGTATGTGAGACGTTTCACAGCAATGGCAACTTCATGTTATCTCAGAATTAATGACACAGCACTTCATTACATTAAGCTATCTGCTAGGATGGTGTGTGCCGCCTTCTATGCCCCTATCGCACGAACAACCCCCAGTTCTCGTTAAGGAGCTTGATTCCCTCCGCTCTGAAGGTATCTGGCTCCGTATGACTGGTAACATTCGCATCCCAAACAATATTCATAGGCTCCTCAAGACTGTAAGCAGGCCAAGCCGGTACAGCAGCATCTCTCCCAGTCCACCCATTCGGATCAAGATCATAAACGAAACTGGCCCAAGACTTGCTCATCAGATCACTCAACTGGGTGTAGCTCTCACTCTTATTCGCAAACGGATTCACAGCATAACCCAATCCTTCCAAATTGTTGAACACGAAAGCGACTTCTTGGAAGTGAGTAACCTCAATGGGCCATGGGATGCCGGCTGGTACGGCGTTAAATTGGTAGCAGTATGTTGAGATGTTGGCTGCTGCCCAGGTTTCACATGTCAATCTTCGGGCAGCGATGAATACTTCGTCGCCCCAGTAGGCGGCACTGTGTCGATATTCGGCTCCATAAGGGGCGCCGAGAGTTACGTTGCCGCCGAGTGTCTCGTCGCTGGGGATCACGTAGCTGGTGTTGTCGAAGTAAATCGAGACTAGTTCTTGGACGAGATTTTCAGGGAGGCCGTATTGAGCGCTTGTCGTTGCTGCTCGGTTGTAAGTATGAGCCAAGAGATGGAATAAGAGAACTTACTGTTAATAGCGGCAATGAAGTCATCTACAGTATTCACACCTGTAGGACTGAATGCCGTTCCTTCATCGCTATTAGCGCCAGAAATGAGTGGCACGTGAACGAAGGATCCATCAGCCAACTGTTCACTTCCAAGACGTGCAATGAAATCGCCATCGAGAGCAGGATTCCAATTACTGTTGAAGTCCGTGGTGTTGAGGATGTTGTTGAGCACGAAGAACGGCAACTCTCGGAGACACTGAAGTGAGTCTGAGCAGTTTCCACATCCAGCTGCTGCAACAAGAGATTCGTATCGTGCTTGGTACGTTTCGGTGCCATTCAGAGGACCTTCAAAGATGGGATTTCCGGATTCCATCATACCAGCTCTGAAAAGTTTGTCGTCTCGGCCGTTGAAAGCGAGTAGATGAAGACCAACGCTTGAAGCTCCTGCACTTTCACCCCAGATCGTGACTTTCGTTGGATCACCTGTTTCATGTCAGAGAGTGACTTCCAAAAGGCGTCTCTACCAACCTCCAAATCCAGCAATATTCTCATGAATCCATTGTAGAGCAAGTCGTTGGTCTTTCAACCCAATGTTCAAAGCTCCAGCATTTGCAATAGCATCCCCGTTCAAGAAACCGATAGGTCCGAGGCGGTAAGCTATACTAGCACCGATGATGGGCTTTCCTATTGAAACCGAGTTCTCTACGATGAATGACAGATTGTATCGACGATCTGGAGTTCCTCCCTCGGAGAAGCCGCCGCCGTGGATCCAGACTGCCACAGGGAGACTTGTGTTCTTGTAGCCGGAGGGTCTGACTACATTAAGATACAGACAGTCTTCACTCTGAGAGACGATCAGTACTGATTTAAGCAAAGGATATGGCAGGAGCACACCTGCTGGTAACCAATCTGATCAGTTCCATAACCGATGCATTCCTGTGAAGATGGTTAGCTCTCTGCTCTGTCCTGATAGTAGTAAATCTATACATAAGCATAGTTAGTCGCTGGCAGAGCTCCACTCCACGTCGAGTTCAATGACTGAGGATTCTTGAATCGCAAGTTTTGAAGCGGTGGTTGAGCAAACGGAATCCCCAAAAACAAGTCTTCGTTGTAAGTCGAAGAATGAGTTCCATAGTATGATCCATTCAGCGTAGTCGCGACAGGCGCTGAACTCGATGATCTAGGCACCAGGTGCCCATTGGGTACAGCGCTCACGATCGAGCTCAAAGCTAAGATGTTCCAGAATATCGGAGACATTTTGACGTGCAAAGTATATGAGTTCCTCGCAATCTGCCTTCATTGGGACAACGGCGTCCTTTAAGAACACCTCGAGCAATCAGATCTTCCCCATTCCTCATATCTGCTCCCCATCATTCCCCATCTCGCAGCTCAAAATGCCCCTCCGTCCACCTCTAAAGGCCCGAATCTTGCTCATGGCTTGCTACCATTGGACAATTGGAACACAAAACGGAGAAATGTTTGCGGGGCAGAAGCGGGCCGTTCATCTCATGACGGTTAGGGGAAGTCTATTCAAGCCCTGTTTGCATATTTTGACGTGAATGAACCTCGATGTCATGACGCAGAAGCCGAAGGCGGGGTTTTGCGGGGCTCCGCTTGGTGATATTTGCCGGTGCTAAGGTGTATTTCTTTGGCGGCAAAGATTGTCGGCAGTCGGCACGATTCGAAGACGGCGAGAAGTTATACAGGAGAGTCAATGAGGGAAAAGACGAACTCATCTGGATTGAGGCTCATCTTTCTGAGCTGCGGTACGAGTTTGGGTGTTACAGATAAGCAAAAGGGGGTCGGTTGTTCTCGGTTAGGGAGGAAGCTAGGCCGCATGTAGGTGGGATGTAGCTTGAGTCGTTCAACTTGTCAACTTCAGATCTTGCCATTCGCAGATGAAATTTTATCCATGACTAAGTCTTGGAGGGAGCTGGACATCTTTGCGGCAAACTGCTGAGCTTGATCCTTTTCTACCCGAAACTGCAGCATTGGGGTTGGATTCATATCGGCTTTCTACAACCTTAGCATCGGTACTATGCATACATGTCCGAAGAAAACAGTTGGCAACTGCGGTAATTGGGACAGGGAATTTTTGGCAGGGTACTTGAAATCTGTCTAGTTTCTTATCAAGCAAGGACGTATATATTAAGATTTGTGTTTAATGACAATGCAACGCTCGTCTCTCAAACTGCTCTCGCAAATGTACTGAAGATCTTCGATAACCTCAATCATATCTCCTTGATACGCCTCAAGTTCATCCCTAGACGCACACAACACTCTTCGAGGGGAAAATTTGAGGAAGCTCACGAGGAGTAAAATTCTATGAAGAGCTACTCGGTGTCCTCAGAGGTGACCTGCTGAGGCAATATGTTTTGCTGCGCTCTGAGAGAATTGATAATGATATTTTCATCAAGTAGCTTAGTGATTCGTATTGAAGCTCGTGGTGTAACAATCTATTCTAATACCCGAGGTAGCTTTATGTTTTGAGTCTACGAACTCTATGCTGCACATGGTTTTCGGGGTAAATGTTTGGCGCGCACTCGAATATTGGGAATACGTAAACATGAGATCGTACGCTATAGATTCACGCTTCCCGTACTTATTTAAAGTTGCTTCGCTTAGACTAGTGTCACATTCTTTTTCCCTTGGGTCCAAAAATCTTGTCCATTCGCCATCCCCATGCGCAATTCGATCTCTCCACGCAAATTCAACTTCAACGTAAACACCAACCGCAGAACAACAATGTCTTCATCTCACAGAAACTGTGACAAGGAGGAGTTCGAGAAGTTCGAGGCCAAGGAAAGTGGTGCAACTTCTGAGGAGGGCAAGGATCGCGAGAACAAGATTGGGAAGTAGAGCTATCAGAGGCATGTCAACTTCAGAGAGCTAATACCTGACTAAGTAATCTCCAAGCCAGACAAGATTTCCCAGTTGCCATTGGAGATCAAAGCCCATATTCTCGAAAACCTCTGCTCCGTCGACGGCACATGCTTAGCTCTTACCTGCAGGGAGTTCTACAAAGCCTACCGATACCATCACCCGGAACAATCCGGGACCCCTTATATCGTCGGACTCGAGGAATGGAATAACGCCGTTCACCAACATCAGCTTGGAGAGTTGATAGCCGACTTCATGCCGAAGGAGTTAAGCTTTTTCAGAGGCGGAAACACGCATAAGGCAATGTTTGTCACGGAAGAGCGTTTCCATGTTATCTTGAAAGCAGAGGCAGAGTGGTTGGCGGATGAGATCTCAGCGTTGGAGGAGGACATGATGCAGACAAGAGAGGAAAGTTTTGCTTTCCTGGCCATGGATCGCTATATGCATGGTTAAGTTGCGAATGACATGGTATTGGGTGTGAGGGGTGCATATCTGTCATCAATCGCGTTGAGACTTCTGTATTGCAATTCTGCTTAGTGGGATTCCACCATGCAAATGAATTCATATTCACTGCACTTCCTGGACTAGTTCTCCGCGCTGAGACGAGGGCATTGAGAACAGAGTGCTGTGAGCTGATAGCAAGAGCGACTTTGATAGGGAATAGGGCGAGAGAAATGGAACGTTTGTGAATTTTGCAAGTCGTGAATTAATAAGAATACACTTTCAGAACCATTTCATATTGTTTCATTTCAAGATTGGTGCTCTGGTACGAAGACCACTTTCTGCACCTGCATCTTGTTGAAGATGTCATAGCCTTCGATTGCCTCACTGAGAGGCATGAACTTATCTGTCATGAAGCTATACCTAATTAGCAGAGTCCTGACAACCCACAGATAGGTAACTCACTCAAGCAGGTGCTGCTTCTTCTTCAACATTTCGAGAGCCTGGGGAAAGATGCCTTGAAAGTATCAGTAGAGTTCAAACGGGGGCTTTCAATAACCTACTTCTGACGGGACATCGTCCCATTTGAATTCTCAAGTTCTTTCCGTAGGCCTGGTTGCCCGTCCATGGGATCTCTTCATTATGAACTCCGAAACTTGAGATATTGCCCCATGGTCTCATGAGCTCAAATCCAGTCTTCAGCGCATCCGCATGACCAACACCCTCAATGATCGTATCCGCACCTCTTCCATCTGTCAACTCCTTGACTCGCTTTTCAAGACCTGTCATTGTCAGCAGATTCATATGACATAGCAACATACCCACCAGCTCTATCCTTCTGATCATTCCACGGCTCGGCTCCCAACTTCTTCGCTAACTCCAGACGACTCTCAACACGATCGACAGCGATGACAACTCTCGGTTTGTATTCCAAAGCATTGATCAGAGCACAAAGTCCGACTGGTCCACATCCAATCAAAACAACCACGCTCTGATGAATAGTCTCCTCATCGAACCCTCTGAACGCATTGGCAGCAGCAAAATACCCAGTCGGGAAAATATCAGCCATCAACACCAGCTTCTTCTCATCGATCCCCTCTGGAGCCTTCACTGCAGTTGCATCGGCGAGTGGCACACGCATGTATTCCGCTTGGCCGCCATCCAAGAGTGGACAGCCGAACAAGAGACATTTCTCGCAGCGGGAAGAGAAGCCTTTCTGGCAGTAGAAGCATTCGCCGCATGATACGGTGAATGGCATTACGACGGTGTCGCCTACTTTGTGGTTCTTGACTGCGGATCCGATTTCCGAGACTTCGCCGGTTGTTTCGTGGCCCTGTGACATTTAGGAATGATCTGGATGAGATTTGAGTGAGCTTACCATGATGAAATCTGTCTTGCTAGGTTGGTGACCTCGGAAGACATGGAGTTCACTGGTGATGATCAGTAGTTGATATTCTAAGTAGGTTGATTACAGCTCACCTTCCACAAAGCGCTGAGTATTTCACTTTGATGATCATATCCGTCTGATCCACGATCTTGGGAATCGGACGATCCTCAATCTCAACCTTCAACGTCCCCTTGAAAACAACGGCCTTCATAGTGTTCTTCGACATCTTGACGTTATTTGTTGCTTAAAATGTGAGATTAATTCTGAAGGTAGAATTCGTTCAGTGAGAAAGAGTTGTTTTCCTGATCATGACCTGACGACCTCGGAAAGCTGTTGAACTGCTGAAGCCGAAAATGCGGGGAAGTGGTACCGAGGGTACATTTACTAGTCGCACACATGCCACCCGCGTTTCGAGCGAATCGATACGAACTCTTTGCTCATTTACTGGTGGAAAGAGGCGCTTATTCAGTTTTTGGCTGCAGCTTCAGATTAAGTTTCAGCTATTGACCAGGGTAGACGTCAATCATTCATCATTTGGTAAAGTTAATTGAGAGCCAGGTGGCCGGGAATAGCTCCTTATATCCTGGACTATGTTAGTTCCTCTGGGATAGTGCAACCACAGCGGAATTGAGAGAACGGTATTTGTGCGGGGCAATGGAAGAGCGGAACTCGTCATAGGGGAACGAGAGGGGTATGAGCTCTCATGCTGCATGTAGTTGTACAGGTGGGGCTCGTACGACATCAAACTTATTTCCATCCTCTTCTTGATTTCAATCCTCACCTCATTCTCATATATACCAGTATTCAAGCTGTATCCCAGAAAAGGATAAATTACAGAGAAATGGCAGGAATTCAAAAGGCCCTCGATGCAGGCGCAGTCCCGTCTCATATTTCCAACGTCTGTCCACCAGGAACCAAAGCATATCTCCTGGAAGTCGGCTGGCTCGAATGCGATGAGGGTTTCGTGGTTCGAGGAGGAAATACCTCATTGAAGAGTACCGAAGGAGAGTCATTTGTCAACAAGAGGAGAGAATTACCAATGTATTGTGTTCTCATCGATCATCCTCACGAGGGCTGCATTCTTTGGGAGACGGGTAGTGGGGTGGATTACCCCACGGTTTGGGGTCCACAGGTCGCGGATGTCTTTTCTAGGATCAAGTATGAGCCACGGCATGAGTTGAAGGCGGCGATTGAGGCAACGGGGCATAAGTTGACGGATGTAAAGAAGATGTACGGCTCTCATTTTGACAATGATGGATGGCTGACGAAGATAGTATTCTTGGACACATGCACTTGGACCATGCAGGAGGTTTGGATCAGTTTCTTGACCGCACTGATATCGAAATTTGGGTTCATGACAAGGAGTTGAGATCTGCCTTCTGGTCTGTAGCAACTGGGGCAGATGTTGGGGTTTATTTGGATCATTACATGAAGGTGAGATCATGGGAGCTTTCAAGAGGTTGCGTGCTAACTGGAGTAGCTGAACTTAAACTGGAAGACATTCGACGATAGAACTATGGATTTTTGCCAGGGGATCACACTTCATCATCTTCCTGGCCATACAGACGGTAAGTGATGTCCAATGTCAATTTGGACCACGAGTACTAAGCTGCCAAGGTTTGGTTGGAATGCAATTAAATTTGCTGAACAGTGGCACCTTCTTCTTCATCAGCGACCACTGTCATGTTATTGAGAATGTGAGCTTTCCAGGTTGACTCTGAAGAACGTTGCTAAAGTCCAGTAGTGGAGAGACGGAATTCCTCAAGGGTGGCTTGCTCGGTAAGACAATTTGGTCCTTTGCATAGGCTCGACGCTCACATATCATCAGTGATCATCCGGCTTGGTTTCAAAGTACGCAGAGATTGAAGCGTTTGGAAGCCACGACGAGAGGACGAGTTATTCCAGGACATGACAAGGAGACGTTCTTGCAGCTACAGAGTGAGATTAAAGACTATCTGAGTTAGGAAGCTCCGTCTGAGAATTTCAGAGATGGAGTTTGGGAGGCCCCTAAGGGAGAGTGTTAAGTGGATTCTGGTTGATTGGTCGGTCAGCTTGGGGTTGTAAGGTTAGGTCATCTCGTAGCTGTTGTAATACTTCACATCCTTTTAGCTGAGCTGAACATCGGTCATTGGTGATGCCGGAAATAACAATTTCTCCAATAATGACCGGGTTACCCCGCAGCTCTACCCCGCACGTCTCAGTTGCATCACATCCCACTAAGAGCGCCGAGCAACACGAGCTATGCAAGGATGTGAAGTTGGGGTTGCGCTTGTTTACAGGCGAGTTGATATTCAGCCCTTTAGAACTCTGGAGTTTGCTCGAAACGTTGGAAACCTACACTTCGTAACTACAAACGCAGTGGTCTGCAATAAATTTACTCCAATGGGTCCATCATCACTTTCAGACCTCAAGAGGAAAGACCTCTTCCAGACGAAGGGTTATGTAAATGCAGAATGGGTGGAGGCAAAGTCAGGCAAGACATTTGATGTCCTTGACCCAGCAACGTTGAAGAAGCTAGCAACAGTGCCAGAGATGGGAGCTGCCGATACAGCACTTGCAATTGAAGCGGCCTACCAAGCTTTCAAATCATACAAGAACACAACAGCTCGTCAGCGAGCCCGTATGCTTCGAAAATGGAACGACCTGTGTCTGGAACATATCGATGATCTGGCCTTGATCCTTACACTCGAGAATGGGAAGACCTTGACTGAGGCCAAAGGAGAGGTTACCTACGCGGCCTCTTTCTTAGAATGGTTTGCTGGCGAGGCCGAAAGGGCACATGGTGAAGTGGTTCCTGTTGCGAATCCGAATCAACGGATCTTGACCTTCAAACAACCGGTGGGAGTAGCTGCTTGTCTGGCACCATGGAACTTTCCAATTGCCATGATTACCAGGAAGGTCGGAGCAGCATTGGCAGCAGGATGCACTACGGTCTGGAAACCCGCCGGGGAAACGCCGTTAAGCTGTTTGGCACAAGCAGTGCTTGCTGAAGAAGCAGGGTTTCCAAAGGGAGCGATCAATGTGGTGACGACGCTTGACTTGGTGGCAGAGGTTGGCAAGGAGCTTTGTACAAACAAGCTGGTGAAGAAATTGAGTTTCACTGGAAGTACTCGGGTTGGAAAGATCTTGGCAGAGCAATGTGCTGGAAGCATCAAGAAGCTAAGCATGGAGCTGGGAGGAAACAGCCCATTCATCGTGTTTAACGATGCAAAGATTGATACTGCTGTGGAAGCTTGTATCCTGGCCAAGTTGAGAAATTCGGGACAGACTTGTGTCACTGCGAACAGAATTCTAGTCCAAAGCAAAATATACGAGGAATTTGCAGAAGCTCTGACGAAAAGGATCAAGGAGCTGAAGGTTGGAAATGGGACCGAGGATGGTGTCTTCATTGGTCCATTGACCCATGAAAGAGCTGTGGAGAAGGCAATGATTCATATCAACGGTAGGTGATATGGCTCTCAGCCTCCAATCCGCTAATGTCGCATAGACGCAAAGAAACACGGCGGGCAGGTTGTTCTCGGAGGAGCTCCACTGGAAGGAATGGGCGGATACTTCCTGCAACCCACCATAATCAAGAATATGAATACGGAGATGTTGACGACAAGAGAGGAAACCTTCGCGCCGGTTGTAGGTCTTTATAAGTTCGAGACGGAGGAGGAAGCAATCGATATGGCCAACGACTGCGAAGTTGGGCTTGGGGCTTTCATCGTAACTGAAAGTATTCCTCGTTCGTGGAGAGTGACGGAGGCTCTCGAGGTAGGAATGGTTGGCGTGAATCTGGGACTTCTTAGCGCGTGTGAAAGTCCATTTGGGGGTGTGAAGGAGAGTGGCTATGGTCGCGAAGGCGGTCGGCAGGGTATTCAGGAGTATTTGTCTGTGAAGTCGATGTTGATTAATGTTGCCAATTAGTTTTGCAGAAAGTATTAGATTGATGGGGGAGATGCTGGCAGACGGCAGCGATGTAGGTAGGGTCCATTGAAGATTTTGTAGCCTTCACTCCTCCTATATCCTTTCTCACCAATATCATTCTTTCGCAGATCGTGAACTTCGTGATTGACATTTTCTCGGGATACAGTAATACAGACAGGAGCGGAGTTTGGTTGCGAAGTGGGAGAGTGGGATGGCAATTCTTGACAGCTGCTCCAGCTTTAAAACTTGACATTCAGAGCTTCGCAGTTGGGAGGGGATTTGCCAGCTAGCAATTGAACCATCTCGAGAGGTTGTACCATCAGAATTGAAGGCTGCAGGTAAGCCGCTGTGGTTGGGACTGAGTGATTCTGGGTGATGGTTGTGATCGGGAGGTTTGTTATTGTTAGCGCGTTTGACAGGGAGTCCTTAGTGCATTCGAGCGCGCGTCTCCCTGATGTCTTCTCGTTGCTCTTTAATCCACACCTCTACACATCTCCCGGAACTCTTTCAACCGAATTACGAATATTCTTCGCCGAGCCTCCCTCACTCGTCCTATTCATCACTTTCTCTCCTAGTACTCTCACTCAGTCTACCCGTGCCCTGCCCGTCTCCAATATCGTCTCGACTTCTCTTGGCTGCTGATAGTTCAGCATCCAACGAGCTTGACTGCAGCCAGCTAGCTTGGCAATCGTATCATGGACGAATCAGTCGAGTATCGATACACACGCTTTGAAGCTATCGTTCATAGCCAAGATTGTTCTCGTCACTATCTGTCATCCACTCTCTCTGTATCAAGATTCGGAGTAATGGCAAAAAAGCTGGTTTCGGGCCGGAAAATTAAAATTCCGGGTATTCATGAACACCATCTATCCTCTATTCGTTCTCATAATATGATATGCATTGAATATGAATCAAGCCAATGTTAATCCCATATTATTCGTATTGCATCCCTACCTTGTAGCTTTCTTTTCCTGCTCCAGTACTTGCAACCTCTGACCCGTCCTCATCGAGAATCACTGATTGGTTGCATATTGTTAACATGCCAATTCTTCGCATGAAAAACAGCTAATGCGCTTACCTGGGCTTTGAATCCGACGTTCACCCATCCTCAATTTGGTGGGACTGGCTTGCATTCCAGCCATGTGCAGAACTGGCTGTTCCAAACGCTGAAAGGTTGTTTCAGTCTCTCTGGCAAAGATCTTGCGACCCGAAGCATCCTCGAGATCTCCTCGAGAATTGGAAGAGCATGAGAAGGTCTTTAGCATGGCCAAGTGAGTGCGGCACATTCTCAATGCACCTATTCAAGTGGCGTTAGATTCCTCCGCGAAACTCTCTGACACTCCTCTGTCTCGTATTCTCAATGATAGCAAAAATGCTCTCGATATACTTGGCACAGATCTGAAAGTCTCGTTCTCGGTTCGGTTCCTTGAGAAAGAGGAGCTGAACAACAATGCATTCCTGAATGCTAGACATACAGTCACGTGCTTGTGCCAGATTGAAGGGTACCTAGGTTACCATATACATGACACTATTGCGTTCATTGACTCTATCTATACTGTTCACTTCTGCACTGCTTTGGATATCGTCTATAGTCTATATCTCGACTTTATACTCCAAGCCAACAAGTATATCTCAAAGAAGATCTCTCAATTCCTAAGACGATCAGCAATGTCGAAGCATCGCAAAGAGCTCGTAAGCTTACCATGGAATTATTAGCACCTGTGTTTGGGTCTTCGCCTGTAGCCATTCTCGACATAGATAACTCCGCGTCCTGTAGCTTGCCTCTTTGTGTGTTTTGTATGTGCTATTCAATCACATTAGCTTGATTCTTCGTTGGGGTAGGCTGCCTGGGCACACACCTCTTCAATTGAATCTTTTACAATATAATGGTATATATAAACATCCTTCAGCTGATCTAGTCGATCTACCCGCGCTGCAGCTTGTGCCTCAACCATCGGGTTCCAATGCGGTTCCAGAAGATGCACGTGAGTTGCAGCTTGAAGATTCAGTCTTCCAAAGGTCAGCCGAGATAGCAAAGGAGAATGAGAAGCAAAATACCCGAAAGAACCAGTTCCATAGGAGAGGAGTAAGATCCTGATTTCTGGGACAGTGTTGAACTGGTAAATGACTGTACGTCGCTGCTCGATAGAGAGGCTTCCGTCGATGCGGACGTAAAGCTGCCCATGGTGCGACAGAGCTTCTTCTAAACAGTTCAGTGTTCGATTCCAATGGGAGAATATGAGACTAAATTCTAAATTAGTTCTCGAATCAGTGTCGGGCGGAGAATTACCTCTTGATTGGATCCATTTTATGTGCTGGTGAAGCCTTCTCGAGATTCTGCAGATTCACGACAACTTTATCTATCTTGGACGAATGAATAGCAGAGGCTGGAGCTGTTTTAGTATCCCAATTCACCATTGTACTATTCACCTGGTCGCCTCTCCATTGTTGACCATTGTCGAGGATTGATATGACAGGCTCTTGGCAAACCGAACAAGATTCAGGCCCGCTATTCAAAGAAATGTTTTCGGAACTATTCTGATCCAGTGTACACTCATAGCACACATTGTGACCGCAGGTACCGCGGAATGTTTGCTGGGAGTCATTTCGAGTATCGATCGTGTGTCCACATTTGTCACAGATGTTGTGCTCGCGAGTATGTTGACTGTCTGGGGTATCATCAATGATTGCTCCGCCGTGACTGCAGATTTGTCTGAGGGTATTTATCGCTCGGAGAAGTATTTGGCCTTGAGAATTCCCCGTTGCCGAGCCCAGTGCTTTCCTCGCATCCGCCCGGGTGATATTATAGCAACATCTTTCTCTCCCATTCAAGATAACCTGCTCGACCGCTTCAATCTTCCGTCGAGTACTGCATGAATTCTTCGTTCTTCTCAGCGATATGGTTTGCAGTACCAAACGGAGATTCTCCAAACCTTCTGGATCCTTTCTGCTTAACGGCTCCAGGATGTATTTTCGAGCGTTAGCGTGATTTTCGAGGGGCTTGAAACCCAGAAATTGTGTCAGGGAGAAGAGATCACTCAGTTTATTTTGTACTGGTGTTCCTGTCAGACACCATCGTCGTTCTGCACGCAGCTTTGTGAGTTCTTGGAAGTTTCTTGTAGATCGGTTTCTGATCTGATGGGCTATAAACGACGATCAGTATATGGTGTGATAAACAGAGGCAATCTTGAAATTTGTACCTTCATCCAAGACGATCCGGAACCACGATATTCTAGAAAGCATGCCGTTTGTGGAAGCATCAGAGGCTGCAGTTTTGTATGTTGTAAGTACGATATCAAATATACGGAGCTTGTCGCGAGAGATTCTTCGTCCGTTTCCGTGGTAGATATGGACTTGGAGCGCGCCTGGCCGCGTGTGTCTGAATTGAGATTAGCGTGATACTGGTAAAGGTCGTTAGGATGCCCACTCCTTGACTTGTTGTTCCCAGCCTTGGATTGCTGTGTCGATCGATCAGAATCAGAACTCTGCAAGGATGGCATCACAGGCTTACTCGATTTCGGGGCAATGATCAAGGTTGCGATTGACCGAATATCCTTCTTCTGATATGACAGATACCCATTCTCTTCGTTGTTTGATCTTTGGCAGGATAAGGTGTATAATATAAGAGCAAGTAGTGAGAGCGATTTCCCCATGCCCATCTCATCTGCTAGGATCCCTCCACGGCACTCAGCGGGCTCTGAAATCTTCGTGGAGTGTGTAATCTCATTTTGGAACCTATGGTTATTTAGAAGAGCCTCCTAAACAGGATTTATCATCAATATACTGAATGTACTTACACTTGTCTCCCATTCCTATTCACGGGTCTCCATAGTGTAAGCCGATCAGTCTCCACCAAGCCCTCTCGAGAAACCATGAACTTCAAGGCTATTAACTGATGTCTGCGTAGGAGCCACATGTTATCAAGGCAATGCCTGAAAAGTCCATACACATTCGGGAGGTGGATATGTGTAGTATCGAGTAAGAAACAATCACTAACTGCTTGAGGGTGGACGTAATTCTTGCATCCTGTTCAACCTGAAAAGATAATCGAGGGACACTCGTGTCATTCAGGACTGCCTGAATCTTGTCTGTAGACCCGATTTGACTCTCGGATGACGGCTCTAACAGGTAGCTAGAATTTGTATCATCCTCCTCCCCGTCCCATGAGAAGACGTGTGGGTTCTTGTAGGACACTGAAAGTTGACGGTCGATGGGCTCTTGCAGAAAGAGACTGGACTGCGACAAGAGAGACCCAACTTGTCCTAGAGAGTTTCTCGGTCCAAAGACGAGTATTTCAAGTGGCATGCCTAGTGTCCCATCTTGGCTCTGAACCTGCTTCATCCCTTGGCATGCGTATATGTCAAACCGTGCGGATGATACGGCCTTTTTGAGGACGATCATACCACTCGCAGTCTCATTGTCCAAGACTCCCATCTCTTGTTTTGCCGAGTTTAGAATAGTTATGCCATTGGCTCGGAAACGAGGTTTCAAGGTCGGTTCCCCTAGCCTTGAACTTGAAATTATGGAGACCGGAGAAGATTTCCACGCAAAAAGGAGCCCGTTTACAAGCTATTTTTGAAATAAGCATCTGCTACGACTGGAGGAGAACTTCATGAACCTACCATACCAAAACATATCTCTATTTCGTCACCCTTATTCCATGTTTCTGCTGCTTCTGTATTTGAAGAAGCGGTCAAGGGTGTCCAGGTGGTTTCTGTGGAACTGGGGACCTCGAGTGAATCACCAGAGCTCGGAGAAGAGATACAAGGCACCGGAGAGGGCGCATCCACTCTCATAGTTTCATCGCAGTAGGTATCTTGGTAGATGCTTACTGTCGTTCGGGGCGAGGCAGCCGAAGTACCAGCCTCTGAGAATGCGACGAGCCTCCTCTTTTCAACAAAACAGGGAGTACGAGCAAAGGAGACTCCTTCATCGTGAGGGTAAGGCCTCTTTGGACCTGGCATCGTATTCGACCATGGATTGCAATATTTGCCATGATTCTGAAAGAAGTTGAGGTTGCGATAAAAAGCGTTGTTGGTGGGTCACTCAGCCTTATGGACCACTGTAGGCGTCCTGCAAGGCAGCCGTAAGGCAGATTCAACCCTGGGACTTGGAGCTGCGTATGTCGTCCGTCTTGCGCAATAATTACACTCGGTGGCTTTTCCATGACTATAATGGAACAATCGTCACGGTAAAGCTAACTCTTTCATACCTCTCATCATCGATTTCTGTGTTCTTCCGAGCGTTCTATCTGGATTGGACGTTGATATCGATGCATTGTTGTTCTCGGATCTGTGATTCATGCTGGAATTCCATTTCATATGCAGTAACACGTAGCGGTGGCGGTGGCGCTGGCAGTGTACGGTCTGCACCTGGGCAAACTGTGTGCAACCACACCTGAAGGATATGTGCAGCAACTCAAGTGAACAGCGACCAATCCTCGCAATTATTTAATCATCATTCTCAATTCATTTTTGTCTTCAACAAGTTCTATTACTCGATCCAGGTCTCTTACAGAAGTCTCAACACAGTCCCAGCGATAAACAACCGAATTCACCCCTCACTGCCGAGAGTTATACCCAGAGATTGATGGCCTCGTCTGGACCTAGCCATTTTGAGAAGATTCTCGCCAATTTCAAAAAAAGACTTTCATCAGAACACACTGAACTGTTCCAGCTTACCACGTTGGATGACTTGAAAGCTTCAATCAAGAGGATACAAACGGAACAAGCGGCAAAGAAAGGGCTTCGGAATCTGAACAAGATCAAGCCTTTCTTGAACGGGCTAAGACAGTATGCCGAAGTTCTCGAGGTGTTTGTACAAGCTAAACCGGAGATACTTGCTTTCATATGGGTCAGTCACTAAGAAACATTCCGGAATCACACCTTGCTGATAATCAGAAATAGGGTCCAATAAAACTATGCCTCCAGGTAAGAGATCCTACAACATAGAGTTCGCTTGTGCTGAGTCGGATCTGCACTAGATTGCCTCGAAGCTTAACGAAGCATTCGACGCGTTACTGGACGCCTATGAGAAGATAGGAAATTCTCTGCCGATACTCTCAACAGTCGATGCACTATTCTGCAGCCATCCCCATGTGAAACAAGTCTTGGCCAATATATTCGAGGATATCCTAGACTTTCACAAGCGTGCGATTGTGTTCTTCAAACATGGAAGTACGATGAGAATCTTTCCTTCATGTATGGTTCTTCTGCTAATATTGTATACTTCTTCAGCATGGAGACTAACGTTCAAATTAACCTACCACACGTTTAGTGATATGTTTAGGGATATTTTGACGAAGCTAGACCGATCTCAAGACTTAATACTTCAATCAGCAAACGTCGCACATTTCCAAGAATCTCAGGATGCTCGGATTCTCTTCACGAAACAAATGGAAGTGTTGCTAGAGGCAGAGCGAAATCAGCGGAAGAAGGCTGTCATTGATTGGCTCTCGAGTGACTCAAGCTCTACAACTCAACACCAAGAACTTGGGCAGATACGGAACATGTTACCGCAGACGACGCGATGGATATTCTCGCAGCCACAGATGTTGAGCTGGCTCAAACGTACCGAATACACACCGTGTACATTTTGGCTGTGCGGAATTCCAGGAGCTGGTACGTCATTCAATCATCGATCTTTCTCTGTTCTTCGTAAAGCTTTGGGCTAATTCATTGACGTAAAGGCAAGACGGTCATCTTCAGTTCAGTAGTTGATGAGATCGGTGCAACTCTTCCAAATGCTCAAGCTGTATACTTCTACTGCAAGAACAAGGACCCTCTTCGATCACATTTCACCGACATTATCAAGAGTCTTATTTCACAAATCCTTCAACTGAATCCGAACTGCTTGGATTTCATTTACGAGTCCATGCTCTCATACAGTGAGCGGCGGGCCACAGATGCTTCGAAACTTCTTCAGATACTCGAGCAAATACTATCAAGTCATGATTCATTGTACATCGGAATCGACGGCCTCGACGAATGCTCCGAGCAAGAACGTAAGCTACTTTCAAACCTGATCACCGCCGTTTCGAGGGCGAACGATGCCCAGGGAAATGTTCAACTAATTGTCACGAGTCGGCAAGAGAAGGATCTCGAGAGGTCGTTGAAATCGGCAGTCAAATTCAACATACGGGAGAAGAATCTTGAATCTGATATCACAGCATACATCACTTGTAAAATGACCGAGTTGTGCCAGATATTTCATTTCACTCAGGAACGGAAACAGCTGATTACGAAGGAGATCTGCACACGGCCCAAAGGTGAGCACCTTCTCGAATTTGGTTGGAACACCATGCTGATAGAGACTAACCACAGATATATTCCTTCTGGCTCGCCTCATTATGCACAACTTGTTATCTCAAGATAGTCTAGAAGATCTGAACGAAGAGCTAAAGTTTGAGGTGCTCCCTCACGGTATAGAGGAAGCGTATGTCACCTTTCCACTCGAGGCTCGAAACTTAATACTGAACACAACTTACAGATACGGCCGTATGCTGGTCAGAATTGGAAAAGCCGGATCCAGCAGTCCCAATCAAATGGAAAAGCGGCGGCAGAGAGCAAAGCTCGTCCTCACCCTCGTTACTACGTCACATCGAGCGTTATATAAACACGAAATTCAAGGTGCTCTTGCCATCAACCTCGAAGAACAAAACGTCGACTTCGAGAATAGGCATTCAAGATTCCCACTTGATGATCTCTGCGGACCAATAATTCAAGTTCGTCAGAATGGAATTGTTGATCTGATACATCCAACCGCGAAGGAGTAAGTCACCAGTTCTCCTCTGTTAACACGAAGCTGACGAGAGTAGTTATCTTTGGCAATATCACAGCGGTCATTACATCGTATCTTCTGGCGCTGAAGAATTTATGGCAACTCTCTGTACCTCGTATCTTACATTCGATTTCTTGAGTCCAGGACTGGCGGGGGACCTATTTGCCGCAAGAGTCATGAATGGTGACTTTGCTTTTCAAGAGTATGCGGCATGCAACTGGTTTAAGCATTTGAAATCTCTCTTCAGTAATACCGATGTTGAAATCCTACTCCCGAAATCCTTGCAGACAGCAATTCTGATCTTACAAGAACGTCACAAGATCCAATCAGCGTGCTCGTCAAAATTGCAATCAGGTCAACTATGCAAAACAGATTTTGATCGAGTATTGATTGAGGTCGAGCAGCTCTATGATCAGACGGATACGATATCAGCAGACGGTTCAGAAACACGTAAGACTCGGATCTCTTGAATAAACATGCTCTAACTTTGAACAGAGGAGCGAATGCCATACTTATTACCGCAAATCTACCATTCCCGGTCCGTGATTGAAGACTGGGCAATCAAGGGTACGGAGCAAGAGAATCTCGACAAGTTCTATGGAAAATTACCATTTCGATGCCCAGTGCTACAGTGCCCTTACTTTGTGACCGGGTTCAGGAATCATAAAGAACGAGAAAAGCATTGCAATAATCACCAGAGATCCGTCATGTGCCCCCACGACACCTGTGACTATTCTGTATTCGGGTTGCCATCGGATTCAGCCTTGAAAACTCATCTCAGACTATGTCACGAGGATCCGTCTCAGACTGTAGTGTTCCCGCAGATAAAGAGTCGCTCATTGGCACAGGCACTCGAGGACGCAATAGCGGTGAAAGATATTCTTGCCATCACAGCTTTAGCCACAGAGCTAGCTTCCTTGCCCGAGAAAAAGGAGGGATTTGTTTTGCAGGCTCTGATACTTGGGCACAGAGAAGCAGCATTGATGCTGCTGGACTTGCTCGGGACCCCTTCTGAACTTGACCATGTTCACAAGAAGAGTGCAGCTATTCTCAAAGTGTGTGAGACTGGAGATGAGGAATCGTTTGATATTCTGGTAGAGAAAGGTGCCAATGTCAATATTCTTCCGGATGTGGATGCCCTTACAACAGCAGTTCGAAACTGCCACCTTTCCATTGTCAGGAAACTACTACACAATCCGACCTACAACAGGGAAAATTCCCGTGCATCTTACAGGAGAAAATGCGTCCTTGCTATGGCGGAGACATGTGGTCTTGCAGAAGTCGTATCTCTTCTCCTAGAAAGAGAATCGGATTATTTCTTAAAAAAATCTAGACGATATGCCCCGGATTTTAGTCGAGCGCTGAACGCTGCAATCAAAGAAAGGCATGTGTCGTGCGCCAAGATTCTTCTGGGCTGGGCATTCGAAAAGGATCCATCGATACTGCCACCTAAAGTACGGAAATTTTCACGAGATAACATCGGTCTTGTGATAGATATTTTGTCAACAGAACAGGAAAAAATTATGACAGCAGGTGGTGGGACAAAAGGCAACGCTCTGCAAGCAAAGGCACGCAAGGGAGATTGTGAGGCAGTGTCGTATCTCCTTGACCTAGGAGCCGATATCGACAACCTTAGTGGGGATTTTGGAACTCCAATGATGGCTGCTGCATCAAACGGCAAGCTCGAAATGATTCACTTCTTAATTGAGAGGGGAGCTGATATCATGAAAAAAGATGACAGCAATAATGGAAGTGGGGGGTCAGCAATAGACGTAGCAGCAGCAAATTGCCATGAAACGGTGGTTCAAGCGCTGTTGGACAAAGGGGCTGTTTTCACACATGATAGTGCCCACATAGTCAGCTGGTGGCCTTTAACCGGCAAATCGTTATCTCTTCAAGCACTTAGCCATAGGGCCGACCCAGCAGCGCTGACAATAACCAGACTTCTCCTTGATAGCGGAGCAAACGCTGACGCAATAACAAATGGAGCAATGTACAGCCTAGAAACACGCACGCCTTTGCAACTTGCAGCGCAATTTGGAAATGAGGCCAACTTACAAGTGCTCCTTGAATACGGCGCCGATGTAAACTATCAGGGTTCTGCCGGATACACACCACTACAACTCGCTATCAAGAGAAGCCTTCATAGTCTGCCATCTATTCTAGCATTGCTTGCAGTAGAAGCAATTGAGGTCAATGCCAAGAGCGAGTACCCGTCTGGTATGACCGGGTTACACTTGGCAGCTAAGTTGAAGAAGTCAGATATAGTAGAAATTCTCCTAGACCATGGGGCCGACATCGATACGTTCAATACCGAAGGAGAGACTGCGTTAGTAGTGGGAGCGGGTCCCCTTGATGTGGAGTATTCAGTAGAGAAATATCAAGAAACTATTCGCATTCTTGTCGAAAGGGGCGCTGATCTTGAGGCGGTTGATGTAGATGGAAATACAGTGCTCATGGTGGTTGCCAGACACCCGAAACAGCCTCTGGAAGCGATCCAATATCTTCTTGGAAGACAAGCGGAAGTCTCCACCGCGAATTTCAAAGGGTTCACTACATTGATGATAGCGGCAGATCATGGGAATGACCTTGTTGTGGAATGTTTGCTGCAAAGCAGGACGAGTCAATATCTTGAAGAAGACGAAGAAGTGTGGAGTGCTATGGAATCAGCTACTCGGAACGGCCACGTCAAAACCGTCAGAGTATTCCTAGAGTTTTCAAACAAGACTATCGGCAGAGACTATCAACACCTGCTGTTTACGGTTCTATCTGTGGAGAATGCGAAGAAGAAGTCGGATATGGTCAGCTTATTTGAAGAATACGGAGCAACGGTCTCAATGAATGGGCCGTTTTAGCGTGCTCGACAAGAAACACCTGTTTAAACTAGTTTAAGTTGCAGTTTTCAAAAACTTCTTAAAAAGTGTACCTGATCATCGGGTAGCTGTCATGTTATCTATAAAACCTTGATGTAACGCAAGAGAAGTTGCAGGGACGGATGTCATTTTCGCAATTCATTAGATTATAAATTGTCCCTGTTGATTCTCAGCTGTTACGATTACGCTCTAGCACGAGAGAAGGTCAAACCAGGGGGTGTAGCTTGATTTTTCTCAAGTAGTCGCAGATGCCATCAACTTCAAGATACTCGATCAAGAATACCGCTTCTACGTACTTAGAGGCCGTATCTCGTGAGCTGAAGTAGGTGTGCTTCGGTGCACCTAAATATTGTAGAGTAGCTGACTAATGTGTGAAACCTGACACATTGTGGTGGGACTGGGTCTATGTTATATGAGTGCCGTAGACTGCACTCGCATGGAGGAAAGAGATTGACTTGAGTTGCATGAGTAGATCGGAGCTTAGATACCCTCAAGAAAGAGGCTCTGAAGCATACATCTGGTCATTTGCGCAGAAACTGGAGTGTAGCAAGGTGATATCTTTGACAAGAATGGATCGTCGAAGGTCCATCGATAGCGGCATCGAAAACGGCATCGAAAAAAAGATACGTACCATTCTACAAATACTACTATGCCTCTCGCGATAATGATTTAATGGTGCCAGCCACCAGTCCCATTAGTATTGTTTTGCAGCTTGTGAATATGCCACTTAAAGATGCTAAGCATAATGATTGGTGAATAAGAGCACTGAACATAGCTGCCGAAGCGAGCCAGAAGATATATAATATTGAGACTTTTCCAAATCAAACTGATCCGAAGTCATGAAGACTTGACTGCGAACTTATACTGATCCTTCCTATCAAGATACACAACCTTATCACTAAGACCCGCCTCATCCATCACCTTCTTGAAATCCTCAAGCGGCGACAAAAATACATCGTAATCATCATAATGCACCGGAATCGTCAAATCGGGGTTGATCAATTGAACGAGTTGCAAACCCTGTTTAGCGTCCATAGTCACCATCAAGAGAGGTAACTTAGGCGAGGGAATAGTCGTCCCTCCTAAGTGGATAAGCATCAGGTCGATGTTTTGACCTGCATATCGTTCGGGGATCTCTTCGAGCTCGTCGACCATGAGGGTGTCGCCTGAGATGTAGATGCGGTAGCCACAGGAGAATTCGGCATCGGTGTTGTAACCGAGTTCTAGCATCCAGCCGTTTGTTGGAGGAACCTTTGTCGATGTCAATTTGGTTGTTCAAACATGAATTTGGGTTGTCTTACTGCTTTCATAAGATCATTCATTGTACCGAGAACTCCTGGTGGGACATGTTTCCCTGGCATTGCAGTGACTTTCATAGCTGGTACCTTGTTAGGTTTTTGCTCTTGAGAAGCAGGCTTAATGTCCACCATCATGCTTTGGAATGTGTCTAGCTCATGGACTGCAGTAAATGCTTCGTTTTCACCGGCCTTGTGAGCTAGGTGAGATTTTGCGTGTGGAGTCGTAATGATGGGAAGAGAGCGTCTGAGTGAGGCTTCAACATCTTGGTCGAAATGATCACTAGCAGAAGTCAACATCCCAACTCAAACAAACATCTTTCTTCGACTAAAATTTCTAGTTCAAGAACATTTACTGGCACTTCTACCTCATTCTACAAAGAAAACACTTACGCATGATAATGGCTTAACAACACAACATCAATCCTCGGTAACTCATGCAGGTTCACAGCCGGATTCGTCTCCCTCGTTCCCGTGACGCCAGGCCCCAAATGCACATGATCACCCTTGTGCAAGAAATTCGGATCAGTCATTAACCTCACTCCTTCCCATTCTAGAATCGTAGTAGCTGTGCCGACGAAGAATATTGAGGCATTTTCTGATCCGGGATTGGTTGGGTGGGCTTTGATTGATGTAGCGGTGGGGAGACTAGAGGGATGCGCCGGGTGGTCGCGGGTAGGTGGTAAGTCGGTCGATAGGTCGAGGAGGAGGCGGGGAAGAGACATATTGATGATTTTGCCTTGTGGTGGAGTTGGAGATGATGAGGGATGAGTGAAGAGCGATGAAGTATGCTTATATTTATTCTGGGCTTCTATTTTGCCTTCATGCAGCGTGCAGTAAATGGTAGACGTCATGCACGTGAGGCTCTAAGATGAATAATACAAATTGGATATTTGCCTTATTCAATTGATATTGATAGGACAAAATATTCATATTATCAAGATGAATAGCCTTAATAATCATAACTTGATCGTAGAGATATGACTATTAATCGCGCTGCAGATGACACGTGATACTGCCTATATATAATCCAATTATGCAGAGCTTTATATGCACATGACCGCTGAAACCAGTTAAGTTTCAAGATGATCGGCATTTGTATAATGCGAGGTAATGGCTTCTTGCGAGAAGCGACGTAATAGGGGAGACAACGATGCGAGGGGCAGGTCCGAGTAGTCAACTCCATCAAAACTAGCCACTTTCCATGTTCTTTCCGCAGGATAACCAAATCAAACCGGTCCATATTTCCTTTTCCACTATAAATTATTAGCAATAGGCTTGCCTTTATTATTTGCGTGTACATTATGGAAGCTCCAACGAAAGCAAGTGTTGAGCCGTCATCCGCCGAGGGGGGCAATAAAAGTCAAGGTACAGCAGATAGCACGGTAGCAATTGTTACTGGCGCAGTTGGTGGCATGGTGAGAGCCATTGCTGAAGCATTTGCACGCGAAGGCCATTCTCTCATCTTATGCGACCTCGCTCCCGGTGATGATGTGCAAGCCGCAATTAAATCAACATCGGCATCATCAACGCTGTCTATCACCACCGTCACAGGCGACATCGCAACACCAGATTTCCCAGACAAAGTGCTACAAGCTGTGGGTGAGCGCAGAATTAGCGTCTTAGCCCACGCGGCTGGTGTCTCTCCTTCTTTCAAGAATGGCAAACGCATTTTTGACATTAACTTCACGGCAACAAAACGCCAAGTAGAGTCGCTTCGGCCGCGAATGTTAGAACCAGGAGGAGTAATCATTCTCACTGCCTCTTTGTCTGGCACTTTCATAGCGAATACTGTCATTGACTTTGGAGTAACCCGTCACATCAAGGGTCATTGGCCATCTACTGTTTGGATAATGAGTCGTTGGAGTTATACGTCGTATGCAATTTCAAAACGCTGCGTTCAACTATATGCTCAATCAATGGCTACAGTGCTAGGATCTGTTCGGGTGCGGATTGTTAGTGTCTTGCCTAGAGTTATTGACACTGCGATGATGACGGATTATGCCCAAGAGCCAGCTCTTGTGACGTTTATCGAGTCTTCCGGGCTGAAAAGGATGGGCCGACCTGACGAGATAGCATCAGTGGTCTCGTTCCTCGCCTCTCCCGGCGCGAATTATGTCACTGGTATTGACATCTTGGTAGACGGTGGTCTTACTGCTCAGCGTTGGAAGGCGATCACAACGACGATCCGAGAGCTGATCAAGAACAGACCTGGGAAAAGAAAGAAGAATTAGGATAATCTTGAATGGGAAGGGCAACAAGTGACGTGGTGGCATTGGAATTGAATTTCTGTGTTTTGTATGGATCTAGGTTATGGCAAAAGAGGCTATTCAGATCTTCGAGCATTATCGCCTGCCAAAGTATGAGTAGTCTTTACCTCGAGAAGCTTTTCCCTTCATAGCTGTGATTTATATTATCGTCGAGGTTGTTTTTAATGTTTGTGATGATACCCATAGGTGATTGGCTACGTGCTTTGGGGGCGCAAGTCCAAGAAAGCCACAGTCGCCCAAAGAGGAATGGTGCTGGAGAAGCGATAGCCCTACTCGTAACCCTCAGACGGTTTTATCCCAAACAACGCTTTTCCCTGCCACCTCCTTACTTCTTGCTTCTCGTTCTCAGCTGCTTGGGAGCTTTTTGATAACTCGCAAACGACCATGGGACAGTATTCCCCATTAAGATATGACCACAAGGAGTTTCGTCTTCTCAAAGTCCGACCCCCGATCTCTTCCGAATCCAATATCTCCTCCCAGTCTCTTCAGGTATCACTCATCCAATGCGATCTATTCGTTGCCTCTCGAGTAGATCCACCTGACTACCTGGCATTGTCTTATACCTGGGGCGATCCAAATAAGGTTGTCCCGATACAAGTCAATGGCAGCACACGAAATGTCACCCTCAACCTTCGCACTGCGCTTGAGCACATCCGACGAGAGCACGAAGAAGTAGTCATCTGGGTCGACGCAATTTGTATAGACCAGACCAATTTTGAAGAGAAGAGTGACCAAGTCCAAATTATGACTGAGATATACGCTTCTGCCCAGTGCACGATTGTGTGGCTTGGACTAGCAGGAGATGGAAGCGATGAAATAATCAAGAAAGTGAATGAAATTGGCGGGAAACTTGCAAAGCGGAATACCAGAGATGGTACGACTCTTCCAAGTTTGACGGATCTGACGTCCGAGTTGCTCTTGGTTCCAAGAGAGACTGTCGCAGGTTCAAAGCGATCCCATTCCTTGACTGAACAGATAGACGAGCAGATAGGGAAATTAGTTGAGGAAGCCAAGCAGGACATTCCCGGAACTATCGCCTCCCTTGAAGCATTTGGCAAGCTACAGAACCGAGACTATTGGAGAAGGGTCTGGGTTCATCAAGAGTTCATCGTCTCAAGGGACATCGTCATCCAATGTGGCAACTCAAATATCGAATTTTCAAAGTTCAGTGACGCGATATTATACTATGCTCAAATTCAGTTCAAGGTTGCAACAACGCTCTCTGCAAGTTTGCGGAATTTGTTGAAGAATTCACCGCCAACTATCCAGGCAAAAATAAATCGTTGGATAATGGATAAATGGCCAGAGAGCAACAACGACCCCGATCTAGAACAATACAAAGCTATTTTGAACTCATTCAACAACCTTTGCAAATTTCGGACTCCTCTACCAGCTTTATTCGGAATGCGTCGCTCATATCACAAACCTCGGACGGGAGACAGGCTCAATAGCTTCACTTTGATAGCGATACTATCTTCGGTCTTCATTGGTGGAACTGCAGAAGCGACTCAAGCAAGAGATCGTATCTACGGCATGCTTGGAATGGCAGACGACAGGAAGGAACTCGGTCTTGTGCCTAATTACGATGAAGCAGTATCAGACATCAAGGTTTATACAGATGCAGCGCGTGCTATGATTACAGCAGGGCGTGTTGATCTGCTTTCTCTATCACAGCACCGAGCCCATCTGGACAAAGACACAGGCCAGCAAGAGGAAAAGAGTTTCCCGTCGTGGGTACCAGATTGGAGCAGGCCTATCGTACGACAAAGTGGACACACAACTTTCGCCGTTTCCGGTAACGTACCCTTCAACATATCTCCCAGTCTCACGAATCGTATTCCGGGACAAATAGGATTACTCGGCTGGACAATCGACACAATTGAGACGATATTGCCAGCCTGGATCGACCCAGACATCCAAGGCAGCGGCAACAAAGAAAACGCCGACATCTTCCTCACTAACATAAAAATACTCTGCTTAGCATCAACCGCTAAGCTGGGCGTCACAGGCCACGAAATCTACGCTCGAGTTGTAGATCGAAAAACAGCTCACTTCCGCATCCCAATCGCAGACCAAGAGCGGAGCGATGGTGGACACATTCGTCGCGCGACAGAAAACTCAAGAGATGGTTACAGTTGGGTCAACAAGCCCTTGCTGGGTATATTGCAAACGCAGGGGATAGAGGAGATGAATGCTATTTCGATGAAATGTATGAAATACCTGGAAGCTATGAGACTTCAAAAATCTCGTCGCCCGTTCCTCTCGATTTCGGGGTATGTGGGGCTGGTTCCTGAGTTTACGGAGGAGGGAGATGTGCTTGTTGTGTTTTGCGGGGCAAAGTTTCCTTATGTCTTGAGGAGGAATGGTGATGAGACGTATAAGTTTATTGGGGAGGCTTACGTTCATGGAATTATGGATGGTGAATTTGTGAAAACTGCAAGGGAAGCAAAGGAATTCGTCTTACAATAAATAACGGATGAAGCTCACCGGTGGTTGTGTCAGTGACGGGAGCTATATTTGGGCTCTCGAAATAATGGTATAATACAACTTTCAATGGTCAGGCATGCTGAAGTAAACGTAGAATCCAAAGGTTATATAAGCTACGAGGTCATATGTTATAAATACTCAATCTCTATACCACTTCTCTTTTCCTTGATTTCTAGGTCTTGGCGTAATATTCATACAGAACGAGAAGTCTCAACTTCTTTTCTCAAAGCCAAAGTTGGAGCAGCTCCTCAATCTGCAACCAGCTTTTTCAATATTGCTGAGCCTACACTCGAGCGGCGGAACTTTACTTGGTAAGAGGACCTCTTTGCACAAGATGCTCATTCTCCTTCTATTGTTCGGGTGACCTCCAAGGTTTATAGAAGAGTTGCTCTCTACGAACCTGGCGAGTATGTGGCAACACTGAATTACTACAATGGCACACAGACGGTTGCCAATTGGCTCGTGCGGCCTCTCCAGCAGCAGAAGAGAGCCAAGAGCGTTATCCTGTTCATTTGTGATGGAATGACAACAAATATGATCACTGCTGCACGCTTGATTGGTCACAAGAGCATCAATGGCAAATATCACAAGTTTCCGGTTCTTGGACATCAAATGGTGAGAATATCTCTTTCTCTTCTGTGCTCTCTAACCTTAAATAGACACATTCACTTGACAGCTACATCACCGACTCCGTCAACAGTGCCTCGGCCTTGTATTCGGAACACAGAAGTACAGTCAATGCTCTGGGGGGTGTATGCCGATTCAAGGTGGTATGTCTTCGCTTTCAGGTGTCCATCGTCTAACACTTCAAGTGCCGATCTTTTCGACGATCCAAAGGTTGAGACGATTGTCGAAATTCTCACACGCATATGGGGAAGTGCAATCGGTGTTGTTAGTACCGCTTTCATTGCAGACGCAACTCCCATCGCTCTCAATGGACACACCAGACTTCGATCCCAGTACGGAAATCTGATCGATCAGGCGCTCCGCGGAGTGACCAATTACACCTGGACACCATTCTCGGGGCCTGATGTTTTCTTTGGAGCTGGAGCTAAGCGATTTATTGCCGGTTCCAGATCTTTCCAGGGCAAAGACTATTACAACGAGTTTGCGAATTCCGGGTACACCGTTTCTTTGAACAAGACATCTTTACTCAAAGTGTCTAACGCTACCAAAGCTCTCGGTATCTTCTGTACCTCCAATCTCCAGTGTGGTTGGATCGAAATATATACACTGGCTATCTCAACACGACCAAAAATGATCCTACAGGGAATAAGAAGCCAGTTTTGGATTTGCCAGGCCTGAAGGAGATGACCTTGAAAGCTATTGATATCCTTTACGCACGTGGAGGTGACAAAGGCTTCTTCATGATGTCTGAGGCTGCATCTATTGACAAGCACATGCACACTCTGGACTATCATCGTGCGTTGGGTGATTTGTTGGAGTTGGACGACACTGTCAATGCAACTAAATTGAGTGCCTGCCCTAGGAGGTGAGTTCTCAGACCACAGAGAAAAGAGTTTGCTCATCCGTATAGAACTCGACCAAACTTTGATTATTGTGACTGCCGATCATGGCCACGGTTTCGTTGTCTTCGGATCCGCTGATACAAAATATCTCAGCTCAAAGTTCGATGACCGAGAGAAGCGCAATGCAATCGTAGAGTATACCAATTCTGGTCTCAGTCAGTATACCGTGACCAACGCCAGCATTTCATACAACACAGGAGCCAACTTTCCTGTCAACTGGAATCCAAGATACACTCTTGCTCAAGATGTTGGTGCAAACCCTGATCACAGAGAGAATTATCGTGTCCATAAGTCAGGCCCCCGTCTTCCAGCGACCAATGTCACAGGCTTTTCAAATGACGATTACTTTGTCAATCCGACGGACAATACTGATGGGTTCATTGTGAATGGAACGCTCCCAACGTATGATCCTCTAATTCCATTTTCCGTTTTGAGCTGACAGATCTGCAGCAGTGAGGCACAAGGTGTTCATTCCTTGACAGATGTTCCCGTCTTTGCGATGGGACCATGCCAAGAACTCTTTGGCGGCGTCTATGGAAACATTGATATTTTCTTCAACATGGCAAATTGCTTGGGTCTGGCTAGACCGAATAATGCAACGGGTACAAGTAACTCAACTGCTAATCCTATTACAACATCTTTTCCATTCACTGGTGCAGCGCCTTCCAATGGCGCTCAGCGCGGGCTACGGGCCGGCATGCTTGTGTTCCAGATGGCAATCGGATGGGTTGCCTTAAGTATTTGAGCACCGTTGGGAACGGATCATGGTTACAAAAGAATGGCAATGTTGAAGCATAATAGAGAATGAATGAATACATGAGTCTACCAGAAGCCAGGTACAACAGAGAGGATTTCAACCAAATACCACCGCCTTGATCAAGCAAAGGGAAGGGATTTCGGAACTCCATAATCGTCGCAACTCGCAAATCTCCAGGCCCCTTTCAACTGTGGGATATAAACCCAACGGAGGATTTGGCTGACGAACCAAGGGAAGGGAGGAAATCGTGCTCCATGAATGCCTGATTCATAGGTAACGTCCGAATTCGTGATGAGGAATGGCACTTCGCGGACCTGCTGCGAGTTAGCTCGACTCTTCTGAAGTTGTGTGCAATTTACCCTATCTGCAACCTTCTTTGAGTGCTGAGCCATTGCCTTTCCCAGCAAGTCCCAGTCAATGCCTTGATCTTTCTCTAATTCATCAAGAAGTCCAATCTCACTGATGAGATGAGCCTCGAGCTTTGGTCCAAGATCATCAAGAATTTTCTTGAACATCTCTTTATCATAAGACCCTCCTGCTCTCACGCCGGTGACAAACTTATCGAATGCAACCAAGCCAGGAAGAAACGTCTCATGCTCATCGTGATTCTTGCTTGCGACTCCTTTCTCTTTGCATTGCTCGTCGAGGAGGGGAAAGTAGACGGTTTCTTCCGTCTTGTGATGCGAGTGAAGTGTACAAGACCATGCATCACAGAATAGCATGAAATCCTGGATATCCTGCGGTGCTTGGATATTCGGTGCTTGTAGGTAGATGCAATTCAGTCCTCGGAGGAGAATGTTGTGAATCAACGCCATCTCGGATGCATTTTTAGATGCACCTGATTCTTCCTTCCCCTGAAACACAGATGAGTAAATTACCCGAAGCTGGGTTGCAAAGTACTTGCATTCAGGGTAGAGCGCGGAGTGGAGAGGAGTTTGAAGGGTCCATCAGCCCATTTCTTTTCTGTTGCCATGTTGAAGTGCTGGAGTTTTGGAATCCAATGAGAAGGAGTTTATTGGAAAGAAGGAACGCCATGGTGGTGAGAGAGCTGTAAACATATATTGCTTCGCTGCACAGATTTGTGATACTGGTCTCATTATTGATAGGAATCATCCGACTTCTGGCGTGATTAAGATGCGTCCTCTAGGAGGGGTCGGAAATGACACGTGATGGCGGGGTTGGAGATTTCATCGTTCGTTTCGTTTGCAGGTTTGGGTTTCTGCAAGAAACAATCACAATCACGGTCCCATCGTTCCCCCGACCCTCGAATCGCGCGCTTCTCGAAACGAGTGAAGTGGCAGATTGATTTGGCACGTTAAGACGCGCATTATGGATGAATATCTACTCTGCGACACGAACACCGTAGAGGAGCTGGGTACCTCTTCATCCGACTTTTCACCTCTGTCGAACCACTCTCTCGGCGTGGGTTGCCTCATTCCGAAAGATTGCTCGAAGCATAAGGAATGTCACGAATATGGTTGGAGTTATCATACAGTACGGGAATGGCAGAGCACAATCCTGGTTGGGTAGAGGCTTCTGGATATAGTCATACCAGATGCAGACTTCGCCCTGGAACCAACCGATTCTTGCAGAGAATACATGATTCTCAATCAAATTCCCTTCTTTCACCCCAAGCCGTAGAAAGGCTGAGGACGAAGAGAAACTCCAAGGTGCCAAGTGAGCCTACACGGAGATATTCCACCGAAATTCTGAACGAATTCGCAAACCCTCTCCCAGACGCATGAGCGGATGAACTCAAGCTCTCTGGAGATTTGTGCAAGTGCTGCAGATTTCCAGGAAATGGAGAGCTTTTGCAGATTCCAAGACAGTCGTCACCTAGAGCCGGGGTCTATGGCTTTATCCTAAGCACACTTGCAAATTTGCAGAATGACAGAGTCACACAGAATGAATGTCCCTGCTCGTCACTGGAATCTCTTCCGAATTTCTCCCCACAATTTCAAAGGATCGACGTGGAGCTTTATTCCCACGTTGAGCCCTACGATGATTTTCACAGGGGTTCCTCGTTGTGTGTCATCCGAGGACGAAACCGGCAAATCTTGCGCCCATGCAAAAATTCAGCGCATGTTCAGATCTCAAGCTCGAATCGTCTCAGACATCAACTGCTTTGATCTCATCTTGACATTGCATGAAAAATTTATCGGTTAGCGAGTACATCGGCAAGCCAGTATTGGACTGGCCAAGTAATCCAACGTCACTGGTCCTTTTTCCCAAGCTGGCATAAAAGGCTTGACTCCACTAGACCATGTCCAGAAGAAACCATTCCGAGCCTCCTCCCACAATTCAAGCATTGTCACACACGGGCCGTCTTGAGAAGATGAGGTTAATACAACATCCTTTCCGGTACCTCAATTTCCTCATCTTGCCCTGGTAGGCTGTTAGAGTATATCATGGTGCTTCCCGTAATGTGAGCTAAACGTGGAGTGAAAACCTCTTGGCCAATATTTCCTTCATTCATTCATTATGTTGCTATTCACATTATCTCTTTTAATCACTGCAGCTTATGCTGTTTCTCCTCTGGCAGTAGGTATTTCTTGGGTGAGATGTTGTTGATGCTGATGTGTGATAGGGAGTTAACATCGCTGGCTTCGATTTCGGGGTTGACATCACAGTGAGCCTTCACTTTCTACTCTCGATATATCTAACATGATTCAGGGCACAGCCAATCTTGCCAGTGCCGACCCTCCTTTGACTGCACTTGGTGGTAGTGATGGCGCAGCTCAGATGTCACATTTTGCGAAGCAGGATAGCTTGAATCTGTTCAGACTACGTGAGTACCTCTCAATCATCTCGATCATCCGCTAACTATTCCGCAGCTGTTAGCTGGCAATTTTTAATCAACAGTCAGTCGTTGACTGGAAGTGCAAACAATGGAACGATGACGAATGGGACAATGGGGAACGCCACTCATACAAACAGCGCTGCCGGAGCTTTGGATGCTACGAACTCGAATAACTACGATCAACTGGTCCAAGCATGTCTGGCTACCGGTGCTCACTGCATCATCGATGTCCATAATTATGCACGATTCAACAATGAGATCATTGGGCAGGGCGGTCCATCGAATGAGGAGTTTGCGAACCTTTGGAGCCAGATTGCAGCGAAGGTAGGTTGAATTGGTTGAAGTTGAATTTGGCTGACAACTTCACAGTACAAGAATGAGACCAATATTGTCTTTGGGATCATGAACGAGCCACACAACATCCCAGACATGAAAATCTGGGCAGCTACAGTCCAAGCTGCCGTGACTGCCATTCGAACAGCAGGTGCAACCACGCAAATGATTCTTCTTCCTGGGAATGACTTCACTGGAGCGCAAACTTTCGTTAGCAATGGCTCGGCGGGCAATCTCAGCAACGTCCACAACCTAGATGGGTCGAACACAAGCTTAATCTTCGATGTTCATAAGTATTTGGATGCGGATGGAAGTGGACAGGCCCTCGACTGCTCGTCGAACCATATCACAGATACGTTCATGCCTCTGGCAATGTTCTTGGTCGCCAATAAGCGTCAAGCTATCTTGAGCGAGACAGGCGGTGGAAACTCTGCTTCTGTAAGTTTGTCCCTGGGCTCTGGGGCCTGGCTAACTTTCAAAGTGCCTGACTGATCTTTGCAACACTTTGACCTTCATCAACGCCAACACTGATGCGTACATGGGATACGTTGGATGGGCGGCAGGAGGATTCTCTCCAACGAACTACAATTTGACCATGACTCCAATTGGATCTGCAGGCAACTTCACTGATCAACCAATTGTCAAGCAGTGTCTCGTTGGAACGAGAATGGGTGGTGGTATTGCCAGCAAGAAGAGAATGGTCCGGAAGACTCTGTGATTTTGATGGGGAAAGGGGGTGCTTATGAGTGTACTGTATAATATTTTGTGATGTCCTTGAATATATGGTGTTGCTCACCTAAGAGCTTCTTTGCGAACCCGCGCTTCTTGACCGAGATGATTTATTGCTACTCGCTTTCCCACTTAGCCCAAGATTCGAATGCCAAACTCATGCATAATCAACTTCTTTACTGCCCTCAATCTTGATCCCTTCCACCGAACCATCAGACTTCTCCTCCGTCCTCTCATCATCCAACCCCAAAATTCTCCTTCCCTCTGCAATTGAGATATTCCGGGGCATCCTCTTTTCATGCTTAACTGGATCACCTGGCGCAGCGAAGATAACATCCAACTCCTCTAAACTGCGCCCCTTCGTCTCCACCAAGAAGAAGTAGATGATGGGAATGAATGAGGCGTTCAACACAGCGTAGATGATGTATGTTTTCCAACCGATATTGGCGAATGACGGGGGAATGGTCATAACAACCATGAAGCAGAAGATCCAATTAGCAGCAGCGGAGACACCATTGATCTGTGCTCGGGACCGGAGAGGTGCGATTTCAGCACTGTAGAGGAAGGGGCCTCCAACCCAAGCGAGACCGAAGAACGTGTTGAAGAGGAACAGCAGGCCGGCGGCCGCGAGTTGCAGATTGCGCTCAATTTGTGAGAGTAAGATGGGAATGAGAATGAACGAGATGGTCATGCCGGTGGAGGTTAGGAGGAAGGCTTTCCGACGACCGAGTCCTTCAATTAAGAAGACCGAGAGGACGGAGCAGATGGCATATTCAGCTCCTCCGCAAGCGGCGATCAGGTGTGCCATGGATGGACTGAGATTGAATGAGTCTGTGAGGATTTGGTTGGCATATGTGGAGACCAGGTTGATGCCGGAAAGTTGTTGAGCGGCTTGGATGAAGAAGCCAAGACACATTCGTCGGAATGTTTGTGATCTCCCATTCTGGAAGAGCTCTTTGTACTGGAAGGGAGCTTCGGATTTCTGGGACTCGAAAGTGGCCATGATGGACTCGAGTTCGGCCTTGAGAGTTGAATCTTCTTCTGAGAGGCCGCGAAGCTTGCAGAGATTGTGCACACCTTGGTTAATCTTGCTGTGCTTGATGAGCTATTGAGGTGACTCGGGGAGGAACATGATCAAACAGAACACGATGATTGCTGGGATCAGTTGGATTGCAACTGGCATCCTCCATTGAATTTGGCCGTGAGTGAAGAAGAATCCATATCCAATCCATTGTCCGCAGGCCACACCTGTTGTCTGAAGACCGCCTTCAATCATAACCCAGCGGCCTTGCGTCTTCGGTTTGGCACACTCGGATTGCCATGTTGGAACTGTGGCGACTTGGAGCCCAAGACCGATGCCTGATAGGACACGTCCAACTCCCAATTGTGCAGCATGGAACGCGGATGCTTGGAGAGTACCACCAACAACCATGCAACCATGCCGAGCCAGACTGTTCCTACCCCCTATGCGCGGGCGCTCTCTCAGTTAGAGTGCAGGATGCGGCCGCGCAATTGGCCCAGGCGCGGCTGACTAAGCGTCTTCAAGTAAGAGTGCATCAAGTGAGAGTGCACTTTGCCTCGCCCACCTCTACAGGCCTCTTGAACAGACCACGCGCGCGTGATGTTTATCTATAACCCTACTCACAAGATTGTAATATGCCTGGCTTGCAAGTCAAGCATCATCCCTAAGATAGGGAGCCAGGAGAGCCACCTACGCGCCGAGCCACACCGACTTTCCGGTGATGCTCTCAAAGCAATAATCCAACGTTTAAATGATTACAACCTAAGGACTGTTAACGAGCTAAGGGACCGGAAGCCCCGTCCTGAAGACTCGTGCGAGCTGATTGGGCACCTTGCTTACTACGATGGCTTCTACTGCCTATAGCCGGACTGCCTGTACTGCACCCGCCACCCCCGGAAAATGAAGGTCCACGTAGCTTCTATACACAAGATAAAAGCAACTAAGCACCAGAAGAGCCCCCTGTGGAAGGCTTGCACGCTCCAGACGTATTTTACAGGGCATGGAAGGATCGATTACTTTGTAGTAGTCGATCACAAAGAGCCGGTAGACAAAGCGCTGGTAGATGGGGAGTCAAGTAATAAAGAGAAGGCCTTGTTTGAGAAGTTAGAGGAGGATTGCTACAATGTAAAGGGCGACCTCGAAGACCAAGCTAGCATCGTCCAGGGCTTTGGGGATTCTAGGGCAGAGAGGGTGCCCTGGCTCGAGCGGACCGGCTTCCCATCCCACCTAGCCCGGCTGAAGGACGCCGAGATCAAGAGCTCGTACGCCCTCCCGCCGAAGAGAGAGCTGGATGCTAAGGCAGAGGCTGCTGAGGATCCTGACTTGGTCCGGATTCTGGTGGCGGCTAAGGCTCTCTTACGAGACGCATATAAGCTCTGCAGTAACGCCTCCTCAGACCGGAAGATGACCCAGCAGCGGGCCAATATCCTAAATGAGTTCTATGCTAGAGCTTCCGGCCGTTCAGACGGCTTTCGGTACTACAAGAACGCCTCGACGCTTACTAAGTACTTCACCACCATGAAGCAGCTGCTAGTGTACTACTACCGGGTCGTCTATAGCGAGGAGGGCCACTTTACGCGGGCTTAGCCAGAGCAGAAGCTGCCCCAGGACGTCATTCAGCCTACCGCTCATCAGGTCCAAGCTATGGACGAGATCATGGACGCCTTCACTCTAGAGGACGAGGACAAGGCCTTGCTAGCTCTCAAGCATGCCATTCGGCGGCTCTACCTCGCCCTGATCTGCCAGACGGTTGGGAGCGTGCCCTTCAAGTCCCCAGTGCTCAGCTTCTGTGCCATACTTAGTCGCAAAGTGCGGGGTAGTGGGGTAGGCCAGGGCCAGTGGATGGAGCCGGGCAACTACAATAGCCACTTGTCTGCCTTGACCTGGACGGCTCAGATGGTGCTCTTCGACTATGCCTGCTTTCAAGAGCAAGAAGATGAGGACCAGATTCCTATTTTCTTAGCCAAGATCTGCAAGAAGTTCTTCTAGCAGCTAGCCGAGACGCCCTTTGGCCACATCTTGCAGTGGCGGCTCTACCTCTTCAAGGTGGGCAAAGCTGCTATTGCTAAGCACCAGGCCCGGTGGTCCTTAGACGGTCAGATAGTCGGATACCGAGGAGTAGAGCTACAGATGGCCCAGATCTCGCAGCTAGTCCTGTCTGAGTACCAGCAAGCCTACTCTCTACTACACAATGAGCTAATGTTTGGTGCCCGAGACTTGACGCCCATGGAATCGTGGAGGCTAAAGGACGACTTAGACCTGGACGATTTTGGCGGCTCTTGGCTCTCGCATGCCCACAATGCCGAGTTCTTAGAGGGTGCTGAGCAAGCTCTGCTCCAGCGGATCCAAGGCAGCACTGAGCTTCGGGCTATGTTCTTAGCTGATGGGGACGGTAGATGCAAAGCTCTCAACCCTATAGCTATAGCCATCTACGAGGCACACGCTCAGGACTTCCTTAAGCGGCTATTAGTCCTCTGCCACATTGCACCTAGCCCCCCGCTGCGGGCCCTAGAGCTGCTGTCAGTCACGTAGCGCAATACAGCTCGCTAGCGCCACTTGTTCATTTGGGAGAAGCTAGTTATGATCTATACGCAATACCATAAGAGCTAGCAACAGTTAGGCGCCTACAAGGACAACATCCGCTTCTTGCCTAAGGCCATTAGCGATCTGCTCCTTACATACATTGCCTACGTTTTGCCTCTACGACAGCTCTTCCTCCGCCAACAGAAGCCCGGTGCCCTACTCTCTCCCTACCTCTGGGCCAAGCTTGATGGGAGCGTCTAGACGGACGAGGCTTTGTCAGCCTGCTTACGTAAGGCTTGCACCCGTGCCCAGGTGCCAGCACTCCACAGCTCCAATTGGCGACAGATGGCAGCATCGATCACAAAAGAGAAGTTCTCAGCTAAAGAGCGGGCTGATTTTAAGCTTAAAGATAGCATGGGAGAGGAGATCGAGGATGAGCTAGATCTTATGGCCTTAGCTAAGCTAAGCAACCACAGCTACCACACCTTTAATCATGCCTACGCTAGCACCACCACGCTCACTATAAGTGCTCTGCTCCACCGGAACTACCGAGCATCCGAGAGCTAGCGTACATTCTTCCGATTTAATCATATTCTCCAGGGAAAGAGGCCACGAGGTGCTTCAGAGACACTGTCGCTGCGAATGCTTGATGCTTCTAAGCGTACTCGAGTGCGTAAGAGAGGTGCTTATGTTGAGGCTGACCTGCTAGCCGTTGCTCGGAAATTGTACAATGTACCGGACTTGCAATTCCGGGTCCCTGGTCAGCGGAATGGCGTGCTTGCCATCATGGGGCCTCAGCCAGCCGAGCAAGTAGTTCTGGTAATAGGAACCGGCTCCGGTAAGACTTTGGTCGTTATGATTGGGGCTGCAATTGCAGATGCTGGAACTACAATCTTAGTTCTTCCAATAGTGGCTTTGCGGGGTGATATGCTAAGACGCTTTCACTAAGTAGACATCCGGCCCCTAATCTGGTCTATCGATTGTAAACGGTCAGCTTCACTAGTCATTATATCAGCTGAAGCTGTGTGTACTCAAGGCTTTTTGGAGTACTATTATCTCCTAGTCAGCCGGCAGCAGCTAGACCGTATTGTGATTGACGAGAGTCATCTTACTATTACGGCTAGTGACTATCGGCCATGCATGGCTCAACTAGGCTAGTATGTTCGGCAGATCAGGACGCAGACGGTCTGGCTGACAGCAACCCTCCCTCCTGTGATGTAAGAGGAGTTTATCGAGCACAATAAGCTCGTGAAGCTCAGAATCATCCGGGAATCGACTAATCGGCCCAACATCAAGTATATGGTCAGCTTCAAGACCGGACCAGGCGCCCTCATTGAGAGAGCTGCCAATCTAGTCCAGGAGTGCTGGCCTATGCAAGAGATCTTCAACTACGCCCGAGACAAGATCATTATCTACTGCCGGACCCGGGAGGAGGTAGCCCAGCTGGCTGAGATCCTCCACTGCCCTACGTATACATCCAAATCAGGAACCGAGGAAGAGAAGGCTGCCATTATTGCTGGGTGGCTTAGTAATAGGGACTAGCCCGTAATTGTAGCTACGTCTGCTCTTGGAATCGGGTTCGACTACCCCTACATCCGTTGGGTGATTCATATCGACGCACCTTATAAAGCTACAGCCTTCTCTCAAGAATCTAGCAAAGCTGGCCGGGATGGGAGTAAGGCCTCCTCTATTGTTATGCTTAGCGCCACGTGGAAACCGCAGCTCGAGCCGGGCCTGTCCCCAGATGAGGAGGCTATGCAGTTGTACTTAGCCCAGCAGTACTGCTCCCGGGGCGTCCTGAGCCAGTTCTTGGACGACCAGCCGCACTAGCGGTGGTGTATACCAGGGGAAGAGGTGTGCTAGGTTTGCAAAGAGCCCCACCATGAAGCTCGGCCTCTCGATTTACGGTTTGGGCTGGCAGCGCCAGAAGAGGTGGCTTTCACTGGCCCTAAGGAGGTGCTACGACAAGACTACGTCCAGGACCAAGCACTCGACCGCTATGAGCAAGATCTGGAAGCGGTAGCCGGCACATGCCTCTCTTGCCGAATGCAGGGCCGTCGGTTTAACCACGCCCCGCAAGCATGCTCTCGACGCTTCCATTGGATCCGTGCCAAGGACGAGGCCTACTAAGCGCGCAAGAGCGAGGGCAAGGAGTGGATCCAGCGCTACGTGGCCTGCT